AACTGTCTTGATAATATAGCATGTAAAAAAAGTGGTGCCCTAAGGTCAACTTACTTGTGTATGGGGTAAGTTGACCATAGGAGCGGGGTAAGTTGAGCTGTATCCCTACTACCACCCACTCTCCACCCCAGCCCTCCTTCACCTTCTCTCTCCTTTAATAACAGTCACTTCTTCACATTCATGTATATTTTTATCTATCATACGCTGTTCAACTGGTACAATTATTCTTTTTATTATTATTGCATATAACTGTTAAAAAGCTGTTTTTTAAAAAGCCATTTTAACATGAGAATGTCTTTAAGTGATTCAGAACATTCACAGCTGTATTTTTGAAAAGAAAAAGTAACACATTTTAACAATCTGAACTGAAACTCTGATCCTCTCATCAGACTCCTTTACTTTCTTAGTTCAGCCACTGGCTCAACTTACCCCAGAACTACTATTATGACTTTATGAGTCCTCCAAGCTAAAATTGTGGACTTTTATGTTAGGTTTTTGACCTCATGTTGTAGCTCACAGATACCACAATTGATGTATAAAACAAATTTAAAATGATCTTTTTTTGGTCTGAACACAATTGTTATCAAACTTATAACAGACTAAAAAAAGTGAAAAATGTTTTTTTGTAAATAAATGTCTAACCTCTTCACCCATGTGCTTCTAACCTTCACAGACTCCATGAATTGATGCCCATCTCCTAAATATTTGGTCACATGACCAATTTCTTTTACCATCTCCAAGCAACAGGGGGTGGCTCAACTTACCCCACTCTCCTCTACACTAAAACAACTACTAAAAACAACTAAACCAATCAAACAGTCTTAGTAAATAAGTCTGGGTCCTCTTCTTCGTATTCAGAATCCCAATGGAGTCAGTATGCAAGTATACAAGTCATGTTTTACCAGAGTTAAGAGCTATAAAAAAACAGAGGTAATCAGTGAACTTTTCAAAGCTTCTGAGCTTTTTTTTTTTGCATGAAGAGAAGTGGTGAAGAAAAATAGTCCTTAATCTGATGTCCGAACTACTGAATCATTTAATTGCTTTAAGAGTTAATTGATCGGTCAGCTGCTACAACCTCATTTTGATTCTCAACAAAACTTCATCATTGTCGTGTAAAATCTATCCTGGACACACATCAGTAACCTGCTGCACGGCAGATTAAAGTGAAAGGTCTCTCAAACGGACTAATACGTTTTTCACTCTACAGTTATTTAGTCATCACACACTCCATTGAGCATATTCTATGAAAGTGACAGTTTTTCAGAGACCTATTATTATGGAGGACAATATCTGCATACAGATTGCACAAACACAGAACAGCAGGGCGGTTGTGCGTGATGCATTTCACTCTGTGGGTGGCATCGTGTGCAGAAGGCAGCTAGTTTCAACTCTTCTCCATAAGACAAACAAGCAGGGAAGAGAGATACTCGATCAGGAAGGAAGATGGATTGTTCATGGAGAAGTTTTCAGCTTCTGGTGGGATTAATTGCCATTTTTATTTCCAGGAGGTGAGGTGAAGATTGAGATTGCAGGATCGAGAGGAGAATAAAAAATCTGAGAAACCCTGAAGAGTTATAGAGCAGAGAGGGCATCAGTGAAGTGAGTGTGAGGAGGAGGAGGGATGAAAGTGCTCGCTGAGTGTACAGAAACATTAATCCTAGTCTGCATAACCTCTCTTTTTAGCAAAGGTGGTCTACATGCCATGAATCAACAGCGTCATAGCTGTTGTGTTATTCACAAACTATGAAAACCCACTTTCACCGCACCGTGAAGGTCGATCTGGTGCAACACCTACTGCAAACGCATGCAGACAGACTTGTTGAGTTTTATCTCTTACATGGGTAAACTATTATCATTCATGCAGCAAGAGATTCTGTTTATTAGCATTTATTCCTGTTTCTACTGAATCAAGATCTTTATAAGTTAATGCATTTTAAAACTCGCTCCTGTTGTGCTTGGATGAAGGGAGTGAAGAAGGGACAGAGATGGGGAGGGGGGAGAGTCGGGTATTCTTTCCTTTTTTTCTTCGTCTGTGTAAAGCACTTTGTGCAACATTGCCCTGTATGAAAAGTGCTATAAAAATATTGATTGATTGATTAATTGATCGTCTTACAAGAGTCTTCCCATTGTGTTAGTATCAATTTCTCTGTAAAAGACCATTTTTAAGGATACTTTTTTGGCAACCAACAGCTTTTGGTAACTCTAGATATATTCCACTGAGCAATAGACAGCTATTAGACATCTAGTTCTTTTTTATACCTAGTTTCAACTGTTAATATTCTGTATATTTTTTGACAAAATTTAGATGTTGCATTTGAACCCATTATTCCATAACTATTTATTTAAAAAAGCAACTGTGAGTTGCATAACTGATCTCCAAGTGCGCAATATACAGTGTAGTATAGGTATAGCCCAGATTTAGACCTGTTTTAAATTTAGACATCTAGAAAACTTCCATTTTTAGACCAGTACAGTAGTAGCCTGATTTTAGACCAGTGGTCTAGGCTACATTTAGACATCTGTTAGACCTCTTTTAGACCAAAAAATGCTCAGTGGGATCTGTCTATCGCCCTTACTGTACAATGAAATATACAGTATTTTTACTATGAGAGAAACATTATACAGTGAAAAAACCTCTTTGTCCAGTGCAACAACCATATTTTACTAAGAATTTAATAAACTTGGCAGTGTAATATAATGAGCACTGCAATGCTTTGAAATGCTTTAATGATATGTATATTTGCATTTGTGTGGCACCGTTTTCTTCAGCCAGCCAGGATCTACCACAGCTATTGAGATGGAGTGCTCCATAAAAAAAGTTCTCGTCCTGTTGCTGAAAATAGTCCCTGCAGTGCCGTATTCTGACATATAAAATCCACTTTTTTAACACAATATTAATGACACGGTCGAGGCTGCGAAGAGCAAAAATAGAGGTTGGCTCTTCCTCTGTGCACTTTAATAGAAAAGTACTAAGCTTTGGGAGCAGCACTGCAGGTTGAGCTTTCGGAATAAGAAGACTCAAGAACCTCTGAAATTGTATATTTACATTCTTTTTTCTTCATAGCTTAAAGTCTTAGCAGTTTTTGTTCACCACACTGAGTTTTCACCATAACAAAGACTCAAAGCTTTCCTCGCTGATGCTTCCACACGTATATAAAATATTTTCCTTCTGCTTCTGGTTTCTGAGAAAGTTCAATATTAGTTCAAAGATTATATATTGAGAATGAGCATATTGTGAAATGGTCCTTACTATCAGTCAAAGAGACACCAGCACCATCATTAAATGAAAACTGGCAAATTCCAAGGCTGTCTTTGAGGATGTCTCATTAAAATCCTCTTATCTCCGAGGAGGTTTCAGCTTCAGTGGAGCAGCAGCTCTCTCCATAATGACTTCAGTGACATTGCAGCTTTTCAGAGCAGATTATGATGTCCATGTGTAAAGGTAATTTAAGTAGCTCTGAATATATCCAGCTATGATTGCATTTATGAATTGCCCACAAACAAAACAACAGAGGGTAAACTGATGGAAACACCCTGTAAGTTTCAGTCATAAAGTCGGTGGTGCATTTTGAAGAGCTCAGCAAACATAACAGCACAGTGCATCAGCCAGCAGTCCAAAAAAAGGCATCCGTCCCAGCAGCCATAAAAGTATCTTTATAACAAAGGACATTTTAAAGTCAGTCTGCTACCTCACACTTGCATAAAGCACCTTATAATACCGCTGAGCACTCTTTTAGTGCTCCCCATGAAGAGCCAGTCATATAATTTTACATTACGGGAAGTTAACCTCGGCAAAGTTTCAAAACATGAGATTAACAGATGATGACTTAACCATCATCATCATCATCATCATCATCTGTGTGTTTTCAGAAATCTCTGAACAGCTTCGAGAACTTTTCCTGAACCTGTTGAACTGGAAACATTGGAAAAGTTTGTTGAACTCTGACAACAACAACCCTGCCTTCATGGTGTGTCATTTAGAAAAAAAACATGTGTGAGGTGTCATCTAGTCGAAACCCTCTTCCCTTTAGTGTCATCAAGTTGGACGTGATGATTGGTTGGGTAACACCTTGTAGTCTGTTGTACTTGTTGGTCAATGGCTGTGTAAGTGCCAAATCTGACATAGGGATGTGTTGTCCACACTCATACCATCTCTTTCTGTGTCAGAGATGGTTGGGATTCAATAAGTTTGATCTCAACTCTGTGCCCTCTGACCGGTATTTCCCAACTTATAAAAGAAGCTCAAGTGTTTCTTGGCCAGACAAGCACATGTGCTCCACAGTTAAAATAATTAGGAGCTCAATTAATAAATTAATTAAGGGTCAAACACACCGTAGCACCGAGTTAGACACCCCCTCAAGAAATGAATGTTGCTGACCGCTTGCTTCTCTAGTTATACCAACTTCAGTAAAGACCGCACGATAGCAATACACAGCGGTCTGAGGAGCCATAAACAAACCTCAACCAAAACGCCACAAATAATTTTTGATCATTACATTATCATTTCCTTGAAGTAATAAACATCATTGGAATCATTTTGCACTGGCATCTGCTGGAAGAGAGTTGGTGAGTTGTGTTTCGTCTCTTTGCTAAAGAAATCAGGCACTGCACAGATTGATCAGACGTATGTGATCGGGATTGTACTTTTTGTAGTCTTTTGTACTTCAAAAAAAAAATGTTATGAGGTTTCAACCAATCAGAATCAAGTATTAAGTAAACACATACTGCCCCATCAGAAGGAGCTGATAATGTACTTCTGTTGTTATTTTGTATTCAAAGCACAGTCCACAAACTGTTTTATAATTAATGAGTGCGAGGCGCTTTGTTTGCACATAAATCACTCTCTGGAAGGAGTAATTAGATATTTCCCCACTCTAAGCTTTGAGAAATTGACCATTAAAGATTGATGAGATCTTTAATTGAACTGAGCCCGACTTTTTTAATATAGAAATTTAATTGGAATAATTTCCCACCGCATCCTTTAAGAAATACTGGCCACAGGTTTTTCCTCCTTGTTTTATTAATCAACACTTATATACAAATGTAGTCATTACAGGACATGTAAAATAGTACATCTCATCATGGTGTAAATGGCTTTGGGTGCATCTAGTACAAATATCCAAACTCCACGATGATACTGTAGGTTTTCACACAACACTGAGTAAACACTTGTGAAATTCAAGCATCCGTAACATTTTTATCAAAGCTTTACTTTTGATTGCTGACAGTCCATCAAATGATGCATTTCAAATAACTTACTGATGCAGCCATGTCAACCTTTGAAGCAAGGCTCAAAGCCACCAGAGTCAAAGTACAATCATGCAGTTCCCTGAGAGGTAAAAACATTTACCTTCTTTGGCAGCCGGTCTGTGGTCAGAGGTAAAGAGCAGACGCACTGTCCTTCAGCGTTTCTCCACAGACGTTCATTTTCAGAAAGGATCCCTTCACATTTAAGGAAAGAGTGTCTGCACGGCTCCCCCTCTGGTCATAGGCAGTCTCTGCACAGCGCCACCTGGCCGATCAAATAGTCCCTGCAGGGGCACAAGCGCTGGTACTTGGGGCTGGAGCCGGCACAGCTGAAGAGCAGCGGGTCCTGCTGTAGACCACATTCAGAGTGCTCTGCTGAGAAGGCAGGAAAGAGGTGGTTCATCTCAGACTCCAGACCCTCACACTGGAAGTCCAACCTGCAGGGATACAGAATGACAGCATGAAGACTAATTATCAGCTTTATCTAGTGTATTCCTCTCTTTCAGCACACCTACATGTGTAACATATGGACGGTATTGTGAGTGCTACAGGGTAGAAGTGATTATTCTACAGATATATTTAATATTCATGGTGGAGCGCAGCGTTGGAGACCTCGGGGAACGAAGGAAAATATTCCAGGAAAAGGGTGAGCTGATGTCTCCTCATGTACTTTTTCACTCTTGCATAATTTTAAAACTGCGAGTGCAAATGAGGCATGATGTCTGGAGGGAAACTTAGTTATTCAAATTTATTGTTGTAGAAGAATAGGCTTATTGAGATGCAGCTTTTCATTCCTGGAAGCTCCTGACGTGGCGTTTCATGAGATAATCGACTCTGCAGATTGTGCGTTCGATAAGAAGACACTTTTAGTCTCATTTACATTTCTACATATCTGTGAGGAACTTTATTTTGTGTTGAACTTGGCGACTCTTGTGGACCAAGGGCTTTGTCTTTTCTCTTTGCTGATCCTGTCCGGCACATGTATACTAGTTTTCTTAACAAACTCCTCCTTCATTTTACTGTCAAATTTACAACCCACATGGAACTTTATTTTGAGGCACCTACCCCCTTACAGCTGTTACAGGCCTTACAGATGATAATATAGAAACTGTTAATCCTGTCGTTGATGGCCTCATCTGCTTTTAAACACTAGGGAGGCGTATTCCTGTTCAGTCCCCCAGGAAGAATAGTTACTGCGTATCTTGTAACTACTGGTGGATCCAAAATAAATCAAATCAAATCAAGTCCAGTCTGTTTCTTAACCTATCAAAAACTCCTCACAGGAGCTTTAAGATGTGCACCTAAGTGCGATTTTCTGTCCGCTACATATCAGTTTTTAATCTGCTGATTAATATTTCATGTAATATAACTTATTAGGTTCATGCCTGTTGCAATCAGGCTTAATTTTCTTCTTTGACAGGAGGCAGAGATATGCTGTTAGTCATTTATACACAGGCTTTGGCTTAAATTAAACATTTTATCACAGATACGTGCCAGCAGGAGCTAATCATTACAGATATTATCTCTGAGAAGCAACATCTCACCCGCTGAAGGTTTCCTTGATGTTGATGAAACGGTATAAGGCTGGTTCACAGATGAGTCCTGCGATCTGGCACGCCTTCACACAGGACTGGCCCTCCTGCGAAGCAAGCACCCGCAGTGCGCTGAGGGGGGGCCAGGATGTGTAGGAGGTGGTATTGGAGGCCCAGGTGAGGATGCTGGAGTTAGGAAGGAGGATGAAGGGACTTGGGGGGTTGCCAGGCCAAGAGGAGTTTACAGGAGGAAATGGAGCCTCAGGGGAGCAAAAGTCCTGCAGGTGCAGAGATATAATAACCCAGATCAGTCACATTTTTAGCACTATATTGCAAACACTTTGACCTGTCAGCTCAGATAAACCACCATTTTCCAGCTCACAGCAGCTTCAAATGGTACCTTCAGCTTCGTCCCGCACACAACCTCTGATACAGGAAATAATAAAAGAACCGTTACAGTACAAAGCTGCTTATCAGAGCTGACAGTCCTCGTCAATCATCAAGGAAAAGATACGACTGCAGTTACGGCACCCAATAACAAATGAGGACCGGAGGCAGGATTAGGCTCTGGTGAGAGGCCTGATTAGATTCCCCCTCCAGCTGCGGCTTTTCATAAGACCCGAATAATAACATTTCTCTGACATATCCCACTGGCCTCCAGACCCGTTTATTAAACAGGCTCCAAGCGCCTGCAGGCAATAACCAGGCCCCAATCTCTCCATCTCTGCTGCAGCTCCACGACTACAAACAAGCAACAACTCTGACACACAACAACACACAACATCAAAAACATTACAAGACACTCCGAGAAAGTTCCAGAGATCATCAACAGACATGTTATCGAGAAAATAATTGTGAACTATGTTATTTTTTTTTTTTAACTAAAAAAACATTTATGTCTTTGGTTTTACTTATTGACAGGAATAGAAAAACTCCCAGAATTCTAGGTTTATTTCTCTGCTTACATATTACTCTTCACTTTTTAAAAAGTCAATGTATTTATGCCCCGAACCTGTGAATAATACATTTACAAGTCTCAATTTGATTCACTTAATTGAAAACATCCACACAGGGAAGAAAGAAAACAACCCTGGAAATTGATTACTGCAAGTTTGATGGAAATGTGCCAAATTATATTGGATCTGCTGTGGACGACATGCACAGTGCAATCCCAAGTTAGTTGAAATGCTGTGCAAAATGTTAATAAAAACAGAATACAAAAGTTCTCAAATCACCTGAAGCCTGTATTTAAATGAAAAAACAACATATTACACAGAATTTTAATCGTTTTGATAACAAATGTGAGGATTTTAAAGCTTTTGCAAGCAACACATTTCAAAACAGCTAGGACAGAGGCATGTTTACCTCCTCTGTTTGGAAAACGAGGGGATCAGTTTTTTGAGTTTTGAAAGTGAACTTTGTCTCACATAGCGACACAACAGTTCTGGATCTACTTTGTCATATCTTTTGCTTTATAATGTACTATGTCTCTCTCATGTCAGACTGCTGGCAGGGGAGAGGAGCACCAGGACTTGTCTTCTATAGAGCTGTATGCTGTTGTGAATGTGGTTTGTCATTGTGTTGTTGAAATATGAAGGTCCTCTCTGAAAAACGTTGTGTAGATCGCAGCATATGTTGCTCCTAGACCTGTAACCCACGCTAACAAAGACTTTCCAGATATGTGAACTACCTATACCATGGACACTAATGATCCCCATACCATCAGGGCTGCTGACTTTGAACTGAGGGCTCATAACAGGTCCAATGGTCCCTCTATATAAAGAGGAAGACATGAGGTCAATTGTGGTTTCCTCTTGTCATGGACAGCTGTCAATCTGCATTTTTGGATGCAGTGATGAACTATGTTTCTAGACAGTGGTTTCTGGAAGTGCTTTTGAGTCCATGCAGTGATTCACACTACAGAGTCATGTCTGCTTTTGATGCAGGGCTACCTGAACGCCATCCAGTATTGGCTCTTGGCCTTATCGTTCTTGTGGAGAGACATTTCCAGGTTGTCCTAATCTTTCAATAATGTTACCAATAATTTACATATTACCAATTCAAAACAAATGTTAGAAGATACATCTTATATTACCTGCTCCTTACTCAAAGTCTAATTGTTCTAATCATCTACCACCAGATGATTTCTGATGTTATGTAGATGACTTTGCATTTGGCTCTCGGTGCAGTTATACAAACAACAACAACACTGAGCTGCCATTAAAATGTTTGTGAAAGGGTCCCTGTCAGACTAGGGTTGGGAAAGAGGAGAAAACTAGAAAGAGAAATTTGGTCAAAAAAATCTTGAGCCACATATAATTTGAGAAGTTGGAAATAAGATGGAAAAGTCTCACACTGGTGAAGAAAAGAAGAAAAAAGCAGAGAGAGAGAGGAGTCTGATTCGGAGTCTGACCTCACGCATGACAAGAGAGACAGTCACAGCCTCAGTCAGTCATGGCTCACTGAGTGTGTGTGTTTGTGTGTGTATATGTGTGTGTGATGGCAGGGGAAAGGGATGCTGTCAGAGCAGGACAGAGGCTAACACAGTTTCTTAACCTGTCACTGAAAAACACCACACCAATTACACAACATGATAGATTCACTGCAGGACCGTGCTCCAAAATGGACCCACTGTGGATGTAAAATAATGTGTCTAGATTACTTTGTTACATTTTAATATGTGAGAAAGGCTGGATAACAAGCCCATTTTTATGTAAAAGCATTATTTATCCTCAAGGACCAGCACAGAGGAAAATTAGCGCACATCTATTAACTTTGCAGCTGTTGCCTCTGCCTGCAAATATTTAATATCTGGGAGAGCAGTAAAGGTATAAATATTGTGGCAAAGCAACTAAAAATGCAAGAAAAGAAACTCCTTGAGCACAATTCTTTTAGGGGTTAGAGGAAGAGACCTTGCGCAGTTTGAAAAATCTCAATGTTGTTTTGGTTTTTAGGGCTTTTATCACCTATTTCTTCATCAACATGTTTTTGTACCTGCAAAACCTTTTTTTGAAATTCCTTTAAAAACAGGCAAGAATTCTTACAGGAGCTGACTGTACATCAAGCCTGAAAAACTAAACTGTCAAGGTCTGCAGAGAAACAAAAGATATATACAAAAAAACAGATCCTCACTATGCAATACAGAAATACATAAGTAAAGACTGCAGGTTAAAAACTGTTTTTAAAAGAAACACTTTTACTGAAGTTTATTTTTAAAGACGAAAAGATTTCAACCTCTTTGTGAGACCTCAAGGACAAACACAATGAAACTTGGTGAGCTACTCTGAATGCAAAAACAGAAACCTTGTTTGTTAGGAAAACTCTGCTGGGGATTGTTAGGATTATTTAATAATGTGCTTCTCTAAAGTTAGAGGAAATAAAAACATTTACAACATATCTTAAAAGTACGATGGAGTATTACGGCCACATTAAGAAATAAAAGGATTTAGACTTCAAGATTAATTTACAAAATAAAGTCATTACTAACAAGAATAAAGTCGTAATAAAGTAATTAATTACAAGAATAAAGCCTTAATAAGGTAATTACTTACGAGAATAAAGTCGTCATAAAATCATTACTTACGAGAATAAGCTTGTAATTAAATTATTATTTAAGAGAATAAAGTCGTAATAGAGTAATTACTAACAAGAATAAAGTTGTAATAAAATTATTACTTACAGGAATAAAGTCATAATAAAGTAATTACTTATGAGAATAAAGTCGTCATAAAATCATTACTTATAAGAATAAAGTCGTAGTAAGATTATTACTCACGAAAATAAGGTTGTAAGTAAATAATTTCTTAAGAGAATAAAGTTGTAATAGAGTAATTATTAACGAGAATAAAATCGTAGTACGATTATTACTTACGAGAATAAGGTGGTAATTGAATCATTACTTGAGAGAATAAAGTTGTAATAAAGTTATTACTAACAAGAATAAAGTTCTGGTAAAGTAATGAAGCATTTCGTGAAAATGTATCTCAATATAGGTTTCTCAAACAAGGATCTTTTGGGACATCGGCACCACATTATCGTAAGTATCATAACGATTTTATTACGACTTTATTCTCGTAAAAAATGATTTTGTAACAACTTTAGTCTCGTAAGTAATGCTTTTACTATGACTTTATCCTCAATAGAAATGACTTTATTCTCGTAAATAAACGACTTTAATCTCGAAGTCAATGTTTGTTCTTCTGAATGTGGCCCAAATATAATCGTATAAAAGATACCTAATTGCACACAAAATTTTCCTGATTTTCTTCTTTCAATATAGTTTTGGTAAAGCTGCAAAATTGTAGGGTCATACATTGTTCATGAGGCAAATGGCTATTGTTCTGTTGTAAGATTGTGTTGCTCTCACTGTTACGACTCATTTCAGTGTTATTAACTAAACTTTTTACAGCTTCGTTCAGTCACAGATTCCTGCCCTGCACCGCTCTATTATTACCACATACTCAGGGGCTGTACCAGCTGCAGAAGTCACACCCCAGCACCTCAACAATAAATCTCATAGTTCCAGCACTGATGCTCTTTCAACTGTAACCAACCTAATCTGTGAAAAGGTGAAATGTGCAGCTACAAATATCCTCCGCCACTTCATAATGGCTCTTAGCTGTTGCTGTTCAGTCCTGGGACCTACCTGGTTCTGGATGTAGGCATGAACTCTATCCAGCATACCCTCACAGGTGTACTCATAGGGCAGGTAGGGCTCCACCTGTAGACACATATGAAGAAAACAGTAAAGGGATGTGAGGAAGCTGTGTTTGTGTGTGTATGTGGATAAAACACCAAGCTATTGTAATTACAGAACCTAAAACTTGATGGTTAATCAAAGCTGACACATTCATTAGCGTAATTGTGAAGGCTTATATCATGCCACAAGCCTCGCATTAAAATCAATGACCTAATACATCACAGGTGGCAGCTTTGAAAATTGATTTCATTATTTCAGTGAAGACTCCATCAAAGTGTCAAACAGTGGATTTAAGTGACAGCAGGGCGCTGGTCAGCAGATACCGAGGAGACATGGTCTAGAAATTCCATGACAAGCCTGTCATTTATTGGTCGACTATTTAAGCAAGTATCGACATTTCTGCTAAAAAGTGATGGTAAAAAGCTTGTTCGTATTTCACCTAGGGCTGACACTCAAACCCAGGCATGGTGATGTGGGACACTGAGGCGCTGACTCACATTTACATCTGCTTTCAAGTTCATAAGATCTTGTTGAACCTCTATCAAAAAAAACGTGACCCACCTTGTAGCGAAATAAGAACCGATAAGATTTTACAACAGAGTGAACAAAATAGCTAAATACACCAGTATATGTTATTTGATCCAAGAACACAACAAATACAGATTTAATTTATTAGTCAAACAGCTCCTTATTTAGATGAAGCTACTTGGTACAATCAATCGGTGTTTGTCTGATCTATTTGACGTATCTATAGTCTGCTTATGTGTTGGGTACTGTTTCTGTAGATTAATGCAATTATGTGGAATGTATGTTGATATTTGAACATCTGATTATTTCAGAACTATAGCTACACTGTGGAAATGAATAAGGCTCAGTAATATGTGTATGTTGTTTGTATTGCTCTAATTTTGTTGTTTTGTTTTTGTCTTGTAGGCTATTGTGAGTTGTTGTGGTTATTGACGTTGTCTTTGTGTTTATGGCGTGATGTTTTTAGTGACTGTGTTCTGCGATGGAGGGTTAATTGTAAATGTAGACTCCAGGAAGAATAGCGATGGCCTTAGCCAAAGCTAATGGAGAGCTAAATAAATGAAATGAAATTAAATGAGGCTGTTTCTTCGGAGGGCTGCAGAGTGGCAACATTGTCCCGTTTAAGGTGTGACAGACGATGCACCCACATTTTTTTTTTATTAGTCTCGATTGCTCTAATAATCCTGATTAGCCTCCAGTAGCTACGGAAAATGTGACAGAAGGCACCGGAAGACAATTCATGCAAGGCATGATGGGGCCTTGGAATAAGGATATTCAGGCACATGTTTTATGACATGCTTAGCTATGAGATGTGGAGGATTTAATATATTCTGTCATGATTCCCGATGCAGAATCCTCTCTGAACATCTCCCATGATACCAGCTGAAGTGAGATCTCATTGTTTACTATCAGACCACTAAAGCACTCAGGCTTTTATTTTGATAAATGGACTCTTTTAGTGTTGTGTTCCTTTTAGCACTCTCTTATTATTTCATTTCATCTGAGTTTAATGAAATGTATCTGGCACTTCATCAGCTACTCTGCAATGCAATTTGCCTTTTGGGAATCTTTATATGATAGAATCAGAGATGGGAGGGAGCAAATGCTTCGTAGAGAGCGATTTAAATTCAAAAGCAGAAAACATTTCTGAAATGACTCTGCAATTTATATACCTAAACTGATTGCATTGCTCTGCTACTAAAATATGAAAGGGACATTTGCTATTTCCTGCTTTCACTGATGAAATGAAATGAAAAATTTTAGACATTCCTGAGCTGAGTTATGCTCTGAACATGCTGCTAGGAAAAATGCATGCAAACCAAGCATGGCAGTTTGCTCAGGCAGGTGTTACGGACATTTTAAAGCTTCCTTTTTTAGTTTTCGGTTGTTTTTTTTTCCCCATCATGGACTGTTGCTATGGTGCAAAGGAAATCTGACGTGACAGTGTTTCAGACAGACAGGCAGCTCTGCAGTTTTCTCAGGAAAGAAGCAAACAGCAATAACATGAGCAGCAGAAAACAAATAAAGCTTCTCTGAGTAAAGAAAGTGATGAGTGGAGCAGACTGTGTTATATTAAAGAAAGCTCACTGTACCCAGACCACAAACTCTGCTGTGCTGGCAGCACCTTCACAAGAGCTGAATTTTACTTACAGAGACTTTTAATGTCCTTTTATCCTGCTGTTAAAATCCTTTATGAGAAGCATTCTGGATTTTGTTAAGTACGGGTGAAATGTTTGTGACTGGAGGCATCAAAAATTTTCATCCTGGTGCCAGAAACCTTTCTGTTTCCAATGAAATCATCTCTGTTTATCAAATGCAGTTAAACCAATTACAACTTCAGAGCAATATATGCATCTGATCTTTCTCAAGGGGGGGATCAGGTGAGTGTAAGTATGTGGACGACTCTGACAAGGTCTAAAATATGATGGTGACTAAGTCAGAGTATAGCCCAGACAACATCACCTCATTTCTGCTGGTTGTGACATGTGGAGCCAGAAAACTGACTCCATGGTCACTGACATATTGTGCTGGTGCCTCGCTGTCCACCGAACAAAAACCCACATTTAACTTCCTGAAATGGCTGGCTGGATGTCTTTGGGTGTTGTGCTCACTGATGCCAGAACAAAATGCATTACAGTACTCTAGCCGCGAAGAACTAAATGCATGATTCAGGGGCTGGTGGGGCTGTTATTGGGCAGGAAGTGGGATCTATCAAGTTGCCAATCAATAACAAGGCCAGTAAATGTAAACAAAAAACTATTCATACACATTTTCTCTACACTGTGAGACAACAGCACGGACCACAACACCACTGTGCAGCACATAATGTCCAAATAAACCTGGGGAAACCTCATGGGTGAAACAGCATCAAGAAAATAATTACAAGTGATTTGGTGCATATAATTTTGGCCTGTGGTTTTTAAAAGAGTTTGTGAAAACTGACTGCAGTAACAGCACTTCAGGATTTAAACTGGACGCTTCATTTGTTCTCACACCTGACCTGTTTTAGTTTAAATGAGCTGAGCTGCAAGGGTTAAAAATGTCCTGTCTGAGAAAAAAACCCCAAAATGATTTGATTTGGTTTGCAGACAAAAGCATTTAAAACAATTACTTTTATAGTATGAGATAAGTTACGAAGTTTTATCAAGCTTTTTCATGGGTTTCAGAGTTGCAAACCGAAGACGGATGTTGCACTGAAAGCAAGCAAACAGACAAACAAAAAAACCCCCAAAGCTTCACTGACTGATGCCTCACTGAAATGATGAAACTGCACAGCTCCAGGAGGGTAAAAATGCAGCACAAATCTCAAAGTAAGCCAGTTTACCAATTTATATAGTTTAAATGTGACCATAAGGGATGTTGTGCACTTATTTTAGGCTGTGTGGGTAAAAAAAATCAAAAGTGAAGATATTTGTTAGGTTTGCTGTAGAATAAAGGTGCCTTTGGTTTCACTTGATCTTGTTAATGCAGGGTGAGCTTTTAAAACATTTACAAGCGCTGCAACTGGTGCTTTATTTCCCCTCTATCAGCTGGAAACATGGGGTGTATTTAGCACACCTGGCAGCAGAAGCACACACACATCTTGGCTCTGTAAGGCTTGGCACCGTAGCTGGGTGTTGTTCTAGTGACAGATTGAGCACAGCAAGATTGATTAACATGATTTGCTGCGGATAAAGCTCCTTGCCTGTGGGCTTTGCCTCTGGAATGCTGCCATGTGATCCCAGGTGTGGGCAGAGTTTACCTACTGAGCTGCTCAATATCTCAAGTAATTAGCGGTGAGCAGAGCAGAGGGGTAGCCAGCTAAGCATTTTGCTGTAACGTCGGATGCTGTGATTAAGAGCTCCATTAAAGGCTTAGAGCTGCAAAAGTGGGTCAAAACAAACTTTGAAGTGTGCGAGAGCAAATTATCATCCTAACTATCATCACACGGAAGCTTAAAGAGATGAACCTACAACAGAGGGACTGTAATTTAAGCAAGTGGTGCAGAAATGTGACATACATTGCTCCTCATGATCTCACGGATGGTTGCATCAAAATTTTCAGAGTTGTCGAAGTCGATTGTGACGACATGAGGCCTGCCAATATACTGCTCTGCATACGGGTGCTGAGACGACACCTGAGGGGAGAATACATGTAAATTACTTATTGTCACATTAAAATCGCACTAAGGTTAAGATGTAATTGCTTAAAGGGATATTCCAGTGTAAAAGTAATTTAGGGTCAAACACACTGTAACACCGACTTGGACACCCCCTCCAGAGATGAATGTTGCAGACTGCTTGCTTCTCTATTTATACCAACTTTAGTAACAACCGCAGGATAGCAATACATAGCGGTCTGAGGAGCCACGTGCACACCTCAACCAAAACTCAATCATCAACAGTACATATAGGGTCCCGGCCATAGTACTAGCCACCAAACATCTTTTTAACTTTGCCAAATTTCTTTAGCAAAGAGACTAAACACAACTCACCTACTCTCTTCCAGCAGCTGCTTGTTTGTACGGAGACCTCGGACCATTACGGACTACAGTGGGGCTTCACAGCTCAAGGAAGAACGTTTATGATCTTGTTGATGAAGTTAGGTGCTATTCAGTGCATTATTTGTGGCTATAGAGTGGCGTTTTGGTTGAGGTTTGTGTGTGGCTCCATAGACCGTTGTGTATTGCTATCGTGCGGTCATAACTTAAGTTGGTATAACTAGAGAAGCAAGCGGTCGTCAACATTCATCTCTCAAGGGGGTGTCTAAGCACAGTGTTACAGTGTGTTTGATCCTAACTTAATTTTATGCCGGAATATCCCTTTAAAGTCAAACATATTTTTGCACTGCTGATGTTAAAATGGATCCAGTGTTGACAGAAATACATCTACCTTCCTGGAGGTGGGCTTCCCTCTGAAGAAGTCATGATTTAAAGAGCTGTGAGGAGGGGTGAACCTGGGCTGGAGGAAGACGCAGCCGTTGGCTATGGCCTCTAAAGGGGCAGGGCCTTCATACGGGAATCCAAATCCAATGAACAGCTTTAGAGGAGAATGGAAAGAGGAGAAAATAATGAGCCAAAACAATAAGACACTCATATTCAGGTCAATGTTTGTATCAGTCTCACCTTTATCTAATATAAACTTTCTGCACATAACTGAACTTTTTTCAATAGTTTTCATCTGTTTTTATGGTTGCCAACTCTGCTTGAACTTGAGTTCAAGGAAAATCTTCTTGGATAAAGAATATCTATCTGAAAAAGTTAGAATCCCTCTGACAAAGCATTTCATTCTGACCCTAATTTTTTAGGGTCAAACATCTGAGCATCATGTTCCCACCTTGGCCCTCCTGAGGAGCTGCTGCAGCTCCTGCTGAGGCAGCAGACCGTGGTTCTTCACAAAGGCTGGAACCTCAGGGGGGCGCTGTGTCTCGTAGTAAACTGTCCCGTGGATGTCCATGTAGCGATGCAGAATAGAGAGAAACTTTTCCTTCCCCTGAAGGACAAAAAGAGAAAAATTGAGAGAGTAAAATTAGCTTGTTTATCACAGCAAACACTTCTGCAAATGTGTGTTTGTCTTTCCTCTAAACGACAAGTTTAAATTTTTTTTGCCCGCTTACTTCAGCTCTTAATTGCACACTTTGGCTTTTGTTTTTAATAATCTTCACTTGTCAGATCAAACAATTGTGGACCTGGCAGCTCTTATTTTGCTTTTCAGAGCATAAATTAAAAAACAAACCTCAAAATAGTCTTTTTTTTTTACAACTCAATTATTCTGGAGGCCAGACTTCCAATTAAACAACTGCAATTGACTTTTGAGATAAAGATGAAGTTGTTGTTGTTTGTATGTTTTCCTCATGAGTAGGTTTACATCACAACAAAAATAAGAGGAAAGTTCTCCATATCTGTCTTTCAGCTTCAGGACACAGAACTTTTCCTATACCATCCTTTACCCTCTGAGGAGGAACTTATAGATGGTTTATTTTTATTTCTTTACTGTTTAAAATTCAACACCATGAGGCTCTTTGTTTTCTTTTCCACCGCGGCACTTGTACAGCTCTGGTTTTTGCTTTGACGATGAAAATGTTGTTTGACTGTTCCCATCCATCAGCCCAGCCGAAGCAGAAATAAGCATCAATTAAAACTAGTGAAGCAACTCTAATGAGCTGAATTCCCTTGTTACCACTTTCATAAACCTTTTCACAGCTGATACCTAACCAGACCCACCTGTGGTGAGATGACAGACCTAAATCAACAGATTGATCCGTGTTGCCCTGCGGAGACGACTTGCTGCAATCATTTACAGTCAAAAATCAAATTAGTCGATCCCAAAAAGTCAGTCTGAAGGACCGCAATGAATTATTCACAGTTGACATTTATAGATGATTTATGCCTTGAAGACATAGCATCTAAGTTTTATTTTCATTTTTCATCTTTGGGTGCTTTGATGCCTTCCAGCAACATGGAGATTAAATCGTGCTCTCTTTTACTGAAAGTAATAGCCATCAAAAAAAACCTCTTATGAGAATCGAACACTGTGTGTATTGATGAATATGAAATTAAACCTTCAACGATTAATTCACTCTTTTTTCCTATTCTTCTTGTTGCCATGTTAAACAAGAGATCTGGATGTTTATGGGGTCTGCAAACATGTAAAAAAAATGGTGTTTAAAAATAAAAGCTTGGTTTTGTAAAAGTTGGATGTCAAAGTGATAGTTTGCAAATCATTTAAAACCTTTAATATTTCATCAAAATGGTGAAAACACAACATGTCATATGATGAGACTGGAAAAAAACACAAGTTTAATATAAAAAATAGATGCTCAGTCTTTCTGAATGTCATTTTAAATACTCTGTCATGTTAATTACATGTTGCAAATGAACCTAAATAGTTCAGAGATGCTCCTCAAAGTGATTTTTTTAAGCATTACACAACTTTTTCAGTGTTTTGTTTCCCCATCTTAAATTTTTTTAGATGGCATCAAATTTGATTTAAAACAAGCATGTTTTTCAGAGAAAAATGACAATGTTGTCACTGTTTTCAATTAAGTATGGGGTTTATATGTTTTCAGGGGCTTGAATTTAAGGGGGAAAACTTTTTACAACAAAATATCCGCGAAAAGTTTGGGTTCACGTTTTGGCAGCACTTGAAAAGCATGTGTTCTTATTTGAAGCTGCGTGGATCCATCACTGGTGCACCATGGGAAGCTGAATACAGCGCAGCAGAGGCAGAAAACAGGAGTGGCAGGATGGAAGAGAGTCTGTACACTTGGAGGAAAAGAAAGGATAAAGACTTTTAACAGTCCTCTCATGTAAACCTCAAACTGAGGTGGAAGGAGCGACTGCAGCGATCAGGGGAGGAGGAGGTTTGATTGTCTGGAGAAAACTGATACACGATCGGCTTTCATACCACAAACCTTCACTCTGACTAATGTTACACAGCGGCTTGGGTTCTGACAAACAGCAAGCGTTAGCGCAGTGTAGGAACAGAGCTGCAGTCAGATTCAATTGAACCAAACCTTGAGGGAGGCAAACACACTTCAAAGTTACAGTACGAACGAAAGACCGTGCCAGCTGCTCGCAGGGAAAATTGACTCTAAACAAAAACAATTGTTCCTCTACCAGCACACCTCGGGCCAAATTCCAGGAGGAGTCACTTGTTTGCAGGAAATGTAACATCCAGTGGGTGTTTCAAAGTGAGCGTTTGACGAGGAAAGTTCTGTTCAAAGGCTTCCCAAACTTTGTATTTGTCCTGATTTACCAGGTTCAAAGAGTCTCAGGCATGAGGAAAATATATTGAATAAATTCATTCAAGCTGTCTGCGTTTCAGTGACCTGTCATATGTCAGAGTGTGATCATTCTCAAAAATCTGTGTTTTCTCAGTATCACTTGTTTGAATAAAGATCCTTCAGTGTCCTTGTAAAGACGTCTGTCAGTGTACCAAGTATGCTGAACAAATCAATACTGGGGTACTCTGGTTCTGCAGGGATACAAGCCTCACATGTTATGGCAGCGTTACAGGAACAAAAAGATGCTTCACGTGCAAATAAAAGAGATAAAGTCTTCTATGCGCATTGTTTTCTGTCATACTGACTCACAATTTGACCATGAAGTCATTTCAGCTCTGTGACTGCCTCTGCTGCTGGCCTTCATGCAGCTCTATCTCCACTGGTAGTTAAAGGGATATTCCGGTGTAAAATTAAGTTAGTGTCAAACACACCGCAACACCCATTAGACACCTCCTCGAGAGATGAACGTTGCCGACCGCTTGCTTCTCTAGTTATACCAACTTTAGTAACAACTGCAGGATAGCAAAACACAGCGGTCCGAGGAGCCACACACAAACCTCCACCTTTAAGGAAAGGTGGTGCACAATAGAAACAAGATTGGGCTGTAGTTTCACTTTGTGCACCCTCTTTAGGACGATATGGGGACAAGTGCAAAGCCTTGTGAGATGTTAAAAGGAGGTAAAATGCTGTCTTACACTAAACTCCTGCCACTGGCGTAGCAGTCAGTTAAAAATTTAGAGCATCCGTCTTTATATACAGTCTTTAGTGCAGACCAGGGCTGGTCTGGTTTTGGGCCACTACAGGTGCCACAAGACAGCAGCATATTTCTGAAGTGTTCTTTTTATTTCCTGCATCATTTGACCATTTGATAATTGTCTGTGTGAATGTATGTTCATGTTAAAAGATAGAGCTCCAAGTGTGCGTCCTTATTTAATCTATACAACAGTGGACGGAGAAAAAAAAGTAGAGATGTTTAGAGACGCTGGCGAGAGGGAAACGTTAGGCGTCTGTCTGTGCGCTGCCTGCAGTCAGGCTCCGAAAAAAAGAATCAGTTAATTTTAATCAAAACACATGTTTATAACACATTTGTGTTCAGTAATTACAAGTAATCACTCCAGAGAGGAAAATTTTTGCATCCATTAGTATCTTCTTATCTCTGCCTCCCTCCGCACCCTCTATCCTGTTAATCATGTTGTCTTTAATACAGCACAAATTGTATAATTTATTTATACTGAGCAGTGATGCTTTCTTTGGGGTCTCTCTTAAACAAAATTATTTCCCTCTCAAGGTTCCCAACACTTCACATCTTTTTACAAGGTGAAAAAGCTGTTGAAAATAAACACAGCAAAGCAGTTTCCTCCTCTCAAAGGATAAAAACATCTACCAAAATATACTTAATGTATAAAGGGATTTTTACAGGAGTTACTGTTTGTTACTGACCTTCCACCTGCTTGCTTCTTTGCCGTAGACAACAGCCATATTGTTCACCTTGTTCCTCTGAATGTTCAGTCTCTCAGTCTCATTCAGCTCCTCCGCCACAAAACCCATAAAAGAGTTATCTGGAGTGTGGGCTGCCAAGGACAAACAAAAGCAAGAGGTAATACAAAGTTACAAGTCCTGCTTCAAATAAAAGAAAACTAACAGGGCTGCTGAAAATCAGGATCCTAGGGGTTGGGGTTGAATACAAAACAGAAGTCTTTAGCAGTTTGATACATGACATCTTTAATTTTAAGGTAGAAATGTGAAAATCCACATACGGAACATGGTCATGTACTGCTGGCCATGCAGGTTCCAGTATCCCCAGTTGGTCCTGTAGCCGTGTAGAGTGGCGTACTCCTCGTGGTTATAAGCAGGCTCGGTGCCGAAGGTGTCGATCACTCGGATGTGGCACCTGGGAGGAAAATCAGAAAGAGAAATGTGTCGCATGTTTGTCTTCACCCTCCAAAAAAAGTCTCAGAGCCAGACTTACAGCAAGCTATGAATGAGAGAGATGAACAGTTATAGTTCCATGTAACATTTTTATGTTCATTAAGTGTAAAGTAAAGCTTCAAAAGTAATATCAACTTTAAAGCCTGCACCCGGCTGATTGATCTCTGTGTAATGAAGAAGAATTCGTTCCCCCCTAAAGGGTGAGTTTTGTTGTTGCAGAGTGAGGTCTGTCAATAAGCTGATACTAAAGCATTTAATGAGAATTAATCAATGGCAACAACCAAACAGTGAACTCAGAGTTCTGACAAAACAACAAGAAAGAGGCAGAGATACGAAGAACATAACACTGACTTGTGTTTCCTCAGGGACAGACCCATGTGCTGCTTCATCTGCTGCAGGCCGTGGTAGTCAGTGTAGATGAGGTCAAAAGGCAGAGGTCCTGTCAGAGGGCAGCTTCCCCTTCCTGGAGGGACCCCCAAAAACCTGCAGACAGAGCAGTTCTGGTGTAAGCATCAGATTCAGCCAAACAGTGAGTGCAGAGGCAGAAAAAAAATCACAAATAAGAGACACCACACACAAAAAAGACAGAAGACAAAAAAAGAAAGACGAGAAGTAAACTTTCCTCCGTATGGAGAAAAAGGAAATTTTTAATATTCAGTCTGAAACACAAAAACTTATGAAACTCATGTCCAAGATTCTCTAAAGAAAGTGTAGCAGGGTCATACAGGTATTGATATGTTTATCTAAAGATGGTGGCAGCCATATTGGAAATGCTTCTTCTATCTTCTGGTAAATCTGGTAACTAGCAAAGAGGTGAAGTTAAAGCATAGACTGTATATACTATAGACAACTTGGTTCCGCCTTCCACCAGTACACAGATTTGAAGCTGAAAAGCTCTTGGTAATTCCGCATTTTATCTCCACTTCCTGAAACCAACACTGTGTAGTAGCATTGTGTGCACTCCCCCACTTGCGCAGTAGCATTGTGTGCATTCGCACTGAGAAAGGTGCCGAGAGTCGCTGTGATGACGCTCGGCTCAAAAAGCGTATCCCCCCGGGTGAGCTATGCAATCTTTGTACACCCATAGGCTGTATCAAGTGTCAATCATAGAAAACATGAACCCCCTAATAACTTTTAAAAACAGAGCTGTACAGAAAAAAAGAGGACTTGAGCACAAACCAGTCTTACAATAACAATAACTACAATAACTTCTGTGTAATAACTTCTGTGTAATAAATTTCTAAAGTTTGTCCACTGCCCCAGTGCCCCAGGGGTGGGATTTATGACCTACACTGCAGCCCGTCACCAGAGGGTGCTGTTCTCAGGGTGGCTTCACCCAGCGAGGAGGCAGTCGCAATGAATTACAGTCATAGCCCAGTAACCTTGTCACAGTGTTTCTCATCTGTCTGTCAACTCAGCCACACCTCAGTTTGTCTGATTTGTCTAAGCCTTTTCATACAACCTCAAATTCCAACAATGTTGGGACGCTATTTAGAAAATTGATTAAAACAGAATTTGATGGTTTGCAAATCATTCAAACCCAAATCGGGCTGATTGATGTGCAGTAAATAAGGCACAATTCCTTTTTTCAAAGTGATATAAAATCATCATCAACAATATCCCCAAATTCCTCAGTCTGATGTCACCCTGATCACTGTCACATTAGCGGGGATCTATTTTTACAGAAATGACAAATTGTTCTCCATAAAAAGTTTTAAAGTTATAAACACTGGGAAATACTTCCAAGACACTAAAAAAAGATGAACAGGTGGTGTCAACGGGACTGTCCTACTTTTCACAGCTGTTCTCCACAATGTTCCCCTTTTCACTGAAGATGTCTGTTTTTATGTGTGTGTATGTGTGTGTGAGTGTTGGAGGTGGTTCGCATGTATAAGTGGAGTGTGGCTAACAGAGAGTTGGAGAAATATAGGAACCCAGCAGAGTTATGAAGTGTGTCGATGTTTCAGCGAGGCATTCAGCTAATGAAAATTACATTCGACGCTACAGGCATCGAAATCTCACATCAGGGAGTCACCACAGTCTGTAACACACAGAAACTCACATATTATCTGAACAAGTAGAAAAGTTAGAGTGACTGCACGTCTTGAACGGCTGTTTTCAAGCATCATTTGTGCTGATTAAACGTTGGTTTTGATGCTGTCTCAGCTCTTTCGGTTATGTTTGCTTCCAAGGTCCCTAAACCGTTCCTTTTTATTTAGTTATCTTTCACTCCCAGTTCTATAATCAGTCTGCTCAAGTCATTACGGCGCAAACAAATCTGTCAAAATTGGAAAATTGATAAATATTGGTATTTCCATCCCACACATTCATGGTCACAAGTGGATGAATCCACTTTTTCCCTTCATTCATGTAGCTCTGTACTAGCACCACCACCAGGATGGACTGGACTAATATGCACTTTGACAGCAAAAGTCAGATCCACAGATAATAAATCAGGGCCACACATCCACTGTGGGCTCAAGGCTGATTTTAACCCAAGTTTTGAAATCGACAACTAATATTTTAAACTTTCTTTGTGTTTTTTATGCCTGTAAGTAGGAATGGATTAGTGTTGTGCCATTTGTGAATGATTCCTTCAAAAGAACCAAATCTTTTAAGTGAACATACTGAACTGAATCACTTCGTCAAGTGATTTGTTCATTTCTCACTTCAGTTGAGTTAGCACACAGCATTGCCGGGTGAGCAGCTGGCGAGCGAGGGACTGCACACGCCGACGCCTGGATCACTTGGTGAACGAATCATGTCGTGAACTACAATCTCTGGAATCATATTTGTCTGAGGGATACACTTTCATGGCTGTTGTTTTAACAGATTTAGTAGGACACAGCATGTAACAAGTAGTGTATTAAACCCGCAGTTTGTGACTGATCCTATCACTGCGACAATTTGGGAGGGAACGGTGCATGTTCAGTGTGAATTCTTCACTGAATGTACTGTGGGGTAAATGTTAAGTGAACGAATCACTCACTGAGCCCAATTTACCGAGTAGACAAATAGCATACCATAGCACAGTACACTTAAAACCTCATGATTTATAAACAAGATTATTTTTACAAACCTGTCTGTCAAAGCAACTCAGCCACAACACTCTCATCTCCCGGTCCCAGAAGCTACGATCTGAACTTAATCCTGAACTGTTCATCTGTGTATCAGTTCAGGAAGTCGGAGTCGGAGGCTCCTCCGGCCAGGGGCTGAATGATTCAGTGTTTCAGTGAACGAATCTTTTAAGTGAACTGATTCTAGCGATTCAGTACATCTATAAGAACTGCTGTGCCCATCACTAGAATGGATGGTAAATAGAGAAGAAACTCAAATCTTGGTGAGTGTTTTGTCTTGTTTCTAATAGAAAATTTCTTGTGAGGCTTTATTTCAGAAAAATTCTCCTATTGGTTTATAAAAACAGCTTATTTCAAGATGTTACACGCCTAAAGTCAGACTTAAATGGCTTGTAATGAGGCGAAAAAAATAAATCTGCCTCTGTAAAAGAAAAAAAATACTCATTAAGTCCCTGAAACAAAATATTTTTCTTATTTCAGAAACTTTCAAGAACTTGAAAAGTAATTTGCTCACTTCGTAATTTTGGTATGTTATATCTTAAATATGACCTTTCTTTTGGACCTATTGGAAGAATGTGGCTTGAAATAAGCTAACCAAGACTCTGCAGGTTTGAATAGAACCAAGACCGTCAGCTTTGGGACCATAACCTCTGCACCACTGTGAGTGACTGCACCACTTTGGCCAAACTTAAACCCTTGCACGACTCATTCTGATTGCACATTGTTTGCAGCACAATGTGCATGGAGACAGGAGAGTCAATCATGCCCGATGAGCTGCATCCTCGCCGGTCAGTTAAATTACGGGCAATTCAGAAATTCTGAGCAGCAGACAGCACACTCATGCACAGAGAAAGCTGATTCCTAAACTTCAGAGCTCTTATTTTCTAAACGCAGGAAATAGCGGCTAAAAGCACTGAAACGCTGAGTAATGTGGTGAACTGAAAAACACACAGATATACACCAATCAGACATTTTGACCAGTTTGTAACCACACATCAGAAAGTTTTAGGAATGTTTCTGACTTATCTTTTGGGTACTTTTTGGGAAGTACTGTTTGTTTATTGAGTTTAAAATATATGGATGCCTGTGAGCAAGTTTAGGTCGACAGAGTCTGTAATACTTCATGCATCATTCTCTCACAATCATATGACAAACATCTCTGTCAGTATTCAACACAAGCCAAAAGTGTAAACGACAGTCAAAACTGCGGAGATATATGTTTCTCTTGTTTCAGCAAAGTTTCTGTATCGAGAAACTGTTGCCTGAAAAATGAGGCATGTCTGAAAAACTAGAAAGGAGAAACAAAGAACCTCATGTCACCAAAAGCAGCAAAGACAGGAGATATAAATTTGTTTTCTGCTGTGATAAAGTACAACACGGCCTCAGAGCGCTGTGCTTTCAGCTGGAGTTAAGGTAGCTCTTTATTCGAGCAGAACGCAATCACCTGAGTCTGTTTTCATTACGACACAAAGTATTACTTTGTCAAACTTCAGCAGATCTTATGAGTCACGTCTCGGTTCAAAAACGGAAAAACGAAACACTCTGTAAATTCAAATATGTAAACCCATTACACTTTATGTCGAGATAATGTGATATCAGATGTTTTGAGGCAGTTTTCCTCAGAGAGTATTTTTATATACACAATAACACATTTCTGTAGGACTCTCAACACACTTACATCACATACTTGTGAGGAGGTTATAAACAGCACTGAGGGCTGACTCTAATACAAATAACTCTGCATTGGTTTTGCTCTTCTTTTAACACAACGCTGTCATCCCAGGAGACCAGTTTCTGGAGTTTCTCTTTGAAGTAGATGATATTCCCTTGTCTGAAAAAGGACTTCAGCTTCTCAGTAGGTTGGGTCTCCTTTTTGACGTTTACTGACACGTTGTTTGACACATTTTTAAACTTCTGAGTTACTAAGTCTTTCTGAGTGTCCTTTTTATACCTATTCTTGTTCCTAACCTGCTACAAATTCACCTCATTCATATGAAGATGGGCTTTTTTGGCCTTACACAGTTTTTATGTGCTTTGTGTCCCTCTAACTCTTTCAAAGCATGTTGCTGGCATCAAATACCTACAATATTTTTCACAAAACGATAAACTCTTTCCTTTTCAAACATTTCATAACTCATCTTGGCATTATTTTTTTGTTAAATATAGGACCTAAATGATTTCCAAACCTTCAAATTATGTTTTCATTTTGCTCTGCACACCAATCTTTCTTAAATAGGGTTGTACCTTTCAACCTAAAATCAAAAATTACGATAAATTATGATAAATTATGATAACGTCGTTTGTGTGGGATATATAATAGTGGATTCAAAGTAATGAAAAGTGAAGCAGATCAAACAGTGACGTTAGACAGATACAACCAGCAGATAAAAGATAGCTATTATATTTAATGATTAACTGACGTATTAATGATGCAATAAAAAATAAAGCAGCTCAATGATTTTCAATAGAGATTTTTTTTACTTCATCTTGGAAATCCAGGACTTTAAAAATGTTTTGTGATGAAAGGGGTTCATACTGAGAAAGACGGCTGTTGTGACAAAGCTCCTCTTTGAAGAAGAATGACTGACTCATGTTCAAAAAAGCAAGCGACAGCAACAAAGCATAAGATATCAGAGGAGTTGATTAAAGTTAATAAAGAAAAGACTAAACTGGGTCACTGTTGGCAGGAAAACATGAAACTTAAAGTGTTTTTAAACTTTCAGTAAAGTTCTTGAAGCTGAAGTCACAGACCTATGACCTTATAGGCTCCCTGTTTCCCTCGCTGCATGCTTTGGACACAAACACAAACAGTTACCTGCAAAAAAAGAGGCTATATTGATTTTTCTTTGGACAGAGAACATATTCAGTCTGCGGTGCAGTCTTGTGGAAACAAGCTCCTGCGGCCCAGCAGTCGACGGGATAATGAGCGTCAGAGTGTCAGACACGATGCTTTAAGGTACACTCACTGAAAGGTAAACGCTCCGGTGATCAGCGCTTACACAAACAAAACTCCTCTTCTTCACTTCTACTTATGCTCTCTAAAGTTTGCAGTGTGCAGCCAGTGGGATAAAGACAGACCAACTGCAGGAGTGAACCAGATTCAGGTGAAAGAACAGGCAGGACAGTCACACCCACACACAAAAAACTTAGTTTAGGTTATAAGTGCTGCTGTACAGGTGAGAAAAATGAACACAAACACAAGATATTGTGCCAAAACTGGTTCAGTTTGGGTTGTAACAAACAAAATTAAATGTTCCAGTTTGTTTTCTCGAAATTCCAAAAATCCATCATATTTCTGTGTATCTGGCAGGACTGGATACAAAACATCCAAATAACAATGCTCACAGGTTTTGGTAACACTTTATTTGACACCTATCTCTATAACGCATTATAAATATATTTTTAATGCTTTATAATCATGTTATAGCACTGTATAACTATAGATATAAACACTCATAAATGATCATGATTACTTTAAAACAATAAAAATAACACATTATAAAGCATTTTATAATAACTTACGAGGTCGGGTATTATAATGCGTTATAACTGTTAACAACTCACTGACAATGCCCACATAGATAGTGCAATGCAACTGTTGTTAACAGTTATAACACATTATAATACCTGACCATGTAAGTCATGATAAAATGCTTTATAATGTGTTATGATTATTGCTATGAAGTAATCATGATCATTTACGAGTGTTTATAACTATAGCTATACAGTGCTATAATGTGATTATAAAGCATCATATATTTATTCATAGTGTGTTATGGAGATAGGCGTCAAATAAAGTGTTACCCAGGTTTTTTGTCTAATAATTTTTTTTGTTATATATAAACCATGAAAGACAATGAAGAGATGTAAATTAAGGACAGTAAAGGTAAGGTAAATACTGCTGTGCTTTCTTTGACCAGTGTGAAAGTGTGTGTCTGATGTGAGTCAGTATTGAATTACAGTCAGAGTGTTACAGTTATGTGAGAGCAGATGTATTACAGTGACTGAAAGCAGAAACACTCCTGACTCGTCTCCTCTGTGTTTCACTGAAGCTGCTGCTGTTAAGGTTTAATTGGATTTATGCAAATCCTGGGAAACTTTAAGGGAAGAGTAAAAGGATTAAAGAGCATTAAGGAGAAATGGGAGTACACACATACTGTAGTCAAACACACAAAAACACACACATAGACATGTGCAGTAAAGCACTATCAAGCTCCAACAACTATCTTAGTCTTTGTTTCTCTCACAGCAGATTAAAGGCTGTGGCATTATTTTTCCTTTAAATTATTTACATTACTAACCAACAATGAGTCTATCCCACTGACAGGAATGGATGTGTGGCTTCAGACTGATACAGTCTACATGATTTATAACTTCATCACCATCAAGAGCAATAACAGGAGACAAACTGCTGCTTAATGATGGTGTTTCGTTTCACTGTGGTTTCATTGTGGCTCTTCTTACCAGCACTACCCTGTAAATATGTTCATGTGCCAACTCTGTGATGTCAGAGACACTTAATAGATTTAGCCAAAGCATTAGCAGCCATTTCGGTGCTGATCACAATGCCAGTTTATTAAAATGAAGTGATACACACAGTGCAGTGGTGTCTCCTCATAGCTTTGTCTACAGTTTTTTCCTCACACTTTGAAGAGATGCTGGTTACGCTAAGTGAGGTAATTTGACGGATTCAGAGCCTCATCTTGGGGAAAGGTACACTCTACTCAGAATTTTTTCAGCACTTAACTTTGACTTGTTTGTCCATTATTTCAGTATTTGCAGATGCAACACACATAGTCATGCTTTTCCACATACAGCGTATCGAGCTGTTTAGTCTGCAGGTTTCAAAGAGACAAAAATTCAGCATAGCTCCAATCTAAGAGCCGGCTTATGTTTCCTTTTTTTTTATTAGCATAATACACAACAGAAAAACTGCCATGGAGAGCGATAGAAGCTGAAAGACTGGGCCTTAGCGCTAGGCTGGGCCACAGGATCTGGATCACAAAAATGGAGCCTGGGTACCTACTTTAGTCGTTTTAATTTGACTCTCCTACCTTTTTCACCTAACAGAAAACATTGCGGTCGTTCAAAACAAAGCACGAATCAAAACAGAAGGTGAAACAACAAAATTGAGCGCTTTTTAAAAATTCTCTGGTTGTGTCATTTCCATTTAGTATTTGCATAAACATAATTAGTGTCTGCATTTTAGTGCCATGGCTCCCAGTTTGAGCTGCCTCACTTCCACCTCCTGCTGGCACTTCCATGTACGGCCAGAGAAATTTGTCTATGTTGTTGTTTTGCTAAAACAACTACCTCGACAAATACTAAAAATTTTCTGGGTAATTGACATAATTGTTTCACCCTGAATCTCTCAACATTAGCTAAATTACATGGCAGAGTCTGCTTAAAAGGACAGCATTTCTAGTGTCCTGTTTCTACCCGTGGTTTCCCGTTTTAGGGGTGGAGCTGACCGGCATCCATTGTGGCTAAAACACTTGCTCACAACATGTAACTCATACAACCTCACTTTAAAAATACTGAAATATCCCTTTAAATTTCCATGGCTGTTATGCTGTAAATCAGCAGCAGCACTTCTTTGTAAGACCGAATGTTGTGACTAATTTAAGATACACAGAAAACAATTTCTCAGGCTACAGAGAGGAAAACAGCGAGGTATGGGTTGCCGAAAAGACAGACTCTAAAGACAAAAACTGGCTGCAACACTTAAATTTCCAGACAAACTTAAAAACCACCATGGGGCACAATTTGTGTTTCACAGCCGGCCGCTGGCAGCGTGGCAGCTCAGTGGTTTGAGGGAAAGAAGGAGAACCAAAGAAACAAACCAGAGTAAGAGACTCCAGAGTCACAGAGCATTACTTCTTAAAGGAAGACTGCACATGTCCAGCAGTGAGGGGAATTGGCCGGGGCAGATTTCCCAGCACACACAAGGGGCTGCAGCTGGGGGCGAGGAGTTTACCGAGGGCTGCACGGAGGGCACGCAGCGTGAAGAGAATAGCTCAGGAAAGGAGAGGAAAGCTGATGTGCCACTGTTTGTGGAGCAAGGCAGTGATGTCTGGCATGCTAATCAGCTACTTGAGACAGCAGGATGGCAGAAGGAGACAAACTCTGATGCTGGCACTGTTACTATCAGATACAGCCCCACTGCTGCTTTGATGTGCAGTTTCTGGCTGCAAATTTCTATTAAAACAGCTCGTAAAAACGATAGAGCTGTCTTTTTCTTTGTAATGAACAGCTGTGTAAGAGAGCAAAAAGGGATCCAGGGCTCATTATTTTGAACTTTTATCGAAAATAAATCTTTGTCTTTCTCTTTGTAAGAAGAACTGAAGTGCAAAATCAGCAGTTCCTGTCTGATTTTCTTCCCTGTTGCCACTCTCAAAGCTCTTTAGCTGTCAACAACACAAGAAGACCTACTTTTATCTGATTCCAGTGAAATATGCCATTATGTTGTAAAAATATCACTTTTTTTAAAGCAAACTAGAATGACAAACTGTTTAAAACTCCATAATACTTTTCTGCTCCTTAAAATAATCTGCTTTATTTTGCAAAAACTCTAAACCCCCAGGGTGAGGTTTACTTAAAAACATCATCAGCTATTTTATTTCAGGCTCCTCAATTGCTCTTAAATGACCTAAATAAATTGAAATCACTCAGAAGTTGATTACAACACAAGCATTTATTGTGATTAATCACCATTTCACCCGGATGTACTAAAGAGAGACAGGGATGTTCTCCACTGTTGGCACATACTGCCTATTTTTAACCACGCTGCTGCTTTGCTTTTTATCTCAGGGCCGAGTAACAAAGCACAGTAAGCAGAGGGCTGCAGGGTGAGAGTGCATCAGCACAAACTGAGATTGGCAACATAACAAGGCTGTCTGTTGGAGCTTTAATGTGAGCTCTATTACAGAAACTCGGCACATCCGTGTCATTGAATATATCAAATTGATCTTTTAAGATATGGATCACACAGCCCTGACACAAGTAGAGGTTTGTAGTGTGGTTAAATTATCCTGGGACTACAATCTACTGTCATAGAAGCTCTCCACTCACTGCTAACAAAAGCCTGGAAAGCTATTACATGGCTGTTCTGTAGATTTTATGTGACTATTATTATTTTATTCTATGTCAGTCAAAAAGCAACAAAAAATCATAATTGTTAAGATTAATCTAAGTTCATACAACATATTTGATGATTATATTTGCTGGCACAAGCTAAAAGCTTAAACTTACATCCAAACTTGCATAAAGCTATTTCCTAGAAAATTATAATTTATATCAGAATTTACAACTCTACTTTTGTGCAGTAAAACCACAGACTTCATAGGACATTAAGCCAAAAGACTAAGAGCTCCCCCAGTGGCTGGTTGCAGTATAAGCCATAAACCCCACCTCATAATGCTAACAGTGAGGAGAATGGGCAAACTCTGAATCTGAAATACCAATCCAACATTTTTTTTGGAACAGGGTTTTTTGTCATAACGTTTTGTCTTACAGGCTATTTACTGTCCAAAAAGAAAGGACTGATTGTGACATTATGATTGATAGTACTGCTGACAAATTAAGTGCAGGCAACAGTTTCAACAGATTATCAGTGTAAAGAAGAAGGGCATTAGTATACACAATGAGCACTAATACAAGAATGATTGAACTTTCCATTACTGTGAGTGTCTGTTTCAAATCAGCACGAGCGCACCATCAGCACTAATTAAATGACACACAAGTTAATGAGGGAGACAAAACCAAACATCTAAAACTCAGTTTAGCTCATGTTCATTGTCATCTGGTCTTTGCTAATAGTGTTTTAGTTTAATTTAAAATGTGACCACATTTTCTTTTTTGAGCATTGACACTTTCCATTACGCAGCAATGCCAAATAGTAATTTTAACTCTGTCTCCTTAGATAATAAGTGGCTGAATGCTAATGTTAGCTATCCACTAACCACACCCAGTTAGTTTTATATTGTTTGACTGTGAAATGTGACCACTTTTTACCACTCTCCTGGGTAATGTTGCCTTAATATTGTAGTTATCAAATAACATAACCAGTCAGTAGTATTACATTTCAGTTAGGCTACTTTTGTGTAATAGCAATAAGTAACCTACAAAATAAATTATGTCACAGACCAAAAGGTAAGATTCGTATTTCAGCTTGTCTATATCACAGATATATAGAAGACTAGATACACGCGCTGGTATATGTCCTGGTATATGTACTTACTTTTGAATTTCCCTCTAGAATTAAAAAAGTATCTATCTATCTATATATCTACGTATCTCCGTATCTATCGACATATCTATGTATCTCTGTATCTCTGTATCTATCTATCTATCTAGCTACATATCTATCTACATATCTGTCTACATATCTATCCATCTATCTATGTATCTATCTACGTATCTATCTACATATCTATCTACGTATCTATCTACATATCTATCTACGTATCTATCTACATATCTATCTACGTATCAATCTATCTATCTATCTATCTATCTATCTATCTATCTATCTATCTATCTATCTATCTATCTATCTATCTATCAATCAATCAATCTATCTATCTATCTATCTATCTATCTAAATCAAATGCTCTGTGTTAGTAGCACATGTTTTGGCATTGACAATAAAGTAAACCGCATGAAAACCGTTTGAGAAATGATTAAGTTCTGATTTATTTTCATTGTACATGCATTGCCTTTAATGGGAACGATGCCCCCACTAGCTTAGCCTCACTGTAGGCATGCAGCTCTAAGTGGCATGTCATATCTATTATTCATATCTACGGTCTATATGCTAATACCAGCTGATGTATAATATTGAATTTTTGGTTGTCAAACATGTTGTTGTAGTTGAAATATGACCAGCTTTCCTATGAGATTTATCACAACTTCTTTTCTTTTTGCTGATTGATAGAAAGTTGTGCCTCGAGCACTGCAATATTTTGATGCAATTTTGGTCCCCTGATCTTAATTAAATGACTACATTTGAAAAAGGACAAAAGGCAAATTTTAACTCACACCAGAAAGTTAACTGTCTTAAATGTCCCCCAAAGGACTGAAAAAGTATTGAGACTCTGCTATATCTCACAGAATTGGACAGTGAAGCCCTAAAATACTGTTTTCTGCAGAAAATCTCCAGATCTCATCTCCTACCAGGCAGCAGTGAGCATGCATTAATTCTGCACTCTGCTGACAGAACAAGCTGCAGCTATTCCCTCCGTCTTATTATCTTCCCTATCCTGTTTCCCGCTCCACCCTCCCATCCATCCATCCATCCATCCATCCATCCACCCACATCTCTTCAGGTGTAAAGACAGCACGGTCTGTCACCAGCTAATTACCCATGTCGCACTGTGAGGAGATAAGGGGATATCCCTGAGCAAAAGTGACAGTTGTCTTGCTCCTGCATAAGTATGATGCGACAAGTGCCGCCAGTGCTGACAGATACAAGTCACAGCCGATACGTCTTTTAACACTACAACAAGAAAACTTTTAGCACTATTTTTCAGCTAAGGCACACAAAGAGTGAACACTGGTTCAACTGCATTAAATGATATCCTGCAAACTGGCTCCGTCTGAAAATGTGAATTTGATTTCCACATGGCTGTTTTCAGAAATTAAACACTGATTTGTCTCGGCTGTTGAATTAAACCTGCAGAGAAACATATGCCACAAAAGAGGGGAGCAGATGTGTTTTGAATTTCACAGATTATGATAATAAATCAAAATGAAGCAAAGTCTGCAGACATGCTTGCAGCTCAGTCAAGCTTTACCAAAAGATGATTGTGCTTTAAGTTGAAAGGAAAAAACACTAAAACGTCTCAACAAAGCTCAATCACAAGACGCTGGTGCTTTGTGCTTCAAAGAAAAGACTAGAGCGTCTCTGAAAAGCTTTACCAAAAGATTCTGATGCTTTAGACTTAAAAAGAAAAGACTGGACTGAAAGTCAAAACGACTGAAACATCAACAGAGAGGTTTTCCAAAAGATGATGATGCTGTTCGCTAAATAAACTGATTTGGTGGGTTAGCAGACCAACAAGGGTTTTTTATACTTGGTAGGAATGTTGTAGTTTTTTGCACATAAATGCAGAAAGAGTAATCTGTGAAATCAAAGAAGTGGTGATCTATTTCGTCTCATCCCTCAAGAGTTTGAAAAGTGTAAGATTCATCCTTCTGTGGATCTGTGTTAAAAGTTTAAGAGCCTGGACCAGTAGCCACAAAAGTGGAGCCTCCCCTGCAAAAACCATTTTTCACAAGAAAATAAATGAGTTTATGTGAGGTCAGCCTCTGTCTAACACTGAGGTTGATAGAGTTGATGTTGGGTTGCTGCCGGGAGGGCTGAAGACAACTGCTTACTGTGATATTTCTTTGTGTCTACAAACTGGCACCTTGAGCTTGTAGCATGTAAATGCCAGATTGGAACAGATGACACTGAGACCTCATATAAAAGATTTGAACTAAAATGGCAAAAAGTGGTGAAGTAAATCCACTTATTAGAAGTCACTGGGATGTATCATCTGGAAACAGAGTTCATGGGGGACTTTTTTGAATTCTGGCCTATAGGGCAGTGATTGGAGATTGGTTCTGGAGTCTTATGTGCGAAAAAAAAACTAACTTTACTAGCATTAAAACTAGGGATGGGAATCGAGAACTGGTTCTTGTTGAGAACCGGTTCCAAATGGTTCAATCCATCGACATCGTTTACGGTCTTACGAGAGCCAGTCTATGCAAACAAGAACAGAGACTTGGAGGAAAAAAACATGGTGTACGGTTCAAAAAGTAGGCAGAAACGATCAAGAGTGTGGCTTCATTTTATTAAGAAAGACGACAACAGCGCGACGTTCAACGTTTGTCGAGTGGTGATAACATGCAAAGGTAGAAACACCAGCAACATGCTTAAACATATGTCAACGGGGCACGGCATCAAATATAAGGAGTCACATGTATTCAATGCTCTCCACCAGTCGTCAGCCGCTGCTGCTCTGTCTTAGTACGGCATACGTATGTCCTGTGTGAACATAAGCACAATGCAATGTATTATGTATTTGACTTAATACCGACTGAAGTAAATGCTGTACAAATAGTTTGTCATTTGATTATTTTTGGACTCTCACTGAAGGTGGCATACATCTTTTTCTGTTATCAGAGGCTCAATAAAAATTTGAGTTAACGGTGAAAGCCAACAGTTTACTTTTTTCTTCAATCAAAGAAAGGCATTGGTAAGGGAATCGCTTAAGAATTGAATCTATAAGCAGAATTGATAATGGCATCGATATCGATAAAATCTTATCAGTTCCCATCCCTAATTGAAACACAAAAAACACAAATGTTATGATCCAGTCAATTTAACTTCAATTTCAAATAATTTTGCCCTGAGGGAGAAAGAACCCCTCTCCTTACCAAAAGTTATAGCTTGGTTTTGTTTCCTCTCATTCTTTTAAAATTGAAGAGGCGTCATCTTAATGCTTTTGTGGAGCAAATGTAAGAGCCTGGCATAACCAGGGTCTATTGTTCACTCTGTACTGAGTCAACATGACTTGAAGTTCATCAACAGGACTTTTCCTACCAGATAAACAAGAGGTATTAATAAAAGACAAAGACAGGGCTGGTACTGCGCTGTGAAAACATCCTCTGCACCACCATCTGTCCCATCTGTTGTGTGCAGTGCTTGTCTCTTTTCTTAACAACTTGAAAACTTAATTTTAGGAAAGAAATAAAGTAGTTTTTAAATGGCCATCACAGTTCAGGGAGAAACAGATTAATTTAATAAGCAAATACCTGCAATTTTTTAAAACGAAGGCTGCTGTATTTGCAAATTCACTCTAACAGATCAATGAATTCCTTGAAAACATTTCGCGATTGTGGAAATAATAAAAACTGGAACATTTTGTTCGGAGATAAAACCCCAGCAGAGCATCTGCAGGAAATATCAGCTTCAGATCTACAGCAGAAAAAAAGGCTGAAGGAGGGATGTGTGAGCATAAATAATCTGTCTGAAAAGGACAGCAGAGGGAAGATGCCAGCTACAGCGATGTCTGAATGAAGCCACAAGAGAGCGTGAATGTTGCCCATTAGAGGCAATTATGTGCTGCAAACCAACAGCTTGACTCCGACTGTAACTAAGCTCCTGGTGTGGCTAATCTGTCTATCTGCGAAAAATCCAAACAGATTTACAATCCTGTCCACATAAGAGCCACAACAGGCCGTCACTGATATTAAGCTGCTCTCTAAAGCATGGGTGGGAAAGTGGAGAGTAGGAAATGTAAATAGATACGAGCCTGAGGGAATCTGTGGGAGCACAACCCACATAACGATCTGTCAATTTAACAGCGTGTGGGAGTGTAAGAGTAAGGGATGGAGAGAAATGTTCCCTTTTTCTATTCATTAATAGTCACAGAGAGGGGATTCATAGACGTTCAGCATCTGCTATTATCTTGCCAATTCAAAAAGCTGTAAAAAAAAAAAAAAGAAAAGGGTTGAAACATACACTCATGAGTGTTTTGTGAAGCCTCAAGCAAAGTGAAGATGTGGTCACAGACCGATAACACCACATGAGTGAAATTTCAGCTCTTCATTACATTTTCTCTCAGGCCTTTCTCCATTATTTTCTGAACAATATCGCAGTTTCAAGGGATCAAAGCAAAATAAATCCTTCGGCTGTAAATTTTCAAGACACAAATCAAAGTCACACAGAAGCTCTCCATGTAAGTCCCAATAATTGTAAATGTTTTTTCTTTTGGTGGGGGATGGGGGTCGATCTAGGGCAGTAAATATGACCGAGATATATGAGGTATTTTACCTGCTTTAACACAGTGTGTCTGAAAAGGCAGCGTGAAGTAGAGCAGATACCACAAGATACAAAAAACATACAAACATGAAGGTGATCCTCCTGAAGAAAAATGTGTTATGCTGACATGCAAATCTAGCTTTCTGAAATTTTTGAGACCTGATTGTCAGAAAAGGGGGATATTATTTTGATTGGACAGTGAAACAATTACTCAGGCCTTTAAGGAGCACACTGAGCAATAGACGTCTAGTTTTTTTTCTTTTAAGCCTAATTTCAACCGTCTAGAGTCTGTATATTTTTAGACGGAATGGCACTATTATTCGATAACTATTTATTTCAAAAAGCAATAGTTGCATAACTCATCTGCAAGTACTTAACCAAAATAATTATGATAGCCGTTGAGCAAAAAATGCTCACTGCGTTGTTAGACCTCTGTTAGCCGACTAGTCTAAAGTTGGTATAAATTTAAACATAGCCTGATTTTAGACCAGTTGTCCAGTCTACATTTAGACGTCTATTAGACCTCTTTTAGACCAAAAAATGCTCAGAGGGAGCCTTACAGAAGTTGTACCACAGTGCAGAAATACCAAAATTAGTTTTGCACTGCTCTGAAGATTATTGAAGAAAAAGCTTAAGAGCATCAAACTAAACTTATGATAACCAAATCAAAAAGTCAGTTTAGCAAATTGGCTTCTTTTGAGATATTCATTATATTATTTCATTTTTGAAACATCACTGTCCATCACTTTTTTAGTGCAGCTGATAAAGCTGGAGCTCATTTCAATAGTTATCTAAATTACATTTCATCTACAACCCGTAGGATGGCCTGACAATTTCCATAGCAAACCACATATATATATAATGACACAAAATCATAATTAATCATATTTTTCAAAATAAATATGGATCTGAAAATTAGCTTGTAGTATGGAAGTGTGATAAATCAATTAAATCCATTTATTTACATGTGGGATTTTGTAAGAGTTACAAAATCCCTGCCATTCACTTCCAGCTGAGACAAACACACACAACAACAATTATGGCTGCTGGTGCATGAATAGTTTATTCCAGAAATTGGAATACACCCCCGACTCCCAAAAAACAAACAGACAAAAAGCAGCAGAGGAGATAAATGTTGTGATTTCATCAAAGCGCCACAGAAACAGAAAGATTCTCTTGGATGATAAATTTCACTTAGATTAGATGGGTGACAGTGAAAGTAGTAGTAAAAACAACAACCATCTTTTTATCCATTTTTCTGTTTTTCTACATCAGATTGACACCGTTCACAAATATAATACCAATTATCTTAAATTTAGCAGAAATCTGTCCACGCAAATGGTGGCTTCAATCTCTGACTATTGGGACACCACTGCATATTTCTATTAATGTACATACCTACAAAAAATCTCTGCTGTCCCTCTCTTTGCTGTGGCATAAACACAAACAGCCACTGGAACTTGCTAGCTCTAACCTTCACCTGTTTCTTCGTGAGTCTCTGCCAGAACTTTGTCTGCAATTTCCTGAACATTCCTGGTTATTCTTCCAGCGATTCAATACACGCTGACACCAATTAGAAGGCTAAATAATAGCCGAGCCAGCAGAAGCATTTCGTCTGGTACGTGTTCCCCACCTCGCTGATCTCTGCAGACTGTTTTTATCAAAGCAGCTTTTCTCCACAGCCTGAAATTTAAGATCAAAGGGCAGCTCTAACTCATCAATGCTCTCACCTCTTCCCTACAGCAGAGGATCCAGCGCTCAATATGAGGCGAACATTACCATCAGCGTGTCTGCTTCACATCACCCACAGGCAGAAAGAAAAAAAAAATCGACAGCAAATCTGGTCTTGTACATGATCATTTTCCCTGACCAGCCAGTGTGAAGCCAGGAGCAGTTCTGATAAAGTCCAGTGCGAACCTGGAGCAGCTGTCTGTCTGATCTCTTCTCTCTGCACCTCACAGGTGTGAAAATCAATAGTCTTATATTTTTAGATGAAACCATCTGCTCCTTCTGACTGGAAGGCACAGTGTGTACATATGTCTATGTGCGTGTGTCCACTGGCACTTCTGTTTGTGATGACAAGCGACAAGCCTGTTATCACTCCAGAGTCAGTGAGCTGCAGCAGGAAGGAGACAACACAAACTGTGGAGACGATGTCGAGCCTTCAGGCTGAAACAACACTCTGCAGGGAGGAGAGATAGCCTATCAGTGTGCGCTTAAAAGGTGATCAAAAAACAGCAAGGAGAGTGCTGATGACTTGCAAAACACATGGCGAGGACTTTAGGAAGTCTCATCCAAATATAAAGCTCTGACATGACCGAAATCAGCAAAGGTAAGCATCCGGTGTGGTTAAAATGCAGAACAGCGTAGTGGAAAGAATGGTGCACCAGTCTAAGACCATTGTTCATGACCCTCCCTAAAAAGCAACATATTTCTTTTTCCTCCAACACAGCAGAGTGAGCAGCTACCACCTGCACTGACCGCATTAGAGCAGAAGGGCAAGACTGAAATCAGGTAAACAGTGGTGCTGGTAAATGTGTATTATAAATCAAAGCAAGAGAAAAGGCAACGATTAGTGTTGCCATATCAACCCTTTTAAAGGTTTTTTTAGGTATAAATTAAAGACGGCTGAAACAGATAATCAGACAAAATAAGGCAGTGTTATACTGAAAATGAGGGTTTCGTATCAGAACTTATCGTACTTTATCGCAACCACAGACTGTATATATGATAGACAACTTGGTTCCGCCTTCCGCCAGTATATAGATTTAAAGCCCAAAAGCTCTAGGTATTTCTGCGTTTTTTCTCCACTTCCTGAAACCGACATTGCGCAGTAGCGTTGTATGCATTCGGCGGGAGAGTCGCCGAGAGTCTTGTGATGACGCTAGGCTAAAACAGCGTATCCCCCAGGTGAGCTACACAATTGTCGTACGCCCATAGGCTGTATCAAGTGTCAATCATAGAAAACATGAACCCCTAATAACTTTTAAAAATGGAGCTGCACAGAAAAAAGAGGACTTGAACACAAACCAGTCTTACAGAGGGTGCCGTTTTCTCACTTCACCCAGTGAGGAGGCAGATGCTGTCCATTCTATATACAGTCTATGATCGCAACGTATCACATCACACTGTAACATAGCATATCGTCCTTATCATATGGTTATATGTTGGATCATAACATGCAGAATCGTATAATGTCATACTGTATCATGTCATATTCTATCATGTCGTACTGTATCATGCCTTATCCTGTCCTAGCATATTGTGTGGTATCATGCTGTATTGTTTTGTATGGTACTTTATCTTTATATCTTGTATCATAAACTATTGTATAGTATTACATCATACTGTATCCCAGCATGTTGAATGTTTACCAAATAGATTATCTCATCATACTGTTAACGTAATCTATCACATAGTATTATATTGAACTATATTTGTATCGCAGTCAAATGAATTGTACCTTTCCTGATCATATCATATTGTATTGAATCATATCATACTGTATTGTATAATGTTATTCCCTATTGTATCATATTGGATAAAATGGTATGTTGTGTTGAACTGGATCATATAACATCTGGAGTTATCCTGCTATTCCAGGAGATGTAGCTTACATCAGCTAGCTTGCTTTTGTGTCATGTTAAATTGTATAGTATCTTAATATATAATTTAGCAATATACTGCACAGTATTCCTATGCATTTCATCATAGTGTATAGTGTTGCATCATGCTGTATCATATCATTTCCCACCAAAATTAAGAGTATTTTGAATATGGATAATTCCTCAGTTTAACAATCAACAAGGGTGATCTGTCTTGTTTTTGTTTGCCTGTTTTTGTTCAGTTAGGGAGTAGAGTTAAGTGAATGTTGCTTAGTGTAATTCCTTTTATCCAGTGTGAGTAAGATTGTTAAATTAAAAAGTTTGTTTTGTCTGTTGCGGTGGCCAATGTTCACCCGGGGCTATTATTGCTTCATTTAGACATGATTGTGCGTCCATCATTGTAATGAAAGGTTTTCAATCAGCAAAAATCTAAGTTTTGACTTGTTTGGAGGACCAGGAGGGAAAATCAATTTTACTTTATGTTGCACACCTACTCTCAAGATGGCTGCGAACCACAGTAAAACTGTATGAGATCAATAACAGCACACAAAGTTGAGTTACGTACAGTGACTGCAGTTTGTCTGCTGCAGGATGAAAATAACAGGATGGGAGAGAGAGAAGTCAGATCTAAACTTACCCGTGCAACTCTTTGAGAGAAACAGAGACCTTCAGGTCGTGTCCGAGAACATGGAGGGCAGTGAGGATGTCGGCCCATTGCACCATCTCACCCAGAGGACCGCCCTTCAGCACCTTTGGACTGAACACATCCCCAGACTCCTCTGTGAGGAAGCCCACATGAACCAGAATCTGAAGAAGGAAAGTCAAAGCATGAGAAAAGTTGAGCACATAGGGATTTTTTTCTGTGAAAGCTCTGCACTGTTTTTGTAGTGAAAGAGTCGTTATTCCCAGTAGTTTTGGAAATTTATATTCAGACAATCTCCAGAGCTGCATGTCAAATATAAAGATTTTTCAAAGCAAATTTCATTATCTCTTCACAGGATTCACATGTGAATATCTACACACATCTGGTATGGGTCATTGATGTCAAATTTAAATGTAATTTGCACCAAATAAAAGGGAGAAAAGCAGAGTGACAGCATATTCACACCAACCTGACTAGCAAGAAATACAATCAACCAAGCCTGGAGTAGGAATGAAAATTGATCCGCTGACGGCTGATTGATATGCAGAGCGATAAAGGAGTCCTTTAATTGCTGATGAGGAAGAATAGATTTCCCGGGCTGTTAAATATGTAATGAAATTAGATTTTTCAACAGATGGCAGCATTTAATCTCTTTCCCAATTATTTTGTGTCTTTAAAAAACTTGCAGAGAGCTTAGTTCATCAGCAGGACTGAACTTTAATTTGTTTAGGGGTGTAGCAGTGATTCAGCAGCCGATTTTCTCTAACTATAGATATCAACGTGATCCTTTAAACATTTATTACTCCAGACACACCAAATTGCATGTCTACTGGGATTTTGAATCCAATATAAAAACAGAAACGATGCCCAATTTCTCCTAAACTTTCTTCAAAAATCAATTTTTCATTTCAAAACAACAAGGTACCATTTTAAAAGACACTAATTATGTTTTGAAAGTTGTTTTCTCCTCTTTTCATGTTTCACTGGCTGCGCATCTGTCTGAGCTTCGTTTGTTTTCAAACCAGCGGGTTTTAAGACTTCAATCTGATGGTTATAATTGAAATGGCTTCATACCATCTCTCATTTCTGATATTCATACTAGTCTCTTTCAAAACAAGACAAACGGAGTCTGCTGACTGCATGAATGTGAAACTCTGTTTGTGATTGCTTTTTTTTTTTTCTTCAGTTTGGTTGATGTCTCTTTCACTGAGCTCTTTGTGTTTTACAGGCTTGGTGTTTCTAACCATCTCTCCACTCCTGATTAATGGTCAGTCATTTACAACCAATGGTAAGTTTCGTACTCTTCAAAAGTAAATCAGAGAACTGTAAAGAATACCCTTCATACTGTTTACTGATATGATGGATTTAATAGGAGTTACGTGTATGATCGAGTTGTTATTGGTGTTACCTCTGCTGTTTAGATATTGAGGTAAAGAAAATGCTCTTTTGGCAGTCTACAGCAACGCACTCTCCCTCAAAAACGTGAAATACCTTCGTTGGTCCACTCTGCAAAATGTAGCCATTTCACAAAAACGGCTCTTAAGTTGTGGCATGTGTACATTTCATCTGCCCAGTCTTTTCTGCGGCAACGCAGTCTCACTCTACAGATATTGTTTTTGCAGTTACTGTCAGCTTGATTGATTGATTCCATACAGACAAAGGGGGAGGTGAACTTTAGCCTTCCCTGTCTTTTTGCTAAAACCGCTCCTCACATCTCTTCTTTTTTTTCCCTCTGACCTCACAAAAATAGAGGAGGATGCGGAGGTAGAGCATACAGTCTAACCTAGCAGTGGTTGGTCTAAGCCCAAACAAGCTTCTTGCCCCGACTCTGCCTGCCCTGTCTCTTACCCAACATTACCCAAACCTTCTTTGTGTTTTTCTTGTTTCTGTTCTTTTTGGATGTGTTTTTTGTAGGGGTTGAAATCTAGCAGACAGGGAGTAGTTCAAGGACTCTACTGCTTGTTGTTGTGCCTTCCTGATGGAGACTCTTTCCTTTGTTTTTCATTCTTTTTCCTCTCTTTTATGATGAAAAATTGAGAGTGGGCTTTTCATTTCTACTTTGCCTCTCCTATTTTCCTTCTTACATCTCTCTACAGACTCCATTCTTTGTGTTTCCTTTTTCTCTTCCTTCTGACCTCATGAAAATGGAGAAATAGAGGAATGTAGAGCATGCAGCCTACCCAGCTGGGGTTAGATCAAGCTGGCAAAAAAGAGTAGGTTCAGGAATGCCTAAAATATGGTAATAGATCAGCCTTCCCTGGCTGTTAACTTTTGCCCAAAACAGACTTCATGCCCTTAATCTCCTTTCTAATATCTCTCTATAACCACCCTTGTTGTTTTTCTCCTTCTCTTCTCTCTGGCCTCGTGTACACCTGTTCACATGCTCACTCGTGCTTTCTCGTTCTGTTTCTTCGCTGCTTTTTTCATGTTTGGATTAAGGTGGAGGGTCAGTGCTTGATCTGACCGCCCTTTGGGGGTCAGCTGAAATGACTTCCTTTTGTTCTTTTTGGCTCACTCAGCCCTAGTTTTCTTTGTTTCCTTTATTCTAAGAACCATACTTTGTTTAAGTTGGTATGTTTTCTTGTGGTTTAAATCATCTTTTGGCTGTCTTTGGATTAGTTTCTGATTCTTGGGTTTATGTTTGAAGGGGTACCCTCTTGATAACCTCTCTCTGACTCTGTATTCTCATCCATCTGCATGTTTGGGTTGAAGGAAACATTAGACGCCATATGGTTGATTATCAGTAGAGCATGAATATTGGGAAGAGGGCGTAACAGGGTGTGCTTCTTTGCCAACTGTGTATCCTTTTCATTAAGAAACGAAGGCTTTTTGTTTTATCATGAAAAAATTGAATGACACTGACACGGCCAAGAATGTAAAATTGAAGAACACAACATTATTTCCTTTTTGGTCCTGATTTCATTCTCTAAGAAGAACACAGAGTTTCCACAGAGCAGCATAGGTTGATGCAGGCGGGAGATGGAAGTGAATGAATCCGGTATCCCTCGTAATCATCCTTGATACAAAATGAGTCATCACTCTCTCATATTTTGCTCCAGGTTGAAGAACAAACAGATGGAAACTGTCTGTCTATGACTCAAAAATCTTGTTAGGGAAAACTCTAAAAGGCAGAGCACACACAGGAAACAGCAGAAAGAACATGGAGTAGAAAAACAAAAACAAACTGGACAAAGACTCAACATGAACCGCTCTCCTCTCTTCAGATTTATATTTCTGTTCTCCCTCTTGCATTCAGTGTGTCAGAGATTGAAGCCTAGCCTTTAGGGTCGGCTTAATGGACACTCTGTGTTAGAGTCAAACTCACCATTACAATAAACACAGCCCTCTCTCCAGTGGGAAAGAAGAAGGCATTTAAGCTGAGTGTAATGTTATTTACAGAACAGGCTCTGAGATTTGATTTATCCAGCTGGAGGAAACTGATCAAACCTCTCACACACAGAAACACATGGCAGAACGCCAGGATGCTGTCAGCTCATTTACAAGAATAAAACTCTACCAGTGCATTTATTTTTATTTGTCATGTTTGATTTAAGGGTTTAGAGCTTTGAGCTCATTGCTATCAGCCTCAGTCAGGTGAAGGGGCGAGAAGATTTGATTGACAAGATAGTGCTACCAATCTCCTAGGATTATGTTCCCCATAAAAGCCTCTCTTTGATCAAACGTGTGAAACATCATGCTAAATATGATCTCTAACATATTCCTGGACCAGGGTAAATCAAGGCTTTGATGTGGAGCCATTACAGCGAACAGATGCACTAAAAAAAACAGAAGACGCTTTCAAGCCAACATCAGCTACTCGCTTGTTGTGGTTTTGTCAGAGACATGCTTCATGAAAAATTAATCAGTGACAATGACGGAGCTGCACAGAGTCAGTGAGAAATTGTACTTGTAATTCATTGTAAGTAAGTGACAACATCATCACTAAGACCCTCAACTTACTCAGCCTGTTACAGGGCTGCATTGCTTGTATGTTGACAGATCAGACACACCGTGGGGAAATACTGGGAAGTGTAAAAGTCCAACAGTCTTAGTTGTGACCATACGTCCTCTTTTACCCAAACATGTCCTCTCTTTTGGGGGCTGTCCAGCCTTGTCCAGAGGGGAGTTCATAAAATCCTTCAAATGTCCGGGTTTTGTTTGGAAGTTTTGAGTTTGTGTTGTGTGGACTGACTGAGTTAAAAGCGCGTAGAAAACACTCAACCCAACACGAAAAACCCTCAAAATTTACTTGGCCCTGCATTGTCGTGTCCTCTTTTTGAGGATTCAGAATATGGTCACCCTCAACGGTCTATAACCAACATTTTTATCTTCATTTGTTCTCCCATTTAAAGAAACTAAATATACACTTGTCCACGCATTTTTTTAAAAATATCAATGCTAAATGTGGAGTTCATCCAAATGTCTATGGCATGTCTCATTTTTTCAGCTGGTACTTCATTGAGCAAGCTCTGTTAACCTCCTCACCCACATCACCTGACTGGCGACCGATCAGACATTAGGAACAAGTGCCCTCTGTGTAGACAAACACCTACACAACCCTTTCCCTTCAGAACTAATTAATTCTTGGCAATGCAGCAGAGTTTAAGTGCTGCATAATGCTGAGCCGTTGTCAAATGTAAACAAAAATAATGCTGAGTGCTCAATTTGTGACAAGCCCCAATATTTATTACTTGTTTAAATATTGAAAAGAACTCATCCTGAAATTTGTATAAAGGTTGAGGACAGACATAAGTGACCTCAATGCAGAAAAGGTTTAAGGGAGGCAGTGAAGTTTGTTTTTGTTTTGGTGATCCTTTTTAATGTTTTATCACACTTACGAAGCATTAGTATTGGCCAAACTGCATTAAAAGGCATCATATCTAAAGTCTGGTATCACCTCTCCCTACCAAACACCCATGTTGATGTATGTATATGCTCAAATTACAGAAATCTCTCAGCGCATACACATACACACTCCTCTGCCTCTCACCGACAGTGTACAAAACTATCAGCTGGGCTTCCTCTTCTTTGTGTGTCCTATTTTGAGCCATAGACATCATCATAGTGCTACCTTTCTTCCACTGTTAGATTATGGTGATGTTTTATACTGTATATGATTGCTTCAGCCAAATGCCTGCAGTCCTTAACTACTTTCTATCACTGTGCGCTGAGATTTGTTACTGGTTGTAGTCACCTAACACATCACTGGGAACTTTATGCCAAGTCTGGCTGGCCTTCTCGGAGTACTCGCAAGTACACTCACTGGATGACTCTAATTTATAAGGTTCTTCTTGGCCTAGCTCCTTCTTATTAATGTGGTCTTCTTCAAAAGGATGGAAAGCCACTACACCCTGCGCTCAATCAACACTGTCCATTTGATTGTTCTGCGAATCAGAACTGAACTGGGCGAAAAAGCGTTCAGTTTTGCTGCCACTTCCGCATGAAATACTCTTCAGACTGACCTGAAATTGTCGGAATTAATTTCGCTGGAAGCATTTTGTTCAATCTTACATGACTGACTTTGGGAGACCATGGAACAGTGTCTGTGTTTTTAATCATGTTTCTGGAGGTCATTTTCTTCTTATTTTTTATTATTATTCATTATTGTGATGAGTGCTGCCAACCTCTTGACCAGGTCACTTTTATAAATGAGATTTCAATCTCAACGGGTTCTTACCTGGTTAAATAAAGGTAAAAAAAAAAAAATGCTTTCAGGGCTTTGTAGTTCCCATAATGATGCCTTTCACTTCAAAATCAATGACATGATGGTGTAAACTTTAGTAATATGCCATCTTGTGAACCCTGGTCTCAGTAGAAGCTGTCTCTATGATCAGCTGAGCTTGAAATCAGACTCAATCAGCAGCTACAGTTCACTGTCTCAGTAAAGCAGTGACTGTAATAAAACTCCTGATTGAATTTGTGTTGTTGAGACATGCAGAAAACCTGTTTAGGGTGATTATTTTAAAACCCAAGAATTGATGAGGAAACAATATAAAATGGAATCAATAAGTAGGATTAACAATGGCACCTGTATCAATAACATCCAATCAATTCTGATCCCTTTATCTTAGTAAGGAAATATCTCTTGTCTCTTCCTTTTACATACTGTACACTATATTTGCTTACCTAGAATTCTGCTCTTTGTCACATCTGAGCTCTTTCACATTGTCTTCGTGTTTCTTTTTTTAAAATCACCTTTTATATATTTGTATCTTGGGTGTTTGTTTTCCATATAAGCCATTAATAGATTCCCACCACACCCACACACACTATTTTCCTTTCAAACAGCCTGTGGTTAAAAAAAGACGACTGCTGGCAGCCAACAGAACAACACTAAACAAAGCTGTGTCCTCATCAAAATAGCATCAAAAGGGCAAAAAATAACTCTGAAATCAAAGGATGTAAGCGTGGTGTTTGGAGTGATGAGTCTCTACTATCCTGAGTGGGAGACTGTCTGCTTTAAATGAGCTACTGTAGCTTTAAAAGGTCTAGAATACACACCAGAAGAAGTTTAATGTTATTGTGTCTCCTTAGTCTGCGCGGGCTTGCATTGCTCTTTGACACTTTGAGGAAATGTCCCTGTAAATGTCAGCAGTGAAAGTGCACCAAAGCCAATCGATGCCTGCTGCAGCTACTCCCCATCATTATCTCCACAGCATGCAACTCAACAGTGTGAGATCCACGACAAGGAGCAGCAGATGAAAGAAAAAAACCTTAGTCAAACAAAATGTCACAGCTGGGAACTAAGCAGCCTAGCATGGAGGCGTTTAAGGGAAGTCCGTCTTTTTCAGAACAGTTTGATCCAAAACATCTAGCAGAAAGAGTGTCTCTTTCTTTACCGCCTGAACAGATGGATTTACATCAAATTAAAAGCTGAAAAACGAGGAAAAAAACAACAACAAAGAGACTCTGTTGAACTGCAACAACCTCTTCTGCTGGCTCATCATGTTGCAACAACTTCAACACTTTGAGAAGATGAAACCGCATCACAGACTCTTGTCCTTCACTTTCATCCTCTGGTGTGCGCAGGAGCAGATGTATGCATGTGTGAACAACGCCGCCTCACCCTTTTCTGCTCTCTCCAGCGATTTCGGAGCTTGTCATCCAGCCGGCGAGCGGCGGAGGCCCACTGCGCAGCCAGTCTGCGGATGCGTCTCTTCATGAAGCTTAATGACTCCTTCCCAGTGCCGATTTGCTCCAATAGAGGCCCGACGTCCGACTGCAAAACAGCCTGGAAAACAGAGACAGAAACTTTAAAAAGACATTTTAAAGCTGGGAAAAAGGAGAGAAAGGCAGAGGATAGGAAAGGAAGGAGGAAAGGACAGTGAGAAAGGAAGGAAGTTAAAAAAGAAAGAGGAATAAAATAATAAGAAGAAGAACTCGTTCTTTTTGGTCTCTCACACCATTGGGTTCTTGGACCCTCATAATTACCTTATTAATTGATATCTCATCTCATACAGACAGTATTTTGAGATTCAAAGGCAGTAAAGACATAATTCTGATGCTAGCAGGACAGGAGGAGAATTAACAGTCTGCCAGAGCGTAATAATTATGATGGAGTTTCTTGAGTCATTCATGGAATCATTCAGCCCTGATGTCAGTCTGCCCAAGTCCAATTCAATCCAAAACTGCCCGATATTAGAGTGGAAAAACTTCCCAATCTGGCAACATTATCTGGTCCTCTTTGGCAGGTCATATGGGGGGTTCAATATTATTTCAGCCTGATTCATAACCTCACAGGATCACAGTCTGCTCTTCATAGCAGCTTCAAACCAAAAGGAATTACTTACTTTGTAAAGTTAAAGGAATAAAATCAACTTCAAATCATTAGAATCAATCACAGTTTAATATCTTTTATGCTAAATCACTGTGATATTACGCAATGAACAAGTAGCTATAGTAAACAGTGACCAAGTCTTGAGGATCTTTTTTTTCCAGTTGTGGCCCTGCATCACCTGTGAGGATCCAGTCTGCTTTAAGAACCGGCTCACTGTACATTATCCCGTAGCGCAGAGAGCATCTCACATCCTGTTATCTCCAAGTGCCATGGGGCTACAGCTTTCAAACAGGGTGAATGAGGGATTCCTGGTTTCCCCTCATAAACAGTCTTCTCCCTTTTTATATCTCCTCCTCTGTGAGCTATTATCCCTGCTTCACAGCACAAATACCAGCTCGAGAATATTAATCAATGAAGTAACTGCACTGAAGGGGCACAGAGGACTTATAAAAATACAGAAAAGAAACTGACGCTCACAAACTGTCTGTCCTTCTCAAACACACCTCCACTGTAAAAGTAACTGAGACTCTTACTGATCCTCTCCAAGACAAAATCAATATGCAGAGCAGTACAGTGTTCTCCCAATGCAGGTGAATTATTGCGACTCCTGTATGGCACAGCAAAACACAGAGCACCCTGGGGAAGCCTGGGGATTAGGCTCAGTGAATGCAGGCGTGCAATTAGAGCAGAGGGTAGAGCTGCAGAATGAATTCACATCAGGGCCCGCTGTGCAGGCTGAACATTACTCTGGGGAAAAAAGGGGAGGAGGAGGCAAACAAGAGGATAGAAATGGAGGAGGGTTTGGGACTAACATGCACTGGTGCTGAAAGTAGAACTTAAATAAAGTCGACAGATATAAGACAGATACAGTACAGTTGGATATTTAGAGTCTCCAGAGAATGATTGATCAAACAATGAAGTAATAAGTGTTCGACTTAAAGCAATCTGAGGCCCTGGTGCTAAGCTACCACGTCACAAAAAGAACTTTGATGTTTCTGTCATTAAGCGCTCTTCATTTTTCTTGTCAACGTCAATCAAGTTCAAACTTTCACCAGATGTCATTTAGTGTCAAGGTCAAAACTTTTGTTGAGCATGACAGACTCTATATATAAAGTACAACCCCACTTCAAAAAGACGCTGGGATGGTTAATCATTTAGACATTATAAATAATCATAAATTGTGAAAAGAAAACATATGAAATACTGAAATTCATGTTTTTGTTATTTTAGAAAAAAGATGAACTCACTCTAGTTTTGATGCCAGCAACATCTTTCAAAACTGTTGAGGCAGTTTTACTCTTGTGTTGCATCATTTCTCCTGTTACAAATGCTCTGACTACATTCGGGGTCTTCCTTGAAATGACATTGCCTGGATGGAAGCATATGCTGACCCAAAAACAATGTTCAGCACTGTGTTAAATACCTAATTGTGATTGGTCTAAACCCTACGACCAAATTTCACTCCGAACAACAAGACGAACACAAGAGACAGGCAAATCACACGTATCATGCCAAGTCAATCCGTGGAAAGTAGTTCTGGCATATTTTAATTTTCCGTTCCACTCAAACAGAGATAGTCCCCCCTATCTCTAGTCTGTTTGTTGTGTCCTTGGGCAAGACACCTAACCTACCTTGCTCCCAGTGTGTGACCTTCGCTGATGTATGATTCATAAGTACGTCACTTTAGATAAAAGTGTCTGCTAAATGACGTTGTAACTTATTCTAACAATGTGAAGCCAAATCCCATAGAAAAAACTATCATTTTGAGCCTGTTGTTCCCATCAGGGAATTAATGAGTTTGTTTGACTCTTGGTAGATTATTTCTTGAGAATTATAAAAGTTAGTTTTACTTCTTGAGCTGTTTTACTATTTGCAAATGCAAGGTTTGGTCATAAAGAAAATGAACGTTGTTTAACAGATGATTGTTTTTAATTGTATTGTGATAAAAGTTGGCAATGTAGCTAATGTGTTGGTTGGAAAACTGATAAATCCTCCTGCCCCCCTTTTTTTTAGGATTTTGTGGATACTAAAAGCAACTTCTGAATAAAACTAAACACAGAGATGGGAGCTACTCACCAGCAACCTTTAGATCATATAACTGCAAGTGGTGGAAACTATAACTAAAAACTCTATTTCAGTGGACTAGAGCCTCCTTGGAGGAACTCTAACTTGGTTCTACAAATTGAATAAAAAAATGGAATCTGAGTTTTCAACATTTTTTCTTTCTGATTTTGTGTCTCTTTAATATTGAAACCCACTAGGAGCCAAGAGACAAACCTTATTTCAGTTTTCTTTTCTACCTGTTTCTTTGGTGGAGGCTTCAGTGTGGGTGTAGCAGTCTGGTTCCTCCAGGCCAAAGGGGGACAGAACCACTCCACTTCACTCAGGTAGACCAGGAAGGAGCAGTCCGAGCCGTCCACACCATAAAAGGCATAGCAGGGGTCTGACGTCCAACGAGCCCGCATCCACTGGGGGACAAATGTTTAAAAATGTCAGGTATAGTATCAGCGCATCACCTGCTTTGAGCCCTTTTGAGCTTACATTTGACTCAAGTTGTCGAGAGGCTCTATCAGAGGTGAGATTCAGACTCATCCTCTGTGCCATCCTGTCATTTTGAAACTGACTAAAGATGATGAGTGCAGAACAGCCTGTGAGCGCTTTGCTGTCATTCTTAATCATGCTCATGTTTTAAATCCAACTTAACAGCCTGAAGTCTGAACAGAAAAAAGTGACACTATTATTTATTCTTCGTCATAATTAGAAGATGTGTTATTCCTGATATCAGTCATATTTTAACACCATTATTGGCTTTATAACTCAAGGAAACTTACTGTAATTATAATAAATATTCAAAACACAAATGTTTAAATGAACTCTTTCTCAAGGGCTAAATCTTACAGAAGCATAGGACAACTTCGCAACTTTTTATTGTACATACAGAAATATTTGCTATGTAAAAACTGGGATTTAAAAATCTCCTGTCTTTTCAAAAAGCTTTTTTTTTTTTTCCGAACCAGAACAATTTATTCCTCAGGAACCTCTTTTCTCTACAAGGAGCCCTTATCTTGTTTGACCAAACTCATAATACACAGAGGTGAGCAAACCAGGTTTTTCTCTGAGTGTAAGATTGTTTGGATTGAAGGCAGATATGAAGACTTACATCCATCTTGCTGGCGCAGTCTGGATAACCGGGGTCTTTAGGAGTATCACATTGTCCTAAGCTGCCATCTCTGACTGGAGAGAAGAGAAATGCAGAGTGTTTATCAAAGCCTGTAAACACCCTTCAACAGAAAGACCACACTCAACAGATACAGACATCAATCAGGACAAAAGCTAAGAGGTATTGCTTTTTTCAGCCAGTTCATCGACAAAATGAGAAACACACGAAGCGCTATGAAAAAAAAACAAGCTCATGTGGTTCATTTAATAGCTTTCTGTATATTTACCAGCATGTGTCGTTTAAAAATGCTTCAGGTTATGAATCTGTGGTGAAAATGCAAGATCTGAAGATGGATAAGTTTTGATGTTTGTGTTGATCTATTTTGTTTTTCATGCTGTTAAAAGAAGCCAGAATGAACCCCAAGTTAACAGTGAAGCAAAGACTCACCAGATATATTCAGTAGTAAACCTAGACATAACTGTGATGATTTTGCAGACATATCAGGAGGGGCAAATTTCACTTCAGCTTTCATATGAGCACAGAAGTTGTAATCAGACCAAAAACAATGAAGTTTTAAAAAAAAAGATCTTGTTGGAAATCACTGACCTCCAATTGCTGGTTTGCCAGACTGCATGGGAAGCTTGCTATAACTATCTGAGTGGCTCACTGCGTTCTCTTTAATTACATCAGTATGTTCAAGGTTATAGCTTTATTCAAGGAATTAATTAGATTTCTGTCCTTGACCAAGTATGTGAGAACCAAGTGAAGATTGGTTTATTGACAAAAAATGCCCACCCAATAGCAAATCCGTCCACCTGACTGGTAAAAGGCCTTCTTCCAGCTAGTTGATACTGGACAGTTTCTTGGCTGACATATTGGATCACATACCAAAACAATCGGCAATCAAGTTAGCAAAAGACCATCTGGTTGATTGTGAAAAAACGACCCTTCCCTTTGAGGTTGTGTTTCCTATGCTGCCTCCTTTGACATGTTAATGCTATTTGACTTCTGGGTCAAAGCCTGACAAATGAACCATGAAACCTTCGCCGAGGCCAGTTTGGGTCTAGTTGAAGTGTGTACATGCGAGAAAGAATCAATCCCAAACTGCATTATTTAAGAATGTTGTTAGGTCTCTGAGAAATCTGACTTACAGTCAGACCAACATGTGTTTCAAAACTCCAGTTAGCGTCAGATTAATTCAGCAAATAGATTTTTGTACATCATGTTAACATACTAAATGTTCAGTGCTTAAAGACGAAACATTGGTTATGTATCATTTTCAAATTGTTAATGTTGCACTGGCTTGTTAAACTGCTGATTACATAAAAAATGCATGCACTAATAATCTCGCTCTAACATTAATCACTTACTCCCGATTGGTCATAAATAAAAGAAGGCCATTACTGTGTTTACCTCTGCATTAAGAGTGTTTGTCTTTTACATTACAGAGCATATCCTCATGCCTGTGGGACAAAAGGAGATTAATTAGAGAGTATTGCAAGCTTACAAGCTCCTGTAAAAGCTCAGCCTCCCCTGCTGATTGGCAAACTGTCTTTTACAGCCCACTCGCTGGATTTACTATAAATATATTGCATTAGTGAGATTCATAAAAATCATTATCCTTCCCTTTCATGCTCATTTTTTTCTTCTCTGACCATCTTTCCTGTCTCCTTTTTGCAGCTCGGCCAACTTCCTCTCTCTTCTCTCCTTCCTCCACTCTCCTCCTTTCTTCCTCTTCTCCTGGAAGCCGACACTTTCACCGAGCCTAATTAAAGCAGCAGTTGCAACTCCTCCACCAGCATCCGAGAGTACAATCACAGACCAATAATTGCCTGGCGCTCGGTTTGATTAGCATGACAACGACAGACTCCTCACCAGGAGAAGTGCTAGTGCCTGCTGCTGTCAAAACGTATCCAGGTCCAGGTCAGCCTCTTTAAATGATACTGCAATAATTTGAAGAAGTTAATGAGACACAGAGCTGCAGAGTTTTCGGCCTCTTTCTGCAATGTAGCGGAAACAGGAAACAAACCGAATCGCGTTAAATCATCCTGTCCGGTTTCTCTTCCATGCCCGATAGAGAAATTGAGAATGAAGGCTAATAAAGAAAGCTGACAGGCCTGGATCCTATTAACCACGCAGCACTTCATCATCATGATTTAAACATCCTGCACTCGAGTGGTTTTGACAGAGCAGCAACAACCCGGCTCTTCCACCCTGACACCAACAGTTGCTTGCTATTTGAGCAAGAAATGTGCTGTGAATAATGTCTGTCATGTTCTATATGATCAACCACCGAGTGTGCTTTGGACATAAATTGTGCATTCAAGCGTTAGACCAGATCCAAGCTTGACAGCGAGGCACGGAGGGAAAAGTGTCTTCAGATTGGGAGGGATTTGAAAATGACTCAGGGGATTCATCTGGCTATATTTGGTACCCTCCACACGTGTGTGAGTGGGCCATGTGCAGGCGCTGTGTGTTTGTACCTCTGTTTTTGGCCATACTGCGCTGTAGGATCTGCTCCACCCTCACCGCCATGTCAGACATGTTCTGGGCTATTGCTTGAATCCGCTCCACCAGGCCGACAGGCTGGATCCTGATCACACAAGGGAGAAAAATGGTCTTAAAATATGAAAACAATCTTAAAACCAATCTTTAATCTGTTAGCAGGTGTCTCTAGAGAAAAGGGGATGCCATTTTTCATTCATAAGTCCTTCTATCTAGCTGAAATTGTTTTTTAATCCATCACAGTGAGCCTGAAGACATGGTAGGAATCCAAATCGTCCATAACATGAGGTATGAAATAAAAAAATTAAAAAAAGCTGGCATGACCAAGTGTGGCTAACACTAACAGAGCTAGCATGATTGGCCTTCAGTCCTCCTTGCAGGTTAACGCCCGCATGTCTGTGCTGATGATGACACATTGCTCAAGTGGTTTCATGCTATTGACTAGGGTTGGGTATCTTTTGATTTTGAACGATTCCTGTTCCGATTCCGATTCCTCGTTTCGGTTTCAGTTCCTAACGATTCTCTGTTCCGATTCTTTTAAAAGGCAGGATATTAAAAATAACCAGAGTTCTTTTTGGATGAAATTTCTGAACTTCTCCATGAATTTTGATATTCACTTTTTAAGAACTTAACTATGAATTTCTCACAGGGCAATTTTCAACCAGTAAATATCCATTTTTGTTGTCAGGTCGTTTGTCTATGAAAAAGTACAAGGGCTAACATTAGTTGGATATTTAAGTTGACCCACCATACACAGTACAATTTGTTTGCCGCTTCAATGTTAGCAGAAGACAGAGGAACTTTATTGTTTCACTTATCTGATTCTGACTGGTTAGCAGAAGATCGGCGAAGCGCGTCAAAGACGGGCACTCAGGTATTTCTCCTCCATGAATCCTAAGGTGTTTAATCATGTTGGTCGTTTACCCTCCTTTACATGATATAACTGAGTTGCTAATGTTGAGATAAGAGTTCATTCCTCCCGCTAAAGTTAGCCAAATTTTTGACCGCCGCCGCTGTGGGTTGCAATGCTCTCTCTCTCTCTCTGTTTCTCTTCTCTCTCTGTGGCTTCGTCTCATACGCTTCGTCCTCGTGGGTGTTCGGCGGCTATTTCTTCCGGTCGGCGGACTTACCGGCGAAATTTATATTTGTAGGATGGTAGGGGAAGGTCCCGCCTACCTTTGCCTCTGATTGGCTATAAGTGCTGGGCTCCGATTGGTTATTCCTAATGGCTTTGAAACGTCATCGTCTGTCGGGTTAGGGTTAGGATTAGAATGAGGGTTAGGATGAGGGTTAGGGTAGGAGCATAGACAAGATACACATAGACGCCTCATTGCATGCGGGAGCGTAATCCAGCGTCGCCGCCATATTGGATGGGTCTCCCCACTCCAGGCTCCCGCAAGGGCCAAATGGGGTCAATGGAGAACGAGCAACTATGCCTGTTTTTTTGCACTCTATGGTTGGTAAACCCGACGCAGTATTGAAAACAGATCACGTAGGATTACATGTCACAAATAGGATTAAAAAATAATTTGTTTTATTATTAATGTGACATTGTCCTGTATTATCACTACATCCCTGCCGTTGTAACAAACCAAACAGTGTGAAAATTGGGCAGAGATTCAGAGAGTTATTATCAATATGGTTGGGTATTCCTACCTACCTTAATGCACTGGGGGCGCATAGGGGACCCATCCAAGATGGCGGCTGTGTTGACACGAGAGCTCCAATAGGCAGCGTCAGGCTTTGAGGCATTCATGTATATTATGTCTATGGTGAGGAGATTCAGAAGTGCAATAATGTACTGTAATATTCTGTTCTTTATACAGAGCCGACAGCCCACGTTTGGCTTGAGCGTGTGATGACGTTTCCAGCTTTTCTATCCAATCAGAGGCAAAGGAGGCGGGACTTTCCCCTACTGTCCTAACAAAATAAATATTGCCTTGGAGTATTGGAATCGAAATTTCAAAATTCGAACGGTTCCGGGAGAATCGGTATTTTAGTCCCGGTCCCCATTGATGCTCGAGACTCGATGCCCAACCCTACTACTGACTAAAAAAGCCTAAAAGCAAATTTATATCCATTATACGCATTAAAACACTGACGTGTTACAAGATGCCATCAGTCATCTGTGCCTGTTATCATCCAGGTAGTAGAATATTTTGACTCTATAGCAGTAGCCATTAATCAGAGGTACAGCCCTGGATAGTGGCAGTGGGCTACACTACAGCACAGAATCAAAATCTGACCACATTTAAAGCCAATAAATTAAAAAAATAAAAACTTAATAGGTCTGGTGCTGACTGCCAGGTAATGAAGTTTAATTGTTTAATCAACCTAATGTGCAACTCCCTATTCTAATCAATAGTGAATGGGTTGAGGGTATTTTTGAGTAAATTTGACAGTGAGCCTAACTCAGCAAAATAAACAAGAGAGACAAAATCAAGTGTCACCAAATAAAGGCTCAAAAGATTCAGAGATTCTGTTATTATTCAGGTCAATACAATATAGGATACATATCATACTGTATACGACATGCAATATGATAACATGAAACAATATGACCCACAACAGAATAATACAAAATAAGATATAAGATGCACTGAAACAATGTGCTATGATATAATACGATACAACAGATATGCTGCTATTTTATGCTATCTATGATTACATTTACAAACAGTCTTCATAATGTCTGATTACTTTTGGCCAGATCCATTCTTATCTCTTCACTGTAACACCTGGTGTGCATCATTTTTTATCTTAATGTGAAAGTGTAAATTGTTTCGGTCACATCTGTTTTCAGAAGCCTCCAGAGAAAAAAGGATTTTTCTTTCACAGGTCCTTCCATCCAAGCGGCTTTGTTGACTTTTTATGCCAACACAGTGAGCCTGAAGTCATGGCAGAAATGTTAATTGTCAACAACTCCAGGCATGAAATTGAAAAAGCTTTTAAATGCTGACAGAAAATTTATTTGTTGAGCTGAAAAAGAAAGTCAGCATAATCGAGGGGAAATATGAAGGACATTTAGGTTGTTGGTAAATACATTATGTTGCATTTTAACCTCTGTAGCCTGTAAACTGTCATTAAAACAATTACACTCCAACATTTAAACACAGAGAGGACAAATGTAGAGGGAATAAATACAGGGTGAATAAAGAGAACAGGTTTCCACCCATAATGTAATGCATGAGTCCAGGAGATAGACTTGACTTCGACTCAATTCCTGATTTTCAGGACCAGTGACTCCTCTCAGACTCTTGCACTGACTGTGTTTAAACTCAGACGAAGGAGCAGAGTAGCTTTGCATCACTACACCAGTTTATCTTTTGCAAAATGTTTCACCAGAGCCAAAGTTTCCAAAATATATCCCAAAACCAAGACTGTTTTTGCAGCAAGGAAAACCCATGATGTTTTAAATGTGCTGCAAGGTGAAAACACTGCAAACTGGAAGAGCAGCAAGTTCATAGTTTTATTTTTTAACAATAAACCTCCAAAATGATCATATTTTATATCTTTGCTGTAACACCTCAGGAAGGTACTCCAGCCACCTGCATTAATGCTTAATGGACGCATGCAATAAATTATGAATATTCTTGAGAAAGACCTCTGCCTCTAGTTTAAGAGAAAGTCACAGCTTACAGAAACCAGTTTGAATTTGCAGAGATGTAAACTTTGTTCAAGCCCCAGTTGTGTCACATCTAGCTTCATAAATAATTGCAATAAGAAATATTTTGAATAACTCATTCAGCATCATACAGTACCGCAGTTAATTAATACATTTTTCTAAAATGTCAGTAAACAATGAAAATTACTCAGTTAATTACCCTGGAAGAATATAAAGCAAACAATACAGGCAGAAAAATAAAATGTGGAACAACTCTTAAATGAGTGAGGACGATACACTCACATAAAAAAAGTAAATATATGAGGCTGGACAAAACAAAATTAAAAAAGTTGGTTTTAATATAGTTTCCGTGCCTCGATTAGTGACCAGGTTGTTATGAAAATAAGAAAAAAAAAAATCATGAAACACAATTAACATTTACTTGGAAAACTTACTATCTGTTAAACACTAAATCATATCAGTAAAACTTTTTTTTTATCCATTTTAGTTTACTACTTGTAGTTTTATTTGATTGAATAAAGCACAGACACTAAACTCCATTAAAAATTAAAAGTTTTGAAAATACTGGAAAATCTTCTATTTTGGTTCTTTTAGACTTAAGTGCTGCCTCTGATACTGTTAATCATTTTATTTTACTGGAATACCTGCAACACTATGTCAGAGATCAGAATGGAAACCTCTCTTTATGTCCTATTAACCTGTTTTATGCTGCTCTTTTGTGGTGTTTTTGTTTCACATTATTTCCTCTTTTCTGGCGTTAAGCTTTTTCTTATACCTCTTTTTTATGTATCTGCTTTTATATCTCTTAATTTCTTGAATTCCCACTGAGTTGTTTAAACTTTTGAATATCTAGTTTTTGTGTTCCTCACATTTCTATTTTATGTGTCTCTTCTCTTCCTACTTTGTTTTAATTTGTAAAGCACTTTGTAACCCTGTTTTGAAAATTACTTTATGAATTAAGCCCTGCGATGAACTGGTGACTTGTCCAGGGTGTCCTCTGCTTTCGCCCCAAAATGTTGGCATAGGATCCAGCCCCCCGTGACCCCCCAATGGGATAAATGGTGGAAAATGGATGGACAGATGGACTTTATGAATTAAGTTTTTTATTATCATTATAAATGTTTCAAACTGGAGCAGAAATTTAGTGTTTTCATTACTGTTGAACTGTATTTGTTGCACTTGTTTGAGTATTTTGCAGACAGGAAGCTTGTAAATGGTTCATTTTTCAGGTAAATGGTTCTAACCACTAAACTGGTGGAGGGCTGAAATTGCAAAATGAAGATAAGCATATCCTGAAGAGAGACAGCTGACCTGAAAATCCATCTAAGGAACAAGGTAATGACTCTTCGGATGTGTTCTGCATTAGTAATAATCAAGTGAAACTTATTGGCCGAGCAGCTGTATCACTGCCCTGTTTTACAAGCACAACAAACATTTAAATGAATATTTTTAATGAGCTTCTCTTGTCATGCAGCAGTAATTCTGGGGTTTACACTGCTCATTAAACTGCTGTGGAGACGTAAACACACACAAACAAAGGGAACAGGCACAGATGAAGCAATAATACTACGGTTTCACTGCTGCAGCTTGCATTTCTGTGTGAAGGAAACTTAACTGTGCCTCTGTGCATGTCTTAAAGAAACCATAGGAAACTTTATTTGTACCTTTTATTGTTAATCTTCACTCTTGGCTGGTATCCTATATTTGTGTTTTGGTATTCTTTAATAACATATCCCCATCCTGCTTTCCTGTCGTCATCTCATATACCACTCACTAAGAAATTTAGCAGTGAAATAAACAAAACAGAAGCTCCACTGACATTGTGCTTTGAATTGTTTAGCACCAGTTTTAGGATTAGCTGTAGATCAAGTCAAACCTCTCTTCTTCTTCTTCTTCTTCTTCTTGATGGCCTGATCAGTTTTTGTAGCTCATACATAATATGAGTCTATTTTATCACCAAATAGGAACTCGTCCAGCTAAGTTAAACATAAAGCTACACCTCTGTTTTGTTTATTCATGTGGCACCCAGAGGGCAAATGGTCGTCAAACCTTGTCTGTTTCCTTTTCAGCTGAAATTAACCGCCAATTACAGTATACAGAAACTCAAATAGACAATTCAGTAGCGCACACATTCATACACACATAACAGGACACTCTAATGGTCATCATCAACATGCTTAGACCATCTATGTCTTTAACAAAATGATACAACTCAATACAACATGATCCAATACTATACAATATAAAACAATACGATAGGCTATGATGCCAATGAACGAGAAAAAAAATCCAGTTTCATGCAGAATCCTCCAACATTTACACTGCAGAGACTCTTACCCAATTGTTCCTATAAGCAGTTACAGAAAAAAAGGACAGCTGTGAGGCTTTTAACAGTTTGTAAGGTTGCCAAAGGTTTCCTCACTTGACTATCTCTTGGTAATATCTGGGCTCAACTCTGACCCTGAGCCATGCAGAGATTTTCATCACCTGTGCAGAGAGGTAAAAGTCAGTCACAATGGATCAGCGTGAGATTCATTTCTACCATGGAGTTAGTTTTAAAACTATTTGGCCTTTGCCACTGTTCCACTCACAGTTCAGTCCCTGAGGGGCCAATTAAATGAGCTGGAGCTATATGCCTGTGAGTATATCCACAGGGCATTGTGTAGAGAAAATTAAATTCTGTGAGTGTGATATCAAACTGTAGATAGAAGTAATTATAAGCAGAGCTTTGGCCACAGTATAATAAATGTTTTCCAGAAGGTTATTTAAAGCAGAGAGTCAGACTGGAGGAAAGTTTATTACTTGGAAAAGTCTTTTCTATCTCTTATCAGAGCGAAATCCTTTTCTTATCTTCATGAACTCCATGAAAGAAGAGTTAGCCTGCAGTGCTTTAAACCTTTTTAACAATCCGCTTATAGTTTCCTATCATTGTCTTATCATTTAAGGGCTATGATAGAAAAGACACATGATAAAAACATTTGGGAAGACAAACAACAAACTTATAAAGGAACATCTTTCAGTATATACTTCAACACATTAGGAATTAACTTCTGCTACCAGCATAGATGCTTCATGATAGACATGACAGGGCTCTTACAAGGGGTGTCCTGATACAACTTTTATACTTCTGATATGATACAGATATTGTAGCCTTAAGTACTGGCCGATACTGACATTGATCCGATAACTTGTGCATGACAAATTTTGCACTCAGCTGCAACGTCTTTTTCGGACTTCAACGAAAAATACTGCCACACAACCAACATCACTCCTACTCCTTGTTACTTCGTTAGTAATTTAGTGCACACTGTTGTTGTGATGACATGGGCTCTACATGCTGGATTCGGGCACTGCTAGATAGAGGTGGGGGAGTGGAGTCTGGAATGGACTACTTATATTGGAGTGCTTATATTTAAGGTTTTAGATGCAGGCTGATGTAACCCGATTTTTTTTTTTTTTTTTTGCTGATATCGGACCAATATCTGATATCAATATCAGATTGGGACACCCCTAGCCCTTACTCAGCAAAAAATAAAGTTTCTGACAACAACTATGAGTTAACAAATGTGAATTTAGTGTAGTTATTATTGTTGCTTGTGGTAACACAACGAAGACTGCAGCTAATTCTATTTTCTAAGAAATTTTCAGCTACACATATCATCTAAGTTCACTGATTTTCAACTAAGTCTAATAAGTTCAAATAGTACAAAGATGTTTTTATATTTAATCTATTCCCCCCAATAGATCTATAACTGTCAATATGATATGATTCAACGTCATACAATACAATATGAAACATAAAAAAACATGAAACACAGTGAGATACAATGAGACATGACGCCATACCACACCAAAACATACCAAACCATACCCCTGGGTATAACTCAGTAAAGAACAAGATCATACAGAACCATACAAAACATTAAAGTTCAAATGAAACCTTTCTATATGCAGCAGTACAATACAGTATGATACCATGCAATCTAATAAGAGTAGCACTGATGTTAAAACGTGCTCACTAGTCTGTGGAAGAAAAGGTCAAACACTTCTGGGTAGAGGTGTTGCAGCTTTTATATTTTGTGTTACTTACGGTCTGCAGCAGTTACACTGTGGCCACACATGACAAAATTCACAATTCTTATTGCACAGCCTTCCCTTACACCACTAATACGACTTTATGACAATGCCTGTGGCTGTATTTACTGACGAATTTAGAGGAGAGATTTACCAGCTCAGAGTAGAATAGATGTAAAATCGGGACTGGTGAGAAATGAACAGCAGAGCATCAGACAGGAAAGAGCTTCCTCTCCTCAAACCCTGAGCAGGTGCAGGCATGAGAACAAGTCTGTCACCATGGAAACCACACAGCACCCACAACTCAGGGCTCCAAGCTTCAAGTTGTCCAGTAAAACCCATGCTCGACCTTATTTTTCCAAATTATATGAGAGTCTCTTTTATGTCTCTTTCTGCCTGAAGAGAGGAGAGGTATTGTTCTGCCACATATCGTCTCCTTTTCAACAACAAGACTGTTAAACATAAGGTATCTGCTTTGTTGGACTGCCCCAAGGTTGAGGACTTGGTCCACTTTCTTTCTTCCACTTGAGTCCTCTTCAGTGTATGGGCTTCAACCTAACCATTACAGCTCCTACCGTATTGGTCCGCTGTAAATTAGTGTTTAATGTCCTGGGTTTTTCCTGCATAACAACAGTCAGCATACTCAGCTGAACTGTTATACCCCCTCAGGTCCCTGTTGGCACTGACTGGTGTTTTCATTAAGAACAATGTTTACTGAGCACAGCCCCAGGTGGATTTGTCATTATTTTACTACGCTTACGGCGTTACACAAGTATAATAGTACAGCTGTTTTATAACCAGTCCAGTGCCGCAGAAAAGACATCGCTCAAACTATCTCCCAGGATGAAAAGAGGAACATTTCACTCCAGGCAAGGACTTCACCACCATAGACTGTATGGTAATTAGAAGTAGTATCTGTGACATAATGCATTTGTTTCGGAAGCAGAGTTTTGAAGCCTATCAGCAGCCGCCGATGGGCTTGATAATGCTGAGTAACCTAATTTGTGTCAACCAACCAGAGGCAAGCCTTTAGCCTAATGCCAAATAACTACAGTGATTTCAGGTTTTTCTGGAGTCAACCTGAAGTGAACACTCATAGAGGTTTTAAGCCCTTAATTTCTCTAGATCGCAGGTTGCCATTTGGTCAAGACCTGCTAGTGACTAGAGCATGTCTGCATGTGTTAGTATTCAATTTTATTTCTTTGTCTCATGCCAGAGGTGGCCCAAGGCATAAGCGAACTAAGCGCCCGTTTAAGGCCCCGCAGCCAATAAGGGGCCCCCCAAGAGCAATCAATATATATATATTTTTTAAAATTTTTTAATTTTTGCATGTATGAGTGATGCTTTCTCTATGATCAAATATATATTATTGTAAAAATAAAATAAAAAAGGTGAAAAGATTTTAGTGCTGCTGCTGATGTAGGCCTATGATTCTTACTGCCGATATGACAAAGCTCTGCTACCGTTATGTGCCTTTCGCTGTGCAGTGTGCACTGAGCATCCAAAGTGCAGGTAGTTGTGGAGCAAAACAAGGGCACAAAAAGGAGCAGAGAAAAGAAAAAGGAAGAAAGAGGAAGAAAAGAAAATATACTAATATCGGGGTATGTTTGCATATCGTCATGGAATATTAATCAAAAGAGGTTCGTGAAGGTGTGTAAATGATCAACAATCGATATTATTGGCAGAAATAGAGGGCCTTTTTTTCTCCGACAGTAAAATTTGGCAAACATGCAGACAGTTTGACACATTTATTAAAACAGACTGTTTCCTTTACAATATAAAGATAACTTCATGACAAATTGGTACAAAAAAAATCAGTTTCAAACTCAAGAAAATTCTGGAGGGGACCCGAAAACCCTACCTGGACCAAATTCACTTTTAATTACTTTTCTTTAATTAACACACTGGCTCTCTGATGCATTAAAATGGAATCATCCCAATTTATCATTTTACAGAAGTTGCTTTAATGTGAAATTGTCTTGTCCCTGTCAACTATTCAAATCTCTAAAATATGTCCCTTGTAAAAGTGATTGGTTGAGGAAGTATGCATGAATTTGCACACAGGAAAAGGTTACCACACCAGCCTCATTTCCAGCCAAGAAAAACTTACCAACATAAAAAAAATATATACATATATTTCTGACTTAAAGTGATGCAGAAGATGACGCAGAAGAGGTTGTTGTGCATTGAATAATTTGTTCTTTGACAGTTTTGATGGTACAGACTTGATAAATAGAGGATCAGCCAACATCACTTATAAAGCTTGGCCATCATGAGGGGTGAGTAAGGGAGTGTTTCAAACTAGAATCTGACCGCCAAATTTCACTTAATATCCCCATTTCTTCACACCTTTAAGATCTTATCTCCTAATATTTCATAACACTGCAGTCAGATAACCCTACACTGACATCTGCACTGCTCAGACAATGATATTAAAGACATGGAAATAGATTCAAAGTCAATCCACATAACCTCCAGTCAGCTCTAATCCTGATGAACTTTTCTATGAAAGATAACCCACACGCTGCCATTTATCTTGAACTTTTAAAAGAATACAGTCCTTCCTCCACCTGTCAGATGCAATTACTTGATGTTTGTGCAGAAGGACTAACCTGACCTGACAGCTGGTGGCTTTTCACACGGGCTGTGTCTAATTTAAAACAAGTCTGACAGCCGTTATAGACTAAGAAGGCGTACCTGTCGAGAGCCGAGCTGAGCTCATCCAGCCTGTGAGTGTCTGTGGTGTTTCCCAGTTTAGAAAGAGCATCCATCCTCTTCATTATGACCTCCAGCATGTCACTGATTTTCCTCAGCACACCTCGAGACTCTTGACCCCCAAGCACTGAAAGAGAAACAAAAACAACACAAAGATGCTTTTTAATGAGAACGATAAAGAAAAGTGAGGAGTGAAACTGTAAGCTGTTAATAAGTCCACCAGCTGACGGAACGACGGACGGACGGGCAGACGGACGTACAGATAGATAGATAGATAGAGTTGGCTGTATTATTCTTCTCTGTGTTTAGCAACTCTTCAAAGCTTTGAACTACTAAAAATAAAAAGGCTATGAGAGGTCCAAAATGCACCTGCTGTTATCAAAATAAACAGCTTGTCGGAGGCAAAGGTGGATTGTTATGTCTGGTTCATCACACAGCTCAAGAGGAAGTACTTAACCACTACATTAACAACTAATTATCTTGAGTGCACAAAATAAAGTGTTCACATGAACACCATACTCCTGTGTCAAAGGGGAAAATAGCAAAATTCTTATTGGAAAATATCAATCCTATAACTTAAAAACTCAAATACAATAACTCACATATGTATGACATGTATTAATTATAATACTGGTTCATGGTTGCATTATGTCTGTGCATGGTCTGTTTGCAATAAATTATGGTCGTTTGTTTGATTTGTCAAACATGGCAAACAGCGTGGGGGAAGTTTGCATTTCTGGGAAGAGGGTGACAAAATTCTACTGATTCAAATCATGATAGATTTGAATGTGATGGGGTTTATTGATGGGCAAAACACTGTGATATTGTCAACATAGTACACAACATAACCACCAATGATTACATTTTATATCAACAACCTAAATCCATCAGCTTTTGAGACTGGTTTAATTTCACTCCAGAGTACACAGTTTGTTTGTTTGTTACGTGAGTTTGAGATTTGTTGATTTACTGTCCCATCTATGATGACTTGAAGGATGTGCTTTGTGGTAAATTGTACTCAATTTAAATGATTCAACTTGTTTGATGATTGTAAAAAAATTGAGTTGTGTTTCAGAAGAGAAACCTTCTTTGTAGCAGATTTTATGTACAAAGTTTGGGAGAAGAGACAGGATACAAAGTTTAAGACTGAGCTGTAAAAAGAAGATGTCATTTTGAAATGAGTCTGTGAATCATTGTACCACCGCAAATTAAACCATGAAGGTTGGACACTTTGTAAGCATGACACATAAATACATGTCATCAATCAATCACTCAACATAACATAAACTTCTACTATCATTAAGGATGTGAATGAGAATGAGGGTCCACGCGAAGCTGACAGCACTGTTGGTGAAAAAAAAAGAAAATGAGTGTTACCCCCGTCAGAAATGCAGATGAAGGCTCAACAGATGACGACATTGTCAACAACACTGGTCCAAAAACGTTGGTGGTGTGGAGGTATTTTTTTTGTTTTTTGAGGTCGGACATGAAGCAGAGTAATGTGCACTGCAAATTATGTCGAGTACATGTTCTTGCAAAGTCGGGGAATGCCTCAAATCTTTTGCACCACCTGAAGCAGTGCCATGAGGCAGAGCACGCGTAATGCAAAAGGTTATAAACTCTGAGCGGAGCAAGGAGCCCATGGCACCTGTGCAGCCGAAACAGCCGACCATTCAGTCCTTTACCAAAGACCTCACAGATGCAGTAACTTATGGTATTGCAAAAGACATGCTACAAATAAGTACTCATAAATTTCATTTTTGTATTGTAATATATATCGATATCGACTGATATGAACAAAATTTATTGTGATAAACTTTTTTCCATAAAGCCCAGCCCTACTCCTGAACTAGGTTTATCTTAACAAAGTAAAAGTCACCCTGTTTTGAGACTTCAGGAGCTCCACTGGAAAGAGTCACGATATCTCTCATTTGAAGAGATTCTATGATGAACTTGGAGAGCAGTTCACAGACACAAAACAAACATCAGTTGAAACACGATAGACTTTCCCCTTTCAGATGATTTACTGAAGCCCTCAGGGTCACATTTTAAATCAATCTTTCATGTCTAATTTCGTTGTATGTTCTCTCCAGTCATTTCTATTTCTGTTTACCCTTCATTAGAAGCCACACAGCTTTCCAACAAAACACATCGATGTGCAAATTAGTCTGACAGTAATGTTTTCTCGTCGTCCTCAGCTCAAATAATTAACTACCTGACAGGTGGTAAACCAGAAGCATGCTGATAGTGGACACCTAGTCAATTAAAGGGCCTGCAGCTACAGCAATAAGGTCAATGCAAGTTGAAGACTGCAGTGCTGAGAGGAGGTCCTGACCCAGCACTGTTTTCTTTGATTAGATTAAGATTTAGGCACACTACAGAGAGTAATTATAAACGTATAAATGCTTTAGTTTCAAATCATCAAGAACTGCACAGAAAACACAGTTCTTTGCGGCCCAAAAGTAGCTTAACGTGAGGAAAACTCACAGAATCAAGATAAATAACACCACTCCTGGGACTCAGAGTGAATTTGTGGTTTGAGCCTCTGAGAAAAAAAAGGAGCCTGCAGCCTTTATATTGTTCTTCTTTTACAGAAACTGAGCGAAAGTAAAGCCTCCCTACTCGCTGTTCCCCAGCAATTGCATTAGGCTTTAGAAAAGTGCGATGTGTGCACACACTCCTCAAGTCAGAGTTCATTTATCACCACCCGGCCAAAAGTCACCTTTCTCTGCTGAAAAGAAATTGTATTACATCACCAGTCAATAAAATAAGGACAAAGAGAGAAATCTTTAAAGTCTCTTGGTCTGTTGGCATTTCAAAAAGAAAGAGAAGTGGAGGATCAGAAAGCAGGATTACAAACTCTGTTGGAGTGGTCCTCTTCAGCCAGAAAGTGAATCAAATTAGTGAGAGCCCAGATATCCCATTAAACCTCCTCCTCCTCTGCCTGCACATATTTTCTTTCTTGGCTTAGCATAGTTTCAGACATTTCTAGACTAACTTCAGTCACACTGCCCTTAAGAAGTCTCATACTGAATAATTCAGGAGTTCACAATATTTTCCTTCAACTGACAGAAAGAGGGGCTAAATGAGCCCATTCAGACTTTTTGCTTTATAACAGCAGTCTATTAATTCATTTCAAGACAGAATGACACTGGCAAGAAAAAGAAGTGAGAGTAAGCTCTGGAGAAAATACTGCGGGGTAGTAATTTCCTCGATCTCTGAACCCATTTGCTTTTATCTTCTGTAATCTGACAACTATATTTGTCTTAAAGAACAGATGCCAACTTCTTGGCAAGGCCAGTGTGGAAAGTGGATAAACAATTTTCAGCCAAAACTTCATTTTCAATCAGCTGTGTTGTTTACTGTCCAATTGGCAAAAGCCTTTATCCAATAATCATTTGAATGTGTGCAATGTCTATGTCTTTGCTTTGAGACAGAGACAAAATCTGAGAATGGTGACTTTAACTTTAATTGTAAGTGGTGGTTATCTATTTCTGACAAGTCACAGTTTCATTGTCAATCCTGGTCATCTGTTTCTGCCGAGTCTCAGAGACAGTCAGTACGTTTACATGACACTTGAGAAAACCGAATTATTGCCTCATTCCAATTAAGACCAGACAACTAAAGTGCATGTAATGACCTTAGCCGACTATAATCAGAGTTTGAGAACTCTGATTAAGACACCCAGATAATGCGACTGGAATTCGATTTTCTCTACCATGTAACCGGGATAGTCTGTGTCTTAGTTTAAATGTTAATTCTTGCCCATTTCTTTCAGGTGAGTCCCACATTCATTGGTAAAAAGTGATCATCTGTTTCAGGTGAGTCTCCTTTTCATTTAGTGGGGTGAAATGTTTTTGATGAGTCTCAGTTTTACTGTAAATAATCTGCTAACAGTTAGTATCAGTTTAACTGTCAGTGGAAGCCATCTGTTTTTGGTAAGCTTCAGTTTCGTCGTTGAAATTGGTAATCTGTTTAAGGTGAGTCTAGGTTCACCAGTTCACTTTGGTCATTTCTTCCTGTCAAGTCTTTGTTTCATCAGCTCCATTACTGCTTTCTTTAGAAGTATGAACCCAAAAGGAAACATGTCTAATTTTCTTGGTACATGGCGTTCCTCTGAGGGAGGGTCTTTTTATTTTCTCCTTTTCCTCAGTCAAGGCGAATCTTTGTTTTCAAAAATTTCAATGAAGGCTGACATCGATAGCAGTGATTTTTGGGCGTTCAAAATAACTCCACTGAAATAGTCAATCCTTTAGCTTTTGTCCCTGTTTGCTTTTGTAGGTCACTAAGAGGTATGAGTATTAGTTTTGGTCTGTTTTGCAGATATAAATCGCTCTTTCCCAATTTTAAAGGTAATAAAAGTCAACAGTCTCTAAAGTTTGCTGCCTTCTGTCTGAATCTGATGACGTGGGAGGTGTAGAGCCAAACCTTGATCACCAAATCCTTTTTTTTTTCAACTCCTAACCACATTTTACGAGAGGATTTTTCTTTGTTTTGTTTTGTATAGTCTTGCCACTGAGTGCAAACAAAGCCTCTGGGCCAAAGTGTGGGAGAAACTTAGATTTCTTCACAGTTCTGTTCCTCGCACACATCGTACTCGTTAATCACTGTAACTGAGCACCAAACACCCGCTCTTCCTACACAGAACATTTTTAGAGCTCAGCCTTATATATGTTTGCAATCAACTCTTCATCAGGCAACTCTTCACTCTTGCTTCCTGCAGCCTCTCAGGGGATTATTGGTTGAGGTTTTTTTTTTCTTTTTTCCCATGTGGACGGGAGTCTAGCGGAGGCTGGGGATGGTAACTGTGTGCAAACGTACAGCCTCCTTAGTGTCGTCCCTCATCTGCTGGTTAATAAAAGGCAGAGTTAGCAGCAGCTAATCTCCTTTAACGACTCAATTTCCAAAGTGCCACAGCACGATCGATACTGTGAACAAATTCCAATTAGAGTGCCGTTTGTACTGTAGGCTGCTGTGTACTCTGCGAAACACCAGGAAATCTGCTGTAAACAACTGACCATGTAGTGACTCACTGGATTAAAAAAAATACTGTTTCAACAAGGTCAGAGACGAGGATGATTCAGACCTGAGATTCCTAAGCTTAAACAGAATTTTTAATCAAAATACTCACCCAAATTTAAAACAGCACGACTATTATCAATAAAATTAAGATGGTTTATCCTGACTTTTTTCATACGAGGAAGGCGCTACATGGTGAATCCCTGTTGAAACAACCTTTACGAAAACCTTTGCACCATTAAAAAATAGTCGAAAATGGTTCAATTGTGTTCAGTTTTGTAGATGTTGATTTCATGTCTACACTGACACCGTATTTTAAGAAATCTGCTTCTGTCACAACAAATCTAGGACGGTTTTCAAGATGCATCTCACATCGAGGCTGAAACTATTGCAAAATTCAGCAGAGGATCAGTCACCATCAAATGACTTGTCTAAATGACTTGGACTCAAGCACCAACACGCAAGCCTCGCACTTGCTGCTGCCAGCTGCCAAGATCTTAGTTGGCAGTATTATAACAACAATCAACTACGTTCACATCTAGGGCTCTCCAGTTTTTACCATTTTGTAAATAATTACATCATTGTATCTAGCAGATTTCAGCTGCCACTTCAAAAAACAATATCATCAAAAATATCACTTCAGTCCTTCTTTAAATGCTAAAAATTGAACACGTTAAATTCAAAGCTAAAATTCAAGCTTCTGCCAATGTTACGCAAGTGACTGACATTCAGCGTTAGGAGGCTTTGGCAGGTAGACGTTTTTGTTGCAAAATCTCCCAGATCAAATGTAAAACAGCATAAGCAAGATGTAATGTTACATAATAGTTTGTTTTATTTCAACGACACAGACAGCAACCCAGACAAGCTGTGTGTGAGGCGACAACAGTACGTAACTGTGCATGTGCATCTGTCCTTCCTGTGAGCCTGTGGGGGGTGGTGCCTTTTATGTATTAATCTATAACCTTTAAATTAATGACAACAAACCAGGTACTTTCTGAATGGCTTAGCTGCACTGCATCAGGGAAAACAATAAATGATTTAAACTAGATTCCAAGATGGACCGATTAACTGATCCAACTGATTTATAGGGTTTACTGCAAAGATAATCATGTATATTTGATTGTATGTAACATTTAAATCATATACGACTGTTTTTTCACTCGCATGTTTGCCTTTTGGTTAGACTGATATCAATGTTAAAATTGAATCAATCATGAACAACACACAAGATGAGAGTCATGTGTAGCCCGGGGTATTCAGGGGTAGAGTGGGTGGTCCGTTCGGTTGGTGGGTGGTCAAGGGGCGGGGCCCTGTGGGGTGCCCCACAGGCGTCTCACCATGGCGGACGTGGGTGCTGGTCGGCCTGCTTTTTGGCAGTGCAGGGGGCCGGGCTGGCCTCTGGTCCGGACTATGGTGTTGTATATTGTAGTGATTTTTGTTGTTATGTATCCTCGTCGTGGTAATCATTACTGTTATTATTGTTGTTGTCATCGTCATCATTCGTTTGTTGTCATTATTATTGCCAGTATTGCTATTGTTGTTATTATTGATGCTGTTGTTGTTGTTGTTGTTGCTTGTCGCTGTTGTGTTGGTGATTCATTGTACACAATGTGTGTGTGTGTGTATATGTATATGTATGTATGTATGTGTGTATTTATATGCATATGTATGTATATATCTATGTGTGTGTGTATATATATATATATATATATATATATATATATATATATATATATATTTCAATTTAATCTAACTAAGATTTTTTTTATTCTCTATTATATATATTCTTTCCCCCTCCCTCACAAAAGTATTTTTGTGAATTTTTTGTTGTTGTTGTTTTTGTTGTCACTCTGTTTTGTTGTTAAATAAAATAAATAAATAAATAAATAAAAATAAATAAATTAAATCAATCCAAAATAACAATGACGACTATATTCATCATTCTTTCAAATACAGACGATACAGCAGCCCTGATGAGACACAATCATACGTGAAGCCAAATAAAAAACATCATCTCTGGAGAAAATTCAATGAAATCAGTGTTTCTGCATTCAGCAATTTATTCATCAACAAAACAATGCCTTGTAGCTGAGTGAAATGATTTATTTAGGTTGAAAAAAATCTTTTCTCCTCCCCGCTGGCATGACTGAGAGCCTAATAAATAAATCCTGTCATCTCTGATACGCTGGCTGGCTCGGCTAGTTTTCTCAGTGAGGGGGCTCAAGGTCAGACCTCTCCATCTCACCTGACAGCTGGAGAAATTCACACAAAACCTCCTGCTCTGCTCTCTCTCTGACACACACACACACACGCACACAGCTTTTCCCAGCATGCCTCTCTCACTCTTAATTCAGATATTCATTACTAAAATTGCCTGATTGAAATTGAGTCTCTCTAGTCTTTTTGGCTCCTATGAAGGAGCTAACAGTTCTGAAAGCTACCAGAAGCCAAAAGCTTCTGTCACTTCTTCTCACCTCTGCGGCTACAGCCTTCTATTTGTCCTGACAGCTGGAAAACTACCTGCACTATTTCTTTAACATGGGTTTCTGTCTGCAGCTTTAATTATTCTCTAAATCTGGCGTTTCCATTAGTTTACAGCCCTGAGTCTCCCTGCAGCGTGCAGGTGAAAACTAACTCGCTCAGCCTGATGCATGGAGATGTTTTCTTGTACTGCACCCACTATACTGCTGCAGTGTTTATTGATTTGATACAGCTTTACATGGGTGGATACATTTCTCAGAAAGAACAGGAGAAGGCGCTAAGAAGGTGAGAAAAGTCAGACTCAAACATTGTGACTGCTGCTGTTCTTTTAAAACACACCAGCATCCCAACACACATCCTTTTCCAGACGGGGAGTTTAGTCGTTTTATTCTCTTTCATGCTTCTTCTTGTCATATTGTGCTGAGCCATGAAAGTGTGATGAGAATTTGCATAAAAATATTTCCTGTTTTCACACAAAGGCACAACAAGAATAGAAAATGCTACCTAAAGCACGTCTGAAAATCAACTTCCTGACCCAGTTTTACTGCTCACCCTACATAGCTGGAAATTCCTGACAAACAATACATATACACCAAAAAGAGGCCGAAATTTGCCTACCAAATGCACTCAAAGCTGCTTTTGTTCACTAATAAAGAACAGGAAGTCATGCTGCTTGTGCATGCGCTGCTTGGAAAATAATTATGTTTGTGCGGTAACCACATGTATGAGTACTATGCACACATGCTGCACGGTCAGATCAAGGTAATAATGTGGCAGCTAATTGAAAAAAATGGTTGCAATCAGAGCTGTGGTGCTTAATCCCCCCCCCCCCCCCCCCCCCCAGGAGACAGTTTAATCACCAGCTAGGTCCTCACAAACACATCTACACACAAAAGTAAACAAAAAATCGAACACAGACGTTGTAAATTGAACTCTAAAATCTTATCAAGAAACGCTCAATGCAATAAAGCCTGCAACAGCAAATAATATGAGACACATTCTTGTTAAGAGTTGCAGGAGGACCGCCCCTGCTGCACAATCGAAGAGAAAATCACTGCTTTTCCCACCAGGTGACTTCAGCATGTGAGAGAAGGAACAATAAGCCATCATATTTTAATCACACCTCTTTATTTCTTCTAGTCTGACAGCTGCATATTAATTCCCAGTTATTCTTAACTGCCTCTGAAGAAACATGAGAAACAGAGGTCAGTTTATTTTATTCATAATACTTTGAGAAAGAGGAGGAGGAGGAGGTGAAGAAAACTGCTTCTATTTCAAGCAGATTATTTGTCCCATTTTTCAAACAAAGAGCCGCAGCTTCCAGCATTCATGGACCTGAAAATGCCACATCCTCACAAAGAGACATGTTGGTAAGACCAGGTTTTATGCATCAGGTTGTAAAGAGCACTGAGCCATGAAATAAAAAAGTTACAGCAGTGTCTGTGAAAGGATGTTTGTGAACAGGATGCATGGTAGCTCCCTGCACGCCTGACGCCTCACTGCTCAAAGTTTAGGTAAAAGGTAGAGAAGGTTTACAGGTTTAAATAATGATTCCTCTTTTATAAAGTCAACAGTCAAAATGTTGGGATAATTTCACTTTTGTTCATGGTTTTCTCTCTCATTATGCATTTAGCACATTTAACATTTATTAATTGCTAAATGGTCCTTAGTGCTTCACTCATGGTGAACCAACGTTGAGTCTTTGTAAAAAAGTCTAACAAAATATGCTGTCTAGACCTGCCAAAGTTCATTCATAAGGAACTCGGGTTGGACTTACATACAACCAACAAGGACAGAGGGAATAACAGGGACTATATACACACTGGTAAACCAGCAACAGGCGAGGAAGACAAGACACAGGTGAATCTAATGAGTGATTAACAAAGGAGGGAAAACTAGGGAAGTAAAACAGGACTAGAAACACAGGGAATAAACTACTACAAAATAACACAGGAAACATTCACAACTGATATACAGGATAAAACACAGAGAACAGGAGGGAAACAGGGTCAAACACAAACTAAAAAACTGACAAGACTGGACTACAGGGGAATATGAACCATAGGGAACAGAAACACTAGGGACAATACACAAAATGTACTCAAATAGAACCAGGAAAAAAAAACTAAATCAACAGAACATATCATGACATACACCATGCTATTGTGGCAGTCCGAGGTTAAGAAAACTGACTGACTGAAACTGGCAAGATGTTGTGACATGCGACATGCAAAACGGCACGGCTGCTGGGAAAGAGTATGAACGTCTGTGGTGGTTTTTGCAGAACAGTTGGCGTGTCCTATGACATCCTGACTTTGCAGTGCCGAAGCAAAACCTGTGTGGTGCAGGTGGAGGAGGAATTACTTGAGCATACATGTGGGCAAAAGTGGTTTTGAATGTGTGCTTATGCAAATTACTCCTGTGGTTACATCACCACAGGAGACTGTTCAAATCCTCAAGTAGAAGCTGTTTTCCCTGTAGGTGTGCTACAGAAACAATGCAGAGGCTTTTAGCTTCCACTTTCTCAAGGTTTTTTTTGGCTGTAAGATAACTCCAGTATATACATCTATAGGCAAGAAAATCTATTTTTCATCAAATGGGACCCCAAGACAACATCTCCCATCCTTAGATGATGCAACAGTTTATTTTCCTGCAGCAAACTGAATTTTTCCATCACTGACAGGGCGATGGATTGGGAGCAGCTTGCAGGTTGGAAGAAGAGAACGCATTAACACCTGAACCATTTAGTCTCGCTCTGACCGAGGTAAAACCTGAAAGCTTCCTGGGCCTCTCTCTCCATTTGTGTCAAAGCTGCATTAAGACCCCGAAGGTAAAAGGACCTGCTGTGAAGGTGGTCTTCAAAGAGCTTATTAGAAAGCTACAGTGCACCTCTGCAGCCTTTAAGATATCTAGGATCAAATGCCTCAGCCTTTTAAGCCTCCTACTTTAGCAGAAATAGTCTCCCCTGCCCCCCTTCCCTCCCCGACTCTTCCTCCTTTTTTACATCATTAGTTTCCTGTACCTTCAAAGGGGACTAATGAAGAAAACGCAGCATTTTAAATCTGTATAAAGCTCAGTATCCAAATGCAACTAAGTGGTATTTTGAGTCTCAGGGCTCAAAAATGCTGCACACTCAAAAATAGTGATTTTATATACAGAACATAAAAATTCAATAGCAGAGAGGCAAGACTAGAAAAAAAGAATAGGAAAGAAGCTTGTTATTGATGTGAGAAAAAGACTGAAAAGCAGTCAGAGTGGCGGTTGTGTATCTTGAGGAATGGTTTATTAGAAAAACGATACAAAGATAGAAAGACAGAGCAGCTCTGGAGAGAAACAAAAGGAATAAAAAGAGGTAGAGGGAGACAGAGAGAGGTGAGGGAGAAGCCGAGGCTGCGAGACAATAATTACATATTTTTCTTTTCACCTTTTGCTCTCAGGTAATCGTTGCCATTCGCAGGAGCGGCAGTAAATGAGGTAGTTGTTCCTCTTGGTGCTGCTTGGCCATTCTTCTTACCCTTTTAGTTTCAAAACACTGCAGTGCATCCACTGCTTGAATGAAATTTCCACATTTCCTGCTTGAATGCATGTTGCACACATGTTTTCGTGCAAAGACTGACATCATGGATGAAAACAGCACGCATCTCCCCTCAATATCCTGTCGCACAGATTGGAAAGGTGTGTGCAGTATCTGAAAAATGAACTCCAGCTCATTCATTAGACTAACCCCCTGTGCAGCTCATCCTCAATCCCACTCATGCACACGAACACAAACACAAACAGAGGGCGAGAATTTACACAGTCTGACTCTCCCTGGTTAGCGGCCAGGCAGCGTTTAATGAGCTGGAGGCCAGATGCCTTCCCCTGACTGCAGCTTATGAGTGGTTAATTAATCAGACAGCTTTCCTCCACCATACCAACCCCTCTCTAAATATCTCCCTCCTACACCCTAAATCTACTCTGCAAATACTATTTCACGAACAGGTGAGATTCTCTAAATAATTTCATGCACCTTTGCACAACACTTTGCTGCATTAACAGGATTGCAGAATTACACAGGCGCCTCATCAATGAGACAATTTTAATGACAATTTCTGAATGAACAACAATTGAAACAGTAAAGCTGTAACAATCTGAACACTAGTATCAGCACTGACCTCTGACACAGCGTACAATGGGGCACCAGTAAAAGCTCAATTTAATATCACAACCAATTAGGCCAAACAGTCGTTGAGCTTCAGGTAAGGTATTATTAAATCAGACCAGTCAATAGTAGGAACCCACTGGCTGAGGTGTGATAATGGGGCAGCATCTGCAAATGGTAACAATCTTTTGGGGGGCATAGATGACCGCTATCTGGTGGCCTGATTTCAATGTGGTGAATTGTGTTCCATCAAGACACAAATTATTCCAGGCTGCAGCCAGTTACTGTTGAATTGCTGCTGGACAATACTACTGATCAGGGTAAGCTTAGCAGACAACATAAGCAGTGACTCAGGGCAGCATGTTGTTGGAGACTCTGGTTTACACCTCTGGCACCCACATGTCCAAAAATATAACAACAAGGCATGATCTGCAGAGATTTATTTTTGCCATTTATTTTGTCAAAATCAGTAGGGTGATTTTTTGGTGTGTCAAAATTCTTGACCATGTAGCGGACGGAATGAACAAATACTAGCTGTGTTTACGAGGGCACAAATAATGCCCGATCGGAATAGAATTGCGTCATGTAAACATGTCGATCGGAAGAGGGGTGGTTTATGCCGAAATCGCTATTCCGAAACACGTTCATGTAAACACATATTCCGATCGTGACTCTCTTACCTGACTTGATCTTCAATCTTTAGCCTTTGGCTCTTTTACTTAGACCGGTACAGGAGGTTTCATTATTAACACTCTGGCATAAAACACAACCGCAGGTGCCGAGTCTGCTCCTCCGGTAACGCACAGTGCAACCTTTGGCTGAACAGTAAAATAATGCTGCGTTCGAGTTAGCTCGGAAGTCAGAAGTCAGAGCCATAGACTGTATATACTATGGACAACTTGGTTCCACCTTCCGCCTGTATACTGATTTGAGGCCAAAACGCTCTCGGTAATTCCGCGTTCTCTCTCCATTTCCTGAAACCAACATTGTGCAGTAGGATTGTACGCGATCGGTGGGAGAGACGACGAGAGTCGCTGTGATGACGCTCGGCTTAAACAGCGTATCCTCTGGGTGAGCTACGCAATCCTTATACGCCCACAGGCTGTATCAGGTGTCAATCATAGAAAACACGAACCTTCTAATAACTTTTAAAAATGGAGCTTCACAGAAAAAAGAGGACTTGAGCACAAACCAGTCTTACAGTAACTACATGTCAACATCGCAAGCAGGGGGGAGAAAAAAATATGTTCTGTGTAATAAATTTCTAAAGTTTGTCCACAGCCCCATAAGCTTTGCTGGCGGAGGCGGGATTTATGACCTAAACTGCAGCCCGTCCCCAGAGGGTGCTGTTCTCGGAGTGGCTTTACCCAGCGAGGAGGCAGACAGCATCCATTCTATATACAGTCTATGGTCAGAGCTGAAAATGGCATCACACCCGAGTTCCCAGCATTTCAGTTACCAAGTTGGAAATTAGCAAAATCAGAGGTGGAAACAAGATGGCTACATCGAAAGTTATTTTAGCGAGTGCCTTGTCCAGATATAAGGCAAGCGCTAAAATAACTTTCGTAGATGTAGCCATCTTGTTTTCGTTCTGATTTTCCTTTTTTTCCGACTCAGTATCTAAAACGCTGGGAACGCTGGTGTGACGTCATTTTCAGCTCAGACTCAGACTTCTGAGGTAACTGGAACTAAGAATAAGTATGCAAGACCGCCATCGAGTGACATCATTTAACAGGGGAAAACTCCTGAATTGGATGGAGTGAGACAGTACTGGGTTTGTTCGTTCCTTGACAACACAGGCGTAAATACATCTCTTCTTCTGTAGATGTTTTAGTGAAATCAGACAACTCTGCACATGTCCAAATGCTTCCAAATCTGAATAAAACTTGGTGCATGGATACACACCTTATGATCGAAATTGGTTTTGCACCCATATAAACAGTGGATTCAGACTATCCAATCCCTCAAATTTTTAATCAGATCAAGAAATTTTGCACACGTAAACATGGCTATTGACACAAAGTTCCTCACAGGAGCTTTAAATCAATCCACATGAAGGGATCCTGGCCAATTCAGCTCTGCCTGTTGACACTGCGGCAAAGGTGTGTCAACTGCAAAGCTCTGAGAAGCATGAGAGCTGAATGAGGACAAGATTGTCAAGATAAACACTCTTGCTGAAGTCCAGATCATCTCTTAATGTTGCCTTTAACAGAAATGTTTAGCTTAATGTAAATTGTGAAAATAAACACACTGGTATTTTAACTTGACCATGAACTGAAATGTTGAGTCGAATTTGTTTACATCTTTAATTGGTAGCCATCTGAAAAGGACAATAATCTATAGTGAATAGGTGGGTTTGCAAATTGAAATCGGGGGTAGGTTCAGCTGTTCATAAACATTTTTAAGAGCCCCTTTCCACATCTCTTACGCTATCTTTGAGTCTCATACAACAAACCACCACAGGGTGAAAAGCTGTTCCCTAATTGGCTCTAACAAGGACTGTGTTATTCCAGCTGGGTTGAGTAATTACTTCTGTCTCAGTGAACAGAAATAAAAATAATTGGTTAAATATTTCACAAACACAAACTTAAACCAACTGTTGTCCTCAGGGGTTGTGATAGATACTGGGATTTTTTTCAATGTGCCAGCTGGTTACGGTCACAGAGCAGAGGATGACATGCAGAGTCAACACTGTGCCAGCTAGAGATAAAAGGTGAGAGACAACAGACCAAAAGCTAACACTGACTCTCCCCAAAGGCTCCTGCTGAACTGGTTCATATGCAGAGGCACAAAGCGCAAACACAGACAACGTGCTGAGGAAGATAATTAGCTTTTCTTGGGGGTGGAGCCTCTGAAATAGTTTGGATTTTTTGTGATGATCTCAGCAAAGGTAAGGTCTGTTTCCAAAGCTGCTTCTGTATTAACATTAAAGCTCCTGAGAGAATTTTTTCATGTTTATGCCTGGAACTCATGTCATTGCCTTTATATGATTTACAAAAGCAAAAAAGATCATCAGCAACAAGACTGACAATTTGTTTGGACAGATATAATACCAATCATAAGGGGATAGATGTCAGCCAAGCAGCTGAAAAAACAACCCTGCTTTTATAATTGTCCTTAAAATATTCACAATAAATGATAAATTTCACTGTCAGAAATCAGCAGGATAACAGTTTTTTGTCAAAAGTCACAACCTAAGCATGTTTGGGACAAGGTAAGCAAAGACTGCATTTTCACAGGGGGCGCCAAGATTGACACAAACCAAAAGTTCCTTACAAGAACTTTAATTTAAAGTAGGCGGAAAAATTTTTGGCTCAGTAAAATTTTATCACAAGTAACTTTATAATTTCTGCAAAAAAAGTAAAAATAAGAAAATAAGTCAAGGTAAGTATTAATATCATTATTAAACTGCATTATTCTAAACATCAACAACTACATAGTTTAAACTTAACAAAAGTTAGTGGCTGTTTACATTTGATATGCTGTCATTGGGGAAAAGAAAAATGACTTTTCTATAGCGGTGATGTCTGCCTTGTGAAGACCGATGCCAATGTGTTAATCTGATTAATTCGTGCTATAAATCAGTCTATCTCTAGTTTGATGCATGCTGGAAAAAACAGTCCATATGAGGGCATATCCTGGTTTACATCAGTGGTAATCTGGGACAATCATACCTTTGTAAAGAGATACCAGTATCACTCTATTATTGTCCTTATGAAGTACTACCGATAACAGCCCAAAGACAACAAAATGGCTTGACCCTTTAACTGCATTCCTTAAATTTGTGAGCTATTTTGCTGGATTATCTACAACCAACATTGACAGAGTTCTGGTTTTCTATCCTGGAAATGTTTTGTAAATTTCTCTGCCCAAGTGATTCTAGTCTGTTATTGCTCTTTTCAAGCTTAACAGAAGTTTACTGGTGAAGTGATCACTTTACATGTTAAGTATAGAATATCTTCTGTTACGCCTACATTCATGCCAACAGGGTCAGCACACCAACAAAAAAAGATTCTACTTCAGCCTCCACGAACTTTCAGGCACTCCTGAAACAACTAAAACTGAGTTAGTGTGGGTCAGAATGAGGTCATGTGTGCACTGAGTAGAGATGAAAGCAGGTGTTTTAAAAGATGGCGGAGAAGATGAGAAGAGAGAGGAGCGTTCCCCCCTGACACGCTCCTGATGAGCAAAGTGAGCAGGTCGCTCAGCCTGCTGGCAGCAATCAAGGAAACCCCACGAAGCCCTCAGCATGTTCACAGCCTGTTCATTACTCAGAAGGAGCAAGAGGCAACGGAGCAGAGCGGTGCGGAGACAGAACAGAAAGTGTCCTACCTTCTGCTCGCACCGTAAACGGGGAATCTCCGGGTCTCTTGGCCGAGAACTGGCCCCCCAGAGAGGTCATTAGGAAGCACAGGCTGAAGAAACCGATCCCCAACACGAAGATCCTGCAGGAGGGAGGAAAAGACAGGAGGTGACACACGAGCAAGATGACAAGTTTAGAGAGAACGGACAACTAAAAAATGGAAAAGGAAAACGATCGAGGAGAGTTTGCAAACAGACACATCAGTCTAACTCAATTTAATTTAGTTTGCTTGATTGAAGGATTATAAAGCACAAGAGAAAGTCAACCTAAGAGAAGAAAATGAAAAACAAACAGAAAAGGCAGATGGAGGGACACGCATAAAAGAAAATTGGGTTTGAAAGACTGCTGTGAGTCTTAAGGATGACGATTCAGTGGGATTGTTGTCTGTCCTGAACATTTCAGTGCTTAAAAAAATAAATTGAATTAGACATTGAGGTAATATATGAAAAGGAAGCAGTAATAAAAAATACAACAAAAATCAAAATCTATTGAGTCTTGGTGAAAACTATAAACAGTCAGAATTTTTATGACAAAGTGTATAAGACTGATCAAAGTTTTGATGTGTTTGTGTCCAACGCACTGACTGTATATGACGAGATATTTTCATAGCCTGGCTGGGCCATCCTGTTGCGTGAATCCCTTGCTGTTCCTTACCACAAGAAGGAACGGCAAGTGATTCACGCAACAGTATGGCCTAGCCAGGCTAATATTTTCATCTTCTTGTATTGTAAAAAATACCCCCTAAGACACAACTCTTAGTCTGTGCTTGTGAATTTGGAGCCAGGATCCGCTCTCTGTATTAATAAACTGCAATTTTCACACATTTAAAGGAGACCTATTATGCTGATCTGTATTTACATACATATGTTGACATAAGTGCGTTCCTTGATCGGCTTCTTTTGATAACTTTGAGAGAATTGGCTTCAACTTGACGTCGGGCTCTGCTGTCCAATCACATAAGTGCTGAAGTACATTACCACCCCGTGCAGCTCTGATGAAGCTCTTCCAAAGACACAACCTCCCAGAAGCTTGTTCAAATCTTACTTCATGTTCAAAGTCAAAGCCGGTTTTTCCACCACTCTGCACTTTGTTGATTCACTATGTCTGAGAAAGTCTCTCACATGTGGTGTCTTTGTTGTGGAGGAAAAGGCATCAGAAAACAGTGGTAAAAATTCATGTTTTTGGGACAACTACATCGCTGTTTGTGCTTTCTATTTCACTGAAAACTCCATGTTGACAGAGGCCAGTTAGAGATGATTGCTTTTCACCTGTTGTTGAAACATGAGGCTGTTCCATCAATGAGGACACCCTTGTAAAGGCTTAGAACTACAAGCTGTGGGTTAGCAGCAAATGTAACAATAGAAGACATATGCTAACATAGCTAAATAGGGAGATAAGTGGATGTTATCAGGTAGCTTCAGATGTTTTCTTTCAAGGTATAGCTTTTGCCATTTCTGTTGAAAAAAGGACAATTCCTCCAGTTAGATGATGAACCTTTGGCATTGACTGACTACAAAGCTGTGTAATAAGTAGCATCTATAGCCTGTGCCTAACTTTATATCAGTAGAAAAGCAGCTGAAGCAAAGTCAGAGGCTCAAAAGTGCAAACACCAGCATTAGATAATCATTTTGCTGCTTTAATTTCACATTGTCTCTGCCTTCTTGCAAATGTACCCTCTCAGTGTGTGCTTTTATTCAGGCTGTATTTCCATTACCTTTAGAGGATAGTTGTCTCACAGAGTCCAGTGAAGGCATTTAAGGTGAGAAAGAGTAGCACTCTCCTCGCTGTCTTTTGAGTTACAATGCAGACGGAGTCAGGAACCATCCCTCTGGGTCTTTTCTTTGTGAGGCTTTTTTGGAGCATGGACATACTTTCATATTGTACCAATCAACTCAGAGAAAAGCCTTGTGCACTCGCTTGACTGTGTCATCGCAAATAAAGCATGACACGGGCGCTCTGGTTTTCTGCCTCACACTGTGCTCAGTGAGCTAACAGCTCAAATAAAAGCATTAAATTACAGGCGAATGGTTGAGGTCTGCACAGAGCGGTCAACACACAGAGAATTGTCAAGTTTTTCAGCTTTTACAGTAAAAGCTTTGGACACATCAGCTCAACACTGACTCTCTCCTCGCTCCAAGAGTCATGTCACGCAGAGAAAATGTCAGAAAAAACACCTTAGAGAAAATCCTGAGCCACAAAAATGGATTTTATGCTGAAATCAAACTTCTGGTTGGATTTTAGGAAAAGTTGAGTTGATGCAGCTTTTCCTTCCTATATGGGGATGTAATCTACAGACATGCTGCTTCCTCTGCTTTTAAATCAATACTCAGTTTATCACTCTGCTCTTAGATTTATGACCACATACCCACATGACCACACCATTGCACCTCCATTGTTTTTATCCCACACTGAGGCCTGATAAAAGTTTGATTTTCTACTTACTATAAATCCTTTTTTAGATGTTCACCACCCTTTATAAACTCATTCCTGGACTGGAAAATAGGACCTATCTTGCTCCTCTTGGAGTTTGATCCTTTTAGTCCTGCAGGGTAACTTTAAAGGAGGAAAATTAGCTTTCATATTATGGCCTTTAAATGTTTATCAATTTACCGTACATGCTCAAGGTCTGCACTCTTAGTTCTTTTGGAAAGATCTGCAGATGTTTTCACAGATTACTGTGCTTCTGTTTGCTTTACACATTCATTTTTCTTAATCTCTACCTCACTGCAAATAAAGGGAACCATCATGATTTTTAGAGTGTGGATAAAACATTGAATAACTGAATAATTGCAAGGGCACTGAGGGGTGTGTGTCATACTTCAGCAAGGCTAGGTGATTGAAAAATTCAAGATTATACACTAACAACTGAGAGTCTGCAGACACTCAGCCAACATCTGTGACAATAAGTAAGAGAAATTGGAAAAAAATCAGTGATTTAACATTGACAAAAGCATGCACTGCTGTATGAGCTAACAAGTGTATTGGCTCCTCTCTCTGTGCTCACTCATCTGTGCAGATTAAGCATGCAACAGATTCATTTGCATGTTTACTCCTGCTTGTAGTACAACTGTATTTTCTCAAAGGATAGTTTGTCTGCGAGGGTGACATGGAATCCATCTTTGACTCTGATTACTAATTCTGAACATTAATGAGTCCTCCAGCTTGTGTACAACTTTTGTGCTTAAGCCGGTAAGTTTTAATGAGTATAAAGATGCTCCATTTACTTCTAGTTTGTTGTGAAACTTTTGGCTGCACAGCCAAACCTTAATTACTGCACAGCAGGGGTCCAGTTGTTCCAATTAATGCAAATAGTCTGAACCTGCTTTTAAGACCATTATTTATCCACCAGAAAGCTAAAAGCACCGGTATACACGAGGCATAGCAGGACAAATGAAAAGCTAAGTGAGGAGACTTAAAGGTGCAGTTCAAATTGCATGAAAATGCATCAAAACACCACAGAGAGTCATTTAAACTTTTCAAACTACACACTTTGTAAGGCCCTGAATACAACACTCCTTTGGAAGCTGCAATTCCATAATCGTGTAACATAGTTCTGTTTGCATAACTGTCAATGACTTGTTCAGTAACCTAATAAGTGCAATGTTGATCAACTCAAATACTTGATCTTTCATTGAGTGCAATAACCTGTGTAACATCCCAACTGCTGCAAACTGTCTTTTGCATAAATTACCTTGAGCCCCTTGTGCTTTACACAGTTTATTTCTAAACACTCTGCATCTTTTGTACATAACCAAATATTTTTCCCCTTTAAACTTAAATGTTTTTAATAAAAAAAGTTCCTAATAAAAGTATTCCTGATTCTAAAATTCATTGCAATTTAGCCTAAAATATGCTCAAGCTTATAAATAAATACATTTTGTGTACTAGTGACTTCATACTATGCATAAAATCTTACCCTATGAGTGTGGTGAGTAACTACTTGTTTCTCTATATTGTATATTGTTTTTTGGTGCTGCCTCTTTATGATAGTATTTTGAGATGTTTGACTTGGTGTTTTAACCTATTATGAAGTAATCTAACGTGCTTAATGTTACTTTTATTTTGCCATGTTTTTATTTTTGCATTTTCATTCATTATGAGAGGAAAAGGAGAAAAACTATGAATAAACCACGTGAACAAAATGAGTTTTTGTCCTTTACCTTGACATAAATAAATAACCCTCTGAATCTAAATCTTACCTGAACGGTTTGAAAGTGAGAAGACATCTCCTCACCATAATGAAAAACTCGGTGCTGTTAGCGATCATTTTCCACACACGAACACAGCTCCAGGTCTCCTTACCATGGTGAAAGGCTTCCCCACAGAAAACCAATGAAATAAAGCCACAACTTTCCACTCAGAGACCGTCCATACTGCGTGAAAAACCCGGTAACTTCCCAGTCCAACTTCAGCAATAACACTGCAAACCTGCGAGCCCTGCAGCAGCGGTCCAATATTCCTCCCTACCGGAGCTGCAGAGGGACAATAGTGCAGAAATCTGGTCCCTTTTGTGATGAATGGTGTCTACATCAGTGTGAAGTCCAGGGGATGAATCTGCACCGAGCGCTGTAACAGAGGACTGATGAGTTCACTGACTTCCTCTGAATGAATGAAGCTTCGCCTGAGCTCCCCTCTCGTCCACGGAAGCTCCTCCACTCTGGTTCGCTTGTTCACAGCGCCCCCTCACGACCAAGACTTGAATAATTTTTTTGTTGTAGTTTTTAGTTTTCTGTGCTCCAAAAAGAAAAAATTACCAAAATAAATATAAATAAATATATATGTATATATCAATGTATAGCTTGAATATTGGTTTAGCAGAGCAAATCCCTGTATTCTTGTATTTTCTTTTAATTTGTAGTCAGATTAAATATTCATCTATATATTGGTGTAGAGCTCATTTGTGCAATAGTGTCATCTCTTATTTTATTTAGTTACTTCTGTGAGGTTTTAATCATTACTTTCAAACGTTTTGTGTCATTATTGTACATTTGAGTTTTGCACATCTAGATGTAGCCTTTAATAGTGGTTAACTGTCTTAATTTCATTCCATTTGGTGTCATGTTTTTATAAGTTTCTGGGTCCAAATTTTTAGAAAGGTTTGATATTAATAAAGCTGAGTTAAGACTTTGTATGTTTTTTATGTGTTAATTTTTTCCCTTGTTTTTTTAACAGTTTTATCAGAGGTTTTAAGACACATTTCAGCACTGTGGACAGCTCCATCTGTGACCTCACGTGAAGCTCAGCAGCGGCCCCCAGCGGTCGGACCAGAAAATACATTCACAAAAGGAGGAAAAACTGGTGATGAAATGATACAATAACCAAAAGCAGAAAACTGCAGTTCCTAAAGTGGTCAGTAGGGGACACCCTGGACAAGTCGCCAGTTTATCGCAGGGCTGACAAATAGAGACCAATAACCATCCACGCTCACATTGACACCTATGGGAAATTTGAAAGTGGCCATTTAACCTAACCCCACTTAAGCATGTTTTTGGGATGAGGGAGGAAACCGGAGTACACCCACGCAGACACAGGGAGAACATGCAAACTTCACACAGAAACGCCCTGACCCAGATTTGAACCCAGGACCTACTTGCTGTGAGGCAACAGTGCTAACCACTCCACCACTCTGTGGAGGTCTTACTTTCATGGTTAAAATTTGAATGCAGAATTAAACACATTTACAGCTTGGTAAAAGGAAAATAAATATATAAATAAATAAATGGGCAACTGTCATGGTTCATTTTACATCAATGAATACTTCTTTTCCCACAGAAGCCACCCATTCAAACTGTTTTTACATTGAAGTTTTTTATATTTCGAAATATGACTGCTATAACAATCCAACTAAAGCTGCTGTCTACCAGATATTACCTCAAATTTTTGGTAGATTTTTTAAAATATAAATATTGCTTAGATATGTCTTGCAGTTCTATTAGTCTAGTAGGAGGCTGTTCAAAAAGTCTGTTGCCTATTTTGCCTTATATTTTGCATTATATTTTCTTCATTGGTAGTGGTAGCCCCATAGACTGTACATAGAATGGACGCTGTCTGCCTCCTCACTGGGTGAAGCCACTCTGAGAACAGCACCCTCTGGTGACGGGCTGCAGTAAAGGTTATAAATCCCGCCTCTGCCAGCAAAGCTTATGGAGCTGTGGACAAACTTTGGATATTCGTCATCACAGCGACTCTCCCGCCGAATACGTACAACGCTACTGCGCAATGCTGGTTTCAGGAAATGAAGAAAAGTCGCGGAAAACCAAGGGCTTTTTGGCTTCAAATCCGTATACTGGTGGGAGGCAGAACCAAGTTGTCTATCGTATATACAGCGCAGTGGTAGCCCTAATCAGCAGACATCAGTGTTTGTCTTCAACATTCCTGGCTCGTTATGGGCTTAAAGTTGGCTCCTATATTTTGTCCATACATCTATCAGTGTGTTGCAGCCAGTGTGTAGGAGTCAGCATTGTTGTTGGCTTGTTGTCACAAAAATAATACACTTTAAAAAAAATATTAATAGGTCTACTGAATAATAATGTTGCTTTAATGAAACTAGCCCAGCGACTAAATTGATGTATTCCATCATTTGTTGTTGTTCTCTCTTGGATGTTATTTGATCCATTTGGTTTGTCAACCACCACGGAGTCATTAAGGAAAGAGCGAGTATAAAATGTCACCACAATAAAAAAAAAAGTCATCCAGGGCCACATCCTAATGGAGCAGCAGCATCCTGTTTCCATGACAACTGTTTTCACTTTCCATGTTGCGCTTTCTTGGCTCTGCTTCTTGTCGTTTTTTTTTTTTTTTTTTTTTCTTTTCTGTTGCCTCTCAGCCTGCAGCCCAGAAAGACTGGCTCCACTCAGACCACAGAAATTAAAATGCTCTACTGGCTGGATCACATTCGCTCTCTGCAAAATGACAACAAGGCCTCCATCAGACTCCCTGCAGGGGATGATTTCTTTATCATAGGGCTGGATGACAGAGAGACTCAGCGGGGTTACAAATAAAACAAAACAGATTAATTGTGGGTCTGTGCAAAACAAACTGGTTGAAAGAATACAACACATAGAGAAAAATGATTGAGGGTCACATCAGTGTCTTCAGTATCAAGCACTGATAAAAGGCCGACACAAGCTGAATAGTGACATCTCTTCATGTACATTGGAAGGGCTAAGTGAGGATCATTATGGGTAAAAATCTCATTAATTGTTTCTAAACAAAGAAGTTTAGTATAGTTATTCACCACAGTATGGTTTGAACTCAACCACATTTGCAACTGAGTAACTATATTCCATTACTTTTGCATTTTTTCAATTCCATTCAATTCTGTTTCTTTCTGTTCCTTTTTTTCAATTTCAATTCCATCTATTCCATTTAATTTTGTTCAATACTGGATATCATCACCTTTTAGTAATTTGCTGTACTTAATCTGTATTCTACTCTATTTAAAGCATCAGAGTTTAGTTAAATCTGAGGAGTAAGAGAATGAGTCATGCACCTATTACCAGGACAAAACCACCTGTGCTCATTTTTCACCGACTGTTTCATTTTCAGGTGCTCTTTTCTATTTCCTTTGCGCTTTTTCTTCTGATTCAGCATGATGCTTCTTGAGGATAACTTTAAAGTTTTCCTCTTTTTCTTATTCTTCACCATCTCCTACTTCAAGCTGACCTCACCGCTAGCATTATCTGCAGTATTTGTTATCTTGCTGCCTTCTGGTCTAATTTTTCTCTCTCTCTATCTATCTACCGTCTTGTCTCTTGAGTATCTACTTCCACTGCAGCGTCTCTCTCCATCTCCTTCTATTTGGATTAGGCTTCCTCCGCTGTGCTAAAGAACTGCAGCAGCAGACGCCCAAGGACAGAAAACTCTTTGTTTTGAATTATTATCCAACACTGTTAAAAGTAATAAGTTGTCTCAACTTAAAATGATAAATTAACTAGTTAAATGGATTATTTAGAGTTATGACCACTATTGTGGTTTAGTATAGCCAACATCAAGATACCAGTTCAGGGTACACAGCTTTCCTAACAAGTTAAGCCAAGTTCTATTATGTTTTCTCAACAAACAAAATGTCACAGTATGAGACAATATATATTCAAGTTTTTTTCCCCTTTATTTCATGTAATCTCAACTACTGGCATCAAGTTGTCTTGACTAACACTGGCTTTTTCCTACTGAATCCCAGTCATATGTTAGTTAGTGTCCTTACAGTAAATTATAACATGAACTAGATATGTTTGCTTTTTGTCAGTTTCATCACCTAACTTTGACCAAAGTACACCAATGATTATAAACATGTCACGTAAAGAATGCAGGATAAACACTTAAGTCCTGGTAGAAAACGCCTTTTTAAACAATCAAATCATGTTCATCCCTCATGTTTTGCTTTAGCCCCTTACATTTGAAAAACAGACAAATTATACCTGTAGCTGACATTAAAAATATTTCATTATTCATAACACACTGGAAGTTTTATAAAAACAAGTTTACTTCACATATTTGAAGTGAAAACAAAAACAAACCTTGATCTATTTCAAATTTGACCCTCAAATTGGTAGAGATTTCAGAACCTGTTTGGTTCTGCTGTAGAGTACACATACGCTTGAAGAGTATTATTATTCAGCCCACACACTTTTGCACAGCAAGCTCCAGGTCCTATTCCCATCAGTACAAGCTGAAAAGTCTCAATTATGTATTTCACTGAATTTTCATGGTCTTTGTTGGGTGTGAATTCCAAATGCATCACCGTTGCAAGAGCACTCAGCATGCCATGGACGTATTGAATTGATGTCTTTGACTTCTTCAGTTTTTAAAAGGCTGCTTCCAACTCCTCAATGATAACAGCAATTCCAACAGCGTCTCCTCTTATGGGGTCACTCTCAGGAACTGGTGACAAAAAAACTGAAATAAATGTCTCAGGGACACTTTGCTATATCAAACATAACATTGGCCTTTAAAAAATGTTGAATTTATGATGTGCTGTTGTGATTTTGCCAATGCCTTGTTAAAAAACAACCAGAATCAGAAAAAAAAGGTTTCTGAAACAACATTAAAGCAGTAAAATTTGGCCCTGCAGACAGCTGTATATTACAAGGGGAAATATCCCCTTTCAGCCACCTACCATATTAGTGGCTTGCAACTTCCAAGTCTGATACAAATGCTTTACAATTTAAAAGGTGGACTTTTTAAAAACATCACCTTGGGACATCACCTTGTCTTTAACTCTAATTTTACACCAGTTCCAGTGTCACCAGAAGGTTTTGTGTGCCTAAAGCATCATTGACTCAATTTATTGCACCCCTCACTGTTCAGCAAAGGGCATTTGACCTTAAATGATACAGGTAGCAAAGGGTTTAGACCAGGACTCAAACCATGGACCACTGCAACAAGGACTAGGAAGAAGAAATCAAATGCGGGAGTCCATAGTCACATTCTTTTTTATTACCTTTTCCCCTGAACTTTGAAGTCCATTCAAAACAAAATATCTAATAAGTAATCAATGATTGTCTTGGCTCAGGGACATTACAGACTTAATGCACAGACTAAAATGAAGTATTCAACGGTTTATTTATATTTGGACTCAGAGGATTACAGACTAAATTCATATTCATATTATATAGTATTTCCTACTCAGAAGGAACCAATGCATGTACAAGGGGGGAATATACAAACTTGCTTGGACCCCCATCCAGCCAGGGATTTGAACTATGAACCTTCTTGTTGTGAGGCCACAGTGCTAACTACTGCACCACCATGCAGTCCTTTATCTGAGTGTAAAGCAGCACCTTAGTGTAGCAGGTAAGAGCCAATGCCTCATAGCTAATACCTCTTAATGAACAGATTCAGAGTTAAAATCCAGAGGAGGGACTTTTCACGTGAGCAAGGAAGAAAATGTTGTCCTCATGTATAGTTAAAACCGTAGTTTTAAACTTCATCCATCAAAAAAAGGAAGGATTCACGACTCATAAAAGCATTCACTGACAGGCTAACCTAAAGTGAAGTGATGAAGACTGCTGCCTCTTCATCAAAGGATCCTGGTTAAAAATCCTGGACGGACTCATTTGATTTTTGTCAGCTAAGAAATAAAGATTTTTAGGTATATTACTATACTACACTAACATTAAGAACATTCATACTTACGATACTACTATTTATGTTTAGCTGTGTTTTTAATGTTCATAATCAAAAACTTTAAGTAAGCAGTATCTGGAAAAGCAAACAGTGCAGGGTTACCCTGTAGTGTAGTGGTGAAAGCTCCTACCTCTCTGTTAAAGGATTCTTGGTTCAAATCCAGGGTAGAGGCACTTTATGTCAGCCTGGAACAACTGCTTTCTAAGCACGTGGTTTGATTTGCTGTTTTGAACTTCCACAGTTGAAAAGTAGAGGTAATAAAGACCTCCAAAAGCAAGCACTGCCAGGCAAACTTGTATTTTAATGGTGAAGGCTGCTGCCCCCCTGTGAAAGGATTCTGGGTTCAAATCAAGGACAGCAGTGCTTCATGGAAAAATTTGCTGCTCTCATATTTCATTTTAAGCTGTGCTTAAATGAAAGGTGAAATCTAAAAGACCTTAAAAAACCAACTGAGATCCAGCTCACTTGTTGCGTCGTGGTGAAGGTCCCTGCCTTTCAATGACAGATTCTGGGTTCAAATCCAGGTCTGTCCACGTGAGGCACAAAAGCAAGCCTGACTTCAAATGTTGTTTGATAGGTGTTTTTAATAATTAAATGGTGAAATGAAAAGTCCATAAAAGAAGCACTATCTGGCAGTCCTGTGGTAAAACAATTAAGACTGCTGACTCTCACTGAATTGGTTCAATATTAAACTAAATCCTATCAGAATGAATTAGTTCTGTATGAAATACTAACCACTTACTCAGTGTGTGTTTCTGCTGCAGCTTCTGATGGAGTCAAATCCAAAATAACATCAAGACAGTCCCAACACACGTTGATAGCGTGATGTAAAGGTTGAACCAGCAGAGACTGTCAATCATTTTCACACCCCGTGATCTTGAAAACTTGATAGAAGTTCCCAGAGCTCAAAAATGTTATATTAAGATCAAGTTGTAAAAACTTTAACTTCAATGTTTTCACTTCCTTTGACAAAGGTATAAAACAGAAATATTTACCAGGAAAGGTGGAAGAAAACAGGCTTTCCAAAAGCAGGAGGAATTTAAAAATGCACTGATTTCTATTTGGCCTTGAGTGGATTTTGGGTTAAAGATTTTTAGTGTTTCCTTAGTAAAACCTCCTCCTAACATTTCCTTGATTTGTCAGCTCCTGTTTTTATAAAGTCCCTCTCATATATTATTACCATTCTCATTAATATTGTATGTACAGCACTTTGTGTAACATTATTGCTGAATGAAAAATGCTTTGCAAATGAAGTCTGACTGATGGAGTAAAAAAAGCACAAATATGAAACTTAATAAGAGTTTGTGGTATAAACATATGTATTTAATTAAACTTCTTTTACAAGGACACATGGCCAAAGTATTAGCTTAAAAAGGTGCAAAAAAATACAAAATAAGACAACAGGTAAAACCACACTGAAACAGAAAATAACACTGACATAAGGTTAAAAAGAGCAGGCTCAAAAAACCAACACAAAGAATGGAGTCATTATCAGAGTGTAAAATGAATATTTCACGTTTTTTCTTCAAGCAAAAAATTTCACAGAATCCAAACGAGAAAGATGAGCAAGAATCTGGACTTGTCTAGTTTCTGCAGAAAACAATCTAAATCACACACCAGAAAGCATATTTTCCTGTGCTCTTCTCAAAGTTTCTCATGTGTACCAGACTCTTTTCTTCTACTCATGTCCTCTTAATAGCTCTGTGTGATCACACTTAAAAACAAGCATTTTTTCCCTATGAACAAAAGTGACTGAATAAGCTGTCTGCGCTTTTATCTAAGAGGTATCTTGATGTTGTAGGTGGTTCAGTTACAGCAATCAGAAAAAAAAACAGGCCATCAAAATGTGCGATATTTCTATGCTGTGGAGTGAAAGTATGAATAAATAATGAATTAAGCAGCACCTGACTCTCTGTCGATGGATTTCTAAGAATAAAACATTCATTAAAGTCAACTTTTTCAGAGCAAAGTGACTGAAATAACACCTGTATGCTGGTAGACTATTATATATTCTATGTTGTTGTATGGAGGGAAAATGAGTTTGTTGCCCCCTCAAACTTAAACCCTCTAAATATTATTTCTAAAATAGTGTTTGAATTATGACTTTTAAGGATTAACTGGTTCATTATCAGTTATAGCTTCCAGTGCGAGTGCGTCATACATTTACTGAAAGGAAGGAGGACAAAAAAGAAAGACTTTTTTTTGTATATTTTCTGATTGACTGACAACAGTGAAGGTGGTTTTGTGAACACTCTCTGACTCCCCTGCTCTCGCTCAGGTTAGATGTTCCTCCCCCCGTTGATCACATTCCCTCCTGGAGGGGCGATGTGGATCGAGTCCAGGATGGGTCGTAGTATCTGACCAAACGGTCTGTGGAGAGAGACGTGATTTGGTATTTTTAGATTTAATGTCAAACACAGTGACCGCAGATATTTCATAACCGGGTGATTTAAGTGGCTTTTCAAAATCTGCACCAGTCTGCTCACCTTGCTTTACATTATTTTTTCCACTACTCTGTAACTGCTATTGTCAGCTTATATTTGTGGTATGGTTTTAGACAATGAATGCAAATGATAATGTACAGTCATCTTGACGTATGTGATAAAATGATCATATTTCTGGTGCTAAATATTCTATATTATACCAATGATAATCCAACCCTTGTGACACAGAATGTCCCTCCAATGTGAGTCACAGCATCACAGATCTATGACCACTTGTGTCGGCTCTAACAATATAAATCCGGCACTTAAATCTTCAGTTAATCAGATATCAAGATTTATGATCATATGATTTTCTTGCATATTATCAATTATCACATGAGCATAATGTCATTGTCATCATTGTCATCCATCAGGTATTCTACCGTGAATCACTTTTTGATTACTGCCCCTGATTTACATGCACAACTAACACTTAATTTGATAGGACAGCTGAGGAGAGACAGGAAACATTTGGAAGAAGAGAGTGCAGGATGACCAAGGCCAGTTGTTGAACCTGCAACCTCTGCGCTGAAAACTGCAGCGTCTGTTTGTGGGGTGCATATTTAGGCCACTTAGCCAAACCGGCACGCTTCAACAAGGTTTTGAAATTCAGAGGAGGTCTGGTTTTGCTCAGCTCAAAGAGTGCCTCATTATAGAAGCTACAATAGGATCAACTCCAGATCCTGATCTTAATAGTCTCTCTCTATCTCTCTCTCTATTAGAGGCTAAAGGTCTCTAGAATAAATCAGAATGTTAAAAAAGTGCTCTGTTTCCATTTTTTCTCCTGAGTAGTACAATCTACCAGGCTTTTTAAGCATAGGCAAGGTCTTGTGCTTTGACAGACAACAGCAAATGGGCCCTCAGATTTTCAGGAATAGTTTGATTTCTAAAGAGATTTTTGAAGTTATAATCATATGATGACTCTCTTCGATCGAGGTAATCATCCCATATATTGCAACACTGCTGTGATGCACTGGAGCAGCTTTATAAAAAGCATTGAAGCCAAAACAAAATGATAAAACACACTTTGAGGGCAGGTTATGATAAGGATTTCACTCCAGCAGATACCAGATTTATTGTTGGCCTGTTTATGATGACTGCAGGAACTGGGACGCTCTGTTTTATTTTGAGTCACACTGAATTTGAGGCTGAACTTGTGAGTCCCTTTAGACTCTAAAAAAAGATCAGGGTGAGTTTATTTGGAAGTCTTGAAAGGGCACAATTAAAAAGACTCACATCAAATTGCTTGAAGTTTTCCAGTATCAGTGACCACATATTTAAACAGAACAAACATCTTTTATGTGTGAAAGTCACTCTTATGCTTCATGGTTTTGTTCTCTGTGTTTATAAATGTTAGGCTAACCCTGAGTAGAGGAGAATTATAAGTCTTTTAGTGGTTACATGAAGCGCAAAACCAGAACTAAAGTGGAAAAAGCCACAGCTCAATGACTGATTTCATAAGGACACTGATGCATTCATGGGTCTCTTTTTAAAGCTGACAGACTGAGTTAAACACTCACGTTGAGAGGACTTCAGACGGCAGGTCGGTGATGTAAGTGGGGATGCTCCTGCCTGTCAGGAACTGAGCCACCTCGTTGGTGAAGGTGTTGCAGTTGTGCTCGAACAGACGATACCTGTCACCTCTGAGGAAGAAACAGAGAAAGACAGTAAATTTAGCTTTAAACGATGTAACCAGCCAGTGGCAAGTATTTAAAAGCTTTATGTTACTACTTCTTTTCATTCAAACAAGGGACATGGGGAAGGGGGGTTCAATAAGCTTAACGCTAAGGGTACCAGGGGCTTGAAATCTATCCCTGTTCTGTAAGTTTACTATAGTCCAGAGTTTGTTTGTTTTTTACAAGGTCATATTTATTTCTGACGAACTAGAAATGGTTCTGTTGTGCAACATTCTTATGATCACAAAATATCAAGGAGATAGATAAAAGTAGAGAGCTTGAAAACAGTTAAAAATGCTCCCAGAGACAGATTTATCACAAGTTTTCCTTTTTTTTCCATATGCCCTTTCTATCTTATTTTCACCCCTGCTCTTTAAACAGAGTAAGCACACCATATTTACTCCACCTGTATGTGCTTTCTCCCAGAGAGGAAAGGTAATCCATGAAGATCTCCTCAGACACCTCAGTCTCTCCCAGCTCTACCACCGTGTCTGGAGGTCCCAGCATTGTTCCACCCTTAAAGACACACACACACACACACACACACACACACACACACACACACACACACACACACACACACATATATATATATATATATATATATATATAAATGATATACTGTATATCATACCAGGGTATCTAACAGAGTTATAAACCAATGATGATTTAATACTAAAATGACGCCTTGTATTGAGCTAAAACCAACTGTCAAAAAGGTGATACGTGTCTAAAACATATTGACTATGTACAAGTTCTCTCAAATGCTAAAGCTGATTCCCAAATAATGATTTCAGTCATAAAAGGTTTGAAATCTTGGTGCTTTATATACCAGAAAGATCAATCCACATTTTTGCCATAATTTTTTAAACGACTCTGCTCTCATTTTTCCAAGTTACTGGTTGTAAATGGTTTCAAGGTCACTGTAGCTTAAATCTCTACAGTTAAAAAAATCAAAAGCCTTTATCATCTCATTACTTTATACCTAAAACTTTAAATTCTGTCCAGAATCAATAAAAGCACACCACTTAACCATGGCATATGGCATATATCTTATTGCCGAGAAAATGGACACCGTAACTTGAATTGAGCCATAGTTAGGGCATAACTTTGGTAATTATATGCCAATCATTCAAGTGTTAAGAGACAGACCAACACATTTTGGGTTAAGGTCTGTAGATGGAATTTTTGAATAACAGAAAAATGATTAAGTAACATCAGCCTCATCCTTCAAATGTGCCCTGAGCTTTGGAGGATAGGTTTAATTTGAAACATCCTTGTGAAATAAAACCAAGGATCAGGTGAAAGTCTTCAAGTGATTGGCAGCAACTAAAAGTAATTAACAGGGATATTGTGTCTTGCACACTGTGACATTTTAAAAAGGCTTTTAGAAAATACTGAACCCATGTGACAGTTAACAGATTAAATTAAAGCAGAAGTGGGGACCGACTGCAGGAGCTCACAATCTGAGTGGCAGAAATCAAATCAAGAGCTGATTTGGTGCAATAGCTGTACGTTTGGACATTTTCCTATTGAGTCTGTTGAATAAGAAGCAGTCAGAGATCAGTATTTCTGCAACAGACGTACCGGTGAACAGCTCGAAATCCCCTCGCCTCCAAAGAAGAACTCATCGCCATATGCAACTATAGCTGTGTGCCTGAATAAAAAAGTACAAAATGATCATCATGGGGGACAATCCAAATCAGATTTCAGCAAAATGAATTCATGCAACACAAAAAATTACAAATTGTGCATGGTCTACTCATGCTTGCTTTGCTTGGTAAGCTAAATTCCTAACATTATTAGGCAAAATTAAAATATTAGCAATAATACACACATTGTTACATATCTAGCAGATGTTTCTGGCCCTAATCTATAATAAAAGTAGGATTTTTCATGAATGTATCTATATTTTCAGCTCATAGACAAGATATGTGCCACAGGCCTGCACCTGCATTATTATTAACATATTATTATGAAGCTTTTTTATGACTCAGGTTGACGCAGGTGAGTCAGCTGTGAAAATAGTCGAGAGATAATACATACCAAATCCCCTCCAGTTGTTTTCCTGAAAGACAAACATGAAAAAAAAACAGATGATAATAGATGATTCTGAGAAAACCAGCTCACACATGAACAACATTAACCTCCCACCCCCGTTCGTAGAGATTAATCTGTCACGATTCAAACATATTTAAAAAAAAGAAAACAGACAAAAGACTGGGTTTTGGCGATTGAATCAAAGGTTGGTACAACTCATGATTTAAAGACAGCTAAATAAGATTTCAAAATGCACTTCTATGCGCGCATCTTCTCCCGGTGTTTGTTATTGACACTTATTTGTCCGTCAGGCCAGGCTGTAACGGATTTTATGATACTTACCTAGCATAATAGGACTGAGGCTGCGGGCCATTCCCCTCGATAAATCATAAATATAAAGTTGTACATTGTATCGAGTGGCATTCTTATCCATTACTTAAACCCTAGAGGAGCTAAGTTTTATTTTCTGTTCGGCTGGCTAAGCTAGAGATAGAGATATTTAACGCCACAGCTGACAAGGAGGTCCTCTATGAATGATGTCACCACGTCCAAAGGTACGTTGATCCTTTCCGATTCTACTGCCTTCAAAATAAAAGCTTAGGCAAGTGGCTTGAATGAGAAGCAACATGCTTTTTAAGCTTTATTTTGAAGGCTTGTTGTATCTTCTTGGGTCTACCCGGTTATTTCTGCAGGAATTGACAAAATGATATCCGATAACTATCGGTGTATTTTTTTTTAACTATGACATAAAAACTCAAATGTTCAGTACCTTTTTCAAAATAAACACACTGATAGAGTCTTAATGCATCAAACCCCAATCGAAAAAGACAAGAGACGTTTTGTCTAATAACGGCAATATTGTGGTAAAATATCATTGCAATTTATTCACATTTGTTTATTTATTTGTTTGGAACTCCATCAGCTTCCACAAAGTGGTTGCTAGTCTGGGCTCCAAAAACTTAAATTCACAATACATTTACATTTCAACAATCAAATAATCATAAATACAATTACAGATTCAATGTGTTGTGATTCTTCACAACATTAAAACATTAAAAGCACTCCAAAATCTGTGCTTTTATAGTTCATTCATACATACAGTTTTGTTTTAAAGTCCTTTTATAATAATACCTACTGCTTATTTGCAGTGCTCCAAGGCAATTGATTCCACATTTCCAAAGATCTAAATAACACTGTTCTCCTCATACAGTTGGACTTGGAGGAATGGAACAATTAAATGACCAGAGCTAACCTGTCGAGTGACATGTTGATGACGGTAGCCACTGTTCACCAATTTGTCCACAAAGAAAGTTGGATACCCTTTGAATATGGCAGTATGTATATGGCAAAGGATATTCATATTTAGCTTGATCTATACCTTTAACCACCCCAAGGCGGTGTGCATCTCATTCATATTCATTCTATAAGAACAATATTATTCAGAAACTTTATATACTATTGAATAAATATAGCCTGTGACTTGCTTGGTATTTTTAACCCAGTAGATGTCACAATTATGTGTGTCATTCTAAAAGTGGGACACAGACACACTCAGGAATTTATTATTGTATCAAACGACCACAAGAGGTCCTGAAACACTTCATATCAGAGGTCTGTGCTCTGCATTGCTAAACAGTAGTCTGTGGTTCACTGAATACAGAGGTTCACATATTGTCCTTTGAGGAGTTAACCTCCAAGTATGAGATAATTATAACAAAGAGGGTGAGAAAGTTTATAAAGCAATATTTATAACGGTGCAAATATGACTTGACCCCCAAAAAATTCTAACAAAAGGTTTCTCAGCTATTTTTATATAGTATTAGATGTCCTTAACAACATAATAAAAGTTTACCAAATTTTGACTACTAGAAAGGTGTCATTTTCAAGATTGCGTCTGTGACTGGTAGAAAGCCCAGGGAGACACCTAAGGTGAATAGGGTAACATTTTTAACTAACAGATATCACCATAAAACTTCCCAAGTTTGTAACTCACATTAAAACAAACATTTTTTGTATTACAAGTTTTGTCAAACGTTATGTTTGAATATGTAAATTAGGCAATATTTAATTAAATATGCACTTATTTGCATACATTTCCAGAACCCAAAACTGAACGATGGATAAAGCCCCTTTTAAAATTCATGTTTTATTTTGTTGACATACTAGTCAGAAGGGGATATCTCTTTTTATCACCCTGTAAATGAGAAAATACTCCCACAACCCAAAAAAGCCCTTAAAATGACAATTTCTCCTTTGTGTTCCTTCTAGACCAGGAATACTAGCGCCTCATACTTAGTACATTTTGGTAAACTTTTAATATGTTATTAAGGACATCTTATACTATAAAAAAACAGCTGAGAACAGCTGTTACACTCTAAAAACGCCAGAGTTGAAAAGGGACCGACTACTAAGGGACCGAGACTGTTTTCTCAAAATTTTGATTTAAGTTGCCGCGTTTCTGTTATGTTTTATCCCTCCAAGTCCATAAAAAATAAATTGTAAAATAATCATACGGCAGAAGGTGGCAGTAGTGAGCCCAAACCGCTTATTGCCAACAAGCATTAAAAACACAAGGAAGTGGAGCAGTCTACCATCCCATAGACATAATAAAAGGATAGACCCCGCTGGGGGTGCTGCGCAGCGAGAAATGCGGCCGCCATCTTGGTCAGGTCAAGCTTCCCATACGCTCCGGTCAATCATATTCATTCATTCATTCATTCATTCATTCATTCAGCGATGCCGGAGCACTGTGCGGCGTATTCCTGTGCCAACAGGCGGACAGCAGAGAACAGGGCTCAAGGAATAACTTTTCACAGGTATGATTAAACGTTTTTTCAACATTACACTTGACTGTAGAGTCATTTGTAGGCCAAAGAGGAAGACTATCGGTCAACTCCAAAAAGGAAACAGCATTTGCGAACAGCTAGCTTATTCACAATAATAGCAACTTTGCTCTATTATCAACAGATTTGCATTAGATTGAAAAATGTTTGTTTGAGAGAGGTTCTAAGAAACGTTAAGAAATAAAATAGAAAGAAGAGGGAAGAAAGTGAGCTCTGTTTTATTATCTGTTTTATTAAAGATTTCTTTGTGGTGATCTCCTGTTTCATTTTGAAGATTTCCTAAGGACAAAAACTAGAGGAAGAAGTGGGAGATTGCTGTTAGACGGAGAAATTCGCAACAAGTGATTCCTCTGTGCTGTGTAGCCAACAAGCAAATTGATATGTAGTTTAGGTGCTGTCCTGTCATGCTGTTCTTGTGTTTAAATTTTTTAGATATGTAGGCTATATATTTGTGTGTATTTCTTTGTGTGTATTTTCCAGTGATTAAAATAGTGCTTCTATATGACATTATTTGTGTGTGTCTACAAATGGATAAATAAAATTAAACTAAATAAAATATAATCAAATCAATATATATTGAATTGGCCTATTAAAACCGCCAGTTATTAATAATTATTGAGACATAGCAGGAACCTAGTTCTAAACCTAGATATATCCTTGATTAATTGTTATACTATAATACAGCCACTGCTGCCATTTTCTAAAATATAATTTTATTCATTCTGAGTATTTGAAAACGCCAAAAAAATATGGCCTCTATCATGCCTCTTTGAATGGCGTTTGCAGAGAAGAAAATTACGTAGTATTGAGCGAACTATGATTCATTTAATGCGCTCAGACTTCATTCCGACGGTTAAACAGCGGTGCAGAGTGAGGCGGATGACCGGACCAAGATGGCGGCCGCATTTCTCGACAGCGCCCATTCGTGGTAGCGGCCGATGCGGGGTCTATCTTTTATTATGTCTATGTACCATCCAGCCACTGCCCCTCTCTCTCTGCTGCGGGACCAAAATAGACAGTTGAGGCTCAGCAGCTGACATCAACCAGAAATGGCTGCCACCGGAGTTCTCCCCTTCATAAGGGGGGTAGACCTCAGTGGAAACGACTTCAAAGTAAGGATTTACGGCTACAGTCGCTGATTTTATAACCAAAATTAGAACATATAGTTTTCCAGCTGAATCTGATTCATGTTAGACACTCGGTGAAATAGTCAGATTAGCTCTGGGCTGTTAGCATTGGGCGTTAGCCAGTTGTCAGATTTTTCACCAAGTTGCTGTTCAGCCTCAGTTATAAACGTCCCGCTTGGCTGTTTATTGATATATTTGAACAGTTATAGGTTTAAAAATGAAACGTCTGTACTTTTAAAGGCTGTTGGAACACTTATGGTTGTTTTTGGACAATATACACATATTTCGTACGTCATGTTTTCCAGCTAGCTGCTTTAGCTTCACTGCTGGCTAACTCGGGCTGTCTGAGTCAGAAGCACAGGCAGGGGTGTATCTAGAATTTTCTTTGGACTCGGGTTGCCCAACTGTTGAAGTGTTAGATGTCAATACAAAACATATAACTTTTGTAATTATGAGGTTAATGTGATGAGGCTAAAGCTCAAGACTAGAACCAACCAGAACTATCCTGTTTGCTTCTTTGATGCTGGAGATTTATTTTAACCCTTTTGCAGACTTTCCAGGTCAGATTTGGGGTTCAGAACATGTGGGTGGTTTGTAAAATATGTAGAGCATGGCAAATATGTAGAGCATGGCAACAGTAGAAGAGGCTTCTAAAGTCCTGGGTTTTTGCAGTGCAAGACGGACCTTAAAGAGTTGAATGTTACTGCAAGTATGAGTCTCAGACTGAAATAAAGGTTTTTCTGAGACAACAAGCTACTCAGATGAACAATATATATCTGAAGAAAGAGGATAAAACTTCCTTGTTTGGGAATCAAAGTTAGAATCACATTTTATGGCTTTCTACTTTATGTTTTTTTCCTCAAGTTGAACAACCTTTAGATCCTTTTGATAGCTTTCATTAGCTGAAGTTACAGATTGTTTGCCGTTCAGCAAGTTGAATTTGGAAAATTTGTGAGCTTGGTTTGTGAGACTGAAAAGCAGCCTGTGGCGGCAGTGAAACTGAGATCAGCAGGCATGTATTTGAGCTATGCATTCTTATCTTCAGCTGCATGTTGGTATAAAAGTAGTACAAGCAAACAGGCCAGAAGATAACCATGCTAATCCGTCAGGCTGATGATTCAGATCTAAGTTCAGTTCGTGTGGGATGACGGCATTTCCTCAGCCTCACTGTGCCCCATAATAGAAGGGAGTAAAATAGAAAGATACTTCATTGTCTACTTTACCATACAAAGCTATAGAAATATATTTGACTTGTATTTACCATCAAAGATGAGGCACATTAAAATAAATGCCATATTTAAAGCCAATAAGCACTCTTAAAACACATTATATACAACATGGCAACAGAGAAAAACAGTATAACAGACATCACAGAGTCACATCAAAGGAGGGTATCAAGTATTTTCATGATAAATGATAAAGAGTGGTTGAAGTAACAGTATACTTCAATAACATATTTGTACCATTTGAACTATGAGCAAAAACTGTAAATGATGGTTTCGTGGATGGCTGTAGTCATCAAAAATTTAACCCACACTTAAGTGGGACAAATTTAATAACCTGCACTTTTCAGGCTCATCCTGTCTGCAGAGTGAAAATCTGATTTACTGTCTGCTGCATTTTGTCATGTTGCTGATTCTGCAGAACAAGAGCAGAGTTGTCCTTTTTGTGCAATAACAGCCTGCAACAAGGACTGTAAAGCAACGAGGATGACAGCAACTTTTGAACAGATAGTAAATGTCCTTGTAGGGCACTTTCCTAGTCTTCTAACCACATAGGTTTACTCTACATATCACATTCACACCGCATTCATTCAACAAGGGCAGAGGCTGCTATTCTAATTGTCTGTATAAACAATTAAAACTCATTCACACACATGAATACATCATTGTATTATTTGGCTTTTATCCAAGGACACTTCAGCACGTGACCACAGGAGCAAGGGATCAAACCCTCAACCTTCTGACTCAACCACTGAGCAACACTACTTTACTCAAGTTTCTGTACATGTACCCTATATTGACTTATTTATCATAAATATTCATGATGTAGAAAGAAAGACGCCGAGGCAGTTGTCTTACTGGTTTGCTGGCACTGAGAGGTTTTCCTAGCTGCAGGTTGACAGACCTGTATCTGTTGTAGTGACTTCACAGGGAGGATATATAAATATTTCAAGTGAAGAATGACATGTTGAACACAAGTTTAGGTTGTTTAGGTTACATTTTTCCCCTCAACCCACATTATCACAGTCCTACAACTATTTAGATGAAACATAACTTTCAAAAAGGAAGTATGTCACAATTAAACTGTTCAAACCACTATTCGGAATCTTTACATCTCCTCTTTTCTTATCCCTCACCTCTCTCCGCTGTCTGTCTCAACAGGGTGGGTACTTCCCAGAGCATGTCAAGTCTATGAGCAGTCTGCGATGGCTCAAACTGAACAGGACTGGACTATGTTACCTCCCAGAGGAGCTGGCCTCTCTACAAAAACTGGTGAGACAATTTACTCTCTGTTATTCTGCTGCAAGAATGGACTCTATTCTCCTTTGATTGTGATCTATAATCATTTTTACTTATGATTGCTTAATGATACCTCAGGTCTGTCAAGTTGGCTGGCCAGGGTTAAGCGAAAATGAAAGCTGGCAAACCATTCGATAGGTGTTTTGACGCTGTAGGCAGGTGCTTGGTCCTGCTTGGAAATAAAATTAGCATCTACATGAAGCTGGTAATTAGATAAGAGCACAAATTGCTCTTAAATCTCCTGATGGGCAGCTGTTTTGTCTTTGGATTGCTGTTGAACCACTTGTGAAGTTCTCCTAAACTCTTGAATCAACTTTTCTTAATAATAACAATAACTATGTTTCTTATGGTGTACTTTAAAACAGAGTTTACAGTGTGCTTTGAAAGCAGGGGAACTGTCCGCGCTTTTCCCTTCTAGGCAACTTCCTATTTATATCCTTCCATACAGCGCTCTATAACCAGTCTGCCTTTTCAGCAGCAACTGTCTGAGACTTTCCCTTCTTGTACAGGGTGTCTGTTATTATCTTTTGGACAACGGTGAAGTCAGCAGTCTTCCTGATCATCACTGACCTAGGCAGTATTCATCACGTTGATATAATAATTAACTCCAATGGCAGTGGAGTCATTTTCATCAGTAATGGTTAACAGTTTAGATGAGTATTTCATTGTTGTTCTTTTAAATGTCAGCCTGGATTATTTAGTGTCCTCGGCCTCTGCTGTGGTGAGTCAAAGTAAACCCGCTTTTTCTACTTGATGTATTTGCAATAAAAACCTCACATCAGCACATTCGCGGTCTGCTGATCAAGGACACACTCTTCACTTTGGTCATCAGTATCTTTGACAGGATTACCTTCACTAAACCTCCAAAGCGGCACTCAGACAGCCAAGGTGAGAGGCTGATCTGTGCTAACGTGCTTGATCTTCCCAGGTGTGGTAAATAAGATTAGTCTCTTATCATTGGCTGGGAGTCAATGTGTCTGCTCACCTGAAACATGTGTTTTTTATCGAGTTTCCTCAGAGTTTCTGCATATTTGAGGGACAAAGATTATGTTTTGTGTGTCCTCTGGTGAACTAAACTTGACTTTATCTGTTTTTAGGAGCACCTCTCAGTAAGTCACAACAGTCTGACCACCCTACATGGAGAACTGTCCAGCCTACCAAACCTGCGGGTAACTAAAAATCATCACATGCATATAAAAATACACATACAGCACATGCATGTCTTCTGTTTGAGTACCACTATGTTATGCTTCAGATTAGTGTACTGATCAAAGTGATGTGCTCCAGCTTGAACCACTGATCTAATAATGTCCTTAATGTTCTTCCTTGTGTGTGTAGGCGGTGGTAGCCAGAGCAAACAACCTGAAAAACTCTGGAGTCCCAGATGATATCTTTCAGCTGGATGACCTCTCTGTGCTGGTAAGTGATCAGAATCAGAATAATCAGGGTTTATTGCCAAGTAAGTTTACATATAAGAGCGATTTTGTCCTGGGACTTTTGGCCTAATAGTAAATATAGAAATAGAATAATAGGAAGGAACAACTGTCAAAAAACTCCATTGAAATTAAACAAATTTGTAACAGACGGTTGCCCAAAATATGTGCTTTATCTCCCTTTTCCTGCTCCACAGCCTTAGCTTTACACTAACCTCCCTCCCTCTTTGTGACGAACTGTGAAGCTTCACTGTTCCTAAATTAACTCTGGCATCCAGATGGTGTTTACAACAAAAACAGAACCATGTTTTTTCCTCACCTGTCTTGTTTTTTTCCCACTAGGACCTGAGCTACAACCAGCTGACAGAGATCCCCAGAGACCTGGAGAACAGCAAAAACATGCTGGTGCTGAATCTGAGCCATAACGGTATCGATGCCATTCCCAACCAGCTGTTCATCAACCTGACAGATCTGCTGTATCTGGACCTGAGCGACAACAAGCTGGACAGTCTGCCCCCGCAGATGAGACGCCTGGTTCATCTGCAGACACTCATTCTGAATAACAACCCTTTGATGCATGCTCAATTGCGGTAAAAATCCAGGACTCTGTAGTGATACTCCACACCGTGACTCAAACAACTGGGAATAAATCTAAGCAATGGTTTTTAAAGAAGTGGATTTACACTCACATTAAGAACTGTTTTGACTGTTGTTATGTCCTTGTGTCTGAGCAGCCAGCTTCCAGCCATGGTGGCATTACAGACTCTCCACCTGAGGAACACCCAGAGGACCCAGAGCAACATGCCCACCAGCCTGGAGGGTTTGACACAATTAGCAGGTAACAAACCATTTTTTTAAAGACCAAAACCAATGTGTCGCACCTTTTTTTATGTTCAAACACAGCCAAATTTAAAAGTAGTTCAAATGTAGGAAAGAGTTGTGCTTTTCTAGCAAGGAAATTAGTCAAAACTAGGAACTTAAAATTTAAAATCCCCACTTCTTACATTCAAGGGGCTGTACCAGCTGAGATGGCTCAAGTTCAGGCAAAAGAAATAACCTAACTCTTAAAAGATTATATTCATCTGTTGGATAGCTTGGAGGATGAGGAGGAGACGGACGTTTTATGTCTGTCTTGTGTCAGCAAAATGTTCTCTGTGATTTATTTTATCTCTTAAACGTGTATTAATGAGTGTTGATGATTTCACCGCCTAATACCACAACACAACAATGCTCTTATTTTTCACTCGTTGTAGATTAAGGGCTTTAATCATTTTTTCAATGTTGACTAAAAAACAAGCAGACGGGTGTGAGAGGAAATACTGTCAACAAACAGCAAAAGAGAATGAACACATAATTTCAGTGACAATATTTTGGTTAGTTTGGATGTGTTGCATGATGAAGTGTTAGCAAACTTACTTCTCTGTGGTGCAGTCAAACAATTTAACAACTTGTGCAAAGAACTAGTTTCAAAATATCATTTATTGTGGACTCTGCACCCCAGCCTAGGACACGACTTTATACAGCTAGTGCAACAAACTACTAGTCCGTTTGTTCTCTTACTCTTAAAGTTGCTTCCACAAACTTTTTCCCTTTGTCCCTCCCCTCTCTCTCCAGATGTTGACCTGTCATGTAATGACCTGACTCGGGTGCCAGAGTGCCTCTATTCACTGGGCAGTTTGAAGAGACTCAACCTGAGCAGTAATCAGATCTCTGAACTGTCCCTCTGCATCGACCAGTGGACCCAGCTGGAGACGCTGAACTTGAGTCGCAACCTGCTCACCTCACTGCCTGTAATACTCACTTTTATTTGTCTACGAGTATAAAAAAAAAACATTAAAGTCGCCACAGTTGTTTTCTTATCAATGTTGTTTGCTTCCACGTCTCTTTCTGTTCAGTCTGCTATCTGTAAGCTGTCCAAACTGAAGAAGCTGTACGTAAACTCGAACAAACTGGACTTTGATGGGGTTCCACCGGGCGTTGGCAAACTTTCCAGCCTCACTGAGTTCATGGCCGCCAATAACAACCTTGAACTTATTCCTGAGGGGCTCTGCAGGTGAGCTTGAACACAAACGCAGATGAAGGCTTGTGATTAGATGGCACTTTTAATAACATGTTTGCATGTGTATGATGGCTTTTTTGTAGTGTCAGCTGTGTATATTTTCTAACTATTATGATGCAAAAGACCGTGCAAAAGTGAACAATCAGGTTAGTGGAAGAGAGAGAGGGGATGTCTGCCGTCAGCTGGCTTAAATGTTTGTTACTTAGCAAGTCGCTGATAATCCAGAATTGACATAAAAGTGACGTCTTTTAGTTCTATAGGTGTCCTCTTGTAACACAGGTGTTGCATTATTAAGTATGCAAACAATTACATACATGATGTAGGTGGTTTTTAAGTGACTGCAAGGAGAAAACACAAGTGTAACTCAAACCTGAGTGTGCCAGTCAAACTAACCAGTCAAAATAACCAATTTTTGCTTTATTTTTGTCACAGAGATTTATACAGTACAGTGCAGAGATATACAGGTTTGCATGTGCTTAAAAAGGGATTTCTTTCTCACTGTTTTTGGCCTTTAATATTAACCCTAATGTTAAGAGATAGTCCAAGTTTATTCGACAGAGCCAACTTGTTCACCTGTTCAGAGATGCTTCTTTATTTTGCCTCCACACAAAGTTTAAATGGTGGATTTAATTGTATGTGTCATTTTGTCTTTCCTCAGATGTGGCAAGCTGAAAAAGTTGGTGCTGAATAAAAACCGCCTGGTTACTCTGCCTGAAGCCATCCACTTCTTAACTGATTTAGAGGTAATCCCATAATACTGGACTCTTAAGAGTATTAATAATTGGTAATGATGGATTCATTTGAGTTTGATGCATTTGTGAAAGTCTCCAAATACAGGATTAATCAAAGTGAAGTGGTTGTAACCTTGCTACAGGCTAGAGAGAGAAAACTTTTGATACTTTTTAGTTAATGAAGGTATGTGACAATGACTGTGGGATACGAAGAAAAGACGACAAGACATTGATAATGTTACTGTGTTAAAATGTTGTGTATGAGTTTATAGACTTAATATATAATGAGATCAAAGTTAATCTAGGTGAAAATAGATGTCATAGTGTTGAGTTATCGACACTCACACTAAGGGTTGATGTGTCTCTGTAGATTTTGGATGTCCGTGAGAACCCAAACCTGGTGATGCCTCCTAAACCTGTGGACAGAGCGGCTGAGTGGTACAACATTGACTTCTCTCTGCAGAACCAGCTCCGGCTGGCTGGGGCCTCACCTGCTACTGTGGCTGCTGCAGGAGGAGGTGTGTGTAACTCTAGAGTTCTTGTTGTTATGATTATATCGCCTTTACCAAGAGGAAAAAGTGCTGAATAGAGTTAAAAAACAGGAAAGTAAAGTGGTAGATTACAAGTGGTGAGTAGGAAGTTGAAGTCTATTCCAGAACTGTAGCCTCTGTGCATGAAGTTATGAGGCAAATACAAGTCCCGTTTGTTCTGCAGGCTTTATTCTGTGTTTGTGTGTGCGCAGGAGCCAGTCCAAGAGATCCCCTGGCGAGGAAGATGAGGCTGAGGAGGAGGAAGGACTGTTCTCAGGACGATCAGGCGAAGCAGGTGCTCAAGGGCATGAGTGATGTTGCTCAGGAGAAGAAGAACATGGAGGTGAGGAAGGAATTCAAATAGCAAGATGGCTACACACACTGCAAGAGGAAAGAGTTGGCATCATTTCATACAAACAATTCTGCTGATTCTGCAGGAAAACGGGGATCTGAAATACGGGGATCTGAAGATCCGGCGCTGGGACAAGAGTCTAGAGAAACCTCAGCTGGACTACTCAGAGTTCTTTTTGGAGGACGTGGGACAGGTAATCCCTCCCTTCCTCTGTTTTCTTTCATGTGTGAAGAAAACATTGAATTAATAGTTTTTGGGGAACTTTCAGAAACATGTAGGGTCTGTTTTACAGAATGAAGGTATCTTTGTACGAATCGTCTCTTCGTCTCTGTCCTGCAGGTTCCAGGTGTGTCAGTGTGGCAGATTGAGAACTTCATTCCCGTTCAAGTGGACGAAGCATTTCAGGGAAAGTTCTATGAGGCTGATTGCTACATCATCCTCAAGGTAACGCATCAGATTTGCAGCCATTTGTATGCGCTCTTGTAAGTTTCCTGTTGTTGTGTTGAATGCATCAAGACGGATCATTTTCTCTTTTTTACTTTATTTTTTGGTGGACCGCAGACCTACCTGGATGACAACGGTGCTTTGAGCTGGCATATCTATTACTGGATCGGACAGGAGGCCACTCTGGACAAGAAGGCCGGTTCTGCCATCCACGCTGTAAACCTGAGAAACTTCCTGGGAGCAGAGTGCAGGACGATACGAGAGGAGATGGGAGACGAGAGCGAGGAGTTCAGTGCTGTACGTAGAAACCTGCTTTAAAGTTTCCCAAGAACGTTTTTTTTTCCTATCTTCAGTATCTTTTTTACATTGTTATTATTGTTATTTACAACACATTTTCTGTCCTTTTTCCTCTTATAAACATTCAAATCACACAACTTAAATAGAGAACTCACACATGTTCCTTGTCCATAAAATATACCTTGGTTTTTTCGATACTTTTCTCTTCTTCTATTGCAACTTTTTTTGTACTAAATGTCACCAGTTTGTTATTTTTTTTAAACACTGATAAAGACTCATCAAAGTAAAATCATGTCAATCTTCTCACTGTGAGCTTATTAACTGTCATACCTGTATAAAGAAGAAACTGCTCTGTGCTGTACTGACAGTTGTTGTTGTTTGTTGTGTAGGTGTTTAACAATGAGATCTCCTACATCGAGGGAGGAACAGCCAGTGGATTCTATACTGTGGAGGACACAAACTATGCAGTCAGGTAGGCCATCTTACTGGAGTCCAAAAAAGTGAGTCTTATAAATCTGTGGGCTGACAGTAGTTTGGTTTCAGACAAAGTACAAGTAAGAATCTGAATCAAGAGCAAAATCGAGTACAACTAAAAAACTCAGAGTTGAGCACAGTCTGAGTAAGTTTAGTCATGTTTGCAGTTTTATTTAAGGGTCTAGATTGAATTGTCTCATCTTTAATTCATCCAGCACACTTTCATTCAATCTGCTTCTTTGATTTTCAGTGTTTAATCCTTTGAGCTGTTTTCAGGTTGTACAGAGTTTACGGAAAGAAAAACATCCGACTGGAGTCTGTTCCTGTGAAGGGCTCATCCCTCGACCCTCGGTAAGTCCTTCTCACCCTTTGTTCTTTAAATACCACACGACAAACACCTCCACACTTTGATAACTCCTACCACACACACAGTTTCCTTTACTGACTCATGCTTTCTACTTTATAATCTCCGCTCTCTCACTTTGACATAAACACTCCACCTTCTGCAGACCAGCAGTGAATTTGTCGCGGCTATTGAAAATGTTTACTGTCTCCTTTTGGCAGGTTTGTCTTCCTGTTGGACATCGGCCTGGAAATCTTTGTCTGGAGAGGAGCCAACGCCACTCTCAGCGCCACCACAAAGGCCAGGTGAGACACAAATCAAGAGCTTACACAAACTCTCCTGCCATCTGTTTGGAAAATCCATAATGAAACATGTCAACTGGAGCTGATGGCTGATTTGAGTCCATAAACAGAGTGATGCAAAGCTGTTTTTTTTTTCCCCTAAAAAACTTTCAGGTTATTTGCAGAAAAGATAAACAAAAATGAGCGTAAAGGAAAAGCAGAGATTACAACCCTCATGCAGAAACAGGAGCCTCCAGAGTTCTGGGAAACTTTGGGAGGACAACTAGAAGAGATCAAAAAACATGTACCGGATGACTTTTCTCCAATCAGGCCGAAACTCTACAAGGTGAGACTTTTGAATACTGACTGTCCTCAAGTTTCTTCAGGTGGTGAAAGTTTGTTATTGTTGAACACAGATCATGCAGCATTAAGAAGATGTGGGTGTTGTGAGGGTTGTAGGATTGACCGCTGATCTTTCTGCTTCATCACAGGCGTAGTGTCATGTGCAAATGTGTTTTTAAATTTCTTATGATGATGTTATGATTTCAAAACCAAAAGCAACCTGACTGATAATCTCACGGATGTCTTTGTCTCTGCCTCCTAGGTTGGCTTGGGTCTGGGCTACTTGGAGCTTCCTCAGATTAACTACAAGCTGTCAGTTGAGCACAAAGACCACAAAGTCAAACTGGACACTCTGCCAGAGCTGAGACTGGTACGTTATTCTGCTCCAGATTCACAAAAAGACACTCAGTAAGACTCAAAGGGTGCCACAGCAGTTTACATCCCTCCTGGGTGTCTTATTTCTCCTCTTTATTCTTCTTTTTAGCTGCAGTCTCTACTGGACACTAAGTGCGTGTACATCCTGGACTGCTGGTCTGATGTCTTCATCTGGATCGGGAGGAAGTCTCCTCGCCTGGTCCGAGCAGCCGCCCTGAAACTGGGTCAGGAGATCTGCTCCATGCTGCACCGGCCCAAACATGCCTGCGTCACCCGCAACCTGGAGGGCACTGAATGTCAGGTAACCCTCAAGATACTGATCCTGTTTTTACAATCACCATACCAGTGGGAGAATTATGCACTTATGATCCTGCAAGAAAATGTTGAACGTTAATCTTTTTTTGAGTTTCATTGTTGTCATAATGTCTCTTCAGGTGTTTAAGTCCAAGTTTAAGAACTGGGACGACGTCTTGAAGGTGGACTACACCCGAGCAGCTGAGACGGTTCAACAGAAAGACAACCTGCAGGGCAAAGTCAGTGATACGCACGTCTATTCATGCTGAATCTTTAAAAGCAGATGCTTATTTCATGTGACTTGATCTATTCCAGTTTTTCTGTTCAGGTATTCATGTTCAGTAACTTCTCCTTCTCTCAGGTGAGGAAAGACGCAGAGAAAAAAGACCAGATGAAGGCCGACCTCACAGCTCTCTTCCTGCCCAGACAGCCGGCAATGCCTCTCTCTGAGGTAAAACCCTTACTGTTACATCTTTATACTCGCTGAAATCTCCTGCTACTTTCAGCTGCTCACACATGTATCTTTTCTTTTCAGGCTGAGCAGCTGATGGAGGAGTGGAACGAGGATCTGGATGGGATGGAGGGTTTCGTGTTGGAGGGGAAGAAGTTTGCTCGCCTGCCTGAGGAGGAGTTCGGACGCTTTCACACTCAGGACTGTTACGTCTTCCTCTGCAGGTCAGGATGAGTGGGTGTAACTGTGTAGTATGAGAGTTAGTGATTTTTATCACTCACTGTGAGTATTGTGAGCTGTGGAAAAACAAAAAAGTTCAACCGCTGGTCTGAAACTTAAAGGGATATTCCGCAGTGAAATTAATATAGGGTCAAACACAGCCGCTTGTTTGTAGCGAGATCTCAGGCTAGTCCATTACAGACTGATTCGGGGTGACACAGCTCAAGGAAGAACATTCATGATCATTTCTCTATCATTTCCTTGAAGTAAAAATCACCATATTAGTCATTTTGCACTGCAGTCTGACTGCAGTGCAAAATGACGTCTCGGTCTGACTGCATTTTCATGAAGAAATTGTCATAAATGTTCTTCCTTGAGCTGCGTCACCCCGCAACAGTCCGTAATGGACTGGCCCGAGGTCTCGCTACAAACAAACGGCTGCTGGAAGAGAGAGGGTGAGTTGTGTTTAGTCTCTTTGCTAAAGAAATCAGGCAAAGCTAAAAAGATGTTTGATGGCTAGTACTATGGCTGGGACCCTCTATGTACTGTTGATGAAGTTAGGTGCTGTTCTGAACATTATTTGTGGTTATAGAGTGGCGTTTTGTTTGAGCGCGTGGCTCTCTGTATTGCTATCGTGCCGTCGTTACTAAAGTTGGTATAAGTTGGCAACAGTCATCTCTATACGGGGGAGTCTAACTCGGTGTTGTGGTGTGTTTGACCCTAAATTAATTTTACGCTGGAATATCCCTTTCACCCCTTCTCACAGATAATGGTCTATTTTTTTCTTATGGGTCATCACTTCTAATTTCAGTCAATATCATAACTGCCTCAGTAATCCTTACAGGAGCAACATCTACTCTGACTACTCTATATTCTGTGGTCTATGCTGTTCTGTATGTCTTTGGATAAAATAAGCATTTTTAAAGAGTTCCCCATCAAGATCTCTAGAGAACCTAGAACATGTCTGTGAGATATTGATGCAAAAATGCGTCCTAGATAATTGAATGAATAACAGATTAAAGTTCAAAGCTGCTATCTTCAAGTATTTGGTGTAATTGCTCGAGGAGAGCGTTCTGAAGAGGGTTTGTTGCAAATCTGGTGTCACTTAAGCTGAAGTTTGATTTTTATCCATTATAAGTTTTGAGGGCAAAGTGCCAGACTTGATAATCCCAACCAGCTCACAGTGAGTCAGCATTTCAGCTCAGCTTTTTGGTGTTTTTCCAAGTCCCTCTGATTATAAATATTACACTGCAGGCGGATCCTGCTGCACCTTCATCAGAATTATTAGCTTCAAAGTCAAATAAATCCTCACCTCAGTCCTGTCAAAGTGAGCCTCACTCTTGATTCCTCCTCGCTCACTCAGATACTGGGTCCCTGTGGAGTACGAGGAGGATGAGAAGGAGAAGAAGGAGGGTGAAGGAGGTGAAGGAGGCGAAGGAGGAGGAGGACGTAGAGGAGGAGAGGATGATGAGGACAAACAGCCGGAGGAGGACTTCCAGTGTGTGGTCTACTTCTGGCAGGGCAGGCAGGCCTCCAACATGGGCTGGCTCACCTTCACCTTCTCCCTGCAGAAGAAGTTTGAGAGTCTGTTCCCGGGAAAACTGAAGGTGAGAAAACAGACATTCCTCCACTAAAGACCCGACCTAAATGTAAAAATCTGTTTTTAACTCATCAGAGTTTGTCCTGTTTGCTCATCACAGTTGTGCCTGTGTTGTTGTTTTTTTTTAAGGTGGTGCGTATGACTCAGCAGCAGGAGAACCTGAAGTTCTTGTCCCATTTCAAGAGGAAGTTCATCATCCACAAAGGGAAGAGGAAACAGAAGACTGACTCTGCTCAGCCTTCTCTCTACCACATACGCACAAACGGCAGCGCTCTTTGCACCAGGTAGACACTGAAATGATATCACTTACTGTCAGGTTTATGCACACAGTCTCTGCTCTTAAACTTCATCAAACTTCTCAAATGTTATAGCCTCCGAAATTTTTGACTGTTATCTCATCTCAGGACGATCCAGATCGGAACAGATTCCAGCAACCTCAACTCGGAGTTCTGCTTCATTCTCAAGGTTGTGATTCACATCGATCCGTCACAAAGTTTACAAAGTTCTTCAAAACATTTTTTAAAAAGTGAAAAGTCCTTTTTCTTAAATGTGTGTTTGTTTTGTGTAGGTACCGTTCGAGAGCACAGACAATCAGGGCATCGTTTACACCTGGGTGGGCCGAGCTGCTGACCCCGATGAGGCCAAACTGGCCGAGGACATCATGAACAGCATGTTCGATGACACATACAGCAAACAGGTAAACATTAAGAAGACTCGTATGTATTGCTGTTTCAAGGTGGGACATTAACACCTTTGTTACACACAGTGAGAAGCACTGTTGTTTTCGTTGACGTTGATGAAAATTTTTCGTTAACGCCCCTTTTTTCCACGACAAAGACGTGGCGTTGACGAGCTTAACATAAGTCTTAGATGACTAATATGTGATGAGACGAATGTGTGTTTACGTTGACGAGACAACACTAGACGAAAACGTTAGTGGTGGACGACGAACAGAGTTGCAAAATTCATGAGCATTTCGTCAGTTTAACGGTTAACATTTATTTTGCAGTGTTGTTTTTGTTGACGAAATATTCTCATCAACGTCATCGTCAACGAAAACAACACTGGTGAGAAGTATGTGACCACTAATCCAATCCAATCCATTTTATTTATCTAGCACGATTTAAGCAAACGCAAGTTTTCCAAAGTGCTGCACTGCAAGATAAAAATACAATAAATAACACAACGGAGGCACTATAGATAAGGTAAAAATAAAATGAGATAAAACATAGTAAAATCAATTAAAAACAATAAATTAAATCAATAAAATAAAATAAATGAAGTCAACCTTCTACTGGGTGTTAAAAGCCAAGGAGAAGGATTTTTTTAATGTTTGTGATAAACTTATTTTCTGTAAATTGCATCTTTTTTTGTATGGCGTTGAAAGGGATACCTCATGACACACCAGGGCCTCCCTAACATAAGAGTGAGAGCAGTCCTCTAAGTTGAAAAAGCAAAAAATAAACATGTTCCTACCTTAGTGGACATGGGAGACAGCTACTCACTCACTCTGTCAAACTTCTTGTGTTGTGTTCACCGTTCTGTCCTGTAGGTAATCAATGAGGGGGAGGAGCCTGAAAACTTCTTCTGGGTGGGGATTGGTTCTCAGAAGGAGTACGATGAGGATGCAGAGTACATGAAACACGCTCGACTCTTCAGGTGAGGGAATATCACCTGTTCATCAAGAAGGAATCAATCAGTTGTCATTGTTGAAGTATGTTTGTGTTTAACTCTGTCTGCCTTTCTTCTCCTCCTCTTCCTCCTCGTCTCTCAGGTGTTCCAATGAGAAAGGTTATTTCTCAGTCTCAGAGAAATGTTCAGACTTCTGTCAGGATGACTTGGCGGATGATGACATCATGCTGCTCGACAACGGCAAAGAGGTGAAGATGAATCTGTGATTTGATTGGACGTCTCTGGGTTCGGTCAGATTCCTTCATCACTGTCGTTTTTCTTCCTCAGGTGTACATGTGGGTCGGCACTCAGACGAGTCAGGTGGAGATCAAACTCAGTCTCAAAGCCTGCCAGGTGAGGAGGAAACTGCAAATGTCTTATTGTGTATTATACAACAGATAGTTTAAATCGAGTGATCTGATTGGACAAGGAGTTCTTCACAGGAGCTGGTATAAATAGACTTAAAACAACCTTTATCGCTAAAATCAGATGTTTCTAAAACTTGAGATTAATTTTCCTGATCAACATAAGTCAGCAGGGGGGTTTCCATATTGATTGGAGATCATAGTGATGTTGGTGTAACTTTAATTTGCGTCTTTTTCCTTTTCAGGTTTACATTCAGCATATGCGCTCCAAGGACGCCGAACACCCCAGAAAGCTCAGGCTGGTGCGGAAGGGAAACGAGCCGCACTGCTTCACGCGCTGCTTCCACGCCTGGGGGGCTTTCAAGACCCCGCCCTCATAGACGATCGCTCTCATCCACGCACAGAAACGCTCACACACGTACATCAAACATATTTGCTGCCATGTAATTTTTCTACCTGTAAGATTAAGATGATGTCTATCCCCAACCTCCCTCTATCTTTCCCTCCATCCTGCGCAGCAGCCTCTCAACCTCAGAAGGACAGACCTGGACAGCCAGTGATGACGTTTCCGAGTTGAAAGGCTGTTTCTCGCCTCAGAGACAAAGTACATAGTCCGTTTTTTCTACAAGCTTTTTTAGCAGTGAGTCTGTTTTCATGAAAGAATCGTGTTTTCGTATGAAATGGGTCTAAGGTGTACAGAGGCTTTATAATACCCATCTGCTCAGCTGCTTTCACGTGGCTTTGGCTGCACGGTCAATAGTTTTCAGACGAGGAGTCGCTCCTCTACGCTTGGTGCCATTTTGCACAGCTCATTTGAAGCAGTTTAAGGCAAATAAAAGTTTAATTTTTAAGTTTTTTTTTATGTTTAAGGGAGTGAACAGGATACAGCACTATAATTGTTTTTCTGAGGAATGTCGTTTTTTTTTCTTACGTGTTTCTTTTTGCTGTGTGTTTGTGTGTCCGCCCTATGCGCCTTTATTGAAATGGGGACTGTTTCCCTCCTACAGTCTGTTTTGTTTCTCAACTCTTCGAACTTGTCGCTCACCTGACGTCTGTTTTTATCAAAAAACAAGCAAAAAAGCCTGTAGAGATGTTTTAGTTGAGGAGAGGATTAAGCTACATCTGTTTGGCCAAAGAAATCTCTAAAACAGATATCCGGGTGCAAGTTATGGATGGTGAGATAAGGCCTTGTTTTATGTTTAGATTTAGGGACAGATATTTATATGTGCAATCAGTAGAGCCTTGGAGATACTGAGACGAACTAGAACTGTACTCTTCTTTGTTACAGGCTGCGTTCAACTTGTCAAAATGTTAATCTTCTGCAGCGGAGAGGACAAACTAAGCTGAGGAGTTTATTTCCTAAATGTAGTCGAATTATTTTTGAAAAAGAAAAGTGCTACAGGTTTTAAACTCCACATGTTTCATGTTTTGGAGCAAAACTCTTCATCTGAAATTTTATTGGGAGATCTTTTGCTCCATTTGAGAGACATATCTAAACTTAATATCTAAATAGACCTTTGTTTCTGCTGATTTTTAACCATTGACTTCTTGGTGTGATGGTTTGATCAGTTCTGGATCCAAGGTGAACAGAACTGCTGCTCTGCTTCTTGTGACCTGTGCTACATGGAGGCATTGGTCCAAGTTAGATATGTTTATTTTCAGATGGCTGCATCTCCTCTCTATCTCTCTTTTACTGTATTTTGTGGGGTGAACTGTATGCCTGATAATGTTTGAGTTCTACATGCATATATGTACTGTATGTGTGTTTATGAATAAGTGCACATGCTCCTGATGCCACCTGCAGATGCTTTATTTATGTATTTTATATTAAAATAAAATCTCACAGTAAGTTTTGTCCCTTTTTTTTTCTCAGGGTTGTTTTAAAATTAAGATCAGGTGATTTTTGTGGAGCTGTAGATTTTTCTAAAGGTTTACATATTTTTTTTATTGTACAGGGAATGGGTCACAGTTAAGCCAAAGAGAGTATAAAGGATGTGCTGCCGTTCTTTACTCAGATTAAAAGTGTCAAGCTGTGAGAATTGCGTCATGCTGAACCTGTTGAAAGTGTTGGTGCGTGTAAACACTGACCTCTACTGGTGTTTTATTGGTACTGAATCTGTATTACTAGTCAAGTCATACTATGTAACAACTAGTAATTATGAAAATTCAATGGAAAGGTAACTATATTGGTAATTACCTACTTCTTTTAGTACTTTTAGTAATTTCAGGCAAATACCGAGTAACTATCCGGTAGTAAGTATTAATTACTGGGTAATTAAAGATTTAATATATAATATATGAATAATTATAAATGTTATTTCTTAAGAAGTACCTGGTAAAAGCCAGGTAATCAGAAGTAATTACTGAGTAATTATTAAGTATTTATATGGTAACTATGTGATTAATTGCCAATTACTTACTCAGTAATTACCAACTTTTTTCCTAATAACTAAATGGAAACTACAATGTATTTTAGAGTACTTATCAGCCACTTACCAAAAAGGTACCTGGTAACTACCAGATAACATTCCCAGCAATAACTGCAAAATTACCATGTGATCTAACATGAAATTAATAGGTTACTAACTGTATTTATTTCATAACTACACAGTAACTACCCTTTAGTTGTACCTGACAACTACCAAGGAAGGCTATGTATTGTATTGGTGTAGTTATCTGGTAGTTACCAGGTACCTATTTGGTAAGTGGCTGAGAAGTACTCTAAAATACATTGTAGTTTCCATAGTTATTAGGAAAATACTTGGTAATTACTGAGTAATTGGCAATTAATCACATAGTTACCATATAAATACTTTATAATTACTCAGTAATTACTTCTTATTACCTGGCTGTTACCAGGTACTTCTTAAGAAAGTACATTTATAATTATATATTATATATTTAATCTATAATTACCCAGTAATTAATACTTATTACCGGATAGTTACTCGGTATTTGCCTGTAATTACTAAAAGTACTAGGTAATTACCAATATAGTTACCTTGTAATTACATGGTAATTTCACAGTAACTACTCCTTATTACATGGCACTTACCTGGTAATACATGGTAATTACAATACCGTAAAAGGAAGCGTTACCACTAATTTAGCCATTTTCACTCTATCAGACTGACTTGTATTGCAGGAGTTGGTGCAACAATGAAGGTGTACTGGGTTTACCAAATGTGGGTTTATCGTAAGGAAGAAAAAAGGTCCAAATACTGCTTTTACGCGGTAAGAAAGATTAATATTAATATTACCTGCTATTCATTTTCATCAAAATTATTGAATTAACTGTTATCAAAGTTACATCTTTGTTACCAAATCAACCGTAAACCAACTTGGATATTATAATTTACTGTGTCCACCTATGAATTTTATGATAAAGTGATTAAATGGTACATAAATGAAAACATGTTCAAATATAATGTAATCATTTATTCATTTGATATCCTTTAAATTCAGCTTCTTATATTCTTTATTGCATTATAACAATGAGAAGCTAATGTGATCTGTCAGGAGGTTCTCAAGACAGAGATGAAGAAAATAAAAACAGAGGGCATCTCATTTACACACTATCACGTGACGAACAACACACCAGGGTTAAAGCACATATTCAAAAGGTTCATATAGAGCTAGTTCATGCTTTATATGCTGATTTATCCATACACTGCAGGCCACACAAGAAAATAACAGCTCATACACTTCTTACAATTAACATGAAAAGGACAGTTCTGCATTTTTTTAAAGGAATTGTATTTGAAAATATCTGAGGAGGATCTGTACAAAGACTTTGGTTGAGTATCTGCTCCTGTATATACCTCTAGTTTACAATATACATATTTAGATAAGTCTAATTTAAATACTAATTTGGCTAAAATGAATATCAAAAAATAGTTTGTATGTCACACAGAGAGACTCGACAGCTGAACATGCGTCTCTTCCCTTTCTATCACAGCACTTTTACACATTGTTGTAGCTTCAATAACAGTTTTAAAACACAAACACACATCGAGCTGAGCCGAATGAAAGACTACACTTGGTTAAGATCATTTTGTATAAAATAGATTTTTTTTAAATATTACAAAGATAAAATTTGAAATGGTCAGACATGAGAGCCAGAGTGAAACCAGACAGTCCAGGTTCTGTTCCAACTAGAATCGAGGAAGTGTCTCTTTCAAAAATTACACCAGAGGAAAAAATACAGCCTCGAAACACCATTTTGTTGGGATATCGATCGTAGAAACTTAAACTGTGTCATATCTTTTTAAAGCTTTTGAGAGGAGTTTTTGAATGGGAACAAAACAGACAGATACTAAAAATTGATCCCTCTTTTTGTAAACTTTTTATCAGGGCTGTCACTTTTTTATTCATTCAAATATTTGCTCAAACTTAAGGGGAAAAGTTTGTGTTGGAACAATAATTAGCCATTCATATTAAAATACCAAATTTATCAGCGTATCAGGCTGGCTAACGTAGCTTGCTGTTTGATCAAGTGGAGAACACTTGCACCGTTACCTGACCATCGCATACCACCCTTGACATCGGTAAATTAATGCTACGATGATATTCGGCAAAAGTTGAGGATGTGTGCCGCAGTCAAAGCTGTTCTGAGCGGACAGTCAGGACAGCAAAACATAAGAGGGGCCCCTTATGTAAACATTTTGGACCCCACACCACAGAGTGCAAGGTAAAGACAAAGATAGGGCTGTGTGTTGACTTTGTACGAAGAAGATTTGTGGTTCATTGAAAGGAAAGCTGATTTAATTGTGCAGCTTAATTTTTTTTAAAGTGACAGCCCTGGTTTTCATACACTGTCATGTTCAAGATCTCAACATGCAGTATAATGTCTGAATTTTCATAACAAACCCCACAATGTTGGAAAAAGTGAATGTATCTTTCAAGGTCCGAATTCATCTGAAAATGTTTTAAAGAGACTAACAGACTCCTGCAGAGACAAACATCTTAGTTGAACAGCTGCTGGACTGACAGTGTCGTCAGAGTTCAGCCCTCTTTCAGGTCAAAAAGTTAAAACCTCATGTTACAATATTAGTGTATAACAAGTTTAATAATAATAACAATAATCTGCCTCACAGTGGGCTAATAACATAATGCTGGTCCAACTTTAGTGTCTTTGTTTGGTTCATGTTTGACAGGACGCAACAACACAAATGATAAAAAGGCTAAAAAAGGGAATCCATCCATACAAACAGATTCATCTGTCTGTCACATGTGCGTCAGGAGGACTTGGTTGAGGAAGCACAATGGAGATTAAGTGCTGGTGTTCAACCTTTGCTTCCTCTGTCATGTAGTCCAGGGCAGAGGGGTAAAATCTCCCCATCAGTCCTCTTTTGTATCTGTCTCCGGTTCACTTCCTGAGCTTGCGAGTAAATAGTTTTTTTTAAGCTTAGAGCGTTCATACTAAGTTCTCATTCCAACATGGCGTCCAGCTGGTCTGCCAGGTCATCGAACATGTTGCCGATGTCATCCAGGATGGTCCCCGCAGACTTTACTGAGTTTGACGTGCTAAAGGAAAAACAAAAAAAGACATGAATATTAACTCACAGAGGCATATCATGAGTGCTGATGTACACCTGCACTGTAAATTTAAACTCCTTCAAGGTTAGAGCTCTGTCAAGATTGTTAGAGCTTTGATGTCAAAATCATAGGCCCTCAAAACCACTTACGTTTCAGAGTGGTCCTCCCTGTTCAGTTTTCTCTCCACAGCCTTCAGAGCTGCTTCCAGAGACGTGCTGGTCTGATCCAGTCTCTGCTGAACCACCTCGGTCCCAGAGTTCGACTCAGGCATGTTACCTCGACCCACCGTACACACCTGAGCCCTGGCAGCTGTCATAGAGGGACTGTGGGGGGCCTGGGGGGATGGAGCTCTGGGTATATGAACTGGAGAGGAAGGAGAGCTGAAGGCCACAGTTTGAATCCCACAGACAGTCACAGAGGGAGACGAGGGTCCAGCTGCAAAAGACAATAAAGGGTTAATACCAACCAAGTGTGGAATGAAGTCCATTTTAATTTACATGAACCGAGCATCAACTGAAGTCCAAAAAGTCTCCACTGTAGACTGATAAGTTCAAAGACAAGGACCACAAATCAAGACAGAGAGGTAGACCAACGGGTTAACTCAAGATAATAAAACAACAGCCAAAGTCAAGACTGTGGTGCCAACAACTCTAAACCAACAAGTCTAAAGCCAAGATCAAAGACCAAAGAGTCCACAGGCAAGGCTATCAAGCCATAAACAAACCTCAACAAAAAGCTACTCTATAGCCACAAATAATGCTCAGAACAGCACCTAACTTCATCAACAGTACATATAGGGTCCTAGCCACTGCACTAGCCACCAAACATCTTTTTAACTTTGCCTAATTTCTTTAGCAAAGAGACTAAACACAACTCACCTACTCTCATCCAGCAGCTGTTTGTTTGTAGCAAGACCTCAGGCCAGTCCATTACGGACTGCAGTGGGGTGACGCAGCTCAAGGAAGAACATTTATGATAATTTCTTTATCATTTCCTTGCAGTTAAAATCATCATATTAATCATTTTGCACTGCAGATGTGGTAGTTCTTCTGCCTGAGCGTCTTGGTCTGATTGCATTTCCATAAAGAAATGATCATAAATGTTCTTCCTTGAGCTGCGTCCCCCCCAAGCAGTCAGTACTAAACTGACTAAATCTAAAACAACAAGTTTGAATCTTACATCAACAAGTTCCATACCTCGACTAACAATAGAGTTCTTAGGTCAAGTCCAAAAAGTTTAAAGTCAAGACAAAAAATCTATGATCAAGATCAGAAAGTCAACACAGATCACACAAGAGGCAACCATAGCCAAAAAAGTTTAAAGTTAAGAGCAAATATAGATATATAGATATAGATACAGACCAAAGGATTCTACGTCTTATTCAACTTTTCTTTTCACTATTTCTTGAACTAAACATCAAGTCTACAGAGATACTGAAAGTATTTTACCTTGTGTTGCATGCAGACTGTGGCGAGCAGGTTTGGGGGCAACAGCAGGAGGTTTAGGGGAGAGTGAACGTTTAATATGGGATCCTGTTGCTGGACTAGCTGGCCTTACCAAACTGGCCTCACTAATGCTTAGACAGGTCTCCTCCTGGCTCTTGGAAGGAGACCTGCTACGATTGGATCCTTCTACCTCATCTCCCACTCTGCTGGGGGAACCTCCTCCCTGCTCCTTGTCTTTGGGTTTGTGTCTGCGTTTCACTGTGTCTGACTCTTTCAGATTGAACTCTGGGACTTCAAGGTTCTTAGCGTCCTGTTTTTCTGGCGGCTCAAGCACAGCCTCAGCTCTTGGTGGCCCTGGAGCTTTGGGTCTCTGTTTGATGGTCAAGTTGCCCTCTTCAGCAAAGGGGATACACTCACTGGAGCTGTTCTGGGGAGATGAAGACCCATCCAGTCCACAACCTTTCGATTCCTCCTCCTCAGTGTCAGACTTTACCCCTCGATCTGGCTCAGTTCTGTTACCAGTCTGGGAAGGAATACACTCACTCTGCACCCTCCTCCTAACACCACCGGCCTCTCTTTGTTCCTGTCCTGTAGAGCCAAGGGAAGAAGAAGTCGGATTCTGCTGGACAAGGTCTGGTTTAGACCCTGAAAGGTCCTTTGTCTCTGTCTTCCCTTGTAGAGAGGCTGCAATGCTTCTAACGCTCACTGGACTGTCCGTCACACAAATCGATGAGGTTGTGCTGCTGTCGCTCAACTCTCCACTCGTCGTGCTGCTCACTGAGCTTAGTCTTTTCGGAGGCGGGGGAGGGGGACCTTTCTTGCGAGCCCGTACTGCAAAGGACTGACTGCGCCCCACATTTCCATTCTTCTCTGGGCTTGACTGTAACCTAGACACCTGGCTGCGACCAGGTTTGCGTGTCAAGGTGGCATAGGATGGTAAGTTTCCAGAACAGTAAGCTCCTTCCTCTTCATCTTCATCAGGCTCACCGTCTGACAGAGCATAGCGGGTCTTGCTCTGGTTGCGCTTTTTGGGTGGAGTCAGGGTCACCATGCGGTCAACAAGCCTCTGAGGTGAGTTCAGATCTGTGGAGCCACAATGAGAATGCAGGTAGCTGAAACCTTTCAGTGCTGGGGAGCCATGAGGGGAGGAACCACAAGATCCAGGCAGCTTGGGCTTGGCTGGGATTGCTGGGTACTTGAAAACCGTTGCTGTCCCCAAAGGCACCTGCTTCGGCAGCAGCTGCTGCTGCAGAGGCCTTTGATCCCAGCCCTCAGGGTGGTTCCTCTCCTTGGCGGGGCTACCATCCAGGCTTTCCTGAGACCAGCTGTGGGGAGTGATAGAGGCTGTGGGAGGCTCTTGGGAGCGTCCAGATCCTCTAGAGCGAGTGTCGATACTCTCCTGGCTTTGGGACATTCCTACTGCGTTCTTGATGGCCAAGCCCTCCTCGCAGCCTCCATAATGACTGGACATGGCTGTCTGCAGCTCAGTGCTCAGCTCACTGTCCTGGAAAGTCAGCATCTTTGGGGTGTGGGGAGAAGAGCATTCACCTGCTGAGTCGGGTGGCTCTATTGTGACCAAGTGGAGGGCTCCTGGACCTTTGCGACGCAGTGTTCCTTGTCCTGATTCAGCCTGCAGGATTGCCCTGTGAATGTCACACAGCTTCTTCACTGCCAGCATCAGCTTCTTTTGATGGCCTGGGGGAGGAAGGGAACCAATGAACCAGAATAAAAACCACTTGTTGAAACAGCAATAATGTGCACAAGCAAAGTAACCACAGATTTAATGTTGTTACCCAGCTTGGTGATGCCAATTTCTTGCAGGTCTTCCCAAGTGAGGTCTTTGACGATGGTGATAGAGTCGTAGCCGTTTTCAGAGAGTTTCTTGTGGTACTGTGGGAGGCCGATGGCACTGAGCCACTCACCCAGATCAGACTGTAAGAAAGATCAGGTCACTCAGATAAATGCTATCACAGTTTTGGGAGCTCATTGTATTTTATGCTGCATTCGAGTTACCGCAGAAGTCAGATGTCCGAGCTGAGAATGACGTCACACCCGAGTTACCGGTGCCAAGTCGGAAAAAAACAAAATCGGAGGCAGAAACAAGATGGCTACATCTACGAAAGTTATTTAGCGCTTGCCCTGTCCTTGCTTTTATTTGGACAAGGCAAGTGCTTAAATAACTCTTGTAGATGTAGCCATCTTGTTTCCACCTCTGATTTTGCTTTCTTCTGACTTGGTAACTGAAACGCTGCTAACTCAGGTGTGACATCATTTTCAGCTCGGACTTCTGACTTCCGAGGTAACTCGAACGCAGCATTAGTATTAAAAACTGGGAATCTTACAGGGATGTACTCAGGGAGCCATTCAGGGATGTTCAAGTTGTTGATCTCAAGAGAGATCTTCTTGCGGTGGCCTGGTTTGGTTACTCCAATGGCTGTGAGATCCTATGGACAAAAGGTTAATTGATGGTTTACTGTCAAGACAGGAGATCTTGAGCCTTGTTATAGCTACCCTGACCCACAGCGAGTCAAATGATATTTCTGCTGCACACTTTTCACTGAAGTCAAACAATGCCTAAAAACAACCATGTGTGTAGTGACCAGTAAAATATCGGTAATGAAGTACCTCAGGAGTCATTCTGCTGATGGTGGGAACATCATACCCAGCATTGATGAAGCTTCCAGTATACTGCTCCAGCTGAAACTCACTCAGCCACTGGTAGATGGCCTCTGCATCCTATAACACACAGAATCAAAAACACTGATGTCACTTTGAGTCCTGGGGTCTTGATGGTACGTGCCTTTGCTGCTAATTGCAGCCAATGTAGTTTCTATACATTACACATAACTTACAAGATTTTTTTGTTTTTGTCATGTTTGACTCATCCACCTATTTCTCACCATTTGTTGATGAATATTAAGTTTCTTATTTATTACACAACTTTAAAAAGCTCTATATTCTTACTTCTCTGTCTTTATTTCTGTAAAGTTTACCAATCTCAAAACTTTGTCAAAGCTCTAGGAGGAAAAATTAAGGTATTTTGAGGGATTATTATCATTGTTATTATCAAGAGTACAGAGGAGATTAAGAAAGACACAATCATCACCTTTCCCTCAAGTAGCTGCTGAGGACGAACGAACTGCTGAGAGAAATTTTGCTCTGCAGGTCTCTGCACTGTCACCGTCTGCCTCCGAGGAGTCCCACCTGTGTGACATGACACCAGAGTTCAGCAGGTGATTCGTCTGAGGAAAAACATCTTTGGCATCCTGAGTTTAAGGGTTCAGCACAATAGAAAGCTGATTTTATATCACTTAAACCCAGAAGAAGAAAAAAAAGAAACAGTACTTAGAGTACCGAAGTGGGAAAAGAAAGAAAAAGACAACCAAAAATACTTGAAGCTGAGCTAAAACTCTGATATAAGACAGGAAAATAAGAAAAGTAATGAAAATGTTTTGATGGCAAATTGATAACAGACAAAATATAAATGTAACTTGAAGAAGTTTACGGTTATGGCTTTAGATTTAGTCAAAATTTAACTGAGACTTTAATGTCATAAACAAAACAGAAAAAGAAGATAAACAGATAATCAAACCGCAAAGCAACATTTTCCTGCATGGATTCAGTTTCTTAAATAATATGAAAATGTGTTTTTATTAGAATTAATTGATATAAGAAATATTCTTAAAAAGGTAACATCATAAGAAAGGAGCTTTTGCTTTACCGATTGCTGTGACAGGAAATTAAATAACAAAATCTAACAGTTCTCTTTTTGCTTTACATACACTGAAATGAAACAAGGCTCAGAGTTCATGATTCAAATACAAAGATAAAGCGGTTCACCAGCACCATCATTTAAAATTTAACTGAGCGAGAAAAGTACCTGCAGGATGATCAAGCTGTTTGCTGAAGTCTGGGTGTCCACAGTCAACAGTAGAGGGCGCTGGCTGCACACAAAAACACCAAAAACAAATGTACGGTCAGCAGGCAGTAACATACTAAAATGTAGAGGATTGATGGAACTGGAAATTGCTCTGTATTAAATCAATCGTGGTATTACCTTTAAGTAAACTCTTTACATCAAAATTAAAATCATTTCACTTAAGGAAAACAAGTTTTTGTACTGAAAACACCTACAACCTTGACACTAAGTTTTAGTGTTAGATATATTTTAGTGCCATTTGTTCAAAACTGTAATCAGCCTTCTTCCACATCTATGTATTGGTACCATGGCCTTTTTTAAATTTTTTCTTAGCTTTTCCAGAAGGTTATAAAGTTTAACAAAACTTTGCAGATGTGTTTCATATGAGAGGATATAAACAACAATGAAAATCAAATCTCCAAGAAGTCCTGAGCACATCTGACAACATTTCCTGTTTCTCAGAGTGGGTGTAATACTGTGATAGTACTTTGTGTACCTTATTGTTGTCATGGTGAGCTGTGTTGTTGTGTTGAATTCCGTTGGGTCCGTTGTTGCTTTCAGTGCTCTGTCCGCTCCCAGCACTCCGGGTGCTGCCAACGCTTCCAGTACTCCCAACACTGTTTCTATCTCCAGCTGCAAACGATATAAACAATGACATAAATTTTACATCACAACTGAGAATGAGGGGAGAGAGCATTGGCGTCAGGCTTCAGGAAGCAGCAGATACTTTCTCGAAACATCTGGGGCCAAACAAGCCTGCAGAGGCACGGGGCTGAGGGGGCCGGCTGGTGTCGACGGTGGGCAGGATGCAGGTTTGTAGAACAAAAGCTGTGCTGTGGCGGTGCAAGACAGCATCCATTAATGAAAGTCATGTAGCTGGCAGCATCAGGCTAAGAGGACAGACGCAGAGTAAGGATAACTCTGCTGGTGCACTACCACAGTCTGAGCTGTTTGTGACTCTTACTGCAGGCTACAAATACTGTTACAGTCTAATAAAGAGAGCGAAAGATTCAAAGCCGAGCAGCTGAACTTGTAGTACGATGTGGCATCTGACTTTACAAGAGTGAGGTTTGAAAGGAGAGTAAAATATCCAAAACTTCCTTCTTTGAGATACCTCAAAGCATTAATATTACATATAATTATTTGCTAGGGATGCACAATATTACAAGTATAATACCAGTATGGGAAGATATAGGAAGCTAACATTGCTAAAAAAAACTGAATAAACACTATGCATGTACATATCCTCGATTTCTAATGTTTAGGTTTGAGATTTATACTCATTGCTAGTCCTGTGTCTGAAATTTGTTTGGAGAAGACTGTAGCTTGTAAACAACTGTTTGTAATGCTTTTATTTTAATATAGTTTTTTTGTCTTGTGTTTAGGTTCCTTTTTTTTCCTGACATAGTAAAACTAGGCTTTTAATTTGGAGTATATTCCTGCAGATAATCTCTCCTACCTTTTGTGAGGCGTCAACCAGCTTATTTTTAGCAAAACATAAATATTTAATTCTTCCAAAAAGATATTGTTGTCAATATCTGTACATCAGCACAGCCCTGGTATTTATCTTTTATCTACACTGGCCAAAATAAATTTGTAAAATATTAGCATATCAAATACTAGCAAAAATCCAATATCATGCACCCCTATATTTAACACGGAAAAACACAGTGTAACCTCAGAGTTGAACTCCTTAAGGTAATTTATCTATGGTAATTTAGGACAGGAGGATTAGTTGGAGGATCCTAAATCTGTAAAACAAAATGCAAACTCATGAAAATAGATCTGTAACTCTTCTGTGTATCAAAGAATCTAGAGCAGTCTCTAAAGCTAAGGCAGCCGACTGAACCTCTAAAAAGCATCTGACAATCCACGTGGTCCATAATGACATACACTAGTGTCGCCCCCCTGTGGCGCCACTGGAGACCTACAGGACTGACAGCCAGACGTTCTGAAGCAGACGACACAGTGAATCATTCAGTGTTTGGACCCGACACACCAAGATGACTGTCAGTTACTCTCACAGTGTGAGAAAAAAAAGATGACATGAGATGATCTGAGGAAACATCAGGCTGCTGTTTCATGCGACTTCAGTGATGTGAGGCGACAGGAGTTATTCATAAAGACTGGAGACGAGGTTGGACAATTTGAAGAAGTGTAGAAGAGGAACTCGGGGAGCATTAGTCAGTGAGGAGTGATGTAAAATATTGTAAGGTGAGTACAGTTAGGCTACCTGATTTGATTTAACTGTATGATATCATCTGAAGTGGCACCTTCAGGTGGTGATGCAAAATGAAGCGAGGTGAGGCTGAATGAGGCGATGTGAGAAGAATTAAATAATGTGAAGCAATGTTGAGCAATAATACATAAGCATTTAAACAGGTACATGATAATGCTTATGAGCAGCATTATGAGATAAAATGTACATATAATGAGATAAAAAGTACAACTTAAGAAAACTTGCAGCTATTGGAGATAACAGTGCGATATGAGATGGCTGATTACGTGGAAAAATGAGATTATTTTGATCATAAGATCTGTAGGGCTGCATAAAAATGAGGACAAATGAGATGGCAGTAGGTCACATGGGTCACAAGGGAAAATGGGGTCATTTTTTGAAACTTCTGGCAACATGTAAAGTGAAGCAGCATGAGAATGAGGACAAATGAGACTATAAGGGTAACATGAGACTGCATGAGGTCTCATGAGGGAAAAAGGTGTTACTGTTGGTAGTATGAGGTAAGTTCTTACAATAAAAAGTAAGTGAGGCAGCATGAGAACGAGGATAAATGAGATGGCATGAGGTCGCATGATGCAGAAAAATATAATTTGATCTCATGAGGTAAATTAATGTAAAATCAGAAGAGTGGGGCAGCATGAGGACAAAAGAGAAAACACAAGGTGAGGTGAGACAGGATGAGGTTGTATGGAGCGACATTAAGAAATGAGGCATTTTAAGGGATAGAGGGCAAAAGGCAATAACATGAGACACAAGAGATCCATGCAGGTGGATTTAGATTATTTGAGGGGACATAAAGGAAACTTAAAGAGAAGATGATAATATTCAGTTATAAGGTAACACACACTGAGAGAACATTAAGAAGTGTGAGGCGTGAGGACACAATAAGAACATCTGAGGCGACATGAGCTGGCTAGCAGGCAACATGAGCGGACATTAGGTCATGTGACGTGACATAAAGAGACATAAAGGCAGGATTACATGATCTGACAGGTGGTTGCATCAGCTGACATTAGAAACTGTGAAGCAGCATGAAGTAAGCCAGGTGTTACAGCCATCTCATTTAACAGGCAGTGATGTGCGATTTGGTGTGCCGGGTCCTTCTACAGAGCGTTGTGCGGGGCAGCGGCAGCTTCAGAACAGCCAGGGGGGTGAAGCTGATGTTCGGGTTCGGGGCTCTTACCATGACACGAGTCCCTGAGAACCCAGATGTCCTCAAAGGGAAACTCAGACTGAGACAGGCGGCTGGGACACAAACCTATCAGACACAGAGACGCTGATGGACTGCGGGTGACCGAGGGGGTTAAGGCGTGTTTGAGGATACAGATTAGGCTGCAAAGACTTCTACAAAGTCTCCTGCTCAGGAAAAACTGTTAAAGCTGATCTTAGTGAGTGACTCTTGTGGTGGAGAAAGAAAACATGTCATGCACATTAGTGGTGGTTCCTCCTGTGAAATCAGGGTTAGAGTTAGGAACAAACCTGTGCAGGTGAGTGAGCAGGAACATGGAGGAGAGTGTGTGTACCTGCGTTGGTAGTGAGGCCGTTGGCTAGCGGCAGCACCACATGGGTGGGGGGTGCATACAGAGTGTAGGAGTCGTCAGTCTGAGGGGCGGAGCTGAGGCTGGAGGAGAGGGGGGCTCTGGAGTGCAGCTGCTGGCGCTGGGTGGGCAAAGAGGCGTGCCGGGACAGGGTGCCCCCTACAGGGTGAGATGGGGAGGACAACAGGAGGGAGAGGAGGGGGAGGAAGGGGGAGGTTATCAAGCTGATGGTTAGAAGTGGAGGTCAGTCATTATTTGGTATGGATGGAGAGATGGATGCAGGAGGGAGGGGAGAAAAGGTGGAAGCGTGGGATGGGTCTGAAAGCAGGTGGATTAGTTTCCTGATGGAGGGGCTTTAAATCTAAACCTCAACTCGACATGAAGAGGAGTGGGAATGAAACACTGACCCACTAACAGGTGACACAACGTCTGGATAACTGGATGTTTTCATCAACTACTGTACATAAGACTGACCGTTCCGTCTGCTGATGACCTCCACAATGGACGGCGAGAAAAAGCCCACCCGATCCGTCCCCCTCTGATTGTCGTGGATGTGGCCCTTCCAGCGTCCATCAACATGCTGCTCCAACACCTACATAAGACAAGACAGGTCACCATAAAGCCTGTCTGTCTGACACAGTGAGGTTCAAACCAGCTTTTTTTCACCATTTCTTACAAGTTTGAACACAGTGGAAAAATACTCTAGTGTGATTTTGTAATCGTGGCATCTTTAGTCATCTGTGTTTTTCCACTGAACTTTGGTGACTGTCAGATCAGATTTTAGTGATGTTTAATACTTTAATACAAGTCCCGACATGAACAACACCTGTGTCATATCGTCCAGGTTTACTCACCAGTCTGATTTATTTTTAGAGGAGGGAGAAAATACTCATGATTTACAGCAGAATAGAAATTATACAACAATCTGATGAAAAAGTCGACCTTTTTTACAGATTTTTAAACTTTAGTTGTTAAAGGACTAAAGCAAAACACAGTTTCATAGTCTTTAGCATGAATACTTTACAGAAGGAGGAGTTCTTTGACACATCAACCTTATTCTTTATACTCTAATTTGTTCTCAAAATACAAATGTCATTCCAAAAACTAAACTCATATTTCTTTTAATGCCTGATCCTGATACTCCTGCATTCATAAAGTGCAGGGTTATGCTCTTGCAATCTCAAACTTTAAGGCCTGCATTTGTATTAGATAACGCAAAGTATTTTCTATGTGTAACAGAGATGTAAGAGAGTCAGGAAAATATCTATTTGACAATATCTGAACAGACTGTACTCCCTCATGTCTCAGGAGAGAGGGTGGTTACAAAGATTTACGGAGGTGCGATACAGACTTGAAACAGAGGCTGGTTTTTTGATCATTGAAGCCTGATGTAACCCTGTTTAACTTTCAGATTTATCATTGAAGTGTATAACTCAACTCTGAGTCTGTCACACAGTGACAGACAGAGAGACAGCTGCTTTCAACAGGCTCAGAGTGCATTCGTGGATATTTATACAAACCCCAGCTCCGCATGAGTGAGGATGCTGTGTAAAATGTTGAAAAGATCATTCAAACTGGAGAAAGTACAAAGACGAGAAATCACATGTTGACACTGAAATGTGTTTTTGTTTCATAAAGAAAATATGCTTATTTAAAGTTTAATTCAGGAACATCTTTCAAAAAAGTTAGGGCGGGGAAAAGACAATACTGAGAAAAGTTGTGCAATCCCAAATACAAATTCTTATAATAATAATAATACAAAGATATCTACTATCTAATAACATTTGTTTGCAACAGATTTTTAACTGTGTGAGATAACAGTATAACTCCATATAATGCTCTTGAGAGTAAAATCATATATGGTTCATAATATCATTAAAGACCTACACTGATGAACATCATGTTTTTCTTGTTGTCTACATGATCATATGGCATTTTTCTGATACTAGAGGACATTTCATGTGAAAAATAAGTGCAAAATTCCATTTCTGAGTATTTCTACATTCAAACCGCTGTGAATCTCTGGCAGACCCAAATGGCAGGTTTAGAAACAGTGAGATTTCCTATGTCACAAATCCAAGCTCCGCCCCCGGAGCCCCACTCTGATAAATACAGAGGATGATCGTGAAACAAACGTGTGTGTTAGCGAATTGCAATGCTCATCAGAAAGCTAATTATGAAATTAACTTTCATCATGTCCCTAAAGACATTAGTGTTAGAAATCTGTACAAAGGGAACAAAATTGATAACTCATACTTTATGGAATCGATCTTTGGGCTCCTATGTGGTAATGCATATAAAAAACAGACATGACTCTGGAGTTGAAGTCAAATCTAAGAACCGTCCTGTGAACACAGCTCATTGCTGCTTCTACAAAACTGTCGAACTGGACAATGCAAACAGGAAATTATTAGTAAACATGATCCAGAAATGTTGGTTAAACTGTCCAGCAGTCGGGTAAATCAAAAATTGATCATAGATACTACATCCTCCACTCCAAAGAAAGGAGGAACCACCTAGTCTGTTATTAATACACTGTAGAAAAAAGACCTTCATATTTCAGTAAGACTCTGGTTTTGGACAAAATCTCTGGTCGGGACAAGTCGGTATTTGCTTTGTATTGATAGGGACATATTTCCTTCTCATGCAAACATTGACACTCGGGCTTTAAACTACAGACTGAGGTTAGATGGATGTATGTGTAAAACCTGCAGTGTGTATTTGCATGTGTGTAAAAGACTTGTCTCCACCTGTCCCTGAAAGAGGTTAACTTGTTCAAACATTAAAGGTTTGTCAGTGCTGACTTCAGATGGTGGAGTTCAAACAGCTGACAGAGAGCAGCTCAGGATTTGACGTGACAGAAGACATTTATAAGATCTCAACTTTTTTATGAGAAACAATGACACCACTTAAAAGTGAGGGAAAGTCTGAAATATGTGGAAAAACTTTTCAAGAGGAAATCTAATTCCACAGCACCCCTGTGTTGGTGCCTTTGCGCCTTTACTCTTTCAATATAGAACATTATTCTTTGAAGACAAAGATAGAAAATAGTGGGTTAACGTTTTCTTTCGTTAGAGGGCTGTTGATCAAATTTGTGCATAAGTTTTAGGGCATAATCAAACTGGAGTTCTTGTTTGACAGTAAGATAGTAAAATTTAACATAATGTCACATTTTCGCCACTGAACTTGCTCTTCTTTTCCTGACTCCAAACCAAGATTTAGATGGTTTAAAGCTTGTTCTTCGTGTGTCCTTCACTAACAATTAACTCACTGATAGCAGAGGTGTGACACAGTCACGATTGATCAATCTCTGAGTTTCTCACCGTGATGACGTCTCCAGCTCGGATGTTTAGGGCGGTGGGATCGTGCAGGTTCCAGTAATCCTTTAGAGCTCGGACCTGCAGGATCCCTGTAGCATCTGAGGAGGAAACAGATCAGGAATACTGAATGTGCAGGAATACTAGAAACAAACTACAAGAAACTCCTTTTGTCTTACTTATTAGAGTATTGACTATACTACCCGGATGTAAACAAGCACAGATGACAACTAAAATCTAGTCTTGCAGTGCAGTCTCATAGTATTGTAGTTTACACTGAAAAAACTTTCTCTTATCCTTGGTAAATATATATATATATATTTATATATAAAAAATGAAATAAAATCAGAGAGAGACTCATTATAAGCGAGATTCACCTGAAAAGTCCAGTTAACCACATTGATTTAAGATGATACAAGTCAAAATAAGACCCAAGTGAAAAATTCTGCCAACCGGATAGGAAAAATGCATGTGTCAACTCTCCAATGATAGAAGTTAATTCTTTCAAAATAGGAATAAAATCACAAGGAAGTTGGACACATTTTTCTCAGCCTGTATTTCTGACTAATTAAAATCAATTTAAGCCTCATTTATTGCTTGTACATTTCGAAATAAGGTGTTTATCTGGATTCATCAGATAAATGTGGCTTATATTCACTTTCACGGCTTCTACACACTTACTTAGTTTTCAGTTTTTGTTATAAAGCTGACTTAAAGTTGCTCAAACTGGCTTTTAAACATTTAACCTGAGCATTTACAGGTAACCGGAATCAGAAAGAGGATGAGTTTCAAATAGAAGTGTTTGAAACACCCGTCAGCTCAAGGAGACGATGCTGTCAATTTGATTGTGATTGTCACCCCTTGGATGACTTACAGTCATGTGCAGCTGCTAACATAACACATGAATAACTGATGTGTGTACAAGTCATTGATCTGTGCAGCAGTAAACATGATGGGAAAGTCTCCATCCATGTTTAAATCACTTCTGCAACACAACCGCTCATTATTCCTTCAGTCTGTTCCCACAGGAACTTCAAAAGACTGCAGGATTACAGAGCAGCGCACACGCACACGCACACGCACACACACACACACACACACACACACACACACTCAGAATATATACAGCTCTGGTAAATTTGAGGCTGAATGTGAGCAGTCTGGTCTTTGAAGCTGTGAGAGCTGACTGATAAAGAGTCTGATGTTACGTAACCCCAAAATTTAAACACAGCTGCTGTTTGAATTATGTCAGGTGAAGCTCAATAAATTGGCTGAAAAGAGAGAGAGAGACCCAGATCCAGGGAGGAGAGGGTGGAGATGGAGAGGTGAAGTGATGAAAAGAGAAGAAGAAGCAGAAGAAAACTTTAAGTAAGTAACCCAAACATGGTGACTGAAGTCCTAAAAGTGAAAGAAAACGGTCTCCATTTACAATTCTACCACATTATATTTATACAACACTGGATCATTATTTCTCTTATATTTGTGTTCAAGCTAAATTAAATCTGATTTATGCCTTTGCCAACTGACTGAGGCCAAGGCACACAGCTCCTGGATCAGGGAATCCTGCTCTCACAGACAGACAGTATAAAAACATGGGCAGCACGACCGCCCCTTGATGGTGAAGCCAAAATAGTTGGAGCTCCCCCTACTGACTGACAGCAGTGTAGATCATAAAGCTCACTTCATTCATGTTAGCAGATGGGACATTAAAGCCAAGATATATATTAAGAAACCAAAATAAGATACTAAAAGAAGAGGTGTTGTGCATCAAAACTGCCTACTATTGGCAAATATGGTTCTTAGCGGAGTAGAGGAGGAGCATAACAAGCACTCAAACAGAATTTACAGTACATTTTATTAAAGCTCCTGTGAGGAGTTTTTCACAAAAAGAGAAAGAATTAGTGATGAATATTGATGATGTACGAAAGCAAATGAGATCATCGATGATAAGACTGACAATATCGCCATAATAATTTTTAATGCCTGTAACTTCTGGTACAATGATGACACAGCCTTTGTTATTTTTGACAGCATACATGCTTAGGTGGTAATTTTTGACTTTTCACAGTCAAATGTATCATTCAATGTAAATGTTTTAGTGGCAGGGTTGTTTCTTTAGCTGCTCATCTGACACCTACCCCCTTGCTTTGGTTTCCGTCTAAAAATCATAAATCTCATCAATTTGCCTGTGTATATCATGAAAACACATCCATATAAACTTGAGTCTATTATGTGAGCTTAAAAAACTCCCCACAGGAGTTTTAAACCAACTCTGTGAGCAAACTTTCACAATTGCAAGTTAAAATCAGGGCAAAAAACTCTTGTTTTCTTGCATGTTTATGACATTATGATAACAGACTTAGTCTCAGTAAACAGGTCTCAGTTAGTGGGATCATGCTAAGCCAAAGTCTAAAACTTACATGCTGTTGGTTGGAAAATCAAACAGAGTACAGCTGATTTTTTAAAGCTGTCACACAAATGCAGTACAGTAAAGAGTACAGAAACTGCCTCTAAGATCTCTTGGAAGAAGAGAGAATTGAACACAAGTAGCTCAGAGGTGCTTTGGTTGAGTGAATGTACTTGTTGTGATTCCAGCACTGACCTCTGAGCAGCTGTTTGATGTCCCTGCTGGCGTGCGACGTGGTGAACTGATTGACAATATCCAGCGCAGTCTGGTTGTACGTGTTTCGGATGTTGACATCCACTCCAGCCTGCAGGGACGACACAAAGGACGATTACAGCTCTGTCTTCAGGCGTGATTTTTGTTCCCTAACTAGTCTGATGTCTTTGATGTAGTCCAAAATATGCAGTCTGCCCTCCAGGGTTTGGTTAAGACTTGATCTGATCTTACGTCAGTGTTGAACTGAGAGGGGAAGAGGAGCTGCAGGGGGACTGAGAGATGAATGGAGTGAAGTCACTGAGGGTTAAACAGAGCAGTGCTGCCAAAGACTCTGATTGGACTAAAGTGAATCAGTAAGAACATTTCCCAGAAACGAATCCATGTTTAAAATATCCGGCTAACACTTCCTGTAGAGTTACTCTCAAATGCCTGTGATAGGGGAGGTCCAACAGAGCATGCAAGGTAGTGAAATTATGGCAGAAGGTAAGAAATAATACAAATTATAATTTTCTTTTATATATATAAAAAAGCAAATTGACATTCAGAATAGAAGCATGAAGAAGCTTTTCCGACTTTTCCATCATCTTTTAATTTTAGATATTTGTGCTCCTTTAAGTTGTTTTGATTGTTACTTCTGCATCAGATAAACAACCTCTAGATAGGTTTTTTAGTCATTGTGATGCCACTTCAGAGTATTTTAAATTTCCTATTCTCAATGTTTTTACAACTTAACAATTTTCTAATTTATTCTTTTGCTATTGCAGTTTCTACTGAGGCCCATGTAAGACAGGTTTACGCCTTAATGAACTCTTGGGGGGTTGTTTTCATGGGGTGAGCTCAGGTTTGGATGAAATGGTTTAGAAAACACACTGTCATTATTCTGCACTGCTTCCCACTCCTCTTTGTACATGAGAACTAAAAGTGTTTTACAGTCTTGTAATGCATTCTGTTTTTCCATTTTTTGTAATATTATTTTTTGTGCTTTTGATTTCAAATGTTCAAGATAATATTCAATCAATTTGATTAAATATCAACATTTAATTTTAACACTAGAGATTTGGGTGCAAACTAATGAGGTTGATGGTGTTAAATTAACAAATAACTTATCAGCGAGAGATTAATGTTTCTTTTCAGGGTAAAACAGGTTAAAAATAATATCTTTGTTACATATTCACCTCAGGAAACTCTCAATATCCAAACATTACTTTCAGCCTCTTGATGACTGTGTAATAAAAGGGGATAACTTCCTCTATTACCGACAAAAATACAGACAAAGGAAGAGTGTTGCACTAATGGTCAATCTAATCTCCGTGGTCATAATGGTCATTTGACTCCTCTCAGGTGAACTTACATCCAGCAGCAGCCGAACCACCTCAGTTTTCCCGTACAGAGAGGCTTCATGCAGAGCAGTTCCAGACTTGGTGGTCTTGTTGATATCGATGCCAGCCTTCAGCAGCAGCCTGAAAGACAACAAACACAGAAAGTCCACCTGTGAGTCCCTCAATGTCTACTGCATGATACGTAACTTCATTAGGCCCAACCCTCACCCTGCTTCTGGTGTCCTAGATCCACTCAGCCTCACCTGACTTTTGTTCGCAGTGTTTATTTTGTTCACAGAGGAGTTAAAACTTTGCTGCACTGATACTTCTCGGTGATCTCCCTCTTAACTCAGATTATGTTATGACGTGCCGAAACGTTACAGAGTGATTCGGTGAAGCAGCTCTGCCTCATTTGCATGTTCCTCTTTTAAGTCAGACTCAGACAAACTATCATACAGCAGGTTCGTGCAGAAACGCTGACTCTCCCTTAAACACACACACACAAATACTTACTTACACACACACACACACACACACACACATAGATGAGACGAGGATATGGGCCGTAAAAGTGGGTCACAGGAATGCCGTCGTGTATTTCAGCGCTCTGCAGGGTACTTGAGGCGAGAAGAAGAGACAAGCTCTCATAGCTGGAGTCCACGCTCCCACATCCCCATGATTCAAACATGCTGGCTTGATGGTGAACAACCACACACCACAGAAGCCCCGCCCACTCTGCTTCAAACATCCACACACCTTTCACGTTAGAGCTATGAGGCTCAACAAACAATTGCTTCTTTTTCTTGTAGGTGTTTTAAAATTTTGTCCTCTTTTTAGAGAGCTTTTAAAAAGTATGCCAAAAAAAAACACATTAGCTCTAATACCATTATTGTTCGTCTTACTTTATGATGTCTTTGTGTCCGTTGCGTGCTGCGAGGTGCAGCGGCGTGGTGAAGGCTGAGTCTGTGGGCTCCTTCCTCTCTCCCTCCAACAGCGCCACCACCATGTTACTGCTGAGCAGCAGCTGGGCCACCTGTAGATGAGGAGGGGGAGGAAAAATATGAACAACATGACAAAAAGTACAGCCAGAAATCTTGAGACACAACAGGGACCGATGAAGAGCGTCAGAAAGCACAGGTGAGGATGAGCTAACACCTCAGAGACTGAAACATACACGACTGAGTGAAGCCAGATGTTTGGCAGCAGAGACATCTAGAGTGAAATATATCAGATGAACTGTTTCCAGATCTGACATCAACTCAAGTCACTGACTCCTCACTTTTTTAATGTTTTTTGGCATTAGAAGAAAAAATGAGTTTAAATGAATTAATTAATTTTAAAAAAGAGTATGAAAATAAGTGAAGTATAAATACTTTTTAATGTAGTCAGAATCAGCTGATTGAAAGTCAGCAAAAAGAAGAGTTTATGATAAAAATACAAAAAACTATAAGATATTAAAATCATCAAAGATAAAATTGTTTACATCAAATTAATGAATATATGTTCTTGAAACAAATATTTTGAAATAAACACAATTTTGGATGATATCGCTCTATAAATTTCTACAATGGCCCTCGTAGATCAACTGTACAAAAATTTATAGTGAACAAAAATCATTACATGAAAAAAAGAAAATATATTTCACAGAACTCTAAAAAAAATACACCTCAGCGAAAAAATATTGAATAATATACAAAAGGATTTGATAAAACTCTAGAATATTTTATGAAATATTAAGTTATTTTTACATTTTGCAATTTCTTTTCACTTGTCATGAAATCTTTTTGGATTAAACTAAAATGCTTTCAGTGCTTCATGATAACTTTTTTCTTTTTAGATTATTTTTGTATTCTGAGATGTACTTGTGACACTTTATAAATATTTTTGATAAAAGATTAAATCTGTTTTTGGGGAAATTATTTTTCCATTTTATGTGCTTTTTGACCTTCAGGGCCACTGTACTTTTTGCAGACTAAGGCAAATTTTATAAAAATACATTCCCCAAAATGTCTGAGTGCTCTTGAAAAATAAGAAAAGTAATTCATGCAAAAATTACAAGCTGCATGTCATCTTAAAAGTTTAACAAGCTGTGTTATTCTTTAAAATTAACACTCATTTACTGAAAATTCCTTAAAAATCTCCATGTTTGCTCCAACATTTTATAAGCTGCTTTAAAAAAATGAGGACAAACACATTAGTTCAGAAATGATATTTGGAACCACGTCTGAGTGAGTATCGTCAGTAATACGTTTGTTGGAGGAGGAGGTGACACAGAGGAGAACTGAATGGAAACACAGCAGCTGTTGTCGACACACCCTGACATCACTGAGTGACAGGTGACACACACACATACGCACACACACACACATACACACACACACACTCTCTCTCTCTCTCTCTCTCTCTCTCTCTAAAGATATCTGGGTGAAGTTGAATTCAGCTGTGGAGGATCAGGCTTCACTTTCATGTCTCGTTTAAAAAAACTCAAGTCAAAACAAAGACGAGCACGTTCAAATTCATTTTCTTCTTTTCTTAAGTAACAGTAATTTAATGACTCTGCTCAACATTATAGAACATATATTTACTTTCAGTGGACCTGAACAGCTGTCATATGTGTTAATTCTGTTTTGCTGACTCTAAAGCTTTACTGTAGCTCTAGGAAACACTCAGCTTACTGTAATGATCGGAAATTTTCCACTTTAAGACATTAATGGAGTTAGGATAAGAGGTACTTCAATAGGATTAATATCTAGACTGAGCTCTATGAATTTCTGAAAAAACACATGTGACAGATTACTGCAATAATCCATGTCTATGTGTAACAGAACGGTGAAATATGTTTGAGTAAATAGAAAAATTCCTGCTCCGACACGCAGATTTTTTGTGAAAGAAAGAGAGCGATCAACTTGGAGACAAAGACGCAAAGATAACAGCCATGTTTACTGACAGAGGGAGAAATGTAACCGTGGCAACACAATGTGACCTGTGTGTATACACGTGTTTGTCCAGCTGTGACGGTGTGTTGTCAAACCATCAATCTCGAACAAGTTTCTTAAAGCAGGACTTCACTTTGAGTTACTCCTGGCAGACCCAAACTCAAGCGCTAACCCAAAAACACTTCAAATTGTGAATTTTAAAACTCAGATCAAATAGATTTTTCTGCTTGTTGTAATGTTTCTTAGAGAATCTTCAGATGTTTCTCATCCCAGTGAGCGCTGATTCAGACATGGTTTGGATGAAAACAGCATGAGATCAGATCTGAAAATCAAAGATCTAATTTGCAGCAAAGACTTGGTTTTAGAAAACTGATAAGGTGGATCGCTTTGATCGTTCATTTGTAGCATTTTTCCAAATTCATTTCACAGTGAAAAGTGAAATCTGGTCTACTTTAAGTGATTCTATTTCTCATGTAAAAATCCTAAGATAAATATAATGTACAGTGAGAAAGGTGGTCATGCAAATTACAACCATGATGGAGTTTGTACAAACTATCTACTCTGTACCTCTTGTATTTTCTGCATTGTAGTTCATCCAAATTAACAGCTGTAAAGGGTCTACCTTTGTTCAAATCACACCAGCAGCAGAAAACTCTGCCACACAGCATCATTCTCGCTGGTCTGCAGAAACATTAAGGCACCAGCTTTGCCAGTTTGGGGAATCTATGCATGTTCTGCAAAAAGTCCTCGACCCATGTGTTGTTTTCGCTTGTAGAGGTTGCTGGAGACGTGGTGCAAAGCCGCAGCTCCTAACTGAGCATCTCGGCTCAGTTAAACTAACTGCTTTGCATTAACACATGCTTTAAACCTAATAGCTCAATATAATATGAGACAACACTTTGTTTATCTCTTTTTTGAAAGAAAGTCAAATAATAATATGCATGTTTAAGTGCATTTTTAACAATCAACTACTCAATACTTGATAAATTCTTCACTTTCCTGATGCAAATACATCTTTAGATTGATCTGAGGAGATTAAATCAGGCTTAAAACATGTAACCAAAGGGTGAATGAAGTATATAAATGCTCACCTGCACTCTTCCAAACTCACAGGCCAGGTCCAGAGGAGTCTTCTTGGCCTTGTTGACGAGACAAGGGTTTGACTGATGCTGCAGCAACATCTCAGACTGACCAAAAAAAACACACAAACAGACACACAACATTACTTCTTGCTGAATACAAACACTACAAGAGATAAAAAAACAGATTCCTACAGCTAAAACGACAAGACGAGTAACCAATATTTCTTCATGTCCAACAAAGTTCACAAAGATTATTCAGGGAACTGATATGACAAATAATCTTCATACGTAAAATGATCATACTCTAAATCATTTTTGGCAGCTGTTCTTACGCTTCACAGTCAATTGTTGTTATTCATTGATAATTATAAAGCTTTTTGGCTAATACCTGACACTTTTAGTCAGATTTAACCCCTTAGTTTGTTGTGTATTGGTGTATCCCAGCATGAATTGGGGAGAAACTGAATCTCTGTCAGCGTTTGCAGATTTCGAGCAGATCTAACACCTGCAGAAGTGCCGTCATCGTCTTGGCTCTCAGCGGTTTTGTGTGCTCTGTTGACGCTAGAAACTTGTGTTAAATTTCACTATCTCTCGGCCAATCAGATGATGTAATCTGGGACACACTCTGAGCTCACACTGGCTGCACAAACAAAGACAGTTGTGTGTTATAATCGCGGCTCAGCGGGGACCCTGCAGGAGGGATTTACAGAGATGAAGGAGGTGATTTCAGTTTGATCCTCTCAGAGTTAATCTGGAGCTCTGAAACTGTCTATTACAGCAGACTGTTTACAAAAAGATCGGACTGAGTTTAAACGAACATTCAGTCCGTTAAAACGAAAAATCGATGAATGTTTTAGTTCAGTAACAAACTGAAACAGTGTTTTTAAGTCTGTAACCACTCCTCAAATTCACTCACTGCACACTGCAACATTATTTTGGCTCTAAAAGCTGCTTTCTTTGCTTCGTGGTGGTTTCCAGTGCTTCTGCAGTCAGCCTCAAGTGGGCACATCTGCTTCATCTCTCAAGACTACAGGTTTGCTGCTTGCTGCACACTTATCAAAAAGCAGCACCTCCTCCTCATTTCAGAGCAGGTGTAAATGTTTAATGCACAGCGATCGGGTAAGGTGGTGCTCTTGGCTCACCAAGTTTGGTGTCGGCAAGTAAGAGCTCTGCTGGGATTTGCATCTCTGTGAAAACAGGTCTAGCTGCTACAAAGTGTATTTCAACTTATGACTCAGTCGTCTTGAGTCCAAAAGGATAAAAAGAAGCGAGCTCTGTCCGTTACTCAAGGCCAAACATGTGAAGAGGTCCAAAGTGTGGCTACGTTCTACCAAAGCTGAGGACAGAGATGAAGTGAAATGCAGTTTATGTTGCAAAATCCTTTCTTGCAAAGGTTAGTTCAACCACTTTGGCCAAACACATCAGTATTGTGCATCAAATTAAGCCCAATTTTAAAACCTTTAACTGTCTGCAGCTTGAAAAAACTGCTGTAGGACTCCTCTTCAAGAGGAGTCCTACCTTCAAAACTCCTCTCCTATTCAAGTCCGATAACTTAAAAATCATAATTCAACGTTGAAATTCATGTTGAAATCAGCAGGATAAAAGGTAGTATGCTAATCGAGCCGAGGTGACAGATGATCACATTGTGAGGTGTGGTTGAATGAGTAAATGATACGTTATCATGATGTGTTAAAAAAAGGGTGTATCAGCCATCAGGAGCAGTTAATATAATGTATAAACACTTTAATTTGATTGACCTGGTTAAAAGAGCATCCCGCAATCAAATCAAAGCTTTTAAAAATCTCAGTCTGATGTAAACAAAGAGACGGTAAAACATGGACAGTTAAATCTGACTAAAGTGTCTGAAAGTCTTTCTCAGTGGGGGGCGAGGATAAAAACAGATCATTTGACTCACTCACCTACATTCATCTTAATCCTGTTCTGACACACAACAGAAGGGTGTGTGCGTGAGTGTGTGTGTGTCTCCATTCTCAAATCTGCCCTCAGGATTAATAAAAAATTAAAATAAAAAAACTCAGCAGTGTTCATTTCATCAGATAAAAACATCCCTCACATCTGTTCAGCTGAGACAGACAACAACACAAACAGGGTCACTAATTACACCCCTCCAACCTTTAAAAAAATATCAAAATCCACCTCATCACCACCGTCTGAATCCACTCAAATCCAATCACACACCAGGGATTCATTCAACCCTGTGACCCCTTACAGCAGAAAAATGAGAAATACCACTTAGTGAAAATCCAACAGTCTGGAGTTTGTTTGTTTGTTTGTTAGAGAGCAGATCTGATTTTAAGCCCTCTTATTGACGGACAAAACAGAGCTGACACTTAATATTCACAACAGAGTATTAGGAGGGGAAAAAATGATATTCTGACTTCAAGTTTTCAAGTTCATGAGAACAAAGCTGTAAATTAAGAGGTAAAAAGTCATAATTTTGGTGTTTGGTTAGCCCACAAGTTAACTTTAGGGGAAGAGCAGCCAGACGTCTGTGCTAAATCAAGGAGTGTGGAACATATTTTTAAGTTAGACTTTCATTAAAGTTCAATAAATAACCGAATACTCAGACTTCAGCTCATCGCCACCAAAATGTCATAAATATCAATCGACTTTTATATGGCGACCATAGCCTGTAATTATGACTTGTAAAATTACAACTTTACTCTCATAAATTTACAGCTTCAATCGGGCTTATTTACAGGTTTATTCCTGTAGATGTACAATTTTTTTCTTGTGTGTTTATGATGTGTATTTTTGTTGATTTGTGTTTATTAAGACCTTTCTCTCATGTTCAAAACTCTTTTCTCCTCTAACTTGATTATTAACTCATAGGACTTCATATCATGATCAAATTCTCAAATAATTCCTCATGAGAAGTTTTTCACAACGGAGTATTAGGGGTGAACTGACCACTTGGTAATGTCCATACTGGGCAGCCAGATGAAGAGGAATATGTCCGTCTAGAGAGACGCCGTTCACTGAGGCTCCGGCACGAAGCAGCAGCAGGACCGACTCAGCCTTCCCCTGCCAGGCGGCGTAATGCAGCGGTCGCATTCCTGCACACATCAAACACGCACAACAAGATTTAGTCAACTTAAATCTGGAATATTTGGTTTAAATTAGCGACTTATGATCTAAAAAGAGACACAACACCCTCTGATATGTCTTCATTTCATCTCATTGATAAATTATCAAACACAGTGATTTGCGGGTGTGACTAACCGTTGCTGTCCTTGACGTCCACGGTGGCCTGGGCCTCCAGCAGAGCAGACAACAGCTCTGTGGTACCAGTGAGAGCGGCGTGATGAAGAGCTGAAAACCTGAGAGACAGAGAGAGAGAGAGAGAGAGAGAGAGAGAGAGAGAGAGTCAGAAGACCCTGAACAATCATGACGAGTTTATAAAGAGAAATATTTCACCTCAAACACTTCAGATAAGACAAACATTTATTCATCCCACAGTGGAGAAATTCAAAGTCCCCACATCCGAGCATGTATGAAATTGTGTGTGTGATTAAAGTCCTAACATGACTCTATAAACAAGATCATCTAATTCAAACGTGTATAAAACACACACACACAGTTTATGAGACAGAAACTGAAGAAGTAAAACTTTATATGAACTGATGAACTTCATCCTCTGCACTCCTCTTTTTCACCTCTTCATCCTCTTTCCTCCTGTTACTCCTTGTCTTTGTCCTCCCTGCTTCTTCCAACTCTCTCCTCTCTTTTTATTCCTCCTTTTCGCTCTCCTCTTCTAAGTTGTATCCTTTTTATCCTCTTCCTCCTCATCTTTCCCTCACACCCTCTTTTCCAAGTCTTTTTCATCATCTCGCCGTCTCTTCACCCTTGTTTCTTCATTTATTCTTTTGTCTTCTTCCTCATCTCTCATCCTCTTAATCCCTCATCCCCTCTGCTCTCTACTTTCCTTTCTACCTTTTCTCCTTCACCCTCTTCTCTCACTCATATCTCCTTTCCTCTTTACCCTCTTTCTTTCCTCCTCCTCTTCTTTTACCTTTGATCAGTTTGGTGACTTTAAGACTCTCACTTCAACTTTACATCATTGAACCTGACCTGATCTGAATTCGTGCGTGCGTGTGTGCGTGTCTGTGATGAATAGATGTATCATTTCTCTTTATCCCCGGTTTTTCAGGCTGAACAGATGCCTCACACTGGGGGCCAGAGGCGTCTGCGGCTCCTTGATTAAAAATATATAAAAGTGACTCCAGATTTGAAGCAGATGTGAAGAGAATAGAGCAAAAGACATGGAAAGCCCTCATGGTTTAAACTGTCTTCTGTTATTTCCTCGCTGCCTCTCTGCAAGAACTTATTTAAAAAGTTTAGAGTCAGATGTCTGCAGCTTCATAATCATCGGCATGGACTGACGCTGAGCTCAGTGAGTGATGGAGAGACTGTCAGACGACGGTTTAAAGACTCCTTAATGTGAAGATGATGAAGTGTTTCTCAGCAGGTGGAGCGATTTATCTAAAACATCCAAAAATCCTGGTGCTCTTCGATAAATAAAAGTGTGTTTTTTTTCCCCCGGTGCAGTATAATTTTTCCACTTAAGCTAAATATTTTACATTTTCTGCACAATAAACACATTTTACTGTGAAATGCATGCTTCTTTAACAGAGCTTCTTCCAGTTTGCCCTTAAATGGATAATTCCAGCTTCTCTGGTGCCTCATGAGAGAAATAAAAGCAAGTGGTTGAAATATTGGAGGAGAAAAACATCTGCTACACTTCTGAGATGTTTATAAATGTGTGTAAGAGCTGGTTAAATGTTTACTCAGTGCTGCTGAGAGGCCTCCTAGGATGAAGTTTTCAGTCTTAGCTCGTGTTATCACCCGTAATTAAGGTTAGATTAAACTGAGGACATTTTTAGCTAAGAATGTGTGTGTTTGTCTGGGCCTGTGTGTGTGTGTGTGTTTGTGTACGTGAGTGTAGGATGATCTGAGGTGTGCCTGAACTCGCCGTCTCCATGAACGGAAGTAGAGAAACATCATTGTGTTTCCACGTGAGTCAAACACGGACCTGCAGCTACAGGTCGACAACAACACCTGGAAAGACCTCTCTACGTCTACGTCGGACACGCCCTCAGACAAACTGAGCCACTGCTTCCTGGAAATAAACTCAATGATGGACATTTTTTACGTCAACTGAACTGAAGTCCTATCAAAACATTCAATCTAGTTAAAAATCACAATCAAAACAACGTGCATTAAAACTTTGTCTGGAGAACTTAACTGTGCAGGAAAAACTGTGTCAATGAAGTGCACAAAACTGGAGTACTTTAATAACCCTTAGATTATGTATTAAATGCCAGACAGATATCTCACTTGGTGACTCCCATATATTTGGTTATTAATTGTGTATCATGAAAGCAATCACAAATGCAAGTAAAAGAGGGAACTTTTTAGGGGTGTCCCGATACAACTTTTTTTTAATCTCCGATACGATACTGATATTGTAGCCTTCAACATCGGCCGATACCGATATTGACTTGATATTAGCAAAAACTTGTGCATGACAAGTTTTTCCCTCAGCTGCAACTGTTTTTTCAGACTTCAATGAAAAATACTGCCACAGGGCCGACATCACTCCTACTCCTTGGTACTTTGTTTGACGTGGGCTCTACATGCTGGATCCATGTGCTGCTAGATAAAAGTGCTGGAGTAGAGTCTGGAATGGACTGCTTGTATCGGATTGCTAATATCGGAAATTTTAGATGCAGGCTGATATAATCCGAAATTCGATTTTTTGCTGAAATAGAAACCGATATCCGATATAGATATCGTATCGGGACACCCCTAGAATTTTTAATTATTCAACCAGTAACAACTGTTTAATCACTTGACTGAAAACCATCAGACTTTATTGGCCAAAACCGGAACAGACGATGCTAATTCATTCCTACTGTTTTATATGTCAGCTTTTGTTATACTATGCTGCTTTAGTGTTATAAATGGTAAATACTCATCAAAAAACCCATCCAATTCAGGGAGTGGTTGACCAGAAATCCTATGATTGTCTTAGGGTCAATTGAAAGAAGTTTGATGGTGCTAATTCCCTTCAAAATGATCGAGGCAGTCATTACAGAAATACCTACAAAGTGTTGAGGGACCATCCACCTTGGTTTCGTCTAACAGTATAAAAGCTAGCATCCCTGGTGGTATAGGGATCATAAGTGTCCACAGCATGGGTAGGTGACATAATAAAGACGGCTCCATTAATGCTGAACAACACATACAGGTTTTGGAACAACATATTTCAGCAAGATGATGCTGAACTATAAATAGAAACATACTGCTTCCAAACTTTTTTGATATTGAGCTAAATATACCAATGTCTGCCAATTTTCCTCTAGCATCACTGTGTTGAAAGAGAAGTTACTTAATCAAACACTATATTAAGAAAAACCCTGTTAGGACTCTTTTAAGGAAAATTAATTAATTTCCAGCCCCTTTAAAAACCTCAACATGCACCACATCCATCCATCCCAGCATCCTCCCCCCACATGTGAGGCACAGCAAAGAGGAAATAAAGCTACAGGCTACATGTGGTTGTCTGTAAATAAAGCAGGCAGAAACATTAGAGGAGGAAAGAATAAAGACAGAGAGGATGGGGGGCTGTTTTTAGTGGTGCTCTTTCATCTTTTCTTTCAGTTGTGTAATATAAGCGATGGTGTTCATATGGGTCGGTAAGAGACAGAGGCCGAGGGCAGCTCCAAACATAATGGATGGATCACAAAGAGAGACTGAGAGTGAAGAGAGGAGGATGACTGTAACATCGGCAGCCTGTCTGACGAACAAAGAATTAAACTCAAGAGTCAGATAAATAATCTGATGATCAGAGCCCCTAAACCCTGCTGACAAAGACCCTCAAATCAAAGATGCTTAAATCATAGAAGAAGTTGTATTGAGATTTTGAAACAGGAGGTGATCTGGTTTGTTTGTATTGACCAATCACATGCGAGAGCAAAAGCCTGCAGAACACAATCCACTAAAACGATGCAAAACAAATAAATAGGCACAACGAAGTAACAGGAAGCAAAATCAGTTTCTTTGCTGGATTCATGCTTCTGACATAAAGTGAAACCTATCCTTTATTTTCTATTTACAGCTAAACTGAGACTGAACTGAGAGGTGACAGATGAAGAAAATGAGCTTTATTTTCAGGTTTGCACTGTTTCAGTAAGCCCGTGTGAAGCCACTGTGTTAGTCACCGTTTACAGTGAAACTGAGACTCAATGGGACAGATGAACAATTATCCTCTGTGAGTTGTTCTATACCAACAAAATGTATTGGGGGGGGGGGGGGGGGGGTGTTGACTTGAAACTTATAAAAAACAGGTAACATGTATGACTGAAGATATAAAATACAAAGATGAGTAAGAAAATCTGTTTCCTTTTCCAGAATGACATTCTTAAGTGCAGCCTCTCAGAAACTTCCTACTGTGAAACTGAGACTTACTTGGATAAACATGCATTCCTCTTGGGTTGTGAGATGCAAAGAAGTGATAAAGAGGACATAATTTTTTTGAAAACACAAAACCCTAAAATAAGCGTGAACAAAGCCTAAGGTAACTTTTTATTTATAGTGAGACTGAGACCTATTAGCAATAGGAAACGTACTCCTCTAGGAGATGTGAGGTACCATTAAGTGATGATGTAGGAAAAAAACACGCTTCTTTTCAGACTCAAAGTACTTCAGTAAACGAGAATCAGGCCTTCGGGAAACTTTCTCTTTACTGTAAAACTGAGACTCACCAGAAACAGATAACAAGTGTTACTCTGGGAATCACAAACAAACTCTAACTGGGAAATATCAGCTGACTATCCTGCAGCAACACTGTTTTTTCACCCGCTTCAGGAGGGAGACGACCTTTGAGAGTCTGGGGTCTCTCCTCCCGCACAAAGGGGCAGATCTCCCACCATCACCACAGCAGCTCTCAGGGACTCATTCCAGATCTGCTCTCCATAGAAACACGTCCAAACAGCGAGCCAACAGACCGCTAAGGAGCCGGCACAGACTCAAATACTAATTTGCCACACAGGGAAGCAGAAAGAAGCCTCCTTTATACCCTGTGTGTGTTTGTTTCTCTCTTTCTCACACACATCCGCAAACACTGAGGCATGCATGTCAATATAGACACAAAATCCGGGTGGTGAATGGTCGACCTGCACAAACACTAACATGCCCTTAATAACAATGATTTATGTGTTTTCAGCACCACACCTTCCTCAGTTTCTCTTTTCCTCTCTCTTTACAGGAATAAACTCCCCCTGATAAGAGTGAAAGACTGCAGGTCTGCGCACACCTGGACAGGAGGGGCGGCAGACCCCCACGGTTGGAGAATCTGTGATGTAAACTCGGCTAATTGTCTCTGAGCCAGGAGGAAAGTATGTCAGCTTTTGTTGAGACAAGAGTTTTGGCGAGGCGTGCTAGATGCCGTTCTGTTTCATTAAACATAACCTCCAGCTCTGTTCTCCTTCTGTGAATCATTTCTGAGTGTTACCGACGTGGCTGCTCACTTATTCAGAGGGCTGTCTGTCAACAAGATGCTGAACCAGAGATTAGGAAGCCTCTGGAGAGATAAACGATCGGATGAAAGAATTAAAAGAAAACACAGAGGGCTCAGAGCTGCAGCAGGAAATGTTTCATTTTAATAACAGAGGAGTTTTTATCTGCATGTGGATCGAGTTCTGCACAGTGACACACACACATACTCACAGATATAGCTAATGCATTAGGCTGCATTTAAAGGCATGGTTGATGATTGGAGAGAGTGGTAATTATTATGAACCCCGTTTATATGGCGATCATTGTACTATAGTGCGATCTCCACAAAGTGAAGAGAAAAAAGAAAGGAAAAAATCTGTTCACCTTAGCAGGTGCAAGACTGCATAAACACTGACCAATGGGAGCCATCCATCCTGGACAGCTCCTATTGGTCAATCTCCCGCTCTGCTTCTCCATCCAATCACCTTGCTGTATTCGACACACCTCTCTGCCGTGTTTCCGACTCGTCCCCTCCCACTCTAACCCTTTATTAAGTTTTATGTTAAAGACAAAAAGTTTCTGAGAACTTTTACAGAGTCAGAATGCGTCAAATCTTAGTATATCTACTTTCATTTCAGCAAAAAGTTAGGTGCAATCTGTCATTTGTGTGTTTGTGTCTCTCAAGAAAGAATTGAAATCTCGGTGAGGCTTCATATTTGGACGTGGTCCATGCTGTCAACTATTTTGAAACACCTACTCCATCAGTCTCCTCGACGGCTGTTTTAAATAGATAAATCCTTGACTCATTCGATCAGATGTCCTCAGGCTGCAACTCAACACCAACTCCACTTCAAATGAGACTGCATGTTCCATCATCACATTGAAACCTGGTGAAACTAAATTATCAGATTAACAGATTTAAAGTTTTCTGCACTTCAGCTGAATCACAGAAACCTCTTGTTAGAGCGTCTGACGAAACACGTAAAACAACAACAAACAGACAAACACTTAACTCGTGAGAAACGCAGACGCTGTCTGACAGGGACTAATGAGGAGGATTGTGGGAAGTTGTGTGTTGGAGATGTTGTGTTAAGATGCAGCGCTGTGATAACTGCAGCAGAGGCACAACTTCTCCCAGCGAGCCGCCAGCAGCTCTGATGAATAATAAAAAACCCTTTCCTTCCTGAGACCCGACTCCCCGAGGAGGCTATTAGCCCCAAAACACATACTCTCTCACACACACACACACACAAAGGAAAAAGCACCAATTAAAGTTCAGACATGCTAACGCTGTCCTCAAACATTTCACACTTAAGAGCCAGAGAGTGACATTTCAAAAAAGAAATGTCCTAAAACCTAAAAACCTCAGTGACAAAATTTCCTGTAAGATGACGCTAACGTTACGTTAGCTCAGACGCTACATGAAAAATCTGTTCTCCAATATGACGACTTTAAAGAAAAAGTATAAAATACACTTTTTCCATTATGTTTCAAATAAAAACTGTACAGGAAGAAGAAAATAACCAGTATTATATTATTTTTATGTACTGCACTAATAAGATGGTACATCATTTCAGTGCAACTTATATGTGTAACGATTATTGTTGTAATATATTTGTGAATATTCTGATCTAGAAAAACATGATTAAGTTGTATGTGGGCTGTTTCACCCCTAAAGCGGAGGATAGCGTAACCAGCAAAGGAATGAGGTGATGAACCTGCAGTTCAATGAACGCTCAGAGTTTGGCGAACAGTGAACTACGCCGCTCATTTATCAACACATAAACGAGAACGTGAGCGTAGTTCACTCTGGAGTCGGTCAACAGCTGCTTGTTTTATGGGAGGATCCGAGAGGTGTGGTACGGCAGCCCGAGTGGGACAACAGGATCCAGCACCACTTGCTTCTGTCATCTAGCAGATGCAGTCCTGGGTGTGAATCAGCTCTGTTGAACAGTTTTAGTCGTTGAAAGTTGAGCTTCTGTTCCAGCGCTCCAACTTCAGAAGTTTCACATGAACTCTTGTTTCTCAGTCTCTTCTTTGTGAAGTGTTCAGGGTATTGTTTTTGTGTGTTGTTCGTGTCCACAGCATTGTTTATGTTCTCTGGATAGACAGACTCCCTGTAGTAAAGTACTAATAGGCCTAACTGACTCCTGGTATCACCACCTCGGCTCTGTGAACTTCTCCCTGACTCATTCTTCAGATGTTTCTGCTGTCAGAGCCGCATTAAGTCATCCAGCCTCTTTGTAAACACTCCTATCTAATCGGTCGCGGTCTGGCCTCCTCACCCTGACCTCTGACCTCTGTGCCGCCACCCTCTGCCCTCCAAGAGGCCAACAAAGGAGTCCAACTCTTGAGGACGTCTCGAGACTGATGTAGTGCTCCTCAGTGTCCCTGGATCTGCTGGTTTACGGCCTCTCAGTGCGTCGTCCCTCTTTGTTCGGACAACAATGTGGACTCGGAGCTGAAAAGGCTCAGAGTTGTTTTAGCAGCAGGTCATTAAATCACAAACTGATGAGCTGGGATCCGACAGGAGACACTTTCTTTCTATCAGCAAACCCTGTATAAAGACTGAGAGTTCATCTCCAGTCTGTTTCTTGAAGTTTCCTCAATCCTCACATGAACCTGAAGATGTTTCTTGCCCATTGTCTTGCACTCTGTCTCAATGTTATTATTTCTGTTTCTAAATTTTGCATTTGGTTTGAATACATAATGCAAAAAAAATCAATATATTTACAAAAGAAAAGAAAGAGAGGGAAGCAAAACATGCAACTGGTGAGTCAGGAGGAAGGGGGATGAGAGGAAACACTGGTACGCAGGATAATAATAACTCTGAACAAAGAGAAATATTGATAAGGAGCCACATAACTGTCTTCATTTGTTTATTCCTCGCAGGGTAATGAGCTACAACAGATTTAAACAGTCAGCATCGTGAAAGTGAGAGAACAGACTGCAGTGTGCACGGCTCAGGGTCAAAACTAAGACGAAGTTTTGATTCTCACATCACTTATCTGCTGACGGCTCTGATTTCAGCCTCTGCAGAAGTTATTGCAGAGTGGAAACAGTTTTATCGGCGAACAGGGAGCAGAGTAATGACTGGACACAGAGCAGAAAATGTCTCTTTATAGTGTTGGCTTCATTACTCACCCATCTGAGTCCTGGTAGTTCACATTCAGTCTCTTGGTGGAGCCCAGCAACTCTGAAACACACAAAAAACACAAAAAAATCACACTCTGATTCCTTTTGGTTATCTCAGACTTTGTCTTATACTTCATGGATCAAGCCAACAGCCTGCCGCAAAGTCGAAACAGAATCAGAAAAAAAAACAAGAAACAGTTTTTCACTTCAAAATAAAGCGTATGCCCGTTTCATACCCTTGGCATTGTTCAAGCGGAGAGTAAAGGGGTTTGCATGTAGATGTCTGAAAAACCGTCAGGCAGTGATTAACATGGTGAGATAAACATGACACTGAGTCATTTAAAGCTGGACGGGAAACACTGTTCATCTGAGAGAGAACCATCCTAGAACTCAGTCTTTTAAACAAACATTATTGAAACAGTTTCATCTAATATGCAGTACGGGATATCAGACTGTTTCCCACTCAAGGTGAACCAGTCTGGAGACTCCTCCCTTTGCTCTGGTATCACTGGTGGAAATCCAGCTAGTGTCAGGAAGGAGGTATGTGGATGTGTCCTGCAGAGACACCTGATCATAAATCCTGCTTTCCCGTCTCTCTGCTGGACCTCCTGAGGAAGCTTCATTAGCCTTTGACCCTGGTTTGACCTTTTGGGTTTGGGTCATGTGATGATTTGCTGAAGAGACAATAAAGAATAAACCCAACAGCTCTTTGATCCTCTGACACACAAAGTCTCTTTGCTTCCTCTTCTTCCTCTGCTCCTCCATTCACCATATGCACAGAGGCCATTCATCCTCTGACGTAACCCTCAGGCTTGTGATCTCGAATGCTGTTATAATGTTTTGTTTTGTCCAGGGTTGTTGGCATGTGTTATGTTAACCTGCTATGAATTATCAGACAACAGCTAATTGTAGTGTCTAGCAAAGAGCGGAGGACATGGAGTCCGGGATTTACAAAAAGAATAATAATAGAATAAAACCTGTTTTGACTGATAATGTTTTTTTGTTTGTGAGTCTGAGTCCATGCGGTGGTTTCCACTTCAGGCTCACATCTGTTTTAATGCAGTGCCACCTGAAAGTCTGCAGGTCACAGCTGTGTAGTATTGGTTTTCTGCCTTGTCTCTTTTGAATGATATTATTGCTGCATTCCAGTTGTACTCGGAAGTCAGGATTTCCGAACTCCGAGTTGGAAATTCATCTGGAACACCCCCCTGAAGTTGGATTTCTGACTTGGAAAGTCGGACAATCCTCACCAACCCCGACTTGATGACGACGTCATAATCCAAGATGGCAGCGCAGTGCATCAACAGTAGAGAGTAACAGTGAAAGCTCTCATAATTTATTATTTATTGGCACTTCTGTTTTGTTTTTATGAAATTAAATAAGTGGTGTATGTTTTACTGCCCAACATCTAACTGTGAACACGGTGCTATGGTGTTTGTAAGAGTAAAATACTGTGTTATGCGTTGTTTACAACTGGTATAGCTAACAACAACTAACAACCGCTAACAACAGCTGATAACTGCTAACGATAGCTGACAATTGTTAACAACAACTAACAACAGCAAATAGTAAGCGTTTCCTTCTTGGTTTTCCGACTTCTTAACTGGAACGCCGTCAACTCTGGTGTAACGTCATTCCCAGCTCAGAGGTAACTGGAACGCAGCATATGTACTGCAGATGATGAAATCCTAAACTGTTGCTCACGCAGTCTCTCACAGAGTGGTGAATTTCTTCCTTCTTTTCCTTCAGAGAGACTCAGCCTTTCTGACATGTGCTTCTTATACTCAGGCCACTTTTTAGAAATTAACATAATCAGTTAGGAGATGCATTTTCCTATAACACGTTTCTGGCATCTCATTCACAATGAGCATATATTTGTTTATTATAAAAATAAAGTGTTTTTCCTGTTAAGTTGTCTTTGCTCTATATTACTCTATCATAAGATTTAATGATTTGCAAACCATTAGAGTAATATTTTACACAGCATCCTCCTAACTTTTTTTGCATATGTAAGGTTCACAACAGAAATACACATCAGAAGTACAAAGAGTTTCCCCACCCTGAGCTTGATGTCAGAGAAAAATATGGAGAATATTCAAGAGGCAGAGTTTGGAAAAGGTCTCAGGGTGAGACCTTTTAGCAGCCTGTCCTTGTATTGCCTCCCACTCACTGGCATGTCAAACTGTGAAGTCCTTCTGACAGGCGGGGCTCTGTTCGGTACAGTGGTGGCACAGCTCGTGCCTAATCAGCATGTCATTATAAATCCACGGTCACTGACTCTGCAGTGGAAGTCACAGCGTTGCATTCAGAGTCAGACTGCTGCTTCTGAATCATCACACAATCAGAGATCTGTGCAGAGGCACGTCATGTAAACCAGTTCAGCACTCGCTAACCCAGTTACTGAAATGTTTCTGCGGTCACATGATTCCTGCTGGGAAGTGGTGTCTCTGAATCAGACTTTAAGGACCAGAGGAAGCTGCTTTAAAACAGCTCATTTCTGCAGGAGAATCAGGAAGAGACAGGGAAACTATTTCCCACAAAAGACTGTGGACAGGAGGTGTATGTAGCTTCTAGAGTCTGGAAGGAGAAGCTGATGCACTCTTTAATTTTGCTTCTGGGTTAGCTCATGTGGTCCCATTACATGTAAGTCCATGGGAAAATGAGTGGCCTTCACACTTAATTTATCACCCCCATGAACATTTTCTGAGAAGTTTATGGTCTTAAACTATAACTTTAACTGATCTGAATTTGGGATTCCTAGTGTCTTTGGGGTCAAAAAATGACAACAAAACTGTATTTCAGTGGTTCTCCAGTCCAGTCCTCGAGGCCCACTGTCCTGCATGTTTTGGATCTTTTCCCTGCTCCAACACACCTGATTCAAATGATCAGCTCGTTACTAAGCCATTACAGAGCTTGATAATGAGCTGATCATTTGAATCAGGTGTGTTGGAGCAGGGAAACATCCAAAACATGCAGGACAGGGGGCCTCGAGGACTGGACTTGAGAACCACTGCTGTATTTTAACATGGAGCAACCTGAAATGAAAAAGCTGCCACCACAGCAATCTGAGAATTGTCTTGTTTGGTATTTAGTTGAGCTAGAAGCATCATATACTAAATGCTGTTTTGATTGAGGCTGAGAGTGTCAAGTTGGACTGGAAACACTCGTAGGTGGGGTTGACATGAAAAGATAAACCAATTTTGGGCCCAACTACCTTTTTTTAATCAAAAGTCAGCAAAGTTCAAAAGATTATCTTGCCAGATTATCCTGTGGTTACAGATGAGAGTGATTTCTCATCCCCTCCTGATTTGTGTGGAAGACAATCAGAGCTCACCTGACCTGAATCATGAATACCAGGCATGGTTCATATTTCCTGGTTGATGGTTGGTTCATGGCAACAACGCAAGTGTTTGTGTTCAGTAAGACACACCACAATCGCACTGGAAAAGATGAACAAAAATTTCAACCACAGAGGTTGTACTAGTGAGCTAAGTTGCCTTCAATGACTCACTTTCATGGTCTGCCATATATTTTTATTCTTGTCATGTTTGACCACGATTTGACACTCGCTGTGTCTGGTTCTGCTTGAGGATTCTGCCTGCCACTCTAGTTTAGGATTGGTTAACCAAAACTAGCATTCCAGATAATATTTACTTATCAGTCCAATTCACTCCAATGAAACAAGTATCGTAAACCAGCAGGAAGTCCTCTCTTCAGCCCTCAGACTCAGCTTTAGTGTGTCATCTCAAAAGTTTCAGTGCCCCTGCTCCTCCAAAATTAACCTCTGCTGCCCCTCCCCCACAACAATGGGGCTTTTGAAGTGTTTAAAAACTCGGGGAAACACAGCAGGCTTCCCCTCTGGGTTTGCAGCGCTGCTTTGATAATGACCTGGATTTTATAATTAATGGGAATAAATCAGACAAAAATTAAAAACCCAGACACAAACTAAACAACACAGCTGGGTGAGGAAACCATCTCTGCTCATTAAAAGTCTCTTCTTTACAACTCTGAAGACTGCAAGACCGCGCGCGGCAAGAAACCCTGAGAGTTAGCGCTGAAGCCTCATTATCCTCTCCTCATGCCTCCTTACCTCCTCTATCCTCACTGAGATGGAAACTTCAAATGGATTTTCAAATCCTCTATTATGTTATTTTTATAGATTACATACACACAAGTAAACCCTAATGAACAAATACAAATTTTTATTTGAATGATTTTATTTGGTTGTAAATTGATTGGATTTCTACATATATGCCATCAAAAACAGGAAGACGTTTTTCATATTTTCAAAAAATTAGTCGTTATTAAAGTTGCCATCAATTATGTAATTTATCATACATATTCAAAAACAATTATCACTTATCATTATACTTATATCAAGTTTTGATTTTGTTAAACTGACATGCTTTCTGTTGCCAAGGACAACTAGACTTTATATCAAGCCAACTGGCGTAAAGGTTTCAGTCAGAGTTTATGATTTCACCTCTTGTTGAAAATGCAACAAAAACCTGATTTTCTGTCAGCATCTGTAAGAAGCAGTAATTTTCCACACTACTCTGAATTAAGTTATTAACAACACAAAATGTTAGATATGTAATTTATAGATAACCAATCACCGACATGCGGGGACTAGAGATGTTAAAATGCACCAGGAGCTGAGAGACATCTACCAAATTGAAGAAAACAGACATAAACAGTTGTTAAGAGTGTAACTTTGTCATGGAAACATTATACACATGTTAATAAGGGTGTTGTTCGATAAAACAGTGAGTACAATCAAACAGGAAGATAACTGGGAATGTAATAAACATGTACAAATGGCGCTGTAATCCACCGTTTCCACAAGATCTACATGTTACTGGTTTTCATACTGACAGAAGGGGCAGTGTTTTAGAAGTATTACACACTGGATCCCAGTTTTCAAAACTTCACGAGTGTAAATTAAAGACCAAAAAGTGTCTGTGTTTTCATTGTTGGACATACAACCCATTGGCACTTTTGCTTATGTGTTTGTAGATTGTTTTGCCACGTGAGTAAATAGGTTTAAGAATCACCTGCTCACTAAAGGACAGTCTGCAGCTAATGAGAGTCAAATGCTGACCCAAACCACTGTTTCAATTTTCTCACAAAGATCTCACATAAGGAGTGGATGGAAAAACCCTTTTCTCAGATTTTTGATCAAACTTCAGCAACATCGAACAGGACTTTTTTCATCAAGGTGTTTCCTGTTTTCCTGGGACAGTGAACCAGAGTTGGATGTTGCCCTCTAACTACTAAACCCAGTCTGATATCAAACTCTTCCCCCATGGAAATGGACACCGGGTGATTCTAAATATTGTATCCAGCGGTCTCCAGAAGGCTATCATCATCTGCTGCACATTTGTTCAGAGTTATTTCTGAGGCTGTTTGTGGAGCGAGGCGGCAGAGCTGGACTCCCAACTTCTCTTTTTATAAATTCAGCTGAAAGTTTAACGTCCCGCACAAATCTGCTGCCACAAAAATGCACCAAAAGGAGGAGGTTTTGCAGCAGTCGGCACATTTAAGAGGGATCGGATTCGAGCTGAACAGTAAAAATCTCCAGACTAAAATAAGACGCCTGCTGTGAGGATTTAAATGTATGATTATACCTCTGTAAGCCACGCCTCACTCTCCTTTTTGTTTCTTCAGACAGAGCTGTAAACAGACCACTCACAGCTCCTCTCCTCTCATTGTGGTGCAGCACGGGGGCCAAGCAGCAGCTCGGCACTAAATTTAAGTTTTCTGACATGAAAACTGGACGTCCTCCAACTCTCCAGTCAGAAAATGTTCCCTGAAACTCAGTGACTGGATCCACTTTAGATTCAGACTGCAGATTACATCTCCACGTCTAAATATAAAGTAAGCTGCTCCTTTTACAGCAGTCATAAAAACACTAACACACGCCTTCATCTGGTTATTAAAGAAAGACTGAAACCAGATCGGACTCTTAAACACCGCCAGATCACATGTGGACACAAAGACATCATCCCCATATTTAAATATTACCAAAAAAGTCAGAGATGATCTTGTGGTCCTCAGCCAGATATTACATCAACGTTTGGGCTTGAGCACAAATCACAACAGCTTTAGGTGGAGATCATTTAAAGCTCCTGTGAGGAACTTTCAGTTTGTCTCAGCTTTGGCGCCCCCTGTGGAAATAGCAGTCTTTACTTACCCTGTCATCTACATTTTTGAATAAGGACATCTTGTTTGGTTTTGGACCTCATGAAAACACATCCTATGCTGCACATTTTCTCAATGTTGAAGCAGGGAAGTGTAACTTTAACCCTCACATACGACTACAGGCTCTTATTGATGAGGCAGAAAAAGTTCTAGATTCAATATAGCACATTGTTTTTTGTCAGGTTTGTTGAGTCTTTCAGTGTTACATTTGTGCTTTTTGTGACTTATTTAAATTGAAAAAAAAAAACAATAACTTGGCATTTAGGCTGTACATTTCTTTCAATAAAAAGTCATATGTAGTATAAAGGGAATGGTTTCTCTGAGCAACAGGTGGATCCTGCTGAATATCTGCTGCACTAGTGTTGTTGCTGCCTTTTTGATTTTTCATCCAAAATAATTTAAAAAAATATGTTTTTCTGTGAATTTTATTGCCATACAAGAAGTCTGTGCTCAAGTGTTTTCAGTGAGAGCAGTTCTGGTGTTACCATTTTAATATTTTAACTGGCATATTAGCTTATTCATGTTAGCTGCTTTGATTTATTTGCTGCTCTCTTTGTTAAAGCTTCAGCCTTGTAGTCTCAGATTTTGATCCACCCCCTCTTTGGTTTTTGATAAATGTTGTAGTGCAGAGTCACGTAGAGATAGACAGTTTGTTTGATGCAGCAGGTCTCAGAGGGAAAAGTGGTCAACAATCAGCAGCTCCCTCCTCCTACTCCCTCAGCCTTCTGAGAGCCTGGCACAGGAACACAGGAAGCAGTGGAGGTGTTTGTCCACAGCCGGAGTGGGTAACGTCTGCCTGTTATCTGCTGACTGAATGAGGACGACCGACCTCGGCCCAGCGGTGGGAGATAAAGATGAGCTCGTTTTAGGATTTACAGAGGAGTTGGTTTGTCATCTCGGTCTGTCCTCGAGCTGAGAGTCACGTTACTGTTGGGGAGATAAGTGATGTCCAAACCCCTTCCCTCCCCCAAAGTCTAGAGTAAGATCTCAACAGGAACTCAATAAAAAAAAGGAAATACAGGGAAAGTTTTTCAAACAAACACCGGAGATGGATGTTTGATATCAGACTAATAGTTCCATTTGTTTTGTGGCTGGATTGTATTTGATATAACATGATCTAACTAGAGAAGCAAGCGGTCGGCAACATTCGTCTCTCAGCGGGGGGTCTAACTAGGTGTTACGGTGTGTTTGACACTAAATTAATTTTATGCCGGAATATCCCTTTAAGTTCAGGGATGTATTAAAGGTTACCATTACAGAATTAAACCAGGAAAAGGATTTATGTACAGTAACATACACAAAACTAACACAGGAAAAACTACTAAAAGAAAAATACTGAGGATAGACTTTTGAAACTTGATTATCCTCATGTAGGTGTTAGGCTATATACATCTGAACATTTTTCAGTATCTTCAAACACATAGTAAGGATGACAGTTAAATAATAAAAGTAAGATTTTCTGGGTTAAAAAAATAACATAGTATTCAAACTGTTCCAACAGAAAGTGAAGTTTATAAAAAAGGAGGTCTGTGTGTGCAGAGGTGGAGCAAATCCCTCCCAGTCTATGTGAAAAGAAGTTTCATATTAAACGAATAATGCCACAAGTTTCACTTCTTACAGAGATCAGTATTTAACAGCAGCTACTTTGGGATCTTTATTTATGTACAGCATGTTTCTGTTGATGCTCTGTGCTCTACGACTGAATCCACAGACTGTTTTCCCCCGATGGAAATACGCTACATTTACTCGGGTTTGTTTGCAGACCATTATACATTGAAACCCTCACCAGACTTTCTGGAAGCTTGTCATGTTTTGTCTTGAAATTTCAAAGCAGTCAGATGTGACAGATTACCTGGCTGCGGTCTGACACTTTGAGCTGTAATTCTCACAGATTAATAATCCCCCGAGCAGGATTCCTGCTGTGAGCCTGTCTGCAGAGAAACACCACAGCTGTAAAAGTCAGACCTGGAGAATGTGTTTGCTTTGGACTCCCTCTGCTCAATGAACACTATTACACAGACCATAAACTCTTTAGTGTCCTGCTGCTGCTGCTCCTCGCTGTTTGGTTAAAGCTGCAAACAGGAGCTTTCCTCCTCACTTAAAAGAGATTGCAGCAGCTCGAATCTTAAACCACCAGAGATCTGCATTTACACTGTGTTGCAACAGCTAAAACTCATGTTGTAAGATTGCCCTCCATGACAGTCAAGTACATAACTTTTTACACATTTTACAGCAAGAACTGGGTGTCTTGCAGAAATGTATTGCAACACAAAATGATTAGGAAGCTTTTATGAAGTACCAATACACCAAGATTTGGCTTTAGAAAAGTGGGAGTGTATTTATGCTTTTGTTTTTGGTTAGTTTGTCTGAACAAATAGAGAAAGACAGAGCACCTTGTAGTTGAATTGAGAGGCACGATTTGCAACTATATCAGTGTATCGACCAAATATTCAGCAGATAATCATTGATTTGTTACAAACTTTACTGTAAGTTACTTCCTTTTCATCAAAAGTTTCTTCCTTCCCACTTTATGAATTTAATTTTTTGTTTCTCTTCAAATAAAGCAGAAAAAAAATTGTATATCTCAAGCATCTGCTAAAACAAGACCTCAATAACAGACCAGGGCTGGGCGATATGGCCTCAAATCAAGATCACAGTACAATGAGCAGTTCACCTCGATAACGATAAACGGACGATAACTACTCCACGAGCTGCTCACCCCCTCCCACATTAACTTTGTCTTTTGAACCGTCCTCCATCTCCTCACCTGTCTTTCCCTGTTTATTATGGACTGGATGGGGTGGAGTCACGTCTATGAAGTAGGACAACGTCTTAAAGGGACATGAGACCATAGCCTACCTACACACATCCAAACCAACTTTTATTTATTTATTTCTTTGACACCAAGTATACCGATATGGGCAAAATGACGGTTATTGTCATAAATTTTCGGTTTATCGCCCAGCCCTATAACAGACCACATGTACTCTGTATTTCCAGGTTGCAATTTGACTCTTCATAAAACAAGGCCTTAATTTTTATACAACTTTGTCCTCTTGATTCTAACTACACAGCATTTAATGGCTGCTGTAAGATTTGCTGTAGAGTTTGTTGTTTACATTCCTCTAAAGGCTCTAAAGTGCTGGGTCATGTAGCTCAGAGACGTCTGGAGGTGTAGACTCAGTCAGGATGGTGACGGAGGAATGAGGCAGCCCTTATCGGCTCTGTTGTGCTGGCGTGACATCTGTATTATCAGTTTAATCCTGTCTGCTGATAAAAGTGGCAGAAACAAAGCAGCAGGGAGGCGCCTGGCTCAGACACCATGTAAGAGAAGAATAGTATTGGAAAATTTAAAATAAAATAAAATAAAAAATAAAAAGTGACTAATCCACTGCTTAATTTTAAAAACACAAAGATGTACATGAATAATCTGCTTTTCCAGACAGGAAAATGCATCAAAATCCTGACAGTTGTGCGGTGTAAATTGAAAATATTTGGCATGTTTTCATTATCTCCTCTCTATGACCCGTACTACAAAAAAAGAGTAAACATGACGAGTGTGTTTTTGCATTTAGACTGAAAGCAAAAACACACTCTCTAAAGGTGAGATATCAGACAAAGTCAATAGCAAAGAATTCCAGTCATGCTTTTGTATCTGAACCTACGGGTGATTAACTTCTAGTTTTGTCAATGGAAGAGTCTATGCAAACATTATTCCCAGTCAGAGGATCACAAACATTGGTGGGATTCATTCTCCAAGGACGACGACTATCTGCACAAAAGTTTATATGGATTAATCGAACAGATGTTGAGATTTATGGGTCTATATGAAAACTTTACCCTGCTGGTCCCTGTAAAAAAGTCAAGATACTACTTAAGTTAATGAGCCTCTGGGGACCATGAATGTCTGAAGCAAATTTCAAGACAAGCTGTATAAATGAGAATCTCATTGTAGGGGAAATTTCAGGACACAAGTATCAATGAAAAGGGTTTTTATCTTCAAGGACCATGAATGCAAGGCTCAAATGTGAGTCAGACCACCTATGTCATTGTCTGCGCTCTCAGTCTGTCACTCAGTGAGTTCGTAGTTTTCCTCAGGGTGGGTGGGGGGGCTCTTAGCCGACACAATGCTCTGCGCCTCTCCTCTGTGAAACAATAGTGTTGGAAAGGAAGTGTGTGAGGGGCCCCCGATCTGCTCCGAGTCCTGGCTTTGTTCCTGAGAGCTGCTCCATGCCTCGAGAGCCTCTGTCCACACAACACCACACAAACCCTCCCCCTGGTCGTCTTCCTCTGACAGAGAGTCACGGCCAGGTTACAGCTCCAAACACGCAGCACACAGACGGACTCTATTCCTGATAATCGACGCCTTGTTGGTTATGATGCGGTTTTCTCCGGGTTAATTTTTCACTTGATCTCACGATAGAATGACACACTTGGTGGTTAGGAGTGTGTTCATGCTGCTGTTTGCCAACCGTCCAGAGTCAACAATGAGGAAGCAGAGATAGTTTCCCTCCCTCTGTTTGTTTATCTAGCTATCACAGCTTCATTTACACTCTCCTGTAAGATGCTGATCGAGACCCTTCAGGAGACAGACGTCCCCATGACTGAGTCTGACTGCAGGGCAGGACGTAATGAAAGCTAATGGACAGTTGACAGTGGGGTGGCAGCAGACTGAGTCCCGGTCCTGGACCTGTCTGGACAGTAAATAATCTGAATGTGACAGCGGCTTGTTAATGAGACACTTAGTGTCCCAGAGGAGGACATGTTTAGACTCTGGGTGGAAAATACGACAAACCTCTGAGGTATTCTCAAGGAAATCTGGTCTGACAGATCCTGGTGGGAGAATGGACCGGACAAGCTGGAGTCATTTCAGCTCAATCCAGCAGGTTTCAAACATAAACTAAGAATTTTTAGACTTACAATCCAGTGTAAATCATTTTAAGATTGCATCACTTTTAGACTTTCACTTTTCGATTAAAGAAATGATTCAAACGTGCTTTTCGGTTTCATCGGAGTGCTGCTTTTTGTGCACTTTTAGGTGGATTTTGTGTCGGTCCAGATCCATGACTCTTGTCACCAACAAGCTTGTTTTATTATAGGCTCATTGCTCAGACACAAGTTCAACTTTCCTTGTATTTTGCTCAAACTGTAAGGACATCTGTGTTTATAGATACGACTCAAACATTTATCTCCAGTGTTGAGTTTGTGAGTGGCAGTTTTACTGTGTCCAGTAAGTTACATCCACAGAAATGTGGCTCCAACAGAGCAGCGCAAAAACTGAACTGAACATATTTTGCTTTGATTTTATTGCGGAAAATAGTTCTGTTGCATGCCGAATCATTAACAGTACAATGTAGACACAAAAGTAAGAAAGCGCGCTCTGTCACCACTTTTTAAAATGCTTTTTGTTTTTTTAGAGTTGGGTTCAACAGTTTCTGATACAGCCTCATGACTGAAGAAAAGGCTTTATCTGAAGGTGGCACAGAGTATCAGTATTTTTAAAACTGAGACCCACATTTTTAGTCTGGCTTTTCACTGAGTCTTACCTTATGTGCCTAACTCTGTTCATGGATTTTTTTTTATCTTATTCTATATTGTTTTTTACCTTAAACATGTAGTCTACTTTGGAGCTGCAGAAGAAACTTCCATTTTTCAAACTCAACTAAAGTTCAAGATCATAACATCAGGCCGCGTGCTCTGAGAATCCTTTTAAGTCTTGTTTGCTGTGAAGTGAATCTGGATGGAGTGTGAGGAGTGTGTGTTGTTCCTGTTATAATCAGAACCTAAAACGAGGAACCGGCTCAGCGCTCTGCACATATTGTTCAGGAGGGATGTGAGATCAGCTCCACGCCTGTTCCTCTGCTGCTCATAATGGACGTTTTCCTCACGGACAAACCTCATCCTTCTGGACTATCAAAGCACCACCTACCCTCCTGCACCCAACCTCCCCCCGGCCCTGCAGCATGTGACCGGGCATGCCTGTTTGGCGGTCAGCCTGGGTGTGTCAGACCCAGCCTCCACTTACAGTAACTGAGATAAGACGACAAACACACAGAAGCAGAGATCACACACAACTTTCATTTCACATACTTTGAGTTCACCCAATTAACAAAACAGAGTAATAACACCGAACATGAAGACAAAACCTTCCTCGCATGGGTTAAAACTATCATTAACCACCACAAACTAGGCTAAAATGGATGTTGGTAGAGTTTCATAACATTAAATACTCAAATGGCAGCAACTTGGGTTAACTAACCTCAGGTCAGGCTTTGCTGTTTGAAGGTCAATTTGAAACTGAGATGGATGCACTCTGTGTTCAGCTCATCAGTTTTCTGCACATCCTCTGTAATCCTCTGTTGCAGTTCTGACAAAGATCGTCAACAGTTCAAACAACAGACTGCATAAAGCATGAAACATAATGTCATATCTAGAAAATTGAGTTCTCTGTCCATAAGTTGTGTAGTACTTGAATGGCGTCTGCACACTGCCTTTTGTAACAGATACATATACATTATTATTATGTCTCCCACCTGGCAAATCTGACAAAGACACGCCCACCTCAAAGCTGGAAAATCTGTTTCACTGATGGTGTTTTTCCTCCATTCTTCAGTTAATAGATTCAGTTTGTCTTAGAAAGTTTCTCCCAAGGGTTTCTCTGACTGTGAAGGAAAGTCACACCTATTTCCTCTTTCCCAAAGACAAAGGCACCAAAATTCAGTGGAAGCTTTTTAAGTTTTTGAGACAACAACAACAAAGATGTGTAATGTCCAACTCAACTGATGACTTGTAAACAAAGGCCAGTATGAGCTGAAACCTGGAGACTGTCCACCTATAAAGACCTCCACGAAGGCTCGAAATAACAGGCTGTAAGTCACATTTTAACAGCACTAAATTAACCATAGTTAACATGCTAATGTGGCCAAACGAGAGCTAAATGGGCACAACTCATAACTTTGAGTAATTTTGTGGCTGCGAAGCTGTGTAAAAAGCAACAACCCAAGCTGTGTCTCAACATTTTATCAGTGGAAAAGCAGCCAAAATAAATCAGACAGAGCTGAAACGAAGGTTTTCACTGACGTATAATATAAATTACATTTTTTTATGCTGGGAAGAAAAAAAAGAAGAAGTGAAGCCGTCCACCACCATTGGCCCAGTGGTCTGTCACGGTGTTATGAAGTAGATGATCGATGTTTTTAAGAATAATGTGAGGTGAAAATGAATATAACAGGTCTCTAATGTCTATTCACAGAGTTGACAAAAACAGAGTCCATGCTCTTTCAGAGGATTTGTTAAATGTAAACTATACTGATTTCTGTTTGTAATACATTTGTGGTCTAATCCTGTTTGGTATGGAGAGCAAAAGCAAGCGCAACACAGTCTGCAGTTATGACATCCCATCTCATATCAGCAGTAATTTAACAACAATCAGTATATTTTTCTTGATAGTCATCTGCGTTCAACACAGTGTGAACCTTTTACATCTGGAAACTGCACAAAAACAGACCAAGACTTTTGAGTCTATAACCAACAAGGTTTCTGTCGTTCTAGCTTGCTTTTGTAGGTCATAAGGAGGCATCAATATTAATGTGAGTCTGTTTGGTATCCGGCTGAAAACTCCTCAGTGTGGCTCAGATGCTCGAAAACAGAAGTCTTGGCTAGTCGTCGGAACCACCGATTTTACCAGACGCCCCAAAAATTGGATGAATTATTGAGTTGCTTTGAGATTTAATGTTGAAAAGTTCCAAAAATGTAAAAAAAAAATCATCACTCCAAAGACTAGAGTATTTTAATTTGTCAAAGTCTGCTTGTGAAGGATGATGCATTTATGTTGCAGAGCTGGGCTCATGTATTTTGCCCCTCTGTTTAATTCTACACAGCTCTTGCAACTGTCTTGATCGATTCCTTGATAATTTAAATGTTCTTGTAAATGTTTTTAATCTAAGGACATTGACTGATTAAATAAAGATTCAACGAAAAATGAAGCATCAGTAAACACTTGAAAGAAATGCATGGCACAAATGGGCTTTCACTCTCAGTGATCAAATAACTTGAATATGACAAAAGCTAATATATATTTAAGCCTGGTACGTCAGAAGCTCTCCTTCTTCTTCTCTGAGTGAGTCTGTTTGAAGTTTTCTTCGCTGGGAAAAGAGCAGTGAGTGTGCTGGCAGCGCTTCAACACCCACCACACCACTCTCTCCTTTTTTTTTTCTCTTTGTCATCAGCTGCAAACTTCAGGAAACTCTCTGTACGCTGGATTTCAGCAGAGTCAAATTCCAGCCTCAGAAAAAGGGGCTCGAAGGTGCAGCAACGGGGTCCACATACCAGCACCATGACATCACCGCCTCCATTCTTCGCTCTGCATTCACGCTGCAGCTCGGACAATAGCTGGCACAGGGACAGCTCGGGGGGATTTTAAGGGAAGAAAATAAGAGAAACTTGGAGTCCACAGCTGTGAGTTGCACGTCACGCTGAGCTCAAGCTGCAGCCGTCCTAAAGCTTTCAGCGAGGTTTGAAGTCCTGAGAGAAGCAGACCTGGACTGTAACGTACTTCTATATGCACCAGCCAAGATTTCAGAGAGAAAATAACTCCATCTTTAGCAGCCTACCACAATTCTGACCTAAATTAGGGCTCTCTGAATTCCTCTCATGCTCAGTGGTGGGAATGTTCCCCGTACTCAGTCAGACACAAATCAGAACTTATAAGTCAGATTACAGACAGGCTGTTTAACACGAAGAAATGAGAAATATGTCCAGAAATATACCGACTCCTTCATCCTGAGAGGGACTTTAAGGGCCAACAAACACAAGACAGTCCACATGGATCATAACCAAATTATTTGTAATATGAGAAGTAAGGCTGCAGAATACATTCCCATTTCAATATTGCAAGCAGCGCTGAGGAACACACCGCTAAAGCTTATTTATCTTTATCACAATAAATATAAGGAATAACACCCTGTTATGAGTGTGTTTTTACAGCATTTTTTCAAGCTGGAGAATCTACAGCTGACCAAAAGCCACTCTAAAATGAAATGATGTTTATTTAGTGGTGAAAAGTACTAAAAAAATTGTGGCTTTTTTCATATTAAAGAGTAGGTATTGTGCAAAATATGCCAAATGGGTGAATAAAAACAGACAGCTAATTTTGGTAATATGCATTCTTTAATATTTTTTTAGAGCTCACAAGCCCAAAGGTACGATTACAAAACAAACTTAGCCTCCATCAAAGACACAACATGATGTATTATTATTATTATTATTATTTTACCCAAGCTATGATCTTTTCAAAAACTTAACCAAGTAGTTTCGGGTCCTTAACCCTTGACTGTAAAAAAGTGAGAAGTGTATTTATCCTGTGGGACTTTTAAGCTTGCATTCTTTCTAATGTTCAGCAGGGGGCGACTCAACCCGTCACGAAGTAGTCAAATTTTGTAATTGGCTTTTGAACATTTCACTTTTGAAACTACCAAATAGCTCAAATGAAAAGTCAAAAGTCATCTTCGCTTTTCGACACACAAAATATCATCGGGTTTGCGTTTGAGCTTCAAGTGTGAACTTCCATCTACGAGCTAAACATACAGGTTCAGCTAATCAGACTGTCAGTATACAACTGCATCACAAAATACAGCAGAGCACAACTTTGGAGTGTGTAACTTATGGAAGACACTTTTATGGAAGAAGCTGAAAGGGCCACCAAATTGAAACACCAGAAAAGTGCAAATGCTTTTGCATGAACAAGGAATCACTGGATGCCATTTTGAGGAATGAAATGATATTGAAATAACTGCACATCATATTGACAAAAACTAGACATTCAGTACACGCACCTCTGCAAATATTTTGAGCAGTAAAAATGAACCCATCACTGCAAAGCACCTTGAAGTTGCCCCCTAACTTCACATTGTGGTTTCAGACCACACTGGCGCACAACTACATCAATAATAAACTTAAAAGTCAAGGTCATGAAGTGCATCTCTTTGCATTTATTGGATTTGACAAAAACAGGCGCCTCCATGGAGTGACACGTCCCAGAATAAAGATCAGGAGTTTGTTTTTGTCTCCCTGACAGAGTTTTAGGTGTGTGTATGTGTGTGTGTGTGTGTGTGTGTGTGTGTCTTTGAATGTTGTCAATAAACCCAAACCAGCACCCATCCCAGCAGAGTAACTCTGTTGTGGTTTGCAGCGACCACAAAGAGGCGTCATCAAGTGTTTATGGTCTCTAACCTGACAGGATGCACTCTTTGTCATTTCGTACAATAGTCACATGTTCAGTCATGTGACCTTTGAGCCGCACACTTACAAAGAAAAGCCTTGAGAAAACCTCCCAACATGAGAGCTGAGTGCAGAACCTCTGTTACATAACTCACCGAATAAAGAAAAACACCAGCAGCCATTACTCCGCTGAGCACCGACTGTTTCCCACTACACAACACACACACAATACACACAGGATATAGCCTCGAACTAGATTCATTATCTTCTTGTTTTCATTTCAAAGCAACTATAAAAAGTGAAGAGAGGCTGCTGTGAGCGAGCTCTGAGGCAGGTTATACTGAGAGGGGCTAATCTAATTATAACAGAGAATGTGTGTTTATAAGGAGAAACATAAGGAGACTGCAACAACGCTCAACACCAGAGCAGCAGTTCAACCGCAGTTCAGCAGACATCCCACAGGCCGGTTGGACCAGGAGGCACATTTCTGAGAACAATTGTGGGTTAACTAGTTAGGCCCCCAAACCAGGACCAGGACTTCTTAAACTTTCAGAATCAACTGGTGCAAAACTCTCAAAGGGAAGCAACATTTCCAGTCCTACATATAGTGATGTCTGCAACTGGTTTCTGAAGCTGCTTCATGAAGCCAAACAGCAGGTGCCTTACTGGACTGAATCTATCTTTTGATCCATCTAACCACAAAGAGGTAGAACTAAGGCGGGCCTTAAACCTCCCTAATGTGATAATCTGTCTCAGAGTGTTTAAACCCAATGCAGGTAGACCTGTTTCTGGAGGTGGTGCATCCAGACTAAAAGAGCACATGACGAGCTCCTAAGTTAAAAAAGTAAGGAGCACACAAAGAACAAAACTGAAAATGAAAATTGATCAAATAATGTGTGTCTTATTGGTTGACATAAGTACTATTATTTGAAATCAATTTTAGGTCTTTTGGTCACATGACATGGAAGCTATTGAAGGAAAGGTTCAAAATTTGCCTTTAAATTTAACACACAATTTTTTAGAGGACAAATTAGGGAAATACAGAGGTGTGTCTTATTGTCTGACCTTAGTACTATTATATAAAATCAATTTTAGGTCAATTGGACACATGACATGGAAGCCATTGAAGGAAAACAGCCTTTTTGAGAAAATCAACTGGTAATTTATCAATGGTCCCTTATTCAACACCTGACGTTGACAGTGAGGGTCCTGAGTAGATTTAACCGTGCTGCTGTTGCTGTTCCCGGTTATGGAGAGTGAGAAGACACCGGTAGATCCGCCGTGGACGTCCGTCGGATATCCAACCTAAAACAAACTTCACTGCGGTATTTATATGGAAACACATTTGTTGCCTCGGTTGATTTTTTTATGCGCACAAGTGCCCCTAAATACATTTTACAATTCGCACACATCTATTTTTAGTCGCAAATGGGAGTGAAACGATCGCACTGTCAAGCCCTGCATCTTACTTTAGGTCTGTCTAGTTAGGTCTGAGTTTTAACCATAGTGTCTATGTTTCTTTGAAATAAAATACAGCCCTACTTCTCAAAAAAAAAAGTGGGGATTTAATCATCTGATGTCAATTATATCATTAAAGGATAAAAAGAAACCTGTACAAAAGGGACAGGACTAAAAACTGCCATTGAAAGGTCATGATCTTTGGACCCTTTGGCAGCTCTGCAATGAAAACAAGTATGACTCTGTAGTGGAAGTCACTGCCTGGGCTCCAAATTTCCTCCAAAACCATTACCTGTGAGCTGAATCAGCAAAAACACAACCAGAAACACAAGTAGGAAACTGCCTGATGGTCAGACAAATCAGAGTCTGATGTTCTTTTGGAATTCAAGGGCTGCTTATGAGAAGAGACGGACCACCAGGCCAGCACCCGTAGTGGTATAAGGATGTGTAAGTTAAAACTGTCCCAAAGAGACAAAGAGGAGACCGCATGCAAACTTGATTTAAAAACACCAGGGACTTTCCTGGACCAGAGCCCAATAAAGATGGACTGAGGCAAAGTAGAGAGCTGTCCAGTGGTCTAGCCGATCAAAACTGGATATTCTGTTTGTAAATCAGAGACCTCCTTCTCTCTACAGAGGAGAGGGACCACCTGTTTTTTTTATTAGCTGATGTCTCATAAACCAGAATCTCTGATGGTCTTCGGATCTTAAGTGTCCATGGCGTAGGAAGCTTGCTCGTCTGTGAAGGCTCCTTTAATGCTGGGCAATATATACAGGCTTCAGGGCAACACATCACTCCCCTTCTAATCCAAGCAACTCAAAATTCTGTTTTTAAATTCAACACATCGTCAAAACCTTTTTAGGGTCAGGGTTGGAAGTTCTTGTTGGTCTTCACCTCCTTCCTGACGCCTCCGAGTCGACTGGTCTGCAGACATTTGGAGGTCCAGAGGGACCCCTCAGCAACAACACACAGGAGCTTTGTTTCCCTGCTCAGAGGTATGCCCGGCCTGCTTTAAAGCCTATAGGAATCCTGTGTGTTTAGTGGACCAATTAAACATTTAACACACCAACAGCATAGTTGACAGGCAAACACTATCAGCTCAAATGCAGAGGCAGAATTTCACGGACCGTCTGAGAGGTTTTAACACGTTCCCTCAAATCTGGGCCGTTCGCAAGGGGGAGTGGAAACTTCCCTCCTCATTACCCCGTCGGTTTATAGTTTTATGTTTGGAGATGAGAGGTGAAAGTGGAGCAAGCAGAGTCCCACTGAACTCCTCCAACACTCGCAGCAAAAAGCACCTGATTGGCTGAGCTCGCAGTCTCCTGAATTTAACCTTTTTTTTTTTTTTCAAAAAGGAGAGAGAGTTATGTAAAAGCAAAGACCTGTTACTGAGTTTTCTACAAAGTTTGACTAGAACAGAGAGGGTGTGAAAGTCTTAATGTGTTCCAATTACATCCAGGCATATCAAGTGACTCTCATTTTCCCCTTTTGTCAGCAGGAAAACCTGAGTGTGACAGCAATGTGCGATTTGCAGAAGAAAGGCTGTAAATGACTTTTTGGAGTTAGACAGGTTTGTAAATCTGGGTCGGTATTCATTAAGCATCTCAAGGTAGAGAAGAACATCTAACCGGACAAAAAAACCTCATGGATATGCATTTTTTGTCCTCCAATAAGGACAGGAATAAAGTCGGTGTCGCACTTTTTCCTTAACAGGGAATTTAGTTAACATTCAGCAAAGCTTCAGAAGACTCCTCAGCTGTTAGAAGCTGCAGCAGCATGAGGTCGCAGCAGTGGAAAACAGCAGCTAAAGACTATTTTATGATGCAAATTTACATTTGAGGACTGATGCGCCTTTCAAAACAAAGAAATCGTTGTAGTTCTGTCTCTGAATGAACGTCTTTGTTGATTAAAGGTTAGAAAATTACTCAAAATGCACAGTAAAATTTTCCAAATTTGACATCTCTGAGTCTTGTTAACCAACCACAAAGGTTTGCCATAAATCCTCAAAGATTACCCAATTTGCTGCCAGACCCCCTCTTACAGCTGAGATCACATCCTTTACGAGTGAATAAAGACCTACGTCCAGTAATTGGCTGTGGACTCTCAACCTGACAGCACGAATTCTTATTGATTCACCACATTAATGATGAGGGAAAAGGAGAAGTCCTCTGATTATTCTGGAGTTTATATCCAGTTTACTTCCTGGAGTGAGTTAGCAAAAAGCTGCCTATTCAGATAAAAACAAAAAACACACTGTGCATAATGGCAGAGTCTGCATGTACAGGAGTTGAGCTGCAGACTGATGTAACCCTCTGTAATTACCTTAAATAAGTAAAGCCAGAGCAGATACAGGATTTTTGTGAACAAATGAAAATCATATTGCTGAGTTTGAAAAAATGTTTTAATAATTTAATGTCTGCTAAAGAATATTCAGCTCGGAAAAATATTGCTGTTACAGAAAAGCAGGATTTCTGTCTGGCTCGATGTGCTACCCATCATGTCAAAATGCCATTCATTAGCCTGATTTATCAGTCTGTCTCGACTGAGGAGTTTGTGAGAACCCAAACATGATTTCCACCAACTCTCAGCTGACAGTAACATTTCATTATAACTGTGCATGGCTGTTAATGTCAGTGCTTTTTTCTATGAGACTTATTTGCATACAAAGGGGTGTATTCGGCTTCAAATATATGCAGAGTGGCTCATTTGCATGGATGCAAACAACACTGGTAGCTAGTGGTGCTATATGCTCTGCAGCTTAGCTTGTGGTGCATTTAACCCTTTACACATTATTTGTGAATTCATCTGTCTTTTTGCCTTATGTGTGTAAGTTCAACAGGCACAGAAGACTCAAAATTTGATAGGTAATATGATATAAAGGCCTGCCTCTAATACAAGCCTACTTCACACTCAGGTCTGGAACACTAGACAACAGCAAATAGATCTGGTTTATAGTCGAGGCAATTATGTTGCATTCGATTTACCTGGGAAGTCAGATGTCGGAGCTGAAAATGACGTCATACCCGAGTTACCAGCGTTTTAGTTACCAAGTCAGAAAAAAGCAAAATCGGAGGCCTGAAACAAGATGGCTACATCTACGAAAGTTATTTTAGCACTTGTCTTATATTCAGACAAGGCAAGCACTAAAATAACTTTCGTAGATGTAGCCATCTTGTTTCCACATCCGATTTTGCTTTTTTCCAACTTGGTAATTGAAACGCTGGTAACTCAGGCGTGACATCATTTTTAACTCGGACTTCTGACTTTTGAGGGAACTTGAACACAGCAGTAGTTGGAATTGGAATTTCCACTCAAACCAATTAGACATAAATTACTCTGGGATATCCCAAATACTCATGTTAAAGTGTAGCATTACCTCCTCCAGTTAGGGTCTGGAACAACAAACACTTCGCCAACGGATTAATCTTCATTTCATTTTTTATCTAATCGTGCATTTGACGGGACATGTACATGAGGCATTACTTGAAGTGTTTACGAGGTAGATGACATGCATACAGGCTTCTAGCCATGACTTATTTGCAACCCCAGAAATGAAAACAGAAATAACAGAGTATTGTTTGAATAGTGGCATAAGTATAACATTTGCTTACTGTAGGACTGACAATGTGGTTAACAAAGAGTTTGGACAGAAGAAGTTCTCTGTTGGGAAATAAATCCCACTGAGAGTTTTTTATTCAAGATATGACCTCTAACTATAAAGTACCAAAGTAGGTAAGGCTTTTTAGGACGACTTCTATATGAACTGCTTAAACTTGTAGTCTCATAATCTGATGCTTCTTTGTTATTTTTGCATCAAATCTTGTTTAACCTTGGCGAGTCACCAGTGGTATTTACTTGTGAAACTTGCACGTACGACAGAGAAGCTACTTTCTGCATTTTGAAATTCACCAGGAGGATGACGGGTTTTATTCTGGCTTTAAAGTCCCTGAGATCAAAACCGACAATCCAGTGAAGCTGGAAGTTTTTCTGAGGTGAACGGGACTTCAAAGACCAAACTGTGAGGATCTGTGGAGTGATACGGTCCAGAATACGACAGCAGCTCTGCCAAAAACGCTCAGAAAAGAGAGGATTTTGTGGGACATGATTGGCTGAGTCGAGTTTGAACCCAAACTCATGAATTAAACATGGCAGAGATTCGGTCTGAGAGCAGAGACGGCAGACATCCAAAGTGGGCGTCAGTCTCCCCTTCTCTCCCTCTCTCCCCCACCCTCCTCCGACACGCTGCTCCCCGTTTTGTTTCGTTCTCAACGGCCGGCTTTTCATAGAGAGACGACAGGTTTACGAGGCTCCAATAATGGGACACTGATGAGCTTCAGCAGCAAACATCACTCCTCTGGGTCAATAATAACACCTCCTGCTGAAGACTTTGTTAGAGAAGACAGATGGAGATGTTAAAGGCCAAAAAGGCTTGTGTTTGCTTTTGTTTGAGGTCTAAATGTCTAAAAATCCAATCTCAATCCTCTTAAAAAGACATCAAATTAAAGCTTTCAGCTGGTTATGAAACAGTCGAAAAGGCTAAGAGTCAGACCTAGATTAATCTTTAGTTTGCAGTGAGTTTGACTCTTCCAACACAGCAGGAGAAAATTTCTCTGTCTATATTTTGACATAATCAGCAAAAAGACAAAAATTTTCACTTTGTTCACGGGGACAGAAAGTTCATCACAGGAGCTTTAAAAATTCTTGAAAATTTCTAGTTTAAAGCATTTTAATGTTATTAATTTTGTAACTCATGTCCTACATGTACCAATTTCTTGATTGTTAACATGAAAATGTTAAATTCAGTCTAGCTGACTAGTCTAAATTTAAGAAAAACTTCAGTCTAGTTTGGGGCATCTGTGGCCTAAGACTAGTCTACGTGTACAGAGATTATGCCTAAAGCGGTGGGCCTGAGTTTGCTTCCAGCTTATTGCCCCTTGGCATGTCACTCCCTCTCTTTTTCTATTACGCAGTACAGTAGGTCAGTACAGTAGGTCAGTCTCAGTTTACCTCACAGTTAACTATCCTTTTTCTTTTTCTACAAAGAGTCTACAATCACTAGGCGGAAAAAAGGTGTGTCTTGCAAATTTCCCCACCTTGGGATACAGAGGTTTATCTTATCTTAAAGCAGCTGTCTGCAACACAACTTTCATCAAGTTAAGTGTTTTTCTGCACAGATTCAAATGAGGCCGATGCTAATTTGAAAACACAATCTCTTAAGGGAGGGACTCCAAATTTAGGGAAAATCTGTCACATTAAATGTGTGAAGAAAAACCTTATAATGCATAACCAGGAGGAAAATTACACATCTCGGCTGGTTGTTTATATATTTTGGAGTTTAATATAGAGAGGAAAATCTGTGCCGTTCATTAATAACCTCCTTTTGAAGTCCTTTTACTTTCTCAGCATACTTTTTAAAACTATTTCTGGGCTTTTGCGCTCCTGTTTGAGAAAACGAGGAGTAAAGAAGGAGGGACGAGTTGAACCTGGGCAGCCGCTTAAGACACAACCTTCTATATGGAGCAACCTAAGAACAACATACTTTGGTAACACGGAAGAGTAGAGAATTTTTTATCCTTTGTTATACCATCTCTATTGTATCATAGATGCTTTTTAAAGTGGCTGAAATGTTGCGTCTTCATTGCTGCTTTCTGAACTTTCCAACTTTCTGAAAACTAATTTGTCTTTTTTAACTGTCCACAGCCTCAAAAATGGCTCACACACCATCCACCTCACTCCTCAAAGAACGCCTCAGAGCTAAACTGATGTGATGAGATTAGTCCATTAGGTCCTAACAGAGCAGAGCAGTCACAGTGTACTGACTGTAAACAGCAGAGCTATGAGAACAAGATACCACAGCTCCTGACACACAGACCTGGATCACCACCACCACCACCACCCCTCCTCGCTCCCCTCCTCTCCCAAATGCTATAATTCCTTTTAATCCTGGCTGGGCACCATCTGGGAGCTCCTTGTGATTTGGATGATAGCAGTTGGGGGAGACACTAAAACACCAGATGTCAGGAGGATGGTACGGGTCGAACACGTCCTCTAAAAATCTAATGAAATGTCCTACATGTTAAAAAAAAGAGGCTGCTGAAACTCATCTGCTTCCATAAGTGAGGGGAAAAAAGTTTGAAGTAGAAGTATTTCTCCTTCACACTCAGCAGAGATCTGATCATTTTGAAGTGTTTGAAGGCTGTAACAATAGTAAAAGGCTCTCGTGTAACATTTGAGGTGATGGATCAGGCGTGTTGAGATGGAGAACAATAGCTGGGGGTCATGTGATAGTCTGCAGGACGTCCCTGAGGGAGCGGGACGGGCCCGTCAGCTGGCCGTGGAGACATCTACACCCTGATCTACGTCCTCCTCTACACCTGCTGCTGCTGCTGTCACTGGGATACCTTCAGGTTATGTAATGTTTATCATTAAAAACAGCTTCCATTATCTTCTGTGACCAAAATCACCCCATCCTTCTGTAAAGACCTTCATTTTCTGAGGTATTTATAAAGTTTTAGTCTTTTATTAAGACGTGGGAAAAAACTACAGAAAGGAAACACTTTTGCTAGATTTGTGCAGAATTTTTAAAAAAAATTTTGCACATTTTTGGGGCTCAGTAACCTTTCTCTTTCTTTTCTTCTTTTTTTCTTTCTAAACCACCAAAAATTGCAAATTTGGTCGCTTTAACATGCACCAAAAACTTTGCATACTTATCAGATCTGGTGAAAATTTAATTGTCAAAAAGTTTTCTGCAAAAATGTTTTGCAAATGGCTCCTTACTGCCCCTGCTTTTCGAACAATTTGATCCAGTCAGAGCTGTCAGCTACCCCAGATAACAGTGCTGTTTATGTGGTGGGAAAAATACAACTTTATGGTTATTTAGGATTCAGGAAAGACATGCTACAGGATACAAGTTTTGCGAGCTCTCCTCTTACTACATGAGCACATGTTGCTGCTCTGACACTGAGATGTTGAAACAGTTAATCGGTTATGAGAATCATGGGACATAAAGCTCTCAAAATATGATCACACCCACTCCTTAGCCTGCAGTCAGGCTGCTGCAAACACTTTAATTAGAGTATTTCAGATGTTAACTGTGTTTTTCACTTAAGTCTGAGTGTGATCACTTCATTCATTAAGAGCGAAGCTGAACTTCTTAACCCTTTAATGCCTCTTGTATCATATTTGATACATACTTTTATGATACTTTTATCAAATCAATATGATCAACAAATTACTAAAAAAACACAGAATACAGTCTGTTAAATGATAAAAATGTCCTCTTGTGGTTCATCAATTTCCAAAAACATCTAATGTATCAAACGTGATACACACATATTTGTTAAATTTTAAGGACATTTTGATTTTTTGGGTTTTCAGTAAGTGAAATAAACATTTCAGCTCCAAAAACATTGAATTTTCTAGCCATAATTTGTGGTTTCAGGCATTAAAGGGCGAGAAACTGCTCAGTATTGGTGCTTATAACTAAATTATACAGAATTTTCCTTTTTTAGCTTCCCTCTCAGAGTTAGAGTCTGTGTCTTTCTGCTCACTGTTACTTCGCCTCCACATCCTGTCCATGTTTGGTAAATAGTCCAACTCCTCACCTCCTGACCCTCCTTCACTTGGTCAGAGGTCACTGATCACACTGGATGTTATGTTTGGACGGTCCTGTGACAGGTGAAGGGTTATCTGCCTGATACAAAGTGACCTTCTGCTGGCCTCCAGGGGCCTCAGAGGAGCCCCTTTTTCAGGCAAAGAGGCCACAACATCCATCAGAGTGAAAAGAGGAGGGTCACACAAGAAAAGAAAGGGTCAGCATGTGTCCAAACAAGCGTTAACGCAAGTTTTTTTTCCATGACAAACCGGAGGATTCAAATATTCACACAAGCACTGAACAGAGAAACAGCTTCTTCACGTCTGATCTGTCTGTTAGAGAGTCACAGCATCAACAATGGTTTATAGTTGTAGGTCGTGTGACAGCAGCAAAACTCAGCAAAAAGCTTGTTTGAGCAAGTTGACGCCTCCACACCACAGTCTCTGAGGATCAGGGAAAAAATAGGAGCTGCTATATCTTCAGTCAGCAGGAAAAAGCAACCAAGTCAGATTCAAAATTACTAGAATCTACCCACAGCTTCTACACTGACTTTTCAGAGTTAGCTTTGAAACGCTATAGTTTTCAAAATACTTAAAGAACTTTGAGTTTCACGACAAAGTTTTGTAAGAAGAAGGAAAGGAAGAGTGGAAAGGAGAAATGGTGAAAGATTTCAGGGAATGAAGCTGCAACAGACAGCTGTCAGATACAATAACCAATCACATCGGGCGAAACTTTCAGCCAACTGGTCAGCTAGGAGAGCCGTACAGGAGTCCATAAACTTCTCATAGAGGTACTCGGCACAGAATGGTGACCACTTTTGAGGTTTATCACAAGTAAAAAAAGCTACCGTGCACGCTGGTATAGTCTGTTTAGCTTTGAATAGAGCAGCTTGAGTACACAGAGGGAACCAGCTTATTGGGGGTCTTCTTTCCTGTTTCATCAGCTACTACGGCTGCTTACCTGGGGGCTCAAGAAGGCACTCGTGTTGCTGCTACAACCAACCAGTTATAAACTAGGTGGGGTGGGATTGGTTACCCAAGTAACCAGGCAAAAAATCAATGCCATCACAAGATCAATAAATCAGAAAAAGGACCTTTTCCTGATGTTTTTGTACTTGTATTTTTGATGCATGAACGTGTTTGTTGCTTTGTTTTTAAGTAGATGCATAAGCAGACTGATATTTCAAAATAAAAGCCTCTGCATGAGGTGTACTTACTGTTCCTGTTGGATTTGAGTTTGGACAGCAGCTTCTGAGTGGACAGCAGGTCTCCGCTCTTCACCGCCTGCAACAGGTCCTGCTCCTTCCCCATGCTCCCTCCCTCCTCGTGTTTGAACCAGCTTAATTTGAATTCTCCGCTGCCGCCTCCTCAGTCAGAGCCTCCGCATGCTGAGCGCCGGATACATGGACCCGCCTCAGGTGAGACTCTCCTCTTCCTGTGTGTGGCGCTCAGCTGACGGCCAGGACACAACCACACACCTCCTGATGTTTCCTCTGAGGCCGCAGAGATGGAAAAACTTCCCCGCTGATTAATTTCCAGCTCAGATTTCTCAGACTTTATTTACGGAGAGATGATATTTCCAGAGTCTGGAGACTGACGGAGCTACTGTTTGAGGAGGGGGGGGAGTCGACGCAGTCAGGACTGGAAAGAAATGAGAAAACCAGATCAGTCGCTCTGTTAGAGGACAGCAGCTCTCCTGTCTGCTGAGAGGAAACTGAAGGTGTTGGACGAGACAAAAAGACTGCTGAGAGCTGCAGATAAAGTCCAATTAAACAGAAACAGACTCAACATGAAGCCAAAACATGCACGAGGGGTCTGGGTTCAATCACATTTAATCGGCCTTAAATCCACTTTGATTCCACTAATTAGATCCTGATCCTTTTAAATTCCTGAATCCAATTAAAAGTTAATGCTTGTATTATAAAAGTGGCTTTTTAAACTTATTTTGAGGCTTGACTGATATAAAGGTTTGAAAATCCAGAAGATCTCCCTAGTCAGCAGCCTTGAGTTGACTATAATGGCTGCAAAATAATCCTTGAGGAAACATGTACAACCTGGTAGATGTTTGTTTTTACCAAAGACGTGCATTGGGTGTTGGGTACTTTTGTCTTGGGGCATTACAGAAAAGATTACTGCAGAGATGGACCTTTTCATTGACGTGCTTTCTCGTGTTCTTTTATATTTGTTTGACAATAATTCAAACACGCCAAAATATTGCACTGTCAGCTTTTGCGACGCAGTTGTTGGTTGACATTGTTCTGGTCTCTGCACCTGTATGCTTAGCTCAAAGGTGGTGTCTCGAACACAAACACAAACTTGGTGAAATTTGAATTCTCCTTGACACAAAGAGGACGAAACTTTGGACTTGTCAAAAGAGCAACGTGGAAGATTTTTATAGTGTAATGTGCCGTTCAAAAGCACAGCGTAGTTGTTTTCCATTGAGACAGCAGCAGGAGGACATGCCAGTGGTTTACCTACGGTGTGCAAATAGCAGGCAAACAAAAGAAGCACACGTCAGTTTAGGTCCTTAACTGCATTAGGATTAATGCAACACTGCTGACAACCCAACAAGTAAGGGTTTCTTATTTAAAAAAGGCACCTTGTTATTAAATTTAAGAGGCTATCACTGCAAGGTTGTTCTTAAAACAGACAGCACCAACAAAGTCCAACCAGTCTGAGCAGCAGTAGACCAGCAACTCCTATTTGGTATAAAGGAAAGTTGTAGTTTTTTCCAGTGGAGTTTGGTGACTTCGACTGTGTCTCGTTTAAAAACATGTTTTTCCTGTCTTCAAGGTTTTCATTTGTCTGAAGCAACACAAACCTTACCCAATTTTGGAAACGGTAAACCAGCAACTCCCATGATCTGAGGTATCAATTACAGTCCTTGCCAATGAAGTCGAGTCACTCTTCAAATAATGTGTTTCTCTTTTTAAAAAGGTATCTTGCTTTCCGTCTAAAAAAGGTTTGTGTTTGTAAGGGTCATTCCTGTGACTTAATGGGTAGACCAGCAACTCCGATGTTGTGCAACGTTAAATTACTGTTTTTTTAAAGACAGCTAGAATCTAGATACTTTGAGCAGGTTTTGGCCTGAAAATAAAATCATCTTACATTTACAAAAAGGTCACATGACTAAGAAATAGAGGTAGAGGTAGACCAGCAACTCCCACTCCCACAATTTTAACAATGAAGGCTGAAAATGTGAAAAGGCCAAGCTTTGTATCTCACATCCCTGTTAGAGACCCATAACATTAACAAAATGACACCAAAACAAAGCTATACAAAACAATAATACATAATAACACCAAAATATGAGGATTATGATTTAATTTATTGTAATAGGCAGCAGTCCAAAGCATAGAAAGTTAGTGTTCGGATTTGTGAAGGCTGAATCTTCATGAGGTTTTCAAAATAAAGTCACAATAAGTGTTACTGTGTCTGTTCTGGTGACATGCAATCACAACCGCTCATAAAAAAATCAGACCGCCAACAGACAAATTCAGCTCTGATCCAACATAAAATCATCTCTAGATGGATAAATGTCACTGTGGGTTGTTCTCCTTCTGATGTGACAGCCTTAAAGCAAACTGTTAAGTGTGAACACAGTCTTTAAACACACCTGTTACCTCTCACAGGTGAGTTGAGGGCAGGGTGACCACAGAGACCGTGTGTAAACCTGCTGTGAATTCAGAGGCCGCTTTAATTACAGCTCACCAACCCTTCAAACACAAACAGCTCATGAGGGATCCACTTGCGGGTTTCCTCTGCTGTGTAAACACTGACGGGACACCCAGAGTCCTCACTAACACCGACATGTGTTTCAGATGGTTTACCACCAAACCTCACTAATTTTTTATCACATTTTTGAACGAGGGCAGGGTAAAATTATCATGACATTCAGTGTCAGCCCTTTGACGCCCTGTGTGGACTGGTCTGGCTTTGCTGCTCCCCTCAGGGCTCCAGGATGAAGTCTTTGCTCTCTGTGGACTTTATTTCAACTTGAGAGCAGCTACTTAAACTCTTCCAGCCCAGTGGCCAGACTCAGCTCACTGATAAAGGAGGGAGAAGTTTAGTCTCATGGCACAGTCTCTGCTCCAGTGTCCTGCAGATAACAGACAGTCTGGACCTCTGCATGCAAACCTGATTGCTAAAAACACTGTGCAATGATGAAAAATATCGTTTTGAAACTGGATCACAGTATCCGGAGAGAAGTCTGGCCTTGCACTGAGTTCTGCACTGCTTTCCTGGTGTTTAACATTACATAAGCTGCAGCCAGAGTGGAGCACAGGGCCTAAGCAGAGCTGTCAGTCCCATTTACACCGATCACGTCCTCCTCTTTCTTCCACCTCCCTCGGGGCGTTTTGTATCCTCACTGCATTCATGACAGGGGAACAATAACTCTTACATTTTCACTCTGACACAGCAGGGACTCCAAGTCTCAGTGAAGTGGTCCCAAGTGAACATGAATAAGTCAGTTTATGGCTTACAAACAAGAGTCACTTGACAGTTATTGCTTTGAAGGAAAGTTAGGGTAGTACATGATGAAGTGTTTTATCAGTCTTGCATACACTGTTGCTATCTCTTTCTCTGAAATAAGATCAAAAGTCTGTAAAAAAAATCTTTCAAAAGCTTTAAAATGGTCCATTTTTATTTATGTACACTTTGCATGCCGGATTCCATTAAAAAAGGTCTATATATATTTTGTGGCTTTGGTTACCACATACTGACGGATGCAGAGTTTAATTTAGGGCTTTTAATCAATTTCTAGCAGGTTGTCTACAATTCGGGGGTAAATAAAGTGCCATAAAAGCCCAATCATCATTTCACACAGGAAATCTTGGTTTTAACTACACTACACTTAAGTTTGCAAGCACTGTTCAATAACACTTGCTATGAAATTTGTCTAAAACGTACAGCTTGTTGATGCACTTAAAGTGAGCCGAATTGAAGATGGGTCTTTTCAGATGGAGAAGAACACTTAATGAAAGAATATAAAGTTTATTTCACGGTTATCTGCCACAGTTAAGAAGGTGTACATTCAGTTGGCTATGAGGCTTTGGCCGCACCAGAGAAAGTGGCATATCGTGGCAGGAGTCTGGCATGTAAACACACCGTCACCTCCACCAGTGCCGACCTTTGTACCGAAAGTAGTTTATACATTTGTAAAGACAGGTTTTAAACTCGTATAACTATCAAAAGAGTTGATAGCTAAATGTAAGACTTACCTTTGTCTCTCCAAGTGTGCCAGAAACTTTCCTAACCCCCTAAATGTGAGCGGAACACGGGGGTAGTCTGTAGGAAAACTCCGTGTGGAGGCAGAGTATTCCTTGGATGGATATTCCGGAAAAGTCAAGGTCCTTTCCTGCAGTTGATTTAATCCTGAAATATCCGCTCCAAAAAGTTACCGATAGTGTTGTAATCCACAAGAATAGTTTCCATAAAAATGAATGTGTTTATAGGACTTTGGTAGTTTGTTATACACTCCACTGGCTGACGTGCCTCTCGGTTTTCCCTCCTCGCCCTGAATGCCACATTCTCTCCGCTGGATTCTCCAGATTGTGGACAAAGCGTCAAGTTACATATCTCAATACAAAGAACATCCGAGTAATACCTTCAAAATAAAATGATTGATTTAACAATTTAAACAATTTAACAATTAATTAAAAATTACCAATCACTTGCACAGGATACATGCTAATGTATTGTGGATAATCAATTACAGTTTATGATGGATAAAGTAAACGATTGGTTCTTAAGGGAATTAAGTTACCCGATAACAAGTACAAATGAATACATATTTTGATAATACACGTGTCCTGTCAAATGGAAAAGGGACAAAAATGGCCCGGCTCAATTTTCATCCATTAACAAACTTTTTATTTATTTATTCTAGAGTGCTACTGAGCTTAGTATCAAAACAAAAAGACATGCATAAAAAAGAAATGTACATTTTCCATTTGCACCCATGGTGATTTGTTCATATAGTTTCCTCTGTTTATGAGTTATTTAATGTAATATACGGATCCTGAAGAATTCCGGCTCTAAAAAGTGTTCAATGATTTTTCAAAAACATTAACATAACATTATTTACATATTTTTCCTCAAAGATATCAAGGTCTTGTTACAATAGTACAATTCTATCATCACCATGTTTATGTTTTGGCACCTGGAATTTAATATTACTTGAAAACAAAGGGAAAAAATATTTTAAGTGTTGCAATGTCCGATGTAAAACAGTCATTTGTGCTTTTAATTTGAAAATAATTGTTTGGGTTTTCTGTTGTACGCCAGCGTTCGTTGAATAACTTGATGAAATACGCTTCACCTTTCTACTACCTTCAATGTATTTTATATGGAAAACATAAAGAATTTAACTGAGTTATTTACTTTTCAGCTTCTTTTATTCATGTGCCCCTCAAAGTATGCGTATTTTGCATGACTGATGAGATAGATAAGTTGTGAACGCAACATGTAAAAAAAAAAAAAAAAAAAAGTTAATTTGTCTTTAAAAGTGGGATAAACTTCTTGTCACAGAGCTTAAATCATCAGGTTTCTGCATTGGAAGAAAGTTCTTAAATTGCTACAGGTGCTGATATAAAGGTGAAATGATGAGACAGTGAAACACATGTGTTCATACTTTTCCCTGAATTGGCTATCATCACAAAAGAAATAAAAAATATAGCCCTGTATTCAGGCTACAGGGCACTCTATGCTTGTATCAAGCATTTAGCTTATTAAAACAGTACAAATGATATTAAAATAAAACGGGTTTTTTTAGATGTAGACCAAAGTTCTTCTTGATTTTCTAACCTTGTCAATTCAATCATTATTTTGATGTGTTAAAAGGAGATGATGAAAACTTCCCATACCTGAAATGAAAAAATAAGATTCAAGTAGTGATAAAGAGGAGAACAAAACAACACTTCAGTGTTTCTAATATGAGGCATATCTGTCATAATGGTCTAGATTTAGGTTTTGCTGCCATCTGCAGGCCAAACATGGCTTTACAAGACATTGACAAGTTGGAAATACACTCTTCTTTTGCTGTGAACAGACACAGGGGTTGCAACGAAACACAAATAAATGGAAGAACACTTATGGAAAGTACTTTTGTGTATTTTGTGTGCCAGGAAAAACCGTCGAAGTTAGAGAAATAAATTTTTAATTTATTTTTTGAATTCCAGGAAAATTATTACATTTCAACCAACATAATTTTTCACATACGTAAGTTAATGAGTTGAAACAGTCGTATAGACTCTTCTCAGATTTTCCCAAATTCAAACAGAGTTCTGCCCAGCTGTATTTAAATGTCGTCTGTTTTCAGTGTGATGATCATCATAAGCACGCTGTGATTTCCAGGAAGTGTGGATCCAGCCAGCTCAGGTTTATCAGCGTCAAATGTTTTCAGCTCAATGTCAAGACAAGACAGTTTCCATCTGTGGAGCAACACTTCAATCGACCAGTCATTGCTGAAACACAGACAGGGGAGTGAAAGTCAAACAACAGGGTTAAACAACCTGTAATGATCAACAATACACCAGGAGAGAGGAAATATGAAGACGTTTTTCTTGCAGATACAAATAAAAGAATCTATTACAACACTAGGTTGTGCTTAAACACAGCACAACCTAGTGTTATAGCTCATTAATGGGTTAAATGTTGTTTACTCAACCTTCTCTCTTGGTATGTGGTCCAGAACTCTGCTTTTGGGTTTCTTCTCAACAGAAAAGCGACAGTGACAAGGACATCTTCAAAATCTGTAACCAGTAACAAAAAATGTAGACTTTAAAAAGAGAAAATGTTGAAAATTCTCTTATGTTGGTAAGTGTTCCAGAGAAACTGTTTGTGCTTCTTTCCAAAGCCAGCACAGGAAAGTAAAAACAGGACAGACTGACCTTGTGGCTCGTAGAAAACGTCTGAACCCAAGATAACATCCAGCTTCGGAAGCTGAACCAGATCTGGTGAGATTTCACCCCAGCTGAGACCCAACACCTGCACATCATGGAGGCTGTTAGCTTCACAGCTCCGTCTGCAGTTCTCCAGACATAGAGGAGTCTGGGCGTTGTCTGACAGGATCACCTTCGCTCCACACTTTGCAGCCACCACACCTGGAAGACTCACACCTGCTCCCAGCTGAGGAGAGAGAGAAAGGGTTAAGTTTTAGAGACAGAAGCTCAGATCTAAAAAAGGGAAACAAAATATGGATCTTCCTCTCACCTCCAGAACAGTCTTGTCTCTCAGCTCTTCTCTTCTCATCCATAAATACTGAGCCAGCACCACAGCACAAGGCCACACATACATGCCATATTGAGGATCAAGAACCTGAGAATTGGGCCACAGTTTAACATGAGTTAACTTCAAAACATTAAACAGGATCAACTTATGAGCATTATGTGGAATTTAGTGGCATTTTTCCAAAGAAAGGAAATGTGTTATGCAGAAGTTTGTTTCAATGAGTTTATATTGAATTAAATATTATGATCGTTTCAATTCCAATGACTTAGAAAAACTTTGGCAGGTCTTCGGTCCAGAGACTGTCACGATACACTTCTGTGTTTCCCACAGTAGCTCAGAGCAAACCAACTAGCAGGAACCAAACATGTTTTGTTAAGTACTGTTTGAGCATTACACTTAATAAGTATACAACAAGTATTCTTATAAAGTATACTATATACATATACTATGTAGGTGTACTTTATAAATATACTATATAAGTATACTTAAACTCTATACTTATATAGCATACTTTATAAGTATACTATATGAGTATACTTATATAGTATACTATATAAGTATACTTAAAAAGTATACTATATAAGTATACTTTTTAAGTTTACTATATAAGTATACTATGTATAGAATACTTTATAAGTATGCTATATAAGTATACTTCTTAAGTATACTATATAAGTACAGTACTATGTATATAGTGTACTATGTATGTATACTACACAAGTATACTTAAAAAGTATACTATATACATATACTTTATCGGTATACTACAAGTATACTTATAAAGTATACTATATACAAATACTATGTAAGTGTACTTTATAAATATACTATAAGTATACTTAAACTCTATACTTATATAGCATACTTTATAAGTATACTATATGAGTATACTTGTATAGTATACTATACAAGTATACTTAAAAAGTATACTATATAAGTATACTTTTTAAGTTTACTATATAAGTATACTATAAATAGAATACTTTATAAGTATGCTATATAAGTATACTTCTTAAGTACAGTACTATGTATATAGTGTACTAATTAAGTATACTATGTAAGTATACTATACAAGTATACTTAAAAAGTATACTATATAAGTATACTTTATAAGTATACTACAAGTATACTTATAAAGTATACTATATACAAAAACTATGTAAGTGTACTCCATAGATATACTATACAAGTATACTTAAACTCTATACTTATATAGCATACTTTATAAGTGTACTATGTAAGTATACTCACAGAGTATACTTACATAGTATACTATATAAGTATAGTACTATATACAGTATACTATATAAGTATAATATACAAGTATACTTATAAAGTATACTACATAAGAATACATTTTAAGTTTACTATATAAGTATACTATGAACAGAATCCTTTATAAGTATGCTATATAAGTATACTTCATAAGTATACTTTATTAGTACAGTACTATGTATATAGTGTACTATGTAAGTATACTATATACTACACAAGTATACTATACAGTTTACTTAAAAAGTATACTATATAAGTATACTTATACTGTATATTTATATACTATACTTTATAAGTATGCTATATAGTGTACTTATATTTGTTTGCTAGATCTATTGGATGCTTTTCAGTTAATTAATTTTAAGTTAACATGTGAATCTCTTCTGTGTGTGTGCCGAATTGGGGTTTGATTGTATATTTACAGTCATATTTATCTTCAATTGGCAGTTGGAGTTCTCAGCTGAAACCGTGCCAGCACAACACAGCGATAAGAAAACAGCTTATTTATATCAAATGTTGGAATCCTTTCAATTGCTGTACATGAGTTGTAAGAAAACCTTCAAAATCTGTAACCAACCTCGGGTATGGAGACTAAAAGGGACTGTCCGTTCTGGCTTCCGTCAAACGTGAAAACTCTGCAAGCTATGCAATGAGTTTCAACTCCACTTTGCGCCATAACGTAACTGTACACAGTCGATAATAATCATTTTATAATACCCATCACTTTATCGAGCCTTCGCCGTAGAAAGCAAATGTATTCAAAAGCAGTTTCTTTTACATCCTTGCACTGGTAGTCACGCTTCTTTCTATATCCGCATTGACCAAAACAACAAGAAAGATCGTCCTATCAGCCAATAAGATCCATAGAGATGCCAGGCGGGAAGGCTTATACTACATTTCCACCAATCAGCGTGCCACTTTCCTCAAGGCTGCGACCAATGCGATTCCTACTTTCACAAAGGGGCGGGTGTTACACATGCCAATCAGTTGCCTAACGTTGTGGTGGTGCTTCCCAGTCAGTCAGCCAGCTAGCTTCTCCTGTTAGCTGCTTATCAGACACTATCGACAAAGTAGGTTTTAGAAGTGTTCCTACATTTAATTGTGTAGATTAGTGTACGTGTTTAACACATTATACGACCTGTGGCCTTGTCGTCTGACCAAATAAACGAGGTGAGACTGCCTGAACACAAGAGTGCAGCTAGCCGGGGCTATCAGTGCAGAGATAACGCACGTTTTTTATTTCTTTTAAAGTCTCTAGGAGGAGGAATGAACCATAAGAGTAAGAAGAGGATCAAAGAGGCGAAGCGGAGCGCCAGACCCGAATTAAAGGACTCATTAGACTGGACTAAACACGACTATCATGAGACTTTCGACCTGTCACACAGCACCGTAAAGGTAACTGTCAGTTTAGCATGGAAGCTAGGCTAACGCTAGCTACCCGCCGCTCCCGACAGGAGTGCTGCTGGTCACGTAGACACTCAAGAGCTGTACAGTCAAGTTTTGCTGCATGTGTCTTTTTAATTTCATATCTTTGATACACAACAGTATACTGTAACCGACTCTTCATGAAGAGAATATGACCCATAGAGGGGTTATATCTGAAGATGCTGTTTGAATGCCTCCTTTTTGAGTTTAAAGAACTTATTTATGACATTCTTAGAGAAACATCCCTGCTTTTATGACACTTTCCCTCCTTTAGGCCATTTAGTCTTTGTTATTTACATAAAATTGTTTCTTAGTGTTTATGTGGAAGAGCAGGTGCATCTCAAAGAATTAGGTCATCGTGAAAAATATCATTGTCTTCCATTATTTATTTAACTGATATTTTTAGGGCCACATGAAAGAAAAAAAGAACATTTCTTTTTTGATTGACTTAGAACGGGTTTCAGCTGAGAACTCTGCCAATTTAAGATAATTATGACTGTGTAAACATACAATCAAACCTCAAATCGGCACACACACAGAAGAGATTCTCATGTTAACTTTAATATAAATTTTTCAATTTAATATAGAATATTTCAGTGGCTTGGAAAGAGTTTTTAAAGTTTCAAAGCTAATGCAGTCATCTATCAGGAGATTTTAGAGCACTTTATCCCCCACATGTTTACAGGGATGCTGATTTCCTTTTCCTGCTGGACCTTGCACTCAAATTGACTTTGATTAGACAAAGTCAATTTGTCTAATCTGAACTGTCACAGAGAAATTTTGGGATAGTTGTCACTATCTAGACTAGACACTTAACACCTTGAGATAAATCTCAGAATTAATTGTAGCACTCACAAAAAAACAAACACCACAGGTTTTTCACCCCACTACACCACTTGAAAATGCTTGGTTGAGGGCGTATCCAGTGGCCTGTATGAAAAGTATGTAGAAAGAGAGCCTGTGTCACTATTAACATGGAGGCGTGACTGTTGTTTCAGGCAAACCTAAAGAGCCAAAAATGTCTTTGATGAACAGGTTGTGCAACCAAGTGTTACTGCCTACACTTTCTAAAACTATCTAACTTTTTATTCTAAAATACAGAGTTGAGGAGTTGATTAGTGGATGGGATTTTGGGGCAAAAGTGAGATCAGTAGTTTTCACTGTAGATGAGGTGTTAGATGTTCCGACATGGTCTGTGTGAGTGTGTCCTCGAGGTGTTAAAACGTGTTACCTGGCCTGCATTCCTCTGCACAAGAATGATTGTTCAAACACTCCCACCTATCCCCTATTTGGTCACTTGATGTCAGCTCCAGTATGAGCTCCTTAGCTTTTGTTGTTACTCAAAGATTAAGATGTTGTGGTCTTGGAAACCCACAAGGTCTAGAAACTCCTCCAGAGATAAGAAAATTAAGTCAGAGTTTTGGAAACAGTATGAAATTCTCTTAAAGGGATATTCGATGTTATGGTGTGTTTCACCCTAAATTAATTTTACGCCGGAATATCCCTTTAATCTGTCAAAAACACAAAAACAACAACAAGACAGTACTGCTTGTGACCACATCTGTATTTATCTTCTTACAGGATAATGTTGAGCGTGTCGACACCCTCCACATCTCTCCTGAAGTTTTCATCCAGCGCTATGAGCGGCCCTACAAACCTGTCGTCCTGCTAAACTGCCAAGAGACCTGGCCTGCGAGAGAAAAATGGACTCTGGAGCGCCTCAAACGCAAATACCGCAACCAGAAATTCAAATGTGGGGAGGACAACGACGGATACTCAGTGAAGATGAAAATGAAGTACTATGTGGAGTACCTGGAGAGCACCAAAGATGACAGCCCACTATACATCTTTGACAGCAGCTACGGTGAACACGCCAAACGCAGGAAGCTTCTGGAGGACTACCAGGTGCCCCTTTTCTTCAGGGACGACCTGTTCCAGTTTGCAGGAGAGAAGCGCAGACCGCCCTACAGGTTTGGTTTTTTTATTTTCACTTTTCAACCGAAGGTTTCAAGTGGAATTTGACTGAACAACATGGAAAACTGTTACCCTATAATTTTGTCAGAATAATTTGTCTGTTTAAGGAGTTTCCTGTTTAGGTGGGTCCATACTAGTCAGTTCATTAGTTGAATTTAGTCCAATTGAGTCATTTCTAAACATGCACAATTTGTGCTGTTTTCTTGTGTATTATGATGTAAAGAAGCATCTAGAAGTTTTAAGTAAAATAGTCAGTCTTTCTGATGCCGCATGACCAGCAAAGTGAAGCTGCTGCCGACATCAATTTCTAGACTGTGCCATCAAAACAAGTGTATAAAAGCATTGCAATAAAATAGATGATACAGTATAAAGATAAGAAGAAGATTAAATTGAAGAAAAGCATAGAGGCCAATAAGGAAGAGAAGTGTTTGAAATAAAAAAAAAGGCAGTGGTGGAGAACAGCTGGACATCTAGAGGCAAAGCCTGATATTTCTCCTCATGACGTCTGTCCTTTGGTCTCCCCTCAGGTGGTTTGTTATGGGCCCGTCTCGCTCTGGCACAGGCATCCACATCGACCCGCTTGGCACCAGCGCCTGGAACGCCCTGGTTCAAGGACACAAGAGGTGGTGTCTGTTCCCTACGAACACTCCTCGAGAGCTGATCAAGGTGACCAGAGAGGACGGGGGCAACCAGCAGGACGAGGCTATCACCTGGTTCAAAGTGATATACCCCCGAACACAGCAGCCTAACTGGCCTCCAGAGTTTAAACCGCTGGAGATCCTCCAAAGACCCGGAGAGACCGTTTTTGTTCCTGGTCAGTGAAGTCGCATCATTTCATACATCTGTATCACCCTTTTGGAGTTTTACCAGATTTTTCTCCTTTTGGATTTTTTTTTTAAAAATCACCGTCCTTTCTGCAAGTAAAGGTCCTGGGCCGACGTGAATATAGAACGCGAAATTACGAAACATTTGGAGGCGAATTTTGATGCGCCTGACTATACACATCAAACCCAATGCGATTTTGTGCTTTCCGGGGGGGGGGAAGTCTCATCCTGGGGAAGACTTTTGCCGGGGAAAGTCCCGCCTCCTTCGCCTCTGATTGGCTAGAAAAAGCTGGAAACGTCATCACACGCTAAAGCCAAACGGTCAGCACTTGTAGCACTTATAGCAGCACCATTAGGTCTCGGTTGTTACCTTACATTTATGGATTATAGTTTAATGTGCTTATCTGGTACTGACCCCGACTCAGTACATGCTATCATGACACACAGACATCTAAACACTAGTGTCTAATCAGAACTGAAAAACAGTCAGTCTGCTGTTGTGTCAGTCTAGTCTTCTCGCTTCCACCCAAGACGCGTCTTTTTCCCCTTGGAAAGTCGCAAAATCGCATCGGGCTTGATGTGTATAGTCAGGTGCGTCAAAATCCCCCCCCCCTCCTCCGAATATTTCGTAATTTCGTGTTCTATATTTGCGTTGGCCCCGGTGTGTAAGGACCTTAATTCTGTCCCATTCAACATCCATGTATTTAAACATTTACTCTCATATGAAGTGAAAATAGACTCTGCAACACAGCAATAGGCTGTGCATTAAAAGTGATCACAGAATCTATATCATCATGTTCTTTATTTAGCACACAGTAATAGTCAGCTTTACATTCATGATCATAATTGTGATACCCAGGAGTAGATAGTGATGTTTATGATAATACTCAGGTATATTTAAATGAAGGAGAGCAGGATTACTTTGACTTAATTCAAGAGGACAGCACAAAATAACAGCTGATGACAACTACATATGCTCAGCCAATGTTGGTACTTAGGATTGGCTCAGGATGGCTGTGGGTGGTTTGGGCCGACTCCGAGCAAAGAGAAAATCTGAATACACTCTCCTTTTTAAGAGCCAAGGGATTTACCGCACAGCTGTGTTGTGTCACTGTTTGTAAATAATTTTGTGTAAAATGTAGGCGATGTGTGTTTATCCTGGTGAAAATATTCACTCACGCAGAAAACAAACAGTTCCTCTCTGAGCATCCACGCACTCAGCAGCGACTGGGGAGGTGTGGAGACGGTCCAGACAGCTCAGTGTTTCCGCTGTGACCTCAATTCACTTAATGCTGTGAGAGCTGACGGTGAAGAGGATGGATTAAAACCCAGGAATTAGACCTCACCTGTCTGACTCAGCGGAGGCCGCATGCACCTGAGAAGGATGTAGATGTTTTTGTTTCTTACCGTCTGTCCATACAGAATAATCTGACTCACTGGGACAAACACAGATGGGCTAGCACTGGGGAAAACATCAGCCACGTGCCAACAGCATTAACATATTTCTGCTCACACGAGTTTCATTTTTCCTTCTGGTCTTATACCCAGTATTTTTATGTTTTAAAGGGACTTAAAGTTTTCATTAAACCAGAGCTGAGAACAGGCAGTGATGAAACAACAGTCACAGTTGTAGATGATGACAAAACCAAACAGAGCGTTGTTTTCTGCCTGACGTTATAATAACCTCCTGCTGTTTGTCCACAGGTGGGTGGTGGCACGTGGTTCTCAACTTGGACACGACTATCGCCGTCACTCAGAACTTTGCCAGCACGACTAACTTCCCCATCGTTTGGCACAAAACTGTCAGAGGACGGCCCAAACTCTCCAGGAAGTGGTACCGGTAAGAGATACACCTATAGACAACAGAATACGAGTTGAAGGGTTGGGTTACTGGTGACTGTTAGTTGCACATACATATGATTAAATTTACACCACATCTTAGAAAAGGACTGCTAAAGTACTGCCAAGATGTATCCAATGTAAAGCGCTTTGAGGGTCTCTGATAAAGCGCTATATGAAATCTGATGCATTATTATTATTATTAAGTGGAGAACATAAAAGGAAGATAAAGCAGCAGATACTGCACAAGTTTCCTAAGTGAGGTCATTGTTACAGGGAGAAGAATTATTGGGATATTTTCCCCAGTATCGTACAAGAGGCTGCTGCACACTGAAGAACTGAGACGATAGATCAGCCTTGATTTAATTTGTTTAACCTCCATACTCACTATTGTACCTATTATACGTACAACACAGCGCAGTGACAGTTGAGTCTTTTGTGTAAAGTCAGGAATTTGAAAAAAAAACATGAATCCAAAAATAGAAGCAGGAGAAACACTTTCTATTTTGAGCAGAGAAAACAAGATTCCTACAAATCAGTCACAGCAGTTTGTTCAGACTGTGCTGTCTTTGTCCATAAAATCAAGTAAAAAAAAAAAATGAAACTACAGCCAAAGTGTAAAAATATCCCCTGGGGTTTTCTAATAATGTTGCAACATTATTTTAAATACATGATCCTTGTCTCAGAAACTGTTGTATCTGTCTGGATGTACACTGACAGGATTCTGTGTGTGTTTGCTGTTTTAGTATTTTAAAGCAGGAGAGGCCTGACCTGGCCGCGCTCGCAGACAAAGTCGACCTGCAGGAGTCGACCGGGATCGCTTCAGACAGTTCCAGTGACTCTTCATCATCATCCTCCTCCAGCTCGTCTGACTCAGATTCTGAGGTACGTACCCAAACTCGCTCTAACACAGAAGTAGTATTACACCCTCATATAACACATCCATGTAGGGAGGGATTTCTCACACAACAAGAAAAACTAAAGATCTGAGTTTTCTCTGAGTTATTGATCAGCTAAATACAGAGCACAGAACCTACTGCAAAACAAGAAATAAACATGTGTTTATAACACTGCATAGTTTGGTCAAATTTATGATTGCCATCACAATTTAAGATCAAACATTTTCTTACTCATTTTTTTATTAATTATTAATTATTAAAAAAAACCAATATGATATTGGCATTAGATATCAGCTGTTAAAAACTGATATCAGTTGATCACTAGATTGTCATCTATGAATTTTAGGGGATAAAATTAAATATGAAATCCTATTTTTAGAAAAATAATCAGGATTTTCTTTAAATCAACAGATCCTCTCTATTTTATGTGTTTGTCTTTTTTTGAGCGTTTCTGGGGTGTCTGTCACTGAAGGGTCTGCAGAGTGGGACCAAGTCAAAATTTAAAAGATGAGGTGACACTGCTGTCTTTGTCCTCTGATCTCTGTCTGTAGCAGACACAAACATAATTTATGCATCTCCATGAGACGCCAAAAACACTTGAGGAAACTCGATTATTTTTGGATCAGTGAACAGTCTGCTTTGAAGGAGCTGAAATAGCAGAGAGACAAACACAGAGCAGGCACTTTGGCTGCTTTGATACTGATGACTTCTAATGTAAATTTGTGGTTTTTTTTTTTAAAGATTTGGTGCTTTTTATTACTGCCCAGTATAGAAATTAAATAATATTGTATTGTTTAAAAGCACATGATGTTTAAATAAAAGCAACAAAGCATTGTTTTTTTTACCTTCACACTTTAACAACCCCGGTCCCTTCAGTGTATTTGTGGTTTGAAGTCGTGTCTAAACTTACTCCTTCCATAAATCATCTCTGCCAGACTCACAGCCATCCTTCTGAAGTTAACCAACAGGTGCCACCATGTGACACATATCTGTAACATAACACATGTAGCATGTTGTGACTGAGCGCTTGTACACTCTGTTTCCTGCAGGCGGGGTCGGGCTCCGAGGGGGACGCCATGTCCCACCGCAGGAAGAAGAGGCGGACCTGTGGGATGACGGCGAACGGAGACACCAGCGGTCAAGACGACTGTATCAACAAGGAGAGGAGCTCGTCACGGTGACGTCCGGCTTCTATCAAGTCTCCACACGGCTCCAGCAGTGACTCCTCCTCCTACAAACAAACAGCTGCTTCTAGTCCAGGTTAGGTAGATGGTCCCTGAATCAGAGACAAGTTTGCCGCCGCTGGTCAAAAGAGAGGTGTATTCAAAGGAGGAGGATCTGCTGGAGACCTGCCACCACTGTGCTTTTAACACGTTCTGTTTATCTCTGTAGGTTGTGTAATTCAAGGAAACATGAAGAGAGATTATGACGAGTAACAAACTGGGGGAGGGTCGGGAACTGGGGACTTGTTGTGGTCTGTGAAAGTTCGTTTTTTTGTGCGTTTGTTGAGAAATAGAGAGGTCTGACTTCAAAGACAGGGACATATTAAGCCACCAGAGGAGTTTAAAGAGAAAAGTTTGGCTCTTGTACTTTTATGATATTCTCTCAAAAGTGTCAAAACATAAGTGTGTGTTTTTTTTTTTTACATAAATGGCCAAATATCGGCACACTCAATTCATATGAAACCCTTTTGATTTAGAGGCAGCACTGGGGAATAAAGGCCTGATCCCACTAGAGGGTGTCACTGCAACTCATCAAAATAATCCGTTTTCAAGAAAACATCCCATCTAAGAAAAAACTGAAGTTATAACCAGGTGGCTAATTTCCTTGTCATTTAAATTTATGAGAAAGCATTCTGAAAATAGTCAAATTTGACCAAAATTGATTCGCCAAACACAGGATTGCAGTCTGCAGGTTAACCATATCAAATTCAGAGTAATTGGTGTGGCTAACATTAGCAGCGCCAGCACCACCAGCCTTCAGTCTTTCTTGCAGGTTAATGTCTGCATGTTTGTGCTGGTTACATATCGCTTTGGCTCATTTTCTAGTTGAAAGTATAATCAAACCGTGCTGCATTATGAGATGCCGTCCGTCGTCTGTGCTTGTTTACATTCTGGTAGTAGAGCGTTATAGAAAAATGAAGAGGACATGAAATCTTAAACGGCTCGGCAGTGGAAGGCTATTTTTTAAAGGGACTTAAAGGAGGTCAAGATACACTTTATCGTGGAACCATTTGAATCACTTCCTGCGTTTTAATCAGTGCCTCGTGTATTTACTGTCACATTACAGGTCTTACAATTTAATCTGTTTCCACCATAAAAGTCTGAAGAGGAAAGGGTCACAGCGTTATACTACTGTATTGCACAATGGATGCAAAGTATCTGGATGAGGTTGTAGTAAGGCGCATAAATCTTTCAGTAACTCATAATTTACTATCAATTTTTTGAACTTGGGGAAAAAACATTTTTAAGGGAATATTTTTGACTCATAAAATTACATTGTTGTTCAGAAACACTTTCAACTCATAATGCGGTATAACTTCTTCCTGTCATCTGGGGGAGAGAACTTGGGGGTGGACTTGATGGTTTCGTCTCTTTCATAAAAGTTTCTGAGTACATTTTTTGCTTTTTGTGGAAATCTCTCCGGTTTTCACGCTGGTGTGATCAGATCTTGTTCCCTCCTGCTCTAAACGGTCCTTGCTGCCTTGTTGGAATATGTTTTAATATTTCTACCCTGACCTTTTGCGAAGAGCCGTGATCAATTGTTGGTCTTATGTTGATATCCAACTCTCTCTGGTGGCTTCTCTTCTTGAACAGTTTGACTTTTTGTCTCATCTCTCCTGTCTGCCTCTGCGATTTATCGTGTTTCACGTGGGAGTCAGAAGTGTCCCTTTCGTCAGCCAGCCTTACTGTCGGTGTATCTCAGAGTGTGTGTGTGTGTGTCTGCCGTAGGTGTGTGTGACAGAGAAGAGTCTCTGCTCGTGTTGATGGTGTTATAACCGCAGCTCTGATCTTCAGGGGGGAGCTGACCGTTCTGTGTTGCAGGACGTGACCTGCCCTGAGGTGCAGCAGGTTTGAGAAATGCAGAGTCACGTTGAATTTTATACTTCAGTGAGGATATCTGACAGCAGAGGGCACTGTGTTCACCTGAACGCACTGCTGCATCTGAAGCTCCAGTGAACAGAGGAGTTGAACAGGCATTAAGATTTCTTCAGGTTGTGCATCTTATTGCGCAGCCTGATCTCTTCTTTATTTCCCTCTTTCTTGAAGCCCTTATTGAGACGAGTTATTAATTATCCTGATGATGACACATTCTGCTTGTTCAATCGGATAAAAACTCAAATTAACAAGGATTTGTGATGATGATTCATCTTCTGGTTAGAGCTGAGACATGTGACAGATTACTCTCAGCAACAGGGGTTAAAACAGAGATTTTCAAAGTAAGAAATGTGTCTCCAGCGACTTCAATGTGACTTTTTTTTGTTTTGTTTTGTTTTGATTCTCTGTCACAGTTTGCTGAATCTGAATGTGAGTTTTGGACTGTTGGTCAAACACAAAAGAAGCGAAAAGACGTCATTCTGGACGTTTCAAACAGTGAATCCAACTAAACTTCAAGAACAGACTTACCCAGACGGATGCAAGGCTGATGAGGGACTTTGATTATTTGAAACTGAGCAGTTTTAATTGGGAAAATAGCCGCGCATACCCGTAAATACTTTAAGAAGGGACGTTAAAAGAAAGCATGCCAGTAGAGTTGTAGCAATACCAGCGTTTTGAACCTTGATATCAAGCAGTTAAAATTCAAGCAATATCGATACCTGTTTCAATACAAAGGCAATAAAAATGAACTCCTGAGCTCCCAAAACGGTTGATTGGATTTTCCAATGCAGCGGTTAAACATCAGTATCTGTGGATATCTTTATTGCCAGATTTAAGCACTATATATACATATCCGTCTCCTGTTGGCATGATGTCTTTATCACATTGATGTAAATCTGAAAAGTAATTCCACCTTTACTGGATTCATAGTAGATTTTTAACGTGCAGAGGAAGTCCCCCTCCTGGACAAAGTGATTTATTTTGATAACCAAACGTGTGAAAGAAAATGTGTGCAGAGTTGGTAGTATTACAGAGTCTCTGTTGAAGGTCATGCAGTTTATAAAGCCTGTTTTAGAGACATGAGGGGCGTTGAAGGAGAGACTAGAATGATTTGAGGCATGCACCCACTCTTACAGCTCTTGGTCATTTTATGAACATAAATCATCATGAATTTAGACAAGTGACATTCCTGTCTCCCGCCTATGCTTTCAACCCACCTAAAACTGCCAGAAAAACAACAGTGTGCATCTTACAGTGATGCATAAATGAAATAAAATGTCAGTATTTGTTGACCTGTGAATAAGGAGAGTGAGTGGAGTCGCAGCTGTGACAGAGGGCGGAGCGTAGACACACAGCAGCAAACTAAATCTGGTACCCTCTGCCACATTTGTGTTGACAAGTTCTTAGTGTAACCACTGCACACAAAAAAAAAAGAAAACCAACTGTTTTTTTTCCCCATAAGCATTTGTGTTTTTCAATGCTATCCAAAAACAAAGATATTGGATATTGCACGTGGTATTAAAGGAATCAAAACATTGAATTTTTTGACAACCTTACAAATAGTACAACAATTAAATCATCCATAACATCCGGGAAACACTTCTGCACCCAAACATGGAAAATTTGCATGTTCACTTTAGACAAATATACAAAAGCAGCGTGAAATAACATCCAATCTATAAACAGTTTCACTTTAAAAACCTTTCCATGTAGCAGAGGGCATCTTTTCAGGCTGACCAACAGTAAAAAAAAAACATGAAGATTCAGTTGCTGTGACAGAAAATGGAAAATCTGCACTTTTAAACTATGAATAGTTAATCCACACTCCTGGCTGATTGTTCTCCTGCCTTGTTTTGGCTCAAGTCGAAGTTTTGTGCAGTTTTTCTATATCTTTGATCTCTTCAAATCAGCTGTGAAGCCGTGCAGAAAGAAGCCGTTTGAGCATTTCATGTGAGTCTGTTGCTTTAGACTAAAGTGCCTATAAAGGTGTGAGGTGTGTTAGTCTGTCTGTCTGTCTGTAGGGGAGTTTGTGTTTCCGTGTTTTTATCTGATATCAACGGCACGATGTCGGTCTGTGAGGTCGGTCACATGGTGCCTTCCGTCTCTGTCATCCCCGCTTTGTCTCAGCTGATTCGGGATGAGCGTCAGGACAGACGCTGATGCTGTTTCTGGTCTCCAGGTTGATGTTGATTTGAGGAGAGGAGACTGTTCTTTTTGTTGCTCAATAAAACCTTTTTCTATGACTCAAAACTTTGTCTCCTTACACCTTAATTTGTTACAGTGTGACATGTTGTCTGAACACAGTTTTTACTTTAACAATTGACAAAGATTTGGTCTCTTTCCAACTACCGTGACCAAAAGCTGGCCATCTAAGTACTATTAATTTTATATTAGTTAACTAAATAGCAAACAAGAACATATGGTTGGCCTGTGGAAAGTACAGCTTAAAACACTGAAATAACTACTAGATATACAAATTAAATATAAAAAAAAATTAACAGTCCCTACTCTGAGTCAAGTTAATCCCTCAGATGTACCGAAATAAATGATCCGCCAGTCATATGTCAACAGATTACGCATACAGATATTTTATGGATTATTTTTCTAAGAATAATCGTTTTATGACAAATATTAAATAGATACTTTTGCAAAGATAGTTCAACAATATTTTGAATTTTACAGAGATCTTTGACAGATCTTCAACAGTTTCTGTACAGACGTTTCCAGAAAATGTACATATCATGTACATATCGATTTGAAAAATTTGAAAAAGGTGATAACAGATATTTGACATCGATACATGAGCATTTAAGCTACGTACATCAATATTTCACAGCAATTTAAATGCATATAAGTACAGATATAATACATTCTATGTAGCCATTTAACAGGTTTTTATATCTAGTAACATGTTTTGATACACATTTTTAAAAAAAAACTATGACTGTTTCCTGCACATATTTAATAGTTTTATGATATTTAACTTGTTTTTACAAGTATTTAAAACTAGGCTGTGTACAGAAATGTAACCTTTTATGCAGATATTTTAGGTAACTTTATTGCCATTATTCAGCTATTTTTAAAGATATACTAGGCAGATTTATACCTGTGCAATTTTTCTTTACAATGTAAATATGCACATATATTAATATTTTATTCTGACATTCAGCATTTTTTTGTCTTAAGTGTTTGTCATATTATACTGATATTTTTTCCAAGTATTTCACAGATGTACAGATATTCTATACACGCTGAATTTTGTATCTTTGTACAATATATAAAATTATATGTGGTGTCAGTTGGTGCTTTTATTTTGAAGGCTAACCCGGATGTCAGCTGTTGTTTCCTGCTCTGTGCGTCTTGACAGCTGTTCGGGGAAGATTGTGTAGAGAGGTGGGACACTGTAGAGTTCAGTGTGTGTGTGACTGCTGCCAGATTAACACACACCCTCCTCTTGTTACAAACACACACACTCTCAACTTTTTTTGTAACTTTTCTTTAATTATCCGCAAACATGGATCTGGACCCGGCCGTTATCATCCCCGCCATCCTCTTCACCGTTGTTGCCATCTACTTCGCCTCCTCGTTCCTGACCAAGAAGCCCGACGCCTCCTCATCCTCAGCTGAAAAGAAGAAGCCCAAAGTAGGCTACGGAGATGTCATCCCTCCGTCCAGAGCTCTGGGAAAACCTATCCCACCCGCGCCCAAACCAGAGCCTCCTGCCCCGGTTGTAGAGACCATCAAACCCGTTGAGAAGATCGTAGAGAAACCGGTAAAGGTAAGTCCGACCTGTTCTCTTGTTCATCACTTTATGGGTGCGTTATCTGACTAATAATGGTGCAAATATTGACTTATAATTTACAGTCACTCACTTTGTTTGCTTTCCCACCAATGTGTTTAATTTAACCCGTCATTTGTGTTCAAATCAAACGGATTAATGACACTTAAAAATACTCCTATTGACACACAGTAAAAACAACCATACTTGTTTGATTAAAATGAAAATGGCTTCAAAACCTTCTAGTTGGGTGTTAGCAATTAAAAAATAAAAATGTAAAACTTGAAGAGGTATTTTTTTTAGATTATGTCTCTTTTTGATGTGAGTCTTGCCTAATCTTACCGATTAAACAACCAATCTGTCCTCAGTTATAAACAACAGAAGGTTTGCTGCCCAGTGGTTAATAAACTTGTTTGATTTTTTGTGGTTCATCTTCTCTGATTTAAACAATTGTCAGTTTTCAAACAGTTCAAAAGGTAACTAATTGGGAAAAAAAGTTGACTAATCAATCAACTGATTAATTGATAGTTTTTAAATATCTATTTTCAACCATCACATGTTAGCATAATCAAAGATTAATTCAGTATGAATTTATAATTGATGTTTGACTCCCAAATCAGCTTAGTCAAAGCAAAGTAGACTTCGGTCCTTGTATTGAAATGTGTTATTGGAGTATTTTGAGTTGCAGGAAAGTTAATGTTTATACTTGTACTTAATACCTAACTACCCTATATGTGCAAACTGAAATTACTGAAAAAGGTCTTAAGTTTAACTAGTTCAGTTCAAGATGTTTAGAGCCATTCTGATGTGTAAATTAATCAGTCAAGGTTCGTATTTGAGTGTTTTGGTTCTGCATTTATAATTTTTGTATGGCATATTGGGATATTTTAGCAATATTTTATGTTATCAGAAACATGCCAAGAGACAATCAGTCTGATAGCCATCTGTTGTCTTTACCATAAAACCCAAAAGATATTTAGGTATTTAAGGTTGAAAAACATAATTAACATTTTTCCAGTTAACAGCTCAAGAGAAGAGAAATGCCAAAGCTGCCTCAGCCAAAGAATTTTTTTTTCAATTACCTCAATATGCAAACATGATTGCGGGCTACCTTTTCATGAGTGATGAGGTCACTGGTATTAAGCCCAGTAACTGGGGTTGGACCTTCACAAGCTGTGATTATACTGAAGGGCTTGATGAGTCACTTTTATGAATTTAATTAAAACTTCACGCCATCTTTTATTCTGCACTCAATATGTTTTAGGTACTTGTATGATTTCTCATGGGGTTCCACAGGGCTCCATATTGGGTCCACTTTTTTTTTTTTTTTTTCCAGACATGCTTTTACTGAAGTAAAATACAAGAAAAAAATTAACTATTTTCAAGACACAGTGAATTGAATTACAATTAAATTTCCCGTTGAATACTTATACTGAAGATGGTTATTGACATGTCATGCCAAGTGAGTGGCATGTTAATTGGCCAGCAGTTTGCCACTACCATGTTTTCGTCCCACCCCAATTTTTCCTATAGGTCCCCACTATGTTATTTGTCGACACATTTTATTTTCAATGTTAGGGCATCATAGTGAGTGAAAATAAAGGGATGTGTATTTTCTTTTTGTTATTTTTGGTCCCTTTATGACGAGAAAATAGTAATTTAGCGGTAGTCTGTTAGCCTAGCGACTGTAACCCATCAGGATAATCAATAGCAGATGAAACATGTTCCTGTTTTAGATCATAATAGGCAGGTCAAAGCCTGTGCCAGTCAAGAGTATGCAGGTAAAAGATAGCTCCACAAGTATTTCCCCAGGGTTTGTTTGATATGCTAATGGTGCGTGCTGCCAATCTACAAATGGCGCTGCATGCCATCGGCTACTATTTGATGTTGGGGCTGCTGGCTAACAGAGCCAAACTCATCATAAGCTGCTGTTTTCCAGATTTTTGTGGTTCCCTTGCAAAAATGATATAAATATGTTAATTCTCTACTCCCTTGACTTGTCTAATGATTGTTCAGCTACATCGTTAGCCCCAGTAATTAGTGATATGGCTCAGGTTTGTGCAGCTTGTGGCCTGGTTCTATTGAAACTTTGTGAGGTCTTGTGAGAAAACTTCAAGTTGTGTTGATTTTAGCCTCTCCTATGGACAAAACAGGACAGTAGATCTTCTCAGATTTTGTCTCATACAAGTTAATGCAGTTTTTTATTTTTAAAGAAAATGTTCATCTTGATTTGTTTTAAATGCAAAACATAATGGTTTTGTGGCATAGAAAATGTTAAATATGAAGTCTGTGTCTGTGTGCTGCAAATAACCAGATTTGACAACTAACCTGCAGCAATGCTAACAGGCTTACAGAAAAAGTATTAAAGAATCAGTTTTGTTGCTGATGGTCTGGTTTGAGTCTGTAGCTGGGAAAAGCTTTTCAACACAACGTGAAATCTGCTTTATAAACTGCACGTAACTCCACACAAGAGCTTTAAGGTTTTAGTTCTTACAGAAACTATGAACCCTGGTTTAGTTGGATTTCTGTTATCCCCTATTTCTCTATTTTTATCCTTGTGTTTAATGTCTACAGATTGGTTTAAACCCTTGAAGCTGCACTCAGTGTATGCAGTATGGTTGTGTGCATGTTTGCAGCTAACTCTAACTAAGACGAGAACACTTAAACTGAATCTAAATCACAAATATTACTGCTTTTGATCCAATTTACTTTGTGTTTTGAAATATCAGAATGTGTCAGTCAGAAATATTCGTCCTTATCATAGTTGATGTATAGCTGCCTGACTGCCAAATATAGCCTGCATCTTTTCGTTGTGCAATAAGTCAATGTGTGATGTGTTTGCTCTCACAGCAACAACCTTTATAGACATGATGAACAGTTTCAAGTCACACAGTTGGCCCCCTGTGTTGTTCCTGAATTTGAATGTTACTGTGGCTATATGCTGATATGCAAATCAGGTTTAGCCAGTGGCAGTACAGACGCCTCTGTCTGGACACAGTCAGTCTCCAGAGGTCATTTTGCATGTTGACCTCCGTCTGTTGGATCCTTCTGACCTTCTTCCTCCTGCAACACGGCCTTTAAAAAGCCTGAAGAATGTGCACACGGCGGCTATAACATGCAACGCACTCATCGACTATATTTGGTGTCCAACATGAATCCTATATTTACACCTGTGTATGTTCACGGTGTCACATGTCCGTGAAATTGACTCTGCTGCTCCAGGGAGGGGTGGAGGTGGGTGTGACACCTTCACATGGCTTCATGTGATGTTTGAGAACTGGGGCGGCTGCTTGATGGTATTTCATCCTGCTGATTCAGAAACACCAAAGCCTGATTATTATGAAGAATGAGCTACCAAATGTACCTCTACCTCTGTAAAATCTATGTTTAATGGTTCTTTCCTCAATGTTAAAGCACTAAAGCCTTATGGTACATATTTGTGTCTCCATCAAATGTTCCCAATGTTCCCGACCCTGTTTGGATGATATTGAGCCTGTGGAGGAGATCCCTAGAGTGCACTACTGGACCGTTAGGTCGTGCTTTTGTTGCCTGTCTGGCTACAGACTTATGTAATGACTCTGACGCCCTTTGACCTTCTGTGGAGTGATCTGCTGACTAAATCTGAACATGTTGGTGGTCAGCTGGACATCTTGGAGACACATGACAGACATTTTAAAACCAAGTGTTGACAGAAAATCAGCGAGGAGATATGTCTGTGGCTCTGGTTTCAGCATTTGAAGACTGGTTCTTTCTCACATTTGATTGTTAGATAGTTTCCTGTTTTTACGAGTAAATAGATGGTTATCTGATTGGAAGTACTCATCAAACTACAGGAAACCCCTGAACACAAAGAAGGTTAGCACAAACATAAACATTATTAATTTAATGGAGATACATAATGCCGGTAAATCCTTTAGCAACAGTGTCGAAATAATCTCCTGTATGTACTGAACAGAAATGTGACGCTGGTCTGAACTGCATACAGACAGACCCTTGCTCTTCTGTTTGCTGTTTATGCTCACAAATCATGTGGCAGAATGATACCGAGCAGCTCAAACTCTTCAGTCACACCCTTCACTTCCACTGATAACATACTGTCTGTATGTTACAGCGGCTTCATGGTGTGTTTTTTCTGTTTTCTCGGTGAAATGCTCCACATAAAGGAGGTCGCTGTCTGTGGAGCTGAAACACAGGAAGGCTTGTTCCTGCACTCATCTGATGTGACTGACAGATGTGGGAGTTAGACTGTATGCTGGTTTTCTCAAAGCGTGAAGGAGTTGAAGAGGTATTCACAGCTTAAACTTCAAGAAGAAGTGCAGATAAATCGTTCAAAATACTTTGAGTAAGTTCTGTTGTCAAAATGTTACCACTGCAATTGTAAACATCCAGTGTAACCCTTAGCCCTTAGCAGTGTTTTGCTCTCAGAAAGATGCTATAAACTGGCACCTGTTCGCTTTAGCCTCAGTGCGTTGGTGAGGTGTAATGAACCTGGGTATTCACACTGGCTTTAACCTTGGTCTGTTGGCACAATATCGTGTGGCATCTGTCAGCTTAAGCCCAAATCTGTTAGCATGTGATCCAAACCTGGCACCTGTTCGCCTTAGCTTGAGTCAGTTAGCATGATATCGTGATGATACAGCTGTTGTTTTTAGCCTCGGCTTTAATTTTTAGCGTGATAATTTGATTTTGAATGCAGGCTGCGGTCTGTTAGTATGTTATCATGAACTTGGACCTGTCAGCCTCAGTCCCTCAGCATGATATCACATTCAGAGACGTGCTGTTTACATACAGATAGTAAAGCTTTAAAGTGATATTATCCAACATAGAATATTTATCGGTGATCAACACCTGGGACCTGTTAGGTCTGGCTTTCTCTCCCAAGAAGACCACATGATGTACTCGTTGTTAGCTTGCGCCTCAGTTTGTTGTCATGATATTTTAAGCTAGGATCTGTTTGGCTTCAGTGTTTCTGCCCTGTGAATCACGTACAGGAAGTGGATAATTAAAGACTCTGTTTATTTCAACCAACTGCTTAAGCTAAAGTCTGTTAGTGCATTGTCAAAACCTGTGATCGTTAAATGCTAGACTCGGTCAGTTAATCTGGGATCTGAAAGCTTTGGTTACAGTTTGTTAACACTGTATCATGACTTTGTACCTGTTAGCATTAGCCTTGGCGCATCAGACTGGTGTCATTTACTGGGGCTTGTTAGCCTAAGCGAACTGTTAGCATGAAAACTGTGACGTGCATATTTAAGGTTATTCTATAGAACTAAACAGGTTTTGTGGAGTTATCAGAGAAATAAAAAGTCCCAGAGAACACGCTAATTAGCACATGGCTAAGGTTAGCTTAAAGCTAGCTCAGGTTGTTATCTTTTGATTAATCAGAAACCGTTTTAATTCTAATTTTGGTAATTTTTCATGCAAAGACGTTGCGTTAATTACATTTTCAGGTATATTTTACTGTTTTTTTTTTTGCAAAAACATTAAATGGAGTGTTTTTACAGTGTAGTCAAAGAACTTTTTTTTTTTAACTCTGCACTTTTCTTGAATAAAACTTTAATAAAAACAAAGTTTCTGCACTCAGGCTGCTTTCTAGCCCAGCACCTTGCAGTGGTAGCTTCCTGTTTATAGATATACATTCCTGCAGACACTCCATGTATCACTGTCGTCAGAGCAGGAGCCGATCTGCCTCCCTGACATTTATGTGCTTAGCATGTTGTTCCGTTCCCTCTTCTTAAGTTACAGCTGCGTCGGCTCCACCTTCATCCACCGTGTCGCCTAAAATGGCAACGGGACATACAGCTGCATGGTAACCAGAATGAATGCATGAAAAAGCTGCAGGTTTTTGGAGGTAGAGGAGTGAAGGGATGCTTTTTAATGCATCAAATGAAAAAATATAAGTTTTGTTTGAAATTAGAGAAGTGGGGGAAGTTAGCTCCAATTTTGCAAAAAAGTGTAGCTAAGTTTAGTATACTTGACTAATTTAAACAGCCTAACATTTCATGTCAGCCTCATTTTTGAAAAATCACTGCCTTCTTGCTTGTGGCGATGCAGCTGTCCATATTTGGAGATGTGAGTGTGCACACATTAGAGCAATTTGAAGAGGGAAAGAGCAGCTGTCTCTGCTCTGTACAGAGGTGGAGTTAGTCTGCTTTAGTTTGGATGTTTTTTTCATAATATGGACCTTCACAGGGCCAGTTCAAAAAATCCCTCAGCCAAAACCCTTCCCATAACCTTGCTTTTCCTGAAACATAACATTATTTAACCAAATTACCAGAGCTGAAAAACTTAAATACTTGATGAAAGTTCAATCACAGTTTTAAAAAAAAAGTTGTGATGCTGTGTAAAATGGTGATAAAACAGATTTTGATGGTATAATTCAATCATTTAAAGCCTATATTTGATTGAAAGTGGTGCAAAAACAACATATCAAATGTTAAAATCAAATGTATCTCTGAGTCTCCATAAGGTAAAAAATGGGAAGAGGTGACAGTGAGAAAATAGTTCAACAAACCAGCACAAAATTGCTAAGAGTTTGTGGATTTCATCATCTACAGACCATAATATTGTTGAAAGATTCAGAGAGCCTGAAAAGTCTCTGTACAAAAGGGAGAAGGTCAGTAGTCAATATTGGGTTGCTATGATCCAGGTCCTAAGGTAGCACTGCATCAAAAACAGACATAGCATGGTAGTGGAATTCACTGCATGAGCTCAAAATCAAACATGATACAGAGACAATGGCCACTGCCCCGGGCCTGAGTCCATTTAAGATGGAATGAGGAAAAGCAGAACATTTTTTTAGTTTTCTGACAAATGAAGTTTTGACATTCTTTTTGGAAATCATTAGTGTCTTTGGTGTGGGTATCTCACACATCTGTGAAGGCTTCGTTAATGCTAAACAGTGTATACAAGTTTTGGAACAACATATGCTGCCATCCAGACAATGACGTTTTCAGGGAAGACCATATTTCATACTACATTCTGTAGGAATTACAACAGCATGGCTCGGTAGTAGAAGAGTCCTGCTGCTAAACTGGCCTGTCTGCAGTCCTGACTTGTAACCCAGTGAAAACATGAACTTCTTTGGAGATGAGTTAACTCAATTATGTGGCAAAGATAAGAAACCAGAGATTAAAACCATAGTTTTGTTTTCCATCACACCCACTAAATGGATCCTGTAAATATGAGTCATCCAGTGGATGTGGTCAGGATGCCATGCACAAACTCCTCATGGGTTCGGCTTGCACCAGACTGTGAACAGCACCAGAGCTGCCTTATCATTACACATACCTCTCTTGGTATTTTCCCCACCAAGCCCGGCCCAGCTCCTGTGCCCCCCTCACTTACCCCAGAAGCCAAGCCTGGCATGATCTCGTCTGGTTATGTTTGATCTGATGTGCTCAAGGCTTTTGGCAGGGCATCAAATCCGGGAGAAAACAATGGCTTCATGTCATAACATGGAAGCTAATTGGTCCTCTATGGTGAGAATTTGGCACCCTCAGTGCCACCACTGCTGCCACACCCGGTCCTGAGTGTTAACATTGGCTCAGTGAGGGAAAACTGTGGTATTTATTAGTGTAGTCAGGACACTATGAAGAGTCAGGCAGCAGCTTTTACAAGAGTAACAGTCTTAAAGAGGAACCAAACGACACTGAGTGGCTGCTTTGTTTGATCAGGACAGCTGAAAGGACAGAGATCTTTCAAAATTTAACTGCATTCACAATGATGTTAAAGTAAACTTCCTAGAGGCTTAAGTGACACCTCTTCCTTTGTCTAATAAGTGTTAAAAAGTCCCCAAATCTCAACATTTACAGCCATAAAAGACAAGGCAAAACCAGCAGATATTCACATATGAGAAGTGGGAACAAGGGGGTATTTGACTTCCACGGCTCATTGGTGGGTAGGGTACAGCCTGCATGACATTATTCGGTACAACTTGAAGGGGCCGACTGGTACTGATTTTTCAGGGCCGATACCAATGCAGATAGTTGGCTATTAATGTGACCTCTCAGATGGAGAGACACATGTCAGCAGGGTGAAAGTCGCACACAATAATCCCAACAATAGTAAGCCAAAAGGAAACATGACTTATTTGTGCATAAGTGAGAAATAAAAAGGGATTTTCATATTTAAATTTGCTTGAAATCTGGATGTATTTGACCTAATTTTAACCATTTTTTATCTGACAAAAATATGATTATAACATTATCAAAAATTTATAAATGTCAGCTGTGATTTTGTGACAGTAACAAATGATTGCGGTGTAGTGAAAGCTTACAAATCCACTAATAATGTGTGTATCTGTGTACTTCTCTTGGTATCAGAAATCATTTTGAGAAAGAAGGATGCTGTCAGAAGTGAATAAAAATCAGCCCAGAGATGTTGCTGATGAAACGTCTACAAAGGTTGCAGGAAATGTCAGCACACAAACAGGTCAGAAATTGAAAAAAAACAGCTCCTAGCATGTGTTTTATCTGAAAATAACACTGAACAGATGTGGAGGTGCTTCAAGTTCACCTGCATCAGAGTGTGTGAGATTGCCAGAGCAGCTTTTGGGCCAAAGCAGACAGTCCTGCAGACGTTTTCCCTGCAGAGAACAGAGTGGAAGTGTCTCGTTGTCTCTCCCGTTTATGGAGGCGGCGTCACAGAACTGAAGTAGAGACGAGGCCGAGAGCTGAAGGGGAACAATGTGTCTGTGTTTAGACAGAGACACAGGGCAGGGATGGAGGCTCACGGCCACAACAACTGTCTATTCCAGCCTAGATAGCTCCCCACCCTCTCCCCTCACCCTCCTTACTGTGCTGCATAGAAGATAGTATTGGTATTATTTGTAAAGACGGGACCCTGCATTAAGAGTGAAGAGAAGTTGTCTCTTTTATATCTGAAACAAAAGGAGAAACACTTTGCCCTTTCCTCCCTCCTTCCTCCTCTGGACCCACAGCTCGCTGGCCTCACATGGGCAGCCTCGGGCTCCCTCCCCAACTGAAGCCGCTTCCTCTTTAGTGTCTGCTCAGGTTGTTCGCTAAACGCCACACTTGCCAGGAGATCTAATGCCCGTCCTCTGTGCCCTGTTACAGAGCTAAAATGGCTTTTAAGAGAGAAGTACTCAGGCTAATGTTACAGATATATTTATCAGGAAACACTCTGAGAGGCCATGAAGGCCCGGATGGCTCAGACTAATCCAGAGCTCACTTTCCTAAATGCCTCACAGCCGCTTATAATCACATTTCACATCTTTTTCTTCAACAGTTCAGTTGATCTTCAAAATTATCTTTATTATCGTTTCATATATTTGATTCAGTAAAATTTTATCTTGATTAAGCAATGCATTACCATAACTGAAAGTCATTTTATCCTGATCCGGTTTCCATTATCTTGATGTAGTGAGGTATCTTGATTCAGCGACTTTTCATCATCATCATATTGAGTGAATGATTTTAATCCTGCTTTAGTAGATTCAAAGCCACCCTGATTTAGTTTTCATGGATCTTGTTTTAGGGTCTCATAATAGTTCACAACCGACTAATAAACTGGAGTGAGGATTTGATTTTCTAGACTAAAACTCAAACAAAGTAACGTCTCACTTTGTTGTATTGTTGATCTATCCTCACGATGATGATGTGATAGACTTTAATCTTGGTGAAGTATCTTGGTTAAATTAAGAAATGGAAACTTTTGATCCATCTTTAGTATTTTGATCCTGATCACTTCAAAATCTTAGGTTGTAACCCATAACTTTTGATCAACTTTACAATCCTGATCTTGATAATCTTGATTCAGTATTTTAATTCTTATGGTTGAGTTTTTTTTATATTTTTTACAGTTTTAAACATTATCTTGACTTTATATTGACATGATCTTGTGGTAGTGATGTAAAAATCTAAATTTTCAATTCAGTCTTTTATAATGCTAGTTTTATACTTAACTGTCTAAATCTGGTATCAATCTTACAATCTTGATTTACATGATATTAACAACATAATCTAATATCCAAAGATGTTTTGACAGTTGTAGTCCTCTATGAGCCTTGTGTTATTAATTATTCCATTATGTGTCCAACAATGTTTCTTTTGTCCTGGTCAGCAATGGGTTCACATCATTTCCTCTCGTGTTTCACGGTTGATTCGTTCTTCCAATGAAAAATATAACAATGATCGCCTGAAACAGAAACCCTGCTTGCAATGATCTCATTAATGACTTACCCATCCTGCATATTTGACCAATTTAGGACAGCAGCACTCCGGGCTTCAGACTCCCCAAAGAATACAGTTAATCATCCTGCTGAGTCATGAAATGATTTAATGAGTCTGCATTTAGCATCATGTCCCAGAACACTTCATTTTGGTGAGTCGGCCCTTTGGTGTTCAGATTATTTTGGCGAGTCATTGCTCAGGAATTCAGAGGCAGAGGAAAGGTCTGATGTTTAGATCGTTTATTAAACAGACGCTCATTCCAGTTTGAGGGTGTGGGAAGGGGCTGCTGTGAGATTAAGAGAGCAGGCTGACAGCAGGGGGCCAGCTCGAGTAGTTTAATACAGTCAGACCTGATTCATTTCACTGTCCACCCCCCCTGGTGCCACCAGTTGTCACTGTAGTGAGTCATTAGTGGCAGGACTGTGTCTGCTTTAGCTTTGACTGTATAACACAGAGACACTGCAGCCTTTGTTTGGAGACATTTCCTCTTCTGCTCTTTTCTTTTACTTCTAGTATGAAATTTGGACATTATGGTTGTTTTTTTTTTTAATAGAAAGATCATAATTTCATCTCTGGGCAGCTGCTAACATTATAGGCACAAGGGACACTTGTAGCCTTTTCAGAAGTGCTAACACTATTTGATCATCATCATTTAAATGTATCTTGTCAGCAAATTAGTCATCTTGTGCCTGTCAAGAGGGTTTGAAGTTGAAAGGTAGCTTGGCGCTAACTCTAAGTTTACGTGACTTTGAAGCTATTAAGTTTTTATTGGAAATATGAGTTAGCTGCAAGATATGACAAAGCAAACTCTTATTTTGAAGGACAAAGACACTGTCCAAAAGCTAAAACAGGAAATTAATAAAGGCTTAAGGCACCTAGAGGCTAATCGCAATAATTGAGAAGCTACCTCTATGCTAAAAGGATCTGCTATCAAACAAAGCTAAAGAAAACCACAAGCTAATGTCAAGCTAAAGGGACCAATACGCCAAAAGGTCATCAAAAATTATCTATGTAGGAGTTAACTATAGGCTAAAAGAACCTTCATAGCTACCTCCAAAATAAAAGGCTACACAAGCTAACCAAATGCTAAAATTATCCACAAGCTAAGTCTATTTCAAATAGATCTAAAAGCTACCTCTACATGGACCAGCTAGCAGCTTAGTCTAAACCAAGGACCTAGATCTAGAAGTCAACAGGACCCTAACCAGCTAACTTAAAGCTAAAGGGAACTGGGTGCAAACTCAAGGCAAAAAATTACACGGGAGCTCATTTTAAGCATAAGGGACGTCGTTGCTAGCTTTTAGACAAAAAAAGGCTAACTAAGCTAACTTACAGCTAAAGGTACTCAGAAGAGGATGATATCTCTTAAAGTTAATTGAGCTAGGTAGTCATTTAAGCTTGATCTAAACATAAGGGATGTTTGTAACTAACTCTAAAATATTAATAGATAACTCTTACGCTAAACTAAAGGGAACTAGAAGCTAACCTTGAGCAAAATCCACTTTTTTATTAATATTTGGGCAAAAAAATATGCTAAGTCATGACAAGCAAATTCAACAGGAGCTTAAGACTAAACCTTGTCTCTGATACCACTAGTGCACTAAAAGCTAATTAATGTTATGTAAACCATGTGGGGAAAACTTTTTGGAATAACTCTCTTTTTTGTTTTTTTTAATTTAACTGAAGTTCCTTGAAATGTTTAGCAAACAAAAACTAAAAGCTTGCTCCAAGCTAACAAGCTTTTTGTAAGTACCTTTTGTTATTTAATCATCGTCTAGCAAAGTAAATAAAAAGACCAAACACACCGGGATATATTATACATACAACATGGTCAAATATTAACCAGTTAAACAAGGTATTATTCTGTTTTATTTTTTTTCCCCAGATGTTTCAAAGTACATACAACATTTGCTTCTGTTCTAGCTTGTAACACTTTTAGTAAAGAAAAAGTTGTGCCTCTGGTTTTGAATGTTACCATATTTATTTGTTGTGACCGCAAAGAGGCTTGACTAGAAATCCAACCTGCCTCTCGAGTGTCGATGAGTGCAAACTCAGCACTTTACAAAAGACACAGACAGGTGCATTAGTACAGACGAGCAGGGAGGTCACTCATTGACAACTACATATATAGTCTATATTTATATACGTGTGTGAGCTGTCAGGTGTCAGGGGGAGGACAGGTTGGCATCCACTGAAGTGGGTTTCATTTGTCCTGGTGTCAGTGGCAGGCGGTGGCTGATCCTCAACAAGGAGCTGTAACTGACAGTGATCACTTCAACATGAGCTTTACCTTCAACAGGAACACCCACTATAAAGAAAGTTTACTGTTAAAAATATACTGTTGTTCTATTTTTAGATTTATTCTATATTTGATCAAGATGGTGGAGTGTTCGGTTGATGCACGGGGCTGAACTTCATTTAACATGCAACAAAAATCAGTCAAATTAAAAGTTTGGAAATATGAAAAGGGGAAATCCTAAATATGAAGATATAAGCTTATAGTAATAATGACTTAAAGGCTGTCAGATGATACATTAACTAAAACTGAAACATTATTAGATCCATGAATGAAATAATGCTGCTAGGAAGTGCAAAAAAACTGTGTACCTGGACTCACCACAAGAGGCTGTCTCCAAAAATCAGTCATCCCTCATTAGAACCCATGTTAAAATGCCTAACTTAACTGCTAGATTAAACATATTTACTGCTGTAATCAAAGAAAAGAAACACCTTTTAGTCTTTATCTCCCATTTTTCTATTTCTGACAGCTGTACTGAGGTTGAATTATTGTAACCATTATTGTACGTTATTGTAACGTGGGTGAAGTGCTTTAATACCTTTTTGTCATACAAAAATAAGCTACATGCTATAGCTGAGAAAATTATCAGACTTTAATTGCATAAGAAATGTGGTTTCCCATAATTACAAAAATATGATAGTTTAAATAGAATGGTAATTTTGTCCCTGCTGTGTTGCTCCTGTTATGTCCTATACATCGAATGAAACGTACCCTCCCACCCATCACAGGCTTGCATGAGCGTAAATGAGCTGACGGCTGTCAGGCTTAAAAGTGAGATAATAAGGCAAAAGCTCTCCAAGTGATGCATGTTCTAGTGATGCATGTTCTAGTCTAGTATGACATAAAAAAAAGTTTTGGTCACTTAGACATGCTACACAAAAAAAAGGTTCAAGAGGTTTGAAGTTCTTTAAATGTGTGTGTGATGCAGACGTCAAATCATGAGTAATGATTGTAAATAACCGTGAATTTAATATCAGTCAAAATGATTGTGAAAAATTATTTTCATCATACGGTTGTCTTTTATCAGCTGATAATTTACTTTAAAACAGACTATTTTCTAGGGGGCACAACGGTCATAACAGATGAATGCATGTCCTTGTCTTTACTTCACCAGAAAAGCCTCTTCAACATTTGTTTACACCTATTTTTGGACACGTTTGAGTCTCAAAGTCCTGCAGCCACAGCACATCCAGTCTAGACATTTTATCATGTAGACGCTGATAAGACAAAAACAGCTGCTCTTGTCAGCAGACAATAACTCTGAGCTTCAGTCTTAAATTAACACAGTGTAACCTTTCTTCTTTCCAGGTTGCCCCAGAACCAGTCAAAGTACCAGAACCTGTCCCAGAACCAGTCAAAGTACCAGAACCTGTCCCAGAGCCAGTGAAAGTACCAGAACCTGTTCCAGAACCAGTCAAAGTACCAGAACCAGAGCCTGTACCAGAACCAGTTGCAGCCCCAGAAGTAGTTGCAGTACCAGAACCTGTCCCAGAGCCAGTATCAGAACCTGAACCTGTCCCAGAACCTGAAGTTATTGCAGAGCCTGAACCAGAGCCCGTGGTGGAGGCTGAACCCGAACCCGAGCCGATCCCCATTGTAGACCATCTGGAGGCCCCTGAGACTGTCGCAGAGGCAATGCTTGAGCCAGAACCAGAGACCGTCCTGAACAATGGTGAGATTGAAAAGAAATACTGGTGCAGCTCTGAGTTTATCACTAACCAAGACAGTCTCCATATCATGTTGAAATCCAGGTTTTTACAGTCCCTCCACAGTGCACCGAGTACTTACAGCCATCATTACATATATATATACACACACATATATATATGTATAACAGAGGCTTATGTTGTCGGCTGTAAATCTAATCTTTGAATAGAAAGAGTTTCTGAAGCATGCAGGTCTGAGCGACTGTGTCCGGCAGATAAGTTACTTCCAGGAAAAGCCAACAGAGTGAAGCTGTCAGGCTGCTTTTATTGCATCAGACAGAAAGGAGGATGATTTTATGGATGAAGGCTTAAAATCATCACAGTTACATAAAAATAATAAACATCCTGATTCCAGCCAGCGGAAAATCCTCCATTCACGAGATTAACCACTGCTCAGTCCAATTCAATTCACGTAACTTTATTAATCCTTCTACATACGGCCGGTTTGAGCAGACACAAAGACGTAGAGACGACGCCAAAGTACACATGGGAGGTAAACGTAAAGCCTAAAATCAGTTCTGATATTAAGCAGAGTGTGTTTGCTTTCACTTTGATTGGCAGAGCTGTATTTGTCTCAGAAAAAAGAACATTACAGCACTGAGTTGAATAAAGCTGCTTTTATTTTCTCAACCAGGAAATGTAACCTCCTGTCTCCCTGAAACGTGCCCACAGTGTGAGCTCAGTATCAGTGGGTTAAACTTGCGTGTATAGATGTTTAGTAGCCATCTGCCTCAGCAGGATGATACTTAATCTTTAACAGTCACTTAAGCACTTGGCAGCTCTGAACAACAGCCGCCATCAACACTGACAATCTGCTTTGTGTCTGCGCAACCTGTGACACAGCAGGTGGAGCAACAGGTGTGTGTGTGTGAGTGTGGGTGTTACTCACTGGTTATCTATGCTATTCAACCACCAGCTCTGCTTAGCCTCATAGAGAAACACCAAATCATCCAAATGTGTCGGGTTTCTGGCCTCCTTCATAAAAAAGCCAGTCATTTGTGATTTTAGTGCATCAATTATAGCACTGTTGTAAATTATGAGTGAATGTGTCAGACTCAAAGACTCAAATCAGACTGAGAAGATGAAATAAAACTCAGTCAAAAATGCAACTTCTCCAGGATTGTAATGTTGTCCTGCTTAAGGCGTTTCTAGACCTTTGAGCCACTTCACTTTGGGTACCCCCCATAGGTGTTAAGGGGATTCCCTTTTCGTTTCAGCCAGCCTCTAGTGGTCACAAAAGGAACTGCACCTGCCCATAGGCAAAGGCCTCAACTTTGAAAACTGCAGGTAGCTTAGAAAGTGATAAACATTGTTATAAGCTGTTTTGAATGCTTATAAACATCCATAAGAACTGTTATAAAGCTTATGAATGTATTTATAAGGCACTCTAAATGTGTGTATGAGGCATTGTAAGAGGAGGGTTCATGTGGAGTGTTACCAAAACTTTATCCTGATCAACTTGTGGGAGACTAATGTAAGTGTCATGGGGGGTTGTGCATGCGCTATGTGGTTTCACTGGTGCTTATCACACCCCAACTCCCTGTAGATCTTCTTTAAGCCAGTACGAGCGTCACCTTTTTACCGTCTTTCTGGGACAGAGGTTGAAGTTCAGCTACTAAGCACTCCGATCTGTCTGTTTTCTCTCTACTGCTTTATGCAGGGGCATGTCCAGACTTTCTAACTGGGGTGATACAACTGGGAGACTGTCATAGTTAGGGTGGCTGGGGGAGACTGTCTCTGTCCTCTGTCATATAATAATATTCTTCTAGATCTATAATAATTACCTGATTTTACTGGATTTTAATTGATATTGATGTATTTTATTGTATATTGATGTATGTTTTTATTCATGTACAGCGTCACTAAATTCCTGTGGATAATTCTCGTATAATAATATGTCATAAGTAACTATGCACTAGCCTTTGGATACATATTTGTTGCCTTGAATGTTTACGTCTGTTTTTTTAACCTCAGTGCTCACTGTCCTGTGTCTGTCTGTGTCCTATCAGACGTGGCTGCAGCTGAAGATAAGGTGAAGTTCACTCCAGGGAAGAAACAGAGTAAGTTCGAGACGCTGATGACCAAGGAGGAGATCGAGGAGGAGCAGAGGTGAGTTCAAACTCTCACTACAACTCTCGGTTGAGTTATGCGCATGCTGAAACAAACCCACAAGCACTTCTGCTCGCTGATGTTTCGTCCAAACTTTACCTGCATGAATTTAAAGCCATCTGGTCTGAGATGCTTATCTTGCAATTTAGGAGGTGGAGGGGCTTCTGTTCTGTTTATGAAGGCATGCACGTCTCTAACTTGTGGAAGAAGATGTGAACTTGTTGAGGAAAAATAGTTCACATTTTTTCTTCAGGGTGTGATTTCCTACTTATTTGTCACCCTAAAGCTGAGTTGAACCAGCGAGCACGAGCTGGAAAAGTTTTCTTTTGCACCAATCATCCAGTTTGTTTTCTCCTCCTGGTCATTTGCATTTAGATTAGAGTGGTGATAGACTGTCAGAACTAGATCAGATCTAGAAGAAAACACTCTCAGCAAAATCAATGAGATATTTGATTTAAAAAAAAAGGAGGGTTGTAAAGTAATGAAGCTGACATTACCCAGTAAAACACATTTTGATTATAGGATTACAATTATTTATGCATTTATGGGTCAATGACGTTAATGTTGCATATCATTAGGTTTTAGCTCTAAAATAATGAAAGTACAGATGTGCTTTAGGGAAACTGTTCAAGGTACTCAAAAGTCTTTATTTCAGGCAGATAATAATTAATTGATTAAGATTAATTTACCATGTTAATTTGATTTAAAAATACACAACTTTTCTGTATCACTTAGTTTTGCAGAATCAGATATTCTCTTCTCATAGAAAGCTGTATGAACATTTACTACTGTACAAAACATGTGTACATCATTTAGTCTATCTTCATCTTCATCGCTGGGACCCTAATGTAGTTGAGCTTTTGAGATTTTTTAATTTTGTGTTTTTTTTTCTTTTCTAAGATTAATTGATGTTTTTCTTGTCTTAGTTCTGAGTTTATTTTTAGGTCCCAAACAAAGAGCATCTTCTCGATTCATCCCTCTGCTCCACACTTCCTCAGCCCTGAAACTCAAATGAATAGAGAGATGTGTTGTGTAATCTCTGTTATGGCCTCTGTCAGTCAGAGGAAAGAAGGCGAGGGAGGAGGAAAAAGTACATTCTTCAGTTTAGTACACTTTTAGCTCTGCAGTTTCTTTTTTTTTTCTTCTCAGCGAAGGGAGTGAACGTCTGCAGCTCTCCTGATTGGACGCTCACTTTTTTTAAGCTCTTAAAATGTTTCCATGGCTTGGCAGCGCTGCTTTATTGAGTTTTTAAGAGACACAGAGGAGGGAAAGCATCTTTGTTTCCTCCTCGTCTTAGTCAGAGTTGCATCTCCGGGCTAAATCACATCATAGAGGAATAAACATTTCTGCAGCACAGGGAGACTTCCATGTTGAACCTCTTCCAAAGTCCTCATTCCATCTCCCCTCACTCAGTTTCTATAAACTGCGAGCTCAGCGCATGAGAACACTTCCTGTGCCCATCCCAGCGGTGATGTTTTCCTTTCTCCTGGTTGTTACTCAGTTAAACACCTACCCCGCCTTAAACACAGACTGGGTATAAAACCTCAGAAATGTGGCCACAGCTACCAAACACATTAAGTTTTAGAAGTTGGCATCGACAGTTTGATCAGAGTTTTCAGAGCAGGTTACAACAGGAGCGTGTGGAGCAGCTAAAACACGGCCAGATGTTTTTAGGTGACGGTTCCAGCAACTGATCGCTTAGATTGTAATGAAACCGACTCTAAAGGCTGAAACATCTGAAAGTATTCAGCGTCATTCAGTGAATCTACTGCTAATATCCTGCGTGTCAAAGAGCTCCCAATAAAATTTCATAACGCCATCTTCTTATTTGCACATAAGGCCACCACCACAAAGCATCATGGTTTCAGCTGGAGACTTAACAGGCAAATTAAAATAAATGTAAATACTGCATCATAAAATCAAAAATGGCACCAAGAATAGAAAGCAGGAAGAGGGTGGGAAGTGTACCAAGTGTAGAAGTTGGGAAGACAAAGGAGTACAGTAAGAATTATTGCATATTAGAGAAAAAAATGTGTGATAGGCAGTGATGAATACTCTTTGGATTCTCTCATTTGTGTCAGAACATGATCCATTTTTATATTACAGTATAATTCTTGTATCAATAACAGAAATGACACCCTCCCAGTTTACTTTTTGGAAGTCCTCTCCTCCATTTTGTTCCAGGCATCTAGGCATGACCCCAAATTTTTTGTTTATTCCTTTAGTTATAGTTTCGTTTTGCAACAACAACCGCAGATGTTTGCTGATTGGTTCGAGGTTGTTTGTGTGTTTCCTCTCAGCAGGATGTCTGACTGGCTCCAACTTTATCTTTTCAGGATAGAGCTTACATCTGATTTTACTTCTCTATAATCAACCTGAGCAGACACACAGGGGGTTAGGAAGGACATGGTAAGGTGATACTTTTATTCGAATAACCTGAAATAACTACACCCAAACCCTCATCAACCCCACTCTCTTTATGAGTACGGATAGACTGATATGATTTATTTTTTGTCTCATAAAGCCATTACTCGCATTCTAAAAAATGGTGAAACTACTTAAAGATTTTAAGACTTTTTTTGATATATTTTCTTTAAACTTCTGGATTTAGTGATAAACAGCATTACCAGTCGAGCAGCTGGCGAACAAGGGACTGCATGTACCGACACCTGAATCACTTGGTGAACGAATCACGCATTGAACTACACTCTCTGGAATCATTCTTATCTGACAAAACTACCTTTTTTTATACTGCTAAATTGCCACCACAGCAACTTGCATACAACAAACACAGTATGTAACAAGTAGTACATTAAACCTGCAACATCCTATCAATGCAGCGGTCAGCTGTGTATCAGTTCAGGAGGTCAGAGTTGCAGGCTTCTCCCGCTAAGCGCTACATGATTTGATGATTTGGTGAACAAATCTTTTGAACGAATCTTTTAAGTGATCTGATTCTAGTGATTCAGTACAGTTAAAAGAACTGCCGTGCCCATCTCTAGTACTGGTTGTGTTTGTAGACACAAAAATCTACTTTCTCTAAATAGTCGGATATATCACTAAACTTAGAATCTTCAACATTATTTGTTCCATCTCAACTCTACTATAGGGTAAAAATTCAAGCTCAGTGTTTCCCACACATAGACAACCAAGATATATGTTTGGTCATTCAGGTATAATGCTGAACATTTTTATTATTATTGATTATTTTTATTCTGCAATAGCTCGCTGCATGTGACCAATGAACCCGATGATCTCCAAAGCTTTCTGCCTCTTGCGTAAGATAACCTGCAGCACCTGATCCACACTCTGCAGGTCATCTGAGAGAGAAAAAAGAGAGAGATAGAGATAGAGAGAGGTCCTACAGTCACAGTTACCATTGATTGAAGTGTGATGTCTCATGTTAACTATGAACCCTCTCATACTGCTGTTTTTAAAGTCATGTGTGGCTGAAGTCACCATATTAGTTGAGCTCATGGAGAAGCCTTATCTACACTTGGACGCCTGTTATGATCGAGAAGAGCACTTCAAAACACAACTTGTGTTATTTGGATGTCTTTATAAAACGTGCTACCTCTAAATATTGTCAATAGATCAGACGCAAGCGTAAAGTATAAAAAAAGGAAAGCTGTCAGCATTATTTTAGGATTTTGATAACTATATTGACTTAATAATTCCTCATTATGACCTTGTTTTAGTTTGTCAGCTATAAAGGAGCATCAGTTAATTTCAGTCTGTTTCTTAGCCTGTAAAAAATCCTTCTCATGACCTTTAATCTGAAGAATATTGATCAGAATAATCTTCAGGTTCGTAATCTGAATCAATATCAAATCAGTCTGTCCGTGCTGATAAACCTCCTCCCTCCCTGAGACGCCTTCACTGACCTCCTCCTCCTCCTCCAGTCCTCCTGAATCACCCCCTGACTCTCCTGCTCTCCCGGTAAATGGGCCACATGGTTCATCTGTTCCCACGGTGACAGCCAGCAGACTTTTAGTGTGTCACAGAACAGATGGAGGCGGCCCTCATCCTCTTATTGTCCACCGCCCGTTGAACCCTCAGCTCACAGAAAACACACACCAGGAATCACCAAACTAGAGTACGCTAACCTCCGCAACTGAAAGGCCCCTCTAGTGTAAACACACACACATGCACACACGCACACACACTCACACAGAGGGGGACAAAAGAGGCCTAAGACGCTGGGGACCGATGTGGGTCATGTGTGTTCAGAGGGGATAAGACGTCTATACAGGAAACACAAAAGGTCCTATAGGAACCTTCAGACGGCTTAGAGAGGAAACACAAAGGACACTTTCTCCATCAATGAAAACTGATGCTGGGTTAAGATACCAAATCAGTCTATTAAAGGACATACAGAGATGCACAATACAGAGAGTTTGATAAGACTTTCATTAACTTGAAAGATCTACTTTGTGACTAAATTTGTGTTTATTTTTGATGAGAATCGTCGGTGCACATTGACAATGATCAGTCAGTAACTGCACCGACAGTCTTACAGGCTACCAGACTGTCTGATTTGGTCAGTTAAGCTGATCAAACTGGCGCCACATTTTGACCAGTTTTATTTGACTTTGCCTCAAAGCAGCTCTGAAAATACTGCAACAAATGTGGTTTTTATTAGTTATGATACATCCTCTTCACATCTTATTCTCTTCAGTGTTGCTTCAGGACAAAAGCAAAAGTAGTTAATTATTTTTGGTCATCTGAAATCAAAATCTCTTGTAGTCTCGTACCTTTTTAATGAAAGAGCAGATAAAAGTCTTTCCTCTCGAATAAGATAAGAAATAAAAAAGTAACCAGTTACATGGTCTCATCACTGTCCGCTCCTTTGGACCCTGGAAGTAAACATGCTGCATGTGAGCGCCCTCTGCAGGACAGATGTGGTTATCACAAGTATATTCACACACACTGCCTGGTACATTTTCAAGTATGATGTATTTGTTTTGTCATTTTTGTGTGGAGTCAAAATAGTTTTAGTATGAGAAAAAAAATAAGTGGTTTGTGTCTTTAAGTACAATATTAGTTTGAAGTTTGAAAAATGTGAAAGTTTTAAAGGTAAAAGAGTTACAAAGTGTTAGGAACAAAAAACAAACTCAGAGTACAATCAGTGATTGGAGCTTCATGTAGTCAGAGTTTATTAGTGACACAGCAGCAGTATCAAGGTGTGAATTAAGTCTGAGTTTTATGTTGAAAGTACATCAGTATTCTCAGCTCAACTTTATGCAGTTTGAGTTTTTATGTTCAAGTACAGAATTATTCTCAGATTTGTGATTAATAGAGATTTCAATTACTGAATTATTCTAAACTTTGTGTGGTCTTAGTCTCGCTGTAAAAGTACAGTATTATTGTCAACTTTGTTTGGTTGAAACTTCACAGCAAGAATACAGTAATATTCTGAGCCTTATGGAGAAAAAGTTTATTAGCAAAAGTACTAAATTAATGTCAGTCTTCTAAAGTTTAAGTTTCACTGTCAACTATTTCTGTATTCTCTGCTCAGCATAGTCAAAGTTTCGCTGTAAAAGTTCAACATTATTTGTTGCCTTATATAGTTTAAGTTTCACAATGAAAGAGCATAATTAATCTCAACTCAATATAGTAGAAGTTTCAGAGTAAAGTTCAGCAGGATTTTTATCCCCATGTAGTTTTTTTATTTTTAGTCTCATATTGTAAAGATGTCACATTTCAGCAGTGTAATTTTTATCTTTAAAAAGCTGTAACTTTGAGTGAAGTTGCCAACCTTTGTTGCTCCAAAGGGTTGAAGTTTCACAGTTAAAGTGCAGCAGTATTCTTTGATTCATGTAGCTGAATTTTCACAACAAACAGTCCAGCATCATATTGTGAAGATTTCATATTTTAGCACAGTGTTATTCTCTGCTTTATAATGGTGGAATTTAAGTAAAATTCAGCATTTTTCCATCCCTATAAGACTTAAGTTCCAGAGTAAAGTTTAGCAGTACCATCACATCTTTACAGATTAATTCTATTTGTTTAAAAAAGACAGTTTTATGTTTCAAGTGTCAGTGTTTGATCATTGAGAAGGAATTTGCAGTTTTGTTTTCACTTTGAAACTGGAGTATTTTATGACATAGCCAGACACTAATAATTCACAAGAGGTCACAAATCTTAATTTGAGACTGAAAAGTAACTAAAGCTGTCAGATGAACTGAATCCTTCTCACAGACCTCGTGTAAGTAGTAAAAAGTGCAGTAAATGTACTTTTGCCATCAATTACAGGACTTTTTAGTCAACTTCCTGTGCGGTCAGTAACTGTGCTGTCTCCATGTGCTACAATCTCACTGCTTCTTTGTGGGTTTCTGCCTCCATCTGGTGCTGCTTTGGTTCTGGTTCTGGTGCTGGTTTACTGTCACTGTGGACCAAGTTTTTGCTTCTTTTTCTTCATGCATTTCCTCCATCTTCTGTCCAGCTGACCGCTCAGCTGCTAACCGTGCATGCTGCCTGCTAACACCTCCACTAACGGTGAGTGCTTAGAGATTCACACTCACAAACTAACCATCCGTCTGCAAGGGGAGTGGTTCAAGATTTTCATTGTTTGTTTTCCTTAAATTTAATATAGATATTTCTGTTAGTTATAAAGAAAAAGTAGTCCAGATATAAGAATGCACTGCAATTTAAGACAATAAAAAACACCAAAGTTTTCCTTCTGGAGCCTTAAATCTGACTCTTTGTCTTTACGTGTCTTTCCAGAGCGGCTGAGTGATCTTCGTCAGACACCAAGCTTCTCTTTACATCGTCTTTTTTTCTTCCAGCTGATCTATGATGACGACGATGATGACGAGCGCTGAAGAAAGCATTGGCTGCGTCTCAACTCTGCGGTTTGAAGGGTGTTTAACTTCATTTCACGTCAGAGCTGCTTGTGAATAGCAAACGTCTTTACACCAAAGTGCCTCCAAAGTTTTGTTTTTACCCATCTGAGTTTTGTGTTGAGAGTTTGAAAGACGGAGGAGTTTCAGAGTGTAAAGTAATAATTTTAGAGACAGAGAGAAAATAGTGTGAGATTTTTCTTTAAAACTATTAAACTGTGATCTAAATCAAAGTGAATTTTAGCCTGACATTAGTCTAGTCTGTCAGTTAAAACCCTAACTTTAAACCATCAGCTGCATTTCTTGAATGAGCAGCTTTGATTTAAAAGCTGGCAGGAGCATCAGAAGTTTGACGTCTTCCAGGCTCCAGGTTAGTTATTTGAGGTTTTCAGTTCTTCTGTTTGCTTTAAATGTTAAAATAATGCAATAAATGTGTGAAACAATGCCAGTTGTGGTTTATTGAGTTTGTTGATCTGATATTTTCTGTATCATTTGGTGTTCACATTAAAGCTCCTGTGAGAGACTGTCATGTTGTGATGAATTTAGCACCCCCTCCTGGCCAAATCGGCCCATTAAAGATCCATCCTGTGTTTTCTGATTGAAAGAATACAGGTTCACCTTAAAGGTCTAATTTGCAATTTACATCAGATATCAAGCATGGAAAGATTTGAACAGGGCTGTTTTGAAACATATAGTAAGTGGCCTCATCTGGTAGAAAGTATCCTTATCAGAAAAGATCCATCTTCTTCAATGGTTGTTTGCTTTTGGAGATTATATACACAACATGTTAAATTTTGAGTCTTATGCTGCATTCCAGTTACCTCGGAAGTCACATGTCGGAGCTGGGAATGACATTAGATCTGAGTTGACGGGGTTCCAGTTAACAAGTTGGAAAACCAAGATGGACGCCTACAGTTCGCTGTATTAGCTGTTGTTTACAATTGTCAGCTGTCTTTAGCAGTTGTCAGCTGTTGTTAGGTGTTGTTAGCTATACCAGTTGTAAACAACACATGACACAGTATTTTACTCTTACAATCACCATAGCACCGTGTTCACAGTTTTATTTAATTTCACCAAAACAAAACAGAAGTGTTAATAAATAATTAATTACAAGAGCTTTCACTGTTACTCTTTACTGCTGATGCACTGCGCTGCCATCTTGGATTATGACGTCGTCGTCAAGTCCGGGTTGGTGAGGATCGTTCGACTTTCTGAATCGAAAATTCCGACTTCCAAGTACAACTGGAACGCAGCATTATTCAGTATCAGTTGGGGTTTTGTAGTTTTGTAATGTTTAAAAAAAAAAACTTTTGGAGGAACAACAAGTGCAACAACTACTAACATGTCTGGGTGATAAAAAAAGCATCCAAGAGAGATTGTGTGTGCAAAAAGCCCAACAGTTTCAGGATTATGTTCCTCAAAGTGAAATTGCTAAGAACTGATGGATATCATCCCCTCCTGTAAATAATGGTACTAAAAAAATTAGAGAAATCTCTGTACAAAAGAGACAAGGGCAAAAGCTGTACTGGATTGCCTAAATCTCTGTCATTTCTGCAGTAAAAACTCATTTAAGATGGACTGAAATGAAGCAGAAAACTGTCCTGTGGTCTGACAAATCAAAATGTGACATTTGAGAACCTCCTCTTTCTTGAACTCAGGTATCTCTCTATTTAGCCAATGTCTTAGCATGATTTTTTATGTATGTTCTCCCAGATATACATGTTTGCAAATCCCTCTAGGTATATGATCACTTTTCCTACAACATGTACCCAAATTGATACAGTGTCATGTCCTCATAGAGCTGTCACACTAAGATAAACTCACTATAAATGTCTTGACTGGTTGTCATCTAAATGCCATAAACATTGAACAATCCCTAACTCCACCTCCTTTAAGATGTCTCATTAATTCTCAGGTGTTTCTAAAGCGTTTGCTTTTTACTGGTCAGAGCGTCCACAAATCACATCACAAAGATACTGTATATTCACTGGAGTTTAGAGGAAACACCTGGTAACTGTGCTTTAATGAAAAGGACAAACACTCTGTGGTAAACTTAACACATTATGCCAATGTCTTCCAAATATATTGATTGCTCCTAATTTTTTACACTGTTTGAATGACGAGGAAGAGAAAACCAATGCTGGAAGAGGGATAGGAGAGGCAATGCTTGGGCCTGTTTGGGCTTGAGCTCACTCCTTACACCGTACGCTCTACCTTCCCACCACACACACTGATGAGGGATTAGAGAAAGGAAAAAGGAGGAAAACATGTGAGTGAAAGGACAAGGAAAGCACAGCTAGTGAGAAGCTTGTCATCGCTGCAGGGTTAGGCTGTACGCTCCACCTCCCCCCAGGAATATATTTTGTATCTCATAAACTACAAAACCTGTTATAAAATTGCCTTTCAGGTGATCATGCATGTGTCTGTGTTTGTGTGCGTTGACTTCCAAGGGTGCAACAGGAGCAGCTAGCAGCCATCTTTCGCCTGCTGAAGGAGAACCAGGAGGGGCTTGGGGAAGTGACCGAGGGAGACATGGAAGAGCAGATGAAGCTGTACTCCCTCTGAGATGCAGTCTGGAGTCACTCGCACAGACAAAAAAGAAAAAAAAAACACTTGAAGAAAAAGTACTGTAGCCGCACATATGAGGACTGTAGATGGTGTTAGTTTGAATAATATTTCTGTTGTTTGCTGCTGATGAACTGAGGAAAACTTTCAACAGCAATTTTCTCATTAATGTTGCACCTAAGATTGTGAATAGTATTGACGTAGTAGATTGGAATAGATGGGATCAATAAACTACCGACCAGGAAACCACGACAGGACCGAGGGACAAAGTTTGGATATTGAATTAACCAAACTTGTGGTTTGATTTTGAACTTGCTGAGTACATGTATCATATATATTTTCAATATTATTAAGAAAACAATCCAAGTGTTTTTATAAATTATGTGTTACTGTACATAAAATGTTGTTTTGTGAAAATAGTGTTTTCTAATTATGATTAAGTGTTTCTTGTCATTACAACGGTGTAAACTGAATAAACAAGCTGAGCTTCTGAGTTTTCTTCGTGTAAATGTGATCTAGGTAGTTTGGTATATTTGGTTTCTTAAATATCAATACCATGTAATGATTCCCTCTAAATCTAGGTCCTTAAAATACTCCACACAGTACCACTAAAATTGATGCTTCAAAGCTTTAATGCAGAGATTTAAATTGAATGAACCAGAGAAGAAGTTCACAGCAGGTTAAACACATGATAGAAGCTTTAAAAGAAATGCAGGTGAGCTGGGCTGGATGGTCTAGACTTCAGCTGATGCCTCCTTGGCCTGGTTAATGTAGGAGTTGATGTAGTCCACATAGCTGGAGACTCGGGTGTAGACACCAGGGCGGTCGCCGAGACCACAACCGTCAGGACTCCCGTAGCTTATGATGCCGACCTGCACAAAGCCACGAGCCGTACGACACACCAGAGGACCACCGTAATCCCCCTTGACAAACAAAACACAGCACCCACAGGGCAGCCATTTAACTCAGTGACTCAATGATTGGAGGCATAAACAGTCAAAAAGTAGAAGTGCCATTTCATAAATTATTATTAGCAACTGAAAAGATGATAATGGTGAAGATCTACTTTTTTCTCAGGGTGAAACAACATTTTATTGTGTCTTAACAGTGAGCTCTGCCCAGACAGCAAATTCAAAACATGATAAATCAAATCTTTTATATCTGAGATGCATAAACAGTATTTTATCAATTTCTCAAGGTGGAGAGTGTTAGACCCCCTGTCACAGAGAACTGAATTTGTATTCCACATAACCCTGACAGTAACTCACCTTGCAGGCGTCCTTCGCTTTAGCCGGGTCTCCTGCACACAGCTGCTTGGAGGTCAGCTGAGAGTACTTCTTCTGACACTCACTCTGAGGGATGATGGGAATCTTCAGCTGCTGGAGGGTTTCTGGAAGAGGGAGTGGAACTGCAACGAAACACAGTGTACAGTACATGCTGATTCTCTCAAATTGAGGCCATTTATCAATTACTTGCATCTTTTCTTTGTGTCTTTGTCCCCCACTTTGTCTGTGATTTGGTAACAAAAATTCTAAATGATTGCTGCTGCCATGTTGGCTACCGATGCTAGAATTAAGAAAACTCAGACAAGAAGGCGCAGCTTGAGAAAAGCAAGGATTTAACAGACACTAAGTTAGAAGAATTTTAACAGTGCATGGCTTTGGGTAATAACCAAAAGAACTTATGACAAAATGAGCTGCAGAGACTAAAAACTTTTTGCACCAGGCTAAAAAAAATTCAAGTATTTCTTTAAACTGGGAGTTAAGTCCAACTACAATGAGCTATTTGTAATCAAACTATTCAGTTTACATACATCATGCTGTCTGCAGTAGTTTGCTGTTTGATCCAGCAGAGGGCACTCATATCGTTACCAGACTGCTGAATGACACCCTCGACCTCGGTAAATTAAATTGCAATCAGCGCCATTCTGAGCAGACAGCCACAGTGTCCATCTCTGAACTTACCACCATTCTTGATGTTCCCCCAGCCGGTGATCCAACACTCAGAGGACGAGTCAAAAGTGTCTCCAGGGCCTGGCAAACTCACAGGAGCAACAAGTCTCGATAGCTCGGCCTTTTTCTTCAGCTTCACCAGAGCGAGATCGTTCACGTACCCATTGCTCACTGCTTGATACTGGGGGTGAAGCATGTAGAAAACTATGGCCATGTAGCGAACAGATGCCTTTTGCAGATCATGTGAGCCTAACCAGGCGCTGGATCGCAGCGGGTCAGGCTTAGGATCCCTGGAAACACAAACACACATACAGTATTAATTTTCAGTATATTTTACAAAGACACACCACATCTTAATATTCAAAGAACTAGCAAGGCTCAGGTCAAAGGTTAAGAGCGTTGAAACTGATAAAGTTCAGTTAGTCTTTTCTCTGTTAGTTTCTAAATGGTCACGAAACAGAGACTGGTATTTTTACTTCTACCTGAGAAAAAATGTCATCAAAACTTTTGTACTTCGAGTTTTACAGTACTCTTTCCACCTCTACTTACCTGTCCCAGCAGTTTGCAGCAGTGAGGACCCACTGACTGTTGAGGAGGCTCCCTCCACAGCGCCATTTATTGGTCCTGTCAGCCGCGATGCTGAGGTAAACCATCCACGGCCAGGCACCCTTTGGAGCATCCTCCCCTCCAGTGATGGAGCTCCCCACTTCGGACCCAAGCACGACTGGATGAAGGGTGACCCAACCAAAGAAAAAACAATGAAGGGAGGAAACATTCAGATAGTTAACATTTTAATTGATTCCTTTATTTCTTACATGTTAACAGACAAAAGTAGTTAAAGCAGAGAAAGATCTGCAATCTAAGCAGCAATGTCAATAGTCAAACTAAATACATCAGAAAACAATATATGTTTGAATTCTACGCTTTAAGTCAGAAATAATAATAAAATAAAAAAAATCAGAGGAGAAAAATTTCTGACCCCAATTTTTTTAATCTATTTGTTTGTTTCTTTGTTTGTTTGCTTTAAACCTCTTCTGCAAAAACCTGACCATATTTTTGTCTTCAATACAGAAAAATAAAAAATACAAATATATTTCAAATATATAAAAATTAAGAAAAATAAAGTTATTCTTTTTCTCAGAAAACAAATTACACCCTGCTGGTCAAAGTTCAAATTACCTTCAAAAATTGAATTCAAATGAATAAATCAGAGAATAAAGTTTCTGTCGCTCACCTCCAAAGCTGTGAATCAGCACCAGCACAGAGAGGAGTTTGCAGAACCCCATCATGACGGTGAAGGAGTGAAGTTCTGCTGTCGACTGCAGCTTTATTTAAACCACAGACTTATCAGGAATATCAGCCCTCCCTTGACTCTGACATTACAGATGTGGGCGCTGAGACACTCTTTAGACTCAGTACCATTCATGACTCTGTACCCACTTCGTATAACATTATACTAATGCTTTACAATCTTACACAGTGTGAACCAAAAAATTCAGTGTTGCTTTAGGGGAGAGTGTGGTAAGATGAGCCATTTTTCATATTTTGGATCACTACATCGAGGCAATCATTGTTTTGTCTCTAACTAGTGTATCTGCATATATTTCAAGATGTTGTGCATCTCTGCAAACCAACACAATGAGAGTAAACATAACTGTCTTGATAATATAGCAAGACAAAAAGTGGTCTCCTATGGTCAACTTACCCCGTGTATGGGGTAAGTTGACCATAGGAGCGGGGTAAGTTGAGCCATATCCTTAGGCTGATCTTACCCCACCCTCCCCTACTGCATATATAGTATATAATAGAATAACATGTTGTTGTACTACCATGATTTCCAAAAAGAATGTCATATTAATTTCTTCGGATCTCTGCACACCTTTCCACTCCACTTCTATTTCCAATGGCCCGGGAACTGCTGATTCAGGTTGCGTTTCTGGGGGGGGTTATTTTTATGGAACACCGCGTTCATGTGACATCGTCGTTATCGAACACAGACGCCGAAGCTGAACTGAAGTATTGCTGATTTTTTTTTGTGATGACAGTAAAATCAGTGATGATGATGGTTTATGGAGCTTCTTAGCAAACAGGCTAAAATGTCCCCGGACAGTTTTAACGTATTTAAAGTTTTTTTTAGTGAATTTTAAAGACAGTTTGAGTTATTTGATCCGGTTAGAAACATGGAGCAGACTGACACCTCAGGTCCTGATCAACACTCCGACTCTGACGGTCAGTTTAACATCTGTCTTTGTCATAAATATATAAAAACAATACAGACTTTATGTGGGTTTACCTGAAGGTCTTGTTCATTTATTTTTATTACAGGGCGTTCATCGCGATGGCGGAACTGGTCCGGGTTTTGGTGAGTGTCCTGTGTTGTTGAATATAGCGACAGTACAAAAGAAAAACACTGTTGTGATGTATTTTTTAATGATTTAAAGTGTTACATTATTATTCAATAGAAATGTAAATTAAGCGAGTTTTGGAGCTTAAGTTCAAACCAAAGTGGTCCTGAGCTTCCTGGTTTCACTTCAGGTTATTCAAGGACACACAGACAGTGAAGAATATAAAGAGTTTATATTCTTCAAAGAGGGGCTGCAGTGTCTTAAAATCACAGTTTTAGTTTTGGAAATCCTTTATTCTACCTATGAAATTATAAAAATAAAATAAACACAAAGGGACATTTCACAGCTTTTTTTCAGATCCAGACCATACAATGAATGTAGAGACACTACATGATCCAGACACTCATGCAGGCAGAAAATAGAACCAATAAATATTGAAACCTTAATACTAAACTTGTCACCTCAAGTCTCAACCCTTCTCCTGTGTTAGCTTTCACTACGCACCCACTATGTTAAGGTTCGGTTTTAACCCGTGTCTTAAATCAGCTGGAAATTTCACTAAAAACAATTTTCTATCATTCAGTTTGGTTCTCATCTCTAGGTTACCTTATTATGCTTCATTTAGTGTTGTGTTATTCACGAATGATTTGTTTAAAAGAACCGAATCTTTTAAGTGAACATACTGAACCGAATCACTTCCTCAAGCAATTCGTTCATTTCTCACTTCAGTTGAGCTGAAGTGAGAAACAGCATTGCCAGTCGAACGAGGGACCACATGCACCGACGCCTGAATCACTTGGTGAACAGCATCCTGTCATTGCAATGGTTTGTGAGGAAACGGTGCATGTTCAGTTTAAATTCTTCTAAACGTTCAGTGAACGAATCACACATTGACCCCAATTTACCAAGCAGGCCTGGTAAACAGCATACCATAGTACAGTACACTAAAAACATAATGACTTATAAACAAGTTCATTTTTACAAACCTGTTTGCCAGAGCAACACAGCCAAACACTCTCGTCTCCCGGTCCCAGAAGCTCTGAATTGAACTGAATCCTGAAACATTCAGCTGGGTATCAGTTTAGGAGGTCGAAGTCACAGGCTTTCTCTCTCCAAGTGCCAAATGATTCAGTGATTTGGTGAACGAATCTTTTGAACAAATCTTTTTAGTGAACTGATTCTAGTGATTCAGTACATCTAAAAGAACTGCCTTCATTAGCTTCATGAAAATATTGCTTATAGCGTTTTTTAATATATTACTGATCTCACGTCTTGACATGCATGACATTGTTTTTTGTGCAGGAATAAAAATGTCAAAATGAGAATTTCCTAAATCTAACATCAAGTGGATCTGACTGTCAATGTGGTGCCTGGCAGTGCACATATGATTTTCGTTTTTGCTCTAATTATTAGATATTAATTTAACCGAGTCAACAGCTACCCCAACAGGAAAAGTGTCATAATTTTAATAAGAGCATTTTATGATTTAGTCAATTTAATTTTTTTATTTTATTTTATTGAAATAGAGAGTCCTGACAAAGTCAAAAAGTCTTGATGCAAAAAAATTTAAGTGGTTCTTAAATAAGTTGTTCTGCATCAAATGGGTCGGTGCAGACCCTAACACAGGAGGAGGGTTAAACACATCAACAATGTGTTCCTTTGTCTAATGTACATATATAATTTGTTTGTATCCAATTCTTATGGATCTGTTCAAGACAAATAAATATTAAATTTAACTTTTTCTTTTGAAAAATTCTTGTAAAGAAGTTTTGTACAAATATGCATGAAGTAGCTCTTATGTTAAAGATCACTGTCTGTCAGTGTTTCATGTTGTCAGTTATTGATGTAGTTGATTTTGCTCTCTCTGTCTTATCTCCTGCTTATCTCCTCAGGCTCCTCGGATTGTGCAACAACTTTGCTTATGTTGTCATGCTGAGCGCTGCCCACGACATCCTCAAAAAACAAGAGTCAGGAAACACCACATTGACCGTAAGAGAGCTAAACTGAGTCTTTGATACTTTGTTCATCATTTTCCAGTAATTTAATCCATGTAACCTTTTCATACAAAAAAAAAGCTTAAAAAAGCATTCCCAATTTTTTATCCAGGCCCCAGGTACATTGAGTGTAGATGGAGGGAACAGCAGCAACAGCAGCCGCTATGACTGCAACCCTGTCTCCACTGCGGTAAATAAGATTCACCACACAACACTGAATTACTCTGAGAAGTCTGTGTGCTGGCAGAAAATGACATGTTGCCCTCTTCTAAGGTTTGGTGGGAGATGGCACAAAATAGACAACCTTATAAAACATAAATAATCCATCTGATGAAAGACAAACGTTTAAAGATGAATCTCCTTGGTGGAGTGTGTTCACATATGACCCCTGAAAATGGGAACAAAATAACCAAGGGTGCAAATTTAAATCAAAAGTGTGTGTTTTGGAGATCGGATTAAAGAGGGGTGTTTTTTGAGGTTTTACCCTGACAAACATGTCTGCCAAATCTGGTAGAGAATATTTCTTAAGGTAATTATGGGACTGATCTGTTTATTGGAAATATCTACTTGTCTGTTTTTAATGTAGGGAACAGTGTATATTAATGAACATGGGTGTGTAAACATGCAACAAGTATTAACATAAAATTATAAGTGTACATAAAACAAAAAAAGCACAGACCAGGCAGCCTGAACTTCATTAATTTACATATTTATAAGCCAGGAAGCAAGTTTTGCCATCCCCTGTGTGCCTGACCCACTGAAATTGAAAAATTTTCCCACTTCTGACTTCTTCTAATCATCTTTAGAGTCAACAAAAGGGTTTATACTTTGAAATGGAAATAAAGGACAAGTCCTTGAGCTTCATGAGTATCTGTGTTTGATTGCCTAGAGGCTTCGAATATTGCATTAAAAAATCACAATATATATCATGAAGGGCTGTCAAATGACAGATTTGTTTTCATTTGCATGTACAAATCTTACCTATGCTCTTGCAATGCTTTTGACTTGTTGACCAGGCTGTCTAAGAAGTATTTTGAAGATGAAATGTGCCGATCAAAAGTGCAGTAGTGTTGTTATTTTGCACCACAGCATTAGCATAAAGAAGGAAGACACTTAGGTGGCATAGCTACAGTGTGTCGCCCATGATTACAGAGGATAACAGGTTAACTACAGTTTGAACTGCATCATAATAAACATTTTGACAACTTTTCTTAAATGTGAATAATGACCATCTCAAAAAAAAGAGAGAGGGGCAAAGTTTTCCTTCATGGCAGGTCTGAGTGACGGCTCTGATGTTTTTCTTTGCAGGCTGTCCTGTTAGCCGACATCCTCCCAACACTCTTCATCAAACTAATGGCTCCCTTCTTCATCCACAAAATGCCTTATGGGTAAGATCACAGGCCTCTTAAGAGAAGACTGACTGTTGTGGCTCTCAAATTTACAGTGAATTTATTCTGACAAGTCTGCTTTACATTTTGTAATTTCTTGCCTGTTTCTTTAGCTATCGAGTGATATTCTGCGCCATCATGGCAGCAACAAGTTTCCTCCTGGTGTCCCTCTCTTCAGCTGTGTGGATGAGCATCCTGGGTAAATGAAAAAAACTTAAAATGAAGACCTTATTTAAACTTTACTGATATATTTTTTTATCATTCGTGGTGAAGAAACTGGTCTCTGATGATAGATTAGATGGAGTTACTTGTTTTGCAGTTTTCTTTAAACTTATCTTCAGATTGTGCGAAGTGATTTCACAGAAACACGACCGCATCTTTATGTTTCTTTGAGCTGCTGCAGCCCACTGTTCATTAAGTTCAAGTTAACTGCATATGTTCACTATTTAGTTTTTACTTTAAACAGAGGGACAAATTGATAATATGCTTTTAAAGATACAATAGAACATTAGATTGAATTGGATTGAATTCATTTCATTCGATCAGGATGTTGCAAGTAACCATAAATCCATTTAAGAGTTTAAGACTGCTGTCTTACAAAGAGAGGGCAGACTTTTGTGAAGTTACTAGTGAATGTTCAAGCACCATAAGAATGTATTTTGAGTTCATCTTTCACGTAATAAAACTGTAGTTAAATGAAACAAACATCAAAAACATGCATCACTGATCCAGGTTTCTGTAATAATCACTTTTATTATTCTTATTATCCATTGAGTAAAGCTGTGGTTCTCAGTAACTAACTTTTTAAAGTTTCTGTCTTAATCTTGATTTCTCGTCTATCATTACTATTTTAAAGGCATTTCCACCTGTCTGTGTTTTCAGGGGTGATCTTTGCCAGTTGCAGCTCTGGACTTGGAGAACTCTCCTTTCTGTCTCTCACCGTCTTTTACAGCAGGTAAACTAGACCATACCGTACCAGATTGTATTATATTGTATCATAACACACTGTAGCAATACCAAAATGAGACAGAATGGGACAAAACATAACATAACATAACATAACATAACATAACATAACATAACATAACATAACATAACAAAACATACTTTAGCGTAACATATCAGATTGTATCGTCTATCATAACATATCATATTATATGATACATTGCTCATACGGTATTATATCGTATGTTTTGTTTTAACATAACCTTAGATATTGTAGGATAACGTGACCTAACATAACAGAACATAGGGCACATAATGGATTGTATCATATCCTATCATTACGAATCTTATTGTACCGATTACATTATATTGTAACATGTTGTATCTTAACATAATCTAAGGAAAGTAATATAACAGGGTGTTATGTAAAGAAACTTACTGTAACATAATACATTGTGGCATAATGTAATGTTATGTAACATAACTTAAAGTAACTTAACACCAACCAAAATTAAGGTATTGTATTGTATTGCATAACAAAATGTATCATGTCGTATCTTATTGTATCGTAATATATCATAATGTATCATCAACGTATCGTTACATGTATTTTTTGCCTCACATCATTATTATTTCATAATGTTTTGTATCATTTATCATTTCGTATTATATCAAATGTTATCATTGTATTGTAACATTGCGCATTGTATCTTATTGTATTGTAACATAATCTAATGTAACGTATCACATCATAATGTAATTAGTCATGCATTGTATCTGAGATTATTTATTTATATTTTTTTAATTTATGTCCATATCACATCATTGTCTGGTATCACAGTCTAGTTACCTTGCAGGGAATCCTCCTTGTCCAATTTTTTCTTTTGGAGCACATTAGATTTATTATTTTATAGATATAAATTCTGGTTTCTCTTACTCCTCAGGGATGTTCTGGCAGGTTGGGGCTCAGGTACAGGTGGTGCTGGTGTAGCTGGAGCTGTACTCTATGCCCTTCTCACACAAGTTGGCCTGACTCCACGGGTCACACTCCAAATCATGCTGGTGGTCCCCGTCGCCATGTTGGCAAGGTAAGCGTGGAAGAGGGTACGTCAAAAAGAAATAACTCTTAATTTTAGAGGTACTGTCAGTAAATGTTTCTGTTATCAGTCCTTCCTTTAAGTTTCTATCAACCAAAACTCATTTCTACCTGAACATTTGTGCAACAAAGCAGATTTTTGGGTGATCTGTTGGTATAATGAAGTGCACAGAGAGGTGTAAAAAATCCTCAAAAGGCATCAACACCACAAACAAAGTGAAGGTCAGTGACTGGATTAGCTAATGTGACATCTAGCAGACAACTGTAGCACCCAGTAGTTGCTGTGAGTGGCTATGCCTTTTATTATAGTAGCTTTAAATAACCTTGAAACAATGAAAAAAATTGTTATGAATAAATGTATGTCCTGTAAACAGAATTTATAAAATTAAAAAATGAGCTATAGAGTCAATATATGTTCTTGTAATGTACTCCAGGTCTATCCAACTCTGCTGCAAAGTAGCACATTTTAGAGTTGGATCTAATGGAAACCGGCCTCTAGTGACCACTCTGGAGTATGACAGCTTTTTTGACACACTCGGATCATCTTTATTTCTTAGCCCTAAAGGCTGTAGACTGTTTTCTTTCAATCTTATTCTTATGACCATGTTACTTTAGGAGATATCAAGAAGGAACATCTTCAAATTTGGCTCCGAGTTGACTTTGAATCACGGGAGAAGTGATTGGATTATGGTGGTCACAGGACGGTCTTTTGCAAAAAGGGTTAAGTGACAGTCACATGTTTTCTCTCATAGAAACACAGAGAGACACGGAGAAACAGACTCTTGTTGGTGTCTTTCCTATTAAGTTTTCTCATACAGAGTATTTTGTTTAATAAAGACTTACAAAGTCATGTTTTCTTACGGTGTGATATATCTCTTTGTTCATACCTTCTTTTATTGTTTGAACTCTGCCAGTGACGTAATTGTATGTTTTTTTGTTTTCCAGCTATTTCCTCCTGCTGGATCCTCCACCTTCACTACCTCAGTGGAGAAACAGAGAGGCAGAGTTCTCTCCTGTGGACTCAGAGGAGAGACAGAGACTGATGGATGAAACAGACGAGGCGGAGAAATCAACTCTAGGTACAGGCAACAAACTCCCAACATGTCTAATGATGAAAATGATCGCTTTTATTCACATTATTGATAGAGAGATGGAGCCTTATGAAGCTTTGGGGCTTCCTGTCTTATTAAGCCAAATATAGTTAAAGCTTTAGAGGATCAAATTCAATAAAACACAGCAATATCTGGAGTCTTGGAAAGTGTTTAGAAGCCCTCTTTAAGACAGGCTGAAGACCACAGGAGCTTGATGATGATACAAAAAACATCTTCTCAGAAGGCCTCTGACCTTTGCCCCAATCTGATCACTGAATAACCAAATAAACCAAATAGCTTGTTGCAGTTTGTGGGAGAGACAATCTGATCATAATGTTGCTTTTAAGGAGGTTTTAGTTGTATGTCAGACCTGATAAGTGACTACACTGAAACCACATTACCTCTGCAACCCTAACTGTTCATCTGTTGTGAGGAAGTTATGTGTATCTTAGGGTCATATTTGTATAATTTAGAAGAGATAAGTTAATCAGTTCGTGTGTGTGTGTGTGTGTGTGTGTGTGTGTGTGTGTGTGTGTGTGTGTGTGTGTGTGTGTGTGTGTGTGTGTGTGTAAAACCAAATATCCAGTATCTTGTCAACAAACATTGATAATGTAGAATTAGAAATCATGAGGAGAAAAGTCTGTTTTTAAGATTTTCTTTAAAACGGCTCAACTTAGTTTACATGTACATTTATTGTGTGTATTTGTCATGTTTATGTTGAAATGTGTTGCTATTTGACTAATTTAGCTGTTTTCAGTCTTTCATAAATGTTGCAATTATATCACTACTGTGTGATTTTATGGCCACGACAATCATGAGGTGAAAACCTGAGATCCTAACAGCCTTTCTTGTCCTTTCTTCTTCTTTTGTTTTTATTTTTTTGGACAAAACTATGAACAGCTTGCTTTTCTTGATCTGTGGTTTGCTTGGCTGACAAATGAGAAAGCAAATTGAAAATCTGCAACGGTTGGTGATTTTTATCCACTGTGGGGAAGCTTACGCAAGATGAAAACCACACTGTCTGTGAAGATTGTGGAAGGTTGAACTTTTTTCAGGTCAATTTTCCATTTTGGTTTCAACCTGAGATCAAAAAGATTCTTTATGATTTTTCTTCCTTTATTGATTTTTTTTCTAAATCAATTTCTTTTTGAGTGGTTTTGACTTAATTCCATTTGTGTTTAATTTTAACCTCACAGAGTTATTTTAATTTTCTGCTGTTTGTTAATGAATAATTACACAGTCCGTGTTCTCTTTCACCTGATTGTACCAGAGGAACGCCACACTGGACCGCTCACCTTCACAGAGAAACTGCACACCATCAAAGTGAGTTAACTTTTCACTCTGATACAAACCCCTTCATTTTGAAAGTATTTGTTTGCACTGATATTTGTCTTGTTTTCTGAGAGCAGGGCCTGTTGAAGTTTGTGTTTCCTCTTGGACTTGTCTACTTTGCAGAGTATTTCATAAACCAGGGCCTGGTGAGTTCTCTAGTCCAGCCAAACCCTCTGTACTTCTGCTCTTTGAAGCTATGCAACAACATATTTATGTATTTCAAGAGTATGAACTTATTCACATTTGACATGTTCTCTTTGCACTATTTCCAATCAAATAATGATTTCTGAGCTATGGAATCCTGTTTTAATCTACACTTTACACAGATTTTATGGAATTACAAATACTCCGATCCTTAAACCAGCTAAAACCAAACGTCCCTTTTCTTATTTAATATTTAAACTAATAAATTTGTTCCTTTTTTTCCAGATGGAGCTCCTGTATTTCCCAAACTTCTTCCTGTCGCACGCACAACAGTACCGCTGGTTAGTATACCTTATCTTCATTTTATTCTGAAGGATTGTCTTTGTTTATATTGTACCTATGGACTCCTTCACTGTGTGTGTTCAGGTACCAGACTCTGTACCAGGTGGGCGTGTTGGTGTCTCGATCGTCTCTGTGCTGCTTTAAGATCAGAAAACTGTTGGCTCTCTCTCTGCTACAGGTGAGAAACAGAAACTATTGCGCAAAACAAAAAAAAAAACATATTTTGGTGGAGAAAACAAAGCTGTTTGGTACTTGATAAGTCAATTAAGTCAGGTAACAATCAAGTCAAGGTAGAATAATGACAAAGTCAAAGGTAGTTGCTTGATTGGTGCATTTATAACCTGAAGCTTATTGGGTTTGTTGCCTGAGCTACAAAAGTGCATCAGAAAACATTTTAAAAGTTGTTAAAAGGAATGTTTTCAAGTTTATTTGTGAGACTCAGGGATAAAAGTTCAAACAATAATAACTGCTGGAAAATAATCATCTCTCATGTTTTTCTCAATCTTTGTGAGTGAACCTGTGATTTAATCGCCTTTCCCCATATGCACCAAACAGTAACCGCACAGGGATGCAAAGAGAAAAGAAAGCAGATGTTTGTCTGGACTCTTTCTTAAAGTTTTGAGTTCACTTTCTTCTGTATTTTTGAAAAACATCTAAAAGAAAACAGGGAAACACAATATCAGACAAAAACAAAAAGCTGAGAGCTTGTGAAGAAACCCACCTCACATTGAAATGATCAGAAACTAACAAGCTCTGCCTGAGATATGGTTAATACAGTATATGTTTGTAATGCTAATTGTATTTTTCATATAGAAGAGTTCATTTCCTGTGTCTTTGCTCCCCTCAGGTGGTGAATGCTGTGCTGCTCCTGTTGGCTGTTAAATATCAGTTCCTGCCCAGTGCCTGGCTGGTGTTTATTATCATCTTCTATGAGGGTCTTCTGGGTGGAGCTGCATACGTCAACACCTTCTACTTCATCAGCAAAGAGGTCAGATTCAGAGGGCTGCAGTGAAATAGAAAAACAAAATCCTCCTGGAGCTGCTGGATGAACGGCTGAGTGAAGCTGTTGTTTGACTGTGTTTATCCAGCTGTCTGTCTGTCTCTCTTTTCACAGACGGAAGACAGACAGAGGGAGTTTGCGATGGCTGCTGCCAGCGTGGGAGACAGTCTGGGCATCGCTCTGGCCGGACTCGCTGCGTTCCCCGTCCACAGATACTTCTGTTCCCTGTGAGCCTCCCACACAGCAGCAGCTCGATGAATAAGACAGCCGTGGGAGCTTTTCATTTGAAGGTTTATTTTCAATCTGGTATGAGAGACTATCTGTAGGAGCAGACTTTACTCCTACATTAAAGAGAGGCGGTACAAATGCAATGTTACCGTACTTTATCAGAGTCTCAGGTTTCTGTACTCTGCGTAAGTTTTTATTTTTTTAACCTTTTTACCTCCAACCCTTTAATTTTAACAGAAATCTGTACATAAGACTTTCATTTTATGACCAGGTTCCCCTCTGACGCTTTGATGCGTTTGAGGGGAATTTTTATTTTGCATCTTTGCACACCTCCTTTACAACATTCAGACTGACTCCAGATAAAATGGATGAGTCAAAAATGAATAAAAAAGACCTTTCCTTTGTGTTAATATCAGTGAATCCAGCACCAAAGACTTTTATGTTAGATCTGATTCCATAATTGAGTCCATAACGGCTCTGAGACGCTAATAATTCCACCACAAAAGCACTAAAAAAACACGTTATCTTGTTTTGTTGACCTGTACTTGTGGTGCACAAAGTTCAGGACAGAAACTTCCCATGTTTAATCAGTAAAAGGCTTTCGAAGTGAATGGGTGAGAGCTTTACGGGTGTAGTAAACCTCCTCTATAGTCTAGTTATTTTAATGAAATATGAAACGACAACAGAGAATTCGTACACTAAAATCATGACTAATAATATAATAGCATTGGACAAAGGGAATATAAAAAATCTGTTTTGTAGGTCATACACAAACCATAATCAGTCTTAAAGAACTTTAAAAGTTAACCCGAATAAATCTTAATGTCTTTCTTTCTTACAATTTATAAAATACAGTTTTTCTTGTTCTTGTTAGAAGCATTGCAGCAGAGTTCTTGATTAAAAATCATCTGACAATTATGAAGCCTGAAGTGACATATTTAACATCTGATATGCACTCCTTATGGAAAGGATGATGTATAGTGAACAGCTGCTTGGGCAAATTAGAGTCCTTGAAGGGGCAGCAGAACCCCATAGTCAAGCAAAGAAGATTGCTGCTCCACTAACAGTGGCACTAGAGGACTCACAGGGGCATGTTCAGCCGTATGAATTCATCATTTTAAAATCCAAACCATCTTTACACCCATACTTTGGATTAGAATCCTGACAGGGTAACCAAGACCTTAACCCAAAATTGGGGGGTCATACTTGCTGTCTAATTTGCATAACTACAAGTTTATTATACATTATCCAGCTTATAGCCCAACAACAAACTTTACAACTAAAGAAACTGATTACAAATTTAGTTTAAAAAGTGATTTGATTGGTTTTAAATGTTTTATTTCTACAGTTAAAAAATGTCCCCCTCATTCCAGTTGGAAAGCTTCTGATGTAAACAGATTTTTATCTGATCTCTTATATCCATGTGGAAAAAATTAGCAATAAACTGACCATCTCTACTGAAGGCAACATTAGACAAGGAAAATGTTTATGCCGATATTTCTGTCCTTTTGGCACAGTGTCAACAGGCAGAGATGAAATACTGGACAGGATTTTGTATGAAGTGTAAGATCAGGTTGTCTGTAGTTCCTTTTGCTGTAGGGAATTAATTGCTGCAAAAGTGCCTTACTTCTGTTTTTTATCAAGGATTATTAAAGGTCATTAATTCTTTTTTTGAGTGGGGTGATAATCAGGTGAACGTTCAACATCACAAAATATACGACTTATTGAATCACCGTCTGTGGTACTAACTCTCTCAAACTTGTTTTGATGGAAAGCCGTGCACATTCCTGAAGTTTTTACTTCCTTCATTTTATGTTTGAATTTTTTATGCATTTGTGTCAGCACTAAACATTTGCTTGTGTAATCAAAAATGTTCATGTCATTTTGTTGTGGGATTGAATTTAACACTGTAAAGAAAAACTGTGATTAAACATTTGCAGTGATTTACTTGTCCAGAATTCAATGAAGTCAAACATTTTGTACTTGTCATCTTTAGATGTTAATATCTAAGGCATTTTTTTATTTTGATTTGTGGCTCAAAAATACATCTGTAAGATTTGTGTTCTCCTTGTTGACTCGGCCTTTGAAAACAGACACTTTTCAGTCTACTGAACTCACAAATAAAAAAAGGTGGTTAAAGTGGTGGGTTTTGATTGTTCTTTTAATTCTCAAAATTATCGTGTTGTTGACTATTTTAACCCTTTAATGTCTGAAACCACAAATTATGGCCAGAAAAATTCAAAATTTTTGGAGCTGAAATGTTTATTTCACTTACTACTGAAAACCAAAAAAATCTAAATGTCTTTAAAATGTAACAAATTTATCCATTTATGTTGTTGGATACATTTGATGTTTTTGGAAACTGACAAACCACAAGAGGACATTTTCATCATTTATCGGACTGTATTAAGGTGTTTTTTAAATAATTTATTGATCATATTGATTTGATAGAAGTATCATAAAAGTATGTATCAAATATGATACAAAAGGCAATAAAGGGTTAAACTATTTTTAAGTTGTCTGCTGCAGCAGGCCAAATGCGCACTTGAGACTTGAGAAAAAAATGGAAACCTATGAACATTAAAAGTAATAAAACAGGTTTATTTGTCACTTTCTAAATTAGCAACGTATTAATTAACTGATTGAAAGATTACTCAATTAAGCAGTAAATTAAACATCCTGCTCATTTAGAAATTAAACTAACTCTGCAAAAGCGTTAAATTTACAAGAATACGGCAACAGTTAAGCAGCAAATCCTCACTTAAAATTAGTATTTCAAGCAAAATAAGCAAACTAAAAGGCAAAAAACAAAACATGGACTATGGAAGCTATTTAGAGCTTATGCAGGGAATTCTCCTACAGAAGCATGTCTGTTTTTAATATAGCACACCTACCAGCCTGAAAATCATTCTTTGGGGCATGTTACTGGCATGAAATTAAAAATGAAAATCAGCAAACCATCAAAATAGCTTTCTCTTATAATTTCAAACAGGATCCCAACTTTCTTTGAACTTTCTTATTTCCCATTGATTTCGTCCATCACCCTCAAACGTTTAGGTATCCTAATTTTGTTTACATATCACTTATTTTGTCTCCTGAAACGAATGAGCTCACTTATATATCTCAGTCAAATGTAACAAACGCCTGCTCACTTGACTCAACACACCAGAAACACCATTCAAGCTGTGCTATGCGCGTCCCCGACACCGGAAGTTTCAGACTGGTGGTTGGTGTTCATGAGCACGGCTGGAGTAAACCGGCAACGACGTTACCGAAAGGAGAAGAGGAGCCGGCAGATCCACAATCCACGGAATGAGATTTACTTATGTTCGTTTGCTGAAGTTTGGCCGTCACTCTCATAATAACGGTACGTGTTTATAGTCGTCTTTTATCGAATAGGAGCAGTCGTCTGTGTCGATTTTGTCACGGTCAGTCTTGTTAGCATTAGCTCCTGAAATTAGCGGAGTAGTGCTAACCAGTGTTGACGCCGTCCGTTCAAGTTAGCCAGGTGTTTCGCCGAGTTTTGCTGCTGTGTCGAAAAATTGGGCCGTCGAAAAAAGAGGCTGTCAGTTCACAAGTTTTTTCTAACACAAAGTTGGAATAAATGTATTGTAAATTTTCATAGTATGAAGAGTACTTTGTAATTATGTGTTAAAATTCCCCAATGTTGGTTTCGTGAGACTTCTTTGCTGTATAAAATAATGTTTGCAGTGGTGACTAACGCGTAGGATTTTGACTCTGCGCATGCGCGGGAGCGATCGGAAGCACATCTTTTAAGGATTCAATAACCGATAGAACACCGGCAACCATGGTGAACTGGCTAATGTAGAACATTTCACAAGCGGACCTAGATGCGATTTTCTTTAGTCTTGTTCGTGAAACAATTGTGTGTACTTATTATGTCTCATATGGCCGACATTACTGTGAACATTCAGGACAAATTCCTGAACAAAATGGTCGGCGGAGTTATCAGAGAATCAGTTGCTCGCTGACGTCGTTAGCAGTGATGTAAGCTAACGCGCTAACAGTTAGCTTTCGGTAAAGCGACGCCCATAGGCCTCACATTCCTCTACGAATACCGTCAGTTTGATCAGGTCCGTTTTACACTCGTTCAATAATTACCATTTGAACGTGTTGATTGAGTTATGTTTTCACTAAATTAGTTGTATTATTATCTTAAGTTAGAAACTAATGTTCCTCAGGACCGATTTACGAGTCAACAAACTTGAAGTTAATAAAAAATATTTACGTAGTCATTAGATTGTTGTGATAGATGGGTAATATTTTGAGGTTAAATATTAGAAATGATTAATAAAAGATGTCCAAAAACTGTAACTGAACATAAACTTGACCAGCCACAACATTATTGACACCTGGACAATCTGATGCAGCCCAATACAATTTCTCTACCATAAATTCTGCTATAAAGGAGCTTCTAAATTTAATTTTTTATTCACATGGTCAGACAGGTTATAATAATGTCCAAGTATTGATTGTTTGAGTTGTAGCTGGTGTTGGTGGTGAACTAGAGTGCATCATCTAGAAAGATGCAACAAGGATTCACTTCAGCTGTCTTTTATCAGCTGCACTGGGGTTATGATGTAATCGGTCTTCATTAAATGCATTTACTGATACCTGACACATGATAGTGATGATATCATTGTGCAGCATTTCTGTCATAACTGATCAATTGCAAGTCAGTCGTACAGTGATGGACCAGGATGTCTACTGACCCCAAGGAAAAGAGCAGAAGTTATGTCAATAGCACCACTGCAGTTAGTTGTGTAGCTGTTACATTGTGAGTCCAATTGGAAGAGAAATGGATTCAGAGTGCAGTGTGAATTTTCAGATCACAATATTAGAATTTAATGCCAGCAACAGTTTGATTGTATGCAGAGGTCAAGATGTGTGTTGATGATTTTTCCCACCACCTCCTTTGATGCAACATTTCTTGTAAATCCATAAGTAGCTCAAAGTAAGCTTTGCCAAACTGCATCAAAACAATGTAATAGTTTGGTCTTTACACTAGCCACCGTCCGCTTGTAAAAGTGTATGATTACCGAGAGAGAAAACAAGGTGTACTCATCTTTACTGTGAGTGCTCACAGTGTGGAGATACAAACATGTCAGTTTAAACAGCTCTAAACATGTCCTCTGTCATGTGAATGCTGTCTTTGTTCCTTCCCTAAAGTTTGTAACTGATCATCTTCATCAAACTTTTTCCCTCCACAGCTGCTTCCTCTAAACATCTCTAAAGTGAGGTTTCGACGCACAAGTTTTGAAGAACCTGGTCCGTTTCCAAAGACAGCCCACTCCACTGCCGGGGGAAGAAAGAGCCTGTTATTCCAGTGACCCCGGCGTGAGAAGAGGAGTGTGAGCGTAGTGTGTGTGTGCAGCTCTCCCTATGTGTGTCACAATGGGAGACATCAGTGACCTGGACCGACAGATAGAGCAGCTCCGACGCTGTGAGCTCATTAAGGAAAATGAAGTCAAAGCGCTGTGTGCTAAAGCCAGGTAATGGATCAACACAGAACACCCCCACAAAAACAAACACAAAAAGAAAACAAATCCTGAGTGCATTCATCTTGGTAGCAAAAAGCTCAAGAACTCTGTATTGCCCTATTTGCCTCATAACACATACGCACTACAACTTTCTTACCTTTTTTTGTGGGTTATGACTGCAGTTTCCTTTCTCTCCTAAAAAAAATCAATAACTTAGTTTCTGTTTCAATACATTTTCAACACAAACATTTCCAACAGCAACCATCAGACTGATATAGCTCTGAAATACTTTGAAACATCTGACCACCAAAAAACGTCCTCATCTTTGAAGTGCTTGTAAAGGATCCAGAGATGCCATAAATATTTGTACTCTCAGTGCTCATACTTGATACTGTGATCGTTGCAGGCTGTTTTTGCATTTATTCCCACGATGGGATAGACTTGGAAGACTGATGGACTTAATAGTTTCATTGTCCAGCCTCAGTTATTCTCAAGTATATAACTGTTCTTAGAAAACGAGGTCATAAAAGATTGGTATACATAAAAATGTTTACACAGCCATATGAAACAGCCATACAGCTGAATGAATGCTGTTGGTTACATTTTTTACGTATTCTTTGTTAGTTTTTGAGAACATTATCTCTACAGTTGTGTAAGTCTTTGCAAACCAATGGTGAGTCCAAAAATCTCGCAGCAAGAAATGTAAAAACATTGTGCTGTGAAATGTAAACAGGTTCCACTTCTGTCTGGACTAAATTACTGTAACTCCGAAAGATTTAGAGTCTTAACACTTATGTAAGCTGTCATATTACACAGTCATGACCCCTGGCTCATAAAGAGGCTGTACAAAGGGTGCGGTTTAACAGCCTCATCTTTGTCGGTGTTATTTAGCTCAAACAGAGCTGTAAATTAAAAAGACCTGTGTAGATACTAGATATGAAAAAGTGAGGGTTGCACTTTAAATGTAAATGTTTTCATGCAAATTGAAGAGGCCAGTTTTCACTGAAGGACAGCTCATTGATTTTGTCAGTCTTGAAAATTCACATGGTAAATCTATAAGGTTTCAGTAAAATGTGATTGTGATTTAATAACGCAAGTTTGTTTTATCTTTTTCAGAGAGATTCTGGTAGAAGAAAGCAACGTTCAGAGAGTAGACTCTCCTGTCACAGTAAGGAACTTTCTCTTGTTTTGGAAAGCTGTTGATGTGAAATAAGTTGAATGTCTCACTAACATGTCTCTTGTTTGTTTGTTTGTTTTCTGACAGGTGTGTGGGGATATCCACGGTCAGTTCTATGACTTAAAGGAGCTGTTCAGAGTAAGTTTCTCATTCCCCTCAAGGATCCTGAGAATTCACAGTTTCATTTGTCAGTGTGATCTGTTTTGAAGGTTATCCTTTACGGCCTCATAATGTACTGAAAGATAGCATTGGCATACACTGGCAGGAGTCACGTTGAAGGACATGTGTGAATTCCCGCTATCAGTCATGCCTTGTCCAGGTGCCTGCAGAAAACATTGGAGACAGTTTTCCAGCAATAATAAGCGGTCAGATTTTAGATTAAAATGCTTCCTTGCTCACCCCTCTCATCAATGAAGCAGCAGTGGCCTTGGAGGACAAGCATGATCCCCGGTTTGTAAAGATTTACTGTCACAAACATTTAACGTCACAAATGTCTTTGCAACTTATTTTTACACAACTACTGCTCTGTGCTCTCGTCGTCCAGCTGGTGCTTTTTACACAGCCACTTGCTACAACAGCAGTTAGTATGTGACTAGTTTGTCCATTCTTTGCCACCGTAGAACATAAATAATCAGAATGGCAGCCCCTGGGGAAAGCCTGCTCTTGTGCAGGCATATAAGGCTCATTTCAAGTAAACAAAAAACAGTTCAGGTGATGATACAGTGCTTTAAACAAACCTGAATATTATATGTCATTTTTACCAAGTCTATTCAGCTAAATGTGGCTAAATACCGCACACTCTAACCTTGTTGGGGGCACTCAAGCAACTCTCAGATGTGCTGCTGCAGCTATCTGTCAGGAGCAGGCACCGGAAAAGAAGTGTTGCATAAGCTCCCTAATTTTTTTTTTTTAAGTAATGAATATTCAAAAATCATGACCTAGCCCTGAGGCATGCATATGGTAGAAGTGTTAAAAATATGCATTTGAGGTAGACGCACAAGCTGTGGTTGGACATTTTTGTAATGCTGCTTTTCATTCCGCTAAATAAACGTGGTGATGTTCTCTGCAGAGGTCTGCTGAGAAAAAAATCAAAAGTAAAGACAGAAAGCTTTTGTTTGTTTTGTTTTCCATTGAGAGATTTTATGAATCTACTCTTTACAGAAATAATTCTGCTGTTGCTCTGTTGCTGTGCATATCGTCAGCGTACCTTACAAACATGCCAGTTCAAAATTTGTGGAAATAGACTGAGAGTGTTTTTCCTTTTGTACTTCTGTGTATTCACAGTCCTTATTCCTGACCTAAATTGTTTTGGTTTTATTTTCAGGTTGGTGGCGATGTCCCAGAGACAAATTATCTTTTCATGGGTGACTTTGTGGACAGAGGCTTCTACAGTGTTGAGACTTTCCTTCTTCTGCTAGCTCTTAAGGTAAACAGAGACTTTTGTTTTCAGCAGGTGTGGGTGTGTTGCTCTGTGGAAGAGGAGATCAGATTCAATCGCCTTCACTGCATGCTTTTAAAATTAGTATTTAACCTGCACTTAAAATATTCTGTTCAAAACTCGAACCTCTTGATGCTTTGAGGAAATGCTTGTGTGCCTCTTCACCCCTTTGCTTCTGCTCATCAGGTGCGCTATCCAGACAGGATAACCTTGATTCGGGGAAACCACGAGTCCCGCCAAATCACCCAGGTCTACGGCTTCTATGACGAGTGCCTCCGCAAATACGGCTCAGTCACTGTGTGGAGATACTGCACAGAGATATTTGACTACCTGTCGCTCTCTGCTATCATCGACGGCAAGGTGAGAAAGAGTTGTTCTTGACATTCAGAGATTTTTTTTGCTGCTTTGGTATTTTTTTTGTGATGTTGATGTGTTCTTCTTCTCTTTTAGATCTTCTGCGTGCATGGGGGTTTGTCTCCCTCCATCCAGACACTGGACCAGATTAGAACCATTGACAGAAAACAAGAAGTACCTCATGATGGACCCATGTGTGACCTCCTGTGGTCAGACCCTGAAGGTAAAGGAAACTTTCTCAACTGGAATAGAACAGAAATGAGCTCCTGTGGCTGAATGTAAGTTGGACAGACAATAGTTTCTGAAGATTTCACCTGCTTTATCCCCTCCCCCTCAGACACCACAGGGTGGGGGGTGAGTCCCAGAGGTGCCGGCTACTTGTTCGGGAGTGACGTGGTGGCTCAGTTCAACGCTGCCAACGACATCCACATGATCTGCAGAGCTCACCAGCTGGTTATGGAGGGCTACAAGTGGCACTTCAACGAGACGGTGCTCACTGTGTGGTCAGCGCCCAACTACTGCTACAGGTGAGGAGACGCTTTCAATCGATTTGAAAGTACGAACATCCTCAGTGATGTCTGAGGCCTGACTTCTTTAGAGCTGAGTCACCATGTTCACGCAGAGGTGGAGTCGGCTTCTATTTATGTAACAACCTTATAAAACCTCATCAGACAGGAAGCAACGCCAGCCCATCAGATAACCTCAACAGCACATTCCTGGTGGTTTACTTTGTGTCATGTCATACCTGTAACGTTGAATCTGCATCTCTGTGAGGATAAAAATACTGAACAGTCCAAAGGAAATTTCTAGAAGTTCAGTTTTGAAGCGGTGCTGAGATTCTCCGGGCGTCTTTGAGTTTTGTTCAGATATAGCAGGTGTTTTTGTGTCTGACTGTTGAAAAACTAAAGTTTACTTCTACTTTGATTCATCCTGATGATGTACCACCTGGACACTTGGACTCATGGGCGTTCAGCATTTCAGTAACGGTTACAGATAATTAAAAGCCTAAAATTAGAGCTGCAGAATACTTATGGGAGGTTGATTTATCTTTTATGTCTCTTGGATATCCAACGCAAATATGAAAAATAATAATGGAAATCACATCTTATACACATGTACATGTGGGTAATGCATGTTCATATCTAATAATCATATTTTCTATTATTTAGGCGCTTAAAAAATCTCTATTTTGTCCCAGAAAAATGTAGAAGCTCTCAACTCACTTTGTTTCAGCCCGCTCCTAGCAACACAGAGAGAAAACAGGTGGAGCAACCTTTGCCACAGACAACTAGACAGACCCGTCCCAGTTGTGGGACTTCTATGCCGTCTACCTTTTCTGACCCGTTCAAAGTCGTATTTGATTTGCGTGTCTGGACCAGCCCTGTGACAGCAGCTTCAAACATGCATGCCTCTGCTGTGCTACATTCTGCCGAACATGCGCTGCAGGTGTATCTGTTAGAAGTAAAAATCCTGAGCCTTATTTGTTTCGTGGACAGTGAGTAAATCCAGCCAGAGCCTCAAACAGCAATCAGATGAATTATCGGGAGTAAATAGGAGTAAAACAAAAATACTCTCAATCTAAAGTCCTCATGCGTAATGGAACGTCTGCCCTGAGCATGCTGATGAAATGAGATGTGACAGCAGATGAGTTGATACTTGTTCACAACCAGGTGACACACACTGCACATGCTCAGCAGTCAGTACAGGCTGTGCTTTGGTGAAGAGCTGCACTTGTTTAGTCAAATTTGAAAGAGTCTCTTTGTAGAAACATAATGGAAGACTGGAATCATGTCGTATTAAACTGCAAAAACATTAGCAGGTGATGTGACACTAATGGATCTTTTCAAATTTGAAGTTACTTTGTTCTAGATGTGTTCCTCTTTTCTGCTTTCAATGCCAGAGAAGACAGCTGAAGAGAGGTGGGAGTTGTGGGGAGTAGAGAGTGAGGGAAGAAATACATGCAGCACAGGATCATGACCAAGAGTAGAACCAACAATCTCTGCTGTGAGAGCTATAACCTCTGTGTGTGGGGTGCAAGCTTAAGGCCTTTTCACAACCGGGACCGCTTTTGTCGTGTGATTATTTTGGACATCAATACCCGTATCCAGTCATTACAAGCGTTCACATCAGTGACCTTTTCCCGTCAGATCACGGTTGATTTTTCTAAAGTTTCGCATACTGTGTGTCCACTTCTGACCAATCAGATTGCATGTTGTTGTGACGTCTGATTCACCGGTATATCTAGGCCTGTCGCGATAATCAATAAATCGCCTTATCGCTTGGTAAATAAAAACGAGGTCGGTCATTTTGCCAGCCTCGATAATTAACGTGCGTTTGTTTTCCTCCTCTCTCGCTACCAAACACGCTGGATGAGAGAAGAGGTCTCACTCTGCGCATTTTTCTCGGCACCTGGGGGTGTTGGCTCTATAGCGGAATGAACGGAGTTAGTGAACCCTCCTGTCAGTCATTCAGTGTCTTTGTCACGGGGGGGGGGGGGGGGGGGGGGGCGCGCACAGGTACACGTAGGCGCGCACAGGCACACAGACACAGACTTTTGGATACAGTGCTGCAAGTGAGCATAGTGAGTGAAAAGCAAGCAAACAGAATGAACACGACAGCTTTGGTGTCTAAACCGAACGCAGCAGCCCAAGTGTGGGAATATTTCGGCTTTAAACCAGTTTTGTTTTCGTCAATCACAAAACTCCACGTGTTCGCGCGCGCGCTCGTGTGTGTCTGTGTGTTGGAGGAGCACAGCAGGCTGATGAGAGATGTCAGAGCGGACTGAAGCTGCTCCTATATGTTTAGCGTTTAACTGACTGAGTTTTGCAACTCTGTTCGTCATTTTCGTCTCGTCCCATCAACGTAAACGCACTTTCATCTCGTCACATTTTAGTCATCTCCGACTTATGTTTAGCTCGTCAACGTTACGTCTTCGTCGTGGGTAAAATTAAAGTTTATCACTTTTGACACGGTGTACTCGTATTATTATGCCATTTAATATCATTATCTATAATTTAAAAAACGGTGTCAATAATATCGTTTATCGGCGATAATTTGTAGCACAATTATCGTCCAGCAAAATTTGTTATCGTGACAGGCCTAGGTATATCCAACATGGTCGACCGGCTGATTGTTTACATGTCGGAGAACAGAGTGCATTTTGATTAAAAACACAAATATTACAAAGATAATGACCTGAAGGACAACTTGTGGAGAGTCATAGCTGATATGACGATGGTTTGTGTGCTTTAACTTTCATCTGTGCTAACGTAAGCTAACGGTTGTTACCATAGTTTCGTGTGCTTATCTGGTACTGGCCCCGACTCAGTATTTGCTATCATGACAGACAACACTAGTGTCTAATCAGAACTGAAAACAATCAGCGACCATGGTACAGTTTCAGCTCCTGAACCAAGCAGTAAACTCACCAAGTTCTCTTCTTTTTTGTAATATTAGATGCACCCATGTGCTACGTTTCTCTCTTTTTTGAGAGAGCAAAAGAAGTACCAATTTGCCATCACTTGAAGTTAAAGTAGACTCCATTTTTGTCCTCTCGCTTCCACCTGGGACGCTGTAGTATGGTCCCGCCCTCCTTCGCCGCTGATTGGCTACAAGTGCTGACCATTTGGCTTGAGCGTGTGATGACGTTTTTCAGCTTTTCTAGCCCATCAGAGGCAAAGGAGGCGGGACTTTGGGAAAAGTCTTCCCCAGGATGCGTGTTTCTCCCCCCGGAAAGTCGCAAAATCGCATCAGGCCTGATGTGTATAGTCAGGCGCGTCAAAAGTCGCCTCCGAATATTTCGTAGTTTCGCGTTCTATATTTGCGTCGGCCCCGGTGTGTAAGGACCTTTAAACTGATGAGGCAGCTCCCACTTGAGACAGATAAGTTGATGCTGTATGAAAGTTGGCATCCATTCCCCTCTATCCCCCCTGTATGCTTGAACTCAAAACTACCCACAGCTGCCTCTAGAGGGTGTAACTTCACAGCTGCCAACCATTGCTGTTATTTTTTGTTATTCTTTAGATTGAATTAGTTATTGTTAATGTTTCAAAGTAATTCCCAACACACTGCATCAACAGCCTTTTACATACTGAGAATAATGTTTGCCAGTAGAAGGATGCTGGATGGCAGTGGTAGTCACATAACATAATACACACATCATGAAAGTGGTGAGATAGACAGCTTTGTCTACAAAATCAACACAAAGTAACAAGTTGTCGAAAAAGGAGCAGGTACTCTTTGTTGTTTGAGTCATGTCCTGGTGTGTTTGTGGTCAGAAGAGGTCTGAAGGTTCCTCAAAGATGATCTAACTGAAAATAACAGCCTGTTTGTCCATGTTGTGAGAGTCCTAATAACTAAAAAGACTTCCTCTGTTTGCTCTCTCAGGTGTGGTAATGTGGCAGCCATCTTGGAGCTGGACGAGCATCTACAGCGGGAGTTCATCATATTCGAAGCAGCGCCGCAAGAGACCAGAGGCATCCCCTCCAAGAAGCCAGTAGCCGACTATTTCCTGTGAAGTTTTTCAGAAAAAAAAAGAAATAAAATAAAAACAAACAGCCATGATGTGTTGAAAATCACCCTCACCATTTCACACCGGCCTCCCTCCATCCTGCTGCTGGACGCTCCTGTCAGTCTGAACTCAGGGCAGTAAGACAGAAACCTTTTGAGCCCTTGACGAGCTGGATTTTTGCTGCGCTGTCTGAGCCTGACAGAGCGGTCACTGTGAAAGGTGTCAGGGGGGCGAGGCGGACACGGGGCCCATGACTGTTGTCTCTTCACCTCAGAAATATAAAGACGGACATTTTCTTTCCCCCTTCAGCCTCCTTCCACTCAGCTCCTCTCCCCCTTTCTCTCTCTCTCTCTTTCTGTAGATATAACTCTCCCCCTGATTAACCTCACCTCCTGTAGTTTTTTTTTTTTCATGAGGAACACTTAGTTTTAGAAATGATTGGAAGGAGTTTACTCTTTTTTTCCTCCCCCAGATTATGCAGATGTAGGAACAGTTTTATCTTAAGGAATTCCTCCAGTGCATACTGTGTCTTCTTTTGTTTTTGTTTTTTTGATTTTTGTATAATTGTTGCTGCCAGGATTGAATGCAAATTGCTCTCATGTTTCTGTTGAGCTGTCATGTGTGTCACTATTTAACAAACCGGGTGCTGCTGCTTGCTCAGCACATCACAAATAAACACCACAGATATAAAGACTGGCCACCAGGAGTCGCTATATTCACCATTGTTTTCTCTAGTTCATCTTAATCTACAAACCTCTGTAGGTCTGTCATTTTTGATATTGTGAGAATAAAGTTTTTGTATCAATGCCGAAAAACTTCCACGTGTGGTTTTATAAATAATTTGTTTGCAGTCGGATGCAATTTAGTGTTAGCTGTTTGAGTCTGAGCCAACCTAGAATGAATTTGATTCATGATTGCAGATTAGATTTACCCCAAAGTGTGAGTTATTTGGATTGATTTAAGACTCCACAAACACACGATTAAACCTGCTTTGCCTGTAAGTGCAATCTACGGATGTAGAGAAGAAAAATTGTTGCTAATGCTAGCGCTGCAATCGTGTCGAAAAATTTCACGAATAGCAATTTTATTTGTACAAAATATTGATAACCTACATAAGTTATGTTGAATGGCAGAATAACTGAACTAAAGACTTACATGATTAACTAATGTAAGGAATTTTGTGTCAACTTCGTGCTCTCTAGATGTCCTTCCAGCCAGAGTCGGCCCAAGCCTCAATGGGGCCCTAAGCAAAATGTGATTTTGGGGATCCTTCACACACCTTCACAAATCTCTTTGATAACATTCCATGACATGCAAACATACCTTTATCTTTCTTCTCTTCTTCCTCTTTCTTTTCTCCGCTCCTGAAGGATATGTCCTTTTTTGTTTTGCCCCACAACTACCTGCGCTTTGGATGCTCAGTGCACATTGCACTGCAGGAGGCACATAACAGTAGCAGAGCTTTGACATATCGGCATTAAAGGTCCTTTCACACCTTCTTTTTGTGCGATTATTTCAGACGTCAGTATTTTTTTGGAACCTGTATCCTGTCAATACAAGCGTTCACATCAGCAACGTTTCGCATACTGTGTGTGCACTTCTGACCAATCAGATTGCGTGTTGTTGTGACATCTGATTCACCAGTGTATAAATAAGCTCCTGTGGATGTTATTCCAACAGACTCACACAAAAAGCTCTCCAGATGGTCTTTCAGTTGATAAAATTAAACAGTGCCCTCTTGATGCACTTTCAATGGATCAAATTTAGTATCCTGTCCCCTCAGGTGCCTTTCCAGTGCATGAAACGAGATTAATATTAAATTACCTGATTATGTATTTTGTTTTAATGCTTGCGTTTAAAGAAGACTAAACTTTCAAAGACTTTGGCACATTGAAGGAGCCCTTTCTATTCTTATTACCCCTGTCCTTCAAACAGTCAGTGTACGCCTCTGTTTGTGACCATAAGTTCCCAAAAAAAGTTTTGTAGATGGTCCATTTTCTCTCTTTACTTTTTAACACTTCTTTTCTTTTGATTCCTGGCAGGAGAGCTCACTTCGCGGACCAACTGGAATCAAAGTCACAGTTCACACCCGGTGTGAAAATGTGAGGTCAAGACTCTCTCTCTCTCTCTCTCGCCCGGCAAGTTTTTGGGCAAGTTTTTCGAGATCAACCAAAACCTCCCACTCCAAGTTGAAAACTCCTCCGTGAACCGGTAGTTAGACGGAGCACGGCACCCGGAAACACTGAAGCGATCCCTGATTTCGGCGTTTGTTCTGCTCAGGGGGGCGAAGGGTCTGCCAGTTTGAAGGAAAGCGCAGATTTAACAGGTAAACTGGTTCAGTTATTGGTTCTTGACGTCAGTCTTTGCTCTGCTGACAAATTATATCATCACTTTGACGAAGACCGCAATTGTTTGTAACGTGTGTGTTAATTTAATGTCCTGCAAATTTTAATAAAGCAAAATGTGCCATCAACAGTTTTTCCTTTAACATCACAATAATTGACACTTAAGTTTAATCTTTAACTTTCTGAGTTTTAACTAGCCTGCTGACTGCCTGTAAACCACCTGACCGCGCGCCCTGACTCAGCGGTACACAAAATCTCGTTGGGATATGCCACAATTTTTATGTCTTTGCCTATCATATGATCAAATCAAAATAGAAATTGACTTAATTAAATAAGGTTAAACGCACAGTCAGTGGGGAGAATTCGGCATACATAGGAGACACACACGTTCATTCTACGTTACGAAATGTTGCGAAACGACCCCAGGTGCGTCCCGATGCGTGTGATAGACAATGCTGCCTGAGCTAGTAACTTAAAGTAATCTTAGGGACATTTTAAAATGTGCGCATTGTCAGAACCTTTGGTTACAGTTTCAGGAATGTATCATTCTGTTTCGGAAAATGCCGAATAAAGCTGACACATTGCTTTCCATAGCACTGGACCACATCACTTAAAAACCGCTGAAAAAGACTAGATTATTCCAGACAGCCAAAAAAGCCTTAGTATTCAAGGTTTCATGTTTCTCATTTCATTTATAGATTATTTTCATAAAAATGGTTTAATGGGCCTGATATAAAGAGGGGGGCAGGTTCTCCCTTGAATCCCTATAAGCCACTTAAGGTGCCGCCCCAAAATCCAAAATTTCCAGTGGCTACTTGTCTTGTTAGAGGCGGTATTGGTAGGTACATCTCCTTTGTGGGTAGTGATTCAATATGCTGTGGGTATCTTTCCCTGCAGCTTATTTTATATTGTCAGCATAACTACACTTCAGGCCAAAAGTTTGGAAGCAAGATCAGATTTGTGCAAAAAAAAAAAATCGTAGTTTCATTAATATGCTTCGCAACGCAATAAATATGACTATTGTGTACAGAGTAACTTATCAGAAGACATTTTGACTATAATTATTAGGTATTTGAGTTATTGTTGCTTAGACTTTGCTTTCTTTAAAGGAACCTCAACAGCTTGGCATATACCAGGCATTCGTTCCACAAGTTTTTAAGGTATGTTCCAGGGATTGCATTCCAAGCTTTCTTAAGTTCATTAAAAAGAGACTGCTGATTCGTGGGACGCGCCTTTCAGACCGATCGATCCAATTCATCCCGCACAAGCTCTATTGGAGAAAGGTCTGGAGACTGAGGGGGCCAATCCATCTTTTGAAGAACACCTTCCTCTTTTTTTTTTGTCTCGGTAACCCCGACAGAGCTTGGCAGAATGATTAGGGTCATTGTCTTGCTGCAAAACAAACTTATGACCCACAAGTCTGAGTCCAGATGGAACAGCATGGTGCTGGTGGATGGAGTGGTACTGTTCCTTCTTCATGATACTCTTTACTTCAAACAAATCTCCTACTCCATCACCTGCAAAACATCCCCATACCATGGAACTACTACCTCCTTGCTTAATTGTGGGTGTAACACATGGTGCTTTCAGACGTTCACCAGTTTGTCTGCGGACATAGACTCTGCGTTTTGAACCAAACAGTGCAAACTTGTTTCTAGTCATCATAAGTCAAATTTTTGTGAGCTTTTGCCCACTCATATCTCTTTTTCTTGTTCTGTGGATGAAGTAGTGTTTTTTTTTGCAGGTACACAACCCTTCAGACCAGCCTTTCTCAAACGTCATTTCACGGTTGTCAGAGATATGGGTTTCGACCTTGTCATGTTGATTTCCTCCCTTATTCTTGGTGCTGTCTTTTGCCGATCTCTCTTACTGGTGACAATATGTACATACAATTTCTCTTTCTGTGTATCCCTCTTTCCTCAATGTACAAATCTGTTCTTTTGTTTCTTTACTCAGTTGCTTCTTTCTAGCCCTTTCTGCGGTATTTTGAATGCAGTTGAGATTTATTAGGATTTTTGTATGCAGGCTCTCAAAAGCCAAAAAGTTGAAGTGAATAATCCTACTGTGATTTGTTTTTTTGCTTTTGCACTGAAGTTGTGACTCTTGCAAGTGTTTTCGACCCTGCAACTAAGCCCTTATTTTCTTTTGCTGACATATATTTAGCAATGGTCTGTTAACATCAATGTATATCTAAAGGTAAATTGAGTAAAACGGTGCATTTCCATGAAAGCAACATCTGATCATGGAGTAAATACATCCCAAAATACATAAAATTCATGCTGGATTAAAAAAAAAGCATTGTGAACAAAAACTTGAAGTTACTCCCATTTGTTCGGCCAGTAATGGCCTTGCTTCCAAACTTTTGGCCTGTAGTGTATGTTCACTGATCATGAAACCAAAAGATTCAGAGCTCCCTCTTCTGTCTGGCTGCAGTATAGGCCATAGACCCCTAATTGCAACATAACTGATGGATCAGAAGCCAAACTATTAAATCAAAACATGTCAAATTTATGTCCAGCTGTCCATTTTTCTAAGAAGTTTGGTTTAAAGATGAACCTGTATTGTTCATTAAGAGATAAATGATGTTGTGTTAATTATGTTTCCAAATGTTTCAGGTTGAAAGATGGACACTCAAAGTCAGGTCGTGGACAGGCTGAGGTCAGTGTTTTGTTCAGGCGTCACGATACCAGAGGAGTTTCGTCGAGCTCAGCTGAACGCGCTGATGTGCATGATCAAAGAAAATGAGGAACTGATTCTGAACGCTCTGCACAAAGACCTCGCAAAGGTACAACACTGTGCTCGTATTACACACACACACACACCCAATCATTACTCAGCAAGCTGTGTTAGCATCAGCTTGGTCAGCACTGTCTGGATATGTTTTGAACTGTCTGATAACCAAAGTTACTAATGTCTTGTCTTAAGTACACGGATATAGAAATTCAGCTCATCTAAATAATACTCTTCTCATGTGTTTTAAACTGATTTCAATAATATAAAGAATGACAAAGTTAAGAAATGATTAGTTTTTCTTCGTCCCTCAAAATTTGGTTTTGTGGTACATCAAGAATCTTTTCAGCGAACCTTTGTAATGGGAAAAAAGCTGAGTATGTTTTAACCTTTAACACTAAAAACTCACAACTAATCAAGTTTTTTTTGGCATGTCTTGTAAAAATGTCTGGGCTTGGTTTATGCTGTGTTTAGCTGACAAATCCAGAAAGAAATGTCTTACTTCAAGATGTTACAAGGCAAAAACAAGAACTGCAATGTAGTGCAATCTCACAACTACTGAAATATCCCAAATATGACATTTTAACTGAATGCCTTTTTGTAGGATAATTCCATCTTTACATTCGCACAAGCTTTTTGTTAAGCTATTTTCTTTTTACCAGCTGTGATATTGAAGGCTTTTATTTTATGCTCATATCTAAAAACAAATTTCAAATCTAGAATACAAATTGCAATGCAGGTCAATCTTTGAATTAAAGAGTGATATTCCTGAGACTCAAACTCTATGCTCTCTAGAAATCCCTTGACTTTGAATGCTGCATTATACTTGTGGCCAAAAAATCAAAACCCTACCTCATACCACTTTTTTATACTGCTAAAGTAGCATGAAATAGCAGGAAAACAACATATAAATCCTCATAGGATAAAGATAAATAGACATTGAAATGAATCATGACTCGTGCTTTCATGCAGTTTGAGGAAGTTTTAAGAAGCAGTTGATGTCAGTAAAGCAGGCAGTAAGACAAGTTAGACTGCTGCAGTTTATGGATTGTAATGTGATATATGACAGGGCATCATTTGCATAAGAGTTTGCATAGGAGTTGAACTTAATAGAATGTGCATGAGTTTAAAAAAATTGTTGATCAACACCACCACCCCTATCTTGTCACAAACTTACCTCATCTATTGCTGACAAAACCGCTGCCTCCAACTGTGCCTCCGACACGTCCTTTCTGCCCGCACTGGTGTTGAGCACAGAACCTTCTAACCAACATTTCTGAGCATCTCAGAACTGCTGAAATCTCGGCATGTGTTTTGCCTTTTTACGAAAAAAAAAAAAACTGTACCACAGACTCAGAATATTCTTCCAGTCCCGCCATGACACTAACTGCTTTTACTTTATGGGCATCATGCAACTTGTGCCAGTCGGAAATGAAACAGTTGGAAAAACTTGGTGGTTATCCAATTTTCCATTTTGTGTTTGAACACAAAATAGGGAATTGGCAAAATGTTCTCATGATCCTCTTTCTCCAATTATATTTTGGAAACGGATATCAAAAATAAGGTTTTTTTTTTCTTTGTTGTTTAATTTTTGGTTTTGTTTTCAAGTTTGTCTCCTAGAGTTCAATAAGGACTAAACTTTTTTGTTCTCCTTGCATGTCAGCCAAAATTTGAGGCCTCCCTGTCTGAAATCGACATTGTGATCAATGATCTTCACTACACCATCAACAACTTCTCAAAATGGATGAAGCCGGAGTATGCTGGTAAAAACTTGGTATGTTTGACATGACTGACATTTATACCAGATGTTTAATGTCAAATGCATCATTACAATGATTTAACAGTTTGCTTTTAGATCTATTCATTACTGAGTTTGTGTTTTATAGAGTCGAAAGTGTCCATTTTAATAAGACTGTAAGGATGATTATACTTTTCTGAACAAAAAACAGAGGTCTGATTTCATACAACTGTTTCCCCAGGCTGAGAATACCTCTCTTAACGTAAATCAAACTATGTTTTTACTGAGTTTATTTCTCCTGTGTATCTTTAGGCAACAAGGCTGGACACCTGTTTTGTACGGAGGGAACCGTTAGGGGTGGTGTTGATCATTGGGCCATGGAACTACCCTCTGCAGATCCTTCTTTTACCTTTGGTTGGCGCCATTGCTGCAGGTATCATCCACATACTTACAACATGATGGTAAAGTTACACCTGCGTTTTCTCACTATGATAAACTGTTAACCAGGTGGAGAAATGAATAGGTTAATTTGAAAAAGAACTCTAAGGAAATAAATTTCAACCGTACTCTCCCTGTAGCTTTAAGCCTCTTTTCTTTCTAAAGATCAGCTCTTGTTGAGTTCTGATTGACCCCAAATACTCTCTGTGCTGCCAATAACCAGAGATAAAAAGCAAAATCTAACACTGGAAAGGGATTGAATTTATGATTGATTAAAGTGAGTGTAGAGGGTCAAAGAACTCAGTAGGTGTCACACTCATTAAAAACTTGTGAAAGTGTTCAAAGTTAACTTCTTTAGAGTCCTTCCTGACTGATCTGTGCTTGTGTTTTTAACAAGGAAACTGTGCAGTCATCAAACCCTCAGAGGTCAGCGCTGCCACAGAGAGCCTGATTGCTGAGCTCATCCCAAAATATTTGTCTCAGGTAAAGAACAGAATTTCTTTAAAGTAAATCCCAAACATCAGTTATTCATTTTTAGATTTAAAAGTGGAGTCTGAACGTATGGTGTACAACTCTTGATGGTACTATGGGACTCTTGCTTTTGCAGGACTGTTACGCAGTTGTTCGTGGAGGAGCAGAGGAGACTCAGGCACTTTTGAAAAACCGCTTTGACCACATCTTCTACACAGGTGAGTGATCAGGCAGCTGCATGTCACAGAGTTTTTCACTGACACAAACATAAATCAAGGCTCAGGTTAATGTACTAGAATTCCCTTTTAAATCCAGTCAGTTTCCTTCAGTGTTTAGGACTCAAGTTCACAGCTAACTCTAAAAAATCGACCTTGTAGTAGAGAAATCCTTAAATTTTTGGAGCTCAAACAACTCTAAGATAAACAGAAGAAATGTGAGATTATTTTTCACATATTTAGTTGATTAGCGGCATTTAAAGATGCTAAAACTGGTCATTGTTCCTGATCCTCAGGTTCTCAGACTGTGGCGCGCTGCATCCTTCAAGCAGCTGCTGTCCACTTAACCCCGGTGACATTAGAGTTGGGTGGAAAGAGCCCCTGCTTGATCTACGGTGACGTTGACATTATAGCTGCAGCTCGCCGTTTGATCTGGTCAAAGTTCTTTAACGCCGGTCAGAGCTGTGTTGCTCCAGATTACGTCCTCTGCACCGAAGCAACCCGAGACGCTCTGCTGCCCGAACTCCGCCAGGCTGTAGAGGATTTCTACGGCAAGGAGCCTCAGACTTGTCCAGACCTGTGCCGCATTGTGTCCCCCCGACACTGGACTCGAGTGATGGAAATGCTGAAGAAGACCAGCGGGAAGGTCGTCTTGGGAGGAGAGAGCAATGAGGAGGATAAATACATAGGTGAGTGAAGAGGCAGGAGAGTCTAGACAAAGTCACGTGTGTATGGTGAAGCTGAAAATTGTGAAATGATTGAGGTTTAAGTCCTAATTATCTTGAGAAAGAGATGTCTTCATTGAACCAACATGTTCTTACAAGACATATTAAAGCTGTTTTTATTTTAACTGTAGAACAAAATATAAAATGTTCTTAGAAAATAATCTTTGTGGATTTAACTTTGGCTGTTAAAAAAAACCCTGCTTGTAAAAATGTTATGTAAAATGTCAGTACAAACAGAATCTGATGGTTTCTACATCATTTTGATTGTCTTATAAAAACTAAGTTCTTATTTTGAATTCCATGCCAGCAGCATCTCTCAGAGCAGTTTCATCTGGGACCAAAATACTGAAAACGTTGTGTAATGCTGAAAAACAGGGACAGAAAAGACATTTCATAGGGGCTGGGTGTCTCAGAAGGAAAGATGTAAAGAGGTTCACCACTCAGTGAGAGACTGTGTGAGGAAGTAGGTCAACAATTTCAGAATAATGTTTCAGAGTGTAAAGTTGCAAAGAATTTGATGACGTCATCATCTATAATTCATAATTTCATTAAAAGGATCAGAATCAGGGGAAAATTCTGTACTTAAGTGACAAGCCATGAGCTGACGATGAATGGCTGTGGAACTGCTTTAAAAACAGACATGACTCTGTTCTGGAAATCATCACATGGGCTCAAAATCACTTCCAAAAACCACTGTAGAAGAAACCATGTATGATTGTGAGACAGAAAAACTGCAAAACTGTGCTGTGCTCTTAAGAATCCAAAATGTATCATTCTTTTTGGAAATCATGGCTGCCACATTCTCAACTATGAAGAGATTAGAACCCACTCAGCTTGTTATCAGCTCTCAGTTCAAAGCCAGCATCCCTGATGGTTTGGGGATCATTAGTTACCATAGCATGGGTAGCTTACACATCTGCGAAGGCTCCTTTAATGCTGAACACCTTTTTCAGGGAAGACCTTCATATTTCAACTAGACAATGGCGAACAACATTCACAACAGCTTGGTTATGTAGTAGAAGAGTCCTGCTGCTAAACCGACCTGCAGTCCAGATGTGTCACCCATGAAAAGCATGGGCCAAATGTATTGTTAAGGTTGTGTGTCTTCTCAGCTCCCACAGTGGTGGTGGATGTGGCTGAAGACGACGCTCTGATGGAGGAGGAGATTTTTGGCCCCATCCTGCCCATCCTGACCATAGAGTCTCTGCAGGAAGGCATCGATCTTATCAACCGCAAAGAGCGGCCACTGGCTCTCTACGTGTTCTCTGACGAATCCTCTGTAAGAACACAAACCTCTGACCCCCTGAACATCACACATGTACACATACTGTCTTTTTGTTTAGCATCACACTGCTTTTTTGTTGACAGATTGTGAACACGGTGCTGGAAAATACTAAGAGTGGAGGATTCTGCTCTAACGATGGGATCGTCCACATGACCCTGCCCACGCTGCCCTTTGGAGGTATAGGTAGGTAAAGACCTGAAAAAACAATCTTGTAAGTGTAAGTTGAATGACTCTACTGATTGCTCTCTTTGATCTTACTTGTGTGAAAGCTTTTTTCCCTTATTTTCTATGCATTGCTACTCTTTTTTTCTATCCACGGGCACAGTGTTAAGAGTTTCATATAAATCTGTTCATTTAAAATCAATCTTCCAGGGGCCAGCGGTTGGGGAAATTACCACGGACGCTGGAGCTTTGAGACATTCAGCCACCAGCGGGCATGCATGCTGCGCGGCTGGGCTCTGGAGAGACTGAATACCCTGCGTTACCCTCCCTACTCAGACGACAAGCTGGGCTGGCTGCGCTGGACCACCTCACCCAAGAGCAGCTGCTCCATCATGTAAAGACAGCTGTGTGTGTGTGTGTGTGTGTGTGTGTGTGTGTGTGTGTGTGAGGAACTATACCGTGTGCATGGGCTCAAATGTTATATTGTAAAATAGGGTTAATCCCTCTTTTTTTAAGCTGTGTGTCATGCTTGTTTCACTCATCGGGGGGCTATGACAGTGTTCTCTGTGCTTTTGCTCTCTTTCATTCGTTCAGATTGACATCTTCTGTATTTATCTTAGTATCTGTTATTATAGTTTTGCATTATCTGTGGTGTTTTAGCAGCTATTTCCTCGTTATTTTTCCTAGCTGTGGATTTTTTCCCCCTTTTTAGTGGGTTCTTTTATGGCATTTTCCTCACTTTAAGATGCAATCTTTTTACACAACCTGTTAGAGAGACCAGTTTGTTATTTTATCAACACGTGTAACCTAAGATAACTTAAATAATAGGGTACCACTGTCTGCTTCATTTTATCCTGGTGCACAGAAATTGAAACAGCCATTATAAATCTCTTGTCATTTTTCCTCGTGCTATGAGGTTTGGTGTTTCTTGTCTGTTTTTTAATACTTTTTTCATAAATTTATGTAAATAAATGTAATTTGAACTAATAAAAGATATTTTTACTCTTAAACATACATGCACAATTTTTTAAACAATGCTTACACTTTAAAATACTCTCAAACTGGGACCATTAACCTTGTCAATGAACAGGCTCAGCATGTCAAATATGCAGTGAGGTCCTGATTTCCTTTTTTTAAAAGTAGTTCTGTATTTTTAGATTTTTTTTTTTTTGCAGTACAGAGAACAACATTTCGTTGCAGAAATTCTAATCATGTTGCTCACAAATGCTGTGGTAAAATGACAGAAAAATGTAAAATTTCTATATGCAACTAGAATGTGGCTTTCAGTTTTTAACTTTGAGCACCAAACTTTGGATGCTGCTGATACCATGGCTTGTAATGACATCCAGGTAGAGATTTGTGCCATAAAGAAATGTCTCAAATATGTTTGAAAAGTCCTCAAACTCGTAGTAGTTTACAATGCTGTATATAAAATTACATTTTTAAAACATCTTATTTCAAGGGGCAGATGTGAGAGCAGATTGGCCACCAAAGCCACAAGCTGTTATTTTATTTATTTATTTACAGATAAAGATGTACCACATGGTACTATTAATAGTAGAAGCACATGAGACAAGTGTGTACAAGAGCAATCAGTCCATCAAAATGGCAGATAAAATGCCTGCACATCATCGTCAATGTTTGCAGGACCTTGCTTGTACATTGAGTCGTCACATTGAACAAACATGTTTTGAATCCCTTAATAATTTACCTCAGATCGTTTAAATGCTGCCACTCCTGTATAACATTTAAATGTTAAAAATGTACAGAGTAATGCAAAATCTGTGTGATACATTAATTCTGGTAGAATAGTTAGAGTAATATGATTTTAGTGTGGACACAAGTTGTAATAAATGATTCATTAGTGTGTGTGCAGTTGTTTCAAAGTTTTTACACACTGTGGCATATGAATTAGATATGCTACAGTTTGTAAAACCACTCTGTAAATGTTTTCTTTTTGTATAAACACAGGTCTTTGTTAACTCAAAGGTAAGTTGTGTTTCCTCAGTACCTCACCTCTGTTCTTCCGATATAAGTATCTACTGCTGTCTCATTTTGATTTCTGTTCTGGAAATAATACATTTTATGCAGTTACATTTAGGTTCAGAAAATACATTCGCCAAAAATGACGGATGTCTGACAGTAAGAGCAACCCAAGCAAGGATTTCAGACTGAGGAAGACACAGGGGAGAGTGGGGTAAGATGAGCCATTTTTCATATTCCAGATCACTACATCGAGGCAATCATAGTTTTGTCTCTAACTAGTGTATCTGCATATATTTCGAGATGTTGTGCATCAATTTCTTTTACCATCTCCAGACAACAGAGGGTGGCTCAACTTACACTTTGGCTTAATTTACCCCACTCTCCCCTGCAATGCTAAGTGCCGTAAACTGCCAACCAAAGCTAACTGAATTTAAAAGTGCACTTAAAACCACCCTGATATGACTTAGGGCCTCAGGTGGGCCACCCAGGTCCCCAAAAATGCCTTAAAAGGCCTCTGCTAACCTCAGGGTTAAGTGGGATTAATAATAATGAACTGCAGCTTTATGTTAACGGCACACCTTGTCAAATAGCCCTTTTATTTTGAAAGTTTCCACCGGATGTACCGTGTTGTGTAACTTGAGTTATTTTGACCAGAGAAATCAGATCCTGAAGTTACGTTGTGTGGATGGAGTAGTGTTGACGGTCGGGTTAAAATCAAATATTCCGACACGATAGTCTTTAAAACGGGCAACAGCTGGACGGCGTGCCTCTTCACAAGCAACAGAAAGGACGGCGAGTGAATTCTGCTGCTGACTTCACACTTTTTTGGAGACCTGGAGAAAAAAAATAGTGAAGCTAACGATAAGTAGCTACCATGTCGTGGGAAGAAATGTCTTGTGTGGCCTCGCCTCTGTGCTCGGTTCTTCGCCGTCTTCCTGCTCTCTGATCCGGTCTGAACAACCACAGGTGACTTCGCCTGCAGCTGTCAATGCAGGTAACCGTTAGCCCCAGGAACTAGTCAACGCCAACGGTATTACTCTTAACGTACTAGCTCGCGAGCCATGGCGGACAGCTTCGGGGACAAGTCCAGCGGCGGTGCCCTTGGCTTAGGCGTTACCGGACAGGGCGGCGGAGCTCCGCTACTGCCGACTTTGGCCAACTCTCTGCCGGGGGGACACTCAACAGCGAGCGGTGCTCACTCCAACTCCAACCCGGCCTCCCCTCCCCTTGCCGCGGCCGCGCAGAGTGGCCTAACCGCTGTAGTGGCTCCTATGTCCGCTGTCACCGCCAACCCAGTCGGCTTTGGGAACACTTTCACCCCCGGGTCTTCACCTCCAGTCGTGGCTGTGTCTCCCACCGTACACTCCTCTTCACCCATACCCGGGGTTGGGCTCGGGGTCGCCGGGGTGGCAGGAGCGGGCCTCCTGTCCCAAATCCACGCCACCTCCTGGGACCCGACCCTCAGTACGGACTGGGACAACGAGAAGGCTTCACAGCAGTGCATCCTGAGGATAAAGAGGTAGAAAACTACAAGAGTCACATCATTTTTCTTAACTATCCGAGTAGTTTTCTCTGTTATCACTGTGAAATACTTAAAGGCAAACCAAGGCCCTGATAAAGCCTTTTCTCTAAGGTGCGTTTAAATCGAAAGTGATAGTTTGTTTTTCAAGTTTCCTCTTGACTGGAAATCACCAGGAACTAAACAACGCAGGAACTTTGTCTGTAACTGAAACTCATTATCAACATGTAAATTCAACATGTGGTTCTCCGAAGAAACTCTATTGTTCGCAGTTTCTCATGTATCACACATCCTGGAAGTGATGAAATGTATTACATGTTGCACCAATTTTGAGAGCCCACCCTAACAGTCCTCCAGAAATGGTAAAAAAAAAAAGAGACAACATTGAAATATGACACTAAAGTGATAAAAATGAATAATATGGCAGTCTAACAAACTGTGCTTCCCCATAATAAATGATTTCTGAAGGGTTTTTGCCTGGCCTGCTCCTCTCTCCATCTGTACCATAACTTCCTCCCAACAAAAGTCCCTCTTCTCCTCACTCTCCTCCCTCTGTCTCTGCAGGGACATCATGTCCATCTATAAGGAACCTCCACCAGGAATGTTCGTAGTCCCTGATCCTCAAGATATGACCAAGGTAAAAGGCAGACTCTCATGTGACAGGTCATTCACACAATGACCTGATTTCCACTTAACATCACAAGAGTCTCTTGTCTGCTCTTTTTGAATCATTTTTTTTTTATTGAGTAAGTTCATTGGGCAAAGAGTCAAATACCATGAAAGTTGTGTACAAATGATCTCTTTCATTTTGGGGTGAATTAAAACCAGGCAGTTTTATGAAGGAATAATAAGATTAACCCTGTGTGCGTTGGAATCAGTCATAACTCTAAATTGTGTACACCAGTTTGTCACGACAACATTTAGAACTGGTGGTCTGTAAATCTTGTTTTTGCAGCAGCTGATGCTCCAATAGAGAGAGATCAGCTGTTGGCTGGTACACAGCACCCATATCGTGTTTTATCTTTCATAAACACAACAATTAAATGCTCAACCTGAATGAGGATTTATTAGATAAACGATGTTGGCTCTCTAAAATACCCCCCCAAGGGACTTTTGGCTTTTTATCCAGACATCTGTGGTTGTTAGAATAGAGAAAATACAGGGTTTGTTTTATTTAAGTTGTCGTCGTATTGTTTTAAGTGGTTGTATTTTTTCAGTGTGTTGTTTTTATGATCTTTTTACATCCCCATTGTACAGTACTTTGGTCAACCCCTGCTGTTGTTTTTATTAGTTTGTTTTGCAAATAAATTTTGATGGGATCAGTAAATATGTTCAATAAAAAAGTCAATACAATTACCTCAAGTACGGTAATATTCTACTTATTTGGTTTTATTGAGGCTCAAGAATTACAAAAATATCGGATAGGAGATGTCACATCACAATCAGTCAGATGATGAAAGTGTTTTTCTTTTTAAAGCTCTGCAGAAATAGTTTGAACCTTTTTTTGGATTCAGTTCACACATCAATATGCTCAACAAGAAGAGCAAAGCCTTGTTAAAAATGAAGGTTTTGAATGTAGTGGTTGTAATGTCTGCTTTCTTTCCCCTGTGTTTGGCTGCTTTGAGAAAACCTTCCTCTAACTCTGATAAAATTCTTAATTTCAGTCAGTAAAATCATCAAATTTGAATCTCTCCTCTGTCTTTGAACTTCCTGGTAGCAGGATCTCACTTGGATCCTCTTTGTGTGTATTTCTAAGTTAGATAACCTTTTTTATGATGTTTATTTGCAGTGTCCCTTTCACCCTATGTTCCGTCATCATCTCTCGAAACAAGGCCCTTAAACCAAAGCTTCTTTTCCTCTTCAGCATCTTCTTCCTCTTTCTGCAGATCCACGCCCTGATCACAGGCCCCTTTGACACACCGTATGAAGGAGGTTTCTTCCTCTTTCTATTCCGCTGCCCCCCCGACTATCCCATCCACCCGCCTCGTGTGAAGCTTATCACCACCGGTCACAACACTGTTCGCTTCAACCCCAACTTTTACCGCAACGGCAAAGTCTGCCTCAGCATCCTGGGGTGAGTCGAGGTTCAGATTTGTCATTTCTCTCCACATGGAACTGCTGACACCTCTTGAGTTTATTTCAACAAGGAGTTAAAACTTTGTTACACTTCACTTTAACCCGAGTGTATATGTCTGTGTAGGACGTGGACAGGTCCAGCATGGAGTCCAGCACAGAGTATTTCATCTGTCCTCATCTCCATCCAGTCCCTGATGACAGAGAACCCATACCACAATGAGCCTGGCTTTGAACAGGTACTGTTCTCCGTAGGTGTTTGTGTGAATGTATGTGTTTGCACCCACCTGTCACTTATAACCACAAATATCCATACCTTTAATGGTTTAATTTGACTGAAGCTGAATGAGAACATGTATAAGCTTTGACTGCCAGGAGGGAGACACTTCCAGCTGTCCACTTTCAGAAAGCTGCCATGTTGTCCATCGTTGTATCCAGTCTACAGTTACATCTGTTTCTTTACCTCAGCCAGTGTACTGTGCAGCAGGTCTGTTTGTGATGCACTCAGATTCTCCTATAACTCAGTGGTTTGTGTGTCTGTCAGGAGCGCCACCCAGGCGACAGTAAGAACTACAACGAGTGTATCCGCCATGAGACCATGAGGGTGGCTGTGTGTGACATGTTGGAGGGTAAAGTTCCCTGTCCGGACGCTCTGTGGTGAGAACAACAGAGATGTTTAATTCAGCTTTGCTTCTTATTTTCTGTCTTTTTTTTTTTTCCTTTTTAAGGTTTCTGTCACTCTGCTGATTTGTGTTTGTGTTTTCAGGAGTGTGATGGAAAAGTCCTTCTTGGAATACTATGATTTCTACGAAGGAGTCTGCAAAGAGAGACTTCACCTACAGGGACAGAACATGCAGGTACGTGACGAAAACTCATTTCAGTGTGTTTCTCACTTTATCTCTCATTTTCCAGTTTTGTAAGTATGTCTCAGATTATGTTTAGTGACCATTGGAGGAAATCCTGTGCAATGAATATTCACAATGCAAAGGTTTACGTTATTTCCTATCCCATTCTAACACTTTTCGGCTATGTCACTGTTTTCAATATCGTTTCCTCCACATTGAATCCTCTTTTCTGTATATTTCCCCAGGACCCGTTTGGTGAGAAGCGTGGTCGTTTCGACTACCAGGGCCTACTGGCCCGTCTCAGCGCCACCCACAGGCGCATACGAGAGAAAAGCCTGGCGGAGGACGACCACAATGATGACTCAGACTCAGACACCAGCTCCTCAGGGACGGACCCTGACAGCCAGGGCAGCTCTCAGCCCTGACTCCTGCACGGTGCTCCACTCAAAGCCAAGGACCACAAAGACTAAGGCACCTTTTTGTTTGTTTTGTTTACGACGGAGGAACAAAATCACTGCAGAGATTAAAACTCCTGCTTTTCAGGCTTTAGTGAGTTCAGGGTGGGGAATCAGGCTTCTGGTGAAAGAAGAGAAATAGTTTCTGGACATTGAAAAATGAGCACCATCCTCTCGTCTGTGCTGGTGGATCTGGCCTGGAGCGGAGTGGCTGTGCTACTTTTGTAGCTTACCAGCTGTCAGTTTGATTCTGGCCAAACGCTCAGAAGATTTTGAGACCAACCAACCATCGTCGCTTGTGGATACAAAGAGTTATTTCATGGCTCAAATGTTTGAAGACACTGTAGGAGAAGATTATAAACACTGCGTATTCTGAGACTCCTTTTCTGACCCACAAGCTCGAAGAGAAAAAAATGAAGCTTTGAAGTCCTGACAGATTTAGGACAACAGAACAAGCCCAAAATCGAAGCAGGTCATTGTGATAGTCCTGAGTCACAAAATTAAAGCAGACTCTCCTTCAAAGTAGCTCAGTTTTCTTTGAATTCAAGAGGAGAGGAGGAAAAGATGGACCTGTCTTTGGAAAGCAGTTTTAGAGGGTGACACTTTGGCTTTTTTTGAGTCCCGTGCCTTGTCTCCTCTGGCTCCAACAGCTCCTTCAACCAGACCTCAACCGCCTCCAACTGGGCCACATACGACATCAGCAGCTCGCCATTCTGAATACAATGATTCCTGTGTGTGATTCAAAGAGTTCTGCTTAGTTTTTCAGTTTTTCTTGTGCTGTTGAAATCTGTCTATCAGATCAGAAGCCTTTAGAGATGTCAGTTTCATTGTCATCCATCTTTGTATCCTTTTGTTTCCGCTGTTTTTCTTATTGTTGTGCTAAAACTGATGCTGATTTGCAGTGTTTAGGGTGCATTTTTTGTGTAAACCCCGCTGTTCTTTTGGTTAAAGGCACTTGTGATAAACACGTCATCATGCAAAGTGAACCATCCTTTTATTTTGGCTGAACTTTCAGAAGGTCTGGGGAACATATGGAGGCAGAGAAGTTAACTTTCTTTGTGATCACACAGCAAGGTACCCTGCTGCTTAGCTCTATCTAAATTAGTTAAAATCAGATTTTAACTGCTCTAGATTTGGTTTCTATGTGGTGTGATTTAATACTCCCTACATCTGGTAAATGAGTGTTAAAATAAACGCATAATCACAATAATGAACATTTAACATCAGTTTCATGTGCATACTTTACTCAGCTAGATGTTAGCCTTGACAAAAACTCTGGATTGATTCAGGATCAGGTTGCCAGAAGTTGTTGTGGTGTAAACAGTGAACCTAAAATTAATGAGAAACAGCATCACCCGACTGCAGAGAAACTTTAAAAAGAACAACAGAAATGAAATTAAGACAACAGACTATTAATAACTATGCATAGTGTATGTATTTAGTGTATGAAAGGGCTTGAAGAAAAGTACAAGATGTTGCTGAAGATGTGACAAAATCCTTTTAATAGTGGAAATAGTGTAAGATATAGAAAAATAAATATAGATGTGCTAAGACCAGCAGCAGTTACTCATCTAAAATTAAAGGTGTTGACAGAATCACTTGAAGTGTGAACACAGTAACGGGGACAGAAGAAATCAGAAGACTTTACTCCAACGAGAGGTTTGGATTTTTCACATCCACCTTACGGCTCCCATCTCTTCCACTTATTTAAACTGTTATTGATTATTTCCTCTCTCTTTTGTTGGCTGTGAAGAAGTTTCACAATGGGGTTTATGGGGGTTTTTAGTGCCAGCAGTGCAACCACCAGCAAAGATTTGATAAAAAGAAAGCATTATAAGCTACCCAAAAGGTTGACTCAGCTCTAAAGATGCAAATGAGTCTCACAAACTCAAACAGTTATTATGAGATGTGAGTACTGTGTTAAGGTGGAGTTGAAAAAATCCTAACCTTTATGGTTTAAATTAGTGTTATACCGTTATTTACATTGCAAACCTCCTGGTTTTGCTCAGCGCTGTAAGCAATGGGAGACAGCCTTTTGAACCAGGCAGGTCATAAAACGAAGGGGAAAAGTAAAAATTTGGAAACCAAACTCGAATTATTAAAAAAGTTTCTGATCTGTATACGATCCAAAGCTACTTCAGGGGGATCATGGGGACATAATGACGCTTGAAAATGAGAGTAACACACTGTTTCTCAGTTATTCTGTATCGATCGGCATCTTAAGAGATGCTCTCACCAGCTCTGCTGTCATTGCCTGGATTGCAGGACAGGATGTGGGTCCACTTTTTCCTCATGGTCCAGGTCTGTTAGCTCTCCTGTTTGTGTCTGCTGTCATTATTTCCCCACTCTTAAGACCAGTTAGAGATGGAAAGTAACATTTTAACCACAGTGCCAATGAGCAAAAGTAAAATATGTCCAACTCCTCTCTGCAACTGATTTAAGATGTTGTAAATAATGTTATTGCATTTCCTGTTGAGAATTAATTAGCCTTGTCATGAAGGTTGACCAATCAGAATAGAGTATTTTACACAAACAGGTGATGATAAGAAAAACAACAACCAGGGCTCTGACAGAGAGTTCACTGCTGTTAAAACTAGCAAAATGTCAGAAATCAGTGTTTTTCTGCCAATATCTTGACTTTCTATTTATCACATTAGTATTAAAGGGTTTCTTGGTATGAAATCATGTACATCAAATAATTACAATACATTTTATTGTAAGGCATTTCTCATTCATAGCTCTACAGAATGAAAACAAATATTGAAACATGGAAGAGTCAGCAAAATTATGATAAATAAGCATAAGAATGAGGAATGTCGGAGGCAGATTTAAGAAAACTGTTTACAAGGATACAAAAAGGTGTCAAAATGTCTCTCATCAGACTGGCTGTTTCCCCATTTCTAATTTTAGTGCAAAGCTAAGATCGCTGCCAATTTTACATTCGACGGCCCTTAGTCTTTATGTTTTCTTCACCAGGAAGGGAGTTATTGTACACTCTAAAAATTTTGAACTACTCCTTTAATCCCATGTCTGTACTTTTTTAATTTAAACGTCTTTAGGTCTTTTCTGAAGTTTTTCCATCTATGTTGAAAAAGGGGTATATCTGGCCTCCTTTGTTCTCCAGCATCTTCAGCTCCTTTCATCCATGTCATTTGCCTCCAGACCCCCCTGGTATCATTTATTTCGGGCATTCCTCTTTATGTGTTTTTTTATTTTTATTTCAAAGACTGGTTATATGAGAAGCAGCTCCTAGTGGAATTTATGTGATTGCCAAAATGTTGAATGCAGCTCGTACTGAAGTGGAGGTGAAGAGATCATGTTCTTGTTTGGTTGTGTTGTGTTGTGCAGAGTTCTTCTGTATAGACCCTGGACTTCTGGCTAAAGTGATGTCCTGGTGTTGAAAATGTTGCTATTGTACAGAAGTTCTGGGGAAAAAATGAATAAAATGTTGTCCAGTCTTGATTATGTGTCTAGTCTTATGTTGTTGCTGTCTTCCTTGTGGTCAACATAAAGGGTTAACGTAACTCTACTGACACCTGGTGGTCACTTGTAGTCATTGCATACTGTTGAACTTCTTATGCCAGGGTAAATTTAAAAAGAATAGTTTATATGTTGTGCATGATGCCAGAGAGAAAACCCTTTTTTAAACATTTAATTTTGTGCTTAATAAAATTAAGCATTGACAAAGAATGGAGGACACATTATCTTTGATATTTGTTGCAGAAACTACAGAATATGATAAATTCAAAGCTTATTTTCAGAGGGTAACAAAGGAGTGTTTATGAGGACCAATTTGGTGTTTATTGTCTTTTTAAATAACAGAAGCGTGATTATCCAGGCTGATTGTTATTATTACAAGACTATTTTGTTCGTATTTAATCAGTTTCTAATTTAAATCGTAGTTTTGCCCACACTGAAGTTAGGTAAGAATGGAAACAAGTGTTCTCAGGAGGACAACCTACAAAAGATGTTCAAAACCAAAGATGGGGGTTATAATACAAGGGGGAACATAAATGTATTTATCCAATTGTCCATACAACTCTGAAAAGTATGTGCATTTCTGTTTGTGGTGTTAAACTCTGGAACAGCCTGGATGTCACTTTAAAAATGTCTAATAACACAACAATATTTAAATCAAACTATAGCGAAGTATTAAAATATTCATATAAGTAAATTAACAAAAACCTATTGAGTGTTGAGCAGGTATCTCTGTGTATAAAATGTATGCATTCATACAGATCTGTGTAATTCATACAAACAGATTTCTTCTTTTTTTAAATCTCTAATTTGCAAGGATGGTGCAGGACTAGATAAGCTTTTTGCTTCATTCTGTTCCCTCTCAAACTGTTTATTTTTGACAAACATATGTTGTGTTAATTTATCTTTCACATTTACAGTTGTTTGGTGTACATATACATTATTATTTTATTTTATTTTACTTTTATTATTATTATTTTTTTGTTCTTAAAGTTTGAGATGAATAAGCTCAAAAGTAAATGTAGCATTAAATGAAGGTTAATTTGGTGTTTCCTGACACAAGGTTGAGAAATAGCTTTGACAACTTCAATCTTACAATCCAAAAGTTGCAAAAGGTTAAAATAAATGCATTAAAAATTCAAAAAAGATAAAAAGAAATGAAAATAAAACGTTGTATATCTAATATTTATCGTTGTTTAAATTATATCAATTTGAATGAAGGGCGTTATTGCGTGAAAAAAAGTCCCAGAATGTTCCCATGATGCACCTGTCCTGTTGGCACACCTGAGCGGCTGTAGTCAGTAGCACGCGGACTCAGTGAGCAGCAGGAGCGCGTCGATGCAGTGAGGAGTCCGAACGGCTGAGAGCTACTGGTTTCCAGTGAGACAAGACTTCAAAATCCCAGTTACAACAGGTTAGAGCTCAAAACTTGTAGAAAAGTGTCTTTCAACAGGACTTGAATATCACTTTTTGATTATTGATTCTAAACCGTGAAGACCGAAGAGAAAATAACGGCCGCACAGTCAGGGCCCTCTAAGATCACGCGCGCGTTTGAATTAACGGGTTTCTCGTAGAAAATGTCAAACCGTTTAAGTGGTCAGGGTATCACCTGCGCCGCCATGTTGAATCAAAATTTATGTTCGTCCATTAGACAAACGACGTTTAAGTTAGCGGTTTTCTTCTTGTCAAAAAAGCCCATGTAAAATGTTCTTGATAATATTTGTAAAATCATTAGTATTGTTCGATATTACCCCTTCTACTCTCATTAAATGTGTCATGTGTTGTTTCTCACGCTGTTTCTGGTGTTTTGGGTGTTGTTCAGTTGAACCAAACCTGTTTATTAAGCCTCTTACCTGTCCGCACCTGTCTTTTGTCACTGTGTGCTCTCATTTTCTCCATAAACCAGTTTTCTGCCTTTGGTATCCACATCCAGTGCCCTGATTTTTGGATGTATTATCTTTGATATATTCTTTAATACACCCCACATTAAACCAATGGAGGTTGAACTGCTTGCAGGTGGTGATGCTCCCGATAAGTTTTGAGTTTACTTTGCACACAAAGGTCTCATCTAAACTACTGTAAATCTATCAAATCAACCAAGTACAAGAAAGAAAAACTAGTAGTCATAGGCTTTTTTTAATGCAAAGGCCAAATTAAAGGGAAATTCCGGCGTAAAATTAATCATTAATCAAGAGATAAATGTTGCAGACCACTTGCTTCTCTAGTTATACCAACTTTAGTAAAGACCACAGATAGCAATACAGAGGGCCACTTGCTCAACCAAAACGCCACTCTGAAGTTACAAATAATGCTCAGAACAGCACCTAACTTCATCAACAGTACATTTAGGGTCCCAGCCATAGTACTAGCCACCAAACATCTTTTTAGCTTTGCCTGATTTCTTTAGCAAGGTGACTAAACACAACTCACCTACTGTCTTCCAGCAGCCGCTTGTTTGTAGCAAGACCTCTGGGCGAGTCCATTGACTGCAACGGGGTGAAGCAGCTCAAGGAAGAACATGTATTATCATTACTTCATGGAAATACAATCAGACTGAGACGCTAAGGCAGAAGAACTACCGCCTCTGCAATACAAAATGATTAATATGGTGATTTTTACTTTGAGGAAATGATAAAGTAATGATCATAAATGTTCTTCCTTGAGCTGTGTCACCCCACTGCACTCGATGGACTCGCCTGGAGGTCTCTGTACAAACAAGTGGCTGCTAGAAGAGTGTAGTGTTGTGTTTAGTCTCTTTGCTAAAGAAATTAGGCAAAGTTAAAAAGATGTTTGGTGGCTGGTGCTGTGGCTAGGACCCTATATGTACTGTTGATGAAGTTAGGTGCTGTTCTGAGCATTATTTGTGGCTATAGAGTGGCGTTTTTGATGAGGCTTGTGTGTGGCTCCTGAGACAACTATCCACTATCGTGCGGTCGTTACTAAAGTTGATATAACTACAGAAGCAAGCGGTCAGCAACAATCATCTCTCACTGGGGTGTCTAACTCGGTGTTATGGTGTGTTTGACCCTAAATTAATTTTAGGCCGGAATATCCCTTTAAGCTGTGGCAAAAAAGCTGTCCCAAATTATTTGCACATTAGGGATGGTAAAACATCATATAAAGCATTAGTCACTTGACTTTCCTCTCATAAATTATAGCTACACCCAAAACTGTAACAATGGAATGTAAACACTTTTGAAAACAGAGAAATCAGTCACGTGCCCATTTAGCGGGTGCATGTTGCTCTGGAACATTTCTGGATGGGGAGCGAAAACCTGGAGGACATATGAAATACAGAGAAAGAGAGAACCAGTCTGTTCAGATCTTTGCTCTGTCTGCGGTGACATCACATCTGCACAAATATGAGAGAACATACTGTTCTGAAAACCTCAGCTCTTGTACCAGACGCAATGATATAATCTTCGTGATGCAGCGAATATTTTGATATTACTGACAAGAAACAATCATTTGTGAGAAACAGCAGGAGATTTTTGTTTTCTTTGGGTGATAGAGGGAGCAGGAAACTCTTACTGTGTGGTAATTGCATGTTGCAACTTCTGAACCTGAACAATGGTGCCAGCTCACATGTATCAAAAACTGCAGTACCTGTGGAGGCCAGTTGAGACAGAGTCCAACAGTGAGTCTACTGCAAAAGAGTTCAATAGAAACAGGCCCAAAGTTAAAGTAGGTTTAAACATGCTTGTAGCCTTGAAGCAGATTTTTTATAAAAGATCACTTCCCCATTGAGGAAAGCTTTACATGAAGTAATTATTAAACTTGGAGCATTTCCTGTAACAACTGTGATACCTTTGTGTTGATGTTTACAAATCATGTGACTTACAGAACTGACTGCCTACACAGTGTTAAGTTCTAGTGAGGTTTCATTTAATTGATTTCAGATTGATGTTTGTTGTAAATCAATCCTTGACAATCAGGAAGTGGTGACAACAGGCGTTTTCCATGAGCACAGCTGACTAGTCACTTGATAACAGACTGCTACTTGTGATTTCATTGTAAGATTTCAATAACAAGCCGTGTCTGCTTTTCCTGAACGCTAGAAGCACCACCTCCATACGTGCATGAGAAAGATGCCCCTCTGTGCCAGCCTGCATGCCCTGTATGTGTGAGTGTGGGAGGGTAGGGGCTCAGCTTTAATGTTCAGTGGATTTAGGCAAATTTGTGGAAGATGCAAGAATAGCAATTGATGTTGTCATTGTCACAGGATACTTCAGAATAGTGATGGTGACTAATAGCAGCTTTTCAACAGCTGTTGCCAATACTAATAATGAGAGAGTATGTTAGCAGCTGGCTGATGTGTAATGTTGCTTTACTAGGTTACATGACTGACATTCAACGTCCTGCAGTGTGACAGTCACACATGCACACAGAGCTATTGCTATGTTCAAATGCTAAATCGTTCATCTCCATGGTACAACATCCCACTATCTTTTTCTTCTTTGGTCATGCTTTCAACTTCTACCTTGGCTGAGTCACTTCCACCCATGTGACCCTCATTCATGTCATTAGGGTCATCCCAAGGAGTCTTGAAACTGTGACACGGACACGGTTAGTCATATAGACCGGGAAACATGTTTTTGGCTCTGTATTTTTCTATTACAATATTCACACTGTTTCTGTGTTGATAATTGAATCACAAAAGTCTGGGTTATGTTAGCTTACTGAATTGATACTTTGTCCCCCCTGTTGTGAATGACACCCTGATCCAACCCTAATCAGAATCAGAGGTATTTTGAGTTGCTGTTTTTACCTTCAACTCATAGCAAACGAATTACAGAGTTGTGTAATGTGTTCTCTATCAATCACTAAAAAGATTACTCTGTAAGTTACCTGTTGCATTTTCAATCACATTCATTAGTCTGAGCCCAGTCAATGTGACAAAAATCAAAAACTTATGAGCCATCTAATAAGCTGTAAAAACTTGTGGATATAGGAGTTGTACTGTCTTTGTTATTATCCAGTCTGGGTAGCTACTGCTTGAGGACAATACTCAAACCTTAACCAGGGATGTTCAAGGGTCACAACATTGAGCTGCTATAGTTACACAAGTGCTTCTGAAAGATAGATCTGGACATGAGGATTTGATTTGTGGCAGCATCTTTAAACCAGCAGTGTTTTATTTGAGACGAGTATTTAGAGTCTAAAAGCCAAATCCTACAACTGTCACATGCTTTGTTTCCGCAGCAGGCAAGTTAAAAACATTGTTTATGAAGTCAGGCTGTTAGGGCTGTATCTCAGACCTCGCTCTCTCTCTCTCTCTCTCAGAGTTACTGGTCAGACCACATACTTCTCATAGTTGTTCTGCACATCTTCCTCTGTCACAGTTAATGACTCAAATGCAAGTGTCATACCTGGGCTATGATGAGGTTGAAGTTTGAAAATGTGTCACTTTGCACAGGGCAGAGCTTAGGTTTTGTTCATGAGTGACACTCGTTCCCTGGGGTGGTATTTCACTCAACAGGATCAGCAAGATGTCAAGAAAATTTAAGTTAAGTTTCTACAGAATTTAGTTTCCAAGTGGAAAATTTTGGCATACCTTTAGTTTTCAGTTGTAACTGTCTGCATATCCCACCCCCTAATTGTCATCTTCCGGTCTGTACGAGATATCCAAGAGAGGAAAACACTTCTGTTTCACCAGGTTCAGCTGTGCGGAGCTGACTTTGCCATGGCAATAATCAAAAAGCAGCCAAAACAACAACAACTTTATCTGGTGAAAAGATAAACACAGTTGGGCTGTGAAAATGTAATTTGAATTTCAAATTCAAACAATATCATTACTCATTTCAATACCAGAGCAACAAGAGATTAGTTTCAATCACCTAAGAGAGATTATTTTGTGAGTGTTTGATTTCCAACCTGCACATGTAAGATCAAAGTCACAGAGCAACATTTGATGTACTGATAATCTGTTAATATTTATGAAAGGTAACTGTGCACCTAAATTAAAAAAATAAAATCCTCTGAATCCTCATTTACAGTTCAGATTTAGTGTTTTGTAGCCGGTGTGTCTCTATATTCTCCTACATTGACAGTAGACTTCATAGACATCACTGAAGCCAAAATGGGTCCAAAAAACAGACAAGCGGCTCAACCTTCTCACTTGGCTTGGTGTTCTGACTATACTCTTTGACCTCCAATTCGCAGAGTAGACGAGGTGAAGCCAGCTGACCCCACATATATTGTTAAGGTGACCATTTCTAAACACACACAGTGGGAGATACATTAAGAGGATTTTTTAACAGGTTTGCTTACGGGTACCTCAACCTAATGTCTAGGTCTAGTGTATCTTCCCAGCTCTAGTACATGCGTCCTAACAATGGTTAGCATTTATTTAAATTTTGCTCCATGAAACAGCTGCTTAGCCGGGTAGTCTCACCACAAAGTGTATAGTCAATTTGTATTCATTGTCTTAAAGCTAAATGCAGTGTAGCCTTATTGACGTCACTCATTTGTTTATGATGAAGAGTTATTATGATGATGGTTGTTGCCATATTGGAAATGTTGACTCAATCTGGCTTTCTATTAATCCAGAAACTGGCAAGGAGGTGGAGTCAGGGCGGGCCTCTAGTCTCCTGTCAAACAGCTACAGCATGCTCATCTATTGGTCAACAGATATTGCACTAATTATGCTCCATTATGCATAACCCTAGGCCTCTATTGAATCAAAAAGGTTGATATTCCCCTAAACAATATATTGCATTCCCCTCTACAAATAAGAGAAATTAACTATTGATGACTAACTATTTTTTGTTGATCCAGTCAGAAAATTTGTAACACCTTGGTTTCATTTTTTAACACCAGCTGTTGCCACGTGTTGACTCACTTGCACATGAGCTGAATCACCGTCTTAGTCGAGCAGGCCTGAAATATTATTTGTCCAGTGACTTTAATATAAGCAGGAATATTCCTTTCAGATTTCTAAAGAATCTACAAAAGGAAATCTTCGTCCACATTGCCTACTTAACTCAGTATTTGTCCCAACATAACTTTTGTATAGGTAATGTTTTCCTCCCAATAGGTTAGGAGTGTCACTATGGCTGTCTTTAAACAGAATAGGCAGAGCTACAACAGATTCATATAACAAAAGAGACTTAGCATTCATTAAATAATCAAACAGAGCATGCCGTTCCTGTAAAAGTCCTCCCAGAAACGTCCCTCAGCCTTATAAGGTGTGTGCCATCTGTGACTCCAAACATGAACGCTTTGTACAGTGAGTAACACAGATATGTAACAGTGATATGCAAACACATGATGATGTGTAGTGCAAAGCATGTTGGGAATGTCCCGGCCCTCTCTTGGCTCCTCTTGTCTCTTTGGTGGTTCCAATGAATGGGATAAGTCCCAATGACCAACCAGTTTACTAAATGTTATTTAACAAGCAAATATTTATGAGGGTTGAGACATTGTATTCTTTGAATACCAGGGTTGGATGGCAAGTAATATTCAAGTGTCACTATGGTATGAAATTGGGGAATAAATGAATGCAGTGAAGAATTTATACGGATAAAAATGGTTTTGAATTCAGAGGAACTGTATTAAATAATAAGTAGGAATGAAAAGTAGATGTGACTGTGCCAGAAATTTCTGTTCTTTGAGTTGGGAGTTAAGGCTGGCTCCAAAAGCTTGTCATATTGTTATTTCAACAAACTTAAAACGTCATCGGTCCTTATTATATTTTCCTCAGCAATGGTCTTAATAAAAGGCACATTAAAGAAGCTGCAAATGGGACAGAAAACAACCCAAAAAACAGCTATTTAGAGCAACCAAAAGTTGCTTTAAGAAGCTTTGAAATACAAGTAAATTACAATAAATTGGTTACCTGTTTGGGATTATACTCCAAATGTGTTTGTGTAGTCACCAAACAGTGAACATTTGTCATTTTCACTAGTCTGCACCAGTTTATTAAGTTACACATTTATATTTTGTCATCTTAGGCCTAAAATACCAGTAATTAAAAGTGCCCCAGCTGAAGCTAAGCTTCTATAACACAATTTGAACCAAGGCTCTTAAGTTCATGTCTACTGTCATAATGCTATAGTGCTCCCTGGATGAAAACATGCACAGATGACAGATGGCATCTTACAGTAGAATGTGGTTTGTTCATCTAGGAAATGGTATGTAGGCTGGGTCTAGTTTAACTGGCGTATATCTACTTGACTGGAGCAGAGTGCGTAACCAGCACAGGTATGTGGATGTTAACCTGTGTGGAGGACCAAAGGCTGGTGGTGCTAACTCTGCTAAGGGAAGCCAGACTGAACAAATCAATTTTACAACTGTTTATCTCCAGACTTGATGACATGGTTCTGGAAACTTTGAAATATCTGTAAAGTTGGCTAATTCTCTGTGGAGTGTGCTGTCATTGTATGAAAGTTGGTGGGTTCAAAGATTCAAGATTCAACCTCTTCCGTACAATTGGAAAGGATGTTTCTGTCCACCCCATGGTGCAAAAATATAGAGCGTTTCTTAAAAAATACAAAAAGTACAATAGAGAGAAGTTTAATTATGCCAAAGGTTAGCCCCCTCCTGGAGCTAAATTTCAAAATAAACTGCAAGATCCTGTCTTTGACATACTGTACCATGCACTGCATGTTCTTTTTGGGATCCTTATCATGGATTCTACTTTATATCCTCTACTCATCAAAACTCAACAACTTTGGTCCTTCATGTACATCTAGCTGAAAGAAAAGCGAAGAAAAATACACTCCTGTATTTAAAAGTAAATGTCTGTTGGGAAAACCCAAGTTAGGGTTATATTTATGTTGTAATTCATTTATAATTTACTGCAATAATTGCCACTGTTTTGCGTCTTGAATTTTAGGATCTGTTACTGAAAACAGCACAGGACCTTATGTTTTCTAAATCCGCTGAAAACAAATCTGTTCTAGATCTTGTCGTCCCCAGGATGACAGAGCTGGCAGGCCTGTTTGGTCAGGTAGGAGGCTGTTGCTCCCTTTTCAGCCCCGCCCAGATACCTGCTGACTTTGATATGCTCAAGTCTTACAGGCAGCTCATCAGTCAGGTGTGTCTTTGCTCTCAGTGAGACTTGGGGGACTGATGCAAGATCGTCAGAGGACATTTTGATCTTGGAAAGATAGGAAGAGAAAAATATCTTTCTCCTGTATCTGTTTCTCAAGAGGGATTTTCTTTTTTCACAGGCTTTGAACACTTTGAAGGGAAATCTTGCATCTTTACCATTATTAGAAAGGGGAAGGTTAAAGGATCTATCTGTGGACTGCAGCAGCAGCAGCCTGTAAAAAATCAGGCCAACAAACAGGTGTGTTTGATTTGTTAGTGTCACCATAACTTTTAATTGTTGCTTTGCATTGCTGCTTTATGGTTTGATGTACGTAAATGTAACTACTTTGACCCAGTATTTTGAAAAGATGTGCCCTTTTTAATTTACAGTCATTGTAGAAGCAGATAATGTGATGTTATATGACAAGAGGCTGACATGAAAACAAGCTTTATATTAAGTTATGCACTGTGTCGCGTGAAATGGGGTCATTTATGTGAAGTGTGAGTTAAAATAATCCCTTTGCAAATGAAACAAAGTGACAAACTTAAGAGTTCTAACAATGTTTTAGAGTATTTTACATCATATGTTATGATTTAATATAATATTTTTAATATTTGAAATTACTCTAAAGGATTCAATAATAGTGAAACATGAAGTGTTGTTGACTTGGATATATCAATGTCTAAGTGTATTTAAGTATGATAGATCTCAAATGTTAAATGTTAGATGTCAAATTTTTCAGATTAATTCAGGCTGGAAAAAAAATCATTGTAGATATTTAATTTCATTATATTTTCCATAATTTAATTTAAATACTAATCGATAAACCAGTTTTTATTTGGTGTGCAAAATCATAACACTCATAAATCCAAACTTATCAGGTGTAGATATTTTTGTCAAACTAACATCATAAATCTCATGATCTTTGCATAAAGAGCAGGTCCAGTTTTTTTTTTATGTTATTGATCACAGGCAGAAATGTTGAGCAGGACCAGACTCATTGGTGGAGAGCCATCTGCCTCAATGCACTGGACTGAGAAAACAAGAGACAGAAAGATGAAATAATCTTTGATGTTGATGTTGATCCAAAAGTTACTTAGGAGGATTTTTTTTTTCGGAACGCCATGATGTGATAACGGTTGCTATGCAAAAGCGAAAACTTCCAGCAGAATGCACTTAGGCTTATTGACTGGAAATTCCACCTAGAAGACTTCCTCAAACAGACTGTTTTCACCTGCTGGATGAGAAACAGGAATGCTAGCGATGGAGGGAGGGAGGGAGGGAGGGAGGGGAGAGAATCTATTGTCTGTGGTTTCATCCTAATTAAGTATTCATTGTTGTCCATCTGACCTCATGTCTCAGGCTTTAAGGCTTTGGAAAGTTAAAGGAAGTTTTCTGTTGAACTTGCGTAAAGTTGTTTATTTAATACTTTTCTTAGCAATAAAGGAAATTTTGTGTTCTATTTTTGACCTACAAGGCAAAGTGCATGATATTATTAGTCAAATATAAGACAGGAAAAAAACAGCTTGAGACAATGCGCAAATCAGCCAAAGAAGGAATAACCACCTGACACTTTTAAGGATCAAAAATTCAAAGAGTTGACTAAAAGGCTAATTTTCTCAAACTTTTAAATCAACTTTAGCTAAGTGTTGGTATTTTCTGGAGCTTTAACATTTTAATTTCCCCCAAAATGAGTCAGTTCTTGATCAACATTGTTCAGCAGTTTAATTCTTATAGGAAAGGCTTATTTTGATTCAACTTTCCTCTGAATGCATCCCTGAAAAAAGATCCAACAAACAAACAAGCAGCAAAATCGTTGGATCAAGTCATTCCATTTTATTTAGTTCAGTATTTACACCTAATATTTTCCATATGCTTGTTCTTAAGGAAGAAGCTGTCCCCAAAATTTTAAGATATCGATAAATCTGCAGATTTGTCGTCTGTTTCAAGTAAATTCCTTTCTAAATTGTTTTTAAATTGCACGGGGACCAAAGTTCAGCCTCATGAGAATTTACATGGGTATGCGTGTTATTTGACCTTTTTTTTTTTCCCTTGAGATTTTATTGGGTATTTTAGAGCGGAAAAAACAGCAGTGCAGAACAAGACTGTCTTAGTTAGTAACTCTGTTCGTAATAGTCGGTGTGCAGGATATTTTTAAATGTCATTCTATGATTGCGTGATCATCGGAGCAGATGACACACTAGTCCCACTGGCCTTAAAAAACCTTTAAGAAATTCTTCATTATATCAACCCTGTTCAATCTAAAACCGACTCTACACTTATTGCTGTTTCAACAGTTCTTCTCATTATGCCTGTGCCATGTGTGTTTAATGTGTTTTGAATGTGAGTATTTTCATTGGGCTCAGCCAAATAAGAATTGATCTATCTTCAAAAGGAGGTCACAGCAGTGAAAGTTAGCGGGGCAAACACTAAGTATATTCTCTACTCTGAGTAATACGTTGTCTATTATTTCCACCTCTGAATGCACAAATCTCTTTGTAATTGTTGTGGCAAGTTCTGCCTTTTTATTACTGTATATGTATGTTTGAGATCATTATAGGTTGTCTGCTGTGGATGGATCAATCTGTAACTATGGAGACGTGATTACATTTTTGCAGCGACAGTTCATGTTTTCTGGAAAAAAATCCTATGCCCTCTGTTATTTTATTTTGATTCAAATTTAAATGGGACTATATGCAACGGCATAAATCATATATACAAAGAAGATAGAGGGATGGTTGAGCTCTATGAATTTCCTGTCATTCTTGTTTTAGCAAGCCACCCATACAAAGTGACCTAGAAATAGATGTGAGTGGCAGGAACTGCTGGCCTACTTAGACTTTTAAAACCAATGAATGTGTGTCCATGAAGGTTATTGTTATTTTAACGTTGAGAGATTGAAAAGAAAGCAAAGAACAAAAGAACCAAAGTTTGACTAAAGTTTAGCCTGGTAGCAGATAGATTAAAGTGTTTAGATTGTGGAAGAATCCTAAAATATTGGATTTCTGGTTGCAATGTAATATCTTGACACAGTAGTGGTTGTGTTGTGCTGATAGGAATTTGTTGTTAATGGTATTTTCTTATCTCCTTGCTGGATATACATTGTAATCAACTTTCAACTACAAGAACTTTCAGTGGTAGCTGTCATTAGAAGTTTTAATCAAGCTTCCCAAAGTCAAAAAATGTATTAAAGTGGTGAGATACAACAAATAAATGTATGACAGAAGTTTTGACTCACTGATTCAAATTAGTTTAGACTCATGGATTCTGAAACAGGTTTCGTATAAGATTTTCATGAACATGCTGCAACATTTAGACATTTTGTTTGGGGAAAAAAAGAAATATTACCAATTTTTTTGTGTCTCCTTTTTTTGTCTGTATTTCAAGATCTCTTAAATGGTCACAAACATTTTTCAGGTTTCCTTTCATTAACAGGAAAGCTAGATATTTTATGGCATAACAACTTGAGATTCGATCTCATGTAGAAAAGAAAAAAGCTCTTCATTTTATTTCATGTAACTAATAAAATGAGCAGCTGCTCTCTACTGCTCTCTTTGCTTCAAATGTCTTAACCGTCTCTTCTCTCTGTCTTTCTGTCCTACGCAGTGCTGTCCACTTTGCCATGAGACACAACCTGTCTTGAAGGTGCTCGTTTCTCCATGCAGCGTTATCCTCAACACATGGTCCCTATGGACCCTCAGGTGTGCCCGCCCCCTCTGAACAGCAGCAGCCAGTCAATGATCAGTGGTCTCGACAAATCTCCAGCCAGCACATTCAAACCCGGCCACTCACGAAGCAGCAGCACAGGCTCCTCTAAGCAAACAAAACAGGTACGAAACCAAACATCAAGTAAACAATTTGATCAGTTTTGTCAGTTTTAGCTTCTTTTTTCTTTTTACATCTTTTTACATCAGAACCTCCCATCTGTGAAGCTTAACTTCTGCAAACTTTTTACAAAATTTAAATGTTGTCTTTGCCCATTTTAATTATCAGAGCATATAAGAGAGACAGATTCATGTTTGTTGTAAAAGTTGCTGAACTATCCTTTTCCATCCGTGTGTCTCTCTTGGAAGTGAAATCCAAGATTACACAACTGCTGCTGCTCTTTAGTAATTTTTATCGGCCCGTCCTTCTGTGTTTCAGTCTCGACACTGGGAGGTCTTGGACGATTTGCAAAACATGGACATGTACAATGTCCCCGGTTCAACTCTGGATCTCAGTGTTCCTGGAATCTGTGAGGGATACCTGATGAAGAGGAGGAAGTACCCACTCAAAGGATGGCACAAGGTGAGAAAACAACGGGTTGTCAGGTCACAGATTTGTGCTGGGTGAAGTTGTCCATTCCTGCATGTTTAAATCCTGTTTCTGCAGGGCCAACAGTATTAAAATAATGAAGTATCACATTAAATAGATTCAGGATAGATCTGTCCAAAACAACGGCCTTCAGAAACCGAACTCTGTTTCTTTTCAATCATTTGTTATGGTGGCAGCTCCTGGTAGAAAACCTGATACTTTAGTGCATTGAATAACTATAAAATGAAATCAATTGTGATTTTATTATTGGACACCTGGTATTGAAATAGCACTGAGTAAACATCATTTTGATCACTGAAACTAACAAAATTCAACAAATATTTTGTGTATCAAAAAGTAACATACTATCTTGACAGTTAATCCGGTATTTTATAAAACAGTGGTAACTTTTACCTGTCATCCTTTCACCTGTTTGCATTACTGAGGCACTATATTGTTGTGAAATTATATTTAAATCATACCTTCTTTTAGGTTTGCATGTAAAAGCTTCAAAAATGAGTGTGTGCAAATCAGTTTTTTCTTAGCAACTCTTGCAACAGTAAAGAGCACTAAAACTATTCTGCACTTTCATGAAGGTGATTGATCGACTTTGGTCTTTTTCAGAGGTACTTTTTGTTGGAGAAAGGAATTCTGAAATACAGCAAGACACAACAAGATGTAAGTGAGAGAAATGCACTTCCCACCTTTGCACTGTGTGATTGATCCTCCTTTATTTTAGACATTATTTAACAGATCAAATAGTTAGTAATTGAGCTTTTCAAAACAAGGTTTGTGTTTGTGTTTCAGATTCAGAGAGGGAAGCTTCACGGCTGTCTGGACGTCAGTGTGGCTGTAATGTCCATCAACAAGAAGTCCAGACGCATCGACCTGGACGCTGGAGATAACCTCTACCACCTTATGGTAGCTACACAACACCGTTCAGAAAGGCCTCATAACCCCTGATACAAAAATACCAAATCACCAGATTTCTTAGTGCAAATCTTGATTTTAAAAAGCTCACAAATGAAGCAAAAATTCAGCCGTGAATTACTTCTATCTAGCAGTCTAATAATGTCTTCAAACTATTCTAAATATCTTTTACTTCCTAATACACGTTTTAAATGTTGTTTCTTACTGATTGTGCCAATTTAGTAAATACGTATACCCCCCAAAATGTGTTGTTGTGTTAAATGTAAATAAAGACAGGTTGTGATGGTTTGTAAATCCCTTTCATTCTTTGAAAATATTTCAAGTTTTTCAGTTCAGTTGTCTCCATTCTGTTGAAATGCATTGCTAGTATGAAATTCAGAATGAGAACACATTTTTCGTAAAAGAGTTTTAAATAGATATTCTACCCCAAATTAACTGTGAACTTTTTAAATCTTTCTTTGGTCTTAATAGCAACTTATTTTTCTCACTGTTTGGTTTTCTTTCTCCTTCCTCTCCTCCTGAAAGGCAAAAAGCCAGGACATCTTCTACATCTGGTTGACTAAACTGTGCGCTCATCGAGTCTTCAGGAAAAACGAGGCGATGAGCGTCCATCACGGCGTCCTTCATGCACTCTCCTTGGGCTCAAGTAACCTACCCACCATGGCTTCTCTGGCCCAGCAGAACAGAGTCATGGTAGGTACAGGTTCCTGAGCTGATTAACACCAGACTTCCGCTAGTTCAGGATTTTGGACATGTGGTGTAAATGTTTCTGCCACTGTTTTTTTTTAACTTGATTCTCATTATGATGTTGTCCAGCCTTCTCACTACGCCAGCTCAGCATCCATGTACCAACCAGAAACCATAAACCCCGCCCCCGCCATCGCCACCCCTCCGGCTGTGACCAACAAGGTGTCAGCCTGGCTGCAGCAGACCCACGACATCGATGCAACCTCAAATGGTGAGAACGAATCATGATGGAAAAAACTATCTTAAATCTGTATTTTCTGAGTTATTCACTGCAGCCAAAATGTCCCCTCTTATCTGTGACCTTTGACCCCTCAGACCTTGCACGCTGTCAGACCGAGCTCACTGAGCTGGCTCATCTCATTCAGCGTCTCAACTGGCTGGAAGGAGGTTTGCCGATCACAAACACAGACCTGGAGATGAGGATCAGTATGCAGGTGAGTCTACAGGAAACAACAGTCAGTATCTGATTCGGAATGGTCGTGAAGACGCTGTAATATTTTGGTCCGTAATTTACCTGAAGATTTTCAAAAAAGATTTAACTTTTGTGGGGGATTTTAAAGAGACTATAACAGTGTGCTTGCTGAGCTAACAGGCTGCTGACTGGCAAAAGGCCATTTCCTTCATTTCAGTTTCTTTCATGGTGATTGCTGAACAAACTTGTTGATCAAGTTACAATGGGGGCTGTAATGGACTGTGTTATTCTGCTCAAATATGGTTATATTTTATGTTCATTTAGATGATCAATTTGGTATTGAACACAGTCAGATTTTTTAGTTATCAGACACGATTAGCGTATCCTCCGGAGCTACAGGTAGACATGCACTTCCTTGGTAACACTAGAGTTATCATCTGTAAACGAACCGATCTACAAACACCAAGCACATACAAGGTATAAGAGCAAAACTGGATGTATTTGATGGATTTCCTTTATTACATATTTTAGAAACATCTCCTAATTTATGCGGCATAGTTATAAGTACAGATAAACCCAGGAAATATAAAAAAATCATCATATTGTATTGAAGGAGAAGTTCTAAACTTCTGTCTGTGTTTCAGAATCTCTCTCTGGAGAAACCAAAGAAGAAGGCGGGGAAAGTGTTCGGTCACTCCAGGACTTTGTCCCGCGTTGAAGCTCTGGGAATGGTACGACAGCCTTTTAGCTGATCCTAATTTGATCATTTTCTAAACATCCTCTCCAATGTTTCTAACGCCCATCTTGTCTTCCTCAGTTCTCTTCCAGCCACCTGAGCACTAACGGCGGCTTGGGGGCGTCTGTTCAGTCCATCCCAGACTACGTCTATTCTCAGCTGTCAAACCCTCAGGTGTCCTCACCTGAAGCTAAGAAGCTCCATCAGGACATCTGCACGGTCTCTCAGAGAGGTGCCCCATCCCTTACACCTCCTTTTTTATGATTATTTAATGATGATGGGTTTAAATTAAGTATTACTTAATTACAAGTGTGTGTTTGCCTTAAAGTGCTGGAAAACCAGGAAATCTTTGATTAAAGCTGCAGTCTTTAAGAAATGAAAGACTGTTGCTGTGAAATGTTGCTATGTAATGGCTTAATTAGAATGAAGTGCTAAACAAAGCTCTCTAATCAGTATAGATGTAAGGAAATAAGGGAATAATAGGTTTGTTCTTCTCGTAGTTCACGCTTCCCTCAGGTCCATCCACGAGGTTTTGACCTTTGAGAGAGAGAGACTGAGAGAGGCTTGGACCAGCCCAGACCTGAGAGAGAACACCTCACAGCAGCTCGCCACACTCTGCAGCACGCTGTCCGAGGTAACACATGCACATGCACAAACAAACACAAAGTAGAAGTAGGGCTTCTCTGAATGTTTTTTCTTGTTGCTGACACACTGAAGGAAAAAACAAAAGTCTGACTGACATACGTTTTAAGACCCAGTCAACTTTCCATCTCTCCACTTGTTTATTCACCCCTTCCCCTTTTTCCATGAGTTGAAAAACTGATTTATTTACAAAAACAAAAAAAACAAATGAGGAAGAAGAGTATCGGCTGGTGGAGACAAAAGAGGCCCAGCCCTCTGTGTCTGTCTGTTGGTGTGTGAAACTGTTGAGCAGGTTTGGGTTGTTTTTTCAGGCACAAGTTATCACAGGCACGTCCTGCAGGAACACACCTCGACTCTGTCTCTAAACACACACACACGCAGACACACACAAGTACACACATTGAAACTGAGCAGTCTGACAGCAGAGCAGTGATTTGGTTCTACCTGCTGTCAAACTGACGCTCTCAGTCACTTTTCCTGTTCTCTGTTGCACGAGGTTTCTTCTTTGCATGTTTCCTGTCAGTGCTGCATGTGACCTGCTATCTTTTCCAACCAGCTGAACATCATTCATCATGACTCGGGGTTTTATTTCTTGTTTTTTTTGTGGTTGTTTTGTTGCCTGGCAGCTGGCTGTCACAATAGACTTGAGAAACAAACTCCCAAGTCAACAATCAAGACCATGACTGTTGGCTGTATTAGAAAGTTATTTCACTTGACCCAAAAGCATGCTTTTCCATTTATACGCAGCATTTTAAAGATGTTAGCGACTCATTTAGATGTACTAACAGCTGCAAATGCTCCTCACAATTCGACGATCAAGCAACGCGCCCATGCTTATTCTCTGCTTCGGACTCTTTACGCATGTCTGACAGTTTTATTTTTGCTCTGCTGTATTTCCTCTTGCATGGCTGATCTGTGTATGTGTGTATTTCATGTCTCGCATGTGGTTGTAGCTTGATATACAGTCACGTCTGACCAAAGTCCACTCGCTTTCCCTGTCCTCTGACTCTACTGAGGAATCCTTCTGCACCGTCCGTCCTGACCAGGTGTGTACTGCGCTCGGTGTCCACATGTGTGAAGGTTGCTTCCTCTTTTTGTGCATGTTTTGATTTCATTACCTCACTGTCACTCATTTGCATTTTCTTGCATGCAACATTGTTTTTTGTTTTCTTTTTAAAATCAATCTCAGAATTTCTCTAATATCTCTCACAGCACGTACAAATGAATGACAGTGTTTTCATGTCCTTGGGGTTCAGTTTTGTCTCTTCTTATCATAGGCAGGGCTGAAACTATTGATAATATCATCAATTACTCTGTGCACTATTTCACAGTATTTGATTAAAAGTATGGTCTACAAGAGGCCTTAAAGTGGAGAAAATGAATGATCGGTTTTTCTCCTGAGTGCAAAGTGGCATCCTCAAATTGCTTCTTTTATCAGACCTGCCACAACAACAACAAAAAGCTGCAAATCATCACATCCAAACAGCAGAAAATTGCCTCCTGATGAGGAATCATTTATCAAAATAAAGCGTAATCTGGGTCAGCTGTGGTCAGTTTGGAAAGTATCCAGAAAATCAGTTGTTGGCCATGAAAAAGTCGTTCATTTGTTAAAATGTTGATGATCTGCGGCTTGTCCTAACACACTTGATTCATCAAGAAATGTTGGTGTCAGTGTGACCATGTCACTGTTTCCACCCAAGATCTGGGATTGCAAATACAAAGCATTTTGTTTTATGAGTCAAAGTCATTCTGCCTCCAACAACCAATGAGAGGAGCAGACTGGGAAACACCACCAACCGGGTTTAACTCCTCACAGCTATGGCAGTGAACAAAAATGGTACCAAAACACTCTTGAGACTTCATTCTCAAGTTTAGGAAATAGAACATTTGCAGTTTTTATAATGGGGTTCAAATTAAATATGTCAAGAAAGAGGGATGATAAGAACACAGGTTTTATTTTTACATTGAAGATGTTTTAAGAGATTCACGGTGTCATCTTATACACTGAGAACATGAAAAAAACTCCACCGTAATATTTCTGGCTGCTGTCAAACTGTGGACACAGACTGTGTGTTAGCAGCACAGCGAGTTTTCTTCAACCCTGGAATTATGGGGGAATTATGAGGGGCCTGTGTACCGTCTCATGCAAGACATAGGCTACCACAGTGAGGCTGATGAGGAAAAGACATGGATCTGTTAAACCTCGGTTCTTAAGTGTGTGTGTTCAGAGGATTGTCATGTCAAGACCCTTACGTCCTCTAGTGTGTAGCCAGCTGAATTGATCAACTGTGACACCTGAAGAAACTAAACTGTTGACTCTGATATTTGGTCTTTTCTGGGTTCAAGTTGTTCCCTCCATTCTACTTAATTTCTGTTGGTTGATAGTCTGGTTCCAATTCATACTCAGTACTAACTTTCTTTAACCTCTTCAACACATTTGATCACTGCACTCTTAAATCTCTTAGACATAATCATATGGTAAATGTGTGAAAATAAACTGATTCTGTTCACCTAACTCGATGCAGACTTTTTCCAGTCACCCCTTGACTAAAAAGTGAGTGTGATGTCGGGCTAAACTGATATGTGAATGCTGCGGAGAATACATTCAAAGGGGAAGGTGACGGGTTTTTCTGTTTCACAGTCATCATGATGGAGGACGTCCCCTCATTACCTAAACCAAACTGAGTTTATCAAGTTGTTTGTTAGAGTGCGTCTTCCAATAAACTGCACATCTTGATGATATTTCAAAACATAAATCTTTCTGTCTCACAGAGGACTCCATCAATGGGTCGTCACAGTCACCGGGCGCCCTCGGTGGCTGACTCCATGGCCGAGTATTTCGACGCCAGCGAGGTCATCATGTGTGACACATCATCCGAGGCCGAGGCGTCTGATGAGTCAGGTCTGAGCGACATCACGACCACCAGCAACTCCGAGCCAGAGGAGGGTCATGGTGAGTTTTTCCTCCATCCAGCAGACATCTCTGACCATAAAACTAAAAATTGTGATCCAATTATCAGAGTTTAAGTCCACCCTCTCTTTTTATTTCAGCCACTGCAACCCTCAACTACAGAGCCAGTCTGAACAACGCTCAGGAGAGACCCAGCCCAGTGCCACGAAACACAGGTGAACAAATGCACATTTAGACCTGAACGTATTGTCATAACAAGGCCTTCAATGTTTCTTTTACTTTGCAAAGTATTTAAAAGCTTTTGACAAGTGTCTGGAGGTTGTGTTGGAGTGAGGTGCTTTTTATTCTTTATGTGGGAAAAGAATTGAAATATGACATTATTTTGAAAGCCTATCTCCAAAGTAAGGCTATGTTTGCACATAGTTTTTTTCTTGCATGAAGAAAAATAACCCTGCATCAGCCCAAGAATCAAAGCTCTGTAGGAAAAGTTGAAACTCTTCATCTTGAAGTTGTACCAATGGAAGTCTTTATCCTTCACTTTCAGACTCTGTTTAAACTTGTATGTCTTTGTGTTCTTGTGATCCAGGCCGTCGCACCGCCCTCCCCGCTTCATGCACAGACAACAGCCACATCGGTATCATGACCATCCTGTACAACAACATCGGGAAGGATCTGTCCAGAGTGTCGATGCCGGTCGCTCTGAACGAGCCGGTGTCTCTGCTGCAGAGACTCAGCGAGGAGCTCGAGTACACTGACCTGCTCGACATCGCCAACCACATCGATGATCCCTTTGAGAGGATGGTGGGTTTTAGCCGCTTTACGTACAATTAAACTTAAAGCTCCTGTGAAGAACTTCTAGCTTTCTTTGCTGAATATGCTTAAGTAGTCTCATTTGACGAGATCTCATCTTGCTGACGTTTGAAGTCACTTATTGTGAATATTTGACGTGTAAAATGTAAAAACATGAATTATAAGACATTTCATGAACAAAAATTTCTCACAGGAGCTTTAAGTGATCTTTTTTTCTTCCTTCCTGAACATAAATTGCAAAATGAAAAAATACAGACATTTGTACTGGATAAATGCAGAGTATTTTGAGTGCTTAGAAACAATTGCAAATTTCCATTACACAGTTAAAAAATTTATAATATGGTCAACCATCCATGTCTTTATCTCTTTTTAGTCGTCTCACATATTGTAAAACTTAGTGCCATTGTAACGCTCACAATATGTCAGAAATGTCTAAAATCATAGAGATGTCATACAGTCACTTGGACAATGTTGTCTCACTCCTTTCTTTGTGTTTGTCCTCAGGTATACGTGGCAGCGTTCTCCATCTCTGGATATGCCTGGGCCTCCTGGAGGTATCGCTACAAACCTTTTAACCCCGTTCTGGGAGAAACATTCGAGAGTCACAGAGAAGACCGAGGCTTCCACTACACCAGCGAGCAGGTGAGCAGCAGAGAAACACCCCGAAATATCCTTGTAAACTTAATCAGAACAAACCGGAACAATAATTTATGTCCATTTCTCCAGGTCAGCCATCACCCACCCGTCTCCGCCTGTCATGCCGAGTCAGAAAACTTCACTTTCTGGCAAGGTAGGAGTGTGAGAGTGTAAACACAGATCCACCTGAATGTTCTTTGAGGAGTCAAACTTGAAGCTCTGTTTCTTTCTGTCTTTTAGATCAGAGATGGAAGAACAAGTTTTGGGGGAAGTCGGTGGAGATCATCTCGTCTGGACTCGTCAATGTCTCCCTGCCAAAGTGAGACACAGATTCAGAAATTAAGTCAAAATGTGAAGCTAGACACACCTCTGCTTTCACAGGAATATAAACTGGATTTGTGATAGTTCAAGCATTTCAAGCAATTGTCTTGGATACAAAATCACCTGGGTTTGTAGGAACAGAAAACAAGGACAGACTCACTGGATTTGATGATAAAAGAGAATCAGCTGTAAAACAGTAAATATTGTGGACATTTTAAAACCTGGAGTGCTTCACTGATTTTCCTGGCCAGCCAGAGTGGTCTTCAAAGCTAAATAATCAGAAAAAAATCATCTTTTTTTTCAACTTTGTGGTTAAACATTTGTGTTTTTGTGTGTTTTTTGTGTTTGTGTGTAGCTACGGTGATCACTACGAGTGGAACAAGGCAGTGACGTGTATCCACAACGTGCTGAGTCAGCAGCGCTGGTTGGAGCATTATGGCGAGGTCGTCATCAAAAATACAAAGAGCGACGTGTGCACTTGCAAGATCACATTTGTCAAGGTGACCATACATAACACACATGCACACACACAAACACACGCACACACTCAGCTTCTTTATCAAACCGTGTAAACCCTTCTAACCTCTTGGTTTTCGTTCTATGCCTTAGTCTCGTTACTGGAGCTCTGACAGCAGTAAGAACGAGGTGCAGGGTGTTGTTCTGGATCAGGCCGGGGAGGTGGTCCATCGATTCGGGGGTCTGTGGCATGAAGGCATCTTCTGCGACACGCTGCCGACACCAAAGTGCATCTGGAAGCCCAGTAAGTGACCCTCCTCTATAAGTCAGGACTTTTGTGGACTGCAGCTTCTCTCATTTTTACCTCCATTAGCTCACACTTCAACTCTGAGTATTAAAGATGTTCCTCTTTTTCCTAGATGTGCAGCCTGATGACCATTTCCAGTATTACGGCTTCTCTCAATATGCAAGAGAATCAAATGAACTGACGCCTGAACTGAAGGCCGTCCTCCCTCCTACAGACACTCGCTTCAGACCCGATCAGAGGTACATACAAGATAAAATCGATTTAAACTGAGAGTAAAAAAGTCTGACGTTCTGCTTTGTTTTAAATGCTCTGATTTGATCGTCTCTGTCAGGCTCCTGGAGGAGGGGAAAGTGGCCGAGGCTGATAAAAAGAAGGATGAGGTAGAGCAGAAGCAGAGAGAGAGGAGGAAGGAGATGGAGAAGAGAGGAGAGGAGCACATCCCCAGGTTCTTCAGGTGAGGAGAGGGAATCTGTTGATGTGAACGAAAGAGCAATGAAGTTTAATGTGTGAAATACAAATACACCAGCTTCATTCTGTCACTGAGGCTTTTACATGCAGTTCCTCTCAGTATCTTGTAAGTATGGATCAACTCAGATTATTGCCGATGCCTGACGCTTCCAATAGAGCTGTGACAAATACCAACATTGATGATAACCATATTTTTGGAAATTTCAACTGTTGATGCCTGTTAGAAAGGAACACAGGATTATACTACATGAGTTTAGTTCTTAGTGGAGGGCAGTAATGGCTTTTCATGCTGTTTGCCAAGCAAAATGGAGGGAAGACGAGGAAGAAGAATCAGCTGCTAGTGAGCTAGTTATAGCAGCTAACTGTATTGTGACAATGTAAGAGTTTCTGCCTCCTCTGAGATGTCTCCATTTTTGTTGTTTTTTTTTTGTCACTGTTGAAACATGAGTATCTGTCTTTTTTTTGGCACCCAGCAAAACAGCAAGATGATATTTCAAGACCCCGTGACATCTACTGCCCTGTAGTTGTGATTCGTGTTTCTGCTCAGTTTTACTTCTAGTCCATACCCTGACATTGTTGTGATGTTGGATCTAATAGGGTGTGGTACAGTTTTATAATTGATGAGATAAATCTACGTCTAAGGTAACAGCATTTACTCACTGGGTTGTTGGAGAGCATCTGTTTTGACCTCAGCATCAGCCGTTTCTCTTTTCGTCTGTCAACAACTAGACTGGGCCTAGTCAGCATACATGTGGCAAACTATTCCCTCAGATATTAATGCTTCATAAACTCGGATCGTATCTCTTCGAAGTGATCACATGATGGTAAATTTTTCATTTATGTTCACAGGAAAGCTGTGGATGAAGCCGGCAGAGAGGTTTGGCTCTACAACGGGACTTACTGGCAGACCCGTAAAGACCCGGGTTTCGCCTACACTGATAACCTGGACCTGTGGTGCTGAAGCTGAATGACACTTTAAACCGAGATAAACACACGATAATATAATGAAGAGGATTTCAAACCTCAGTTACTGGAAATGATCAGCTAGATTTATTATTATAATCTGACATTGTTAAAGGAAAGGGGCACAGAGAAGCATAAATGAACCTCTGATTGGGTGATTTTTTTAAAACTGTAGAGGTGAGATGCCGTTATTAAACATATGAAGACTCATTTTGATGAAGCCGGATGTCTTTTCAGCCCTTTTGTTGACCTTTACCTTTAATAGAAATTTAAAATAATCAATCGTGAACTAAAATATTAACTTAATAGCTAGTTTTTTAAATCACTGCCCTTTGTAAAACCGTGGGTAAAAATCGTTTTTCTGCTCAGGATAGATGTCACTTAATGTATCTCTTGTAAGACTTTATGTTTTTAGTTTTGACATGTCTATATAAATATTTTACTCAGGCTCTTTTTTGCCTCCTGCCGTGGATTCAGAACACATGGAGGTTTTATTTTGGGTGTGTTACAGGTGAACTGGTGCTGTCCTGCTCTCTTTCTTGGTGGGTCTTGGTGTATAGACTTGTTTCTTTGTAATGTCAGTGTGTGTGTTTTACATTTGATATAACACACTGGTGATGTATCCGTTTTCCAGATGCAGGTTAAGTCTGTTAATCCTGTCAGATTCTTTTAAAAATCAACTCAGTCAGTCAGGAGAGAGAAAGAGAAATCAAAATGACAGACATGAATCGTGTCTCTTGAATCTTTTCTGCTCAGTTGATGCGATGACATATTTTTTTATTGATGTTTCAACAAATGATTTTATTAAGGAAAAGAAACGACTGTTAAAATCCAGTGTAATGTTTTTTTCTTAGTAGTTTTGTTTCAAATAAAAGATTTCAAAATCATGGCTGTGTTTGGCTTCATTTAATGTTTCTCACTCTGTTTATTCTCTTCCATGCTGTAGTAATATGTGCTGAACATGGTCATTGTTTTGCTGAAATATGAACGTCTTCCCTGAAAAAGTCGTCCTGATGGCATTATATGTTGCTCTTCAACTTGTATATACTGTGCAGCGTTAAATGGATATTCTAGCATAGAATCAATTTAGGGTCATGATCTTACATGTTCTTCCTTGAGCTGCGTCACCCCGCTTCAGTCCGGAATGGACTGGCCTGAGGTCTTGCTACAAACAAACGGCTGCTGGAAGAGAGTAGGTGAGTTGTGTTTAGTCTCTTTGCTGAAGAAATCAGGCAAAGTTAAAAAGATGTCTGGTGGCTAGTGCTGTGGCTGGGACCCTATATGTACTGTTGATGAAGTTAGGTGCTGTTCTGAGCATTATTTGTGGCTATAGAGTGGCATTTTGGTTGATGTTTGTTGATGGCTCCTCAGACTGCTGTGTATTGCTATCCTGCAGTCATTCCTAAAGTTGGTAAAACTAGAGAAGCAAGCAGTCGGCAAAATTCGTCTCTTGACGGGGTGTCTAACTCGGTGTTATGGTATGTTTGACCCTAACGTAATTTTACGCTGGAATATCCCTTTAATGGATCAGATATGTCAGCTACCAATGCCATCAGGCTTTGAACTGTTCGCTGGGGAATAAAACCAGGTGGTCCATGATTTCCAAACGAATACCACATTTTAATTTTGTCAGACCAGACCAGTCCACCTTCACTGAGTTCAGGCCCAAAGACATAAGCCAGCGTTTGGTTTCCTCTTTCTGTGGTGCTTTGTGGATGAAGTGACAAACTGTGTTCTTAGACAGAGGCATTTGGAAGAGATTTTGAGCCCATGTGGTTATCTCCACTACAGAGTCATGGTTGTTTTTAATGCAGTACCTCCTGAGGGCCCCTTATAAAGAAATTTCTCCAGATTCCAAAATGTTTTTCCTCTGTGTGTTTGATGACAGTAAACAGGTGAGTCTGGATTTAACTGAACTCTTTATTTCTCATTCAGGATCATTTACAGCAGAAATCCTCATTCACGTTTCTTACACATGATGTATTAAAGCAGTCAGCCTGCTCTCTCTCTCTCTCTCTCTCTCTCTCTCTCTCTCTCTCTCTCTCTCTCTCTTTCTCTCTCTGTTGTAAACAGTGAAGTTGCAGTGAGGTATTCATGAAAACAGGGAGTGGAACAGACAAACGGCGCCCCCTGTTGGCTGCATTCAAATCCTAATTTTAACAGAGCTGAAAGAAAAACTGAATCACCTTTTTTTTTTCTTTTAAAGAAGATAACCATTAATGAAGTTAAACATTACAGAGATATACAAAGATGTTAACTGCAGAAAATTATTAAAATATTTAACCATGTTTTCATTGAACATATTTAAAGTGGGTGATTTTTAGACTCCAGAATTTTCCTACAGGGCCTTGAATGCAACCAGAACCACCTGCGAATGTCCCTCTTTGCTGGTGACAGAAAGGAATTTTATAGCAAAGGTATGTATTTGCAAAACAACAGAGTCCCTCTCCCCCCTTTTTTATTTCAACATGTTTTTATATCTTGTGTGCTCCTTCCCAAAACCTTCTAGTACTGAAAATGCCCCGTTGCACATATATAATTAATTCTTTTTCAACACTCATAATTGAAGCCCTATCAGACTTATTCTTGGTGATGATTTGAGTGATGAGATTATTGAACTCATGGGGAAAGCAACAAAAATCTAAAGTACACCATCGAAGGACAGATTTTTACTCACATGCTGCAAAAAACAAAACAAAAAAGAGATTGGTGGTTTTAGTAAAAGAAAAAGCAGCTACAAAGCACCATGTTCAGCCTTGAAATAACCTTAAAAGAATAAAGAAACTTCATCATTTATTCATCACTTTCAAACAGAGCAGCTTTTTAATAGTGTGTTATCAAACATAACTGATGAGTATCCTGAAGTGATTTCTCATGTTATAGCCCTAACCTAGTTTATCTGAGCTTTATGTACAATATATTAGTTCATTTTCGGTAATATTGCACATTTACATTTTTATATTTACATCAGTGCATCTGCACTGGACGTCAGAGTGTCATGAAAACACTTTATACATGTGTGAGCCCTCAAACCCTTTCTAAAAAGTACCTTAAACAGAACCTGTTTTTGATCTCTGTAATAAACTGAACCCTGTGTTGAGAAGAGACACACATTTAAAATGGAAAACAAATTGAATATAATCTGGTATTTTTCATACAGATTATGGAGACAGCTTCACATCCCACTGTTATTAGGTTGGAGAAGTTTTATTTCTCCACATAGATACGTGGAGAAACTATGATCCAGCTGACAAAAGCATCCTGCCCAAATAACTCCACGGTAAATCTAAAGAACAAAAGAAAGTCAAATTTGTGCTCACAGGTTGATCATTTTTGTGCACAAGACAGTAACTTGTACATCTTAATAATTAACTTGTGTGCACAAGTAAAAATCTTTTGACTATAAGATTGCTCTGTGGTATTTTTATCATCTTTTGGCCTTTTTGTTGCTTATTGCGAGTCTGAAATGGTATCATACGTATGTTGTGTCTTTTTACTGTTTGCCCTTATGTTTTTATTGTCTTATACGAAGCACTTTATATCCTATTTTACTGGAAATGTGCTTTATAAATCATCTCTTCTTGTTTTGAGGCCCTTCTCTCAAGATCTTGCCCAGATATAATGTCTTTGACCTCTTGGATCTGAATAGATGGGCGGCTGTTTTACAAACAGCTTAAACACTCAAAGATCAAACTGGGAAAAGAGTTCATCCTGAAAAAGGATTCAAAAGAGACTCAACCTGCCTGCTGAGCTGCTTCCAGGTGACTGAGATGCTGTAAAGAAGAGGAGTTAAATTGACACAGACACTGATCTGGAGTCAGTTCAGTTCCCCACAGCAGCGCCTTTAGCTTAATTTCAACAGTCTTTGTTGGTCAAGTCACAGCCGAGTGTTCAGGAGGAGTGTCTTTGAGCAAGGCAGTGAAACATTCACCTGCTGCTCTTCAAACTGTAAATCCATCAGAGGAAGAGTCAAACTGTTGCTGCTCCAGGAGTCTCTGCTTCAAACAAGGAAAGCTTTCCTCTTCCTAAATATGATATTTTCTCATTTTTTGCTTCATAAAGTGGTAAGAGTTTGGCTTTCATCCTTTAGACAGTAACAGCTGAGAGTCAGAAACTTCTCCTGTGGTCTTTCAGTCCTCTGAGGTGAGTTTTCAGCTCATTTATGGAAGTGTGAAGTTTTATTGGCGTCACTGCCGGAAGATGATACTGACTTTAATAAAATTCAATGAAACAAAAATGAGGTACGTTTTAGGCCTGAATCGAAACCTGAAACTGTAATTTAAAGAGGAAGAGTCATTCCTTTTGTTCACATCTTTTGGAAATATCTCAATTTGTTTCACAGGATGAATCATAAACATGTTGTAAAACTGGAAAACAGTTACAAATAAGTAGCCCTAATTATATAATAATTTATTATAACAAGATATAAAGCTATTATCAAGAGCTATGGCACACATTATAAGGTAAGTTGTACATTATCTTTCTCATTATCATACATTTGAATCTCATGGTTTCAGTCAGCTCTCCATTAGCTCATAAGGAATACTTCAGAACTGGTTCAAGATGAGGACCAGCAGAAAACAGGGGCGGTCCAAACTCCTGTATTGTATGACATCTTGTAACAGTGTCAATGAAATCCAATTTAAAAGTTGAACAGAACTTCGAACAGACTCACTGCAAAATCCACTCATTTTGTGAGGCCGACAGCTTTCCTTTCCTGTGTTTTTCTGGCCCCCAGGGACTTTTTTGCTTCAATCAGAAGATCAGCTGAGTTTGCTAGAAAGGTGCTGCCATCTTTGTTTTGGTCTGCTGACCCTAAACTCACCTCTGGTTAAGTGATGGTATCTCATATTTTATGGGACTGCTGTTTCATTTACTGCTTAAGTTATCTCATCCTTAAGTTATCATTTTCTGACTCCAGTTTTGAAAATTTCAAGGGTTCCTTTTAAACTAAGTCCGACTCTCTTTCAGAAATAAATCATCAACTTGTTTGCACAAAGTCATTTTTTTCAGGGGGAATAAGTTATCTTGTGCACACAAGACAATGATTTTGTTTGAGCAACTTATGCTGATCTTACGTAGATGAGTAAATTATCCTATGAAACCACATAATAGCTTTTGTGCACAAGATAATTCACAGGATATTATCTCAGGCTAAAAATCAATTATCTTGTGTAAAATTGTGTCATGTCTGACATGACTATTCTCATGTGAGAATTAGTCATAAACACCTGTAAACTAAATAATTATTCTGTGTGAAAAAATGATACACTTGTATTTACTAGATGATAATCTTGCAAGATCAATATATGATCGTGGTTGCATTAGTAAAATATCTTGTAAAAACAAATATTATCTTGGATGCACAAAATTATTTCCTCATAGGAACAAGATACTACCTTGTGTTGGACAGCCGCTGTCTTGTGGAGGATTTTGTTGTTTGGGACAAGATTATTATCTTGTTAAACCAGACACCAACTTGTGCACATGCTGTTAATATTCTGTGAAAATATGTTGAAAACAAATATCCTGCAGGAGCAGACTCATTTTGGACATTTGCTCCTAAAGTTGAGGGAGTTTCTCCTTCTTATGAATCCATCATCTTCTGGCTTCAGTTTTGAAGTTTTTAAGGGAACTCTTAACAACAGGTACTACTCTTTAGAGAGGAGACAGAATAAAGAATAACTGTGATTTATAATATTTATGAAGTTCTAAATATTTATGACAGCAACTTCCTCATGATCAAACATTAAAATGCCAATAATCGTTTACCTCATAATAATGTCAATCTGTTTCGAACAATGTAATATTCACACAATAATTGTGTTGTTTTTTTTCCTCTTGTACCTCTGAGTCTTTTACCTCCCTATATTTCCTCACTGGTTCAGAAATCTGTTTTTCAATCCTCTAAAGACTACGATGAGAGCTGTGGCATCAAGTTGGTTTGATAAAAACAAAATGTGCTCCAGTCTGCAGCGCTGATCTCAGACCAGCATAAAGCAGTTTGTGTCTCAGCACCTCAGTCTTTTTCCTTATGTGCTGTTCCTCCAGCACTGACACTCATGATCTTGTCACTGTTGAGTGTTTTTAAGGAGAAAAGAGACTATCTGGTGATAAACTGTTGATATGATGTAAAAGTTGTTGGGCAATGTTTGTGCATCTTTTTAACCTGGTGATGAGCGAGTGGACTAACAAGGTCTGTGTTTTGGAGGAAAACTGGACGGTCACTGGTATATTTCCCAACATTTGGAGATGAACAGGCAGAAGCTGGGCATCACCTCCTGTACCAGAGGACTGAGTTTGCACTGAGCGATGTCCAAATCCTTCAACTCTTCCTTGACTTTTCCTCATCATGAGATAGGTGGAAGTTGGTGTATCAGACGCCTGATGTGACAGTCATATTTTGCTGTTTTCCAAGTGGGAGTCGATGTGTTTGATGAGGGCGTCGTCAGGGTAACCGGTCGGGAAGGTCAGCTGACAGAGGGGACAGCTTCGAACGGCGCTCTCTTCAGACTCCATCCATAACTGCAGACAGGGGTAGACACAGAGTCCAGAAAAAAAAAACATTAGATTAGATAATGGATAATTGAGATATACTGTAGATGATTTAATTCAGTAAAGTGTCAAGAATGTAAACCAAAAAGTTTCTCTCAGACAACTTCAATTTAAAACCCTAAATTTCAATAATTTCTAGGTTTTAAAAATCATTGAAAATAAAACAAAGATAATAAAAAGGTATAAAAGGGCTTTTCAGAGAGGCTGAAACTATCAGAAGTTTAGTTTTACTACAGTAAATTTCTGTAATCCAACCTGAGTCAGGCCCTTTGCTGGGGTCAGAATAATCCAATTTTTGGGTCACAGTTATCAAGGACCTACTCAGAAGTTTTCAATGACATAACTACAGATTTTAACCAGTCAAAAAAACTTATCCAAACTGATCCAAAACCTCTTTATAATCCTTTTTTTAAAACTCCATCCATAGATTTGATTCAATCTGAACAGATAAACTTTGAACATCTGGATCCTCATTGCACATTTTAAATCTGGAACAGGCAATTCAATGTCTGAAAATCTGGAACCAGATTATAGGATTGATGAATTGGATTACAGCATTTCTCTTTTAATTGTGACTGTCATTCATCTTTTTGTGTATCTGAGCAGAAAATCTTCATTCTCATTAAACCTGAGGCAGCAAATCACTGACCTTTCTGATTTAACACAGGCTAAAAATATCTATAATAGATCCTTACTCTCCTTATATTTTATACAGTATAAACATTTTATTTTTCCTTTCTTTTAAAAATCATTGACACACAAAAGGAAGTCTAATATCTGATTTCTGTAATTCTCTATTCTTTCCACTCACGTTGATAGAGGGCCACGACTGAGCATGCTCAGTGTTCATGTAGGGAGGCAGATGGCAGGAAAGGGTGGCAGGACCCTCAGGGGCAGAGAAGGAGGGGTGGTGGGGCTGTTTCCTTGGAGATGGAAAAGGCGGATGTAGAGGCTGTTCCCTGGGTGACGGCGAGCCGATCCCAATGGCGCCAAGTGTACGAGGTGGGCTGGCAGCCGGCGACAGATACGGACAAACATCCTGAAAATGATCATATGCACACAGACGTCCTCTGTATGAGTAACTCAGCCACCTAATGAATGCCTGATGTGCTTTATTTTAACTTCATCACCTCTTCATCATCAGAGGACTGTGGGGGGGTCACCAGAGGGGTGGGTTCAGGCGGGTTGTCATGGTGACGGAAGTGATGAACCTGAGGGAGATAGCAGAAAATAAGAATTACAAATCATTTGACAAAAAACACATTCTAATACCAAATAATACAGAATATGAGCTGTATTTTAGATTATTATGATGTATTTTTTCATGCAAAGATGTTCTGCTGCTTAAACTTTGTCAGAAACTTCATAAACTGTCCTGCTGCTGCTGCTTGTCTCAGCCAGAAAACCAGACTCTCACCTCAGTGTTCAGAGGGAAACCCAGGTCCAAAGCACAGTGATGAGGACTGCTGCTCAGACTGCTACCACCTCCTCTCTCTCCTCCCCCTCCACCTCCTCCTCGCTCGCCCCCAGCTCCATGAGCCGATGCCGGTCTGACCAGCCCGACCAAAGAGGCCCGGAGCTGATGTTTGGTTTGAGCATAACCGTCCCCGAGGAGAGAGCGAGGTTTGGGGAGGGTGGAGACGGGGTCCCTAAGCAGGCGAGCTTGGGGCCTCTGGATGGCTGATGGGTCAGACACCTGAAGAAAAAGAAGGAGGTCAAATGTCAAAGGACTATGATGAGGGTCAGTTGCAAAGTGAAGTTGAAATAATGACTTTTTTTAGATAAGCTTCAATGCATGAATGTGATGAATGTGCCAAAATTAAGGAAATGTCACAACCAATCGGACTGTTACATCAAAAGAGCTTCACTTATTGGGGGTTCAGTAGAAAACATAATGGTATCTGCATTAAAATATAATACAATACAATGCAATAGTCCAGTCTTTATATTGTGCTGACCTCCAAAAAGGATAAAACCTGATAGCTCGTTTGTATCTTCTTCTTTCAAAAGAGTTAAATATATTTTAATAGAGTTTAATAGGAATTTTAGAAAGGTTTTCATATTTTTGTACTCTAAATTTTTCTTGATAAAAACATATTTTTCAATGATTTATAAAATCTATGCAATGCAGTAGTGCAAAATAAACTGCAGTACTTCATTTGTCCACTAGAGACCCAAAGGTGCGTCAATCTCCATTAGGCCCCATGTTAAAGTGCCTTACTGTATAATATATGTCTTATTTTTGGCTGGTAAGGAAAAACCTGTTTTGGTGTGTATATCTATAACTTCTCTACCAGCCTTACCTCTGAGTAACTACGACGACCCTGGAACTTTGCTCGTAGGCGGCTGCTGGTTGGCTGATGGGAGTAGGAGGCGGGGCCATCATTTGGGGACAAAGGAGGAGAGGGAGTGGGAAGGAGCCTGTCAGGAGAGAGTGACGGGCGTTGGGGGGAGGTGGGGGAGAGACGCTGAGGGGCAGGAGGAGGACGAGAGACTGAAAGGAAGAGAGGAAATGAGAAATATTTTTATTTATTGACATTTCTTTTCTATTTTTGAAAAAGCTGTCTTCCCGTGACTATTGTATCAATACTGTAAAGTTAAAAAGATCAAGAGTGAAAGAAGTAAAAGCTGGGAATAATAAAGAGAATGACATTAAAATAAATATGTGAATTTAAAAGGATATAGAAAATTAGGCATAAATAAGAAAATAAGAAAATATAAATAAACAAACAAATGTATAACTCTCCATTTGAATATTTCTACTCTTAACTCTCTTGAATAGCACTCCAAGGATCCAAAAAAAAAAAAAAAAAAAAAATCAAGTCATGTGACTCACCCTGCTCCTGGGAGATGTGTTGCAGGAGGTCGCTCTGTTTCATGGCCAGATCTCTGATTCGACCTAACTCCTCTGTCAGCTCAGTGTAAGCTAAAGCTAAATTGACCCTGCAAAATAAATACATCACACATAAAAAATTCAGAAGAAAACACTGAAAAAAAAGTTTTAATATATTCTTCTTTCTCAGTTATGACTCACTGTTCATCGCCAGCTTTCTTTATCCACTCTACATCACAGTGCTCACAGTGTGACTCCTGGGACTGAAACAGAGACATACACATTATTATTATTATTATTATTATTTCGGTCTATTACAGTCAACATACTACAATTTCAAGTGGAGAGTATTGTATTAAGTATTGATGAAAACAGAATCTGATGGTTTTCAAATCATTCAACCCTTTATTCAGTTGACAAAGGTGCAAAGACAACATATCAGATGTTGAAACTGAAGTATGTATCTTTGAATTAAAAGTCTATGCTCATAGAAAATTTGATGCCAGTAACTTTTTTTTATTTTTTTTAAAGTTGAGTCAGTGACAACAAAACACTAAAAAAGTTGTGTAGTGTAAACATATATTGTAAACAAACCTTTATGTTCGGCTTTTTGTAGAATCGCCAGCTTCATGTAACATGTAAATTGAAGTCTGAAGTGTACCTGTCTCTGGGCTTCCTGTAGCTGAGCGAGCTCCTGCTGCAGCCTCTGAAGCTCCGCTCTCAGCTCCTTCTCCCTCTTGCACGCGCCGTCGGCCTGGTGCCGCGCCCCTTCAAGCTCCGCCTCCAGCCTTTGCAGCTTCAGGTCTGACAGAGCGTCAAGACTGCGAGAGCTCTGCAGTGTCGGTCCGCGCCCCTCTGACAAATCAAGATAGAAAAAGAAAATAATGATAAATAATAGTTATTGTCCTACAGGTGAGCATTTCTGAATCTTATTTTAGGTAGTCATTTTTACTATCATTGGCACTAGCTTTGCCCCCTACCTACAGTTCCCTGGCCCTGCTGCTGCGAATACTATCAGGGTCAAAATGCTTCTACAGTTGGATCCTCTTTAAACTCACCTCTGGGTACGTCCAGGCCGGCCTGTCTCTGAGCCTGGTGTAAGTCTTTGCTGTGCAGCTGAGCGCTGAGTTTCTGCAGGGATGTTTCTCTCTGTCTGAGAGCCGACTCCAGACTGCGGATCTGCTCCACATGCTGCTCTGCAAGAGTCGTCTATCACACACACACACACACACACACAAACACATGTGAGACCCAAGCTGTAGCATAAACATCAACACTGGTGCTTCTATGTGGGTGAGTGTGTTTTCACCATCTTATCGAGGTCTCTCTGGATGTTGCTCTTCTCTAAGTGAATCTTCTCATAAGCCTGAATGACTTCTTCCAGCCTCTCCTCTCTCTCTTTACTCTTTTGGAGCTGAGACAGAGTCACACAACGAAAAGACGAGACACTTTTAGACTTTGGTTTAATGGATGATTCTGGTCTGATAATATCAAAACATAATGTAAGAATGGGGCTAATTGAGGGGCTCCTTTAGAAGGGGGAACATAAAGTACATTTCAATTATTGGGCTCCAAAGTCATGATTAGTTTTACCTTGTAACTACAGACTTTAAAAAACAGTTTTGAAATGCAAAGTAATAGATTTTTTACATGCAGTTAAATAATATCAATTGTGATTAACTCTTAAGATTGTGTAATAAATTATAATGGAAAAGTTATTTCATTTGTTACCCCAACAATATGATCTAAATGTATCACACAGTGGCTCCACAAACTGTCCTCTATAGTTTACAAAGCCACCTAATGATTAATCCAAATTTTATTAATCACTTTTGTTTGGATTAAAACTTTTATTACTCCAGAGTACCTCCTGAGTGAGAGAGTTGATCCTCTGCTGCAGGTTGGTCGTCTCTGATTGGATTATACTGGTATCTTTGATGAGGGGCTCACAGGAACAGCACAGTATCCTCTCTTCACCGAAGTCACTCATCATCGGAAACTGCACAGCAGAAAAAGGAGAGATTCACTTCCTTGAGGACCAACTCTTAATGGACAACCTTTATTGTAAGGACAATTTTGTTTGTGTGGAAATGTTACAAAGCTCCCACTAATAAGATGCTGGGATGACTGTCTTTGGCCATCGTAAATATTCTTCAATTATAGTGACATTTTACTCCCTACTGCCCTCCGGTGGTAGGTTCTTTTATTGCATAATTACGGCTATGTTGCAAATTGTCACCCTATTAAAATAATAGGCTCAGTCATTTTTTGATGAAAATGAGTTTTTGGTGATTTAGAGATAATTTAGGCCAAAAACTCATTTTGTCAAAAAATGACCTAGGCCGTTATTTTAATAGGGTGATGAAATGAAAGTGTGCACAGAGACCTTACAGAGCACGGTTCCCACAAATTACTGAAGACGTTTTTAGTATGAGTATGTGTGTTTTTATGTGTTTGTGTGTGTTGCCCTCCACCTTGACCTCATAGTGTTTGAGCTTCCTCTTGATGCTGCTGTTCTCCCTCTCCAAACTGGCCAGCCTGGTCTTGATGTCATGATAGGCAGCGGCCAGAGCCAGTCCCGATGCCGGGTACATATCGTCTGGCAGCCGATTGGTTGTCCAACTGATCCCGGATACGCCCACATCATCTCTCAGCCCCTCTCCTCCTCCCAGCAGCCCCAGCTCTCCTCGGCGGAATAGATCCATCATCAGTTGGCTGTAGGGGAGAGGAAGAAAAAGAAAATTGTGATGGTTTCTACTTCATGTGATAGACTCATATATGTTGCTGGTTTACGGTCTTTATGACTGGAGGTTGTGACAGACATGCACGGGTGAAAGTAGGATAAGGTTCTTGCAGGTACTGTACCCGTAGGATTTGTGAAAGAGGAGCACACCCAAGTTTACCTAGGTGCTGACTCTGATGCTACAGTATCATCATCTTCTGCATCTCTCTACGGAGCCATAAACAAACCTCAACCAAAACACCACTCTATAGCCACAAATAATGCTCAGAACAGCACCTAACTTCATCAACAGTACATATAGGGTCCTCGCCACAGCACTAGCCACCAAACATCTTTTTAACTTTGCCTAATTTCTTAAGCAAAGAGACTAAACACAACTCACTTACTCTCTTCCAGCAGCCGTTTGTTTGTAGCGAGACCTCGGGCCAGTCCATTACGGACTGCTACGGGGTGACGAAGCTCAAGGGAGAACATTTATGATCATAGGATCCATAGTAGGCGGAACCAAGGTGGAACCAAGTTGTCCATAGTATATGCAGTTTATGGTTTGACCCTAAAATAATTTTACGCCGGAATATCCCTTTAAGATTGAAGCAGCTGTCGGTTAAAAATTCCCTCCTTCCGCAAAAGGCGGGAGGCGGTCCCCAGCGTCCAATCAAAAGTGCGCACTGAGCGCTGGCTTTTGTTTGCGGAAGCAAATACGGCTCACTCGCAAGCAGCATGGTCCTCTTGGATTACTAAAGTTACAATGCAGAGTGCAGACTGACGTGCGGCAACACGGTAAGCAATTGAAGCCAACATACACTGCAGGGGGGAAAGTTTGCGTACCGCTGTGTACCGCTGCTGTAAACTGCTGTTTATGTCTTTCCGGTACCTGCTTACTCTCACCTCTGCAGACATGCAGAAACAGTCCCACCTGAGTAAGAGTGAGAAAACCGTCACCCCACCAAACATCGGACGTCGAAGAGACGTGCACATCAAGTCAGTTTTGGGTCGGTCGTCAAAGACCACATCTAGACGTCAGTGAGACGTGCAAAATAGGTTAGAAACTTCGACGTCCAAATTGGACCTTTTTTAGACGTCGCTCTGACGTTCAGAATTTTGACGTCATCTGAAGACCGAATTTAGACGTCGGCACAACGTGCAAAACGCGTCCGAGATATAGACGTCATTATTGGACCTCTTTTAGACGTTGAAATGACGTCCACATTTGTACCGCATCGTAGAAAAAGTACGTTAAATAGATGTCATTTCGACGTCGCATTGCGCAGTGGGACATATTTGCTAAGAAAGGGCGTCTGCTCAAAAGAAGAGCACTATCCGTAAATATTTTCATATTGAAAATATAATTGAAGTCGGATATTCTTTATGGATTCAACTTCTAAGATAGAGCATTATGAAATGACACCCCAGAAAACACCATGAATGTCTGCTTTGCTCTCCACCTTGCATGGCGGGGGCACTAATGGACATTAATCTTCCAAGCCGCATGCTTTGGCGGAGGTGACAGTCTGAGTGTGTGTTGATATTTGTGTTTATGTGTGTATGTGTTTATGTTTGTGTTCCAACTGCAGCCAAGAGCCCTCAGAGCCCCCAGCCAAAGGTTTGTTGTTTTCCATCTGCTGCTGTAAAAGTACATCCTCCCTTAAACTGCCCTTTGACTCTCTGTGGCAGGTTTCTTTGTTGAGACTGAAAACTAGTGGAACCTTAGAAAGAAGTCTCTACTCAAAACTAATGCCACGTCTATTATGACATTTTTTGGTGTTTACCGTTGCTAGGGTATTTGAGATGTCCCACAGCCCTTCTGCTCCCCTATGCAGTGACCATTAGATACACACTGTTATGTTCAGTTTCTCTTCAGTTTTCTGGTCTGTTATTAATGTAAGTCACCTGAGGATGTCCATGTTGATTGGTTGATGTGGTGCAAGTGTTTTGCTGGAGTTCAGATCATTCAACTCTCAGGAATAAGCAAATGAAGTAACAGTATGTTGAACATGTTGTGAATTTGCATCAGTTGCTCGTATGATTCACTCAGTTTACACAATCTGCACCATCTCATTTGCATCTCCTGACGAGAACTTGTATCTAATTTTGTCTTGAAGTTGAATTTGCTATTCCTTCACTTGTGTGAGTGTTTTTTTCCCTTCCACTGTGAACTCATCTCAAGTGTGTAACAAAACGTACAGCTCTTGAACAATGACAGAGCAGCAAACGTGTAAAAATGAGCAGTAAGAGACATTGTCGGCAAGTATAATGACGATGCAAATTTAAGGGTTAGAAAATGAATTTTAAAACAACTCAACCCAAGTGCCCAAGGCCTTACAGCAAATTATTCTCTCTTACCCACCAAAAATATGATCATACTAAGTTCTAAAAAGATGATCTTGGCTCTGTCCACTTCCAATAGTAGCTCTGTGATCCACTTTCTTCACCTACTGAAAACTTAGGGTTATGGTTGCTGTGTTATCATTGTCCTGAAATGTGGACAAGCTTTTGTGCAGTTTTTTTAACCTCCACATTGACATCATTTTCATCCCCAGAGGCTGCAGTCTGGGGTTTATATAGACAAAAAATTTGTCTGACTGTGGAAAAATAAAAAAATACATTCAGCCTCAAGTGGAACATTTTTCAGCTGCTAAGCCACAGGAGATCAGAGCAGCTCTGCAGCACATTAACATTTCATACATGAACATCTTACACAAGCTGTAACAGCAATGACTCTATATCTGCAGACAGCTGCACACATTCACAAACTACAGAATAGTAAATCTGAACAATGAATTAAAGTTTCATCACCCTCGCTGTGTGAACATGCATGCATGAACTATTTAATGCATTCACACTCGGCATGTGAATGTTTGTCCTGTTAGATTTAGCCCTGTGAAAAGAGGCTGTATACGTTCACACAGCCTTAGCTCGCTGTTAGCTTTCTTTAGATTAACTGCTGGATGTTTTTGGCTCTGTGTGGTGAAAGGCTGAGGGAGGCGGGGAGGGGTGAGGAATAGTGGTTGATGAAAGTAATGTGACAGAAAAGAACAGCACTCTGGTATTTATAATTTATCGGGGTTCAGAAGAGACAGCTTACTGTAATAAAAGGAATCGTGTTTTAATGTGCAAAACTACCAGAAAGTCAGAGAAACTATCACCAGCTGATATGCATTACTTTTTCTTTTTCCTCATATCAATATTAGACAAAGTTCTTGCACACTGCAGATTTTTTTTAATACTATGCGAATCATAAGAACACCGTGTTCTGGAGCTTTTTTTACGGCTTATATTTTATCACAGACTGCAGGTCTCAAACAAATCATTTAGTCTTTTCAAGCTTTTATATAACATTTTTTGTAATATACGGTACGTAATGTCGGGCCTCTGACTTGTGCTTCATTATAATTCAGAACAATACCTCTCATTTTCAAACCAGAAATCACAAGCACCCATCTCCTCCTGCTCCTCTCCCTGCTCTCCTCTCTCCACCTGCTGCTGCTTGATAGTTTGTACCGCTGTAGCACAACATGTTGAAGATTCAAACTCCAACATTAATCTTAACAGGAGCTGCAACTTCCTTGTGCTCCCAAACTTTGGCTTACATTGATCTGAGATATTTATGATGGAGTCAAAGTGAAAGTTGTTCGAGGAGAGGGGCCGCACCCAAACTCTGCTATTAAGGAAGAGAGGGAGGGTGCACTCCATCCAACGTAAAGGATGTAACAGGGGCAACCATAGACTGTATACAGAATGGACACCGTCTGCCTCCTTGCTGGGTGAAGCCACTCCGAGAACAGCACCCTCTGGTGACAGGCTGCAGTATAGGTCATAAATCCTGTCTCCACCAGCAAAGCTTATGGGGCTGTGGACAAACTTTAGAAATTTATTACACAGAATATAATTTTTTCTCCCTCCTGGTTGCAATGTTGACATTTAGTTCCTGTAGACTGGTTTGTGCTCAAGTCCTCTTTTTTTCTGTACAGCTCCATTTTTAAAAGTTATCAGGGGGTTCATATTTTCTATGATTGACATTTGATACAGCCTATGGGCATACAAAGATTGCGTAGCTCACCCGGGGGATATGCTGTTTGAGCCGAGCGTCAGCACAGCGACTCTCCCGCCAAATGTGTACAACGCTACTGCACAATGTTGGTTTCAGGAGGTGGAGAAAAATCGCGAAAATATTTTTCGGCTTCAAATCTGTATACTGACAGAAGGCGGAGCCAAGTTGTCCATAGTATATACAGTCTATGGGGACAACACAGCAGGTGGCACACAACAGTGGTTTAGTCTCGATTTTCATGTTTTTTGATCGTGAGGGGCCAAAATCTGAAACAGGATCGTGCCCTTTTTGAGCCATTTTTGTGAGATCAAGTGTGAAGCCCCTCATTTTTCATACATCCCAGTTTATTTGTGGAAAATCTGCCACGAAAAGAGGTTAAAGTATGTTTTTTCTTGTTTCTGCAAAATGGATCCTTTTGGTTGCATTGTCTTTTTGTCATATTGGTTGTTGAATGTGTTCCTAAAGGCACCTTGGTGAGGACAGTTAATTCAGCTGTGAGGCCGTTTCAGGATCATTTTAACTGAAACAACTCGCTCTCCCTCTCTGCTTCACTGAGATGCTAGAACTCTATGTTCTCTTTGAGTGTGTGTGTGTGTGTGTGTGTGTGTGTGTGTGTGTGTGTGTGTGTGTGTGTGTGTGTGTGTGTGTGTGTGGAGCCTAAAGGCAGCTGCAGTTGCAGGGAGGTCAAAGCATCTCTCTGCAGATAACTCCCACTCTTCCAGCCCACAGACTCTGTACTAACACACACACATCCAGCCCACACGCTGCCTGTGTCTATTGTCTTTCTAACCCACTCTTTCTCTTTCACTCTTCCTCAATTTTCTACTCAATTCACTCAGCTCCATCGACTTTTTTTGGAAGAACACACACACACACACACACACACACACACACACACACACACACACACACACACACACACACACACACACACACACACACACACACGTGGAGCCAGCCGAGGGCAGATCAGAGCAGGGCCATATGTCTTCATCACATGGTTGTTTCATTTATTAATGGACTAATGGTCTGCGTTACCCACAATCCCCTGCAGTCAAACATAAGGCCCGGTGGACTGCCTCATCATCAGTGTTTGCAGCAATGCAATGTGCAATTTTGCATATCATTAACAGTATTTATCAAATCTGTCACAGTTCAACGTTCAGAAGATTCAAACTGAACTGAAAACAGACTCTGAAGATTCAAATAGAGCGGCTGTCAAACTTCCAAACGCATCGGTCACTATAAAAAAGTTCACAGAGTTAAAGAAGTGCAACAAACATAGAAAGAAGACTCTGATTTATTCAATTTACTGTAAATTTACCATAAAATTTGATTATTTATTGCACTGCTACACAAGACACAGTCTTAGGTTGAACTGTGTTGCTATATGAAGATTTCTATCATGCTCAGCAATGTGCTGTTTTTATGTGGATGTGTAGCTCTGACAAATATCGCCATTCTGCCTGCTACCTCCAAAAACTCACACAACCTCCTCTACTACTCAACTGAGGAGAGGAAATGACTGCCAAGCAGACCAATCACTGGACAAGTTATGGACTAGAAGGTGTGCACTAATGCTGCGTTCCTGTTACCTCAGAAGTCGGATGTCGGAGCTGGGAATGACGTTACACCCAAGTTGATGGCGTTGCAGTTAACAAGTTGAAAAACCAAGATAGACGCCTACAGTTAACCGTTGTTAGCAGTTGTTTACAATTGTCAGCTGTTGTCAGCCATTGCCAGTTGTCAGCTGTCGTTAGCCGTTGCCAGTTGTTGTTAGATGTTGTTAGCGATACTAGTTGTATACAACGCATAACACAGTATTTTACTCTTACAAACACCATAGCACCGTGTTCACAGTTAGACGTTGGGCAGTAAAACATATACCACTTATTTAATTTCACAAAAACAAAACAAAAGTGCCAAAAATAATACATTCACTGTTACTCTTTACTGTCGATGCACTGCGCTGCCATCTTGGATTATGACGTTGTTGTCAAGTCGTGGTTGGTGAGAAACATCCAACTTTCCAAGCTGGAAATCGGACTTCAGGGGGGCGTTCTAAATGAATTTCTGACTCGTAGCTTGGGATTTCCGACCTCCGAGTACAACTGGAATGCAGCAAAAGTTACGGATCTAAGCTTCTATATCGTCACCCTGTTAAAATAATGGCCTAAGTCATTTTTTGACGAAAATTAGATTTTGGCCTGAATCATCTCTTGAGATGATTTAGAGATGTTTTAGGCCAAGAACAACTTTTCGTCAAAAAATGACTTAGGCCGTTTATTTTAATAGGGTGACGATATAGTATATAGTAGGGCTTTGTAGACCTACTGCGTATGCTGCAGCGTACAGAAGTTAGACACAAAAGCTTTAATCAGGTGACCAATTTTAGCATATTTCCACTTTGATCTTCCCAGTCAGATTGCAGGACTTTAAATATGAAAGATTTCATATTTTGCAGCATGCATTGCCCTTAAGCCTTTATAAACTACATGAATAATTTGCAAATCACTGATATGACTTGACTAAAGCTGAATTATTTATGCTAAACCCTAAATTACAATTATTGAGGCACAAATTAAGAAATTCAAGACTACAGATGGCCTCATTTAATTAAATGAAGCTCAATTAATTCTTCAATTGTGCAGAAAATTTTGCAAAAATCTGGACTAAAATGATCTGCAGAACCAGAATATTTCCCCTTTTCTCCAAAGAGCGACTTGTTCTTTTATTCAACATTTGCTGCTGAAAATACAAGCTGTAAGTTAACTCTTAAGCAATGTCAAAGTTTTTATTCATCATCTATTTTATTAATAAAAACCACAGAAATTAATGAGATTCTGACCTCCATGAAAAAAATAAGTTGCAAACATAAAAAAGTGAAGAGAGGAAGCAGATAAATCCTGTTAGGATTTATAAGGAGTTATAAGGCGAGGTTAGAAAGAAGAAAGAGAAGAAAGAACGAGAAGAGTCCTTGAGGACATGTGCTGGTATGTAAGCACAGCTGAAGGCTAATTCAGACTCTGTGTGTGTGTGTGTGTGTGTGTGTGTGTGTGTGTGTGTGTGTGTGTGTGTGTGTGTGTGTGTGTGTGTGCGCACAGTGAACACACTGTAAGTAAGCGGAGAGACAAAGAGAGACTCAAAGGGACAGAGATAAGAGATGGCATTGAAATGACTAGAAAAACACAACGTGACATGAAGACAGAAAAGATGAAAAGAGGAGGAGATAAATGAAGGAGGTGAAGAAGCTGAGGACTTCATGTCATAACATAGAAGTCACGTGACCTTCTTAACATGTAAATTACACATCAGTACAAGAAACATAAATGTGTAAATCTGGAATATGAAAGCCAGTGCCTCCTTCTGTTTCTGCAGTGAAACCCAAATGGGACCAGACAATTGATTTTATTCAAAGACAGACCGTGAAGTGAAGCCAAAATACGCCTCATTGGTATTGACACATTGTGAATTCATAGCCAGAGTCTTCTCATTATAGAGCTGCAGTATTGATGCTCTACCCTTTACACAAACCAAAACATTTACCTTGCTAATGAAACCTCTAAGATCCTATTTTTGATTGGCTGAACGGATTCTTGTGTGAGATTAATGCAGACACTCGTGGTTATAGAAAGTCCAGTGACTTCTGTGTTGTTGTTTGGAGCACCATTGGTCAACTGAGCTGCCAATATACCCTGTTAAATAGTATTAAAATGATCAGGGTTTACAAAGAAAATATGCACATATATATTTTGATGTTGTGGTATGACTCATGTTCATAGAGAAGGGAAGCTTATGATGAACACTGTGGCCAGTAATTAAGAGGGCTTTGCTTTCATTTACTTTTTCCACTTTTAAAATACTACTTCACAACCACTGTCACTATCAGTAACACGACTGCAGCTTTAAATTACTTTCTGACACATTTATATTCACATATTCATATTGTTTCACTTGCGTTTTTAAATAGGTTATAAACTCTCAGCATTTCCACAAAATTTCTGCAAAAATTTGAATTTTTCTACCAAAAATTAAACTCCTGCTGAGCAGGATTTTTTACTTGGAGATCAGTTATGCAACTCACAGTTGCTTTTTGCAATAAGTAGTTATCGAATAATAGGTTCAAGTGCAACGTCTAAATTCCGTCTAAGATTATACAGAATCTAGACTGTTGAAATTAGGTCTTAAAAAACAAACAAAAAACAAGATGTCTAATAGCCATCTATTGCTCAGTGGGCTTCCTGTAAAAAGTAATTCTTGAATATAGATCAGCATGATAAGAAAAAACTTGGACTGGAGGGTTTATGATTTTACAGCAGGTAGCCTGTAAGGAAAGTTTCAGACAGCTTAAACCTGCACTCCTATTAATACAACTGCACCATCAAACAAGTTTCTCTCATATATTCATATTTTCAGTGAGATATTGTGGTAAACTGTGACTTAGTGCAGTCAGTCAACTGTCATTCCAAAGGTTGCAGAACAGATCCTGCAGTCACATGCCAACTATCCTTGGGCAAAACATCAAACCCCAAATATCTCCCGGTGGTAAATGTGCGAATGGAAATCAGGTAATACTAATGGTTTCCTCACAGTAGCATCCTTTCTATGAGCAAAATCAGTGTCAGTCAATTAACCATCCAAGTGTAAATCCATATTTTGCACTGGATTGCCAGCTACCAACGATCAGCATTTCCATGCATTTTCTGCTAAATTTTTCTGGTAAAAACAAAATATCTCAGAAAAATGAACCCTTGGATATAAATCAGCAGGATAGAAACTAATGACAGAAAAAAAAAATATTTGTGTGAAAAAAATATATATTTAAAGGGATATTCTGGTGTAAATTAAGTTAGGGTCAAACACACCGTAACACTGAGATAGACACCCCGTCAAGAGATGAATGTCGCCGACCGTTTGCTTCTCTAGTTATACCAACTTTAGTAACCACCACAGATAGCAATACAGAGAGCCACGCGCTCAACCAAAACCCCACTCTATAGTCACAAATAATGCTCAGAACAGCACCTAACTTCATCAACAGTACATATAGGGTCCCAGCCACAGCACTAGCCACCAAACATCTTTTTAGCTTTGCCTGATTTTTTTAGCAAAGTGACTAAACAGCCGCTTACTTGTACGGAGACCTCCGGGCGAGTCCATCGACTGCAGCGGGGTGACACAGCTCAAGGAGGAACATTTATGATCATTTCCTCATGGAAATGCAATCAGACCGAAATGCTAAGGCAGAAGAACTACCGTGTCTGCAGTGCAAAATGAATAATATGGTGATTATTACTTCAAGGGAATGATAAAGAAATGATCATAAATGTTCTTCCTTGAACTGTGTCACCCCGCATAGAGGACGCAAGCTTTATGAATGTTTTGACTACACTTTTGGGGAGCCATCATGTCCTCTATCATTTCATAGAGTTTATAAGCTTGATGCTTTGGTTTTTGGGTAAAAGATTAACGCTGTCAGTGTTAAAGATGTGTGGGTTTAGTAGACTAAATGATTAAATATCATAATCCTAATTAGTTTGCAACAGAATACATGTGTTCTTTGTTGGCGTAATAATCCTTTATGCTTGTACCACTTATTTTCTTGCTCTCTCTCTCTCTCTCTCTAAACTATGAACCTAATCTAGCTTGATGTCCGTCACTGAAAATGTCAGGACAATTAAGGCAATTTTTATCCTTATTTTGCTCCATGTGTTTGATGTTAACACTCTCTCTGTTGTGTTGGATGTCATTCTCTCCGCCCACTCAAATACCACCTTAAAACCTGCTCTCCAAGCCCCTTCATCTCTCCCTCCACCTTCTGCAGCAACAACCCTGCTGCTGCTATTGCTCCAAACACATGTACACCAAAACTCTCTGTTACTCTTCACCTTATTGGAGTCCATCCAGCTACCGTATGAGAGGACCGAGCAGACCACCCACCTCCAGCTAGTTTTAGTTTTCACATGGAGGAGAAAGAGATGTAAGGAGGAATGACAGGTGAGGTAAAATGATAAGTCAGCCTGCAGCTTTAAAAGCAAGACGAGCACAGATGGAGTAATGAGAGAAGTAAAAAGTCCGAGTTTAGTTTCAACGACTCTCAAAGACATCTGATGGAGGGCTGCGAAGAAAAGCTGAGAGCTGAGGTGTTAAATTTTAACAAAAAAAGTCTCAGAAAAATGTCTGTGTGAGGTTGTGCATCCAAATGTGACACCATTTTTTCACCAAAACTTAACAAAAGCATCAGATCCTCTCAAAAGTTCTGGGCCAGAAGGCTTATTGAATAAAAGAAGCGATTGTTCGGGAGTTTTTAACTGGATATAACACAGAATGAACAGTGATGCCACTTTATGATCTGCAAAAGCAAATGAGACAACCAAGGACAAGACTGACAATTTCTATAATGTGATGACTGCGAGGGGGCGGATGTCAGACGAGACGGTTTTACTGAAAAAACTCTTTTCTGTGTTTCTGTTTCTACAGATAATTCTCACAGTGAGTGCTGTATAATATGAACGTGTTAATAAACGGGAGCAGGATGGGATTTGTTTTGTTAAAAAAACAATCTGTTGCAGGTCCGAATCTCCCCTCTCACCTTACTTGATCCTTGATGGCAACAGTTTGATTCAAGGCTGATTCATTAAAACAACAAAAGATCTGATTTGATTTGTTTTGATTTCGCTCAAAGCAGATTGATAATCAAAACTTTTGCTCAGCATAACTGAGCACAAAATTATTTTTAAATGATCATTCAAGCCTTTTGCCTATTTATGTTTTTAATTTTGTTTGGTTAGTTTGATAGAGACAGTGGACCCCTATTCAGCTGTAATCCCCTGAGCAGGAGCATCACCTCCTGTTACAAACAAATTTTACAACTTTAAACCCTTCAACAAAATCAACCTCACAGTACTAATTATGTCAGCCTCACAGTCACATAATTAGTACAATATTGAAACGTTCAGTAAAATATATAAAATTACCCCAAAATCCTGGCTTGTCTGCTTATTTAGCTTCCTGGATTTTGCGAAGCCCCACTAGCACTACAGGCAAAGTAGTTTGTATCCATAGTAAAATAATGAGAGTAGAAACAAACACTAATGGAGAGAGCTTATTGTATAGAAACTATTTAAGACATAAGTTATATTTCTACCCACATAAATATTCTGTGATTGTCATATGTAGTTAGCATGAGGAGTCGACTGATTATTGGCCAGTCGTTGGGCCAATATTAAGGCCGATAAGATAGTTGATGAAATGCAATCAGTTGAAAAGTGTGCCACAGTCATTATTTTGTTCAAAGCTACAGCCTCCCTCTTGTTGGGCTCAGTAAACAGAAACAGAAACACGAGCACCAACCTCCTCCGCCGGGCTTGGCGATATGGGAAAAAGTTTATCACAATATATTTTTCATCAGTCGATATCGATATATATCACAATATAAAAAAATGAAATTTACAGTGCTTATTGGTAGCATCTTTTGCAATACAATAAGCTACTGAATCTATGTGGTCTTTGTTTTGTCGTAAGGCGTTGCGCTAGAGAAAGCAGATTGAATGGTCGGCTGTTTCGGCTGCACAGGTGCACCTTGCTCCGCTCGGGGTTTGTAACCTTTTGCATTGCGCATGCTCTGCCACGTGGCACTGCTTCAGGTGGTGAGAAAGATTTGAGGTATTTCTTGACTTTGAGAGAACATGTCCTCTATATAATTTGCAGTGCACATTACTCTGCCTTATGTCTGACCTCAAAAAAAACAAAATACCTCCACAACACCAACGTTTTCGTGCCAGTGTTGTCAACGTTTTTATCATTTGTTGAGTTTTATCTGTTTTTCTCCCAGGGGTAGCACTCATTTTCTTTTTTTCTCACCAACAGTGCTGTTGGTTTCACGTGTGAAAGTGCTAATGTTGCGTGTAGCTGCAGCCTGCTACTACGCAGTGTTTTGCTACTTGGTTCTAATTCAGCACATGATCGGTTCAGCGATGCTGACTATCAAAAAGCATATTGACCATGCTTTATATTGATATTGAGAGAAATTAATTTTCGATTTATATCGTTATCGTTTTATCGCCCAGTCCTACCTTCTCCACCTCCTCTCCCTGCTCTTCTCTCTCCACCTGTGGCTGCCTGATAATTTGCACTGCTGTACCTTCATTATGTTGCGCTACAGCGGTCCTTCCTCAATTAGCAATTTCCTGGTGCTCCCAAACTTCATTTCACATTGATCCGAGCCGCTTCTGATGAAGTGAAAATGAGACCTCTTACTTCTCAGACTGAACATGACCCCATTTAAGGGCAATGGCTCTGCAGTAAGCTTCAATTGGACACTCAAGAAACTGCTGTTTTTTTTTTTTTAGCACTTCCTCACTGGCTTCATATTTTAAACCCAGAGATTGCCACTTAGACTCAAAAGCTTAAACAGCCCCACCTCCTATCTATTTTGAATAACAATGATGGTAATGGACTCAGGTAATGAAGCCGCAGGATTCCTCTTTGGTGAGTCAGACTGTGACACTGATATTACAATGTCAATGCAATGAGAAAATATTACTTAAGGCAACATGCAGTTACTCATATATTAGCCATCCATACAACTATTATTTTAATCCAACCGCTTCTCCTGTTTGGCGTTGTGTGGGTGGAGCCTACCCCAGCTGTCACATATGTTGTCTACTGTTATTTATGAGTAACACTAGAAGTACCTTTAAACAATTACTAATGAGACTACAAGAAACATTGTGTGCTTTATGCATTAAGTCTGCTAAAAAAATTAAAAAAATACAAGATGTTCAGAAATCTACAACGTGAAATGACCCTGACACACACACTGTTAATGGAAACAGAGGGACTGTAAAATGACGGTAATTTACTGCTGTCAGAATCTCAGTGTTTATTTACATGACAGGTGGAGATAGGTTCAAGAAAACCGACAACACCTGAACGCAACACGTGCATTCACGCCTTTGTCAGCTTTGATATACTGTCAGACATCGCTGAATGAAAATGTGCCCGTCACTCTGGGTGTTATTTTACAGTCACAGATGAATCTGCAGGGGTTAAAGCCTCCTGAATGAAAACAATGAGAATTCATTTCATCTGCGCCGCATTCAGATTCATCGCGCTGCTCCACAGAGTTTTTCATCATCCTAAACGAGCGTGGTGACATTTCCTCCTCTTTCTCATGCTGTCTGTGAGGAACACGTCGGTCATTTCTGTCTGCTTTCCTCTCCAGTGGATCATAAAAGCGTCATAGCTCAGCCTTTTCCTCTGACCGCATCCACCGCTGCGCAACCAAAACATCCAGCCTGACCTGCTTGGAAAAACTGAAACCCCCGTTTTCACCGGTAAATAGAGAGGTTTTACAAGAGCAGAAACCGAACATACCGGCGGATTTCGGCGGCAAATAAACGAAGGGAAGTTAGAGGATGAAAAGGTTTGAATTGTAGAGCCGGTTTACTTACGTCTGTGCTGAAAAGCCATGAAGATGATGGTGCTGATGGTGCTGAGGAGGGTCGACATGACTGGAGTCTGACATCAGCACTGGATGCTGCCGTATGTGTGTGTGTGTGTGTGTGTACCTCCCCCCTCCCCCATTTAAGTACACAAGGAGGAGGGGAGGGCGAGGGAGGTGAGGAAGACTCCAGGGAGGAAGATCAACTCACAGTTTTCCTCTTTTCCGTGTAATAAACTTTAATTTTCTGACTTTTTTCATGGGTTTCAAATAGAGTTGGCATTGCAGACATGGTCATCTTTGCACAACATTTTGCACAGAAAATAATTGGACTTAAAGGGATATTACGGCGTAAAATTGATTTAGGGTCAAACATACTATAATGCCGAGTTAGACACCCCCTTGAGAGATGAATGTTGCAGACCACTTGCGTCTTGAGTTTTACCAACTTTAGTAACGACCGCACGATAGCAATACACAGCAGTCTGAGGAGCCATCAACAAACCTCAACCAAAACACCACTCTATAGCCACAAATAATGCTCAGAACAGCACCTAACTACAGCAACAGTACATATAGGGTCCCAGCCATAGTTCTAGCCACCAAACATCTTTTTAACTTTGCCTGATTTCTTTAGCAAAGAGACGAAACACAACTCACCTACTCTCTTCCAGCAGCCGTTTGTTTGTAGCGAGACCTCAGGCCAGTCCATTACGGACTACTGTGGGGTGACGCAGCTCAAGGAAGAACATTTATGATCATTTCTTTATGGAAACGCAATCAGACCCATAAGGAAGAAGAACTACCGCGTCTGCAGAGCAAAATGATTAATATGGTGATTATTACTTTAAGGAGATGAAGGAAGGAATTTTTTTATTTGCAGTGGGCTTTGGTTTCTTTTTTTTTGTATCGACAACTTCCGTTGTGACTTCTTTTTTTGCATTCTTTTTTTATTTGCAGCAGTGGCAATTCTCTGCCATTGTTTCTCATAAACCAGAAAGAGGTTGACTCCGCCCCTTTTGGGTGATCCCATTTTAACATTTGGGACACATCATAAGACTGAGATGTCTTTAACACTCACATCATCAGGTGCTTTCCTAGTGAAAAACCACACTGAATAAGATAAAATTGTTAATATTTAAACAATGATACTAAACAAGCCACCCATACCTGCGAATTTGAGCTAACATATGAATGAACAAATCAGACTTTATCCATGAATATTGCTGAAACACAAACTTATAAGGTGCAAGAAATTACATGCAAGCCAGATTGTTTATTTCACAGGTGCAAAAGAAAATCTCCAAATGCACTTACATCAGGGAATTAAATATGCTGAGGTGACACCTATTGGACAGCTAGCTGCAACTTCCCGTTGATTAGGAAAAGATACCCCTAAATTATTCTTTGCTTTCACATCATCAGTGATTTTAATAAATATCAATCTCCGATTTGTTCTTGGATGTAAACATTTATTTGGCTGTAAAGTTTGACACTTTTTTATGGGGCTTGATGGGGTTTCACTCACTTTTGGAGACAGCCTCAAGTGGACACTTGAGGAATTGCAGATTTTAGCACTCATGAGGTTGCTTGTATGCATCATAAATCAGTGTGTATCTACGTGCTGTTGGGATTTGTAGATCATGAACTGACAAACAGATGAGTGTATTAGTGTGAGGAGAAAAACTGACAAAGCTTTTGCCTTCCTTGCTTTCGACACAATATGAAGATTTAAACCACATAATAAAGTCATGAAGTCACTCATTTAACTGTGATTAATTTGTCCACCACAGGGAGATGCTGTTTTCTCTGTGTTAGTGTTAAATGAGACCCTGCTGGACTCCCTCTCACCACAGTGGCTTTAATTTGCTGTGTCAGTGGTTTTGAATGTGTGTGTGTGTGTGTGTGTTTGCGTGTTTGCGTATCTGTGTGTTTGTCCCCTTCGCTGCTGTAAACTGTGTCGACTTCTTAGACATGAGTCACGTTGGCTCCACTGGCCTACATTTAGTCCTGATCTCAAACTGCAACTCCAACTCTGATGGAGTCCTTTATTTCGTTTGTTTTTTAACACATTAATGATGCAAATTAAACACATTTTTATCTTATATTTAACAAGTTATGTAATCTACTGAATACTACACTACTAATGTTAACTCATAACCTACAATTAGTTTACTATGTCGGTATCTAAACTATCAGCGTTACGTATGATGTCTTCAAGGATATCTTTCTTGACTTTTATCAAGATTGCCCGAAAGGACTTTAAGGTATATCATATCGTATTGTATCGTATCGTATCGTACCGTACCATTTCTAGACTGTTGGGTCAGGTACAACAAAAATGCTGAAAAAGTTGTGTAATTTTAGTGAATAAAACACCTTAAGCATTATCTCCCTGCTACTAACATTAATTTGCAATACATTAATAATATGACTGAGTCAAAAAGGGGAATACAAGAATGGCCGAGTCTCTCAGAAGTTTAGATGAGAGGAAATCCACAACTGCATAAGCAAACCAACAAGTTTTCATGTAAAATTCCAAAAATTCATGATTTTATCTATTACAAAGAGACAAGACCTAAAAACTTCTTGATGGTTGTAAACTTTGGCCTGACTCTTGACTCTGCATTAAAAATAGACATGATACTATAGTGGAAGTCACCACATTTGGCTTTTTGGCTTTCAATAATAAATAACTTTGCTTTTGATGTACCAATAAAATATCTCACATATAATGAGAAATATGACAAGAATGGGTAATAACCCAACTGTACTCTTTAGTTGTGTGTGAATGTGCTTAAAAAGAAGGGATGATCAAGGAATCTATGTTCAAGAATAAGAGAGAATATCAGTAATGAATCTGAGACATAACAGGAAAAACTAACAGTATCAGGGTGTTTCTCTGTCAAACACGAAGATTTAATCCACACTAATTGTTCCTGCAGTTTGAGCTCCATGTGCTCTTATTGTTTCCTTCAGTGAACATTACGGTGTACATGCATATCTGTCACTTTATCTATGCATGATGAGGTCTATATGTGGGTGTGCCTGTTATGTGTGTGCATGACTCTTTCTTCTGTTATGTTGTTGTTACTGTTAAGGAACAGCTAAGATGTCTATTTAATTCCCTTAAGTCTGCGCACTCTGACTGATAAAGACAATGATGCCACAATGACATTTAATGGGAGACGAAACACAGCTTGAGGAACGATGTAAATACAGGGGATGTCCATGAGAAAACGACAAAAGACATAATTTCATAAATTCAGTCACAAACACTCAAACCCAGACAACAACGGGAAAAGGGAAACAGTTACTTTTGAAGGTGCAAAGTGGAATGTTTTTTTTTTTCACTGTTCATTACAGTACATTTACATGTCATCCAAAAAACACTCAATATATTCAATATAATATATTGATATATAATATAGTAAAACTGAAACTAGGCTTTTAAAATATGTGCTAACACTAACTCCAACTAAAATAGCATGAAATTGAATTTCTCCTTGTAGTACTACATACCCAGATAATGCGATTGGCAGCTGATTTTCTGTCCCGTGTTTACGCTTCACCTAGGCTCAAACTAGCCCCTAGTTCTACCAATACTTCACATTTTGCACATTGGGTTTTGAACATTATTATTGTATAGTAAACAAAAACTTAGAAGAAGAAAAATGGATGATAAAAAAAGACACAGCCGTTGTATCACTCGTAGATATCTAAAGACCTGAAAGAGTGGGAGTTTTCATTGTTGGCCTTTATTAACCTGTTTTAGTACATAATGTAACAGGCCATACTGTGACAATCTGAGAGGAGGCATATCGCCACCTATCCTTCTGTGTAAGGCATGAACTTTAAGGGGGTTTGGTTGTTTACACATCTCAACAAGAAGCTTTAGTCCAAGTTGTCAGGCATGGTAGGGGGTGATTAGCGGGTAATGATGGTGAAGTTTGACAACAGAGAGTTAACGTGTCAGCAGCCAGATGATGTACAGCATCCCTGACAGGGTTTGGACTCCAGCTCTGATTAGATAAAGGGCTGTGTAGGGACAGGACTGGAAAGGGTGCTTCAGTATTAATCATACATGTATGACTTTGGACTTTCTTTGTGTTGCATTTGTGTCCTAGTTTGTGTGTTTTTGGCTTCGCCCTCTTATCTGTATTTCTTTTTCATATTTATCTGTATTTTGGAAACCGTCCCTGAATTTCCTGCATGTTTTCCCCAGTGAAAATATCTTGTGGTGCGTTTGCAGCAATATGCACGATTATAAACAGCCTCAGTCTGTATGTGTTGGTTTGTTTGTGTATGTGAACATATGCATAATCTAAAGCAAGACTCTATGTGCTGTGACAGCAAAGGTCAGCAGCACTGCGCTCATACTGAGGCTGCAGGGAGCTCCGCAGGTGACTGCGATATCTCCACCAAACAGTGCCCCAAAGATGGCCTGGATCCCGCAGAGGTTATTAGTCGTACAACCACGAAGCAACGACTGCGTGGTGTTGGACGTCCCTACAGAGAAAGGAGGAAAATATGCATTGCAGCTTCTCCAGTTTGTTTGTATATTTTTACATGCTGTCATACAATATTGATATAGAGTTTCACATTTTGAATTGAATTATGGGAAGAAAAAAAAGAATTGGCTGAAGAAGAGGAAGAAGAGGAAGAAGAAGAAGAGGAAGAAGAGAAAGAAGAAGAAAAAAGAAGGAAGGAAAAAAGAAAATGAGAAGGAAGAAAAAAAGGAAAAAAGAAAATGAGAAGAAGGAAAAAAGAAAATGAGAAGGAGGAAAAAAGAAAAAGAAAATGAGAAGGAAGAAAAAAAGGAAAAAAGAAAAAGAAGAGGGAAAAAGAAACAAAATAAGAAAAATAAAAAAGGACAAAAGAAGGAGAAACAAAAAGAAGAAAAAAGAAAAAGAGAAATAAAAAGGAAAAAAGAAGAAACAAAAAGATGAAAAAAGAAAAAAAAAGAGAAAGAAGAAGAAAAAGCAAAAAAGAAAACAAAAAGAAGGAAAAGTAGAAAAAGAAAAAAGTAAAAAAAGAGGAAAAAGAAAAAAAGTAAAAGAAGATGAAAAAGAAAAAAGTAGAAAAACAAAGAAAAAGAAGAACAAGAAGTTTATTGATTCCCAGAGATGCCATGGCTATGATGCCAGATGTAAAGGGAAAAAAAAACATGCGTTGATGCTAAAGTCTGACTTTTAAGTGGCAGAAAGCTGTCTCTCTTTTAACCGTGGGCAAATAACACATGGATGCAGTGTCAGTGGTGTCACCTGAAGTAGAGTTTTGACTTTTCAGCAGCTGTTTTCATATTACAAATGCTGACTCAACCTAACTTGGTCAACTTACCAAGAGGTGGGCTTATATAGCCTCTTTGCTAACAGCTACAGTGTGCCTCAGCCACGTCTGCAGTTTTTAGTGTTATATCATTTCTCTAAACTAGAAGTTACTGCTCGGTTGTAACTCAACTGGACAATCATGTATACCTATTCAACAAAACTAACTTGGTAATATTCTAAGTTTTAGTTTTGTATAAGCTGAAATGTGCCACTCTACAGTAATTATTACTTAAAAATGTTCACTGTGGGCAGTGTAGGCCCTCCGCAAAAATAATATGGACATAGAAATGTTTCAAACCATAATTTTACAAACGCCTGTCAGGCCTCAGCTACTCGGTCAATAATGCTGATTCTGATTCTGGTTCTGAAACACCAGCAAACCTCACTGATACAAAGTCTAAGATTTCTTCAGTTTTTTTTAGGGCTTAGCTGTGGGGCTGAACTTACTGGTGCCACTGAAGCAGCGATCCTCCACACCCTCACAGGACACGGTGGCATTGCAGGTCCCATTCAGGCTCTCAGCCATGCTTGCACATCCAGGACACTGCTTCCCGTTGGTTAAACTGTTAGGAACTGGATTTATGAGGGTAGTCAGTAGACAATAATTGCTGTATGATTATGATAAATTACAGGTTATAGAAATAAATAGCTCGTACTAGCCAGGTTGCGCAGGTTGCAGTTGTCGGTGGAGCAGCAAAGCTGACGGTTGGCCTCTTTTATGAAGCCTTGGTTGAAAGACCATTCAGTTTCAGTGTTGAGAGGAGTGAAGCAGGACAGCAGTGTGGAGCAGTTTTTACTCACTGTCACACTTGTGAACACACCCGCCCTCCTCACTTCATTAAACACCAGTCAAAAACAAACAGAAGGAAAGACACCAGGAAAACAAATGAGTTGTTTTGCAGGAAAAAATTGACATTTCATTCATATGGTAATTATGTAAAACCACTGAACAAAGCAGTACCCACATGTAGTGATGGATCTGCACACTGAGAAGATTGGACACGTGACTACGGTTGAGTTGGAGCAGTTTTCATTGCCACACACGTGACAATCCAACGACTCAGCTGAAAAAGTAAACACAATCCTTTCAGCCAGCTGGCACATAATAAAGGGTAGACAGGTTCAAAATAAAATCTGAAACATTTCGTCTTCAAGTGTGGTGCGTGTTCTTGAGTGAACTTTTAAGGGGTAGTATTTTAGCATTGAACTTGGACTATTGTTTTATAGCAGTGTTAACTTGATTCAGTCATTCAGGGAGAAAAACCTGTTCAGATTATTTATTTATGCGAATGTAGCAGGAAGTTCCTGGGAAACTACACCTGTAATGCAGTGACATCATGACAGGGCTCTTTTGTAACCCTTTAAAATGGACAAGCAGACTGGTTCTGAGGTGTTTCACAATATGAGCCAACTCTGAACCAATGCAAGCACAAACTTGGTTTGCATTTGAATGACCAAAAGATTAGAAAAATCTAACAGAAGATTTTATGTCATTTTCCAAAAGGGACAATACAAAACAAAGGTTTCTAAAATTGTAAACTTCAGCTACAAAGTTTCACACTGTAACTCAAACAAGAAAAAAATAGACTTTCAGTTTTTCATTTGCTGCGCAAAAACTCAAATCCCAAATCAAAGGGTTACTGTCCTACTACTTGTTAATACAAACTATTTTGTTAAATAGGTTTGAATACCAATTTCAAGAAAGTCGTGAAGAAAAATTTGTGTGCTGCGCTGGCGGTTATTCTCACTCCTTGCAATCAGTTTGTGATATCTTGATATGTAATGTAAAGGTCTCTTGTTATATATAGAACATTATTTTCTGCTTTAACATATTTATAAAAGTCATCTTCCATCTTTAACGCATACACTAATTTGTGTGTTTTTCGGGCTCTCTGACTGCTTGAACAGCAAGGCTCAACGACAATTGAATATTGTTAAAGACTGGTGATTGTAAAATTGTTGAATGAGTGTTTATGTAATGTTTTTTATTTTTTGTGTCAGACCCCAGGACTAAAGGGGATCCTAATAAACAATGAACAATAGCAACCAACAAGAACCCCAATTCCAGCATACCACTCAAAAAACATGTCATTGAAAACAGTCAAAATCTGACCGTTAATTAAAGTGACTTTTTTTGCAAGTTTTCCTCCTCAAAACAATGAGCTAATTATATTTTTTGTATGTTTGTCTGGAGGTCAGACTCTTTATACCACTGGACAAACTAATCAGCAACCAGTCCCAGGCTGTTCTTATTATTATGAAGCTGTCTAACAATACAGAGTCATCTGCATATTCTATAATGGTCCTATTGTCAAGTCTGCTCCGGGACATGTTTGCATTAAGGATGAACAATGAGGAGGACTGAACTGACCCTTGTAAGGAAGCTATGAGGATATCAGTTACCCTGTCTCTGTAAGTTTTTGTCACAAAAAAAAAGTTACAAAAATAAGACAAAAATAGGAAATTGACTGTATTTTCCCTCACTGTTGTTTCTTTACTGTGTAAAATTCAGAAATGTGTGCTGTTAAAGAAACAAACAGGAGCTCAGTCCTCTCCACCATCCAGTAATTTTACTCCAGTTTAAAATAAAAAAAAGCTTCAATACAAAAAAAAAAATACAGTATATTTTAGTTGTAGACTCTCAGGTAGATATCATTTAAAGTCATTTACCTGTGTTCAGCAGAGCGCAGGTGAGACACACAATCAGCAGCAGCTTCATGTTGGATGAGCAGTTCAGTTTAATCACTGTTAGAGGAAACTCAGAAAAGTGTGGGTGGTTCCTGAACGCAGCCTGATGCTGTGTGATGTTGTTGAACCTGTTTAACCTCTGATAATCAGATCATTTGGGTTTGATTCAGAGTTAAGAGAGCTGTTTTAGCTGATAGGATCTCACAGAGGGGATGTCACAGCTCTGTAATGAGCATACCTTCCATAACTTTTAGTGTTCTGACGCAGATTTATATCATCCTAACAATAAGTTCCATCATATGACATTTTTAAACAGGGTTTTCATTCACTGTCCTTACAGTCCAGAACGAAACTTGTCTGGTTAAGAGGTCACATGATGCTGGTTGTTAACTTTAACAGATCTTTAACAGCTGATGTCAGGCATGTAAGATTGTCATGACAACAGACGTAACCTGTGAACATTCAACACTATTACAAAACAGGATGACAGCCACATTTCTCATATGTTTTTGTGTTTGTTACAGTGCAGGGTTAAAATTTTAAAAGAGCTACAAAAAGCCAGAGGAGCAGTGAAGTAAATCTTTGATGACAATTTGTCTGAACATACAAAAAACTCAACAAACATACTCTCTATTTCTTTCTCCTTCTTTTCTTTACATTTCTCCTTATTATTTTTGTTACAATTGAGCCAAAGATGAGTGAAAAATTGGACTGATGAAGACTGTGAATGTAAATCTGTGAACCTTTTTAGCCACAGAGTCTGTGATGAAAGATGTTTTTTTTAGTTCCCATGTTTTAGGAGTAGATCAGGGTCACTAAAGGTCAGAATGCGGACTTTAACCATCAAATTCGGACTTTTTCTGACTAGTTCTGACTCCAAAGTCAGAATTCTGAAAAAAATAAAGTCAGGATTTCAACTTCAGTCACATTACTTTGTGAATTTTTACTCTAAAGTCAGAATTTTGAGGAGGAAAACTCTTAAATCTGACTTTGATCTCAGAGGAAAAACAAAATATCTGACTTTAAACATGATTTTTTTCTGTCGTATTTTTCTTCTTCTGCAGTATCAAAACCAAACTTAATGACAGTTTGTGTCCAGCTTTAGGATTTGCAACATCATATTGTCACATTTAACTTCTTTATAACTTTATAATTATTTGATAAATTTAGGACATTATAATCTCAGTCGAGGTGATTTTACTTAAAAAAAAACACAGATTATTGAGGAGTTGTCTCTGCAGTAACTCCATCGTGCAGCAGATGGTGCTGCAAGGCCGTGAACTTGCTGCCTGTGTGACACTTGCATCTGAAGATGACTAACCATAGAGATTTACAAAGTCTAAAAACTAAATCCCCCTGGATTAATAATCCCGTCTAAAGGAGGTCAGAAGTCTGGGTCAGAGTTTGAAGCGGTGACAGACATTCCTGAGCAGATATGTAACAGTTTCTCCCCCTTTCAGGGCCTCCCCGAGGTGCTGCAGGTCTTTCTCCCCCACATTCCTGATGACCCAAAGCTGCTCCGCCATCACAACAAACCCTGCTGTAAAGACTTCACTTAGAGGTGATGACACACTCCACAACCCAGACACATGCAGACCGTTGTGTAACTAACAAAAACAAAGCCAAACTCTGAGGGTCTGCTCTGCTCTGTTTCCATGCAGGTGTGAGGACGCCCAGAGGAAGAATAAAACCCCGATGGGAGCAGATCAGACGGAGCACCACAGAGAGCCGGATAATAAACTAAAAGGAGTTCTGGGTCCTCTCAGAAACCACAAGATCCCCCAGCTACACAGACCCCTGCCGGCTCAGACAACGCAAACACAACAGTAACTTGAGAGATGAAGCACACACACACGCCTACGCACAGAAACACGCAATATGAGCTCATGCTGCTTCCTAACAATACAGAGGACTGACATGAAAGCACACCCCATCAATGACTTACAGACATCTCAGATTTGTCACCAGTCAAGCACAGAAAAATCTGAAAGTTACAAATTTAATGTAAAAAGAAAGTTTGGAGCAGATTTTGTAATATTGGAGCGCTGTCACCACATGTGTGTGCTTTTGGCTGCTTTTGGCATCTGCTGTGTTTGCACGTGAGCGTCTGCAGACCTGTTTATAATCAAATACACAGCTTCGGTTTGAGGCACCTGCTACAGACTGAAGCTTTGAACCTGAGGACACGATTTCAGAAGAAGCAGTTTGTTTCAAAAGATTAAAACTTCACCTTTACTGTAATCAAATGATAAGGTTTTTATTCATTCTGCTGGTTTAAAAGCTCTTAATTTCACTTTTTAAGAGTCATTAAGCCAACTCAACAGCATTTAGAGCTACCATGATATCTTCAATAATGATAAGCGCCTATAATTAATCAATACTTTTTTATTATGCTCAAGTAGAAACAGGAAAGTTGGGATGTTATGAAATTATGGTGAAAACAGAATCTGGTGGTTTCAAACTCCTTTAAACATTATGCTTCACCAAAAACAGTGCAAAAATAAAGTATCAAATATTTCTTTCTTTTTTTTTTTTTTTTTTAGTTTTATGATTTTTTTTGGTTTTTATTAAAGAATATAGTATCTTAAATACAGTTGAAACCAGAAGTTTACATACACTATATAAAAAGGCGCATAACCTTTTTTTTTCTCACCATCTAACATTAAATCAGATTAAACTTTTCCTGTTTTTGGTCAATTAGGATTACCAAAATTATTTTTATTTGCTAAATGCCAGAATAATGAGAGAGAGAATTTTTAGACAATTTTTTATTATTTTCTCGACAGTCAAAAGTTGAAGCCAGCTACATATTTTAAAAAAAGTTATTACAAGGACAATAAAACACTGAAAAAGTGGTGTAATGCAAAAAATAATGTCCAGAAGAACATCTTTCAACTAAGAAGGTTAATTTGCAACAGGCTACTAACACGACTGGGTGTAAAGAGGAGATTCAAACAAGTCTGAGTCTCTCAGGGACAAAATCTGAGGAGATTTAACACTTTTGAGAGACTGCGTGAGCAAACTGTTCAACAATTTATGAATCTTGTCCCTCGGTGAAAATAAAGGCAAAGAATTTGTATATTTTATCATTTTTAGGACATAATGTAATCAAAGCTGCAGAGAATCCTAAGAAATCTCTGTACAAAAAGGACATGGCCCAAAACCAAGACAGTTTAGCCGTGATCTTCATGCTCATAGCATGCTGCATAAAAACAGGCCTGACTCTGGGGTTAAAATCACTGCATAGGCTCAACAGTTTGTTGCTGCAGCCGTACAGATTAAAACTGCCATCATACAGTGAGGAAACGATATATAAACATGATCCAGATACACTGGAAAACTCTCCTTTGATTTGAGGAATCAGGCTTTGACATTTGTTTTAGAGACCATGATTTAAACTTTCCAGTTATATAGGCCAAACAACAATTTTCTGACATCCTATTTTTTCAGATGGCAGCAACAGGCCTCCATATATAAGACAAACGCAAAAGCTTCAGAAATTAGCCACATGTCATCCTATTCGGCCCTCCCATCCCCCACTGCATTAAACACCAACTGTCACAGGCACATACACATACACACCATCCTCATCCTCTTTATGTTAACCTTCCTCCACCCCCTCCTATGCCACGCAGCCATGCCATAATCCCCCCAACAAACACAGGCAAACACACACTTGTCACCTTTTCTCCATCTCCCCCGTTAGCACCCCTTTCACACCTCTGTGGGGGAAAATGTCAGATGTTTGTATTGGAAGGTTATCTGTCCTGTAAATATGGAGGAAAAGGCACAGACATGTCAGCATTTAAACCCCGCTTTAAGAAAAGTCCTCTTACAGTAATCTGTCTGAGCTTGATCTGGTTTTATCTGAACTTTTTACAGGACAAGAGCTGATGAACACATTTTGTACCAATGTGGTTTAAGAGTTTTGTCCCTGAGCAGATTTGTTTTCTTTTTGCTTCTCACATTTCTCTTAAATTTCTCCATCTTGTGTTTCAGCTGTGTTCACTTTGTAGAGATCTTTCTCCAAACTATGCCACTATCCACTGCCAGGCGGAGTAATTAAGTAGTCAGAGGGAGTTTTCATTTGTTATCAACAGACTAAATTACTGACATTCCTCTTCCCCATTTATCTGCCCATCTCTCCTTATTAGAATCCATTATACGCTGGAGGTTGGGGTCATCCTGTCTAAGCCAAGGCTGTATTTCTAGGAATAAATGCCAGGGACTCCCTTATTACGCCTCAAATAATAAATCATCTCGACTTAAAATGACACAGAGAAACTAGTCCATGCATTTGTAACTTCTAGGCAGGATTATTTCAATTCCCCATGTTCAAGCTTCTCTAATAAGTCTCCAAAGATGCTCTAGCTGGTCCAGCACAACAAGAAAAAGAGGTCATATTCTCCCATGTTAGTTTCTTTGCACTGGTTCCCCATTAAAACTAGAACAGAATTTAAAATCCTTCCTCTGACCTAAAAAGCTCTTCATGGTCAGGCCACATATCTTATGCTGATGTCAGATCAAACAGCACAGAGCTATAAAAGTGACTTTTAAAGCTTACAGGAGCTTTAAAGGTGCTGGATAAATACATTTTCAATCATAAATAACCTGTTGATAGATCGTGATGCGCTGCGGTCAGCCGGGCCAACATGTTCAAACTAAGATGTTTACTGTCACCCTGTGTTCAAGTCTGATAACTGATTTTTTATGCATGTTAAGTTTAAGGCAGGTCCTTCCCTGACTGTGTGAACGCTCGTCTGAAAGCACTACGAATGCATTTGTTCAACACTCTGGGCTGGGCTGTAGAGGATGTTATGTAGTTCTTTCCAACTACTGCATGAAATGTAAGCACATATTCACTGTGACTATACCAAATACCTGGGCTTTAGTCAAAATACAAGGCTGGGAACTCGTTTTTTTTTAGTAATAACAAGATATGGCCTTTTTATTTGCAGGTCAATCAAAAAGCACTGTAATTATCTTTATTTGTCTTATATCCAAGGATTATACAACCTACTAAATAGACAACAACTTTGCAACATTACAACAGCATTTGGACTCCCCTGTAGAGTTGAGACATGAGAAGAAAATGACATTAGTGTAATTGTGGCGAATTAGATTTGTACTCAGCAAAGGGTCGACTGGGGCATCACAGTTTCTTTTAATGTCAATATTTCAGATGAGGGTCTGACCCAGAGTTTGTTGAGTTTGCTAAGAATGAAATTATCTGCAGTTTTCCACTTTAAACAAAGAGTGAGAGTAACTGCACAGATTAGTACAACTACGCAAGCACTGATTGTTGTAATTTACACTGTTTTCTACATTTAAAGATGCCTCTATGCCAAAGTTTTTCTTCCTTGGTCATGAAGACAAAGCAGAGATGTATTTGGTCCAGATGTCTTCCTGCCTCTCTTCCTCATTCATCTAATTTCCTGTGGCGGTGGAATGATCCTCTTTATAGCCTGCAATGTTTGTCTGATTTACCAGGATGAAGAGCCCACGTTCATGACCAGGTACTTCAAAAGATTTGAAGAGGCTCAGTCAATCAGAGGTGAAGGGTGTGAGTTTTCCAGCGATATGATACCCAAATTTATGCTCTAAATAAGTTAATTGGCATGTTAGTCCAATAAAACAAATGACTTTAAGAACAATCAATCTGAAGATCTCATGTCCTGGTCCAACTGTTTTTATTTATTTCTTTATTTTTATCATGGCTGATATCCGCTTTTATAAATGCCTTAAAAGGCACCAGAATAAAGGTTAAAAAGTTAATTAAAGTGACCAAAATAGCCATATCATTGCCTATCAGACAGCTACAGGTACCCACACAGCACTTTCAGTAGTCATGCTTCCCAACCCATGCAGAACTTCAAGCCTTAAAGGTGGGGTAGGCAGGATCTGAGGAAGTGCCAGTTTTGGGGAGAAATCTTGAACGTACACACTACCCCTCCCAACCAGTTTTCCCCTCAGCTCCTCCTCTCCCCTCTCTCTCTGCTCCAGCAAGCCCCGCCCACAAACAGACGCTCGTCCTCGCTTGTATCATTTCAATTAAATTCAGATAATTACAAATGTGAAAGTAAAAAGAATTGGTGCTACTGTACACAACACACTACCAGCAAACAATGTTTGCAGGACTTCTACAACTAGGATAAAGTGACATAGTCCAGGACCCGAGGTAAACGGTTTATCAACCGCTTGCTTCTTTAGGTATACCAACTTTAGTAATGACCCCAGATAGCACTACAGAAACACTACGTTACAGACACTTAACTTACTTTGTTAAAGCGGTTTACCTGTTCAGCAGAAAGGTTACGGGGTCTGTAAGATCCTGAAGCGTTCCACATCGTTTAATCTTTGATGTTGACACATTTTTTTAGGTCTTGTCCAGTCTACCTCAGTTTTAAGCGCCCTTTAATCCGCCAGAGTCTCCAGTGTTTTATTGCTTGTGTTTTCTGTAACTTTCTGGTTGGTTTCTACTGTCCAATATCGTAGCACACTAACTCTGTTTGGGTTCATGAACGATACAGAGGAGCAGTGTCTGCCTCACAACCAATCAGGTTGGGGGAGGCAGAGAACGGCTTTGTTTACAGTCAGAAAGAGCGGGCCGCTCAAAATATTTAACATGTTGACTACACGGATATAACAAAACACAGCGATATCGGCCCTAATACTACATTGTACAAATCTGGCATCTCATCTGGTCTTATTTATCTGGTTAATGGGCATTGACTCGTTTTTAGGACCAGCCTCCAGTGGCCTCCTCGGGTACTGCAGTTCCTCAGTCCCGGAGGTTGCTACCTTCCTCCTCGTGGCCGCTGGCCCTTTAAGAGAGGCAGGAGGGGGCCCGAGCATCTCGGCTGCGGTGTTTTTGTCTGTGTCAGTGAGCGCTCCTCCCGGGCCGAGGCGGCTGTAAGGATTTCCAGAGGGCAGGTAAGAACAGCAAATAAGTTCATGTGTTTGAAAGCTTTGGCTCTTTTTGTGTCTCGTTGTTTTTTAACGCGCTTTGGACAAACCGCTTTCCAGAGAGAGTGACTTCTTTTGTACAGCGTCGGTCCTGCCCATTCCTCCGGTCCTCTATTTAAGTAGCGGCTCCTTTATCCTCTAAAACCCGACCCAGCTTCATTTATAGACACCTTATCATATCTTGTTATGTGCTATAATGGTTTTTAATCTCACCTTTAGCATTATTTACCTTTGGAGGAGTGTTTGTCTCTGTCTCGTGGTCGCTCCTCCGGTGCGTCCCTTTTTTGTTCAGAGCATCATCACTGGAGGCTAACACGCTGCACGGTGACGGAAAAAACACAATATTCCATTATAATAACAATAATATTTTGCACCTAAATACTGAAATCCTACTTAGCAGACACTCTGACTTATCACTGACATTGAATTATCACCAATAAGAGGGTTTTCTGCGTAAAAATCTGTGCGTAATCTGCACAGTATCCCAGTATTACAATCATCTTGCACATACAGTTTTATTGTCATAGACCGCATATAGAGAGGAGATCGTGCCACGCGGCCTCAACTTTAGTCCTAATTGATAAAAGCAGGAGTTCTGGTCTTACAGTGAGCTCACACAGTCCATTACAACATCGCCTCCCCTTCCCACTGCACTGTAATTCCTAAACGAGCAACACATTTGAGTGTTTTGTTTCTGTTTGTGCCTTTCCTCCTCCACACACATTATCTGTCGCGACAATCCGAGCATTCCCCATTTCATTAAGAAAATGAAAAAGCTCTCGCACTGAAGGCTCGGGGGAGAGGGTGGGTCCGTGCAGGATTCTGCTGCAAGTTTTTCATTACTTCCAGATGTTCATCAGCTTTTTCGTTTGCCGCTCCCAGCCCGCAAATTTGCTGGTCTGTCCGGCTGTAGTCGGTCAGTTAGTGTCGTCTGAAGATGGATGAGGGCTGGACAGGAGGAGGATAAACACACCTAAAAGTCTGTGTAACTATTTTTGTACTTTTTAAGAGCATGCAAAGCCAAAGGGGGACTCTTAATGGAATCTAACTGAGCACACAAGTTGCATAAACGTGTATTTTTCTCTTCGCTTTTACACATTGAAAGTGTTAAAACCAATTTTGCACTTTGAAAGGTTTCCAGGCAAAAGGAGTCAACTTAGTCTGCTTGCCACAGGAGTAATTTGTCAGATGATGCTGTGGGGAAACTTTGTCTAAACTTAAGATCCTTTGACACCACTCTGTAAATGAATAGTTGAAGTTCTTTGCATAAAACAGTCATTTGTCTGTATTTGGTTATTGAGCATTCATATGGAAGATTACTTGTGAAGTGAAGATGTTGTGCCACCTTATAAGTAGAGGAATGGAACAACCTCAGACTATAATAAACTGCTGTGTTTATGCTCTTTTACAATCCAAGGCTCTGCTTTGGAGCTGTCAAAGTCCTAAACAGTTGATTTTGAAGTGTGAACAGAATAATGATCTTATGTGCTCAATATATTACGGTGTATGCAAAACCATTATCATAAAATGTGCGCATAGGATAAGTATTTTTTCGACAACCTATTTTATTATTATCTTTTGTGCACAAGATAACTGATAACCAAGTTATTATTAGGGATGCACGATCCGATATTTGATTCTAGATCGGGTATCGTGAAAATGGGTCTGATGAATAGGGGCAGATCTATTCTGTCTAACTCTATGCTATGCGCCGTGAGTGGCATCCACAAGTAAACACCCACATTGTTTTCAAAATGGAGCGAGCAAAGGGGTCTGCTATCTTGAACTTTATCCCAATACCTCAGCAGTAAATGTTCCAGGGGGACAGTGGTAAAACTTAAGGATACAACAAAAGGTAATTCAGCGTGGCTTTTCTGTATCGGAATTGGATTGGTATCTGCCGATACTAAACTGTAGATATCTTTATCGGTATCGGAGGTGAAAAAAGTGGATTGGTGCATCCCTAGTTATTATTGTCTTGTGCACATGATGATACCTTGTGTGCACAGGATAACTCTTTTGTGAACACAGTATTATACATTGCACATTACAAGTTCATTATGATAGGATCATTTTAATATCTTGTGCACACATTATTTTCTCTTTTGCAGAGAGTTATAGATACTCTAACTTGTGTTGAAAATATTATCCAATAAGTACTAGACAAATTTTACCAAGGAGACAATAAAAAATGAACCATACTGTAATCTCTTCTGTACACAATAAATATGGTCTAATATGAACAGGATATTATCTTAACTTATCTTATTCAAATGCTCACATCAAATTTAAATTGGAATCTTATTGTATCATAATCACATTTGCACATGGTATAACTACTGTATATGGACAGGTAACTATCTTATGTAAAATATTAAATAATGTTTTTAGATGAAAAAGTTTGTTATAGTGAATCTTTAGGGACTTAATGGATATTTGATGTTACTGAATCATAAACTGTAAGGTTTCATATCCCATTTTTCTCACTGTATAGTTCAGGATAAATTCTTACATAAAAGGAGTCTTTAGTTTTCTTGTTGCGTCAAAACCCACTTTTAATTTAACTGCTTCCTCTTGTCTTTTGGATAGCTCTCAGGGGAAAATCTTTGTTTTTTTAATTGCCATAAATAAACAAAGAAGTCAAAATGCTAACATAGCCTAAATGTTTTTCTGTGAGTTTTTGACTTCCAACACACAACTTGAGAAATTGTTTGTTGGCTCTTCAGAGGATTGAACCTACCTTCAAATCTAACTAACTATATTAAAGCTTTGTTAGATCATGCAAGAGCCACAGGGAAACTGTATTGTATCTAAAGACCCTTAAGATGTCTCTTAATAAACAAACAAAGCAGGTTTTATGACCCAAAATGAAGATATAAATGTTTCCTCTCAAATATATGTATATTTTAAGGTTTAAATGAAGGTTTGTTTGTCGAGTGAAGAACTTTCCGTCTCTGATAAGTGCTGGAGATTCATCTGTAAACACATCAGATGTTGTTGTGATGAGGGACATGCAGAAGTTGGCAGGATGTGGGGGTGTAGTCACCAGCCTGTTACACTGCAACATACAATACACACCACTGTCCGGCTGTTGTGTAATGGGCTGCTGGATGGATTAAATCACCTACCAGTGAATAACAGGGATTGTAGCAGCTGCATGGCGCTCAGATGAGCTCAGTGCTGTCCTTCACGTTACTCTATGGACAGACTGGAGGAGAGAGTGTTTACTTCACTGTGAGGTCGTCTAGCAGCAGTGGTGGGGAATTGTGAAACGGGAGCAAAGGGGTGGCTTGTTTGTTCGGATTTCAACAGATTTTTGAATAATACATTAAGAGAGAAATGCAACAAAATCATCCTGGATATATAACTGGAATGGAGATTATCAAATAGGTAATAATGGCTCTTTACCACTGCATGAAACAAAACATTAAAAAGTAAACAACAAACAAAAATAATCCCCAAATCAAAATAACAACAACAAACAGCAACACACTGTTCTTACTAGGTAGCAGCTGCCTGCCAGTTTTAGTTAACATTAGTCTGAGAAGCACACCACAGAAGTACTTTTGTCATAAGGGGCTAATTTGAGATTTGCTGCTTGTTGAGACAGTCCTTTTCTTTATCTTCCTCATCATCCTCATTATTCTCAAGCTATGACATCAAAACGTCGTCATTGACTGGAGTAGCGGTCCGTAACTGTCACTGCAGTCATCGTCCTCTCGCCCTCACTCCTTATCTGCAACACAAGTGACATGGTCTGTGATCAGCTGATTCACAAACTTATGGTTAAATCGTCATGATCTGAAGCTCATATTCACACCAAGAGAAGGAGCTGCCAGAAAACAAAGCGCGTTTGCTCTCCTGCTCATGGATTTGGACTTGATGCTGTTCAAGTTCTGGGCCAAAGCATGACGTGGACATGTAAACATATTGTGTGACTGGTTCAGTCGACATGGTATCAATCTATAATAACAAAACAAAGGCTGGTGGTGCTAGCTCTGCTGTTGTTAATCAAACTTGGAAAACTAGTCTGAAATAGTTGACCAGCAGAGATCTAAAATCCTGAGTTTAGACGTCTTAAAAAATCAATAATTTTGTCTGTTTTCTGAATGTTTTCCAACTGTAAGACCAGATGGTTTGTCAGGATTTCCATTTTAATGACTCAGAAATAAGTTGCTTTGAAACATTTGGACGTGTATACCGTAGTTTATCTTATAGATAGTATAGTATTGAGGTAGAAGCCTTTTTTTCTGGGTGGCGTTAATCCTAATCCAAAAATAATCTGTTGACTCTTCAAACAGTGTATTTCATACTCTCAGATCCATCCCCAGGCTCTCCAAATCCATTCTGATCAATACCTGTTTGCTACAGTAACTGAACAAACAGATTGATCGCAGTGCTCTTGTATTAGTTCTAGCTGTGTGTACATTATATACCTGTAACTGAATATTGTCTTTTGAGCTCCAGATAGAGTGAGCGTAATAACACTGAAACTCGACCCTTCAAGGTTTCTGTGGGGACTCCTGGAATCCCACCAGAGACCCCCACTAGTCTGCAGTTTTTGGGATCTCAGGTTTGCCTCTCTTTTTTTTTGGAGAGCAGGAATGTGATTGTCTCATTACAACATTTGGACCCAGGGGTGCTGTAGTGGAATGCAGAGTTATAAACCCCATTTGCACACTAGGCCACACGCCGGGCATTTAAAAGGTTTAGCGAGGCTAATGAAATTACACCCTGAAGCTGCACGAGACTGTCTGTCACCATCTAGGAAATACTGCTGATTAACTAATCTGGACTGCTTCACTTCTAGAGGAATTATATGCTCTGCTAAAACCAGACTTTATGGTTAATTTCATCGCCTTTTAAAAGGGATCTGTGTGGTTTTAACAATCACTTTTAAGGTATTATTCCTCATATGTATTCAGTTTAATTTTTATATTTCTCACCTTAAAAAACTACCTTTACTAAAACATTTCATCCTCTATCAAACTGCTATTTTATATGTGGTTCACACCCAAATTCCTTGGTTTAAAAGGAGGACTAAACATACATACTTTCAAATATTTCACCCTGTTTTGGTGAAAACATTGGAGGTTAATAGTTAATACTTAACTATATATTAAGGTTAATACTCCTACTTATCTACATTAATTGGAACATCTGTTGCAGTGATGTTTTCAGTGGCCTAATTTGGCTTTAGAGCTTCTTGGGACAGTAATTCATTATCTGCTTGAATAATCTGACTTAATCTCCTTTAATTCTCTAATCATTCAGAGGAGCACGATAGAGTTTTCTGTACAATAAAGCCGACACATGTAGGAACAGCCTGTTATGGAGGTTTGTTTTCGAGTCTGTTGTCTTTTGACCAGCAGCTCTCATTGAATCAGGAAGTAATTGATAAGATCCCTGAAAGGGAAACACTTAACTTCATCATCGCTGCAGGAAGATTACTTCCTCTGCAGTCTGCTCGCCACAAGGCCTGCAAGACATGAGAAACATGAGCGGAATATGTGTATTTGCATCGTTTCACACTGCAGCCACAATAAAATGTAGAAAGAATGAACAAATATTTAAGTCCTTATCTGCTGATTGTCTTACTATAGGGATGTTACACTCATTACATGAAACTTTGCACAGAAATGACTGGGCTAAAGAGCTTGGTAGATTGATCTGACAAGAAGATCTTGCTCTATCAATTTACATAGAAATGATCCACAAATCACCACAAACATATCAAAGAGACATCCACCAATTGGTATATTGTGACCAGTCACATGCCTCACCTATGTGAGGTGTAGTAGTTTTGTACATACAGGATGATAAAAAAAAAAAAACTGAAAGTAACCAAATGGGACTCCTGAGAAGTGCAAATGTTGGGGTCTTTGCTGCTGCTCTCCCTGCCTTAACTTTGGCGGTCCATGTACGCACATGGCAGGGCAGGAAACTCTTAGAACAGAGTCAGACCGTATAATATAAACTATAGCATGCAAATAATTAGGTCTGTCCCGATATGATATTGATATATCGGATATCGGTCCAATATCAGCCAAAAAACAAATATCGGATTATATCGGCATGCATCTATATCAGCACTCCGATACAAGCAGTCCATTCCAGACTCCACTCCGGCACGTCTAGCTAGCAGCACCTGGATCCAGCATGTAGAGCCCTCGTAGTGACAACAACAGTGTGTACTCAGGTACAAACAAAGTAACAAGGAGTAGGAGTGATGTCGGCCGTGTGGCAGTAATTTTCGTTAAAGTCCGAAAAAGACATTTCAGCTGAGTGCAAAACTTGTCATGCAGAAGTTTGTACCAATATCGGTATCGGACGATACTGAAGGCTACAATATCTGTATCGTATCAGAGGTAAAAAAAAGTTGTATTGGGACACCCCTACAAATAATTGACTCTATGACTAAAAGTGGTCCTGCTTGAACTCTTAATCCATCCGTTTTGCTGTCATGTGTGGGGTCTTGCATGTTTTTTGAAACTTCCTTTGAAAGGAAAAATGCTATCAGACAGTAAACTGTGATAAATAGCGTGGCCCTAATCAGGACTACAACATCCTGACTTGATCTTTGCCCCACACTGCTCTGACCAGGTCCACACCATTCATCTTCCTGCTGTCTGGACTTTGTCTTCCTCCCTCCAGACCCCATACTCTCCCCAAAAACAGCCTCTGCTCGGCATCATCCTTAATCCCCACCTCCACAAACTGCACAGGAATTTTTCTCCCCAAATACCCCCTCTCCCCTCCTCCTTTTTAATGTCTTTTTTTCCGGTGCCGCTCCTTGCCGCTTGGCCCCACCCTTGCTCAGTTTCCTGTTGGAGGTCAGCACAATGACCAATGAGCAGGAGACTGGCGGGTGTTTACTCTGCTCTTGTTCCAGGAGTAATGGGAGCCGCTCCAGTCAGCCCCTCCCCTCGGCTTTACACCAGACTGTCTGCTCCCCTATACCTCCACTTCTTAATGTAAAAAACATCCAGAGAGGGCAGAGAGTCCTGAGGAGAAAGTCTCATGGGCTTATGATTTCACTTTCCGCATTTTTAAAGCCCAAATTAGTCATAAACCACATGTCCGGCAGCACAAGAGCTCACTGTATGACCACGCTGATGTGAGATCATGTGGCCCCGTCATGCATGATGAAGGCCCCGACTGTCAGGCGCTGACGTACACTTTACAGCCACATTATACTCAGTTACAAGTTTGTTGTTGTTGCCTCTCCATTAAATATTCTTAGAGCTTGTTCAGGAGAGAGATTTGATGTTAAATTTCCTGATTTATTATTCATTAAGGAGCAGTTAGCTGAATGAAGCCATCTGTGCTGCAGAGTGAGGAGGAGGAGGAGGACAAAGGAGTCCCAGAAGATCGGTCAACTACTGTTTCTCCTCATCTTTGAGTAACATTTAAAACTCCTCTTCTTATTTCCCAACAACAATCTGCTTAATTTGGTGCAGCTCCCCGTACAGATTCTCTATTGTGGGTCTAATTTTAGTCGAGGAATGCACAAATGATGGTAATCTTCTAGGCGGGGTCGTCAGAGATTATGAGAAGAGGTCCTCTGAAACTTATACTGTTGTCCTGAGAGCTCCTGCAGCCTGTTTGTGATTTTTAAGCTGATCTCTCTACGTCCAGATCTCACTCTGGTGTCTGATTCATACAGCTGGAGTCTGAATCTGAGCACAGTCATGGTCTCCTCATTTGAGAAGTTTCCATTAAAACGCTCAGCAGCATTTCTTCCCCTTTTCTCCCCCCTCCTCCTCTTGCAGTTTCGTCTTTCTCCCCTTGCATTCCCACTCTCTTTCTCTCCCTCACATACTGTACGAATCTGCTCTACTTTTTCACCCCTTTCTCACTTTTGTTTTCTCTTATTTTACCCTCTCCTTCTTCTTGTTACTCTTTTTCCTGGGCTGGGAGGAAGTGACTTGGTTGTTTCTTGATCCTTGGGGAATAGACAGATGGAGCTCCTTTTCCTGTAACCCTTTCTTTGTCAGACCAGTGCAACACATCTCCCTGTTTAACCACAGAAATGAGCGCTGACCAGCCAGACTTTTAGTTGGTTTCAAATAATTGGAACAGGCAAAAGCGAAGGAATAGGGTCAAATCTGGACGGTGGGTCATCTCAGAGAGAAAGGGGATTAAGAAATTGGACTGGTAATCCAGTCTTGATCTTTCCTGGATAAAACCTCCAATTTGTGTCGTTCAAGACTTGAATGGGATTGGGATAGCTTTGATCCAAAATGGTAGGATTGTCCTGATTGAAGAGGTGGATTCAGGCTGGATCACAGGAACAAAATGTTATAACTCTTACATAGAAATACAGAATCAATACTCGCATCGTTATCTTGATAAAGTGGATGAGTTAGATAGGAATTAAAAAGCTGGTCTTTAGCAAGATTTTTCTGTCATTGTGGAAGGGTGATCTGAAGACTGGCCGAAAATGAAGAGAGTGGTGGATGCCATGCAGCAGAGGGTTGTGATGGAAGTCGACTTCGTCCATAAAATATTTCTTTGAATACCATCAATATCCAGCATGCAATGCAGAATTAAATCAACTGAGTCGACCTTTCAGTTTGGATGGATGAATTTTATCGTCCCATTACGAGAACAGTTGTCCAAATTTGTGAATCTTTTGAAGTTTGTGTCTGGATCTGATCCAGTCAAGTTTTCCTTTGAACAACAGAGGGATATCTGGAAATTTGGCGCCTTCTCAAAAATTGCTGCTTGCCAGACAAAGGTTTACTGTTGTATGATCCCATTTTTGGTCTAAAAGAGGTCTAATAGACGTCTAAATGTAGCCTAGATGACTGGTCTAAAATCAGGCTACCGGAGGTCTAAAAATGGATTAGACCAAGTTTAGACTTGTCAGCGAACAGAGGTCTAACTGCATATTGCTCAACTGCTATCATAATTATTTTGGTCAAAGTACTTGGAGATCAGTTATGCAACTGTTGCTTTTTGAAATAAATAGTTAGCGAATAATGGGTTAAAGTGCAACGTCTAAAATACACAGAATCTAGACGGTTGAAATTAGGTCTAAAAAAAAACTAGATGTCTGATAGCTGTCTATTACTCAGTGGGATGGTTTATTACCCAGATGATGAAGCACAAAGAAGCAAGCAATGACAAACTTGTGTTGGCTGTCAAAGCATGCTGGGAGGATGAGTGGTCTTTACCATGACACAACACCTATGCAAAATAAATACTCTTGTCCACAGATTCACTGATGTAATTTAGATATTCATTCATCATCATTTCGAGGCTAAGACAGCTGACTGTCATATTCAGAGAAACAGAAATAAGGTAGGAGTGAGTCACAGCCATAAGAAATTTCAGCCGTTAACCAGTTGGCATAGGAACCAGTCAGGCCACCCGAGTAGGGTGAGAATACTGTTTCTCTGCATATGTGTGTTTGTGAGATGACTTAGATCATTTGACAGTGACTGACATTTATTTTCATTTTCAAGGCTCTCAAAATCACCTCCCAACTAAAATCCAAAGTAACCATTTGCTATCCACTGTGTTGACTGATGTCGAACAAGTGATCCACACCAGTGTGAATTTTTCTGCATCTAATCCTTGATAACAAAAAAGATGTTTTTCACCAAATCTGGTGCATTTGTTTCCAAATGACTGTTGGACAATTGGTAGCAACATTTTAAACATCACAGCCCCGTAGTCAAAGCGCTGCTACTGATATATTAGGAGGATGATAAATCAGAAATTTATCATCAAACCGTCTGACTTATCAGGAATGCAGACAAATCAGGAACAGCTAAATCACTTGGCTCTCCTACCTAAATAAATCAGTTTCAAAGCCTCAGCTGTATTTGTTGAACTGTGTGAGTCTTCAGACCTTGCACAGTGCCGGGAGATATACGAGTGTGTTTTCATCTGGCTGTGTGGGAGTCGATGGGAGTTTGAGTTGTCTCCTGTAAAGTTTGGTATTCGTCTTTGGAAGTGTTTGCCAACTGCAACAACACGTGGTGAAACCCTAATGCTCCCTGAAGACTTGATTTCTTTTTAGAGATTCAGAGAAATTTTTGGCATTTGAACGGTTTAAAAATGGGTGAAGATCAGTGTTGGGATAGCTTACAGAATTTTTAACACAGATTGCAGGTTCTGGAGCATTTCCAGAAGTATATATATCAGCTGCTTGTTGCCGCTCTGTGTATTTCCACTTTCTGTCAGTGTGTGGGTCAATAACAGCACTTCATCAACTGTTTGTTTGTTTTGAGGCAAATTTCCTCACCACACACTGTTTCTCTCAGTCTCTCTCTCTCTCTCAGATGCCCCTCCTAGCTTTATATTAGAACCAGCTGTGGAACCAGAGCCTGAATGAATGGCTCTTTGTGATTTAGCGAGTCTAAAAGGTCTGTTTCTCCCCCAACCCCTCCACCCTCTGCAGCAATGGCAAGACAAAAGTACGAAACAATGGACTGAGTAACAGAAAATTCTCGTTATGAAATAATGCAAAGGTCACCCATCGTGTTTTTTAAGGCTGCGAAACCTCCTGACAAAAAGTGGAGCGCAGTTTCGCAGCAGCAGCTGGACAGCCAAAGTATGATCCTCAGCAGACCCAGTCATGCAGCTTATCTGTTGGTTACAGGGCACTGTTAGAGTCTGTGTTGTCCAGAAAAGGAACACGCTGTGAGCTCATGAAGTCACTCTGGCTTTAACTCTTTGAAGGAAATCTGTGTGAGGTTAACCCCAAACAGCTGTACTGTAAATGCCTCCAAGTCCACCTCCAGTGCAGTATCAGGTTGTAGACTAGTCTTATACCATAACATATTAGTCCTGGGAAAAACTGACTTTATTTCCTCTCCAGAACTGTGACCTACATGGCTCTGAAAAACATATTTGATACTTGCAACCTCTGTTTAAGATCAGCTGAGAAGAGTAGAGTTTATATGCACATTCATGTAACGTTAGCAAACAACAAAAGTGCAGTGTAAGCAAAAAGTTACCTTGCCCTTTAACGCCTTTTGTATCATATTTGATACATACTTTTATGATACTTCTATCAAATCAATATGATCAACAAATTACTAAAAAAGATCTTTATACAGTCCAATAAATGATAAAAATGTCCTCTTGTGGTTTGTCAGTTTCCAAAAACATCTAATGAATCAAATGAGATAAATAAATATAAATGTTAAATTTTAAGGACATTTTGATTTTTGGGTTTTCAGTAGTAAGTGAAATAAACATTTCAGCTCCAAAAAAATTTTCTGGCCATAAATTGTGGTTTCAGGCATTAAAGGGCTAGAATTCGCCTAATATCACCAAACATACCAGTCAAGACACCTATCTAATAATACATTTAGAAAAGTGATTGTTGGACAGCCGGGTCCGAGTCAGAAATTACTTTTTTAATCAAACATGTAGGAGCTGAAAAAAGGCAAAAACACCAAACATCGAGGTTTTCTTTTAAAAACTGGGGCTTCTTTGGCACTTTTCAGAGCTGCTGCCTCCTTATGTCTAAGTTTAATGTTGTTGGGTCTTGATTTTCACTCTTATCAGAGTTGAAATGGGTAAAGATTATGGCTCTCTACTTCAGAGAGATGGGAGATGGAAGGATCTGAAATATATTATCACTCAAAGTCAAGAGCAATAGTGCAGTGACAGCAAGGAGATCAGTGTTAGGCAACCTGTCATCAATGTTTGTAGTCACACCTGTTTAATTTGTATTAACCATCTGAAATTGCCCTTTTGTTTAATTTGTATTAACCATCTGAAATTGCCCTTTTGAATTTTAAGAAAGAAAGTTTTTAATTTAAAAAAATGTGGATTTTTATGTCATTCTTTGATTGACACAACATGCCAAGAGGAGCTACGAGCTGAGCTGCTGATCATGTTAGCTTGGCTTGTCTAAACTTGGTTCGCAATTTTTCTGTATTCCAATTTTGGCCATCAGTGTGAGATTTTCACATCCTAGTTACTGTGGAAATAAAAAAACATCATAACAATGTTATCACGTTATTTATGGAAAAGATAGGTAGTAGAAATTTGCGGTATGGAAAATTTTGTTTATTCAAAAACACACGCCGTAATGAGAGAGGGCAACACAAGAATTGAGAAATTTATTTATAAGCGCAGCTGATTTACTTACTCGTCATTCGCCAGTTTTAATGATGTCCAGTTCATGTTACTCAAAGTCACCAGTTCTGAGAAACTTCAGGTTTATTGAAAACTCACCGTCCCCTCTGCATGTGATTCTGAGTCAACATGTCTTTTTCACGAGATCCAAGCTCCCAACAGGATTTTAGATTCATTTTGTTCAAAATGGAAAAGGCAGCTGCACCATTATCTTAGTGACTATCTACAGGAGCTCTGAAATAAGCTTCATGTGTAATGTTTGGAACAAAGAGCAGACCTCATCTCAAGGATGATGACAAAAATGTACTTTAGTGACAGTGGAAGGTGAGGACTTTAAAGGTTTAATGAAGTTTACTCAGCCAGGGTTCTCCATTCAAGTGACTATTGAATAGTATGTTTGCTTGAAGCGCCCGTCCATAAACAGACGGGTATTTGGTATTTGTCAAAATCCAAGTTTAAGTGTCAGAGTCAGTCCTGGCTTGGAACAAAATGCCATTTGGACATCTCATGTGTTTACATGATGGAAGTTTCCCACGTCAGCTAGAGGGCGTAGGTTTGTACCAGTGGATTTGGAAGTGTTAGTCACACACAGGCAAGAAAACATAAAGTATTGCCCAATCACATGGCAGGGAGGCTCCGGGCCTTGGATTGATTAGAGAGCCTGGAATTGGAGAGAGGAATGAGGTGTTGGAAAAAGTTTCTTGAGAGCTGGGAGAGCCACTCTGTGTGGATCGGGCTTCATCCAGGCTGTGCTACAAGGGGGTCAAAGAGTGATTGGCATTTCATGGAGGGATATTGTTCACATCCGGCTTGTCAGTCAAAACCACAGGAATGTTTTTCTGGCTTTGTAAACTCTGTTTGTAGTCTTAGGAAGCTGCTGATTTGTAACCTGCACAAGTCTGTGTCTGTCTGCATGTCGACAAAGCTACAAACCTTTTTATTTCTGTTTTCCTGGTGAATTTTAGCACAGATTTTAGCTTTTGATTTACTATTTCTGTGCTCAAAAGTTATGGCCACCAATGTTAAAATCTTTTCCACTTTTGTTTTCAACAGGTGTTGACTGAAAGAGTGCAAGAAAAGGAAGGGACAGCGAGGAGCCTGGGGAGGAGAGATCCCGTCCTTGCAGCGCAAGCAGCTGGTATGAAGCTGAAAATAAATCCCTAATTTCCTAATTCACAAACCATTCCTGAACTTGAGGAGAATAGTAATGACCAAAGGCTAAGCGAATCAGTGGAAAAATCCTTACAGATCTCCTGTGGGTGGTGGGAGGACTGGTATTTCTGACTTTGCAATACTGGAGCCTAATCCTTTGTAATGGCAATAATAATAAGGTGACTCACTGAGTGGAAGCAATGAGTTTGATAAACTTGGGCGAGCTGACCTCGAAATGAAGCCCGGCATCTTAAATTACTTTTCAGGGTGGTCTCAATCCTCTGATACACCAAAGGCACGAGATTTTGTATACATGAGGTAGATCAAATCCAGTTTAACCCTCAAGACACTCGCATGCGAGAGTATGTGCTGCATGCACGAACAGAGACATTCTGCAGACAAGAATCAGCAGCATAATGCAGATACTCTCATGACATCTTACAGGACATACCACAGACGTATAATTTGTGCTGGGTGACCTGGATCTTACCCCCTGAGGGTCATTTTAGTCTTAAAAGCCGATGATGGAGCAAGTGAACCAGGCGATGTTAAGCACGGTATGCAACTTTAGTGGGGTAGGGGAAGTAGGGGGTATAATGGGGACATTTGGAGAGGGAGAGACAAGGTGGCATGACAGTGGGGAAGGATGCAAACTGGATTCTGCAAAAAACAGAGTGACAAAAGTAACTTATGGTAGAGCTGTCCTGATTTTGCACAACATTGTATCGGTGGCATATTCTGATCATCTGGCTGATCAGTGTATGTTTATTTCAGTTGTCCACATCATATTCCTGTAGTGACTTAAGACACGATCATTTAGTCCAGCCACAACCAGTAGTAAAAGCCCTGAAGTTTAGGAATCAACTTACGGCTCTGCTTTTTAATGTGTGAGAAAGTGCGAAATTTCTGACATGCCAGAAAGTCATCCAACCCAATAGGAGCGCCGATTGGTCTTTCATGGGCTCATATGTCTCCGTACAGTGCAGGGTGATTGGGCTAAAATTTGGGTCGTCTTCACAAGCAGAGATTTGTGTTTGCAGAGATAATGTCTCTAATGTAACTGATCCACTGAGTAACTTCCACTTTTAATTACCTGATCCTTTTGAGTCATGCTGATTGTGGAGGCAGCCACTAGAGGGAGCTCTAAAAGTTTTGGCTTTACTTTGGAGGAGCTGCTTTGCACATGCTTTTATGTAGCCTGCTGTAAAATGATAAATCTCAAGTAAACCTTTTCAGACAGCTCTTCCAAACAAAGAATTAGCTAAGGGTAGCAGCAGCTCAGCTCGCAGTCCCTGCTGGTATCTACTGAACGTACTTTAGATCAGCTTTATTCAGTGTTTTGGTATATTTTGATTAATGCACAAGATTGTTTTGGAAAGGACACCTCTGTGGATATTTCAGCTCATGTTTTAGTCCTCCATAAGAATGAACATTAAATAAATCCTTAATCAAAGGAGTTCCAGCTTTTACCATGAAACGTCTTTATCAAGTGTGAGATCTTTTGTAAGTTTAAAGAAATCCAAGTGGGCTACCTTTATCTTCTCAATACCTTTTTGACGATGATTGCACACCATCATGAATGCAGACAAAGTTATACTGATGGTATTTGTGCCACATCACCCAGCCTCAGTTTCTGTTCTCATGTCATTTCAAAGGAGCTCTGTTTGAGAGGGCAAGAGAGGTCAAGTTCTCCAACACAGCCAAACACACACACAGTCTAACACAGACACACACTCTCTGGGGGAGCACGTACACACATGCCAACACATCTAAAACACGCAGCAGGCCCCCGCTGGAGGAGCAGATGTGGAGCCCTGGTGGTGTGGGAGTCTTGAGGGGGTAATGTGGGAGGAATGACACCCAAAGAGCAGCGAGAAAAGAGAGATTTGAAGCAGAGGAAAAAAAATGTGAGTTAGAGTGTGTTTAGATCTTTTTAACCACATTTTAGAAGTCAAAGAGGAGTCGAGTGGACAGTGTTAGCCGTCTCGTCTGCTGGGCCGGGACGTTTGGTTGCAAAAGTGCAGGTTCTAATTATATCTCATCATCTGTCCTCTGTCAGCGCTGTCCTCCACCCTCCTGTCTACACACACACACACTTACAGTCAGTTTCTCACACACACACAACCACTCCCCTTCCTTCAGGCCGGAGCCACACAAGGACATAAAAACCATACAGATGATTTCATACACCAGCTGATACACAGTACATATTTTAAGCTCTTTTCTTTTCTTTTCTTTTCTTTTCTTTTCTTTTCTTTTCTTCAGAAGATCTTTTGTACTAACAGCCATCAGACTTTACAATTCTTCTATAAACAGTAGATGACTTTTTGAGACATAACAAATGAGACTAAAGACAATTGAATTTCCCCCCTGGAGATAAATAAAGTTATTCTAATTCTTTTTCTTAAACATTTATAATTCCTTTATCTTATTTAGGCTCATCAACACATCGAATACTTCATCTAGATACCCTGTTCATATCTGTTATTTGCTTTAAAAAAGTTTTAAAGGTCTCCTATATGATTAAACATCTGTCTTGTCGATACATTCATACTTAAGTCATCCTCCAGCTCAGTAACTCTGAGATTGTAGAAATGGAAAACTGTCTGCATTGTTCCTCTAGCCCACCTGCTGGGAAAATATAGCTTTTAGGAGGTAATTTGAATTGGCTCCTGTTCTGTTTCTTCCCACGCCAATGTGGTTTCACTTCGGTACTGCAGAGTCAAGTTATGCACAAAGGGAAAGCAAGTAGGAATAACTGAAATCTGACTGCAACTCTGTAACAGTGGTTTTCTCCAGTGAACTCTTGCGGGTTCTTCTGGTGTGCTCGCCACGTTTGTTTTGGTGTTTTCTGCCTCTGCATCGATCTGTACCAGTCTGTACTTCCCCTAGAGAAAATCCAGGCAACCAATCAGCACAGAAATGTAAGCCACATTACAATAAAGTCAGAAACTGGGAGGCTGCAGATCCTTTACAGAGGATAATTTGAGATGCTTTGAAAGACACACCAACATGCTAAAAAAAAACATTAGATTGATATATATTAAAGAGCAAATTCTGTCTATGTGTACTTTGCAGTGAACCCTGATACTGACTTTGATTAAACCAGACCACTGTGCGCAGTATGAAGGCATTATCAACCTGACATGGTGATTCTAAATAGGAAATGCAATGCACTGATACAATGATAGAGAGGAATAAAAGTAATTTTCATGGGGTGAAGTGTCTGTGTTGACCTTGTGTTCCTACCAGGACACCCCTCAGTCCGACTGAGTGGCAAATATGAAGTGTAAATCAAAATGCACACTATTACTCTTCACTGACTGTAGAGCAAAACAATTTAGAGCTCCCCCTACTGACTGGCTGCAGTATAGGTCATAAACCCTGCTTCTGTGTGCATAGTTGAGACATATGTTAAGCTATACAATAAAAAAAACACATTAAATAAGTTTTTCTCAAACATGGCCTCTGTCATACTGAACTGATATATGTCCAAGTGTTCATTTTTCCTTTAAATTTAACTTACTTTTTACCAAGACAAGAAATGGTTATGTCTTAGAGTGGGGTCACCTAAAGGTTTTCTCACATTTTGGTGCCATATGACATGCTTGTATTGAGTTTGGTGTGATGTTAGTCCCATGCCTCTACCATTTAGGTTGCTTCTGTGCAGGTTTTAGCTCTGCCAGTGCGCTATGTCAACGCCTATCAAGGCTGTCTTTTTACTTCACATTTCACGATATGCAGAAATGAAGCCACATTGTGTGTTCTGGTGTCAAAATATACTGCACTACATTGGAAAGGAGAAACATAAACAGAAGATATATAGAGGCATATCTGCTTATATTAAAGGGGCTTGGGCTCAGGCTGTATCCCTCAGATTTCCCCAAAACAAAGTTATCTGTGGATGCTGCCAGAACTTGGGTTTCCTGGCATTTATATTTACCTGAATTCAAAGCTGGGGAAGCGCACACAGAAACGCCTGAAGGCGTACAAAAGTGAGTTCAATCAGTGGTGGAGGTCAAGCTGAATAAACTTGGCACGTTGTCACTCACCCAGAATTTTTCCTGGCAGTCCCCTGAGAAAATTTTGGGCAAGAAGTGAGCTAATGGGAGAACACAGCAGGAAATGTTTGGGCAAAGTCCCAAATGGGTGGGGGTGGTGACTTTAAACCATGTCATTAGTGGCACAAAATGATGAATGGAAACATCCAGATAAGAAGGATAAGAAAGACAAACATTTCCAAGAAAGAAGGAGGGAAGGTGTCAGTACATTTACTCGTTTTACACATAGCATCACATCAGAAATAAGTGGGATCATCCAACATTACAGGTTTAGTAATTAGTGATGCTAACTGTTTCGATGATGCTAAAAACATTAGCTCTAAAATAGAAAGGTTAAACATAATAACCAACCGTAAAATCCACTGGCTTTGTGAGACCGGCAACTTTCAGGGAATAAACTCTGCATTTCAGAAACGTTCAGGGACTTTTCTATCCCCAAGAAAGATCAGTGTTTGGAAAGACTGTCTCAAAGTAATCTCTAAAACTAATTAAGTCAATTAAGTTAATCAGTGACGATTAATTCTCATATTTTAGCAAAATAGTGTTATCACTGTCATTAGCTGATAATGTTTGATCAAGGCTGACGTCTTTTAGTCTGTTGACCAGTCAGAGGCTTTATTTATGATCAGCTGACCTGTGAAAGTCCAATGAGAAGCCAGTGCAGCCTTACACAGACATTGTATAGAAATAGAAAAGACAGAAGAGTTTTTACTGGTATCATACAATTCATCTTGTTCTAGGATCAAATCTGTGCCCCCACTTCACAAATTTGAAACGTGTTTGTTTTTAAATTTAATGAAACTGTGACTATTTAATCTTAGGATATTAGAAATATTAGTTTATTTAAAGATACTGATTGCATCATGTTTTCGTGGGACGCATGCAAACAGGTTATTTTCAAAGATTTCAGGGGGACATACGTGTAGAGGTGTGGGACATTTCTATAGGGGTTTGGGTCTGTCCTTCACATCTCACGGTGCAGCCTGTTCTTATCGTGGTGGTGTGAGAGGAGTGCTTCTAATTCTGTGTCACTGTGACTTTGTATGTGCGTGCATACAGCATTTCCATGCCTCAGAGTGTGCGGTAATCTCTCTATAAGAGAGTGATGAAGGGGCACAGATTAGGGGAATCGCACCGAGGCATTAAACTGACTACAGGACTTCACAAAATACCAAATCAAGTCAGTCAGTGTTTCCAAGTGCCCTACTTTTTACGAACCAGCAAGCGCTGAGCATGGTCACAAGATAGTCCAAGGGAGGGAGAGGAAGAGCTCAAATTAAAGAAGAAAGACTTGATTCTTGCTGAGGAAACAGAAAACTTTCTTTTTAATAAACTTGAAGGAGTCTAGAATAAAGAGAGGATGTTTTGCTGTCCAAACTTATGATTCTAGCTCTTTAATGGTAGTTTTTCAACTAATATTGTGAAAGGCTTAAACAGTACATCCCCTGTTCCCACAAAGTGATGACCTAGAAAGTTAATCTTTTCCAAGCAGAGACAAACTCAGAGGCATTGATGTTGTGGGCTCCACGTCTGCCTGGCTCTGTGTGGGAGAAAAAAAAAAAACACCATCATTTGTAAACAAAGAGTCAGGATCCATTAACGCGGCTATGAAAAATGCACTGAAGTTAATCTCAGAAGTTCACTAATCTTTCCTGTTTTTATGAGAGTTAGCAGGGAGGGTAAGAGAGACAGAGACCAGCGAAACCGCCTGATCATCAGCTGACATTGAGAGAGCGAGAGAGCTGCAGAAAAACTTTAAAAAAAGAGGACAAATAGAGACGAAGCAGGAGAGGGAAGATCGTGAGAGGGGAGAAAGGGTGTGCAAACCCTAAATTCAGAGGAGAAGTTAGCGTGCTCAGATGATTCCTAATAAGGCTGTAACTGGCAGTCTCGAAGCTCTGTCCTGGAATTAGCTGCCAGGAAACTTTCCCCTGTAACTCCTCTGCTCTGAACGCTAAGAACAGAAACAAACACACAATCTGCTGTGACCCACAATGCTCCAAAAAAATTGAACGGATAAAATTAGAAACAAGGAGACGCAAGAGAAACAGTGAAACTATTTCTGACCTTTTCAAAAGGAACAATGAGTAAAAAAAAAGTCGTTCAGCGAAGTTCCTGTCTGTAAGTCAGTGTGTATGAACCCGCGGCCTCTTTGCTCTGCATCAAACACAGCTGCTCACCTTTTAAAGTTCCTGTGCTCATTTACTCATGTTTTCTCTCCACAGGTGAGAGTTGGTGGGTGACTGTTTGAAAAGCTGCCACAGACTCAACATGGCTCAGGTGCTGCATATGGACCCCGGCTTCCCAGGTGCACCTCCATTTTAATTTTGACAGATACACTGACTAATCTGCAGATTAATGAGGGGACGTAGAAATAATTATACAAGCCAAGTTTGAAAAAAGTTGGTATACTGTGTAAAATGTTGAAAAGAATCAGAATCTGATGGTTTACACATCATTTTAACTTTATTTGAAAATAGCACAAAGATTAAAAAAAAGTATTTACTTAAGTTTATTTTAACTTTGATTCTAGCAACATGTCTGCTACTTATAACATGATAACATGTTTTTCACAAAACAGAGACAGATGTCTATAGATATATGTTGTCTTTACACCCCATTTAATCAAATATAATAAATTAATAATAATAAATGTTATTTTTAATGCACTTTTACAGGTGCTCAAAGACGCCTTACAAAGAAAAAGAATAAAATTAAATAAAAAAAAAATTTAAAATACATAAAATAAAAATAAAAAAATTTAAAATACAGAAAATTTTGAGAAATAAAACCAACAGTGTAAGAGGTTAAAAAAGACACAGTAAAAGAACAGTTCACAGGTTAAAAGCCATTTGAAAAAGGTGTGTTTTTAGGAGTGATTTTAAAGTGTGGGCGTCTGTGCAGTCCCAGATGGGTTTGGGAAGTGAATTCCAGAGGGAGGGTGCGGCAGTGGAGAAGACTCTGTCCCCCCAAGTTTGGGATTTATAGGAATTTAATGACAAGGAAATCATCAAATTCTGCTTTTGTCAACATTTTATAAAATATATGGACCTTTTCAGAGCTGGGTTTGTATTTTTTAAGGATTTATTCTGTCTGAAAACACTTAGGTAATGAACAAATTGTACAGCTGAGACAAGATCATGTTAGCCTCGATGGTACCTCTTCACTTTGTACCTAATTTGCTGATTGTTCCAGATTAAAAACACAAATACAGACTTAAAACAAAGTTAATGCTATTTTCTAAAGTCTGAGCCCAAGATTAGACGCAGATTTCCGTTTGTTTAAAGTTGATTTCCTTCCCCCTCAGGGAAACTGAACCCGCCTGCTCCCTCCTCTCTACACGGCAAAGAACAGGAGGCAAACTACTCAGTGGAGACCCCCTACGGCTACCGTCTGGACCTGGACTTCCTCAAATATGTCAACGACATAGAGAAGGGGAACACCATCAAGAAGGTGCCGATCCAACGCCGGCCTCGCTATGGTTCTCTGCCCCGTGGCTATGGCTATGCCGGCTCCTGGTGGACCTCTACAGAGTCCCTGTGCTCAAACACCAGCATGGACAGCCGGCACTCCTCCTTCTCTTACTGCGCCCCGGGCTACCACACAACACAAAGACCCAGCTTCAGCACTGCCCGTGTGGAGAAGACCCTGCTGGACGCACGCAGGAAGCTGGAGGAAGAGAAGGAGGGGCGGAGATTTTCCAACCTAGGTAGCATGCACAGCAGCGTAGCAGGCTCCAACACCTCCATCAGCAGTGCACACAGCTTTAACCGAGCACACGGTGGAGGTGGATCCTTTACGCCAATGAGTTCTGGCCTGTCCACTCCTGTGACGCCAACACCTGCACACCTGCAGCACGTCAGGGAGCAAATGGCTGCAGCTCTCAGGAAGATCAGGGAGCTGGAGGAGCAGGTGAAGACCATCCCTGTGCTGCAGGTCAAAATCTCTGTTCTGCAGGAGGAGAAACGGCAGCTCAGCGTCCAGCTCAAAAGCCAGAAGTTCCTGGGCCACACTCTGGGTTTTAGCCGGGGTCGTCCAAGAGGAGAGCTCTACATTGACATCCCTGAAGAAGAGACAAGCGCGGCGGCAAAAAGCAGCAATAAGCTGACAGAGCCACTGTCTCCCTCCACACCTGAGGGGGCCAAGCAGGACTCGGGCTGTGAGATCGAGGACACGGTGATTGTGGCAGGAGCAAGACCAGATGCAAAGCGGGAAGTGCGCACTATTGGAGTCGGACCAGAGGACTTGAAAGAAACCTGCCAGGTGGGAGTCGGGGTTCGGGAGGAGGATCTGGGGCTGCTGCCAGAGACAGAGGCTCTCAGGAATCAAGTGGGTCAGCTGGAGGGGGACTTAAAGCGGACGCTGCAGGAGCTGCAGGTGGTACAGAAACAGGCGGAAGTGATACCGAAGGCGCCTCAAGCGGAGCATCCTGTCATGGCTACCAGTATGGGCTGGCAGGAACCACAGGGCTGCAGCCTGCACACTCTGGTCAGCTTCACTCAGCTGCCCCAACAGAGGGAGCAGAGGACTGTGGGGATCCAGGTGTACACACTGGAGCAGCCGACTGTGGTGGAAGTAGGAACTCTGCTCCGAGCAGAGACCTGCAGACTTCCCAGTCCTCTGACAACTGAAGGAGTCGTGGAGGATCAACACAGAGAGCAAGTGGAATGTTTGTGTTCATCTGGTATGTTCTAAACACCTGAAATATGTCTGATACACTACTCTTAATCTATACAACAAAATACCACATCTAAATACACCTCTACAAAGGTGAATTAAAGGGATATTCTGGTGTAAAATTAAGTTAGGGTCAAACACACCATAACACCGAGTGAGACAACCCCTCGAGAGATGAATGTTGCCGACTGCTTGCTTCTCTAGTTAAACCAACTTAAGTAACGACCCCAGATAGCAATACACAGCGGTCTGAGGAGCCATAAACAAACCTCAACCAAAACGCCACTCTATAGCCACAAATAATGCTCAGAACAGCACCTAACTTGCCTGATTTCTTTATCAAAGAGACTAAACACAACTTACCTGCTCTCTTCCAGCAGCTGCTTGTTTGTAGTGAGACCTTGGGTCAGTCAATTACTGCAGTGGAGTGACGCAGTTCAAGGAAGAACATTTATAATCTTTTCTTTATCATTTCCTTGAAGTGATAACCATCATATTAATCATTTTGCACTGCAGACACGGTAGTTCTTCTGCCTTATCGGTCTGATAAATGATCATAAATGTTCTTCCTTGAGCTATGTCACCCCACTGTAGTCCATAATGGACTGGCCCGAGTTCTCGCTACAAACAAGCGGCTGCTGGAAGAGAGAGGGTGAGTTGTGTTTAGTCTCTTTGGCTGGTACTATGGCTGTGACCCTACATGTACTGTTGATGAAGTTAGGTGCTGTTCTGAGCATTATTTGTGGCTATAGAGTGGCGTTTTGGTTGAGCCCGTGGCTCTCTGTATTGCTGTCCTGTGGTCATTACTAAAGTTGATATAACTAGAGAAGTAAGCCGTCAGCAACATTCATCTCTCGACGGGGTGTCACACTCGCTTTGTTTGACCTTAACTCAATTTTACGCTGGAAAATCCCTTTAAAACCTTACGAATACTAATACAAACTAGGATTTATCACATCACTGTTGTATCAGATTGCATTAAATTGAGCAGGTTAGATATAAATTCAGGGACTTCTTGTTAAAATTAATGAATCAGTAAATTTAATTTAACTTAAACAATTTTGTAAAGCTGAAAACTCTTCTGTCCGACTCTCAGATGCTCCAGTTCCACTTGCGATCAGCTCCAAGGAGGTGAGGGAAGTCCTAAAGTGTGAGCTCTCCACTTCAGAACCTGTAGCGTCTTCTGTCATCACTGTTGGCATGTCGGCTGATCAGATTAGTCCATTAGCTTCAAAAGAAGAAGAAACACACCTGCATGAATCCACAGAGGCCGTCCAGTCACAAGAGAGCGCCCAGACAGGTAACCAGACTGGTCAAAACACCCTTGACCTTCACTCAAAGGTTTTATGACCTCCCTGTGTTTATGATCACTGGTTTCTTTTTCAGCCTCGTCTCCGCCCTCCTCTCTGAGGTCCATTATGAAACGGACAGAACAAGGTGAACCAGGATCTCCCTCTGCAAAGAAAAATCTACAGTTCATTGGAGTCAATGGAGGGTAAGTCTGAACTCTTAGGGCTGTTTAATTATGCTGAAAATCCTTATGATAGTTTTGATTGATATTGACATCACAATCATTAGAAATCATGATTTGACATCTGCATCACAAACCTTTTCGCTCCTTAAAATCTATTTATAACTTAAGATCTCTTAATCCTTAAAAAACTGTGTCCGAGGAAAAGTCACAAGACGATTGTGCATCTTTCACTGCAGCTAAACCTAAAAAAAAATGAACATTTGAAAACATTAATGATATGTTTAATGTTAAATACTCTCTGGACGGCTGTTCAGGGGAGACAATGGCCCCCTTTCTTTGGTACATTTTGCACATTTTAAAAAGCACCTGTGAGGAACTTTTGTGTCAATTTTGGTGATCCTGAGTCCTAAATGGCTGATTGTCTTCTATTCGTCTTCAAGAATCTCTGCTGTGGAAGAAAAAAGCTGTTTTTGCAGTATTATGTTAATCAGAGGAAGAGGATTTAGGCATTCACAACAACATCAGAATAATAAAAGCTGCCACAATCATTTTGTTTACTTTATAGATCATGAAAAGCATCAGCATTTATTTCATAACCAAATAAAACTTCTTCACAGGAGATTGTAAGCTGCCAATATGCGTAAATTAAAACTGACTCCTTTATCTGCAAAGCCTCTTTGCAAATACAGACGATTCAAGAAATAAAACAGCAGCTGTTGGAGCAAAATTATACACTTCTTCAGAGAGTTTGGATCACTGTGGTTGAATATTTTAAGTGGTGTCAAATCTTGAACTTTAGTTATTGTAGTTATGTGGCCAAAGAACAGCCTGTAGCAGTACTCTGTCGTTATTATTGCTATTTGAATAAACAGTCAGGGCCTGTCTTAGCCTAAACACTCGTATATATGGTCACACTTATCCCAGGCGTATGGAGATGATTGGGAGCTGTTACGTGGGATGAAAAGTTGTTATTGTCAAGATTTCTTTTAGATATCAACAGGCTGTATTTGCTGGCAGTGTTATAAATGGTAAACTATTAATAGAAGACATCCCCTTTTCTTAGTCTTATCGTGTGGTTATGATCAGAGAGTGTTAGTCACAGCGATTGCATATTTGTGTACGTCTCTTGAGAAAAGTTTGTGGTGTTTGGATGAAGATGAGTCAAAATACTAAGAGGATGGATGATATGGAGGACTTGCTGCAAAGTTATGTCCTGATCGGTCTTGTTTTAAATTTATCCAATACAGCCCCAATTCCCATAACAAAAGTGGGAGGCTTTGTAAAGTGTTGATAAAATTAGATTTTGAAGGTGTGACGATTCAGCTCATAGAGTGCAAAGAAAACACATTGAATTGGAAATTGAAAAGCTGTTTGTTTTGTTGAGGATGCAGCCTTGATTTAAGGAAGCTGGAGGAACATCTCCAACTAATGAAGTTAACTTTCAACATGTTAGTAACATGGCTGAATATTAAAGGGGCAGTTCAGGGGAGCTGAGTGTCTGAGAAGTAAAGGTGGGGGGAGGTTTCTGTGAGAGACTGCAGGAGCAAATAGTTCACTGATTTTAGAGTAATATTCTGTAGTCTGGAAATTGCTCAATTTTGTGGATTTCATTTAGGGATGCACTGATCTGATATTTGGATCGGATATTGGCTCCGATATTGACAAATTAACTGGATCAGATATCAGGTGAATTACGCCGATCCAGAGTTCTGATCCATTTTTGTTTTCTTTTAATTAATTTTTCTTTTAATACATGGAAGTCTTACTTTTTTGCTCTGTGCTAATGTGCAATTTGTAAATAAATGATATTAAGTACATTTATATCTGTGCTTATTTGTTACCTTTTTTTAACAAGGCTAATATCAAGTCTGATGCCTTCACTCACAGGGCAAGGTATACAGTTTATTCATTCAAAAGCAGTATTGGATTGGTATCGGCTAATACGCTCAGCCCTGTATCAGATTGGATCGGAAAAAAAGGATCGGTGCATCTCTAATTTCATCACTTACACTACATACATAAACATAATCCAGAGATGCCAGCAAGTTTTCTGGGCCTGAGCCCATTAAATATGGTCTGAGACAAAGTGAAAAACTGTCCTGTGATCTGACAAATCAATGTTTGACATTTGTTTTGGAAACCGTGGACACAGAATCGTCCACTCTATAGAGAATAGAGAAACCACATGGTTTATTATCAACAAACAGCTCAAAAGCTAGTATCCATGATGGCATTAGGATGCATTTTATTGTTTATTTGGCATCATTACATAGGATGGCTGAAGAGACACAGGAAACATGGAGAGTACAGAGGTGGGAAAGACATGCAGCAAAGGGCAAAGGTCAGAAGTCAAACCAGCAATGGCAGCTTTTAATTTGTGTCTATATCTCTAAGAGTTCAAGTTGAAATGCATTTGTTTAGTTATGAAAGACATTTAAGTTTCAATAACTTTAAACTGTTTGGAAGTAAAAGATATTCTTGTCTTGCAGGTATGAGTCCACTTCATCAGACAGCAGCAGCGAGAGCTCGGACGAGGGGAGCGACTCCAGCGAATATCACGAAGCCAGAGAAAAACTGCCAGACACAGCAATTCAGAACCAGCAAATAACCCAGACCAAGCCTCAACAGAGCAACAGTGTACCTCAACAAACTGCCGTCCAACTACCAGCCGTCATTCCAGACTCACTGCAGAGTCACAACCAGCCAGAATCTGCAGACACAACACTGCCAGACAAAGACCCGCAGTCACCAGCCACAGATACTGTTCTGCAACAATGTGCCTCACAGCCACCAGCCTCCGACTTTCCACCTCCTCCACCAGCAAATGAACCCGAAGCTCCCGCTCCTGAAGAGAGCGCGGAGAAGCCGTTAGAAGAACAACCCCCCACTTCTGCATCATCAAACACTGAATCCATCCCTCAGCAGAGCTCCATATCGTCCTCAGTCACCAGTTCGTCCTCGCTTTGTGAGACCACGAAGCAGCAACACACCGTCCAATCAGAAACGACTGTCATCTCCAGCCTGCCTGAAGCCGAAAAAGCAGTAGCAGCTTCAGAATCTGAAACAGAATTCAGGTAGATACACATGTGTTTTTTTATTGATTTTCCAAGGCACTTCTAAGCTTGATGTCACTGTTACATGCCTAATAGAAAAATACAGTTAGAGAAGTCTGGGCGTACAGATGTGGTTCTGGTTTTTAAAAAACGGAGGGAAAATAGATTAACAAATACATCAATCAGAGGACTTCTGGTATGTGAGGGTTTGCTGTAATATTGTGATGAAAAAACTGGGCTATCAGGTGTGCATATAAGTGACTAATGTAGTGCTTTAATGCTTCTCAGACTGGAGCTGAGTGACAGCCTGATGTCGGCCCTTCATGACCTCCAGAAAGCTCTGGGGGAACCAAACGCCTTCAGTCAACAAGGAGCGGTGAGTGTTGCTTTAATTCTGTGTATATAAAGTTAATTTTGTGCAAATTAAGTTGAGTGAATTAAATTGTTCAGCCTTTATTACTTCCCAACATTACTGAATAGCATCAGTAACACACAAACTGTGCTAGTATGAGAAATGAATTGATTTAGGGTGTTCATTCTTGTTTTATAAAGGGATATTTCAGTATTGTTGAAGTGACGTGTCATTTCCTGAGAAACTCACTTTATGGAGGTAACCTCTAATGTCACCTCAGAACTACTAAATTATCCCTTTTTATATGCGGACAACAGATGATTACTGTGTGTATATTTTTGAGAGGATACGTCCAAAAGCTTGTTAGTGTTGGCGTGTTTTGTGTCTCTGACTGTCCTCCCTGTGTCTGTTCTCAGAGGGCGGCCTACACCACCGTGCTGCAGGATTGGCTGCGTGTGTCCTGTCACAAAGCGGCGGACACAGAGGTGGTGAAGGCCTACATGAGCGCCTTCACCTCCATCTCCCCTCAGCTGCTGGAGTTTGTGATCAACATGGCAGATGGCAACGGGAACACAGCGCTTCACTACACCGTCTCCCACTCAAACTTCCCCGTGGTGAAACTACTGCTGGACACAGGTGAGTTTAGTTTAGTTCAAATTTAAGGTTAAGCTGTGGGTGCTGGTAATACATGCCCATCATGATTCAACCACAACATAAAGAAAAGAGAGATCCAAGAAGTTCATCAGCTGTTTGAATTCAAAATATACATTTTATCAGTGCATCAGGCTGTCTGAGGTAGTTTCCCTGTCATTCAGTCATGGTGCACTCTTGTCGCCACCTGACATTCGACTGACACTCTTGACTTTCTTAAAGGGATATTCCAGTGTAAAATTAAGTTAGGGTCAAACGCACTGTAACACCAAGATAGACACCCCGTCGAGAGATGAATATTGCCGACCACTTGCTTCTCTAGTTATTCCAACTTTTGTAACGGAAGAACATTTATGATCATTTCTTTATCATTTCCTTGAAGTAATAATCATCATATTAATCATTTTGCACTGCAGACACGGTAGTTCTTCTGCCTTAGTGTCTTGGTCTGATTGCATTTCCATGAGATGATCATCAATGTTCTTCTTTGAGCTGTGTCACCCCGCTGCAGTCCGTAATGGACTGGCCCTAGGTCTTGCTACAAACAAGCAGCTGCTGGAAGAGAGTAGGTGAGTTGTGTTTAGTCTCTTTGCTAAAGAAATTAGGCAAAACTAAAAAGATGTTTGGTGGCTAGTGCTGTGGTCAGGAGCCTATATGTACTGTTGATGAAGTTAGGTGCTGTTCTGAGCATTATTTGTGGCTATAGAGTGGCTCTTTGTATTGCTATCCTGCGGTCGTTACTAAAGTTGGTATAACTAGAGAAGCAAGTGGTCAGCAACAATTATCTCTCGACGGGGTGTCGCACTCGGTGTTGCGGTGTGTTTGACCCTAAATTAATTTTACGCCGGAATATCCCTTTAAAAAATACAGTGATGGTTGTCTACAAAAATGGAGGACATGTTCTGCACTCAAAGGAGAAGGTAACTATAAGAAGCTACTTCTTACAAACACATGGACAAAATAATAAAAGAGATCAAATGGTAACACTTTGACCACAGAAGGGCGTCAAATCTACACAAACAAAAAATTCCTTCAGGGGCTTTAATTTGTTTTTCTGTATTTCACTGTTAGTTTCAAAATACTGCTAATGGTTTCTGATGTAAACGAAAGTTTTATTTGTTAACATTTAAATTTTTTTAGGACAGTGTGCAGACACAAAAGGGAGAAATAAAAAAGCAAACAAAAATTTAATCAGTAAATCTTGGTAAACTTGTGAAATTCAATATGTGACATGATTGATTAGAGTCATGTTGGCTAATTCTGCTTACATTGCTGCACTGGGTTTATAGGTGTGCCAATTACTTTGCCTAAAACTGGGTTACATCTAAAAACAATCGGTCAGGCTTAAACATCTCAGTGGATGGTGCAGCCACTTTCGAGAACTGTCACATCAGTTGAATAAATGTATAATTTCCTCCACCATTATCTTTTTCTCACTCCTGTCATTGTTCAGCGCTGAGGTTGATCTGTGTTAGAAGATGCATATCCAAAACCTTATCAAATAAATGTCAATATGGCTGTTTTTTTTCTGAAGTGTGTTTTGTTAAAACTGTAAGTAGGAGGGATATGACGTCTTTATCTAGCAGACAAGTTTAAGTCCTAGTCAGAGGGATGTAGTCGCTGCCCTCTGTGTACATTTTTGCAGCAGTTCTGAGCTTCACACTTTGTCCTAAACTGTTCTCTTCTCTTAAAAACGTCCCTGTCAGTGTTTGTGCGGCTGTTAGTCTGATCGCTCTGTTTCACCTGACAGGTCTGTGTAACGCTGACAAGCAGAACAAGGCGGGCTACACGGCCATCATGCTGACGGCTCTGGCTGCCTTTCACTCAGACACCGACCTTCAGACGGTCTTGCAGCTGCTGCGCACCGGGGACGTCAACGCAAAAGCTAGCCAGGTGCGCCCTCTACTGCTCACTTAATTGAACTGCAACTGCACATAAAAACAAACCTTCGATACAACTCACTTTTGTCACGTTGTAGTTTCCTAAGTTTTTGCAGGTCTGTTTAGAAATGTTTGATTTCTGCTTCAGATCAGTCTGATCAATTGAATGTTAAATCTGTGCAGGCCGGACAAACCGCTCTGATGCTAGCGGTCAGTCACGGTCGGGGCGACATGGTGCGGGCACTGCTGTCCTGTGGGGCTCAGGTCAACATCCGGGATGATGACGGCTCCACGGCGCTCATGTGCGCCTGTGAACACGGACATGTGGACATCGTGCGGCAGCTGCTGTCCGTGCCCGGCTGTGACGCCACTCTCACAGATAATGTAAGGAGGCATTTCCTCTCCTCCCTCCTTCCTCTGTGTTTTTAAATTTTTCTGACACGTCCTGTCCAAACCATCATCTTCACCTTCATCCTTTTCTGTCTGACAGGACGGCAGCACCGCTCTGTCCATCGCCCTGGAGGCCACCCAGAACGACATTGCTGTGCTTCTGTACGCTCACCTCAACTTCGCAAAGCCCCCCTCCCCTGTGAGTGCTGACACTGCTAACACACACACACACACACACACACACACACACACACACACACACACACACACACACACACAAACACACACTGACACACACACACACACACACACACTGATACGCTCACACATTGCTGTCAGAGGGCCTTTATACAGAGAAATCATTTAGCTCCTGTGTCGAACAATTAGGCAGGGAAAATGAGCCATAATTAAGGATCGCTCGGATGAATCTGTATTATTTCTTTGTTTGCAAGGAGGTGAAGAGGGTTATTCATGGAAATGTAGACAGTCTCAAATTGTACTATTATTCAAAATGATAAGCATTTTTAATGAACCAAAAGCAGGTTAAACATTTGCTTGTATTGTGTTACATTACATAAACAGACAGCATTTTTGAGAGGACAAAAATCCCTCCGTTTTTCAGAACTGACTGTTTTAGTATTAAGAGAAAAGTTGTCATGCAGAAAAATGGGTCTATGTATTATCTTTCCATTTAATTATTCCATTCAATCTCGTAAACAAAAAAACGAGTCAATATTTTGTTTATTTGTTTTTCTCTATAACCAAAAAATAAACAATTAGTGTTTGTTTTTGTATTTTCAGCTCAAAACAGAATATATAATAGAGAAGGAAACAAAAACAAAATAATAAATCTTATTTACAATTATTGATTTTGAGTGCGCATGTTTTGAGCATACGTGCATAGAGGCTACATTGGCCTTCCCATGATCCTCAGTGACAGTTACCATGGTGAAAGATACGATAGAGCAGTTCGAGCGCCAAAATCTTAGATTGTAACAGAGCTCTGGTTGTAATTTTTTGCTAAAGTCATATCTTCCTCCTTCAGCGTGACCCTCCTGGCAGCTTTGAATAAGCCTTTGAATTAGCCTTTCTTTACCGCTCTGGCTTGGAGGTTTTGGTCCATGTTGTTGGCTACTTTGTTGCGCAATGCACATTTGCGAACAGTAGAAAGGCATTGTGAAAAATGGGGACTTCAATAACCCGAAAACGAAAAGTTGAATTATTATGTTGTTTTTGTTTCCATCTCTATTATATATTCTGTTTTGAACTGAAAACACAAAAAACAAACCCTGATCTTTTTGGTTATATAGAAAAACAAATTAACAAAATATTGACTAATTTCTTCGTTTTTCGTTTACTAGATTGAATGGAATAATTGAATGGACGGATAATACACGGACCAAAATGTCCCATCATTCTGAGTTAATGTGGAAATTTTTATTAAAAGATCACCAGTAGTTGAAGGTTCAGGTCTGAGTATGTTCGCTTTCAAAACACGCAAACACTGAAACGTTTTTTTAACTGTAAGATTTTTTTTTTCCCCCTACCTCATCCAGGTTTCTCCGAAGTCTCCTCTCCTGGGTTCATCTCCTCCTACTGGTGAAACGAAATAAAGTTCAACTCCTCCTGTGACTTCACAGAAAATCCACATCCACCTCCCACATCACAGTGTTTGTTTTCTTTCTGTAATTAAGACAATGAGTTTAAGTGTGTTTGTTTTCTTTCATCGTAATTTAAGTGTATCATAATGTGCAGATCATTGTATGACAGCTCTCACTGTTGTTGTCTTCTGCTGCTTTTTGTTCACTTTTACTCACAGTGTTGCTTGGAAACCTGGATTACTTTTGTGGTACTCTCTTAAATAATCAAACATCTCCAGTCCTTCAAATATCCAGTTTTCACTTTTTTTAAAGGCACATAGAGGCCAAAACATTTCACTGTCGCTCAGCTCATTATACACTTGTTTTTGTCAGTCGATATGAAACTTCTTTACTTAGTTGTGTTTTTATTGTATCATGTACAGCAGCTTCTACAGAGTAGCATCATGACGTTTCATTACCATCACTTGGAATAAGAAAAGCCACCCCTCTCATAAAGAAGTGTCCTTGCATCAACTAGCTCATTGGTGCTACAACAAGATGAAACACAAAACACCACTTTAGCAGTATATCAATATTTATACACCAGATTTATTTACTCTAGAGTATTTTTGATATTGATTTTTTAAATTCAGGACCTCAATAGATCAAATTTTTAATCCCTTGGTGATGGTTAACTTATTACATCTTTTCCACCAGAGGATGGATTTATTTTTTTGTGTTGCAGCATTCCCAAAGTGAACCCAAAGATGTTTCTGTCCTCTCAGCTCTGTAAATGTGGTCAAATTAAAAAACAAAGGTCTGGTATCAAAGTGAGGGAAAGAGGTGGTTGGTATAAATCTGAAGGTGAAGGTACGATGGTTTTGTATTTTTTTAACCTGAAGGTATTCTGGATGGTTGTACGGAAAGTAAAGGGTGTTACTGTATTTGTAATATTCTGTGCTCAAAGATTAAAAAAGGACTTTGTTCAAATAGAGACTAAAAGCACTGGTAAAGCCAGGTTTGTCAGGGAAGCAGGAAGTGTCTGATTGGGCTCTTTGAAGTACGTGTATAATATGATAATCAAAATAATATATGTCAATATAAACCAGTAGTTATGACGCCTAACGTTAAAGTCCTTGAACTAAAGTGCATAGGCTATTGATGTCAAAATTTCTATTACTTTTTGAAGGTTTTTCACACGTTTCATATTCACTTTTCAGCAGTTAAATTTTTATAAACTTTCAATTTATTAATTTAAGTATCTATCTTTTATACATTTAGAATTTTTAAGCTCACATCTACTTTATGTAACCGCACAGCTCTTCAGTTTGTTTTATGAAGGTTTATGTAAAATTTTAGATTGTGTTTCTCAACTGATTAATAAATGTGGACCACACTGTTGCTGTTGCATTATTGTTTTTATTTTGTATGGTTGAAATCTGAAATAAAACCATTGATCATTTTTTTTAACAAGCAAATAATGCAGAAGAGTGACCACTAGAGGGCGTGCTAGTACAAATAGTTGAGCTCAATTTCTCCATCAGTGTCATACTGTTTATCAAGAGCTCAAGTGTACACCTAAAGGTGCAAAGGTTAGAAATGTGAATATTTCCAAATTCTAGATTGAAAAGCTCAACCTTCTTGTTAATGAAGTTTTTACCATCAAAAATGTACATCAACTCATTTTCTCCTCCATAGAAAAGGAGACACTCCTCATGTAGAAATAAAAAGCTCACTCTAGGAAAACAAAATATATATTTTTTTCAATCAGGTGATCATAAATCAATTAAAAGCTTCTATAAGTACTTTTTTTTACTTTTACTGGGAGCGAGGTAAGTATCAGTCAAAAAATTAAAGACACAGTCCTGTTTTTACAACTTCCACACAAAATATTCACATTTAATAATACAGTCGACAGTCAGAAATCAGCAGGATGAGTTTTTTTGTCATGGATACTATCAAAGCACAAAGAGAACCGGATAAGCAAAGATTGCTTTGCCGTTTTTTCTAGCATCTGTTAAGAAATAGGAAAAATGCATTTACTATAAATGAACATGTAAAGTTCAATGAGATTTTATTGATAAAATAGGATAATAAAAAGAATTTCCATAAATACAAAAGTTTATGATGATGTTAAAATGTATAATAATTATTAATAAATTGTTATTAATTAATAATAATTTTATGCAGATTATTATTTTTTAGAGAACTGTACATCTGTAAGTAAAATATATATATAAATATATATTATATGTAATATATATATATTTTTTTATATTAGATTTATATACATATATTAGATTTATTCATATTTTCCTTGAGGTACAATGTACTGAGTTTGACAAGGGTTTATTAGTTTTGAAATACTGGTTTGTTTGTTTTTAAAAGTCTGCGCTGATCATAATCTCTGTCAAATGTTCGTCAGAGAAACAGCTGGTTTCTTGAGACACCTGTTTGTTTTTGGGTGGGTCGGTGAGATAACATTCAGTGTATACATGATTTTATATTGCGCTATAGCCAGACTACTAAACTAAAAAACAACAACAACAACAAAAAACTGCCCACTCAAAACTTAAATAGTCTTTATAATTTTATGGCGTAAACATCCACTGTTTTGTAAATTTTCTTTACTGGATACAATCAGTCAACTAGTTATGGATAGATTCCATTTCTGAGCTATTTTAGGCTGCACGGTGCACTCATTTTGATAAAACATCTTATCTCTTCGTCATTTTCAGGGTGTCCACCCTACAGCTGTGGTGTTGTGAGTTAGATAAGCCTGATAGTGACACTGTGCATTGTCAAGAAGATGCAAACAGCTGTCTGCTTACCATCTGCATCTTTGCAGGTTTCTTGGCTGATAAATTAATCTTTTGTGCCTAAATCTGTTTCTTTTCAAAAATATAAATTTATATAAAAACTATTTTTATTCCAATCGATATCATTAGTATCTAACTAGACAGGTTGAAAATGTCAAATCTCTGCCAAACTTAGGAAAGTCATGAATTAATGAAAAAAATATGAATAAAATCCCACCCTGTCATTGTTTGAAAAACAACTAACTTGCAACATCTTCACTTTTTAATTTTATTTTATTGTTCCCATGCTTTAAATTTTATTCAGTCCAATTACTGTGCTTCCTTTATTGTACCTCTTGTTCTAAAACCCCAATTCGGACAAAGTTCAACATTTCTACCTGTTGCAGCAAATTTTTCTCTCTCACAGTCACGATGAGGAGGTTTAATTTCCTATCTCGTTTGAACTGTGATCGGTCACTTGGACCGCCCCCACTCAGCCTATCTGGGAGGGGACATTTTAGGGTGTGCCCACACTCTATTTAAAGCACGAAACCCTCCTCAGTTTGGTTTCATTACGACACTGAATAGCCAAGATGACCAGTCTCACTGAAAAGGACAAGGCCAGAATCCGTGCCTTCTGGGATAAAATATCTCCGAGGGCTGAGGATATCGGCACTGATGCTCTGGCTAGGTAAATATCTTCTGAAGTCTCTCTAACTTTGATTCATGTTCATGACTGATCTATCTGTTTGATTTTCTACAGGATGCTGATAGTGTACCCCCAGACCAAGACTTACTTTGCCCACTGGAAAGACCAGAGCCCTACCTCTGACTCTGCTAAAAAGCACGGGATAACTGTGATGGGTGGAGTTGGCTTTGCTGTGTCCAAACTGGACAACATAAAGGAGGGTCTGCTGAACCTGAGCGAGCTGCACGCCTTCACCCTGCGTGTGGACCCCGCCAACTTCAAGGTGCAGAGTCACAAAGATTACACATGACGGGCTGGGATTCATACAAAGTTTTCCTCAAATTCAGCTTTTGGAGTTTTCAGACTGTTTTATGATTACCCTCTTTTACAGATCATCTCCCACTGCATCATGGTGGTTATGGCCATCATGTTCCCTCAGGACTTCACCCCTCAGGTCCATGTGTCCATGGATAAGTTCCTGGCCTGTCTGGCTCTGGCCCTGGCTGAGAAGTACAGATAAACAGCAGGAGAAACAGTCAGACTGCAGCATGAGTTCACAGTGCAAAATGTTGAATAAATGCGTGAAAAAAAGCAGTTTGACTCTCGTTTGTTTGATTTGTGGGAGACTAGCCAACAGGGCTGCAACAACCAGTCAGTTAGAAGACTTTTTAATCATGGAGAGAAACTTTTGAACAACTCTTGCTGTCAGATTTTCTGTAAGTCAACATCTCCACTGTGAAAACTTTGTTCCTTTTCTTTGTTTAATAATTATGCAAAATTCAGTATCTTGACAAAGCAACTCAAAATATTTGCCAGAAAGCGAAGTTGAAATCCAGACTGAGAAATGTATCATCTAGGTACTGAAATGTTCAATCAATCACTTGTAGAATCGATAAATGTTATAGGGACTATGTTTGCACAACAAACTCTTTCTGTCTTTATTTATTTATTTATTTATTTTAATCTCAAGCACTGGAACTTAACAACCCCAAGGATACATTTATATACATATATGCACATGCTGATGTTTATGATGAGAAATTATGAGCTAAAAGATACTTATTTATTTCATTTAATCAAGTAGAGAAATCACATGAACCTTTTCTGGAATCTCATTTTTTATGATTAAGTATCAAAAACTCTTTAAATAAAGCTAATGTTTTATTTATAATCAATCAATCAATCAATCAATCAGTCAGTCAGTCAGTCAGTCAGTCAGTCAGTCAGTCAGTCAAGTCCTCAAGTGCTTTGCAGCCGTGGAAAAGAAGAAAAAAGAGGAGAATAACGAAGTGTGGGACACGCAAACACAAACAGAAGTGAATTTAAAGATGATGAAAGATTTTGAGGGAAAATGTGCACCAAAGGCAATAAAAATTTACAGAATTAAATCAATAAAAGGAAGAGAGTTAAAATTAACTTGAAGCATCAAAAATAACAATAAAATAAAAAGGGTCAAAATATTAATTAAATGAAAAAGATAATGAGGTACAGATGAATTAAGTACCAATATAAAAATACTTAAATGATACTGAGTTTCATTCTACTCCAGTTGAAGAAAATCAGAATGATAGAAAGCATATCAGGAAGAAATCAGGGACAAAAAATTAACAATAAAGTTTATATTTTGGATATTTTCAAAACTATTTTTTCCACTCAAGTTTCAGTCATGGTTTTGTTTTACAATATTAATTGTATTTAAAGGTGCAGTGTGTAGTATTTGTTGGAAAAGATTTGGTTGAAGTGAAAAATAATAATCATTAAAATGTTTTCATTGAATGTATAACTATCTGAATATAAAAATCATTTGTGTTTGTAAACTGAGAATCAGCCCTGAGGGCAGATCCCCTTCCATGGAGGCCGTCATCTTGCACCACCATGTTTCTACAGAAGCACAGAGTGGACAAACTAGTAATGGTTTTTGTGTTTAGTGAGTTTATGCAACTATTGCACCAGCTGGATGGCAAGATATAGATAGCTGTTGTTATGCTTAGAAGACTAAGTGTTGATGGATGTTTTTTGATGGTAACACCTCTTCAGCTTCACCGACAGGAGGGGTGCGCAAAGGAGCATTTCAATGTGGACTCTGTTGCTAGATATTGCTGAATATTCCCATCCCTAAAAGCTGCATCTATCTGAATCATCTGATGTGCATTTTTGAAGATTCACTTTGGTAAGAAAAACAGACAAAGAAGTTGTTGAATGTGCTTATTGTTTTATTTGCTTTTGAGGGAAAATCAACAAGCTTTAAAGACAAAAGCTCCACATGCAATGTTCCTCTGCTGCAGCTCTCTAGTGGTACTGCTTGCCCAGCGAGGTCACCACCACGGCCAGAAACTTCTGGAAAGCTGCCTGGATCTCACCAGTGAACTCTTTACCCCACTGGGCAGCAACCACGATGGTCAGACAATCGGATAGCAGCTGCAACAAAACAAGCATATGATGATTAAAAACATGGCAGCTGTTTGGCAGACGGGTGTTTTGATGGATTCAGAAGTTCTGAAACTTTACCCTGAAGTTGTCGGGATCCACGTGCAGTTTCTCAGAGTGCAGCACACTCAGCTCGGCATAGGTTGCCTTGATGTTGTCCATGTTCTTCACAGCCCGGTCCATACCGTGCAGGATGACTTTCCCGTGATTCGCCACCATGGGATTAGCTATGATAGCAGCAGCGTTATAAAGGTTTCCAAAGTTTCCAAAATACCTCTGAGTCCAGGGGTAGACAACCAGACACCTGGGGAAACATGTCAAAGCAAAAACATTGAAAAGATGCAATCTGTGTCCCATGAAAATAATCCTGATTATTGATCCTAAATATGGCAAAACACAAGACTGTCTTACCTAAAGAGAGCTGCAGGGCCCACAACGTCATAGTCCATCCTAGCAAAGATGTCCTGGATGGTGGCGCGCTCGAACTCTGTCCATTCAACCATGATGCCGGCTTTAGGGTTCTTTGTGCAGGTCTGTAGATCCTGGACTCCCCGTGCATCTTTTAAAGCAGCCGTGCTCCCCTCCCAGAGCATGTGATTGGACAAGCAATGGGCTGGACAACATCTGCATTATGGATTTTCAGCTCTGATAAGAAAATGAGGCATCTGCACCACTAAGATTGCCTCCTTGCTTTCTGGTAGAGTCGAGACAATCAACACTGCAGTATCACCCACAACACCTCCCACACGCTGCACCTCTGTCTGTTGTCTAATCTGAGCATCTTCAGCCCGCAGACCACTGAGGAGAACCACAGAACCCAACAAAAAAGTCTTCTCCTCTGGCCATCAAACTCTAAAACTTCTCCACATTCTGCAGCTTAAGTGTGACTTTAAACAACATGTGCAATATTACTTTTCAATACCAGCCTAATTTATATTAACTATCATTTATGACTTCACCTGCAGGGACTATGTGAATCACCACTGAGCCGCATCAGTGATATAATGCGTAGTATTACTTTTAAATCATATGCAAAACTTAAAAAAAAAAAATGCAATTTGCAACCTGCGCAAACTGACTTTCAAATAAATTTTAGCATAATGTGCAACAAATTTGTAAACATTTTTCATATTCATAATCATGGGCTAATACTATTAGAAAATTTTACATCATACTATACTAAGACATTTTTAACATAAAATACTTTGACTTTTTTTCAAACTAAAATTTGAACTTTTATCATACTATACTATGAAATTTTTTTACACTTCAATTTGAAATGTTTGCCATAGTATACTATGACATTTTTTCAAACTAAAATTTAAAATTTAATTCTGTACTATGACATTCTTTCACAAACTATACTATGACATTATTTTATTATCAAAATGTGAAACTTTTTTCAAACTATACTATGACATTTTTTATACTATGCCATGATCATATCATAGTATACTATGACATTTTTCAACACTATGGCATTTCTTCCCAAGCTCAAATCTGAAATTTTTATCATAGTATTCTATGACATACAACAACAATACATTTTTTTGTAGACCTCACTATGACATCTTTTATCACACTATACTTTATCATTTCTTTTATACAAAAATGTGAACATTTTCTCATTCTATACTATGACATTATTATCATATTATACTTTGATATTTTTATCATAGTATACTATGACATTTGTTATCATGCTATACTTTCATATTGAAGTGAGTGTACACTGTGACATTTTTAAATACTAAAATGTGAAATTTTTGTCAAACTTTACAATGACATTTCTTCTATGACACTGTACTACAATATTTCTATCTAACTATACTATGACCTTTTTACATACAAAAATTGCCATTTTTATCATAGTATACTATGACATTTTGACTTAAATTAAATTGAATTATAAATTTTTGTCAAAAGATACCATGACCTTTTAGCCATACTATACATGACATTTTTTTCATAACAAAATTTGGAATTTCATCATACTATACTATGACATTTTTTCATACAAAATGTAAATTTTTATCATGCTAAACCATGACAATTTGCACTAAAATTTGTCATTTTTATCATATTTTTCTGACATTTTTACCTTACTATACCATGACGTCTTTTAACATGCTCTACTCAATACTAAAATTGTAAATTTTTATCATTGTATACTATGACATTTTTATCATACTATTCTATGACGCTAGTACTAATTACAGATAAATGAGATGTATTGCTCAACAAGAAATGTTTTAAAGTTTTTAATACAAAAATCAAAAATTTTCCATTATAATATCCTTTTTTCAGCCTTTACAGATTTATTTGTTTGTTTGATGTTTGATGTATTTTAGGGCTCGCTTTGGTTCCTCACAATAAATTCATTTAAAAAAAAGGGGTGACTCCAGTTTTGACTCAGGAACACCACTAGAGGGGGCTATGAGGTGTAGAGTGGTTATGTCTTTAAGGAGGGTACATCAACATTTATGGAGGGAAGTCTCCATCTGCTGGGCAAATGTCATTACAACACAGCTGGACCCTGAACTATACAATAGAAACCAGCCTAGTTCAACCCAGGTTCAATGCAACCAACATGAACGGTTATAAAATAACAGCACTTTTAAATTTTTTTTTTAAAGAATTATCTTGTCCCCGTCTGTATAAGATACAACTTCAAATGTACAGGTCAGAAACAATTCAAAAGGACCCTCCAGCAAAGGCAGCATGCATCATAGGTATTCTGTGCAGCAAATTTAGTCAATATGAACAAACCGAGGTGTTGTGAAGTAAAAAGTTATGGCATCAAACCATAAAGTTAAATCAAATTATGCTGCGAGTATTGAAAACATAACAAAGGGTATAAAAATTCTTTGACACAGATAATAAAGGTATTAGTAGTATGATGTAAAGGAGAGCAGGCAGCACAACAGAGTGACGGCAACACTGGAGAAAGCTGCGCTCAGGCCGGAATTGCCGAGATTCATGTTGCCTACACCAGGCAGAGAGCAGGGGCTGTACTTCGCCCCCAGTGTGGACACACCCTCAGAGGCCAACAGGACGCCCGAAAATGTGATGGTTTTGGAGGTAGCACTGGCCCAGGCACAACTCCCAGGATTCTGTTTCATCCACACCTTGTCATCCTTCTTCAGCTCCTCCATCAGGTAACAGGTGTTGAGGGTAGTGTCCCCTCCAGAGACCTGAAGGACAAGAGTGAAGGATGGCACTTTGAGGCTTATTGTTCTGCTCCTTAGCTTGGCTGATCACAAGTGCAAAGATTAGTTTTGTCTCTCTAGGATTTCCTGTTTACTCAACTAGAGATTCAGTGCAAACTAGTCTTGTGTACCAGTGTATTACAAACTGTCCTCTTGTTCCTTAGTTTACTTTTTCACTTTTTTGTCTGTTCTAAAATGATAAAGTTAAACTAAGTCAGTTGGATTTTTACAGCTTTTAACATTTAGTCGATGTTGCGTACCTGGGCATGGCAGGCCATCTTACGTTCCCCCCTCACCATGAAGCCCCACACATTGTTGTAATTGCCTCGGCAGAGCTGAGCAGCAAACACAAACTGGTAAATACCAGAAACTGGTGCAGTGAACATGCCGGAGACATTGCTGTAGCCGGCGCCCTGGTTCACCACCACATGGTTGAAGACAACTGGGTTGTATTCAATCTCTCTCAGGCTGCCCTGGTGTTCAGAGTAAAACAGAACGGCAGCCCCTAGGACACAGATGAATCACATCAATGTGCTGTCAGACAAAAACAAATGTGCTTCATTCATGATTAAAACATTTTGTCTTTTACACTCTTAAGAAGAAGAAAGTGTGTACACTCATACACACTTTCTTCTTACCCTGCTTTTGGACTGCTGCCTGGCGAGGTGTCTGCAGGGAGAGAGAGATGATAAACAAAGTTTGCGGCGAGGGTGTGGTTTATATGTATACAAAACCTGATAAACCATCATGATCTCAAGATGCTGGGCGGTCAAAATCTGATGAGACATAAGCCATCATTCAGAATATGAGTTACTTTTTTGCTACTGCAAAAACATGACTAATGCTCATTAATCACTGTCCGTGTAGCTTTACCGTTAGCTAAAGGGTAGCAAAATGCTAACATTACCATATTAAGGTCTGACACAAGAAAAACAATAAGAACAGACTTTCAGTGACCAAAATAACATATTTGATAAACCTTCAATAAACAGACAGATGATTTTAGCAAACTCCCATCTTTAACTGGTTAACAAGGATGTGTTATAATGCTAACATGAACTTGATACTTCATGATGAAACAGAAAAGGCATCTGAAAACTCCACTTTGTTAAAGCAGTGTATTTGTTCGTATTTATATTTCCATAGAAAGTCACAGGAACACATTTTTTAGGAGTCTGCAACAAGTGCTTTAAGAAAAGGATTTCTGATAGCAGAGCTAAGCGCCCAAAAATGTTTTACTTTACCGTACACTTACACCAACCCTAATGTTTGGTGTAAAATAACCTACATGTTTTGACTTTGTCTGCAAGTTGATAGCCTTGATTGGTGTTACTATTCATATGAACTTGATGCAACCCCATGTTAAGACCCTAACTATCCCTTTGAGGTTGAAGACAACAGGCTGTAGGGTTCACAGGCGGCCATGTGGGCCAATCACAGCTGTTGGGGTCTGAGTAGCTGTCATGCTAAGTCCAATTTCTGGGGAGGTGCTTGTCAGGCCATAGTGTCGATGCAAAACAGAGGTACAAGCGACGCTTTAAGGTCAAAGGTCAGGTTACTTACACGATCCACTGAGCCTGCTACAGTCAAGCTGGTTGCAAACAGTGTCGCCGAAACAACAAAACCAAAACACACCTGTACAAAAAGTAAGAACATTGTTACCAAAAAGTCCAACGAGGTAAGAAACAGATGCAACAGAGAGCCGAGTACCTTAGTGGGAGTCATCTTTCTGCTCAACTCTGTGCTGCTCCCATACAGTCTGCCAGGTTTGTGTTGAAGTGTCTCTGTGCCCAACAAGCAAAGTCCACCTGCTGCTGCTTTGTTACAAAATCTGTTTGACCAACTCGGCCCAACAAATATAAGACAAACTGATCATTACTACATGCTAACAAAGTGGATGTCGACCTTATAGAGGGAGCAAAGGTGCCATAAGGGCTACATTTCCTCTTTTATTTATAATAGAGAGTGACCTCCAAAAAAAGAGCAACGTCATTAGTTGTTAAATAAGTAACCCAAAGTGAACTTTATTTACATATAAAAACTGCAAATGCCCTCTAGTGGTTGTTCTAAATATGACAGAAGCACAGAAGGGATTCAAGTGGCCTATCCATCCCACCACCCCTAACTCACTTTTTCTTAATTAAATTTTAATTGGTGTTATTCATTTCTTTATTTATTCCTTTGCTGTTGTTCATGTTTTAATGTTGCTTTGTTGATTTTAACTGTTTGATGATTAATGATTTTAATTGTAAATAGTGCTTTATTATTGTTTGTATATGTTCTGTAAAGTGTCCTTGAGTGACGTGAAAGGCGATTCAAATAAAATGTTTTATTATTATTATTATTATTGTTAAGTGAACCAAGCACTGGGAACTAAGATGGGAGACAATGAATTAAAAGCTTTATCAAATCTTAAAATTATACTTTGCAGCATGAATTTGCAGCAGATTTTTAGGAAAGGCCAGATAATGTATTCCCTAATTTGCACTTCAAAAACATCAATTTTGATACAAAATTGATTATTTACAAAATTTTGATATTTTTTAATATGTTTTATAATGTCAAAGCGAGAAAATATTTACATTATTGTTGGTGAATTTGTATTTTTCCTGAGGGCTATGTCATTCTCACAGTTGCTAGTTAAGTTAGTTAGTAGCTAATTGTAGTTACTCAGTCTGTTTGTTAAACTGGTAGAAAACAGGGACTCTCAGAGCAGTAAAGAGAATATTTGGCCCTGTATTAGAACTCATTAGTTTGACAAAATGTCAAGTTCTTTAAATCTTCTCATATTATTGTTTGTTGGATATATTATATGATTATATACAACACACGCTGCCCCTGTGCTTCCAAGTTCAGCCCAGTGCAGTTAGTTTTGTGTTTAATGGCCTTATTGACACAGCATTGGCATTGACACAGTCACAGGCGAGAGGAAACTGGAGTTTGACCTCTAATGAAACAAAACAAAAACAATCTGTCACAGACCTGCAATGACCCACTGATGAGCAGCGTTTGACTCAAACAAAGTGATATTTCTTGGTGATAGATGTTAAGACAAGGGAGGCAAGTCCTTTTTTTCCAAAAACAAACAGGGTTATTTTCTATAGATTTGAAAAACCAAGTAGCAAAACTTGACACAAAACGGTTTGTTGCACTCTCACATGAGCTCACCTGGATTTTACTTCTTTTACTACTTTTGAGTTGCAGCTGGATAACAGGATAGATAGATCATGAATAGATTGATAAATAAATACTTTCCTTTTTTCCCGTTTGGGCCTCCTCTTGTTTTCACTGATAGCTGTTATTAATACCTCCTTTGTGTGAAAGAGTTGACACCCAACAAGGACAGTTGAATGGTTCAAAGTCTCTGGCTCTTTAATTCCCACAAACACGCTCAAATTTAATAATTGTGCTCCAGCTCAGCTGTAATCATCTGGACATCTGGCTTGTGACTTCAATAAGTCTTTTTTTCTCTATCCTTTCATCTATCAGTCCAGCTCTAATCCCAGACATATGGTCCTCATAAAGACCCTGTCTCTACTAATAACACAGTGTCAGACTCTGAAATTGAAAGCTTTATTTGTTCAGACTGCACACAGTCACAGGCATGTGATACACTGAGTAAGAGTAGATGCTCTAGAAAAGAAATACATGGATGTTTTCCTGTTTGATTGTATGTTTTTCATGTTGGTTGATAACTGTTAGTAATAGATGAAGAAGTCTGAATGAGAGTCCAGTTTTGTAACACTCCTCTTTTGATCATAGAAGACTGGACAGAAAATGTAAACAGCTGAGATTAAATCCAGCAGACAAGAGCACTAGGCCGAGACAGAGAGGGAACAAAGAAGACGGCATGACATCCTTTTTTATTTAATCATGTTTGCGGTTCACTAAAGCAGCTCCAACAACCAAAACTAAAAAACTCAAATGATATATGTGCTACAAAAAACAAGCCAATACTAAAGCTCCTGTTTGGAACTTCCAGTTTGTGTTGAATTTGCCCCCCTGTGGAGAAATTTGATATAGCGTTACTGGTTTTGTTCTCTCTTTTTAAACACCAAAAAATCTTGTCTAGATGTCATGAAACAGTGAAATGTGGCACATACTAAAAATCTTGGCCTTGGAAAATAATGTTATTGCAGTGTGAAGTTATTCACTCTACCTGACACCTTCCTCTGCCAGTGTTTTTTTATACAAATATGAACCATGCAGAAATAATCTTTACATTGTTAAAAATAGAGAAGCTTCATGTCCTGCAATCTGTGCACTGGCAGCAGAGCTGGCGAGAGCCTTTTCCAGCTGCTGATCTCTACGGAGAAACTTAAACCATAAATGGTGGTGAAAATAACAATGTTAAAATTTGTGATATGTGCCTCATTTAGAGGGAGCGTTAAATGAGGACACAAATGTCAACGTAAATATTCCTAAAGAAATATCTTTAAACTTGTCTAATGTTAACTTTGCCTAAAATGTTCGGTTTTAAAGGGATTTTATATTAAAAAAAAGTTAATGTCTTAACTTGATTTATTTGAAATGCTTTGTTTGACAGTAAATTGTCCCACAAGGATGCTCATGAGAATTTGATACCAGTAAATGTTGGATCAATCTTTTCTTTTTTCAGCTGAACAGTTTAATCATTTTCAAATCAATAATCTGTGTTATCTTATTATCGCCGGGCAATAAACATGATGTATGGTGACAGCATGGTCCATCTCACCCTGCTAGGGCTTTAATTTGTGTAATCACCCACTTACTTAACATCATCCCTTACTAAATGGTGAATAAATACACTGTAAACTGTGTAAAAGTGGAGGTACTCAGACCATACCTTTAATGACTCTTTTGTCATTTTGGCGAACAAGATACTGTGAATGACTTGCCTCCAGTTCTGTGTTTATGGTTCATTCAGTTTGTGGCGACCATGTTGTTTCTCATGATGGGTGATTTTACACTTCAGTCTCTCAGAATCTCCACATCATCATTATTGCTCCTCGTCTTCCATGATCTATCAGGTTTCTAACTTTGCGCCTGCGACTCAGTGTCCCAGTTCTTCCCTTGAGTCCTCTTCCTGTTCCTCTCCGCCATCACCAGCGCCGCGACCACCGTGACCAGCACGGTGATGGTAATGACCAGCACAGTCGCTGTTTCTGCCACGCAGAGCTGGCTGTCCACCCAGGCCAGGGAAGCCCCCGCCAGCTGAGGAGGGTCCCTGCACGTCACATTGCGGTAGTCGTCGATGTGGAGGTGTCGAACGTGCAGGATCTTACTGAAAACACGATGTAGCTCACAGTCACAGCTCCACGGGTTACCTGGGATAAAATCATGGAAGGTGAATCTAGAGTTTGTAGCTTAGACCAAGATTATGGTATGAAACATTAAAAGCAGATATAGTGAAGAATAAAATTCACAATTTGTGGATAAAACTGAGAGCTGTAGCCACTGACTGATATAGAAGTTAAAGAACATAAATAAGAAAGCGGTTTATGAAGCAATATATACTGATATGCTTTACAACTCTGCTTCACAACAGATCCATTTATTATACAGTCCATGGTAAAACCCCATTGTTGTGCTGCGTTCCATTTGTACTTGGAAGTCAGAATTTCTGAGCTCTGAGTCAGAAATACATCTGGAACGCCCCCATGAAGTCGGATTTCCGACTCGGAAAGTTGAACAATCCTCACCAACCCCGACTTGAAGACCACGTCATAATCCAAGATGGCAGCGCAGTGCATCAACATTTAGGAGGAACAGTAAAAGCTCTCCTTTATTAGCACTTCTGGTTTGTTTTTGTAAAATTAAATAAGTGATATATGTAGTACATCCCAACGTCTAACTATGAACACGGTGCTACAGTGTTTGTCGAGTAATATACTGTTTGGCGTTTAACAACAGCTGACAACCGCTAATGACAGCTGACAATTGTAAACAGCAGCTAACAACGGCTAACTGTAGGCGTCCATCTTGGTTTTCCGACTTGTTAACTGGAACGCCATCAAAACGGGTGTAACGTCATTCCTACCTCAGACATCTGACTTCCGAGGTAACTGGAACGCAGCATTAGTCAGCCTCTTTAAAAAAATTAATGATCAACTGTGTCAAAAGCCTTACTTAAATCTTAAATATCAGAAACACAGAGTTTCTTCAGAGTTAACGGCACATGGAAGAGGAGGTCCTGGCCCAGAAACCCCTAACCCCCTATCTGAAAAACCTGCCCCTGATAAATCCTTCAAAGAGGTTGCATAATCATTGAGTGATGGCCTCCAGGTTCCAAGATTTTCCCATAAATTGTTTTCTGGAAATCTATCTGAGGGAAGGTGGACCAAACAGATTGCACATTTGCTTGGCTCCAGTCTATGGATACCTGAAGAACTATAACAGCGACCCCCAAAGTATTAAGAGCCCCCCACCCCACCTGGACAGGCTGCAGAGTAGATCATGAAGTTGTCTACTCTAGGGTAACAGATGGGCGGCATTGTCAGGAACTAATCCTACCTAAACACAAGATGAACACGGATAACAGAGAAGTATATTACAGACCTGCTAACTGGATGTGTGTGGCTGTTGTATGGAGGCTGATGAAGGTCTTAAACTTGAGGTGATGAAGGTTGTTTCCCTCCAGAGCGAGGACTGCCAGGCTGTAGAGAGGAGCCAGCGCATCACCGTCGATCTGAGAGATGTTGTTGTTACTCAGCTGGAGTAGCTAAAGGGACAAACACAGACAGGTTACCAGACCAACAGACATACTGGTCACTTTTTACAGCCAATCAAAAGTTATTCATTTACCTCTAGTCCTGGCAGCATGTCCAGACTCCCATGCTGAACCACAGTCAGCCTGTTGTTTTGCAGGTAGAGCTGTCGGAGTCTGGAGAGGCCCCTGAACACACCAGGGCCGATAGTTGCCAGCTGGTTATGACTGAGGTCCAGCTTCTCCATGTTGTCCAGATACTCAAAGCTGACAGCAGAGAGGATGGACACTTCATTATAAAGATATTTTATGACACTGTGAGTCATGCTGACCATTAGACAATGTGCTGGAAAGCTGCAATCAGACACACATGTACCTGAATCCAGATATATAATGCAAGCTGTTGTGTTCCAGTCGCAGCTCTCTGACTGCAGACAGACTCGTAGAGAAGTCAGCAGGTAGAGATGTTAACTGGTTCCAACTGAGATCCAGTTTCTCCACGAAAGACAAGGAGAAAAATGCCTAAAGAGAGAGAAAGTGAGAGAAATAATAGGAAACTTTCGCTCTGACTCTTTTTTTGTCTCTATGGCCATCAGTTCAGCGTTTTGACACATGTGGTGACCAGACTAACTCCAGGTAGACCAGGGAGTTCCTGCTACAATTAAACCAATCAAAATAAAAGCCATGATCTTTAATGGTGAGATTTGGACCAAAAATGGGCTGTACATTCACAAATTAAAGAATTACAAGTGGGTTAAACTTTAGTTAAACTAAGTTACTGGGCTGTTTTCTAAAAAAGATTTCATAGCTTCCTAAAGGTGAAACCAAAACACTCTGAGCGCTCCCTCCTGACTGGCCTCAGCAGGGAGATGTGAACAGACAGGTAAGAACAGATGGGTGAATCCTAACAATCAAAATACACTCAGAATCATTTTTTCTCACAAACAATTATCATTATAGTCAGCAATTATTGTGCAACTGTTCAGTCTTTGGATAAGTGTAGTTTTAATCAGAGGGATGTGATATCATGCTTGACTGCTCTGTCGACAAATGCAGCTCCTGTCTGCAGAGGATTGGTGAGAGAACATCAAACAAACCCAAACCACAGAGTCAATGAACTTTTTCATGACCATGAGTGTTGATATTAGCTGTCAGTTGAATGCATATATCTGAGTGATTAATTTGTGAATGTCCATGTTCAATGCTTCAGTTGACACACAGACTCTTTAATCCCTCCAGTTTCAGCTGTTACTCTCAGAACAGTAAACCTCAAGAGCAGACCATCTAATCCTGTTTATAAAATACTCCTCCTGATGTTAATGACAAACCCTCTGCCCTGTTATTCCTACCTGTGAATGTATTTCTCGAATCTGACTGTTGGTCAGCACCAGAACCCTCAGAGACCACAGTCCGGTGAACGCTCTGGTGTTGATCTCACTCAGGTTGTTTCCTCCCAGCTCCAGCAGCCATGTACCGTGAGGGAGACCCCTGGGAACGTGCTCAAACCCCCGGCTGTGGCAGTCCACCAGGTCAGCGTGCTCGTAACAGGTACACATGTACGGACACAACCGTGAGGCCTCGGCGGATGGGAGGAGAGATTGAGGAGAGAGAAAGGCGAGCAGGAAAAGAAGAAGTGATGGGGAGAGGAGACACATGCTTGTCTGGATGGAGAGAGGAAAGGAGGAGTGTTCAGAGGAGTGTGTAAAGATAAATGCAGGTGGGTTGTTTAAATCTGCTTTTCTCTTCACTTTTTCCTGCAACAGAAAGTATGAAAACAAAAGGAGAACATGGTTTTGGTTCAGTTTGTGAAGCATGTGTTTGTTGATTTTGCAGATTTTTATTTGGTTCCACTGTAAAGCATCAGATCGAGCTCAAGAACCCCCAACTTTGATCAATAAATATCTGAGCTAACAACACTCTTACTGCAGTTAAACCAAGGATGGTGTAGTTCTCTCTTTAATTATACTTCTACAAGAGATTTGCAGGTTTAGTCAGTAATTGATTACACATCTTTATCCTCATTAGTAGACACCAGAATAACTAGTCAGTCAATATCAATGTCTAAACCGCAGCCCTGTCACCAACCACTGTTGGTCACCAACCAATGTCATTTTTGTAAATGAAACTGTGTCTATATTCTATTTTAACACAATGGGGTATTAATATGAAATCAAATTAATTGGAAGCTGAGTTTGACACTGATAGCTTCTTCATAAACGTCACACATCACCCAGCTGAGTTCTCCAGGGTTAGGGTTACTAAAGAATTCATGATCGCTATCTAGCTGGAACTTTTTGACATCTCCAAGACTCCTTCATTTTGTAACATTTTGTCTTCAAGTCCTCTATCTGGTCCACAAATCTACACTAAAGAAAAAAACAGTCGCTAAATTTCCAGCCTTACATAAGTGACATACTTTAAATCTTCTTTGTAGCTGTCCCGCTTGTTTTAACTCTGGCCTCATCTGATTCATCCTCCCCATCCCATGTGAATATAATTACATAATCATAGTCACAGAGAGCAGAGGAGACAAATTCACTGAGTCTGTTTGATGTACACACACAGAAACGATGTATTAAGACCATACTGTTATTTAGATTTTTATTTCTATTTTACTCTAAATTGACTATAGAAGACACAGGCCGTTTCTTTTCATTTATTCACAACACTTTACAACATTTTATGATTCAAAGTGTTGTGGAAAAACAGCAATACATATTTATTCTTATGGGTCTTACAACATTTTATTGATTATCCTGTGATTTGAGTTGAATCTTTACCCTTAAACAGACTCAATCTCTGTGTTTCCTCCATTTTTTTCTGTCCTTAAAGCTACTTTGTAGACCCTCCCTAAGATTTTATCTCTGACATCTGTATTGTTGATGTTTTCAGTGTGTCTTCTCTGCATTATATCACACAAACAAAGCTGGAAAATTGGTTTAAAAAAAAATTAATCCCTAGCTCTAAGAGAAAATCTGACAAAAATTATGAAACCATCCAAATATATTTCTTTTTCAAAATGTCCAACTCACCTTCTCTGAGACTGTTAGACCCAGACGTCCTCATCCTGGAGCATCATCGTTTCTTCTGTCTACGCTTACAATGATGATGATGATGATGGCTGGATACAAAGACGCACACAGAGTGTAGAGGGATGCTGATGGAGACTCTCAGTGGGGTCAGCTGTGTCACTAATCCTCTAATCCGCTCCAATCACCAAATGTTTCCTCTCCATCCTGCTCATCTCATCATTTAGTCCCATCTCTGTCTCTGTTTCTGTCCACCCCCCCTTCTTATTTTGTGTCAATACCACTGGGGAGACCTGGCGTCTCTCCAGCCGTCTGTTTCACCCACTTTACTGTTATATAAAAGCTGGTAACATCTTGTGATGAGTTTGGATGAGTTTTAGAGAGCTGAGAATAAACAGAGACTGAAAGAGAAGCCTGTTTTTACTCTCTGCACTCAAAAAACAGGCAGCAAAAGACAGTCAGAGATCGTGAAAAGGATAGTCACTGTAACCCTTAAAATATATATATAAATATATATCAAATATTACCTATTTGAATACTAAAGTGAAACATAAAGTATTTGGAAATGATCTGGCCCATCTTAGGTGAAATTGTTTTACTTTTATGGGTGTTTTCAGTGAGAGATTAGTGCATTTTTCTAAGCTCTGTTATCAAACACGTGTTTTAAAAGCTGTCTTTAAATGTTGTCTAACCCCTTCACCCATGTTCTTCTAACCTTCTAACAGACTCCATGAATTGATGCCCATCTCCTAAATATTTGTCCACATGATCAATTTCTTTGACCATTTCCAAGCAACAGGGGGTGGCTCAACTTACCCTCTGGCTCAACTTACCCCACTCTCCCCTACCCGTGCTTCAGTTATGAAACGGTGTTTTTCTGTCCATTTTGACAACACTGTTGTCTGACCCTCCAGTCCAGCAGGGGGCGATACGCTCCTAAATACTGGTTTGCAATCTGCCGAGGAAAGTGAAAAACAGTGTGCATGCAGAATGATCAGAAACAGGGAAGTGGAGAGTCAAGTGTAATCTATTTTTGCCTTTACATGCATCTTCAGCTCCGTATGAGGTGTTTCGGATAGTGCATGCGATGTTGACGGAGCGCGAGGAGCTGCTAGGAAACATCGGAGACTGAACACCGCAGAGCACGAGCACAGGTAAAGTTTGAGGAGTTTTAACACACGGTGGTATCAATTCATAATTTAAATGACACAGTGCCACTTTTTATTCAACCGTTTTTAACTTAACAGTATTAATAAACAACATTGTATCAACGTTGTTCACTGTTTTGAAGCCTAAATGTGTAGAAGTAACCTGACAGAGCTCAAGTGAACTTTAACCTTTAGGCTGCGCGCACCGGAAGTTCCACACTTTCAGAGGCGATTTAAAATTACAGAGGATAATAAATTTATGCTGTTTTTGCTGTTCTAGGAAAGAAGATAATGAAAAGACTAAAAAATCAAGTAACAATTGTAATATTCAACACGTATTTTTTCTGCCATGTTTATTCACCTGTGTTGTGAAATATCAGGTGTCTGTGGTTGACGAGCAGTCATGGCTGAAGCAGGAGCCCACCTGACCTCCACAGCTGTGAATGAGGAGCCCTCCATCTTTGAGGTCCTGGCCCAGGAGTCTCTGATGGAGGCTGTGAGACCGGCTCTGAGACACGCTGTGAAGGTGAGGGGCACTCACTCATCAGGAAACCTTGTTTATACTGGACACTGCACATTTTATAGGTTTGTAGGGGAGAGTGGGGTAAGTTGAGCCACCCTCTCTTGCCTGGAAATGGTCAAAGAAACTGATCATGTGACCAAATATTTAGGAGATGGGCATCAATTCATGGAGTCTGTGAAGGTTAGAAGCACATGGGTTAGACATTTATTTCCAAAAAATCATTTTTCACTCTTGAAAGTAAATTCAGTCTGTTTTAAGTTTTATTAGAATTGTGTTCAGACCAAAAAAGATCATTTTAAATTTGTTTTATACATCAGTTGTGGTATCTATGAGCTACAACATGAGGTCAAAAACCTAAAATAAAAGTCCACCATTTTTATTAGAGGACTTATAAAGTCATCATAGTAGTTCAGGGGTAAGTCAAGCCAGTGGCTCAACTGAGAAAGTAATGTTGAATATGCACTCTTTAAGGCTATATTGAATTATCGAATGGTTGTCTCATGTAGATTTGGTAACAAAACATCCCTATTTTACATTCATCTGGTTGAAATTATCATTGTTTTTATATTGCAGTATACACTCACCGGCCACTTTATTAGGTACACCTGTCCAACTGCTAGTGAACACTTAATTTCTAATCAGCCAATCACATGGCGGCAACTTAGTGCATTTAGGCATGTAGACATGGTCAAGACAATCTCCTGCAGTTCAAACCGAGCATCAGTATGGGGAAGAAAGGTGATTTGAGTGACTTTGAACGTGGCATGGTTGTTGGTGCCAGAAGGGCTGGTCTGAGTATTTCAGAAACTGCTGATCTACTGGGATTTTCACGCACAACCATCTCTAGGGTTTACAGAGAATGGTCCGAAAAAGTATCCAGTGAGCGGCAGTTCTGTGGGCGGAAATGCCTTGTTGATGCCAGAGGTCAGAGGAGAATGGCCAGACTGGTTCGAGCTGATAGAAAGGCAACAGTGACTCAAATAACCACCCGTTACAACCAAGGTAGGCAGAAGAGCATCTCTGAACGCACAGTACGTCGAACTTTGAGGCAGATGGGCTACAGCAGCAGAAGACCACACCGGGTGCCAATCCTTTCAGCTAAGAACAGGAAACTGAGGCTACAATTTGCACAAGCTCATCGAAATTGGACAATAGAAGATTGGAAAAACGTTGCCTGGTCTGATGAGTCTCGATTTCTGCTGCGACATTCGGATGGTAGGGTCAGAATTTGGCGTCAACAACATGAAAGCATGGATCCATCCTGCCTTGTATCAACGGTTCAGGCTGGTGGTGGTGGTGTCATGGTGTGGGGAATATTTTCTTGGCACTCTTTGGGCCCCTTGGTACCAATTGAGCATCGTTGCAACGCCACAGCCTACCTGAGTATTGTTGCTGACCATGTCCATCCCTTTATGACCACAATGTACCCAACTTCTGATGGCTACTTTCAGCAGGATAATGCGCCATGTCATAAAGCTGGAATCATCTCAGACTGGTTTCTTGAACATGACAATGAGTTCACTGTACTCAAATGGCCTCCACAGTCACCAGATCTCAATCCAATAGAGCATCTTTGGGATGTGGTGGAACGGGAGATTCGCATCATGGATGTGCAGCCGACAAATCTGCGGCAACTGTGTGATGCCATCATGTCAATATGGACCAAGCTCTCTGAGGAATGCTTCCAGCACCTTGTTGAATCTATGCCACGAAGAATTGAGGCAGTTCTGAAGGCAAAAGGGGGTCCAACCCGTTACTAGCATGGTGTACCTAATAAAGTGGCCGGTGAGTGTATATCACCAAAATTGAAGAGATTGCAATCAAAATTTTCCCTTTATCGTACAGCCTTACGTAAGCCCACTAAGGTTTAAGTACTCACAGGTTATGTTTTACCTCAGGAGACGGAGTTTGTTTGATCTTTGTTTTAGTCTCTGAATTTTTGGTACCTTTTGTGATCTCAAAGGTTCTGGCTGAGTCTAACCCCTCTCGTTTCGGCTTCCTGTGGCGGTACTTCGATGAGCTCCACCTGCTGCTGGACCTCCTCCTGCAGAACCACTTCCTGTCCCACTGCAGCGCCTCCTTCTCTGAGAACTTCTACGGCCTGAAGAGAGTTTGTGGGCGGGGCTTCCCTATTCGTCTTGGGCTGCGCAGGAAGTCACACTGGCGCTCTCTTCTTCTTCTGTGCCTGGTGCCGTATCTGCGGGCCAAGCTGGAGGTGACACTGGCGAAGCAGAGGGACGAGGAGGACTTCTCCATCCGTTTGGCACAGAGCCGGAGTCAGAGGCTGTACCGAGCAGCCGTGGCAGCGTATCCGTACGTCAGCTCAGCCTGGCAGGCCTGGATCTTCTGCCAACAGCTGCTGTTTGTCTTTGGGGTCATCAAGACCCACAATCCCCTGCTATGGCTCGCCAGGGTCAGACTGGCTCGACTTAATGCTCAGGATATCAGGGACCTAGAGATGAGGCAGAGCGGGACAGTAAACCCAGCTGGAGGAAGGTACGTGTCTGTGAGTTTTCGGTGTCGGGCTTTTAGTTTATCTTACCACTGCTTGGTTTTTGGGCTCTCTTCGCCCTGCTTGAAGACTCACAGGCTGAAGAAGAAATTTGTTCTTAAATTCTACCGATTTTGACATTCACTTAAGCTTCCTATCTATTTGATCTTGGCTAGAAATGTCACAAATTAGTCAAGTACTGAATAATTGATTAAAAACATAGTTAAACTGGAGGTTTGTGTTTGATTTTCTATTTAAGTAAAGCTAAACAATGTGTAGTTTATAATGACCTTTAAGAATGACAGTCAAAGGAGAGACAGTTTCAGAGGGAGGTAGCAGCTATAGAGAATTATCAGTGTCTGTTTAAAGAGGTTACATACACAGCCCACAATGCTTTGCTCTTCTGTTGCAGCCTGGTGCAGAGGGCGTGGTGGTTGATGTCTCAGGCGGCGAGGGGCGCGGCCCTGTCCCTCTCCACCTCTCTCTCCATGGGTGTGTTTTTCCTGCAGTTCCTGGAGTGGTGGTACTCCTCGGATAACCAGAACACCGTGAAAACCCTCACTTCCCTCCCTGCTCCTCCACCTCCTCTCCACCTGCAGCAGGACCGGAACAACCAGGACTCGCCCTCTGTTTCAGCCAATCACAGCAGAGACTCTCAGCAGGACTCAGACAGAGAGAGCTGTCTGTTGTGTCGGCGACTTCGCACCAACGCTACGGTGCTGTCCACCTCTGGTTTTGTCTTCTGTTACCGATGCATCTACACCTTTGTGAAGGCAAACCACAGGTGCCCGGTTACAGGTTACCCCAGTGAACTCCAACACCTCATCAAGATTTACTCACCAGAGAGCTAGACTGTTTCAGCTGAACTCAGGGTCTGGATCAGGACCAGCATGTGTGGACTTTTTGAGTGAAAGCTACAGGACTGTCTGTGATCGATTGATGACTGGATTTTGAGACCTTTTTAAGTACCTGCTGTCGAGATCTGAGTTTTTTGACCAATGAAGGAATGTTCGCCTGATCAAGTATGTTTGAGAAAGTTCAACAGTTTTTTCTGCCTGAAGAAACTGTCACAAAAACTTTGATATCATATTTTTATCACTCCTTAAAACCCCTATGAGGAAGCTTTTGGTGTGTGTCAATTTTAGCATTGATTTTCTCCTGTAAACATATGATTAGTGTTTAATGCCCGTTTATAAACAGCCAAATGTGTCCCTCAATGAGAGTTTCTGCTGTAGAGCATGTGAAACATGACTGCATCATCAGTCTGTGTTATCGCCTACACCCTGCCAGTGTTTTTACAGAGATTAAAAATATCCAAATAAAAAAAGTTGATTGTTTTTTCTCTTTTCTAGGTCAGAAAGCAGCAATACCATGAAAACCAGTTTGTTAAATGAACCCCTAACATCCATATAACATATAAAAAATGACCTACCTGAAATGCTTCATTCTGGCTGCTTATCCAGCAACAGGAAGTTAGTCACAGCTTGTAGGTTTTACTTTTTACACAACTTTGTTGTCAGAATGAAGCAGAGGAGGACTTTCACTGTCGACCTGCACAAGAACCGTGGCACATGCGTAAAAGAATGAACTGTGGGAGAAACCACATGGCTGTGTGTCTCTCAGTTGTATTTGCTGGCTTGTAGCATGTTATTGCAGAGTGTTCCGTGTTTGCGCCTTCTGTCATAAAAGGAACCTAAGTGATTGCACTTTGAGACCTTAAAGGGAAAATCTGGCGTAAAATTAAGTTAGGGTCAAACACACCGTAACACCAAGTTAGAAACCCCCTCCAGAGATGAATGTTGCCGACCGCTTGTTTCTCTAATTATACCAACTTTAGTAATGACCGCAGATAGCAATACAGAGAGCCACGCGCTCAACCAAAACGCCACTCTATAGCCACAAATAATGCTCAGAACAGCACCTAACTTCATCAACAGAACATATAGGGTCCCAGCCATAGCAAATGTTCTTCCTTGAGCTGCGTCACCCCGCTGCAGTCGATGGACTCACCCTGAGGTCTTTATACAAACAAGCAGCTGCTGGAAGAGAGTGGGTGAGTTGTGTTTAGTCTCTTTGCTAAAGAAATCAAGCAAAGCTAAAAAGATGTTCGGTGGCTGGGACCCTATATGTACTTTTGATGAAGTACAGTTGAGCGCGTGGCTCTCTGTATTGCTATCCTGCGGTCGTTACTAAAGTTGGTATAATTAGAGAAGCAGGAGGTTGGCAACATTCATCTCTCGATGGAATGTATAACTCTGTGTTACGGTGTGTTTGACCCTAACTTAATTTTACACCGGAATATCCCTTTAGTATTCAGAGGAGTTGATCTATACTTTGGGAAATGGCATTACTCAAATGCATTATGGATTGGCTGTGTAGTAATCATTAGCTCAGCTTGCAAAGGTGACATGAGTATTTGAAAATGCCAAAGGATGTTGGTGAATTGCTTTATTGAGTTTCCAGACAAGTTTAACAACAGGCCCACTTAAAAAAAAAAACGAAACAAAGAAACAGATAATCAGGATCAACATCACAACATTACAGTGAGAGTAATAAAAAAGGGCTTCATTAAAATGTCCACAAACCCCTGAAATTAAACAAAATGAAGAATCACAAGAGTCACCTTCCCTTTTTAAGCTCCTGCAACACAATTTATAAACAAAAAATTAGGACAATAAGAAAAAAAAAACGGGCTGAAACTTCAAAAGGGACGAGTATCACCATCAATAATAGTCACAGTAATAGATTGCTCGAATAGCGTGTATTGCACGTGTACACATATATGCACTTTATATACATGTGAGTCAGCAAGAACTAGACACATGTTGTATTGTCGCAACAGGAAAGAATCGGGATAAAATGACAGCACGGACAGAGAGAAGTCAGGAATGTGCTTGTGATTAGTTCCAATAAAACAGATTTTCCAAATTTTCAGTCACAATCTGGACGAGAGAAAGGTAACAGAGAAAACATGTCCCGTCAAAAACAGAAGGAGGTAAAAGAGGGAGAGAAGGCGACAGTCCAACTGAAACCGAACCTTCTCCGCCCCACCAAAAAGTCCAAAAATACCCCTTCACACGCACACACCGCATCATCATCATCATCATCATCAGGACACAACGTTTACACCACAGTATCAAACATAGCAAGAAATATACAGTATTAACTCATGTAGCAAACTAGTGTGTGTGCATGTTTGTTTTTCTAGCCTGATGGGGTCCATTACCTAATCAGTCACATAGTGGGGACTGATTTCTTCACTATCTCAGGTGCATGTTTGAATTTTTTTTTTTTTCTGTCCAAATGGGGCTCATAAACAAATTATTCACACAGTAGAACCAGCAGTTCAATATTTTTATCTGGTTTGTGTGTCTTTCTTTGTTTTTCGCTTAAAGAATGGGGACAATTTTGACAAAGGTCCCCTGATGTGTGTGAGTGTTCGTCTTGGTATCCTGGTGGGATCCACAGCTTAATAAGTCACATGATGGGGACCGGTTAGTTCACTGGTTCCACTAGTTATTTTGGTGTGTGTTTTGTATTCTGATGGGAGCCATAACTTATCCTTGAAGTACGAGGGACACTATTTTTTTATTGGTCCCCTGATGCGCGTCTGAGCTAGTTTTACCATCCTAATGGCGTCCCTACCCAAATAAGGTCTGTGTTTGTTTTTCTATTCTGGTGGGGACCGAATCCAAGCAATCAGGACCTATTTTTTCACACGGCTTCCCCCTATACGTGTACATGCATGTGCACGTGTGTGTGTACGTGCATGTGTGTGTCTGTTTTTCATTCCTGGTGGGGTCCATTATCAAATTGATAATGCAATGGGACCCTCTTTTCAGTGGGCTGCTAGTGGGTTGTTGTTTTTATGTTGGCATAACCAAACATATTAAAGTGATGGGGACCAAAGTCTTTTGTAGGAACTGTGTTAGTGTTTGAGTGAAAGTGTGTTCTGCTGTTGTGTGTAAGTGGGTGGTAGCAACAGTGAAGCTGTGTAGCCTCTCAATGTTTGAGGTTATAACATTCTTATGTTATCTTACATAAACCACTTCATTTAGTATTCTTAGAGTTTGAAACATAAAAAATTCAAAGAACATAGTGTTAGGAATGCCTCATCTTGTTTAAAAAAATAAGGTCCAGGGTGCAGTTGGCACCTCTTAAATGTCAATTTTCCTAAATGCTGATTCCTTTATTGGGCAGAGGATGTATTACTTGAAAATTTTAAAGAAAGATCAATACAGGTTTTAGCTAATCACTACTTTAGAACTGATTGTGTGCGATTTTTTTATGTTTTTTTAACCTGGGCCCTCTTTGTTCACAATTACATAAGTGTAACTGACAGGCTCAAACGTTGACATGTATATAAAAGCAACAACATAATCCTTTCGGGCAATTTCAGGTAAGCAACATAAGGACACAAAGTTCTTGTTTTTGCAACTGATTGTTGTCAAAATATGTGTTAAACGTTAAAACTTCCATGTGAAAAACTACAAGCAGGTAGTTTGTTTTAATACAGCACTGGAAGCGTTCAAACCTTGACAGACACCTAAGGTTCAACTCTGAAATCAGCAATTTCAGGGAGATTAAACAGCAAAACTCATTCTGTAAGGATTATTTAATGGGTGACAATTGCAGTCAATTGACAATTGGGAAACCCATAAAAACAATGACTGCAGTCTTGAACATGTCACCAATGCCACAGCAAAAGAGACAAGATGTGTTTGAATTATTTCAATGGAAAGATATGTTTTGTTTGTCTTAAATTGTTTACATCTGTGGCTGGTCCCAATCAGGCCTTTAAACATTATAGAGTTTATCTTTAGTTGCCAATATCTGCCTAAAAAAAAATCTAAAATTAACAATAACAAATAGTGCTGTCTCCATCAGAAACTGGTATGCACTTTTGAAGAGGCATACATTTAGATGGACAGTTTTTGGTACTTCTTATTTCTGTGGCTTGGATTAATGGCAATGACCCTGCAAGTCACATCATTCATTGACTGTAATGGATGACTTGAGCGAATCAAGCAAATTCTAAAATATAAGATGTGAAACAGGTTAGTTGTCAACTTCGTCTGAAAGCTTCAAAGTGTTGTAAAGAAAATTTAAAGTGTTTTGAACTAAATGAACCAAGGACACTAAAAATACTTAAGACCATGGATTTAAATCGCCCCCAAAGGATAGTAAACCAATTAAAATGTAGTCTTTCAAAACTTATTAAACGCATCACTAAGTTAAGGTTATACTGTATATGACTGTGTATCTTTTGACAGCAAACCTTATGATTTCTCCCCAAGATTAACTTGGTACGTATAGTGTTTGTATAAGAATAATAAGAATCTAAAACTTTTATTCAAAACCTCAGAAAAATGAAGGCCCAGGTTATTTGCCCAAACAGAATCAACCCCAAGAGTTCAAAACCGTATTATCTGTGGTATTTTCCCAAACAGACACTAAATGGAGCTTTGGTGAAAGAAAAATTAAGATGGCGGTGGTCATTTTGAATATGTTGGGAAAATATTAAGGCATGTTTTAGGAATTCAAAAAAAGCCTATCAATTGACACGTCCCTCCATTGTTGCTCAATCATCCTATGAAAGCTTTTGGTTTAGATTTTTTGTTTCTGCATGAACTCCAGTCGAGCTCAGACACCAAAATCCCCCGACACTACCGTGTTTGAATCTTCATATCGACTCTTCCTCCCAAACAAGAGGTGCTTTTATTACAGCTAGTGGGCAAAATGGCCTTAGTGTTAACATGAGTACAAAAAGACGACACTGAACCGCCTGGAAACACAGCTCAATAAATCAATCAATCAATCAATACTGTGTCCATTCCATCTAACAGACGATGCACACAAACAGCACTCAACCACATATGTCAAAGCTAGAGGGAGCTCTACAAATGATGCAAGCTATTTTTTGTCTGCAGAGTTACCATTGCAATTGTAAAATTAATTTCTCTTTCTCTTTATTTCTGCAACTGCTGTCTTTAGTGCTATATTGCTTTTAACAGATTAGACCCAGAGGTAGCAACACAAGCTACAACACTCTCCTCACCTCAGCGGGTCTTGGGAAATAAACTTTAGTGAGGTGTATGATTGTGTCTGAGAGAGTTAGCTTACTGATGCCACCCATAAGTTTTTCTTTGTTGAATTTCTATCCACAATATTCACACAGCAGCCATTTTCCTTTACAATTAAGCTCAGTGTTGTGAGCACAACACCTGTTATTTTGTTGTACTGTTGAGCTGCAGGTTTCAAAATATATGAAAGGAAAAACCTCAAAAATGTATATTTAAAAGAATTAGTTGATATAAAAGTAAAGCTGTAAATGCCGAGTTGATAATTTTATTAACTGGTTTGCAGAATTAGCATGCTTATCTGCTCATTCTGTGTACACAAAATACCACATCTCAGGTTTCTGATTGAACAAAAACCTCCGGCATGATATGATGTGATCTTCCATCTGTAACAGACATTAACTGATGTTAGCTTACCTGCTAACTGGGTAGACAATACCTAAAATTTAGCTTCATCTTGTGCAAAGCTTAAACTTACTGCCACCCATTAAGTTAGCCAGGTATTTTGGTGTAATCTATCTGACTTGTAATACTGTTTTGCTGCAGTTGAATGCTAGCACTGACTGTTGACTACAGTAGTTGCAAGGTTGTGAATTATAAGTTTTCATTGAAATATGGAAAAAAATCCTCTAGTTTTCTTCATCTTATCATGTTCTACCACCTATGGTGATGAATGTTCACAGGAATTGTAGCATAAACTGTTGTCTATGATGGCTTACAGGTTTCCAGATACATTATTTAACTTGAAATGTGGCCTACTTTCTCTAAAACCTTCACTACCTATCATCCGATCATTGAAGAGATGGCAAGAGGATGATTTTACTGTTTTCAAAATTTGCAAACCTAGCACACAGCAGTACAATCCTGTAACATCATTTGATTCAACATTAACAGGAAAATGGCCACTATGTGAATACGGTAAATAGAAGTGGACAACAGAGTGGTCCAGCTCTGAAGCTTTGTTTCTACTGAGCACCTTTGATAAGCAGGTAACAATAGCTAACATCTGTCTGCTAATGTAAATACTGACACCGGAGAGTCAAACTTTAAAACAGAAGTACTTGGTAGGATGTGGCTTCAAAAGCACTTAAAATTAGCAATAAAACTGGCTTTGAAATAAAGCCTAACCAACATGGCTGCCAAAGTGAAGCAGATTATGTGAATGACCTTTTCCTCCATTTACAAGCTTTTAAGTTTCAATAAATAAAGTAATAACAAAATTGGCTCAGAGGCTTAACAGACATTACTTTCTCAAACATGAGGCTTGACACAGTTTGCTTTGCGTCCTTTTTAAAAGCCACAAAGAAAGATTTAGGGCCCCAAATTTAATCATCTTTGTAGTTTCAACCAGTTAAGTTAGGGATTGCACTTTTATTGCCTAAACTTAATTGGCTAGCACCAGGATTAATTGTCAGTTAAACAAATAAATATTGTACTATTTAAGACCTGAAATACCAGTCACATGATGTGTCTAGCTGTAATGCAGCCATCTGCCACTGGCCAGGTCTGTCGCTCCAGCTAAAGGCTACTGAAAATGCTGTAATGCTCTACGACCTGGATGTAAACAAGCATGGATGACAGACGGCACCTAGTAGCGCAGTGTAGTTTGGCAGTATTTTGATCCAGAAAATGGAGATAAAATGCACGTAGGCTTTTTCAGGTGAAACTGGCATATAAACGTTTGATTAAAGCAAAAACTAGCAAGCACAGACATGAGGACATTAACCCACAAAGGGGGATAAAAGGCTGGTGGTGCAAGCTCTGCTAACATTAGCCACATTCAGCAAAACAATTTGATGTTGTTAAAAAACAAATCCTGTTTTCTTAGTGTTTTATTACCTTCAGACCCGTCTGCTGGTCAGAATTTAAATTCAAATGTCAAAGAAATTCAGACAAGTTGCTTCTGAACATCCATTTTCTCAGAGATGGCTGAGAAAAGTAGCCATAGTGTGAGTTTTACTTTGAAGTTTCCTGCTATAGAGAAATATTCGCCTCTGCAAAATGTGTTTTAAATGTTGAAGTAACAGCTGGTGTTTGAAAACAGTGACAAACTGTCTGACAATAAATAGAATAAGCCATGGATGTGCATCTAACCCCCTGTTGAACAACACAACATCATCACTGGACCACCCTGTTACCAAAACATGACCTTTGACCTTAATATTCTGTATTCTGCAGTTGCAGTTGTTTGCCTGTGGTGGGCATTACAGCCTGTCTGGTCCTGCCAGAGGAACTAAAGCTGTGTCTCCACCTCCAACAACAACAACATCCAGACATACTGAACATCTGTAAACAAACAGACCGTGTGCTTTCTTCAGCCCAAACAGCCAAACCTTTCAAACATCCAATCTCCAAATATAATATATTCATAAATCCAATCTGATTGGATAAAACACAGTTTACATATGTATATATAGATTTACTATATAGAATATTTTTTTCTTTTTTTATACAAAAAGAGAAAGTATTTTGTGATTTTATACATGTAAGTATGTACAGATATAGAAAAGTGACCACAATGAGTCTGCTGTGACGTAACCGTGGGCAACAGGACATGAGACAGTATTTACACTAAACAGGAATTAGTACAATAAAAAAAGAAAGAAATACTCACAATCCCCTTTAGAGAATAAGGGACAGGGCTCAGGTCATGTGACTCAACCAAAATGAGTAAGAGGGAGAGGCGGTGGTCTGAAGTGGAAAGTGATGTAGTTTAAATGAGCACATATTTCCAAAAATCAACACTGCCCAGTCCTGAGACACTCACCAGATCCTATAAAAGTCAGACTGAATATTATTAATAACTTAATATTAATATTCAACAGAGATTTGTACTGATGTGCAGAGTGTAGTAATGGCTTCAGAGGTTTTTCTTAACTTTGTAGGAATACCTGCTTTGACTATTGCAAGATTTGAGAATAAATACATTTCATAGCAGTTTGAATACAACTGTGAGTTTATAACTGTGCCAGCTCTCATGTTCCCGTCTCTCTCCTGGTTCCTAAAGTGAGATAAGAACAAATTAAGGCATCCTGATGAAGAAACAAAGACTGAAAAATGACCCGACAGACTGTGTGTTACGTGTGTGTGCGTCAGTGTGTTTCAGTCCTGATTGGCTGGTTGGTTTGCTGAGGTGCTGTGGCGGTGGTGTTCTCTGGTTCCCGATCGGACGGTTTGTTTTCTAAAAAAGGCACCTAGTTCCTCCGCATCCTCCGCTTGTCTTGAAACAAGTTCATCTTCCTCTGCTTGCCAACTCCAAGAAGACAAGACGTCCGCTTGGTGTCTGATTTTTTCAACCAGACTCAAATTTCTACGGTCACCATCCTGCTGCAGAAAAATCAGGTTCAGGAATAAAGTCGACGGATCGAGGGGTGGGAGGGGAGAAGTCAGTGGTGCTGTGTACAGGTGGGAAAGTATACATGTCACAAGGCGTGTCTCCTCGCTGCCTGCTCCTCCTCTGGTTCCCCGGAGGTGCCAACAAGTCGTCTGCTCCTCCTCGGGCTGATGAACCAATAGGAAAGGAGATTTGTCCATGTTTTCAACAAGCCCCGCCTTCTCTTGCCTCCATACCACTCTCCTCAGCCATTCGGAGTCTTCCACGACAGCAGAATTACAATCTGCGTGTGTGCGCCTCCACACACATTGTGCAGGAAGAGGAAAAGGAAGAGGAAGAGGAGGAGCCACAAAGAGGTGAATGTGGAGTTTTTGTGCTGTTCTTCTTTAGGCTCCGCCTACAACACAGGCTCCTCCTCCATTGGTTCTTCTGTTGACCTGAGGGCGAGAAGAATCACATGTAACATTAAAAAGACTCTCTACATTTTAACCTGATGCTCATTTATCTATCAGTGCTGGACTTGGGTAACAGTTTTTGTCCTTTGTCCTTTTGTCTTAATTCTTAATATGTAGAAGGACATTAAAAGTAAACCAAGAACCTGGGTCAGACAAGGTGAGGCGCTCTGCTGACCAATGACATTAGTCACTTAAATGATGACGTGATGACTCTGAGCCTTTTAAAAATGGCACTCTGCTGACCTGCTGGTTTCCGTGTTGTCAGCGGCCGAGCTCGGCTGCTCAACATCCACACTGAGGGAGGCCATGGCGCTGACGGTTTCGGCCTCATCCTCTGATTGGCCGCGAGCCTCAGGGAGGTCATCCAATAGTGAGTGTCCGCTCGTCTGAGACAGATTCTGGAGACAAGGCCAGTGTTTACCTGAAGGAACAGGGATGAGGAGATTAGCCTGGATTAGCAAATGAAGCTTACACACTGTAGCTTTTTAATCACTGTGTGCACATAGCGTTACAGATGTTATCGAAGAATTTTTCAGAATCAATAGCATATCCTTATTAAGTGCTTATAAATTGACAAGAATCCTCAAGTCTTTGACACCTTAAAAAACAACAACCTGTGTAATGTTCATGAGAAAGGCTGACTTTTTGTAATGAAATGAAAGCATTATAATCCACTGTCCGTCCTTTAAAGCATCTGTAAGAGAGTTTTGGTCTGTGTTCACTTTGGTGCCCCTGCGGAAAAAGTGGTACCTCCCTCTTCTCACTCTCCTTAGCAGTCATATAAACACAGAATCTCGACCTCATTTGTTATAAATCTCACTTGAAATCTTTGCCACAGAAAATGTAAAAAGCCAATGTTTTGTTGGGGCGCCATTAGCCTACCCCCTACTGGTTTAAACCCTCAGAAATGACTGAGCTGAAATGACCTGACTGATGACATGGTTTGCTTTTGTCAGTCAGATGCATCATTTCTTCTTTCATTCTGTTTCATAACCAATGAAAAACTCCTCCCAGTAGCTTTAAAGATATTACTCCCCCCAAATTATTTTTTAAGTTATGTTTCTGGACATTTTTGCTTGTGGTATATAAGATAGTTGAAGAGTGACTAGTAATGTGGGGAGCAAAGAGCTAGGGGAAGACATACAAAGTAGTTGTGGCTGGATATCAAACCAGCATCTGTTGTGACAAGGATTCATTTATTTATTTATTTTTAAATTTATGTTTTGCATTTATCTTGTTCATCTTCTTTTACCTCCAAGTGTTCCTTGATCATCTTAAATCTTTTCACCCTTTTGGTCTCAGTTCATTCTGTTCGTTTTTTGCGTAGCTTGGGTTCTTACTGGGTTGGATTTTTACCCTTGTTTGTGGTATTCAGCTGTGAGGGTCATTTGTTGTTGTAAAAGATTTGTTTTCTGACTTCTTAGGGTTTTGGGGTTATTACTTCCATGTTTTTAAATATGCTCGGTGAATTAAAAATAAAAGTATTAAAGCCCCAATACATGGATGAGACCCCCCCCAAAGTATTTTTTTTTATGTGGGGTGAAATGTGGTGTTTATCATGTCAGTGTATATGTGTGTGTGTGTGTGTGTGTGTGTGTGTGTGTGTTTCTCACTCTGGATCTCTATCACTCTCTCCAGTGAGGCGTAAGCTTTCGGACACGGCTTCTCTTTAGGCCACTGCACCACTGAGTCACTCTGAGGAAGACAAGAAAGCAATAAATCAAATAAAATCATGTTACTTCATGGTTTTAGGTTATAAAAACATCCTTTTTGAGCCTCTCTGTCAGTTGGGTTGGTTGATCTGCCGTGTCTAAACTAACCTGTTTTATTAAATCAAGTAAATCTCATCAGTATATACTTATACCAGACATGAGCCATGCAGTGTTTTATATAACCAAACACACAGAAATATTATCATAACAGGTAGGACAGCCATATGAGCCAAATAAATGTGCACGAGCATGTGCAACACTCTGTATAAGGCTTACAGAAATGTAGGAAACATTATTAATAGTACAATAAAAGTCCATTAATAACATGACCTGCTGTCTTCGCACAGATTTTTGACTGCTGGCTGTCACTTTTGTCTCTCCGACCTTTTCATATTTCCACATTCTTCATACTGATTGCTCTAAAGCTCACAGAGGCTAAAGCTCGGTTCAAATTAAAACATGTGTTAGTGCTGATCCATCCTGGCTTCCTCTCTCACCGGGTCTCCCAGGAGCGCAGAGACACAGGCCTCTGATGCGTCACAGATGGCGGTTAGGTCATGACCCCCCTCCAGCGCCATGACAACGCGCCCTCCCGCCAGACCCATCAGGAGCTGCGTTAACAGGCCGAAACCTACAAACACACATGAATCACAGTCAAGGAACAGAAATGAAATGGTTTGGAGATGATGTTGGAGAAAACATCAATAAAAGATGAACCAACATTTAGCAGAGACGTTGTATCCTCCAAGAGGAGACTGATGACCCTCCACTGCATCAAAGCCGGCAGAGACCAGGACCACATCTGGACTGAACTGCTGGGCGATGGGCATCACTACACTCCTACACAAACAAAACAGACAATTAAATGAAACCTGTTTACAAATATTGTATTCACATTGAGTTTTTACTTTTAGTCATATCAAGTCGTACAACAAGCTCTTTTTAAAAATGTCATGCCTCTCAAGTATGTCTGCAAATCAGGTTGGTGTGCTGTAAAACGATGAGTACTGTAAAATTCAGATTAGAGGCCACACTGGTGTGTAAGACAGTCGATTCTGTTTTTTTTTTAAAGAGGTTGAAAGTTTCTCCCTGCAGAAAGATTTCCATCATGTTAATCAAAGTGCAGTTTCTCTGCAGATGTGTAGCTCTGTCAAGACTGTCTAGTCTCGACACTGTTCTAGCTATCCATTTTAAGTGTGTACATGGTTTGCTTTATACTTGGTTGGGCTGCCCAGGTATGGTCGATGTGAGGGAAACATTCTCAAGTTAATGTACTGTATATAACATATTTAAAAGAAACCCTTGTTGACCAAAGTGCTTTACAAAGTAAAAAATTACAATAATACACAACATGTTATATTTGCTTAAAGCTCTTGTGAGGAACTTTTTGTTTGGTTTTCTAATTATGCTTATTCTGTGTCTTCTGACAAAACTCTTATCCTGCTGACTTTTGACGGCTAAATATGTCATTTATTGTGAATATTTGATGTAAATTTGTAAAAACAGGAATGTTTCTTCAGCTGCTTGGCTGACACCTACCTTCTCACACTGGTTACAGGCTTAAAAAAATCATGATTGTAAAAATCATCAATCATTTCACCGATGGTCTTTTTTTCATAAATGTAAAAAAAAAATTCTTTGGAGCTTTAAGAACAGTAAAACTTGTATGGATCTTATCTGAAGGAGAAGGACAGAGAAGACAGACAGGTCTTCAATGATGGTTTAAAACAGTAAATAGTGGGGGCAGATTGTATTTTCAGTGTTAAATGGTTCCACAGGTTAGGGGGCAGCTGCTGCAAAGGCCTGATTGTCATCCAGCTGCAGCTGACTGGGTGACCTCAGTGCTCTAAATGGGAGTATTGACATTAAGAAGGTCTGCTTCATAAAGCGCAGCCAATCCATGAAGAGTCTTATAAGTTAACAGCCGAATCTCAAAATCAATCAGCGGAGAGAGAACAGCCGTAATTTGATCGCTCATTTTGTTGCGAGAATAACAATGTTTACCTAAAGGCTGTGAGGTACTCCACATCACCCATAGGTGGCTCCACTCCTCCTGTCCATGCAATGTTTACATTAAAGCCAACACCTGCACCTGATCCAACCTGCAGAGAGAGGGACAGAGTACAGAAAGTTATTTTAAAGTATCTCAGATTATTTCTGTCTGCAAAGGTTCATTTTATCCTGTGAATGTAAAACAAGACACAAGCAACAAAAATACACCAATATTTGTTGATAAAATTAGCAAAAATATATAAATAAAAAGGAACAACAAAGGGTCTATGAACATTTATTGTTATGTTTTCATCTGATCTTCCACCTCCCATCCAAAAAAGTAGTGGGATTCATGGGTAACAGAAATGAGGAGAAAACTTAAAACTCAAAGTCAATCAGAGCGATCCTTCTTTGTTACACAACAGTTTTGTTTTTTTTTAAATGGCTTTTAGGGAGTTGTCCATCTCTTTTAACAGTCTGTGGTGCAAACACACAAATGCACAGTAGCTTTTAACAGACACAGAGTGTGAAACACAGTCAGCATTGGTGTATTTCTGTGTGTGTGTGTGTGTATGTGCACCTCCTCTGGAGCTCCGCTTCCAGGGAAGAAGTTTCCATCGTCATAGCGATGGAGGGAGATGTAGAGGACGTTGGGGTCACTGTAGAAGGCCTGCTGGGTGCCGTTGCCATGGTGAATGTCCTGCAGTGACAGGTCATAGCGGCATCATAGAAAGAGAGAGAGAGAGAAGGTCAGTGTGATGTTTGCTTCAGACGCTGTGATTGGTGAACATTAAGTCACCAGCAGCAAAACCTGAACACCATCACTGATGTTTCATGTGGAAGTTCATCAACACAAAGACTGATTTGGTATTGTGTTGTTTGGTTGTTTGTTTGTTTGTTTATGCATGTTATCAATGATACCCACCCAGTCTACTATGAGGATCTTGCCCACTCCAAGTTTCTGCTGCAGCAGCTTGGCAGTGATGGCCACTGAGTTGAAGAAACAAAACCCCCTGTTCACACACACACACACACACACACACACACAGAAAAGTGTCAGAACGTCAAAGGTGTTGCAGTAAAAAACGATTTAGCACTGATCTTTGGTTTGTACTGACATGGCTGTGGATTCCTCAGCATGGTGACCGGGCGGACGCACCACTGCAAAGCCGTTCTAAAACACGAACACAAAAAAGAGCCACAGGTCAGAGAGTCTGTTTAAAAAGGAGCACTGAAAAGTTAATTTGTGAAAAAAATTAAAGTCTGTGTTACTTTAAGCTCTCCTGCAGCGACTCTGAAAGCCAGCTCGATGACGGAGCCAACGGCCATGCGGACAGCGGCAGACGAGTGCATCTCGTTCCACACAGTGTCGCTGTCCACCTGCAGGGGGCAGCGTGGAGGGTTAATTCAAGGCTCAAACATTTTTATTAAGATGATGACAGAAGATAGAGAGGAAATCTCACCCCTATTCCTCCACAGGGCAGAACAGCATACATCTTCTGGCTGATGGGACCTGAAACGACCAATCAGAGCAGAGCATACATTACTCACAGTGTACAGATCAGAGATATTACAGAATCATCTCTTTTTTTTGTACTTGTAGGTCCTATTTTCTGTTCAAACTGAAAACAGTTCTGCGTTTTCAGCCTCACCACAAAGCATGTGTTTCATGCTGTTTGGTAAACAACAAATAAGAGAGTTGTCTCTTCAGGATTGTTATTTATTCTTTGCTCCATTTATGTCGTTACGCCTCACCACCAGATAAGAGAAAGTGCTCTGTGATACTCTGAGCCAATGAGGGAATACTACAGTGGTGGTAATTATTTCACATTCATGCAGGGGTAATAGGGTTCATACTAAAGTCGCCACTGGCAAAACAGAAAAGGAAAAACTGGTATTAGAAAATCTCCAGACAAAGTCACTGCAAAGAAATAAAAAAAAAAAACCCAAAATGTTCAGCTCAGTTTTCAGCATTCAGAGTCAGACAGACAGACACAGACTCAGACACAGATAGTTACCCAGCAGCTTCTTGTGGTCCAGTTTGTGTCGATTCAGTGGGCTGGTTCCATACAGCAGAGTGTGGAACTCTGAATGGACTGACTGGATCTCATCCAAAGACGCTTTACGCCCACGAATCCTCTGCTCACACACAGAGATGGAGAGAGACTCTGAGTAAGGAGTGTTACACTCACACATAAGAAAAGAAACAGCATCAGAAATGCCATTTGGTAGCTGTTAACAGTCTGATTGTTGTAAAGCTTTTTAATGAGAGGGAGCAACAAAGTCCTGGTGTCTAAATGCAAAGTAGGTGGGGCTAAAATTGCTGTAAACAGACAAATTAATTATTAGTCTACACCAGGATATTCCAAATTTCTCAGTCAGCTCCCCCCAAATATCGGTGCCAAAGGTGACAGGTGACCCCCACTGCACTGATAAGCCAAACCACAATTAAGTGTCAGAAAAACAACACAACAGCCAAACAAGCGTGATATTATTTTAAAGTGAGAAAGAAACAGTCCAAAGCAGAATGAGAGTAACATCATACTCAGTGTTGCAGTGCATGGACTTCTAAGTGTGTGCACATGCTTATTGAATTACTATTATTTGTAATCATTACAATTTCAAATGCCACAATATGCTGATGATATACAACTATACATCTTTGCTGCTTGATAACCACGATGTTCTTTTTAAAATTTCACTTTTTAAAATGTCACTTCACTCATTTTTACAATCCATTATTATAAAATAATAAAAATGATAAATTGAATGTATCGAGCAGCTTTCTAAAGACCCATGGCAGTTTTACCAAACTGAGTAATAAGCTAATGATAACAAAATAATAATGATAAGACTGGAACATGTGGAAAAGGTCTGATGGGGGATCAAAGTTATGGGAGGTTGCTGACTGTGATGAACGGGTGGTGTTAAAAGGTAGGATTGGTATTAAAGCAGGATATTGAGATTAACAACAGCAGCCACGTTACATCATTCTGTGTGTGTGTGTGTGTGTGTGTGCGTGTGTGTGTGTACCTCACAGCGACCCAGCAAGCCCGTCTCCTGCAGTCTGGACCAGATGCTTTGCACCCTTCCTGCATGCTCTGGGTGGATGTGAGCATTGCCACAAATACATTGATGCTTCAACATCAGACTGTCATACACAAGCCCTGCGGAGAGAAAGAGAGAAATCCCGTTTAATATCAGAGAAATATCAAAGAAAAAGGCAAAACGTCAGTGATACAGATGGAGAGCCTCAAAGCAAATGCCCCAGTCTATCGCTTCAAATGTAAAAGTTGTAGTTTTTATTTTGCACCACAAGGTGTCAGTGGTTACGAGTGTAATGTGTGTGAGGACATGAGGTGCAGGACATTCACCAAAATAAATCTTGGAGAGTCTGATATATAACACACAGCTTAATTTTCTGCTAGTTTTGTTATGCAAAGTCCTGAAATGTCTTGAACGACAAGAAAACAAAAAATAACTCATTCAAAAACAGAAATTTAGATACAAAAGACAAAACGCTGCTTGAGAATTTATGACTCTTCAGAATCTAATTTTTTCTGAACCCTCAGACAGCTCTGAGTCAGCCTTACGTTGCTAAGCAACAAGCATGGTGGCTTATAGTGGGCGGTCTGACACGGCTGATGTCAAACTGTCATTGAATAAAAACAGATTTGCACACACGCAGAAAAAAAACACTGACCAGTGGTGAAAAGGTGTTTGATGGGATTGACGGAGGTTGCAGGCGAGGACTGTGCTCTTCCAAGGGGTCGGTGGGGCAGCGAGGACTGGAACACACCCAGGTGCTGCAAAGCCTTGTGGGAAAGGACGGGGAGAAAGAGAAACAGAGGGGGAGAGAGGGAAAGTTATGATTCATTGCAGAGGGATGACTCAGAGATTTATTCATTCACTAGAAAGGAGGAGGAGGGCGTGTGTGTATCAAACATGACAGAATACTTAACACTGACACTCTCCTGTCTCATCACACACACTTAAATAGATATGATTCTGAAAAAAACATTGAATTAAATTAAGAGCGTGGAAACATGCAAAGTTAAAGATTAACTAATTTGCATAAAGATTCTGTATAAGATTGCACAGGAGTTTTTGTTTGTGGTCCCAGTAGTTGGTCTTGATTTTTGCAGGGAGGACAGACTGTATGGAGAGCAAAAGCAGGTGGAAAACACAGCTGTAATGAAATCCTCATTAACGGTAACTTGAGTAGCTTTATGAACAGTTAACTACAGCGTCAACATCTAATATTGGTCTGTGAAATCATGTGATTTTGACAGCAAAGTACACGGAAAAACATGGAAACAGTGAATCAAACAGAAAAACGCCCTTCTCTATCTTCAAACTCTCTTCTAAACCACAACTTTCCTCCTATAATTTGATAAAAACAAAGACCTAACTTAGTTTATATGCACGTTTATTTCTCAGTACTGAAGTAGCTTTGTGAACAGTTATCTACATAATCAAAAGCATAAAAAGGACTTTATAGAAAATAATAATGGTCTGTGAAATCATGTTATTTTGACAGCAAAGTACATGGAAAAACATGGAAACATGGAATCAAATAGGAAAACGCCCTTCTCTATCTTCAAACTCTTCTGAAAACCACAACTTTCCTCCTATAATTTGATTAAACAAAGACCTTACTTAGCTTATATGTGTGTTTATGTCTTAGTACTCAAAGGCAATCATGCACACACATCCTTCTCCTCAAGTTGGTCCATATACATCTGTATGACCTGATAGAAAAGGAGTGCAGCAGTATGCTTTGGAGACTATTGAACATTGTTGTTGATTAAAACTAATTCAGTTGTAAATTTTGGCTTTTTTTTTGGATAAAACACACGAAAAAGAGGAGAAATCTAATTATAGGCTGAGTGGCAGGATGTACGCTGTGGTGCATGCATCAATTGGAGTGAATAGCTGTTTTTCAGTTCGTGTCGCGTTAAGTCAGGCGGGATTATTTGTAAAGTAAAGGAAGTAACATGTTGCCCCAGTCTTTTCTTGCTTGTTTCAGAATTTGACTGATTCTGTTGCTTTACTTTGAAACCAAACACAGCTGCTAATTGGACTGTAAACGATGCAGTGCACAGAGGAAGAAGTCCTGGAGGTGTTTTCTCACCTTTAAAAGTTCACCGTCACTCCCTGAGGATATATTATCGTGTTGAACAATCCTTTCATTGATAAAAACACTGCTGCTTCACATTTACGACATCTCTCATGACTGACAGCCCTAAAAATCCCTCTGTGTGTGTGTGTGTGTTTGATTAGTGTATGTGTGCTCCGCAGAATCACACACACACACACACACACATAGATTCTGAAGTGTCTATATATAGGGGGTGTTGCTGTGCTCCCTGCTGCGATCTCTGTGACTCATCATGAGTGGGTGGACATTAACACACACACACACACTGACACAATTGAAGATAGACATACAAGAACACACACACACACACACACTGATGAGTCCAGTGGTTGAGTCACCAACCGGTGATGTCACTGCAGCGTCAACAATTGTGTGTGTGTGTGTGTGTGTGTGTGACGGTCAAGTTCCCCTTGACACCTGAAGCAGGCTCTTGTTTCATGCTGTGTGTGTCTTCAAGGAGTTTTTATCTTTGTGCAGAAACGTCAGTGTGTGTTTCCGGTTACAAAAACTTAGCATGTACAAAAAAAATCCTTCTAGATTCTATACTCGGGGTATGTTTGTCAAAAAAGTGTCGCAAGTAGGTGTCAAAAACTGAAGTGTTGTTCAATTTCATATTCAAATCCCACCTTTTCCTGTTCCTGTAAAATGTCAAAGCTTCTTCCGATGACTCAGTCTGTACTTTTGTGAGCAAAAACAAGAAAATCATCCAGTCAATGTGACTTTACATTTTGGATTGATTCATTCAACCCTCCTCTGAAATGAAAGCTGCAGCTTTCTCAAAAAGAAACAAACACCCACAGTAAACAATAAAGTCAGACGTGTGAGTTTAGCTGTGATGAGGTGACAATAACGGAGGATCAAAACAGGACAGGAGTTTAGAAGAAGTGGGAGACAGCGTTTGAAATCATGCTGCACTTTCTAAAAATCCTGACTTTAGACATTGACTTCATTTAGACTTTTAATTGATTTAATTCATCCTCACCCCGTGGCCATTAGGAATCATGATAACAGTATTATTGCAATGTTTTGGGAAAACTTGAAAATGAAACAACAAAATCAGTCTAACTGAAATAGGCGAGACAAGACTGGAGCAACACATGACTCAATAAACTTCACAGAAAAAATTAATTAACTCCCATGTCATCACCCGTTTCATGTCCCCACATTTCAGCCCTGTGACTCAAAATGTTTCACTTGCTTCATGCTTCACCGACTGTCATGTTATTCCAGCAGATCATAAACTATGGAACTGAAAAATAAAAAACTGTTTTAAGATTGATCAGAAAGTAAAATTTCTAATCTATTAGTAACCCTCAGATGTACCAGCGCTAATGTTGTTTTTATCTGTGAATGTCGGCATTTAAAAGTGTCTCAGAGGGCTGCTTTAGCTAGCCTGCTGGCAGCTTCTAACTGTGTCTTCTCCATTTTACAACATGTGGGAATCAGCTTCTAAAACTACAACCATGAGCTCTGTATGCTCATTTTCATCAGGACATCAACATTTCATTTACATGAAAACACATTTATTGTTAGTAATGGTTCATTGCAACAGCCCTAGCCCAGGACAAAGGCTGTGAGTCCTTTCCAGAGGTTGTTTTGCATAACAAGATTAGATTGTGCCAAGTTAGTTAGCTACTTATCTTGCACCATGACAAAAAAATGAAAGGCTCATCCCCTCAGGATTCAAATTCACATAATTACCCATTCACTGTGTATTATCCTGCTTATTACCCATCCACAATCTTAATATTGATTTAAAGTTGTTTGTATCTATTTAAAAATACAGTTTGAACAGACTGAAGGAAAAAAAAGGCCCTTTAATCTATGATCAGTTTCACTATCATAACTTCAAACTCTATCCTCTACTGTCTTGCAAGATAAAACCTAACATTTTAATTAACAACCGAGTTAAAACATTCGTATGCTCATATAATAATCATTTCAATGAATTTTAATGAACATTATGCTAGAAAAGGTCTACAGCACTTTTACGAGAATATTTCTGTCTATCTATTTGTTTTTATTCACACAAAGTTGAAAATTAACAGTCATGTTACACAAGTCTTTAACAGGACTATATATTTTGAACTTTGCACCCATTTAATTCTTCTTCTCTGTGCTTTGCAGTCAACACATCTTGTAAGTATAAATGAGTCTTTAGCTAACAGTCATCAGCTTTTCTCTTTTCATGCTCACTTTGTTCCTCTGTTTTACTAACACACAGGTGACCATTCTGCTCCTCCCCCTGGCCGTGCTACACCATCTCCCCTCTCTCTACCATCAAAGCAGGTGGCACAGTATTTGTCTAACTTCAGATCGCAGGACACCAAAATTATTGAAATTTGTATAAAGACTATATTACCCACAATGCAAATCAGCTTGGTTCATTTTCATTTGTTTGGGGTAAAACTGGCATAACTAAAACTGAAAAAATAAAGCAGTTCAGGGTGTAATACCAAGGAATCCCACTGGATCCATAATGGCTCTGTTCCGCAAGCATACAGTGCCCACCGGATCTGATCCACCTCCCCCGTTGGAGGAAAAGCGGTTGCGAGATTACTGATATTTCTCACGAGACTAAACGAGATCTCAGGAGAGCTTGTGTGTTTCCCCGTGATGAAGCTGCGTAATCAAAATGCCCCGAGATTGCGGCTGAGACCTGGGACCTGAGAGCAGATCTGGCTCACCTTTTATGATCCGATGTGCCCCCACAACCCATCTGATGAGCTCCTTTAATCAGTCAAACCATCAATTTCCAGTCTGTGTTTAGGGTTGATGATATGTATACTAAGAGACAGAGGCATACATTTGATTTATCTCTGCTTTGCTACTTTCTACAATTAAAATAATGAATCATGGGGGGCAAGAGATCACTTACAAGATCGCTTAAAAGTTCGCTAATAATCTCACTTGAAAAACCACCAAAATGGTAATAGGACAGATTGGCAAACTATTTCATTGTTAGGCATATCTTTGTGTTCAGATGTTTTTGCACCACTGATTCACGATGTTCAACTATGATTTCAAACTCTTATCCACTATATAAGTTAACCCTTTCTCTATTATATCAACCGATTTAAACTATGTGATCTTTTTTGTTGAAACTAGCTATTCCAGTCAGTTCTTTACATTTATCTGACTGTTTCATATCTGTATCCATCTTGTTTTACCAGCAGTTTTAAACCAACATCCATAATGTAGTTAAGTTTTCGGAGCAATTAGCTGTCATGATAAAGTTATATTTTTGACCATTCATCTATTAAGAAAAGCACTCAACTTTTTACTCAGTGTTACAACCAATCATTTTCTGTGTTCCACAACCATTTTAACAATTTATCCATATTGCTTTTTTTAACAGTTATCCATCTAGTTTAGCGATGTAGTTCAACATTTTTTTGAAGCGTGAGGAAAAATCTTTCCGATATTTCTCCAGGTTATTAAGACAGCTATTTCAACGTTTCTTTAAATGTAAACTAAAACCCTGTCCACTCAGTCTGGTTTTAAATAATTTCATGAAATATTTTCTTATTTATTTTTATCTCTTTACCTTTTCCATTATGCAAGAACACATCAGTAACTATTTTTAAGTGCTCCTTTTTTCTGTAATTCTGCCTTTTTATTATTCTAATTATTTCAATTGTTCACACCACATGTGATATTTTATCTGGTTTCTATTTTTTATTTTACCAAACACAAATATGCGTCTCAAACTGTAGCATCTTTTTTTTATTAACTGAGCAGCACCATGGCATATTTTTCAGTGTGAGCAGATTTGGAGCTGCAGAGGCACATTGGCATCTTTTGGTGTGCAAACAGCAGACTGCAGCATATTCATCCTCCTTAAAAAAAAACAAACAAACAAAAAAAAACCCTGCTTTAAAAAAAACCTACCTGTGTGTAGCCACCTCTGTCCTCTCCATCACCCTCCCTCAGCTGGATGATGTCTTCATCCTCTTCCTCTTCGTCCAGCTCGCTCTCAGTGCTCTCCCCCTTCACATGAATATCCCCGTGCTCGTCTTCACCTTTTACCTGCACGCCAAGTCGCTCTGAGGAGGGCGTGCTATCGTCGGATCCCTCTTTCTGAAGCCTGATTGGACAGAAAAATATATGACCCTCAGATTCATAGCAACAACAACGAGAACTGAACTAAACATGGAACAGACTTCTTCTCCTCTGAATACAACCAAAATAAGCACGATCGTCCAATAACGTAATGTTTATGATTTAATGATTAATTCTGTGATTAATTTGATAGATGCTACTGAACACTAAATCTTGTTCTTACAATATCAGCTCTATAACTAGTATGGTACAGTAAAGCCTCTTTTGGTAAAATCCACTCACTTTGTGAGACCGTCCTTGAAATACCCACATCCAGGGTCTTTTTTAATCAGTGTTTTTTAAGAGACTGTCTGGACTGATCTGCTCAAAACAAAGGTAATCTGTGATGATTAATACTTCCGTTTTCATTAAATAATGTTAGTTTGATTGACAGTTTGTTATGCTCATTGAGGACTACCAGCTTTGTTTTGGTCTATCAACCAATCAAAGGCTATATCTGCAATCAGCTGACCATAGAGGTCCAGTGAGAGGCAGGAGTAACCCGAGGCAGACTTCACAGTCTTCACACAGCACAGAGACATCAAAGTCAGAAATGTTTTATATAAGGTTGTCCCATTCAGCCTATTCTAGTGTCAGCAGATGTGTGCTCCTTCTAGACACCCATTCTTGGGGGTTTCATTTAAACACAGCATCTTTTTTCATTTCATTTAACTGTGACTAAAATTCACTAAAGCTACCGGAATTTTTTATTAATAAAAAAATGACAGAATCAGCTTTGTTGTTAAACTCATTCTAACAAATCTATTCATTTTTAATTCAACTGCTGTCTGTATTATCACAAAATTTGATTTTGACATCGTCTTATAATCAGATCAATAAGCTGATCAGCAAAGGTGACTGATTTATCATTGAAAATTTTCCCACCTGTGTAGGCTCGTCCCGATGTCATCTTCCTGCATGTCGTTGGTCTCTGTTAGCTCCTCCTCTGTCTCCTCTGGATGAGTGGGTGGCGGCCTAGGAAGCTCCGCCCCCTTTGAAAGCATCTACACACAACATAAGAACAGAGTGAATGAAAATTTGCACATTTGAGTCTGTGTATTTGTGTGTGTGAGTAAGTGTGTGTACCTTGTAGTGTTTCTCCAGGAAGTGCTGGTGTTGCTGCTGGACCACTAGCTGCTGCAGGGCCTGGGGCGACTGGGGCAGAGGAGCACTCTGCGTCCGAGCCAACGGGCGGTGCCGAGGCAGCTTGTTGACCGACCGGATGCCGCTGGACACGCCTCTCTCTGCTGTAACCAAGGGCGACTGACTGTACATGGGGACTAATGCGTTTAAAGCAGAAAGACAAAAGTTAGTCTCCGTAAGATGATAAAAGCCAAACTCAAAGTGTGATTTTTTTATGCTGTGGGCATGTGCGTTTGATTTACACACCTGCTAACATTGCAGTCTGTTGTCTGGCCTGTTCCAGCAGTAAAACATGCTGCAGTAACGAGGAATGTGCAGAATGAGAGCTGGGGGGCGGAGTCTCCACATCATGCCCCACACCTGTGAAGAAACACCATTTGATTAAAACTATTGTCCGTATATTCAAAAAGGAGTTTTGAGTTAGAATCGTTTAAATGTACATGTAATCATGGTGATAATGTAAATAAGGGAAACCTATATGTCCTTTTGAGAATAAACAGAATGAATGAAAACCATCAAATTTTGTTTTTCTATCAATATTTTATACAAGGTCAAAACTTTTTGGGGATTGGGATTGTAAAAATTTACATATAAAGCTATCTCAAAAGTAATGACATGTGGTACTCTTACCTGCAGGTAGCGAGGATGTTGACAGAAACTTCCCTGTAAGAGCCCCGCCCCCTCGCAGTGATTGGATGGCTTGACGTTCAGCTTCTTGCTGGCTGGACAGTTTCTGAGGGCCCTGCGAGGAGGGAGCAGATGGTCATCAGGGCAGAATAAAACTGTGTCAAACTGTGAAAGTCACTTTTATTTGCACAGAAAGAGCTTTTTAATCAAATTCAGGAGAAGAACAAGATTTTATAAGAAAATCACTGCAAAAGAAGATCTGTGATGACCTACCGTGATGTGTGTGTTTGCAGGGAGGCCCAGGGAAATATTTGGCAAAGAGGGTGAGGTGTAGAGATTCAGAGGACTCAATGTCCCATCAGCCCCCAGTGTCTGATGAAGAGACCTCAGCTGCAGAGAAGAAAACAGACAGACAGACTGATGAGTTTGGAGGCCCTGTCCTGTGAAATCTTGGCAATATCAGTCTGAAGGGTCAATAATTAAACACCCGAGCTTTAACCACAGCTTCTAACCTTCACTGTGAGCCCTGAATGACACTGTCTCATGCAAAACTAGCCTTTGTTTGTTCGAAGTGAAATATGCAATATTTTTATAGTTTATCAGTGTAAACAAGAAATCTTTTTCAGTTTTGACTGTTTCTGCTTTCAGCTCGGTTTCAGAGGTGGTCCAGCTGGAGGATTTGCATCAGCATGAAATACGATCTGTATAGGAAGCTGTCCAATGGTTGATAAACTTTCCTAAACATTCTGGGATGACAGCATGTTAACATCCGAGCTGGAAAAAAACATCTTTCAGGAAGTTTCACAAACCATAACAAGTGTTATGAACGCTTCAGATCGTTGGATTAACTAGTCCTCACTGTAACTGTCACATTTCCCAACAAATCAGTGTAACACCTTTCCAAAGACTGACTTTGTAATCAGTTTTTGCCAGAAACACCTCAAGAAAGAGACTTCATATGGTTAGTTGAGGCTTTTTTACATGTTAGTTTCAGTTCTACCTGGATAGAATTCGAATGTTTAGTTTCTGAAACGACTTTTTTCACACCACACCAAACTGTAAGTGTACATCTTAAAAATGAGGAGACGATTACATATTTAATGATATGGTGTACGTTCTTGTGTGTACCTCTGTCTGTATGTTGGGCACAGATCCTGTGTTGCCGTTTGCGATGGCTGAATTTGAGCTGTTTGGACTGCTGGGACCTGAACCTGGAGCGCTGTTACAGAGAGAGGACACTGGGCGAGAGACACAGGAAACAAAAAGGGAAAGAGAGCAGGGATCAATCTTTAGTTTATTTATATACTGAGACTTTTACAGACTCTAAAGACAGAAACAGCAGAACTGAGCTGTCTTGTCTGTTATCAAATTTGCCGCTCTCTCAGAAAAACTGTAGGAGCTCTTATGTGTGCATGTTTTTACCTGATATCTCTATGGCTCTCTTTTTAAAGGTGCTGATAACGGTGCCGTCCTTCCTGCGGAGGAGTGGGGAGCTCCGCCTCTCTGCCACTTTTTGCTTCAACCGTGAACGCACCTTCAGGTTTGGCTCAGAGACTAGACGAGAGATATTGGGGGAACATAAATTTGTATTTGAACAACAATAGCGATCACATCTTTAACAGGACAAACACCTGAATTCTGAAGAAGAGAACACCATCGAAAAATCAGGCAGAATATTGACTCATATACTAAAACTATCACTCTAGTATGATACAGAAAAAACTAAGCCCAATCAGATTGTTTTGCTTTGTCTCTCAGCTCTATTCTTAGGTTGTGTTTGTTTTGATATAGGTTGCGTTTAATGTTTCTTCAGGTGCTCAATGTTTCTGTGTAACGCCAACAGGAGACTATCAGGCGTTTCTGGAGCACCAGCTGCCGAGTAATCCCAGCTGCAGCTACAGGCTGAGAGCAAAAAGCAGGAAGAGGAAAACACCTCCAGTTTTTATCGGTTTAGCTTCCTGATCCGTATCCGACTGCGCTGAATCCAAAACCCGAATGTTTTGACACCGATTACCCTTTCACTTTATGAAGCCATGCCAGATGAGGAGTGATCTGATTTGACAGCTAAGCTCTTAATTTGTTTTTCTTGCTGGATTAGGATAGTTCAAATCTGATATGCTTTTATTGACCTGCATTTGAATTCAGGACTTACATGGGAATAAAGATGTGTCTTCATGTCTAGTTATCTTCAACAGATTCTGTACAATGTTTATTTTTCTTTCTTATAAACATTAAAGCACCCTCACACACACTTCCTCTTGTCTCCTACCTGTCTTGCGGAGAGGGAAGTCGTCTTTGCCCTCATAGTTGCCCAGCAGGGGGGGCAGTTTGTAGGATGGAGGGGTTCCAGGAGTGTTACTCTGAGGTGGAGAGCCTTGCTCAAGGGAGGTGTGTGGGGCTCCCCTGCACAGACACACAAAAGCGAGTGAACAGGCTGGATTTATAACAGTCTTATGACTTTAAGGCAGAGGGCTGTCTTCTACAAGTCTAACTCTGCTTAAGCTTTCTGCCTATTGAAGGAAGATTTACCTCGTCACTTGCCAAATGCTACATAGTGCTCTGCTCAGGGTGGATTAGTTTAGTTTTTAAGTTTATTTGACCTCATGCAAAACATAACTGCTGAGCTGGAGTTCGCTTTACAGTTAATCTGTCTAAAAACATACAATATATAAACAATACACAAAAAAACAGGGTTAAATGACTAAAAACAAAACAAACTTCAGATGCAGACAATGCTTACAATTTCCATCGCCAGCATGTATGCAAAATATGTGCCGAAGGATTTTCTTAACACTGGAGGTTCTTAAGTTTGAGTGACACACGCATAAACGTCCAGACCCTGATGGTCTCGGCTGCAATCCCTGAGTGAGGAGTATAAATACTGACCCTGTATTTACACCCGAGCTGACTAGCCAATCACCATCGTGTCATGTTATCCAATGGTTATCCAATCAGGGATAGTTAACCCCTCCAGTTAGGGGAAGAGACAGTCATAGTGTGACCTGATGGTACTGTCTGAACTAATAATAATACAGTTAGTTTACCAGAGCATCAGGCCACCTGAGGCAGCTTGCAGTATGACATTTTTTGACAAACCAACAACCCTCTGAAGTTGGCACTGAGGGATGAAACTATGAGAAAAAGGAAAGTTTGTCAAGCTCTGGAAACAACATCCCCGCCGTCATGATGTGTCTTTGAGGGACAACCAGACTGAAAATGAAAAGAAGTGTTGGCGAGACAAAGCAGACGCACTTCAGCAGACTGATGAGTAACTGCTTTGAGCATTTTCAGGTATTGTCTAGTCTGTCTCCGCTTCTTTTTAGTGTCTGGTTGTGTAGGATATAATGGCTCTGCGATCTTTTAATCTGCCACAGTGACCATTGTAACAGAAACATTGTGTAGTTTAAGTTTTGTGGTACATTAGAAATAAAAACATGTATGAAAACAACACCACACAGACTATCTAAAGGACTACAGTTCCAGGGTGATTTGAAATGTGATGTAATGTCTTAGAAATGTGTCGGATCGGCCCAGAGGAAGGCCGGGCTCTGTGTGATCCTCACCAGCACTTTGGGGAGAAGGAATGGTTCAGCCCTCCGGGACCAGGCTCTTTCTTACTGAGGAGGAACTCCTGCAGCTTCAGCTTCACTTCTGTACTCGCAATAGCACCTTCAGAAACACATCAAAGAGAGAGACAGAGAGTACATGACTGTTTTTCAGACTCAGATCAAAGATGAACATGGAGGTAAAATTCAGCAGAGTGACCCACTCTCTTTGCCTTTCTCCTTGTTCCTCAGCAGCAGCAGCTGTTGCTCCAGTCGGTGTTTCTCCTGCTCTTCGTGTCTTTGCTGCTCCAGTTTCCTCTTCTGCTCCAGCTCCTGCTGACGCTTCGCTGCCAACAGCTCCTGTTGTTGCTGACAAACACAAACACAAACACAAACATTTTACTAACTTAGGAAAAACAAACCAGCAGAAGCACTGTTAGTGCAATCAACTTACAAACAACAGGTGGCAGTGAGTGTATGTCTGTCTTGTGTATATTGAACAGTTTTACACCTTTCTAAATGAGTGAATCACACCTGACAGGCTACCTTCAGGTGTTCCTGCAGTTGCACTTCGTGTTGTCTCGTCAGCACTTCGTGTTTTTTCTGGAATTCTGCAAACAGCAGTTGTTTCTGGAGCTCCTGCTGCTGTTTGAGAAGCACCAGCTCCTGCTGGAGCTGCTGCTCTCTCAGGGACGTATCTACTGCGCCGCCCCCAGGAAGGGACCCCACCCTGGGCTCTGTCCTCAGGTCCACTGGGCCTCCTCCTCCACCTGGACCCCCACCTGGAGAAGAAGTGATGGATTTGAGATCAATAATTGTTTTCATTTGTTGGTAAACAACTCTGTCTTCTTCATTGTTTCCCCTTAAATGTCCATTTTCTACATTGGACTGCATTGTACATATTACATTTCAGATCACCACTGAGTAAGACAAGCAGACAACATTTTAATTGCTAATTCTTTAAATGGAGTTTGGTGTGACCAAATCGCTAATCCACTTGGGCGAGGTAAATTCATATATTCCACTGGACCCGGAGAGTGCAGAACTCGAACCAGGAAGCATCGACACACTAAACTAAATGTGGTTTTATAACAACCCCCCAACACCCCACCAAGGACTCTCAGAGGACTCCCCACTCACCGCCTTCACCACCTCCTCCTCTCTGCTCATTCGCTGTTCCTACAGGGCTCTGCATGCCTGACGGGAGGCTGCTCTTCACCTCCACTACTGCAGGTCAGAGAGAAAGAGAAAGAGAGAGAGAGAGAGAAAAGAAAGAGAATGAGAGATTGATAAGCCTCGAAAATATTGTCAGACGATTACATCATTCATCACATACACACACACACACACACACACACACACACACACAGAGTTTTGTGTTTCATTCAGATGAGTTGTAATTGTGTTGTAAGAAGTGGGGGACACGGCGACCTGCCGTCTAAAAATAGTACCAAGTCTCGCATTAGCTTCACTTTGGATACCGGGGATTTTGGATCACCACAGTGCTGCCTTGGTGTTGGACTGGCCAACATTCAGAAAGGCTACGCTAAAGGTCCAAATGTAGTCGTCAAAATGTACGATTCCTTATGACAACAGTCACAGTGGGTATGTTAGTTAGAAAACTTTAAAACACTATTATTATGAGTTCTTTATTGCTGAAAAAGTTTGGTGTTTTTTTTTTTTTGGTCTTCTTATCTGTTAAACAATCAACCACCAAAGAAAGGGAGACGCTGTGTGTATGAATAACACACACATATTTTTATTGGTTTAGTGAAACGATGTGCCCATTTTGAACTTGATGCCAACAACTAGGAATGATCCAGAGTGACTGAATCTTTACTTGTTTGAACAGACAAAAACAGAAAAAAGAAAAAATATTAACCCTTTGTTCAACAAAGCTAAACACAGGATCACAGAGTATGTAGGTAAACAGTGTGTTATGGTTTGCTCAATGTGTGGCTAACACTAGCAGAGCTAGCGCAACCAGCCAATTTGCAGATTGCCTCTAGTGGACACTTGGAGAATGGCAGTTCTTTGTGTTTCCACCCTAGTTTATTTTTGCCTCCTGTTCATGAGCAGCTAATTTGTTACATTTCCTGTCAAGTCTTTCTTTCTTTCTGTTTGTCTGTCTGTCTTCCTGCTTAGCCACCCCTAGAGGCTTGGAGGACCCCTGATATCTATACTGGATGAGCAGCTTCTTTCTGTAATTTATTTTCAAGGTTTGTGTTTTTGATTTCGTGTTGATTGTGTAAGTCGTGTATGTTCACTGTTTTTAATTTCAGGATTCTGCTGTGTTTGTTTTTTGGAGAATTTACTTTTTTTTCCTGGAACTACATCATTTGTGTATTTTGTGTAGGTTGTTGTGCAGTTTCTTTATTTATTCTGCAACTTGCATTCATGAGTCTTTACATTTCTGGTTCAAATCATGACCAGAAAAAGCTGAGCTACTTAGACGTGAGTTAGGGGCAGCGAGGGGTCAGTTGGTTGATACTTTGACTTGGAAAACAAACACCACGTGGTCAATGCAAAAATAGCAGATGTGTAAAAATACAGGAGGAAGTAAGGTGGTTAATTGGGTCTTTACAGTATCCATGTATAATCTAAGACTCGTCAGCGCTCAGATCAGAAGCTCCCTATCAGCTTAGCTTCTCCAATCAGCTTACACTGATCATTAGTGTGTGTGTGAGACAGATGGAGAGAGTGAGTGAGCAAGAGGGTGTGTATGACGTCATTTGGACTATTTCTTTCGGTTGTAATTTGCCAAAGAGGAAATTCAATTAGGACTTACCCACTGTGTAGTCTGACCTGTGATCTTTTTATGCTGAGTTGCTCTTATTGGTCACCTCGCTCTCTGGCACTGCCTCTCTGCTTTTGTGTCACGTGGGCTCTAAGATAATCAAACAGCAACTTCCACGATTAGGCCAAGCTCATTAGGCCTGTCCTCCAGGACTAGGACTAACTGGCAGAGCAAAGGTTTCATCATTTAAAGTCTTTCCTATCTTTAATCTTAAAACTAACAACCAGTGTCACATGAAATCCTCTCACAGTTTTCAGGGTTTTTTTTCTGCCTTATTGTGCTATTCCCGTTTTTTATTTTACCTCTTTAATTTTGAATTTTTAGCACAATCAAAACCTCAATTAACACCATCACCAGCCCCGTTCCTCCTGTGCACACACTCACACACTACTAATAAGCCACTAAAGACCATGTCTATCAGTCAACTGATATTGTTCTTATCCAAAGCCGGCAACAATACTGTCTGTTAGTAGTTCAAGACACTGACCGCCTGTATTTGGAGCCAATATGCATTAACAGAAACTTTCTGTCATATCTTTGAATTTGGTTTCTCACCAATACAAAAAATCTTTAGTCAAAATTTAAACTTGATCCTTGGGTGCACTTACTAAATGTATCACCTTTTGAACAGATGATTCTATCTGTAGAGATTTCATATATGTTGATACAGATTTATTTCATTTAAAATTGAAATAAATATATATGTAAAGAAATTATAAAATAGAAACTTATATATTTTTTTTAACTGTTTTCATTAAAAAAAGATGATGATTAAAACTATAAAACTGTGTTAAAAAGCTGAGTGGAGTTTGTGTTACTCTACAAGGAAGCTGGTTGATAAATAAAGAGTGATGTATGGAAAAGGTGTGGGATTTAGTAAATCAGTCCTCCCTACTCTTTTTCGAACATGCATGTGAAATAATCAGGTGTTTGATTATCTTGTATTGCACCATGCTTTGTATTGTATGTATTATAAATATTTCTTGTACGACATCTTTTTTTTTTCTTTCAAAATCAATCTAATTAAATCAAATGACAATAATATCCCTGGTCAAAATTGAAGCTCTGTGGCTAGTATCTGCTTGTATCTGCTCTGCTGGTGTGTTTCTATTTTTATTTCTGTTGCTGCCAGGCTGATTATCACCATTAAAGAGTTGTTCTAAACTTACAGTGACAGTAGAGTATCTTATGACTTGTGTCATAAAATAAAACAATCCATCCCTTTGTTTTCCTGGCTCAAATATTTTGGATTTGGTGAGCAGAGTATTTCCATTTTCAGGCTTTTTATCGTCCCTTTGGTATCTCTGTAGATTTACACGATTTAGTGCTCAAAAACTCTTCACCTTTCTCAGGCTGCTGTCTCTAAAAACCATCATTTAGCCTCTGCCTGAAATGCTTCATTTCATCTGCTATCTCTTACAGGCTCTTCCATCAGCACTCTTGAAGCCTCTTCCACTGTTGCAATCCAATTAAGTCACGTTTATCTATTAAAACGGCAAATACTGTAACAAAGTCATATGTCCTCTGACCTAGACAGTCTAAGAGGGGAAAAAAGAGATCAGGGTGTTTCAGTTAGCATTAAGCTACGTTTATTGTGCTCATCCAAGAGATAAACCAATCAATGATGTCACAATTTGAGGAAATCTCATGTCCCGCTGACGTAATCATCATGTGACATTCTGGCTGAGACATTTGGAGCCGTTTCATCCTGTAGTCTCATCCTGGGATTTATCCAACACATATTTACCTCACAATCTTAAACTTTGCCCATGTTAAGCAATGGCTTCTGAAATTTTCTATTCAATCTCTGTTTGTAGAATGTGGCAAAAAACAAACACCCCATCTTTAAATTACCTTTATACAGTATCCAATCTTACATTTACTTTATCGTGGTTGTTGTCTGTCTACAACACACTACTGTTGCAGACCCTGAGTCCTGGACTCATAACCATACTAGTGCTCTGACTGTATTTGACTTAGAAGATGACAAGGAGAACCAGAAGATGATTTTGATGGATTGTGTTCTCTATCTATTGATATATTTAGGGCCCGAGCGTAGCTGCTAAGCAGCTGCGAGAGCCCTATTATTCCTGATGGATTCTTCTTTCTTCTTCTTCTTCTTCTTATTATTTTTCTGCCCCTTTGAACTGGAAAATGGCCCACTTCCCACTGGTGAAAACTCATGAAATTTGGCAGGACGACCGGGCCTGGTGAAAAATTCGATATTCTGAAGTCACCCAAACAATCAAATGCAAAATGGCTCCATAGCGCCCCCTAAGGTGAAAAATTCACATGATTGAGTGTCACGCCTGTACGCTTTGTCAAAATGACACAAAATTTGACACACACGTGTATCTCAATAAGATCTACAAAAAAGTCAGTGCGGGCGTATCTGTCAAATGTACGTTTAAAGGGCTATTTCGCATTTTTTGCCGATCCGCACACATTGGAATTTCGCTAACTCCTCCAAAGGCTTTCGTTCCACCGGCACCAAATTTGCTCAGGCCAATCTACACCCCATGGCCATTCAAAGTTGTACAAATCATGACGCTGCACCCCACGGTTTACGTTGTAGGGGGCGCCAAAGATAACCCAAAAATCCACATTCTTACAAGTCTTATAACTTTTTATTTCTGTCCTCACTGGCCTCCAAGTTTTCTAGGATGATGCAATGTCCAGCCATCAACACATTTGTGAAGGAATTTTTACTCCCCAAAAGAGCGCCCCCCATGGCAGGAGAAAAAAGGCCATTTTTTCTTGTCCTATAAGGTGAAAATACACATTGTTGAGTGTCACGCCTGTACGCTTTGTCATATTGAAACAAAATTTTATAATCACGTGTATCTCAATAAGATCTACGAAAAAGTCAATGCGCACGTGTCTGCAAAATGTACGGTTAAAGGGCTATTTCGCATTTTTGGTTGATTCGCACACATTGGAATGTGGCTAACTCCTCCTAAAGCTTTCGTTCCACCGGCACCAAATTTGCTCAGGCCAATCTACACCCCATGGCCATTAAAAGTTGTACAAATCATGATGCTGCACCCCACGGTTTACGTTCTAGGGGGCGCCAAAGATAACCCAAAAATCCACATTCTTAAAAGTCTTATTACTTTTCATTTTTGTCCTCACTGGCTTCAAAGTTTTCTAGGATGATGCAATGTCTAGCCATCAACACATTTGTGAAGGAATTTTTACTCCCCAAAAGAGTGCCCCCCCCATGGCAGGAGAAAAAGTCAAGTTTTTCCTGCCCATCGCTCAATGGCTCAAACACATCGCTCTCTCGGAAAAAAACGAAAGGAGGAGGAACTTGCCATTTGGATATATCCTAGCTGTGTTTGTGCCCTCACTCATGGTCCAGACTTTTTTCAAATAGGACATGTAGTTTGTCTGCAGCAAGTGTTTTGGTAGAAACTGCGCCTCCCATTCATTATAATGGTAAATGACCACAGACAAGTGCGCACACCATCGTTGAACCTTGAGTGTGACGCGATCGGGAGGGAGAGGCGGTCGTGTTGGGGGCGGCGTGACACAGCTCGGGCCCGCCAGTGCCCCAACGGGGCCCTAGTTTGTATTAGGTCTTAAATTGATCAAATTCAAAGCAGCTGACATATGCAACAACTCCTGCAGGGATGCTTATAGGGGTAATGCCGTTTATTGGAGTGGGGTTATTTGGGGTATCTGTCAATAGTAAGTGTATTACTTCCACAGGGAATCCCACTTAGCTCAGCTGGTGGACTAGAGTAGAAGCTGGACTGAACTGCTGCAGTAAGTGTCAAAATTCACCATTTTAGGGCTTTATTTTATCATCAGACAACCAGTTTGTTTTTGCACTTTTCCTGGGCATGTCACATGCAACACAATTAAAATTCTGACTAATAGCCAGTGGGTTGCATGTGATTTTATTGGACAGAAATGGTGAGTGCATTTTCCCATTAGGAGAGGCGCGATGCACTTTCATACTCAAATTTCATACACTACTGTTCAGCTCTATCACTTTATTGTTATCTAAAATATCCAGACATGTCAGCAGGATCAGTCAGAATCTGATGGTAATGAACAAAATGAGTGAGCATTCCTTCTTATTCATCCTCAGGTAACCGGGACATGTAATAAGGACTCGGAACTGACTCAGATTTGAACACTGTGGTCTTGAGACAGCTCTGGCTTAAGGTTTTGGTGACTTCACTACAACACTCTACACAACATTAGTGCTTGCACGTCATGCTGTATACTAGCGCATAAACCACTCAGCTCTTTCATTCCAAGTATGGCATATTTCTTGAAATCTGTTTTTAACTCTTACTAATTTTTGTCTCGTTTATTTTCTTTTTTTTTTTTGAACAGGCACATTGCCTCTATTTACTATTCTGTTTACAGCTTTGCACATAAACAAATTACTTGTCAGTGTAGTAGACCCACTTGGCAATGCGCCTGAAAATGAATGTGCACCTGAGCTTAAGTTTACACCGGTGACTTTGCTTCAAGCTGATTAGCTGTTAAAAGTGCTTTAAGCTCTAAAACCAGACTCTTTACTCTTATGACTTTACAAGTTCAGTCACTGGAAATGGCACCTCAGCTTAACTGTCTGCACCACTGCAGCTTGACTCTGCAGTATAGGGATAAATAGTACTTGTCTTCACCTGTAAATGTGTACCAGCTAATTTTAATCTGTGTGAACTAGCTTTGAGTTAGCTAATTTAAGTGTGATCTTGCACAACTCTCCTACTCTGGCATTTTGGGCTTAAATGAGGTAAAAGCAATCTATCATCAAATTGAATATTTAATTAAAAAACTTATATCAAATTTAATAGTAAAATTCACGTTTTCTGCACAGCTAAAGACGAGGGATGCACCAATCCAATATTTAGATCGGATATCGGCTCCGACATTGACAAATTAACTGGATTGGATATTTTTTTTCGTTTAATTAATATCATACACAGCAACACAGCAGTTCTGTTCACTCTGTGTTCTATGTCTGTCTATCCTTTTGCACTAATTGTTTACATGGAAATCTTTCTTCTTTTTGCTGAGTGCTAATGTGCAATTTGTTATTTTTTAGCAAATAATATTTAGTAAATTTATATTTGTGTTAATTTGTTGCCTTTTTTAACAAGGCTATTGTAAAGCCTGATGCCTTCACTCACAGGGCAAGGTATACAGTTCATTCATTTAACAGTAGTAATGGATCGGTATTGGATATCAGCTGATACCCAATACCGGATTAGATCGTAAAAAAATGGATCGGTGCATCTCTACTTAAGACTGGTCTGACTTTTGACCCCAGACATCAACACCAACATAGAAAAATTACTGCTCCTTTAACGAGTATCAGGGTGGTTTAACTTACGGATTCAACACAGATTTGGAAAAGTTGGACGCTATTTCTAACTAAATATTGTTTACAAGTGGATTATTCATGCAAAGAAGCTGTCCAGTTTTAGATTTTGCCGGTTTGTAATCTGTTAGTGAGCTCAGTCGCTGTAAAAGTGTCCAAAAAAATGAAGGCAGGAGAGAAATAAGGGTCTGTGTGTTTGTGTGTGTGTGAGTGTGTGTGGGGACATGTGTGAAGCCCCTCAAGTCTAAATCACCTAAACAAATATTCTGGCGTTTTACTGTGACGCATGTGTCTCCCCCTCCACTACAACACACACACTGTCCCTGTGTGAGTGTGTGTGTGGGTTACTGTCCGTTTGGCAAGAGAGCAGCATTCCACAGCAGCCAGCGTCTGACGTCAAACTGAAGACATTTATAGTCTGGTAAACACACACACACACACACACACACACACACACACACACACACACACACACACACACACACACACACACACACACACACACACACACACACACACTAACGTACAGTCTGACAAAGAAGAAACTTTTCAGTCAATCACATGAGCCTTTAACTCACTGCAGTTAAACAGAAATTTAAGCACAAGACGAGAGGCAATAAAAGAGGGGGAAGACTGCGCATCTGACCCAACCAGACAGTGAATCCCAGCAGAAAAAAACACAGACTGAGGCTCATATATCTTTGTATGCATCACACTGATCTCTGCTCAAATATTTTCAACAGTGCAGCAGGCTACATTTCTGTATCAGCATTTGTCAGCCCTGACTTTTTCAGACTTTTTTCCTGCAGCACAATGTCCGCACAAAGTCCAGGTAAGGATGCGTGGACGCAGCAGGTAACAGTCTTGAACATATATCATGGGCAGGAGAGTGATAACAAAGTTTGCATTTATGGGAGTTTCTCTCATGTAGACTCTTCTTTGCTTGCCTTAGTTAGTGGTCTATGAAAACACTTTTCACACACAGTTATAAGAAAACACGAACAGACATTGTTATACATGACAACTCCTCTTGCATGTTTTTCCTGGGTGTTCACACTCACCTTGACCAAATGGACTAATTCCATCAATGAGAGGCAGCCCACCATAGAGAATTTCCCATTAGAGGGACAGAAAAATCCAGGAAATGTCAGGATCATTATGTCCACGCTACACTACAGTACCTGCCTCCCCCTTAGACAAGTAGTCTACTTACAGTTATGAGAGGTTGGCCAAGATAAATAATTTCCCACCCTGAGAGACAAGGGAAAGTCCAAAATATGTCCAGTCTTGTAACGCCAGAAAGGCTTTTGTCCAACCTTTCGACTTTGACGGTGCTTTTTCCTAATTTTTTAAATTGTTGAAGAGGATCATACACAGATAAACCCACTGTAAGGGATGTGCAAAAGGAAAAGTCTTGATAATGTCAGGACCTAATGTAACTGAAGCATAAAATAAACATTAATTCTTTGACTATTTAAATACCCTTTACGTGACCCTGTGTACCTCCATAAAGATATTCCTTATGTGTGAACTCAATTGGATGATTTCTTCATCCTGACTTGATGCATACTTTGCTTGCCTCTTCAGGTTGTAAAAAAGGTTCCTGAGAAATGCAACAAAACAACAAAAGCAGAGACCTCAAATAAAATAAATTGGTCTTACATTTGACTGTCATAGAGCCAAGAAGGAAACCATTAACTAATGCCCCTCTCATGCATCAAGGTCACTCCTAAAACACGGATCAATGGTCAATTTCCTCACCTCCACTTGATGCAGACTTTTTCCCATAGCCCTGCAGAAAAGTCCACTTCCTGCAGACTTTTCTACTGGAAGTACAAGGTTATGCCAGTTTTCAGTGTGATGTTTTCTACAGTATGAATGGACTGCACTGTCCTAGTCCGTAATTTTTGTGACATTAACCCAGAAACAGTCACCACTGTGGGAAACTCCTCCTCCTGCAGGCCTCACCCTGGCATCCTCCTTAAAATAAAAATGCTTCCAGTTGTGTGAGAGAGAGTCCAATACAGATTATTTTCCATTGTGAGATACTTGTAAAAAGGGAAAGTCCAGAGAATGTCAGGACCTGGAAGCCTTGAAATCATCAGGAGTCCAAGTGTAAAAGGGAAATCAAGTACTGTAGTGCAAAAAAATGGGAACAATTATCTCTACATCAAAAGAAAGTGGGCTCCACCTAAGTTTTTCCACTGTCTCTTCATCTTTTTTACATAACCTTTCTAAGACCAGCGTCATAGGATGTTTGTCCACAAAAACAAAGACTCTGAGTTCTCGCCAAAATTTGTAGGGGCTGATAATGAGACAGGCACTGATCTCAAAGAGCGGGGTGAGCAGTTTCAAGTTCTGTTGCTTTTTTACTGGCTTGTGTTTTTCATATTCCTGCTGCTGCTTCTGCTGCTGGGAGGTATTTCTGGATACCAATATATTCCTCTTTTCTCTTTTCTCTCTCTCTCCCTCTCTCTTTCTCTCTCTCCCCCATCTTGTTGGTTCTGCATTGCTAAAAGAAAATAGGCACTATGACATCAGCCCTGCAAAACACTAAAAAAAGCCCAGAGAAAGAGAGAGAGAGAGAGAGAGAGAGAGAGAGAAAGGGGGGGGGGGGGGGTAGAGTGAGAGAGAGAGGTAAAAATAGTATAATGGCTGTGTGTACTTTAGACAAATTAGAAGCTTAGAGAGAGAGAGGAGTCACATGTGTGGCGTTGCCGTAGAAACCGAGGGTGGGTCAGGAGTATTATGGGATGGCAGACTGTAGGTCATCCACAGAGGATGCTGTCTATTGTGCTACAGCAGAGTTTCTGTCTTTGAAAACACCTGGTTGATCCAAGTGCACAAAGAAAATGCGTCCAGAAACCCTCGTCGGTCCATATTTTTCATTCACAACTAATTAAGTCTGGTCAAATTCAACAAATTAATATGATGTTGCAAACTCAATCCACTTTTGCAAATTCCTTCTTCAGGACAGAATGAACCTGATCTGATCTGATTTGTATTTTATAACCCCAAATCAGGAATCCAAGATAAGAGGTTCACAGTATTCTTGCTGGGGGGAGTGTGGTGCAGTTGTTGCAGACTGTTATGTAACATCACCTCAAGAGACAGCTGAAAATCAGCACACATAAGAGACAACTCAAATCGGTGAGATAAAAAATGAGTATTGACATCATTTTCAAACAGCAGAGGGTGCTTTCTGCTTTACAGCCCTCTTATTTGAAGTCATTACGCCTGTCACTGACATCCCCCTATGTTTCCCACAGATATCACAGCCAGATATCCACAACGACGGCATTTTCCCTTACAAGATTACCTGAAGCAAACAAACAGATTAGCCCTTTTCTTATTTTACACCTTGTGTATGTGTTATGAGAAGAGTCTCCACACTTCCTCTGCAGGTAAGAGAGAGAGAGAGATGTACCAGCAGATGTGGCAACAACAGAATAATATAAGCTTCTTCAGGGTCCAAATATAAGCTGCTTACACATTGAACTCTGTTACTGTGTAATATCAGTATCATAGAGGGTAATTTCACATGAAGTCATGGCAGTGCAGGAGCAAAAGGCACAGCATGTAAACTAAGTGGAAACCTCTCCTTGGTCTTGAAAGATGAAGTGTAAGCGCAGAACTGCAGTTACTCGAGTGTCCACTTGAGGCTGTCTGCAGAACACATTCAAACTCCTCTAATAATAATAATAAGCTCGTTTTTAATGCAAAAATAGACATGTTTACCGCCTGGTTCCAAAAAAGTATTTTGGTCTCAAAAGCTATGATACACAACCATTTTGTGACCCCGAAACATTATCCCATGACCCCCATTGGAGTCAGGGTCCCACGCTAGAGAATCATTAGTATGATCCACAGACTGGAAAATATGGACTTGGAGCTCCAGTAAAAACTTTCTGCTGATTGTGGCGCCCCCTGTGGACAAAGCACTACTTCTTAACTATGTGAAAGTCTTGTTTACTCACAGAATAACTCACCCTGCACTTTGTTGTCACTAAAATGTATTACATATAACAGACTGCAGCTAATCAGTTGGGCTGAAACTGACCCCCACCTGCATTTATAGGCAATAAAATGTTAAAAAAAAAAATCTATCTTGTCACTGATGGTCTCATTTACTTTTGCAGGTCATAAAATTACATCAATATTAATAAGAAGCTGTTCCGCTACCTGATAAAATCTCCTCACAGGAGCTTTACGGAGGTTGGCTCTCAGACATAAACTAAAACCCACCCACACACACACGTCTGTTCAGCCCTACGAGCTCTAACTCTACACATTACCACTTCTTCATATTACCGTAGTACTTCTACAGTTACCTCTAAACAGCAGTTTAGAAGTATACTGACTCCACCCGTATTCAAGGCACATTGGGGGAGTAAATGTAGCGCCTTGATCTGGAAATATGGAGAAATTACTTGTTCAAGTATTTTTTGGCTGTTTTCTTTAACATCCCTAACTTAACTATCTCAGCAAAGTACAGTGAGATAATAATGTCTCCTTTTTAAGTACAACTGCAAACTTTGAACATTAAAGGGATTTAAACTAGCCATCCAATTTAAAAAAATTGCATTGTGAACCCAGAATTGTCAATTTAATCACATCATTACTTGAGTGCATTGTTATCTCCAGACAACCTATGTACTAGGGGTGGGAGAAAAAATTAATTCACATAAGTATTGGGATTTTTTTTTGTTTTACAATTTTTAAATCGATTTTTATGTTCAAAAATCACTTTTTTTTTTTTTAAATTAAGAATAGATCTTAAAAACTGACTTACATGTGATGTGTATTTTTTGGGGGAAATATGGTTCCTGGAATAGTCAGTAGACAATCATAATCATTGAACTGTTTTACTGGCGTTAAAAATGCAGACTAAAAATTGAGCAACATCGTAGAATCGCATTTTAAATCGAATCGGGAGAAAAGCATATCGTCCCAGCCCTACTATGTACCTTCAGTTTGGTCCATTTGTCTGGTCTCTCTGCAATGAAGTGACGCATTCAATCTCAAAGACTTTGGATGCAACACTTGACCTCACCTTTTTGTGTCTTAGAAAATGTTCTCGGTATCAAGGACACAAAGCTTCAGAGGTTTTTACTGCCACAAGTTCAACAGGTTTTACCAAATGCTGACTCCAGAGGAATCCCCCCACTATTAAACTCCTTATTAACCTTTGCTTACACTACAGTATGGAGGATATTTCATTTACTTCTTTGCTTTTGAATGAAAAGGGAATGAATGCTGAGACAAACAGGATTGCAACAAACCTATTTTGTATGTCTGAATGCTTCTGTGAACACTCTGCACTGTGCAAAGTCTTCATTAGTTTTATGTTCTGAGAAACAACCAACATGTAAAACACACGTAAAAATGTGACCAGTGTTAGAAAAAGGACAAATCAAGACTAATCAGAGTGAATGCTGCAGCAGAGGACACTCGTATTTAACCGTCTGTGAGCCTGTTAAGTCTGAACACACACAAACCCACAAATACACTGACCAGAGTTCGTCAGTGAGCCAATGCTTTAATTGCAGCTGAAAAGAAGATTAGACTGAATTTAAGTCCTGCTTGTACATCTAACAACCTGCTGGCATCCAGGCGTGGCACCGAGCCATGTTTAAAGCTGAGCTTTACTTAAGTTGGCTGCAGCATTGTTCAGGAAACTTGACTGTGACAAGGCCTGCACAGGTTAAATATTTACGACTCAGACATGGATAACTTAGATCTAATCAGAGTAAAGATAAGAGGAATGTCCTTGACGCTATAGAGCTTAGAGACAGATATCAACACGTCTTTCCTGTCCTTTTAATTCCTTTTGAACATTATTAATCAATCATAGTAACAGCATCAGCAATCATCGCCTATTGACCTCTGATTTTGTAAGAAATACACTTCTGGAATTTGTTCACTGAAACAAATTTCTGGTAGTTTTGGTGTAAGCCAACAGTTAGCAAGTTCTGACTTCAAGCCAGAACTTCCTTTTCGTTGCTCTGTTAATGCCATCATATTTGGTTCATTACATACCTCAGACAATTGCCAGTTCATCTGTTTCAGGTCTCAGTTCAACAAAAACTGTAGACACGACATTACAGAACCCTAATGTGATTTACTTCACTTGTGTAAACACAAAAAATAACCATTGCTTAAGTTTAACTGCTCAATTTATACAGATTAATACATTGTTTTCATCTGAACATCAATCAATATCAGACTCAAAGTCTATGCAGCTAAAAGGTGCAGCATGGCCAGTTAATTTCAATGTCTAAAACAGGGACATGCAGTGGAGCTGGAGAAATGTGTCTTACTATGAGATTCACAAACCACTGCAACCTACAAACACCAGCTACAAAGCAGACAACATTGTCCGAATCATTTTCCCATTGCAGTGTTTATGACAAGAAAGGTACAAAGACAGAAAGCCGTTTCTAATGCAGTTAAGCTGCATATCACCAAAGATATGGTGCCAATTCATACAGTGGAAAAGCCTGGGCTTATACGCATGCTTAAAAAGATCATCCCTAGATGTGCGCTACTCAGCTTCAAGTATTTAGCTGTAGTTGTCTGCCTCATTTGTACAACTGTACATGTGAAAAGACCTCAAGTAGGGGTCTGCCATTATTGTTTTTCAGAGTTGATACCAATACCATTTATTAGTAGGTCATGAGACTGATGATTGATATATGGAACTGATATGACTTAGAATATACAACATTACAAACTCAAACACAGACCTTGGTGAAAATGTCTTAAGCAAACGTTTAATCAAGACTGACACCTTCACCTTAATATACAGGGGTAAACAGTTAATCAATTACACTTCACAGTCATGTAACATCTAGCCAATCAGATAGTGTTGTGGGTGGGACATGGGATGCGACAGAGTGGTGCAAGAAAACAGACTTGGAGAAAAAGACAGCAGCGAAGCTAAACATTTGTTTTGAGCCATTTCTTTATTATCCCTAGAATTTGTTTTTGTTTCATTTCGAGGACAGGGAAATCGATTTAAACGAAATATCAAGTTTGGTGTTGAAATTGTTTTGGGTCATATCACTCAGCCCTATGATAAATAATCTATCTGCAAAATCACACTAATGTGTTGTTATAACATAACTGAACACAGACTTATCTGGGTTTTATGTAATGATCAAACACAGTGTGTTCCATAATTTTGCAAGCAGGATTTAAAACTATACGAGAATTAAAGTAACAGCACATGAAAATCTTTTACAGCTAACATGCGGCAGAATCAGCTTTGAATTAATAAATGATTCATTCAGCCCTGAATCACCACAATAGTTAACGTTTGTTACAATGTTCAGATTAATTTTCAGACTGTAACAAATGGATTTCGACACCCAGAAATACTTCTGAGTATTGATTCAAGTTGCCGAAGTTGACCAACAATTGTCCTAATTTTCTCACTTTTTATTACAGCTTTTGCTGCACTTCTGAATGCACTGAAAAAAATGGTGAAAACAATACCCGCTGAACTGTGTTTGTTTTCATAACTCCAGCATGCACACATCACCTCTCACCTCACATCTCATATATCTTTCCCCCTGAGTCCTTCATAGTCTGAAAGCCCCTGACCCAAACACACAGTCCATCCTTCTTCCCTTTTCTATCAACACGACCTCTGAGCTGCCACCCACACACGCGCACATGCTCACACAAACACCTTTCTGTGACACTATAATCATTCACTGGCACTTTGCATTACAAAAACTACAACCAGATTCTGTCGCACACCGAAGCATAATCAGCTTTTCTCATTCAGATCCAGATCTTTAGTCTGACTCCCATCGCGCCCCCCTCTCCCTCGTCCCTCCTCTCCCTGAGATGACTCACCAGCGGTGGGCATGGCGGTGCTGGAGCCCCTGCTGTCACTCAAGAGCTCCAGAGGCTGGTGGTGGCTGTCTGTGCTGGTGGATGAAAAACAGGACTCAGTCTCATAGATGGTCTGCAACATGGTGCACAATCCTGACACCGGGGGATGTAACAGCATGCCAAGACGAGAGGCAGCACTCTTGTTTTGTAACAAGAACAGCCGTCAGTTCCTCTCCAAAGACATGTTCACGGCCAAGTTTAGGATTCAAGCTGCCTAAGACGAGGGGGATTGAGACACTGATGAGCGCTGTCAGAAATGTTAAATCATCCTGATATGAGTTCAAAAAATGCTCACTGCAAAACTGAAAACTTGAAGAGTGAAGTCCTGCTTCTACAGCGCAAGTGCGATCATCCTAAATATATCGTAAGCCCCCAGGAAGTCCTTTAAAAATGCAAGAGAGAACTCCCCCGTTCTTTTATTATGTAATCCAACAAAGGTGTCCCGTTCTGGATGCAGATTTTTGCAGGTAGACGCTGCCTCCTTGAGTGTCCGCTGCCGCTTCACTTTGTGCCGTTGTCCAGTTCCTGACTCTGGAAAAAAATCCTCTTTTTTATGCTGTTACCTTTGTCACAGGTCCCAGATTTCCCTCCTCTGTTTGTCCCCAGAAATGATTCAAACAACAAATAGAGGATGAGCAGCTTCCAGAGTCAAATGTAGCAAAAAAAATGAAGATAGTAAGAGCTTGAAATCTGACTTTCTGGTCTGTCAGTTGTGTTAAAATCACCTGGAGTCCTGGTCCATGCAGGACACCTAGCAGGCAAACGAAACTCGCACGATGCAGACAGAAGAAAGTTTGTCTCTGCTGCATGAAACCCTTAATGAGTGTGAATCATGCAAAAAAAACCAAGATCAGAATCTTGTTTTCCTGCGTGTCCCGTAAGCCGAGAAGTGATGGAGAGGATCTGTTTGAGAGCAGACCTGCTGCAGCCTCTTCACCGCGTCCCGCAGCTAATAACACGTCAAAAATATCGAAATGAGGAGAAGCTAAAACCCCCCTGCTCGGTGCATCAAAGGCTCCTCATGCTGTTCTCCTCCTGGACGACGAGAGGGAGACGAGAAGAGGAGGAGGAGGAGGAGGAAGAGGAGGAGGAGGAGGAGAGGGTAGGACGTAAATAGCTTTGGGAGAGCGCTCCCCGAGGTTCCATGCTTCCAAAATTAGAACGAAGCGCTGAGAGAATGACAGAGAAAGAGACAGAAAGAGAGAGGGCGAGGGAGGGACTGGGAAAGAAAGGGAGAGAGCGGTGGGTAGGATAGAAAAAAAAGAAATGTTGAGGAGAGGAAGACGAGTTAGGATCCTCCTCGAGAAATGAGCAGCAGGAGATCACACGCTGCCCTCTTCTCCCCTCGCTTGAAAACACACAAATAGACAAAAGCGGCTGCAGAGTGACGCTTTGTACAGCGAGCAGAAACAGCTGCTGGTCAGACGGCTAATATTCTCTGTCTGAGAGTCCTTGGTGCGCGTGTGTGTATGTGTGTGTGTGTTAGTGTGTGTGTGAATGAAGGCTTAGAGAGAGAGGAGACAGAGGGAGGAGGGTGAGAAAAGAGAGGGAGGCTGAAAGTGGATCACTGGGTGGAAAAGAAGTTAGACGGATGGAGGGAGAAACGACAACAGCTTATTTCATTTCACAACATACTGAGGAGAAAAGAGGAGGCGGAAGAGGAGAAGAAGTCCTTCATCTTCTGCCCTCCATTCACCTTCATTCGTTCTCTCCGTGCTGCATGTTTCTGGAGTCAGATCGGCCGACTGTTTAAAAGATTAAAGAAGAGGCAGGGGGGAGAGGAGCGAGGAGAGGGGAGGCATTTACTAACACAGGAGATTGGGGGTTGATGGAGGGACTATAGCTGAAAATAGCCTGCCAGGGAGGAGGAGGAGCTACGGATAAAAATAGACGGACAGGGAGAGAGAGAGAGAGAGCGAGAGAGAGAGAGAGAGAGAGAGAGAGAGAGAAAAGAGAGCAGTAAGCCTACAGAGCTCGGGTGGGGTGGGGTGGAGAGGAGGAGGGGGAGGCGCTCAGTGCTGTCATGTTTCTGCACCGCACTGCCCGGAGATCACCTGTCAATCAAATCGAGTGTGGGCGGGACCTTAACCTCTTCCTTCCTGTTTTATGTTTGGACATGGAGACAGTCCAAGTCCTGACAGTCGTAACAACTTATACAACATCTTAACACAGGGATGGATTCAGTGATACTCTCAAGTGCTTCCTTCATCACCACAGAGTCTAAGATTTTACAATTCAAGCAAAACATGTCAACATTTACATGATGGATTGCACCAAATTTTGTACAAACATCCAGCTCTCACAGAGTATGAATGCTGATTTTGAATGCAACCATTAAGGTTTTATTCAACCAAGGAAGTGTATTGATTTTTTCAGTATACGGCAGTCCACAGCCGACCTGCAAACCTGACTTGACTACAAGTTTCAATATGCAGTCAGGGGTTTTCTTTAAACTGCTTTAACCCTAGAGGTCTTTGCTGATGTTCTCCCTTCCTTGGGTTATCATGTTTCAGCATAAAGTGAAGGGTAGTTAGCTCTTCCCATTTAAGGTCCTTTTTTGTTTTTGCCATGTCTTTTTTCAACAGTGTCACATGCATGACCACTGACACCTGCTCTGTTCTGTTCCTTGGGGGGGCTGTGCTGCTGCTCTCCCTGCCTTGGCTTTCATGCACATTAAATGGGAAAGACATGATTTCCCCACTTCAGCTCTTTCTTTTTATTCTGTGCCTTATATAACTGGTATCATATTTTTTACTGATGCCTGCTCTGTTCTGTACTCTGTGAATATTTGCTGCTGCTCTCCCTGGCTGGATTTTTCATGTTTGCACATAAAACAGAGGTTGCATTCTTACTAATGCTGCCCTGTTCTGTGTCCAGGGAGTCTTTGCTAGTGCTTTTTCTGCCATTATTCTTCATTCAGCACATAAAATAGAAAGAAGGGTTACTTTTCCAACATCTCCTTTTTATACTACATCTTTATTTGCTCATGTCATATGTATTGTGACAAATGTCTATTCTGTTTTATATCCCTGGGATCTTTGCTGCTGCTCCCTCTGCCTTAGTTTTCCATGTTTGCACATAAAATAGAGGAAGGTGTGCACTGCCTACCAGTTTTCTTCTGATGCACTGTCTAAATCTCACAGTGTCTATGAAAAGTCTTTGCTGCTGCTCTCTCTGCCTTTTCATGTATACACATAAAATGAAAAGCTCCTAATTTTTATGCTGTGCCTTGCTACTGATGTCTGTTACCAGTGTTTTTGCTGCTGCCCTACCTACCTTGGCTTTTCATGTTTGCACATGAAATGTAGGGGAGGTGTGCTCTTGTTGCCTTAGGATTTGGCATTCCACATGTAGAAGACCAGAGAGCTCAAAAAACAGACTAATACCGCCAAATGTTCTATATAGTATAGCAAGAAAAAATTCAGGTTAGTCAGGACCACAAAGAGTGATCCTGAGTGAACTGAAAAATTCCCCTCTCCAACAGTGGCAACATTTAAATTGAGGCTGTTATTGTATCATGTAACTTATTTACATGATCAGACATTAGAAGTTGCCATCTAATCCAATGCCAGGCTTGCAATAACCTTGATGAATAATGTGATATCAAATTTGTGACAAGCAACTGAAATTTCAGTGAACATGAGCTAAACCAATCCAAAGTGTCTTTAGTCTAGGTGCTGTTTTGTTTTACACATTCATAAGTTTGCAACATATTTTTCCTGAACCCAAGTTCATCTAAAGAGTAGCTGTTTTCATCACAAATGAACCTGAGGATAGCTGATGGCTGGCTTAAGCTTTGTTGGACTTCATTAAAATGGCATAATGCCATACAGTTGCCATCTAACATGTAAGATGTACATGCAGAGTGAGAAAACATTGATTGCATACATTAAATAATTTCCAATTGCAGCAAATGTAGATTTTTGCAACTTATTAATTGCAAATAAATTGCAATTTGTTGTGTAACATAGCTTGTATTTACCAGCTGAGTTTTAAAGGTGTGGAAAATGGCTGTATTCATCTAAAAAGCTGCACTGCTGACTTTGTCACTTTGCAGTCAGTGTGGGTATCATTAATTGAAAGTGAAGTTGTCTATTTTTAGTATTTGTTTGCGCCAGCTCTAATCTGGTTTATGGTTTAAAGAATGAGTTACAGTGTTGTTATGGGATGTCAGTGACTGTGGGAGTATCTTGGATTAAAATGCAGCTTTATACAAAAAGATTATAACACACAAAAATAACACAAAAATATCTTGAATGGCTGCAGTTAAACGTGTGAATTGACGCACTGGGGATGATTTAGGCTCTTGAGCATTCATTAGCTCCTCATCTCTGGGCTGATGACAGTTTCCTCTTCAGAAATGATAATATTTTATTGAATCATCTTATCATCACCTTCATCCCACCTCCTCCTCGTCACCTTCATCGCCCTCATCATCCTCACCTCCTGTGTAAACAGCTCTGTTTGTCCTCAAGCACATTTAAGGCCGCCTCAGAATGACTCACAGCTACAGAGACTAAATACATAGAAAGAAAAGGAAAGGTAAAAATACTCTGAGAGCTCATTTGTGATGTGGTGTGTTGTGTTCCTGCTGCAGCTCCTCTATCTTCCTGCTCTGCTGTTACATTTTTAACATTTTATTCTCTTATCCACCATCGTCCTTTCAAACCACTTTGGCAGACAGATGGAGAAGGATGCGAGTGACCAGACAACATGTCTGACATCGAAGTGCTCTCACATACTAAACACATCTGCTAAAGGTGCGTGTGTGTGTGTGTGTGTATGTGTATGTGTGTGTGTGTGTGTGTGAGTGTGTGTGTATGTGTGTGTGTACTGCAGCAGCTCAGCCGATGACTCATCTCTGCGTTTCTATTTGAGGCGCATGAACCCCTGGAGTCACACTGCTGTCTGTGCGTCTGTGTGTGTATATACGTATATGTGTGTGTGTGATGTACTATATCTGTATCCATGACAACCAAATTACAGCCAGTCAGTCAACCACTCACTCAGTCTGAGACAAAGGTGTCAAAAATACCTGAGGAATCCTTAAAGGTGTCTACAGGTTTTATCATCAACCTGCCTGTGAGTTCTCATGTAAAAGTCTGTAATCTGATTGGACGAGAGGAACTCCATGAGTGCTGACAGAACTGCCAGATTATGACCAAAACAATAACCATGAATATTTTGTAACTTTGGGATACTTTTTCTTTGTTTCTGATAATTCATCTTAAAAAACATATACTTGTCACCTGGTATTTTTGGCCAACACCAGTTTAAAACATTTGGTCAAATATGGCGTCAAAGTTGAACTTTTATAAGAACTTTGACTTATTTTCAATCAAAATGAAGTAAAGCACCAAACTTCAACAAGCAGTGTTTTCACAGTGTTGTATGTACTGAAAAGTAAATCATCAAAGCTTGCAAACATTTTATCACCCAACAGTTACAGATTGACCCTAGCATTGACCCTCCTAAAGCTGCATTATCTTTTCTAAATGATAAACGCAGCAATGATATATAAGATACAGCTATTTAATATTGTGTCTGACATAAATATCAGTCATGTTCTGAAAACCAATGAACATTCCAATAGATGGGTTTCTTGTGTACAAAATACTAGGTGTGCGCGCAACCAGGGGGCAAAAGCCTGCGTCAGAGTGAACTGATATCAATGAAGATACTGCATTGTTTGCACACAATTGCAATACAATGTCATTTCATTGAATTTTTTTTCATTGCATCACAAATTAAAAAAAAAAACACTTGCTGAAATGTCCATGAATTTCACTCAGCTTACCAGGTTGTGACGTTGTTTTGGATGTTTCTAATATCAGGAGCAGGGTCGCAATGTTAGTGAATGCTAACAAAGTAAAAATGTTTACGACGATTTACAGCACAACAGCTTCTTGTCATTTTCTTTCTCCGTTGACTCTGCTAGTAAACAAATACGAAATGTCCTGCTTTCTGCCCCCTGGCTGCTTGCGCATACCTGTGATGACGTTGCACAGAAACCTGTCTATAGAATGTATTTACACATGACTTTCTTCTTCTTATTTAATCCAAATATTTATTTTTTTTCTTTTCAAGACCTAAATGGTTGAACTGAAATACTTAGACACCATTTCCCTTTAACCTGCTGCTGCTGGATCATTCACACACATTCACAACTAAATGGTAAAACTCAGAGGAAACAATAAATTATCAGTGATCGATTTAGTTGGAATATTGCTGCTATGATTTTGCAGTGTTCGCTCTGTCCTCTACTTTACTAACACACACACACCTGATCCTTCTGTTCTCAGTCTGCTTCCAGAGCAGGACAGATGTTCAGCCTACGTTGGTTACCAACCCAGATACAAATGAATCCCTTTACAGTTCTGAAAAGTTGCTGTTAACCCTGTAGTTACCCTCATCACCCAAAGTCCTGCTTCTTAGTAAAGGCTTCTGCTCATAGCTCTTTCAGCAGCTTGTGGCTGATCACGGAGGCACAGTGAAGTACAAGCACAGCATGGTGTGTGAATTCAAACAGTCGAAAAGGCTCACTGCTGGTCTTTGAAAAGCATTAGCTTGAGGTCAAGCTGAACACGATCACCCTCAAAGCCTCAAAAAGAAAAAATATATATTTACACAGAAGTCCCTTCAAATGCACTCTGACTGCCAGTTACTATTAGCACCACTTTTCTCTCTTATCACATCTCTCTTTGCTTCATTCAAATCCAGTAATATTTTCAACTCAGAAAATCTAACCATTTCAGTTAACCTTGTGTGCAAGCTAAGAAACAAACAAACTACCTGTTAGATGTTAATTACTGCAAACAATTACATCTCCAGATCTGCAACAGGCTCTTTCACAATCAGGTTCCTTTAAAACTGACCAAGCGCAAAATAATCAACACAATTAATGCTCGGAAAAAGAACTAGTCTCCCAAGTCTGATATCAACACCAGCCACCCAGTCAGACGCCATCTTTCATTCTTGTTTCTCCAGCATGACCCACAGCAGATTTAAAAGAGACTTACCTGAAGTGTGTGATGAATTCATGAACCTGGATTTCCCTCCTCAGTCCCTTTCTTGTGCCTGTATATATGTTAAAGTGGGTCCTCGGAGTCAGCCATGTGTCAGAGGACAGACGGTGGACGGACAAAGAAGGGGGTCAGTTGTCTTTTCAATCTTCCTGCAAAAGAGGAAAAATAAATCTGTTCAGTGACTTACCCACAGCTGTTCAAATGAAAGATGAAATTAAGATTTAGACAGAGGATTTTAACTGAATACACTACATACAATACCATTGTATACATATATAGACTTAATTTTCTTTCTTTTTAGACATATTCTATTTTCATTCAATAACAAGTTGGCTGTTCCCTCATCGCACCACAGGACCGTTCCGGTCTTCCAAACAAATCACCAGCACTTCTGGATCATGTTTGTACTGCGCACGTGTCCTCTTTGCACGATACAGTTTTTGACCTGCATTTGACCTACAACTACAAACCTTGTTCATGGACAATCATTTTTAGGGCAGTTTCTGACTCACTTTTCTGTGTTTCTTGGATTTGAACAGTGAGCATGCCGCTGTTTTTTACAGTTTTTGAAAAATAAGGGGTTGGCATCCTTGGCGAAGGCCGCTTACGGGATAATGTTTGCTGCTGCAAAACTAGCGGATATTCCCCACCACCTTGGATGCCCTTTTTGCCCACAGACTTCTCCGACTCAAAAGTCAAATTTAGCCATGCTGTCTGTGAGAAAGCACGTCAACAAATGTTATTCCTTTAATATGACTTTAACCCATGCAGTGACTTCCACTCCCGAGTCATGTCTGTATTTAATTCAGTGTCACCTGTGAGTCTAAATACATTGACATCCAGTATTGGTTTTGGTACCTTTTGTACAGAGATTTCTCCAGATTCTCTGAATTATGCAGTGTACTGTAGATGTTGAGACCCTCAAAATTCAGAGAACTCTACTCTGACATAGTTAAAACATTTGCTCCCAGGGTATCTTACAGAGTGGTAAACCTCTTCCCGTTAACTTCACAGAGATTTTGCCTCTCTAAAATGCCTTTTTATACGAGGTCATGGTACTTACATGTTGCAAATTCACCTCATCAGTCTTGAGATGCTCCTTCAGGGTTTTTGTTAAGCATTACACAACTATCCCAGTGTTTCCAGAATCAGAACCAGATTTTCTAATCGTATCACCCCTGAGAATTGATTAAGTATTACAGATTCAGATTCTTTAATGACATTTAAACGATCAAAATATCTTTTTATATTGAAATGTTTCTTGGAACTGGGTTCATGTATTGTTCTCACTAATCAGGTTTAACCCAGACAGTTTAAGTTCACATGATAGCTGCAGGAGCTCAAATTCTGGCTTTATGAAGCTTCGTTTGCACAACTATTTGCACAATTCACACATCCAGTTTGTCTAAACCTCTATTTTTAAATTTTCATTCGTCCTTATGTTTACATCTTAACATTTAGTATCCCAACTCTTCCTGATAGTATTGAACTAAATTCAATAAAAACCGGTGTGTCACTGGTTGAGTTGTCTGTATACTTCCTGGTTGTTCAATGTACTGAATGAACTCAGTGTTAAAACAGGAATCACACCACATTTAGAGAGCAAGCTGCACTCAGCTTACTGCTTACTGTAGCTGCCCTGTCCTTTGGCGCCATCCACTGGTCCAGTTCAGTACAGTACAATTTACTGTACACACATTGAGCAAGAAAGTGCTTTTATAGTTAATATTTGGTTGTGTATTATCAAAAACAACGTTAACTTTTTTTTATTTTGGTGGAAGCATTTGATTATTTTCAACTTTGGTCCTTCATAAAAATTGACCCCGTGGCCTACATGTCACCGCCTCCTGCTTCCTGATTGTGTGTGTTGTAGATGAGGCTCAGGCTGCTTATCCCTAATGTGATTTAAAGGAGCATGTTAAGTTTCCATTTCGCTCTACTTGTACTTATAAAATCACACACTTTTTCCTGACTGCACACGCATCATTCTTCGTCACCATCCTCATTATCATTATGTCAACTTAACCTACTGATAACTGTCCTTAAACTGTTATTTAAAGGGTCTACATTTGTTTTTCATTTCATTGTAATACCCTTATATACTTTATATAAGTTTAGCCAAAGACCCCTTATTACAGCATTTAATATATTTGGATATTTACAGTGTTTTTACAGTTTTTTATAAAATGTTATGGTATCAAATGACCTCTGAAAACAGAAAAAAACTGTTGATATTAAGTAACATTAAAGCTTGTTCTCGTGTACTGTAACTTTACGAATACACACAACCTACAGGCTATTTTTCAATGAAGAGATGGATTCCCTGTTACATATAGAATTAAGAGCAGAACAGCTCTGCCATTAACATCCAAGTACAACATATAATTGGTTGTTTTTTTATTTGGCACTTTAAAGGCAAAAATAGATAGCTATGAGATGAAATAGAGTATAACTGACCTTTTCTTTTAACAAATCCAACAGTCACCCTCTTAATATTCTCTCCCCTTAATTAAAGTCAAATCCTCTTTATTTGTCTGTTTTGTTTACATTTTAGCTTTCAAATCAGGTTTTTAGAGACCAAATTTAGGGTCTTGGTTGCTGTAAAAATGATGCCAAAATATAATATTGAAATAAATTAATACACTTCCCAAATCTCTTTAAACATTTCCTAGATTAAGGCACCAGATGATGTTGTCTTTTAGGTACCAACATGTGTTAGAGATGAAGTTCATTTATTTAAGATAAGATAGGAAAAACTTTATTTGTCCCCGAGGGAAAATTTAATAATTTATTCTGTTGTGGATTGTAACACATACAATCACATTTAAAAGTTTTTTTTGGACAATATTCCATTTGTTTTAATAAGTTATTATAATTATCTCAAATCACCACAATTTCCTTTACCTTGGGTTCAAATTTTGGACCATTTTGATTATACACGCTCTTGAAATTTAACCTGTGCGACCTAAAAATGTATTTGAGAGCATTTGTGCGGATACGGTTAGTTGTACAAGTGCAACGTTTTTCCTTATTCCTCAGTGAAGCGATCAGTAATTGTGTTTCGATTAGAAATGGCTGCAGTGGTATGATGTCAGTCAAAAGTGAACGCTCCACTTGCTTCATTTCACCAGTGAACAGAAAGGGTGGGGGAAAAGATGAGGAAAATCGAATGTTGGTGAAAATGTAACCCTTGAGGAAGGTGATGTTGATTGTGAAGGTTGAAGCACAAGCAGCAAAAATGGCTCATAGTTATCAGAGAGAGAGAGAGAGAGAGAGAGAGAGAGAGAGAGAGAGAGAGAGAGAGAGAGTGAATGGCTCTTCTGTGAAACACTGTGTAACACTGTAGAATACTGCAGCTGTGGTGCTCCTTCATTTTTCAATTTAATTTAAACAACTTCATTTTTCCCAGAAGGACAATGCTGTTTTGCAGCCTCCGATACAAACAATAAAACAAACCTTAGGCATGATCAACAGTAGCATTCAGATGTTGCTGTTGCTCTTTTTGAACACCAAGTAAAAACCTTAACTTAAAACCCTGTTAATTCCTTGGATAAATCATCTCTTTTTGGATAACATGGGAGAAAGTGCCTGAACTTGGCCTGCCCGCTCAGAGGACTACGGCCTCTACACATGAGGTGGGGAACTTAGCAACTAAGTAATACTGGCACCCCGACTCATCCCACTTTAAGCAAAGTAGAAAAGCTTGTGTTGATTTTAACAAAGTTTGAGTAACCGTCGAGCTGATTGATATCACGGTGCATTAGCTGTAGACGCTGCTTTGTAGATTTCAGTCAAAAACTGAACGGTTTAATTTATAATTCAATGTGCAAATTTAAAAAGAAAAAGCCAAAAGTGGATTGAAGATTAAGATCCAGCTGAATGGTTAGTCTGGGTCTATCCGGTCGCTCTATTTCTGTCTTTTGTTCAGTATGTGGTTCTTCAAGTCCGCTTACTCGAGGAAGTGGAAGTCCGTGTCATTACAGCGACTCAGCAGGGTGCCGATGTAACAGTGTCAGGGCCGAGATAATGGGATGAAGAGCTGTAAGAGAGGGCATGACTCTGAGTGTGTGCATGTGTGTGTGTGTGTGCTTACAGAGCTAACTAGCTGTGGCAGACTAACCTGCTGGCCAACTATTCCATTACCCTAATGACATGCAGATCAACACACACAGGAGAAGAGAGAGAGAGAGAGAGAGGGGAGGAGGAGAGAAAGGGAAGAAAAAGAAGACACAAAGGGAGAAAAACACGGAAAAATAATTAAAAAGACAAAGTTAGAAAGAAGGGAAGAAAGAAAAATAAACAAGACAGAGGACAAGAAGGAAAAAAAGACCAAAGTAATGGAGAAGAAAGAAAGAAAAGAAAAAAAAGGAAAGGACAAACACAACAAGTTAAAAAAGTTGGTAAAGGAAGACAAGATGGAAGGAAATAAAAGAAGTGATGAATAAGGAAAAGTAATAAAGGATAAAAGAAAGGGAAAAATGAAGGTGGGTTGAAGGAAGGACATGATAAAGGAAGGAAAGACAGGGAATAATCAAAGGGGAAAAAACGCACAGGAGAAGAAGTAAGGGAAAAAGAAAGAACAACAAAAAAGGAGGGCATGAAAGAACGAGTGAAAGTAAAGAAACAAGAATGTAAGAAATGAATGACAGGGGGAAGTATTTATATAAGGATTAAGATACGAAAAACAGAAGAAGGGATGAACAAAACTAAGTAAGGTCAAAATGAAGGTAATAAAAAAAAGAGGGAAAAAGACATTGGGAGAAAGGGCATCAGAAAAAAGAAAGAGAAAAAAGAAAAAGAAAGAAAAGGGCAAGACAGACAAAACAGACAAAGAACAAAATAGACAAGAAAAACAATGAAGAAAGAAATTACAGACAAGTAAGAAAGACAAAAAAAGGAGAAAGAAAAAAGACAAAAGGAAAGACAGCCATAAGGAAAAAATCAGTAAAAAAAAGGAAAATGAAGTAGAATGAAACAGAAGAAAAAAAGAAAGAAAAGAGACAGACATACAGAGAAAAAGGAAAAAGAGAAAGGATAAAGGAGGAGAAATGCAAGAAGAGAAATAAAGACATAAGAAAGGCAAGAAAAAAGAGGATTCAAAAGAAGAAAGACACAAATGCCAAAATGTGTGCTGACACTTCAACCACACGTCATCAGATAGTTTTCATGAAGGTCAAAACACTGAAGGAGGTGATACTGAGCTATTTTCCTCTGTCTGATTATATGAGTCTTAATAGCTGTAACATTTTTGACTGGTGCGTTTCAGGTTATTAGAGTCTGAACCAAATCCTCTACTCCTTAAAAAACACACCTTCTTCCATCATTGTGACACTGAGAAGTTTGCTGCGCTGACATGGTCATGTCCTTTACCGAGACTCTGGGACCTCAGTCTTTTTACTACATACAACAGGCAAGAAGAGGTCTGGATGAACAGCCCAGAAGAGTTTTTTCACATTAGGACTCTGAAACCTTCCTAAATCTGAAAACGGTTTTAAAACAGCTGACTTTCTTTGGAGTTTCCACCACAAAGTTAAGAGGATTTTCTTGAAATCTTGACATGATACATACACCTCCCTGTCAGATTGCTATTTTCTGCCATCTCTCGTGCACATGCGTGGTTTTGTGAGTTTTAGGTTGTTTCATAGCTGTCACAAATTGTAAAAACTATACAGTGTGTATCGTACTGGGGCCCTAAAAAAGGAAAATCCTATTAGAAAGCAGACTTAAACAAGCTAACACTGGATAATGTGTCTTAATGTTTGTAAAGCATCAAGAAATCTAAATCTCTCTCTCTCTAGCTCTCTCACCTCCTCCTCCTCCTCCTCTTCACACCATCATTTCCTAAAATACCTGGCCCCTCCCATTCTGGAGAGGAGTCGGAAGTGCTGCCTGGCAACCAGGGAGCTGGCTGCCGTGGAAACAGTTCACCTGAACACCTCTTCCCTAAACAAACAGCAAACAGGAGCGGGTGAGCGAACAGGATATAGAGAGCGAGTGGAAGCCAGTCTCTCACCCTGTTTGTTTATAGTCTGCTTAACTTGATTGCTACATGCACACACACACACACACACACTGATATATAACCACGACTATTTACCTCACCAGTCCTCTTTCTCTTTAATTGTCCCATTCCCTCTCTACTCTTCTTTCTCTTCTGTTGTCCGGACAGGCCAAAGAAACAGACACACACACATACTGAGTATCTGTCCTTCTAGAAAGGAGGGCTGTGTGTGTAGTTGCTGTGATCAGTCACAGGAGTAACGTCAGGTAGTGAAGGTCAGAGACTCATAAAGTCAAACTGTCACTAGGTGGAGATGTTATCCTGCCATTTTTCCCTCTTAGCACAAAACACAGACTGTAGAAAAGATGGACAACGTGACGGCTCTGACTGTGAAACCAAAGCATTTGCTTCCCCTGCTGACTGGCTGCAACAGAGCCTGACTCCTCCATGTTGACAGATGGGACATAAGTAGAACTATAAAATCACATAACATTTTTTTTTTCTCTCAAAGATGGATTCTGTCATGATTAGGGCTGGGCGATAAACCGAAAATTTACCAATACCGAAATTTTCAACGATAACCAACGTCATTTTGCCCATGTCAATATATTTGATGTCAAAAAAAAAATAAATAAAAGTTGGTTTTTGATGTGTGTAGGTAGGCTATGGTCTCATGTCCCTTTGAGACGCTGTACTAAATCAGAGACATGACTCCACCTCATCCAGTCTGTAACAAAGATGGAAAGACAGGTCAGGAGATGGAGGACAGTTCAAAAGATGTAGCGGCTGGAGCAGTAGCTGAAGTAGACAAAATTAACGTGGGAGTGGGTTAGCAGCTTGTGGAGTAGTTATCGTCCATTTATCGTTATCGGGGTGACCTGCTCGATATATCGTGATATTGATTTGAGGCCTTATCGCCAAGCCCTAGTCATGATACTTAGTTCCTATCATAATAATTTGTGTCTTTGTTAACTAGTTATTTGATGCTATAATAGGGTATGTAACACCATGACTGACAGCTCTGTTGAGGAGTTTTGGTTTGTCTTTACAGTTATACTTCAGTTACTTTTGACACTATCTTCCAACTTAGCATGGGGTTTTGCAGGAACATGTGCATCCCAAAAACACCTCAGCATGCCCAGTAACATCATTCTGTTCAGATCAACCAAGGCAGGAAGTCAGATGGGAACAGCATCAACCAGCACCAGCTACTACTGATTATTTCAAAAAGGCATGAATCATCAGCCCACTTGATAGACCTGAACCATTAATAGGTCTATTAAAACAGCCACATACCCATTATCCACGTTGACTACCACAGGACTTTTAGCGATCTACTTTTTCTGTCACTAACAGCACAATAACTATAATCTTTAAACGCAGTTATACCTGTAAGAAAGAGTCTTGATTTGTTTTAAGCACTCATTCATAGTAGAAGCACAAAAGCCACAAAATAATATTCAAAAGAAACAGAAATTGTATCACCTCAAAACTCCAACATGATTTTGTGAAGATCTTGCAAGTCAAATTGCTCCAGGCTGCATCTTCTCACTGTGCACCAAAACATGCTTCCCATGGCGCTGTGGCATTAATATTTGTGACACACTTGCTACCTGGCACCAGGAACTGGCATGTAGACAAGCTATTGCATTGATTTTATACTTCAACCCCCCAAAAGTAAAAGGGGTTTAAGGTAGACTAACACATAAGAACTACAAGGAACATCAATGTGGTGCCTGCAGACAAGACAAAGTTGCCCCAGATGGATGGCCAGAGTTCGATTGCTACTTGCAGTTGCTTTTCCAAACGCCACTTCCCCACCCCTGTCACATTTCCTGCTCTGTCCACTATCCTATCCTTCCACATAAAGAACATAACAAAGCCAAAACTAATACAGCTTTTTGCTGCTGATGCAGGAAGCAGCTTAGATTTTTGACCTTCTGCTCGCTGGAATTCTTCAAAGTTCAGTTTTTTAGTTCCTTGATACAAGTGGAGCACCTTGAAACAAGCCAAGGCAAGCACTCACAGTTATTTATTTGCCAAAGCTCAGCGTATTATGAACCAAACCATTATCAACCAAACACTCAGCTACACAAATGCTTCCTTTACAGGCAGAAACCTCAAACAGGACCACACACAACTAGTGAAAAGCCATCAACTGCAACTGGACAGACCAAGAAAATGAGGTGTTTTTCAGCAACTCACTTTGAGTTAACCCAACTTTTATGAAACCGAAAAGACAATACAACAGAGCAGATCTCATATAAAGAATGGACACTAGAGGTAAAAGTTAGCAGCATGGCCCTTAAAGCTCTTACGTAACTAATGGAGTGACCTCTGAACTTGAGAGCTTTAGGGGGGAAAAACAACAACCAGTTTATGATAGAGCTGCAAATCCCTCTCCACCACCATCCAACCAGACGCTCAGCAGCTGGTGTGATGTGGGGGTCAAACCCTTCAGGGAGGACGGAGCGTGGACGTGTTAACACAGCCAGAAACAGTTGTAAAATCTGCACTGATGTTAGCTCCATATTTGTGTTTCCAAGTTACATATCACAAGTTTTTGCAGCCAGACTTTTTTTTTCTTTCATTGTTAAAGCGGACCAAAATAAAGAACTAAAACTGAGTAGATGTTTCATACAGGGTCACTGAATACAAAAGCTTTGGACTAACAATAGATATGAGTTGTGAAGGAAAAAGAACAAATCAGCAGAGATATTTTGATGCTGATAATGAGCTAATTCAAACAAGTTTTCTAGAAACTGTAAAAGAAAATGCACAATATGTATGTTTCTATCTCTAACCTATGTGTTTACACCAGACAAGGTATGCAACTGTTGAGTATTTTCATGGTCCCCAAATTAATGATTGATAAAACAACCTATTGACCAATCAGAAAATGAATTGCATATTTATGCCTACTTAGTGGTCTTTATTTTATCACCTTTTAAATGTAAGATTACCCTCTTAACTGCATAACATTTTATGAAAAATCTCCATTCAACCTTTATCTTATCTCAGATTTAAATACAATTGATGGGGGTGTGAGACTGGAAATTTTGTTTTAATGTGCAGCATTGTTGTTATATTAAAATAATTAGAGTTTGCTCAACTATTAGGCTTTTAAAGGAGAGGGAAAAAGAGAGAGGAAGGTGAAAAAAAATATATTCTGGGTTTAGGGTTTCAAGGTGAGGCACTGAAAGTGTGCATCGGAGAAAAATCACATGAAGAGGCTTTAATTCTGAAAAAAGATGTCAAATCTGAATTCTAAGAACACTTGTTCATTACTGACATGCTCCTATGACGAGCGAATTCTACTTTACAAATTATGCAAGCATCCTTTTTTCTTTGCAGCTTTGAGGGTGAAACGCTCCTGGATGTTACGATGTGTAGGACTTGATGGTGTTGCATCAGCCACCACAATGCTTTGTTTATTTGTCACATCCACAAACTGTTTTGCATGTGCAACTCTTGGTATAAATAGTAAGGGTGAGAGATGGCTCACCAATCAGCAACTCTGCTCTGTAAGATGACATTAAGTGCACTCACAGCATGAAAAACACTCAGGATGAGGTAACCAGCCACTAATCGACAGTTCAATGTTTGTAATTAATTCAATTTTATCATCAAATTTTGTCAACAGTGCACCTCTATTTCAGGCCATGCTTACTCTTTACTCAAGTGGGCGATAGATAAAAAAGTTGGGCTACCTTGGATGTTGCATTTCATCTCAAACAAAAACATCTTTTTCATCACAACCAAACATCAATCAATTAATCAATCAATCAATCTTTATTGATGTAGCACCAATTTACTTCCCGTGTTATTCCAAGGCACTAAACAAAAAAAACTAGGCTAGACCAGACTCTATTTATAAAGACCTAACGTGAAAACGGTTTAAGATTCAGCCTAATTTTGTACGAACAGACCCACTCCCACCCCATCTTTAATGAAATGAGTGTAGCACTTTGGAGCACTTAGAGGAGTTTCCTTGTTCAATTCGAAATTTACAGAAAAAGAAATACACGGATGGAAAAACATCAACTGGCACTTTATGTTTACTGAGCTCCACGGGTGTATTGACAGTCATATGAGATACGGGGTGCCCAATATTAGAGGCATCAAATGTACATTTTGTAAATATTTTGAAGTGTTGGAAGCAAACAGCAGATGCATTTGTGAATGTCTTTTAAAGGTTTATCATTCATGGTAAAATTAAATGTTATTTGTCTTGTTTCTGAATTTAACAGGCTGGAAGCATAATCAGTGAATTCTAAAACAAGTGAAACTGCTTTTTTAATCATGAAAACAGTATCGATGTTCATGTAGGCCAAAATAAGTTTGAAGATATTGGCATGTCCGGTATCAGCAAAAATCTAATATTGTGCATTTTGTTATATGGTTTCAATCCAGGTACATGGATTCTTAATGGATCCCCCTCCAACAGAACTGCAACAAAAAATACATACATTTTTTCCATTTTTCCGAGTGATGGAAATTTAGAGAACGGAGAAGATTAATGCCTGGGTTGATAAGGTCTTATTTTAACTAGGATAGATCTTTCTACAAATAGAAATGTCCAAAATCTTCAGACAGATCAGCACATATAACAAAAATCTACCATTTTGGAGCAAAAACCAACATTTTAGAGTTTCCAAAGTAATTGGGTTTTATAATTTCTGTGCTAAGACCTCCTTTTTCTTCAGTTTTCATTTCTAGTCCAGCCAATGACATCAAATGTGAAAAAATGAGTTAAAGTAAAGAAGCCGTGACTCATTAGATGCACAAATGTGCAGTTGTTCTGATTTTAGATATCATAAAAAGGTGTCATTGTCTAGTGAGAGCTTGCGGGTTTCAAGGTTGCATAACAGTGTTTTAAGGTATTCACAAGGACTGATTTCTTGCATGGCTGCAGGAATGGCAATGAACAATACTACTGGGGTTACAAATAGAAACTTGAATTTTTCTGACACTCCATAACACCCGCCCTGGCTACACTGTTTATATGCAAATCAGGTTTACAAAGATCCCAAATGAACAGAGGCCTTAAGACAGAGATGTAACCTGTGCATAACTAACAGCTATCATGAGGTGAATTTCAGCTTCCAGCGGAGGTTTGGATTATTCCTGTGCATGTGTGGGAAACTAAATGTGTGGCCTCCATCTGCTATAGTAGCGGTATTAATAGTTATTTTCTCGTTGTGTCATGAACAAAAAAGGTGCACAGCCCACATGGCCTTACAAGACTCCACAAACAAAACAGATAGGAGCAGCAACCGAGAGGGAAAGAACAAACACACCTCCATTCATGTCAAACAATGACAAACCAAATGTGACCACAGTCATTGTACTTACACATCACTGACAAACACGGTAGCTCTGACACAGTAAACATAAAGCAACTTCCTGCTCTTTTAGGGCTCATCTAACACAAACAGAGACAGGTGAAACCTGCCTGCATAAACAGGTACTGAGGTCTGTCTTAAAGAACACATAATAAGTCAGGAGAATACATAGAAATCTTGCAGAGGAATTATCAAAGATTGTTATCACAGCCTTTAAGTGTTATTATCTATGTAAGCATTAAATACTCTTAGTTAAGAGTTGCTACGCCTGCAACAGGGATGCAGAGAAGAAATTTAATTTATACATAAATAAGATTTTGTTTTAGGACATGTAAACAGAATCAAAATCAGAAAAAAATTCATATTAATTTTCTGAGGACACAAGGACTGGGCTTAAAGACTAACATAGTAGTACATATATCACTAGGATGCCTTACCAATCTTTGGGAATGAACATCATAGAATTATTACAGCAGTAAATGAGGTGACAGCATTTTTGAAAAACAAAGGAGGTAAAGCCGACAGGAGGCAGTAGAAGCCAAACCACATGAATACAGTCCTGAAGCTGCAGCTTCTGGCTCTGCAGACACCTACAACTGGATGCTGCGCAAGTCTCAAATCAAAACAAACATGCATTGATGGAAAACTCTACCCATCACAAGCAAAACTGAAAGCAAAAGACATTGGAGCGTTTTTAGATTTGTGCAGAGACCAGGAGGTCAAAAGTTGGACAAGATATGACAAAATGAAGTAAAATACTGCAGCAACACAAAAAACCTCTGTCTACATGTGACAAGACTAGCCTGCTCACTCAGGGCCAGCTTGCACAGTCCCATCAAACACAGACCAGATTTTTAATCTGCATATCTTATTATTCTCTGGTTGGAAAAAGAATATTTTACTTTGCCTTTAAGATCTCTGTATCTAGTATTTTGTCAAGTGTGGTTAGTTTCAGAGTGCAGAAAGTATGGTATAAATAAATCATTCATTGGTTTTATACCATTTTCAAATGCCTTCTGGTTCTTGATCTATAATAAAATAAGTAAAATACATCTGTTGTAAGGTCAAATACTAAATTCTTTTTTAAACAATGCAGCACTTTATGCAGGCTTAACTCACTATTAAGTCCGCAAAGAAAACACTTTAAAGACAGTCAAAATAGGGCACAGCTTACTTAACACAGGATAACAAAGTATATGGGTAAACTATGCCAAATTGGTTTGTTGAATGTTGCTAACACCAGCAGAGCAAGCACCACCAGCCTTTGGTCCTTCTTGCAGGTCATCATTGACATGCCTCTTCTGGTTACACCTGGCCTAGACTGATTTGCCCGTTGATGTGCCAGCTTAATCAGGCACAGCCTACCCAGGTTTATCCCAATAATGAGCTCCAAGTAGTATCCTACTGACATACTAAATCATGGTTCAAGATCTGCGTTTATTTGTATCCTGGTAGTAGAGAATGAGTGCAGTACAGCAGGTGGCTATTAACTGCAGCTGAAGCTCCAACATATGGTGGGTCAGTGAGCTACATTTTAGCCCTTCACAAATGAAAATGATGAGAAATACAACAGTTCCACTGACCAGTAATTCTAGGACTGCCAAGTTTGACAAGATGTGACAAGAGTGAGACTTGAGCATTATATGTTCGGCAGCAAAAAAAAAAAATTGGCCTTTTTAATGTCGAATACCTCAAGACTGATGTTCTCACCTCCATGCCAAGCTGCTCTCCCTGCACCGTGGCCTCCTAATACTAGTCTTAACTAACCATAAAATAGAAAGTGGGTTTTAAATGTCGGTGCTGTTGTGTGTGAAAGATAGTCAGAGATGCCGAGCCCGGCATTACGTTGCTTCTGATTGGTTTATATTACGTGGTGCCTTTCGTGGTTGGTTAGATTTAGGCACAGAGGACTGATGGATTGGTTATCTTGGTCAGTCAATCAGAGTGACTCGAACTACAGCAAGCCAAGTTTGTTATCATGAAAATGATAAATACAGAGTATTGAATGGGGAGATATAAGTGGGAGAAATGTCAAGTGTGGCTTGTGGTGTGAGAATGGGTCAAACTGCATGACTGTCACACTCAAAGCATGATGCTTGGCAGCTCTGGGCTAACTAATGATAATTATGGCATTCAAACCTACAACCGTACTGCCAAGTGTCCCTGGTTAACTGTTAACTCATGTATGATAGTGAAAGTTTCAGTTTTACAACAATGGCTAAAAGCATTAAAACATTGTTGTGATAGAGTTTGCAATGAACCAAGTTCTAAATTATGACAGAACATCTTCATTTCTGTTGTTAACTATCAGTCATCAGTATTAGTATCAGTACTGGCCCCGATAAACCAACATTTGTTGACTTGTGAAATACACAGATCCCCACTGGCTGCATTTTATCATCTTAATTTGATCTTTTGGGATGTTTCATAACAGGACTGTCTAACAACTTCTCCCAGAATCACTATGAGCTGATATCATTATCAAGGCCCATGTATGGGATGTTCTGATATTCCCATCCCTAGCTTTGTAGGCTAGTCATTTGATTTGGTCGCACTGGCAGCCATTAGTAAGTCCAGAAGCCCCCAGTAACAGAGTTTTGAACAGTTTCTTGATTTAGCTTTGGGCTACTACCATAGACTGGCTTTCAAAGTTTTGTTTGACCAATGTTAACTTAGTTGTGCCTCAGCTAGCTGCTAGCTACCAAGTTAGCCCTGAGTTGTCAATAAAAAGTGGTACACATGTAATCACTGATACCTGAGGGCGGATAAAAGCTGTTCGCTGTTTAATATCTAAAGCTGTTGTGTCTATCACTTACTGTATGTCCTTTAGCTAGCTACAGTTGTAACAGTTCCCAAGTTAGCTACCATGTTAACTGTACAATACAGGGAAAGGCAGAGGCTCAGCAAGCACAACATTTGCCCTCTGCAACTAGACTTCATAAAAAAACCTTTAAGTGCATGTCAGTAAGTATGTCGTTATTGTACTGTCACGCACACACGTACACATGCACGCACACTGCCCCCCTAAACCGCACCGTACCGTGGATGTCGGCGGGTCCTCCTGGAACGCTTATTAGCGCAGAGGTCGCTTCCTCCCGGCTCAGTTTTCCGCCGAGGCTCGGTGTCCGCACAGCTCCACTGCGCTTTGCTTTCACTAGAAATACGAATAATTCAAGAAACAGGCCGTATCTCACCTCCTACCGCTCCACTTCCTCCGTATTTACAGCTTGCCTGTCTCCCTTCCTCTCTCTCTTTCTCCCTCTCTCACCCACCACCAACAACAACATTATTGACGTCCTCCTCATGCCACGTGACCAGTCTGCTGGGGCTAAAAATAGACTCAATAGAAACCGATGGAGGCAGACAGACATGGCTGAGATGGACAGGGAGGCAGACGCATACAGGACCCTATCAACTTTTATATGCTCACTTTAACGTGTTTTCTCATGTTTCCTCTCATAAACTCACTTCAACTTTGTAGTAAACGTCTCCCTCTGAAGTCCCACCGAGGATGGGAAGCTGAAATACTATAATGTTACACAGCTGTGTTTTGATAGTGTTGGCTGTATGGAGGCCCTGAGCAAACATGCTACCAAACATGTTTTACCACAGCGAGTTTCAGTTGTTTTCTTACAATCTTGACTTAATGTTTAGTCATTAAAAATCATAGCCCTCGAGTTACATAGTGCAACTAAAAACAAAGAACTTGGCTGAAAGGAGATCTGTAATGCAAAACTGCACAATGTAGATTGCATATGTCTCGAATTTTTTTCCTCAAGTGTTCTTTGAGTTGTGAGGGAAGTCTCAGTTATTTCTCTTTCCAAAGAAAAAAAACAAAACAGCAAAAACAGTGGGAAGTTTTTTATTTTTATTATTTGGGAACAATGGCCACAATGTATTTGTGTTTGCCACTCTAATGCTGCGTTCCAGTTGTACTCATTTTCCGACTCAGAAAGTCGAACGATCCTCGCCAGGTGGCAGCGCAGTGCATCAAAAGTAGAGAGTAACAGTGAAAGCTCTCGTAATGTACTATTTATTAGCACCTCTGTTTTGTTTTTGTGAAATTTAATAAGTGGTATATGTTGTGCCGCCAAACGTCTAACTGTGAACATGGCGCTGTGGTGTTTGTAGAGTAAAATACTGTGTTGTGCCTTGTTTACAACTGGTATCGCTGACAATAGCTGACAACCGCTCACGACTGACAACCGCTAACGACTGCTGGCAATTGTAAACAACAGCTAACAACGGGTAACTGTAGGCGTCCACCTTGTTTTTCTGACTTGTTTACTGGATCGCCCACAACTTGGGTGTGACGTCATTCCCAGCTCTGACATCCAACCTCCAAGGTAACTGGAACACAGCAAAATGATGGTATTAATTTAAGAAGAAAGACAAAAAAAACAGCCTCAACGAGCTTTGTTTGCTACAGGTTGCATAATGACTGCAGCTAATGTAACAACAGCTGATTGCTAATAGTTTTTATGGGGAACTAACCACTAGCCTCTGATATTTGTAGTTGTTAAATGACGACAGAGCTGTGTGAAAAGTTTTATCTTACTTTATGTCAGTGGAAAAGAAGCCAAAACAAAGTGTTGTAGACAGAGGCTGAATAGAGCTAAAATAAGTTATATTTCTCCCAGACAAGAGAATCTTATAAATGCGGCATTTGATGCAGCAAATAATGCAGAATTACTCTACAGGATTGCATGAAAAAAAAAAAAGTCTAAATTTTGAAAAGACAACTAAGATCTACTCATTATTGTTTGAAAACTATTATGTTATCACAAGAAAGCTCCTAAATGTTATCCAAGAACTGCTTGAGCACTTGAGTTGTTTATTTTTTCAAAGCTGGTCCCTGACCCTGACTAATAGTGTTGGCTTGGAAAATGTTATCTAGAAAGTGCTTTGATTGCTAGCCTTAGAATTGTCTAAAAGAAGCTCAGTAGTTGACAAATATGATACTTTACTGCCAATACTGCCAGATTGCCCAGTTGTTGACAGATTGTGGTTGAATGCTAATATTAGCTGTTGTGTTAAGGCTTCCAACAGCCTCCAGCTTTGATAACATTCGCCTGAAATAAATAATGAGTTAATGTACTACCTAGCTAACATAATGATAGCTAACAACATGCTCCCAGGTAGTGTTTGAATGCAAGCACTGGCTATTCTCTACAAGTAGCTTACAAACCGAATATACTGTTTTACTTTTTCCCTGGCCAAACTGCCCTTTAAAATTTACTCTTAAAATATCGTTTTGGCTCACCGTTTTAGCAAGTTAACCTGTGAGCATTGGTTTCCAGCTAATGTTATGAAAGCAAGGCATTAAAGCCTTTTGACTGTCACATAACTATCCAAAGTCAATGCTACAGCTTCTGGCTGTATCCCAGGCTTACAGGAATATTTTTCCATAACTGCAAGGAGAAGTACTATTGCTGGCTAAAGGGTTATCCGTTTGATCCATCTTTAAATATTGTCTGATATCCATTTATTTGTTTAGAGTCCTATGTCTTTCTCTAACCTCATTAATCAAGTCATTTCTTTACCATATAAAACTGTCAGGTAACCTTCATTTTAAAATTTAAAAACCCAGATTCCACGAACTCAACATTTTGGTTCCTCAAGATAAATGGTGAATGTTGAGAGTAAGTCCAAAGATGCAGATCTTGAGAGTTTAATACATTGTGGAAGTTTTACAGTAGGTTTCTTATTTGCTGCAATGAAAGGGCGCTACATGTCAACCAGTTTCTCAATGCAATGTGCAGTTTTTTAGTGCTACCAAACCCCAGATTAACTGTTATATTTAGACTAAACAGTCAATAATGAAACAGAAACAGTCAATCTAATACTGAAAGCAAGGCGATGAGACTTACATTAAAAGAAATGAGTCATTCACAACTAAACAGTAAATCTCGGAAGAAAAATAACTTACCATGAATCACTTTAGCTGGAGTTTGACTGCTACAGTGTGACTTCCTTTGAATATTCACTCAATATGCCCAGACTGGCACTGGTGGCCACATTTGAATAGTCTCATGTTGAAACCACCATCATGTCAGACAAGAATTTGCATACTTTTGTGAGTTATGTTTAAAAATAAGTCTTTGAAATACAAACACTAGCTTACACTATGCCTTGAGTTTTAAGGGTTATGTGAGAGTTGCCTTGGTAATCTGATCGTCATAATCACATTACATAATTGCAGTCCCTGCTAACTTAACAATGCTGTCTATCTTTGTCAAAATTTTTAAGAAGTCTATTAAAAAATGGTTGATTGGGATCATTATGATGTGTCGCTCCACAGGTAGCATTTCTATACTGATGTTCTGAACTCAACATTTAACATCTATTTCATGAATTAATTTAAAATAATGACTGGAAAATGAAACTTCTTTTTTCTTTTTATTATAACTTAATTATTTCCCTCATATGTTTTCTATTTAGAGAATTACAGATGTCTGGACAGTAATCCAAAAGTCCCCTGTGGAAATGTTTGCTGAGCTAAAAAGTTTACCCAAGTTTAGCAGTTTTGTTTCTCATTTGTTAGTATTTCTAGATTGTTTTAACAAATCAAATGTGAAAAACAAAACAACAGCAATGTGAAATCTGCATTACACTGATCAATGGCCTACCTGCTCTCTGACAATTGGCATCAGACTTTGGAAAACTTGTTGGTCCAGTTATACCACATGTTCCTTACAGTGTTAAATTTAACCTATTGTATAGATAGGAGGGAGGACATGATGTAAAAAGGTCACTGGATGGTCTCTGTATGATTTATCCAACAAGGCTGAAAAAGTAGAGTCTGATACTGTGTTAATAGGGTTTGTGTTTTGCAGCAATGCAGTTTAAATGGATGTATTTACAGCATCAACAAATGGTGGAAACATGCTGGCAAGCTGGAAAGAGTATAAAGTGGCATCAACATCATCGCCTCTGCCTACTAGCTCGCCCGACTTTTTGCCTACCCACAGATCACTTCGGCTGCAAGCAGAAATTTACTGGAGGGTTGGCAGAAATAAGTGCAACTTTCAGGTAATTCTAGATAGCTTGGTGCATGTTTTAAAACATGAGAGCCCTTCTTATTTTTTAGAAACCTGCAGGTATAGACGTTTTCATGAACCTTATCTGTGCTTTGTATTTGGGCAAATGACTGGCCTTTAGCTTGGTACAACATTTGGTTAAAATAGTGAATATGACAAACATTTGAACTTCAACACTTGTGCATATCAGGACTCTGACGTAAGCATTAGATTAATTGCACCACCTAATCTTTGTGTATCATTTCAGTGTTACTGTGTGTGGATAGACTGTTTATTTTGTCATATCGCAAGCTGCAACACTTTGATGAGCATATCTCTTAGCCTCCCTGCATGATCTCAAGCTCCTGTCTCGACTGATATTCACTGCAGCAGTCTGATGGAGCAATCCAAGAACCAAACAGGCTTTACTCAGACAAAACTGTTAAATAAACAGTGAAATATCTTATGAAACAGTCTAGACGAATAGAACTGTGGTAGGATCCATTTGAGGATACCCCTGTGAGGTCTGTCAACACTGCTTTAAAAATATCTGCAAGTATGGTACATGGAGTCATAAAATGGCCTGGTTTCAACAGGATTAGAGATGAAAAAAGAGTAAAACCTTCATTTCATTAATCCTTGTTTACAATTTAAGAAAAGCAGAAGAGAAGACATGAAGGGAGGAAGCAGAGCTGCAGCTAAAAATATCTTCTATCTTTGCTCAATGTGACTGCAAAACAGAGAGATGATGATGAGGAGGAGGTGCGGGGAACAGAGAAGAAGGAGAGCAGGAATAATGAGGGAGGAAAAGAGGTGAGAGAAGGAAACAGAGCAGGGAGAAGATAAAGGAGAGATGTAGGTAGGGCGATGGAGCAAAGGCAGATGGAGAGGAGGTAATAAGTGATGGGAGGAATGGGGAAAAAAGAGAAATATGAAGGAAAGGCAAACAGAAAATGGAGCAAAAATATTCAGCATGCACAGAGGAAAAGAAAAAGAAAGAGAAATGAGGCAGAGCGTGGGTGGACTGAAAAGACAGCGAGAGTGAGAGACAGAAATAGAGAGAAAGAAAGAGCTATTCTGGTAATCATAATGTTGCCATGGAGATGCTGTCCTCAGTCAGACTACTCCACAGGTGCCTCATGGGTATTTTTAAAAGACTTTCCTGATTGGTGGAGGTCTTTAGAGGAGAGGAGTATTGATTGGTTGACATGGGTGAGGGTCATAGGTCAAGCAATTACCCTCCAGTTGCTTTTCTCATCGCCTCCTTTTTGCCTCCTTTCACACATAATTATTTCTTAATGATGATATTCATTCAGCTGAAGCTAAACCACACACTGGTTTGTTACAAAAGTGGCACTGATGGGTATTTTTATGTCAGCACCTGATCACAAGCCTGTTTGTTTTAGTGAAAATTACACAGAGAGTTATCTGGGCTCTATCAATCCTCTTACAGCTGAGAATTTAGCCCTCACTCTCATTTCTCTCAAACAAGCAACATTTAGCTGGTTTACATTATAATACAGTAAAACGATACAATAACACTGAAGGAGACAAGAGAGTAATATGAGACCACAATACATTGTTGAACAAAAAAACTGCAAGTACAGCAGAAACCTTCAGTTTAAAAAATGAAACCAAAATACTGTGCAGTTTCGCAAAAGTAAAACATGGGAAGAGGTTTAAGTGTCCTTTGACTTCTAAATCGTACAGAGATTACAGCGGATGGATGAGTCCTGATGTTCTTCCAAGGCAGGAAAAAGAAAAACAGGTTAAAGCGGCAAAATGTGAACAAGCAGAAAAATCACCACATCATCTTTGTTCGATCCTTGAATCAGTGTTTCTATAATTGCGACCTCATGCTGAACCAGTGGGTGGATATAAAATCTCAGTCTAATAAAAGGCGTCAAAAGTCCAAACCCACACAGGTAGAAATGAGTCCAGTCATGCAGATGAAGAGCCAAAGTCTTCACCATCATCATCATCATCACCACACAAAGAGGAACTGAGGGTGATAAAAATGGACCAAATGGTGCCATTAGGAGTCAGGAGAGGATAAAGATGCAGAAACAAAAAGAGAGAGATCAGGGGGAAGGATGGGAGACTGTGTCAGTACACACACACACACACACACACACACACACACACACACACACACACACACACACACACAAGCAGCAAAAGGAGCAGTGGTGAGTCAGCCTGTGAGTCACAGGAGAAATCAGAAATGTCAGACAGAAAAAGAACACACACGCACAAACTCACACACACACACACACACACACACACACACATGCACGCACACACACACACACACACACATGTTCAGCTGCAGCCATTAGTTTCTGACATTAAGGCAGACGACTTTGAAAACTATTATTTCCACCTTGAGAGCTAAGTGAGAAAGGAAGGCTTACGTACAAACACACACACACACACACACACACACACACACATACATACACACACACACACACACAAACACACACATACAGACAGACACACACAAACACACACACAAGAAATCCTGCAAAACACAAGCCCCCTATCTGCATGATTTCTGAACAACTCAAATCAATATTTCGAATACGCACCTCTGCTCTAAATTGTCTAAATATAGAGACAAGCACCCCTATAACCCTCTATCTCTTCATGTTGCCCCTCACCATCCGTGTCCCAGACCCCAAAATAACCCACCTGAGCCACAGACCACAGGTTGGACACCTCTGATGCAGCTGCTGCTTGAGGCTGAACTCTTTTGATCAGATGTGGAGTAAGACTGAGGCTACAGTGCCCTCTAGGGACTTAGTAAGGAGCTGGCACCAATACCTCCTCTGTTATAGAAAAAAAAAGACAGTTCAGAGGGATAACATATATGGTGTGCATTAGAATAAAATAATCAGTACCATCATTATTTTTCAATGATTGTTGTGTAAAATGTAAATGAAAATATAATTTCTTGATTTGCAAATCAAGAAATCCTATTTAGGGTCGCTCCTCGATTGATCCTATTTAAGTGCAAAGAGAGCATATCAAATGTTTGTAACCAGTTTTCATTTTGTGTGACGTGGTTTTAACCTGCTTTTGTGGATGCAGTGACAAACTGTGATCACAAAACAATGGTTTTTGGAAGTGATTTTAAGCCCATTCAGCAATTTTCACTGCAGAGCAAGGCCGTTTTCAAACCAGTGGTTTCCAGCCAGTATTGGTTTTAACCTTGTTCCCTATTTTTACAGAGGTTCCTTGAGATTGTCTCCATCTGTTATAACATTTTACTGCCTGAAATCCACAAAGTCTTTGTGGTATTACACTGAGGAGTATTTTTCTGAAATTGTTGAACTATTTGCTCATGCAGTCTCTCACAGAGAGACCACAGAGAGACCAGAGAGGCAACCAGCCTCTCTGAGAGACTCAGCCGCTCTGGAATGCCCTTTTTATACAAAGTCAATTCTGCGTTTTCTCTCCATTTCCTGAAACCAACATTGCGCAGTATTGTTGTACACAGTAGCGGTTCTAGGCACGGGCGAACAGGGCAGCCGCCCGGGGCGGCATTTGTGTCATGACTCATGGGGGGCGGCACGAGCACTTCCAAAAAAATAAAATAAAAGATAATAATGATAAATCTTAACCGCAAAGCGGTTTTGTATTAACTCTTGTTGTCAAATTGGCGCCCCCCGCTGCTGTAAGCGCCCCTGCTTGCGCCGAAGGTGCTGCACAGAGGCTGACAGACTGTGTGAGACGAGGCGGGGAGAGGGTCGCGGGGGGACAGCTCTGCTCTGTGTACGCATGTCAGCGTATCAGCGGGAGCGCGGCTGCGCATTTCTACTCTGCCAGGAGCGCGGAGACGTCATTTTGTAGTTTTTTAATCATTTCTAGAGTCGTGGTGAATCAAATCACCGTACCCGTCTGCCTTCGATAGGCGAATAAAGCGCTCGGGTTCATGCTCGGATCTTGCTACGTGCTTGATGAGCTTCATGAGTAAAGTAAACAATGACTGAGGCAGAGAGCAGCTTCAGAGGAGAAACATCCAGCAGTGTGAACAACCTCTTCATAGGGAGTGCTTTGGCTCACACTATCAGCGTTTTCTCTGAGTGTTGCATGACTTTGGGTGAGAACAGAGATGAACACACTGTCAGCCACGTATTTATTTATTCATTTTTTAGTTTTTAGTTCTGCTTTTGTACTGGCAGTATACTGGGGCAGCTGTATACCCTTTCAACACCTTATTTTCTATATTTACATTTGTATTGAATGGACACTTTATCATGACTGACACTTGTTTTACAGAAAACAAATTATTTGTCATTCTCCAGTGCAGAGCCTTTACTTTTATTTATGCAGCCGCTTTATTTCATTTAAGTTTGTTTGTTCAAGGTTTAAAAAATGTGATGAAGGTCTGCAAAACTAAAAGAGAGCTTTCTTGAAAGCCACGTGTATAAGCTCTCAAATACTTTTTGAATTTTGTTTCTATCTACTACAGAGGCCGAGATAACAGCTTTTTTGTAAACCTTAACACGTCAGAAAACCTCAGGATCTGGGAGACCTTCTCAAAATGGCCCTCAGGATTGTGTTTTTTTCTATTGAAGGATTTCTGCAATTGAGAAATATTTTATTTTTGTTGTTCTAATCATAATAATACTAGATAATAATACAAAACTATCTGTTCAAAATTCTATCTCTTTTTGTGTTTGTTTGTTTGTTTGTGTGTGTGTGTGTGTGTGTGTGTGTGTGTGTGTGTGTGTGTGTGTGTGTGGGGGGGGGGGGGGTGTGTGCTCGCCCGGGGAGTAATTTGGTCTAGAACCGCCACTGGTTGTACACTCTCCACCACTTGCGCAGTAGCATTGTGCGACTCGGGAGAGTCGCCGAGAGTTGCTGTGATGACGCTCGGCTCAAACAGCATATCCCCCGGGTGAGCTACACAATCCCTGAACGCCCATAGGCTGTTTCAAGTGTCAATCATAGAAAACATGAACCCCTAATAACTTTTAAAATGGAGCTGTACAGAAAAAGAGGACTTGAGCACAAACCAGTCTTACAATAACTACATGTTAACATCACAAGCAGGGGGGAGAAAAAATTATATTCTGTGTAATAAATTTCTAAACATTGTCCACAGCTCCATAGGAACTGCTGGCTGAGGCGGGATTTGTGACCTATACTGCAGCCCGTCAACAGAGGGTGCTGTTCTCGGAGTGGCTTCACCCAGTGAGGAGACAGACATTCTCCATTTTATATACAGTCTATGGCTATGTGCTAAAGTTATACTGTTAGTAAGTTGAGTAGCCTGTCTTTAAGCAAGGGATATCAGTAGCCTCGTACTTTCTTCATACCTTTTAAATGTAATTTCTAAATTGCATACTGTTGTTTACTTTGCTGGGCACATGCCCAGTAACTTTGTCAAAACTCTTGAGCAATATCTCAATCATAGATAAGAGACAATGAAATACTAATGGGGTATTAGTCGTTGGATTAGTGTAGTGGTAGTATATTTCGGTGGTAGGCTGCTGCAGCAAGCTAAAGGTGGTGAAACTGATTAGCAATATTAGCATTAGCAGTCTTAGCCGTTATGCTACCACTGCTCAAAGTTCTGTAGTGGTCATGAATCCGGTTTTTGCCTGTTTTAATTTACCTGATTCCTCCACTAATGAACCGCCAAGATTCAGTGACAGACACCCCGTCCTCCTCCTCCTCCTCCTCCTCCTCACATCCTCCGTGTCGTCTCCTCTTTCTACCTCCTTTACCTCGAGTGTCGTCAAGGCAACAGACCTTTACGCCGAAGCTGTTAGTCATCCAGCCACGCGCGCACTCTTCTTCTGTTGATGTTATGGTGACGTTAGTGACGCCATAGTGACACGTCAAGTCTATAGAATGTCATTAAGGCGATTTTTTTTTTTTACTTATTTATTTTTTTAATTATTTTTTATTGAGCCTGGTAGGCTTACAAGTTATGTGAAAAACTGGGGAGAATTAAAAAAATAATAATAATTAAAAAAATAAAATAAAAAATAACAATCATGGGATAGATATGTGCCGCGTTCCATTTATAGCCCCAAGAACCTTTCTTTTCCCTTTCGTTCCCCCATCAGTCACAACTGTCACATGGGCTGGGCTTGTTCAGGACGACAGCCAAAACACACACACACACCCACACACACGCACGCACACGCATTTGAACAGACAAGAGGAGGAGAAGGCGGATCTGTGAGTAGAAACCAGGACTTCCTCGGACTAAAACGCAGTAAGTGTTTTACGTTATTTCTTATTTAATGCATTTTATTCCCAGTAATGCAGACTATCCTTCAGTGCTGTTACACTTTTAAAGTGAGGGTTAAATATCCCGAGAGTAAAAACAATTTTTTGTCATGTAACAGAGCCAACTTGGAAGTGGCTGCAGTTTTTTACAGCCTGTGGTTGTGTGTCATTACAGTAATAGCACTCTGCTGCTGTGTCAGTACCTGCTGTTGTAATTGACTCAAATAAGGTTGTAATGATGAGTTTCGGTGCGCTCTGCTGTGTGCACAAGCTGCGATAATCAGACGATCAGACATAAGGAAATCCACCGCTTTTACCTTCATTTCTGCCCATGTCCTCATGTTACTCCCGTCAGAGAGAGGGCTGCGACACTTCCTGCCAAACGTCATGATTAGTTTCTATTTCTGCAGCCTGACTAGACTGATAGAAAACACGATAAAAGCAGCAGATCCAGTTTGCGTTTCCTGTACTCGAGCTGTTTTATTTTGAAGGGGCTGTGTATTTCACACCGTCTTGATGAAATGCTCATGCGTTTAGGGCTTTATTTTCTTTATGTGAGGAACCCAATGCCCAGTCAAAGCCATCCGATCTCACTCTCTCTTTTACTTTTTGGTTAACTAATATTATGCATAGGCTATGTAAATCTCTCTGGTTACAATTTTGCAGAGGAAGCCTAGATTCACACCTTTTACTCTGTTTGAATTTCTTCCCTAAAAGTGAAGTCTTGAACTGCCATGTCACCTGTAAAGTGATCTGAGAGCACTAAGCTGAAAAAGGCTCAAAATAGTATAATAAGGAATGGGACAGCACTTTGTGACTTTCTTCATAAACCTGACAGCATGACCCCATGTTCCACACCTTGGTACCATTAGAAGTCTTTATTTTCAGTTTCTTACCCCTTTTCACTGTCTTTGTTGTCCTGGAACTATAAAGCAAAACATTGCAAAATAAATAAAATTAGGAGAAAAAGAGAATCAGGATTTATTTGATATTAAAAGTCCATTTCCATTAATGAGTGGATGAATTTTTCAACCACAATGTGGAAAATTGTCTTTGGCTTTACAGTAGAATCACAAAATTACCCAACCATAGACTGAATACAACTTGGTTCCGCCTTAAAAAAAAGCTCTCGGTAATTCCGCATTTTCTCTCCATTTCCTGAAACCAACATCGCGCAGTACCGTTGTACGCACTCCACCACTTGCGCAGTAGCATTGTGTGCATTTGGCGGGAGTCGCCGAGAGTCACTGTGATGACGCTCGTCTCAAACAGCATATTCCAGGGTCTATCATAGAAAACATGAACCCCCTAATAGCTTTTAAAAATGGAGCTTCACAGAAAAAAAGAGGACTTGAGCACAAACCAGTCTTACAATAATTACATGTCAACATCCCAATCAGGGGTGGGGGGAATGTATGTATGTGAAATAAATATCTAAACTTTGTCCACAGCCCCATAAGCTTTGCTGGCAGAGGCGTGATTTATGACCTATTCTGCAGCCCGTCACCAGAGGATGCTGTTCAAGGAGTGGCTTCACACAGTGAGGAGATAGACGCTGTCCATAATATATACAGTCTATGGACCCAACTCAGAAACAGAGATAGACATAGGCTTTCTTTTCCAGCATTAACCTTTTATGGTGGTACACACCGGGCTTCTGATTCAAAGGATGTCCAAAAGGCTCATATAGTCTGCCAGAGATCCACCATGCACTTGATGATCTGACAGTGTGACAGCGCTGTAAGACTTGGCTGAATTGTACCTTAAAGTCAGCGGGGGTATGAGTGTGGACATCAAGACTTGGCCTGTTTTTCTATGATAACAACTTACAGTAAAATCCAAAATACAAGTCACAACAGTATGTAAGATGAAGTCTGTTTTAGGGGGACTGCAAGAGGGAACATGGTTCAAACTGTGTTCCTACATGAAGAAGCCCTAGAGATTCAGAAATGTACAGTTTCTGTGCAGATGTGTAGCTCTTTCTTGTGCCACATGATTTTATCACCCTGCCAGCCTCCTGCCATCTTCAAACAATCAAGTATACACTAACAAGAAAACCAACAAGATATTAAACCAATACAAAATAACTTCAAGAGGGAGGGTGTGATTGTTAGTACGAAGCTTTATTTACAAATGAAATTAAGTTGAAGGCCTTGAGCGCTCTGCTGTGAAACTCTTCAAAAAATGAAAACTAACTGCCTTAGTGTTTCCTACAAATATCTATGTTAACATTCTTGACATCTATTGGACAATATATTACAATTTGATGTGACTCAACTTTAATTTATTTGACAAAGTTTGTTTGAGAGGAGAAAAAAACCAACAACAGCAGCAAAGTGTGAACATTAAACCAGAAATTACAGTAAGTTAGAACAATATTTGATAACATTTAATAAGACTTTTATGGCCAACTATGAAGAGATTTTATAACAGATTTGTTTTGCAGTCCAGGACAAGTCCCAGATGACGAAAAATCGGAAAGCTTATAGTCATAATTCTGTTTGGTCAATGGGAACAACAACAAATTACACAATGTCCAGGAAATGAAGGTTACATCTTTCATTACTTAAGATTAGGGGTGAGGAAAAGTAGGTGGGACATGTGCCCAGAATAGCTTTGTGAATAAGAAAGGAACCAATCTCTGTGCTGACACGCTTTTAAACTGGGTCAATTTGCTTTTAAATAAAAGGTGCAAAGGTGACAGACCTGAAAATGAAAGAGTATACTCCAAATAGGGCCCACTTTTGTCAAAAAGAATTCATTTTTTGCATAAAACAGTTAAATTTGGTGAGATGGCTCTGTTCTGAGAGTTCACTAATCCCTACCCTTTCACATGCATATGTAAAATACTAAAGCCTGAGACAGGGAGAGCACACCTCCCCGATGGAAAGCCAAGGCAGAGAGAGCAGCAACAAAGACTGCTGGGACCACAACAGAGCACTAGTGATAATACGTCTGACACAGGCAGAATCAGACAGCATAAAAAAAGAGGGTCTGGGGTGCTGGCTATATCATTTTGAATAAAACATCCACTTTGACATTTGCCAATTTGATGCATAGAAGGTAACCAGCTGAGCTGTCAGCTAAGACCAGCTGGCTTTAGGATCAGCAAATGTACTGTGAGCTGAGCCTGATTTTTGTTAACAATCACTACACTTAAATAATAGTGAAAACTTTTACAGGAAAAATTCACAGTGAGAAACAAGATTGAGTGTAACAGAGTGAGATTTTTGGAAGCATGTCTGTGGGTGAAAAGAATGGGCAAAGCGATGCTCTGCTTCACTTGCAAGATTGAGGAAGTGAAAATTATACCTCCTTGTTACATCTAAATTTTTGCTGAGTAACCGATTACTCAGCCTGGTCTTGCACTATCATCGTCTTCCCTCTCTCTCTCTCTCTCTGTTTCCTGGTTAACTCTCCTGGAGCGTCAGCTGGGCTGAAATCTGTTTCTCTTCCTCAGATCATGGAGGACTCTTCTCCACGTTCAGGTCGCTCCACGTTTGTGTGGCTGGTGGGAGCATCACAGCTCGTGGGTTTAGCGTCTGTGGTGCTGACGGGTGTGTGGATGGGTCACTACAGGGGGGGATTCGCCTGGGACGGCTCACCACAGGAGTTCAACCTGCACCCTCTGTGCATGGTGCTGGGGCTGGTTTTTCTGCAGGGCGATGGTGAGTACACTGAGCACTGGATTAATCCTTATTTACAAAGAGAATAAACTCAGGTTTGCAAGGGTTGAATTGAAAAATAAGTATCATCATGGCATGATACCTGGACCTTTTGAATTTCATAGTCCACACTAAATAAAAATTTGACCTTACATTAATATATTTTCACATAAAGTTGATGTAATTGTTTTGCTTCAGAGTGTAGAGGGTTTGAGTTGTAACACCACTGGGATCATGCAATTGCTGATTAAACTGATGCTTTTCCATTAAGCTTGTAAATCTGTGAAATCCTGCATGCAATGTATACAAAGAGAGGGACATCTGCTTCCGAATCAATGCAAGTGTATTTATGGTGCAAAAAGGTGGCTATTACAGATATTTATTTTTCAAAAATGCAACCAAAGGGTTTTATTTAAGGCAAAGGGAACGTCAATTGCTACTGCTTTGTCAATATCAACCAAGCATCTGTAAGTCTGACGCAGCTCAGCAGTTAATGCCATTTTGATAAGCACATAAGCACAATACATGCCAAATGACAAAGGGTTCATCCATTTGTCTTCTGGTTTGTCGTCATGGCTACAGTAAGTGGTTTTGTGGTAAATCTTTCTAAATTGAGTCAAACTGTAGGCTGAAGTCGGCAGAACATGCTGGGTGTGTGTCAGTCAGCCTGATGGTGTGTGTTTCTGGATCTGGATGCACGTTTAAGCCTCAGGCTCTGCCTTCCTGACCTGTTGCATTAAGCTAACACTGTGCAGATACCCATCAATCCCCATCCTCCACCAAGAAAGACTGGCTTTAACGAAGAGACAGGGGGAGGAATGGTTTGAACCTTCAAACATGTACAATTTTAAGCTTCTTCCAGTGATCCTGTAACCAGAATTCTGAGCAGTTTTTGACCAATTAAGGTACAAAACTAGGTCCTCTGTTTTTTGAAGCTGTGGTGTGAAGCGATTGTGATAAATTATCAATTCTATGATCCTCTATGGTTAAAAAATCACAGCTTGACAACAAGAAAGTCTCTGGAGACCATTTGTCATTGTAAAGAAACTAGTTAGTTTTTCATCTGCTATCATGATAAAAATCATGTTTGAAGCTCAACTGAGGTTTCTTTTTTACATACATGAAATACGAGGAAATTCATATCGATGCCTTTTCATGGCATCCAAAGCAAACAAGACCATTACAAGACTGATGATGTATATAGCCTTATTTTTGATGCCTGTAACTGGTGTGAGGGGCTGAGTGTGAGCTGCTAAAGAAACAGCCCTGATTTTACAATTATCACATTAAAAATATTTGTAGTTTTAATACATTTGACTTTCAAAAGTCAGCAGATTGAGATTCTTTGTCAAAGTAACACTATTATTATTACAGAATTTCCCTTGAAGGATCAATAAAGTTCTTATCTATTTAATCAAGCAGAGGACAATGTAGACAAAGACTGCTTTGTCAAAGAAAACAAGGAAAACTTCAAAGTTCCTTTTTTAAGGTCTAGAAATATGGCATGTAGAGTTCCAAAGACCTTCATAAAATGAATCAAATAATCGCTGATGTATAAAGCAGATTTGCTGAGAGTAAAGGAAATCTTTGTGCAGTTTTGCAAAGCTACTTTCTCCTAAAACTGACTTATGCTTTAATGGGGCAAAAAGCTGCAGCTGCAAAACATTGCATATGGCATCTAGGCTCTGACATCTTCATTATTTGCAGCTTCATGGAGGAGACAGGGCTGTATCTTAATCTCTAAAGCCTGCAGGTGGATTATGGCGAGGTTGTTGGGCTGGAGAATAAATGCAGTGTTGTTGCAGGTGATTGGGGGCAGTGACAGAGCGCCCAGAAATCTTACTGATTGTGTCATGAATGACACGTGTTGAGTGTGAAACCAAGGTGCCTAAGCTTACTTTAAGGCATTGCTCTATTCCCACCCATACTTAAGCTGGTAAGTGTTCAGTGTTGACAGAGCAATCAAAGCTTAGTAACTGTCATGTCCCGTATAATTTGCTCTTGTTGTCATAACTCACCACAATAGACGTAGGATGAACTTAATGACCTGTTCGGTGACTGATCTTACAAGTGTGGTAACTGACAACTGGCAACAAACTCTAGGACTAAAATAATTTCAGACTGATGAAATGATGCAGTTTTGCAAATGTTTTTCAGTCAGTAAAAGCTCATATTTGTTAAAAATAAAAGTGAAAAGTGAAACACCAAAGCTGCCCCTAGCTAGGCTGTGTTTCATGAGTATAATTGTTTTTTTTAGCTCCCTGAATTTGTCCTATCTAAATCCCCCCCTCTCCATTAATACTGTCTGCCCACACAGCAGCCATTCAGGGTCACATCTGCTGTCCTACAAATAAAGACAAAGTGAGATCTTGCCGTTATCCCCCCTCTGTTTCGCGCCTGCAGCCCTCTTTATTCTAGCTAATGAGAGTAAGCAGATTAGCTCAACTGGTTCCCAGCGCTGTGTTTCAGAGCTAGATTGAATTATGGCAATAAAAGCAAAAGGGCAGCTGGACATTTAATTGGATCTGACAAACACCTCAGAGCTGATTCACTGTGATTAAGTCTGCTTTTGTTGCCGTAAGCCCAGCACATGCTGTTATGGACGCATTTTACAGCAAATCTGATAATCAATCAGTTCTAGCTTAGAGTATTAAAATTTACACCTGATGCTGGCACAGAACCAAATTTGAGAGCTTATCATTCAGCTTTGATGTGACCAGAAAAAAAATACAGAGTTTCTGGTCATAATGTGAACTTGTGAAAAGTGTTTTGTTGACCTGGCAGGAATATATTTCCACGGGATCTGAAGGATTTTAACAAAACATAATCCAGAGCTTGTGTAGAGCTCAAGATTTTGCCTCAATAAAGGAAAAACATCAACAAGCTTAGTTTCTGCACAATTTGATGTTTATGTTTTGTAGACCTTTGTACAACATTTATTTCTGAACTTTAAAAATGTAAAAATTAAAGGTGGTCACATTACATAATGTCAGATTCAAGTATAACAGTTGCTCTTGACTCTTTATTCCCCTTCTCTCTCTCTCTCTCTCTCTACAGCCATCCTGGTTTACAGGATATTTCGTAGTGAGTCGAAGAGGAACGTAAAGATGCTTCACGGTATCATTCACTTCCTGGCTCTAGTTATCAGCATCGTAGGTGAGAAAGAGTGAAAAAATGTGAATACATCAGTCTGAGTGTTAAATTTTACACCTAACCTGATTCTTTGTGTATTTTTGTGCACGTGTCTTCAGGTTTTGTAGCTGTATTTGACTTCCACAGAGCAGCAAAAATCCCCGACATGTATTCTCTACACAGCTGGTGTGGCATGGCGACAATGATCTTATTCTGCGTGCAGGTACACAATCAGACACACTAGATCTACACTTTTACTGCTCAGATGCAAAGTGCATTAAAGCACTAACAGCAATTCTTGTCCCCTCATTTTATCTAGTGGGTGATGGGCTTGGTGTTCTTCCTGTTTCCTGTGGCGTCGTCATGGATACGAGCCTTGTACCTCCCCATCCATGTGTTCTGTGGTCTGGTTCTGCTGGTCATGGCTGTAGGGACCAGCCTGCTGGGCATCACAGAGAAACTGCTCTTTTCCATCATGTACGCCCATCTAAGTGTTCATCTATATCTGTCTATGGATTTGTTACATAAGTTTAAAATCACAGATATGTTGGAAAAGATGAAATGTTAAATAACAATTGGTTAATCTTGCCTACCCTGGACATGCTGTCAGATGAAGATTGCCACCACAGGAACATATGTAAAGGCTCATGCATCCAATTGAAGGAACCATATGACAATAGCAGAGGAACGACTTGTCCAATTTAGCTTGATTAATGTTAAGTTACCGAAAGAAGCTAAATTAAGATCATTTACTGTCATCTTGTCTTTAATGCTGCGTTCAAGTTACCTCAGAAGTCAGATTCCCAAGCTGGGAAAGACGTCACATCCGAGTTACCAGCGTTTCAGTTACCAAGTTGGAAAAAAAGCAAAATCAGAGGCAGAAACAAGATGGCTACATCTAAGAAAAGTGATGCTAAAATAACTTAAAATAACTAAAATAACAAGCGCTAAAATAACTTTCGTAGATGTAGCCATGTTGTTTGCACCTCCAATTTTGCTTTTTCCCAACTTGGTAACTGAAACACTGGTAACTTGGGTGTGACGTCATTCCCAGCTCATACATTTGACTTCCGGGGTAACTTGAACGCAGCATTATTTCTACGTGTGGCATTTGACATGAAAGAAATAATGAAATTTTAGCTTTTCCTGACTGATCTTTCTTGCAGTGGTTTTTCTCATACTGTACCTGATTTATATCTCTCCGTGCCCAGGCCGACCTACTCTAAGTTTGTCCCAGAGGGGGTCCTCGCTAACACCTTGGGGATCCTACTCGTTGTTTTCGGAGTGCTGTTGGGCTACCTGATCACCAGGGAGGAGTACAGACGTCCACCAAACCCAGAGGAAGAAGCTCTATCGGTCCACTTCAAGACCTTGACTGAGGGGGGGTCACCCAGCACACCATGACCATCCCAAAAACATCTGCCAGCTCTAGCTCGTATTTAAACAAGCCGTGTCTTATTATTAGATTACCTGTGCTAATGGTCTCCTCTTAAACCCACTAAAACGTTTTGGGTCAGGAGAGGACTCAGTAGAAGAGGAGTTATCAAAATTAAGGACCCATGTTAAGTTCGATTTTTTTAAAAGATAATTGTCACCAACACTATGCCACTACTGGCTAAAAGTTTACAGTGTAACCCTTTCAACAAAATATATAAATGAGGTCTTAGTGTCTGTTGCCAACCTGTTAATCGTGGAGGAACTACATCTGCCTCCCTCAATTATTTTGGCCTTTCACTGCAGTTTTTTTCACTATCCTTTTTGATCGGGTATTTCTGAACACGCAGAGGCAGCTCAAATGCTGATATAATGTTGCACGACTGTTATCAAGTTTACAGGTGGTCAAATGTAGATATTCCATCAACACTTCCTGAGTGATCAACTGGATGAAAAAAACAAAACAATTGTCAAAATACAGGTACATTTTTGCACGAGTACAAGACAAGCTATTAGTTAGCATCTAAGATCTAAGATGTTAGCATTTAAACGCTTGCAAATACTAATTTCTTATCAAATATCGTTAACCAGAAATTACACTATGATTCGTTCATGATACATGAAACTAGAAGAATTCCAAAAGCTAGCATCATCAACACCTAGAATTTAAGCTAATATTGTTGTTAGCTAAGAAAAGTTTGTGTGCCGTCATCAGCTGTTTTCTTATTTTGGAAATAGCCAAATGTCAAATATTTCACTTTGAATTTACCCAGATGTACCTGTTCCATCGTTTTAGCAAATATTGGGCTTTAAACCTAAATTTGGCCAAATTTTTACCCTTTCACTTTCCTGTTTTAGTAATAAGAGGTAGCTGGAGGTAGCCTGATTCAACAAAAGAGCCATGACTAGCTTCCAGTAACATACACCGTCACTTGTTTGTATGCTAACTTTAGCTGTTTTCTAATTATACAAAATGTTAGATATTTGGATTTCAGATTGGCCTCACTCTTCTCTGTGTTTTTGCTTTTCAATTTGCCTTTTTAAGTGTATCTGATTAGATTAAAAAAAGCCATAAGTTAACGTTGCTCATGGTTAGCTGAAGGTAATTGTAGCAATGGTAGCTGTATGCTAGCATTTGCTATACTGTGATTTTAACAGATGTGTATCAAATATAACATTCTAGTGTAAACATTAACTTGTTGTTGCTCCAGACGTTATCATGTTATGAAAAATCCACTACATCTGTTAACATTAGCATCACTACTCAATATCAGCATTTGAGCTTCCAAACCTGATCATGATGGCTTCACTGTAAGTGGATACTGACCCATTTATTTAATCAGAATCGCATATTTTCTGCTGCTATGTATATAGGTACTATTGCTATTTATGTTGAGCACCTTTAACGTTATGCTGTTGTGTTTTATTTTAAATGCGCGAAAGTTGGATGTAGATGCTAGGTTTGAGTATCTGTTAATGTAAGGTGGTATCCTTCAACACATTATATCACTGCATCTTGTTTGGAGCCAACCCAGACAAGATTGTAATTTTTCACACTAAAGCTCGATCATTGAGTAAAACTCTAAATCCTGAGATATATCCAAATTGACACTTTTGAAGCAGAAAAACGTGGTAGGTTTTGAAAAACAGGACCTTTCACTGTTTCACAAAAAGCTAAACTGTATTTGAAACTGTGTCATGGATTCATCTGAGGAAAATTAATCATTCTTAAATGAACCTGCTTAATGGTCTAAGTCATTAAGAGACTCCTCCAAGAACTTTTAGCTTTGCTGAAATAATTTACAGCGTACAACATGTTAAATTTTAAAATACTACCTATAATTGCACTCTAAAAAACAGTCTGCCTTTATGTCCGGGTTACCGCAGTCTACCTTAAAAACTGAGTGACCTTCAGTTTTTCACTCTGTCGTGCTTTTTTAAATGTATCTCATTCGTCCAGTTAAGTAATAATTTATATTTAAATGATCTGTTATGAAGGAAAATGTTCACATCGTTCTGCTGTATTTCAAGAGTTTTATTGATCGTTGCATTTTTAAGTGAAGCTATTCATGTTCTTGAATGTGTCAAACCAAATAGAAACATGTAGACACTGTTTATTTGCTGGACTATTTCCTGGAGTCAGTGCTGTTGCCAAATACAAAGCTTTTACTGGAAAATGTCATCACTGGCTGTTTGTTTTTGTCAGATTTGTCTTTGTCTTTATCTTTGTAAAACTTGAAATAAACAACACTGTGGCAAATGCTTTCATTGGTCGTGTAAATTTTTAACGAGACATTACCTTTTTGTTTAACTGAACCAGATAGATGACATTTTTTAAGTGGTTAGTATCCAGAGAGGTAACAGCTTTTAACATTTGTTTTGGATCAACCTTGGGGTTGGTTTGTAAAAGTGCTGAATCATCTCTGCTGCTAACATCTAGTAGTCTGCTACATCTACTTGTCTAATCTTTGGTGAGATTGTGGAACCAGTTTAGGAGACCACTACTATCATTTTATGGTATAACTATGCTTATTGTCAGTGGAGAAGTTGTGTCCTCATACTCCATGTAACAAACACAAAAAGAGACAGAGATAGAATTGCACACCAGGCTTTCATTCACTTTTATTCCTCTTTGTAATATTAACTCAGCAGTCAGTTATTTCGCATGAGCTGACACATTCATGATGTTTTGAAGGATTTTTTTCCTTGTCCATGACACCATTCTGGGTTTTAAATAATAACTTATTATAAACACAATGGAAAAAGCCAACATTGACTTTAATAACTAGAAACACACACACATTCGACATCAGCTCCACAGATTCTAGGTGAAGTTATGCTGGTTTATCTGTGGTGTGGCTCATAATCTTTAAGAAGGTCGAGAGTAACTTCTAAAACGTTCAGAGCAACACATTATTGGTGATCAAAAAGATCTGAAACAACATTGATGCTCTATGAAGAAGTTTCAATATTTTACATCAGTTTTGAACTTCTGATTAATTTTCTGATAAACTTCATATTCCAATCAGATTTACCACATTACCAGCAGTCTGTCTGTAAAAATGGCTTTTGCACTAAAGATATTACAACGTTTCCTCACAGATGGAAATCCTGAGCAGTAAGAAATAAGGAGCACAGAGACTGTGTTGTTACAAAGAGGTCAGAGGTCATGGACTCCATCAGCAGCTCTAAAACAAAGCAGCTCAAGAAACAGGAACTATGTGCACAAAGTACATTTAGAAAAGAAGGCAAAGTCCCATTTCCTGAACACCAGGATGGATGCTCGCTAACTGTCAGGCTATCAGGCATTTTAAAACATGGATGTAGTCTCAGTGATATTTCCCATTGATATATGAAAAAGAGTCATGAAGCCAAAAACAGGTTTGTCATATTGGAAATGACACCACCATCTGACTTTGTTTGACTCTAACAGCTACTATCAACCCATTCCTCAAGTCATGTACCTGTCAAACAGTCTGGTTCGGTTTTGTTTGGTAAGGTATGAAATTATTTGCATGTCCTTGGTCAAAAAATGGGAAAGAAACCCAAATAGCTCACCTGTAACATCTTACTGTTTTGGCACCTCTCTGTTGGGGTACCATCCCTAAACAGCAGAGATGGAGTTATACCTCTTTCACCCTAGTAGATGTTGGGAAAATGGGGCTCCTATTTAGTTTCTGGCAGCTTGTGGAGAATGTAAGCACTCACTTCATAACAAACAGTCATAAAGGCCCCAAGAAATCAGGAAGGAACCTTGTGGTTTGCATAAATTAGGAATTAAAGAACTACATAATACAAAACGAGTTCTAAGGGTTAGGGTTAAGGTTAGAGGAAAAAACCTAACCCTGTCCTCAAGCAAAGAAAACCCCCAAACCTCAAAAAGTATTTTTACAAGACAGACATGTTTACTCAAAACTGAGCAAAACTGAACTTTCATTCATTTTTTTGTTTGGCATTTTGAAAGAATTTGTTTCATCTCCTTGTTCCATGTAAAAAAAACAAACAAACAAAAAAAGAGAACATTTACAGGCAAATCAATAAGGAGTCTACCATTTTCAGAGAAGCATTTTTATACAGTTTAATACAGATAGAACTTTCAAAAGATAAATATCACATATTATTTATATACAGCAAGTCAGTGCCTTATCAATGACAGCATTTCCTAGTTTCTCAAACTATGGCTTGGGACCAGGTCACTGACCAGCACAAGCCTCACAGACTGGGACTTGCAGTGACTGTATTCAGGTTTCCAGTCATTAATTAAGCACTTTAACTTTCAGTTTTCAAATGTATGGTAAGCCAGAGAGAAGAATATTACTTCAGATTTCCCTCAAATCCTGATCTTCATTTTCTTTTTTTAATGACTAGAGCTGGCTGATGTAAAAGTATGCTTACTTCTCCCTTATCTTCTTCATCTGAGCTTCATGTCTGTCTCTCTTGCTGGTTACTGGGCAGACTTGCAGTTGACATGCAACTTTCTGTGCGTACTTTGTGCTTTATTTGATCTGAACTATTAATGCCAAATGCTTCAAATTAATTGCTTGATAAAGTCTTGATTACTGCCAGTTATACCAGCTGCAAGTCCAACAAATAAGCTGTACAAACGACCAGTTGTATGAACAACCAGTTCTGAAAGCTACCAGACAAACAACCGGTAGTAGGAACCACCAATCGAATGGACCCACTTCAGTATGGACCTCCAGTCTTACAAACTTGCAGTTATATAAACTACCAGACAATCAAATTACCAGTTGTACAAAATTCAGTTTGTATGAACTACCAGTTTTGTCAATTACTGCTTATACCTACCATCAGTTGTAGAGTAAGTACAGACAGTCAAATGTATGATCTGCCAGTTGACAAACTTCTGGTGAGCTATGAACTACCAGTTGTCCAACCTACAAGCTAGCCAATGCCAGTCAACAGACTTGTTGATTTATGTACCACCAGTCACCTGTCTAGGGATGGGAGTTGATAAGATTCTATTGATACCTATGCCATTACCATTTCTGCTTGCCAATCCAGTCCCTTATGAATTCCCTTTTCAGTTATGGTAGCTTTTTAGTGTGAAAGAAAATATAGCAGGTGCAGCCTTTGATTGATCAACAGACCAATACCAAGAAGGCAGCCTCTGTATAGCACAACTAGCTACCAGCAGAATTGATACAGAAGTTCAGACATACATAACCACAGATAACCTTGTTTTTTAAGTAAACGAACCTGGACAGTCTCTTAAAACAGAGTTTATCTCTGGAAAGCTGCCAGTCTCACAAAGCAAGTGGATTTTACAGTGAGTCAAGTATGTCGTACTGATCTACTTCAAGAGAATACAGTTAAAACAGTTGTTGATAACCTGTACCAGCTGGAACGTAATCTCCAATCCCATCCCTACACATAACCTACCGGTACTAGCCACAAGTTGAACAGACTTCAAGCTGTTTGACCCACTGGGCTTGCAAACTTCTGGTGAAACCAGTTGAACTAAAATGTCTTGACTGTCTTGATGTTTATCATATATAAAATTCCAGTTATCAGATAGGAACTTCCAGCATTTGCGTAATCTAACCATTGAACAAAACTGTAACTTGACTGCCAGTCAAGTACAACACTAGTTGTACGAACTACCAGTTGTACAACCCAATCATCCAACAGACTGCTAGTTGGATGAATTAGTGGTTATATAAACTACCACTTCATTAGCAGTATAAACTTGAAGTTGCATGAATTTCCAGTCATGTTACAATCTTGTTGTACAAACATCAAGTTATATAAACTACCAGTCATAAGATCTATCTGTCTTATGAACAACAACTGCCAATCTTATGATCTATCAGTCTCAAGAACTCCTGATCGTACCAACTACCAGTTTTTCTAACCTTCAGCCAGATATGAACTAACAGTTGCACAAACCACCAGCCATATTAGCTGAAAGTTGTATGATTCGCCAGTAGACAGGCCAGTGTTGCTATAGATCACCAGTCATAGAATCCACCCACTGAAAGAATTTCCAGTTGTAGGAACCATCAGATGCATGAACAACAGGTCACAGGTAATACCGGGCGTATGAACCACCCATTATATGTACTACCTGTCGTACAAACTACACTTCTAACAGTTGAAGCATCCCATAGGCCCAGAGGAGTGCACATTTTTCTTAGCAATCTTCATTTATCCCTCCCCTCTTGATTCAAACCACCAATCGGTCCTTATACATTGGATTCAACAAAGGGTCTTTTTGGTTTGACAGGGGAGGTAGGACCTTTTTGCCTATCTGAGCAGTTGTGGATGACAGGCAGAGTTCGAGCCAGCTTGACATCCAGGTAGGAGGGGTTCTGACTGGCAACCTGGCCACCTCCTGGCTGCACCTCTTGGTAGTCCAGCTGGTTGTCATAAAGGAGGTGACCATTGTGGGCATTGTTGTTGCTGCGGTTGTAGTAGGCAATGGAGGATGGCTGGGGTTTACCCAGGCCCCCTTGGTTGTTTGGGGTTTTGCTAGGTGAGCTGACCACAGTGTCAACTGAAGACACAGCCCAGGAGCGAGATGGACTGAGACAGGATGAAGAACTGGAAGGAGCTTGTTGTTGGTACTGCTGGTGGACCCTTATGGTTCTGTCATTGATGCCCATAAAAGGAGTGTTTCTGGATGAACGGCCTGCCTCTCCAGGGTAAGTACCACCTCCAATGCACATTTCTGACTGTGGAGAGGAGTTTAGGAAGAGGTCGTCATAACCAGTAAACCCTCCGATAGATGCCAGATCTGGGGGCAAGTCCATATGCTGGGTGGAGGCAGATGTCCTAAAGGCCTGGCCTTGACTGTAGGGTTGGGGACCGGTGGAAAACCGGACACTGGTGCTCTGGGAGTGAGAAAGAGGCTTTGGAGGTGGAGCTGAAGGGTGGGCGCTCACTGGGCGTCTTGGTCCACCCTGGTGGTGGTATTCATAATTATATGCTGACAAAAGGTTGTCAGGAGGCCCTGTTGTGGCTTCTGTTACTTCCATGGGGTAGTGGGCTGCTTTTAATTGGTTGCGGCTGAACTGGCGTGCCTGGACAAAACGATTAACCCCTGCCCTATCCACTCCTCCATCTCTAGCGTATGCAGGCATGGGTCTGGTCTGAGAGACAAAATCGTCCACATCATCTGGGGTATATGAGGCTCCAGAGCCCAGACCAGCTTGGACCTGCAGGGTAGGCCTGAAGTCTAGGCCAATGGCCTCCCCCAGCTTGGCCAGTTCTTGAGGCAATTGGCCAAAATGGGAGTAAGCAGAACTTCCCAAGACTGAACTTGACTGAACTGAGGAACTGGGTGGACTGGTTCTGACAATCTGTACTTTAGCTGGTTGGAGCCACTGGGCTTGACAAGAGTTCTGCTTTTGGAAAGATCTCTGATTGGGCAGGTACTGGTGGTGATGCTGCATTCCTGGATTCTGGTCTATGTGTAGAAAGCCTGGATGGTGTTGTTGGCCCCCGTTTCCAGGCATGTTTTCTGTCTCTTGCTGCTGATACTGCATCAGTGAAGGAGGAGGGCTAAAATGGCGGCTAGAGGATGAAAGTGGTGGTGGTGCAGAATGAGAGGGTGAGGAGGAGGAGGGAGGATGGCGATACAGATGAGTCGGGGATAGGGAAGAGGGATGTGTTTGGGCATCTCCTTCTCTGTAACCCCTAACATCCTCTTCCTCGCCTTCTTCCTCTTCCTCAGTAAGCCCATCTCTGTCCTGCACCTGCAGACAGCCTGAATCTCTGCTCCTGACCTCATTGGCAGGAACATTTTGATGATAAACCTGATGTGACGGTGGCGTGGGAGAGTCTTGTTGCCGTGCGGCCTGTCGACACTCTTCCTTGACCCTGGACAGCAGACGCTGGATCTCACGGTTGGATGGACAGAGACGGCTGGCCTCAATGAGGTCCTCCAGAGCTGCATGGTACTGTCTGATTGGCAAAAGAGAAAGACAAAACACGATTTCAGAGGATGACTGAAGAATGCTGAGATGGATCATGTAACAGAGTCCACCAATCCTAGAACTGATCTTATGATGACCACTAACCCTCTGTGTGGAACTGGAAATATTATGGGGCTGTTGGTGGAGCACATAGATATCTGAACAATAAATAATGGATATCAATAGTAAGGGCTTACAGCTGTTTTTGCATAGCCAAGACAATATTCTATTCAAAACTGACGCACTTAAGAATGAGGCATAGATGTGCAGATCACATGTGTTGCTTTGGTTTGAATTGATTTTAGCGCCCCTTATGGACAAACCAATATCTCTTGACACTTTCCTGGCAGCAGTAATTTACTCTTTGAAATTAATTGTCTTGTTGCTGATGGTCTTGGTTGCTTTTTAAAACATATTGAGGCCCCAGTATTGAAGTCAGTCTGTTTAATAAGTTACTTAAAATCCAAGACTACAAGAATAATACCTTTCAACATAACTATGAAAGACAAACTCAGTCACTGGATTTATGCATTATTCATTTAAAGTGATTGGTTCAATGATTTATCCTTATGTTGCTATGGTTACCTGCGACCGCGTTTGGCTCGGGCTCTGGCATAAAAGGCCTCATAAGATTTAGCTTTCAGCTCCAGCGCCTTGGTAGCAAACTCTTCAGCGAGGCCGAAATCCTGTGAAGAAAAAACAATGAGACAACAAGACAGAAGACAGGAGGTTGTGAGGTTATGATCCTAAAATTCATTTAGGGCATGATTTTTTTTTAAAATCACAGTCAACACAGAGAAAGCCAGACAAACTTACGTTCATCTTGCGGTGACAGCGTGACAGGTTGAGCAGCACACACACCCTCAGCTGTCGTAATGCCTTCAGCTCATCTCCTGGAAACTTCTGAAGAGCTGACTGATAGGAGTGAGCAGCTTCCCTCACTTTACCTTGCTACAAAATTCAAACAACATACAGGAAACTCATATTAACTAAAAGCCTGAGACTTTTCAATGCAGTGTGTCTGGGCTTGAGCTTTACCTTGTACAGTTTGTCTCCTTCTTGCATCAGTTTGCTGAGAAGGACCATCAAAATATCTGGTTTAGAGGTGGCCATGGCCCAGGTTGCTGGTCCTGCAGACACAGACAAAATAAGATAAACATCATAGCGCCAGAGACATATGACACATTTTACTATCCATGCCAAGTAAGTTTTTATGAATCAACTTCTATTTTTCATCTTTAAGCTTTATTTTCAAGCTGGCTCTCCAACCCCCCAGAGGACAAAGTCTTGTTTTTACCTATTTTGGCTCCTTTTCTCAGCAGAGCAATGACAGCTGAAGTGTTCCTGCAGCCGACCGCTCGGTCCAGAGGACGCATCCCATTACAATCCACATGCTCCACAGAGGCACCGTGATCCACCAGGTACTGCACCTGATACAGACAGAGACAATAGCAACCTCAGCATGTTTTCATTGTAAAAGAGGCTGAATCGCTTTGTCCAATTTCTGCACTGATGCTGTCAAGAAATATTACCAAAAGTCATTAATATTTTACATAGAATATTAACATGGATATTTGATATTTATAGTAATAAATATTGTAGGGACATTAACAAAATGTAGAGAAAAATGTGGAACAATATCAGAGCAACTTCACATGGATTAATGGATATGAATAATAAATGAATAAAAATATATATCTTGTGTTTTTTTTTTTTTTTCAAAGTCCAAGACACTTTTCAGGAGTTCCATAAAACAGATTTAGTATAAATTAACCAACATTTCTAGAAAGGTTTGAAAAAAGGAACACAAAAACAAAATATGTGCTAATAATTTGCTTAACTAAAGAAAACCTTTTAATGTCTCACTCTCTCTTTCTCTCTGGAGTTTTGCAAAGGGCTGCAAGAGTCTTTTTAGTCAGCTTTGAAGTTTCCTTTTTTTGAAAAACTGAGATTTTTTGTTTCAAACATTTGCAACGCAAAATTTGTCATCATATTTATGCATGTGAGACGTTCTGTGAGTTTTAAGGTGTTAAAATTGTCAAATATAAGATTTGTTTGAGCAAAGAGAGAATAAAACTCAATAGAATTCCAAGTCTTTACACTATTGGTGCTAGTGTGCAGTACAGAGAAGACAGAGACAGACACGTTTGATTGATCGTTTTAAATACCGTAAATATTAGCAAAGATTGTGTCCATTTAACTCACCACTTCTGGGTCACCACAGAATGCAGCCAGATCCAGAGGAGTTCGGACGCTGCGGTCGGCGTGGGTTGTAGCTGCTCCTCTTTCCACCAGCTCTCTGACCAATGGGAGCTTTCCTTTCAGACATGCCCAGCTCAGAGCTGTTAATCCCTCCCTGTCAGTGTGGTCGAGAGATGCACCTGAAAAAAAAAAAACAAAAAAAAAAACAAACAGATTAATATCTCCAACGTCTCAGGACAAACGGTCCAATTAAATATTTTCCCTTTAAAGTCTGAAAAAATACGGCCAACAAGAGGTTGTTTCTGTGGTAGTAAATACAAGTGATTACCATGATCAAGAAGGAGCTGAGCGGTGGTCAAATGTCCCTCTGAGGCTGCCGTCATTAGAGCGGTTCGTCCGTTCTGGTCAACCATGTTCACGTCCAGCCCCTGATTCAACAACAGCTCCACAACCTGACCAAAGACAAAGACAAGGACACACAATCAACGTCTCTGGAGGAAGAATTCAGTCTGGCCCCCCATAATGAATAACAAAAAACCCTCATAAAAAGATTTTTACAACAGTTTATGACCCAACAACAACAAACACGCCATCTGTCTTGTTGCCACTTTGTGTAATTTAAGAGATTACGTGTCGTGAGCATCGTTTGAAGACATGCTTTTGCTGTTATGCCACCGTTTTCTAGTTTGATCTTTCTATCACATGCAGAGTCTTGTAGCGACATCTGTGAACTTGAAATACTTAAATTTTGGTGCACCACTCAGAGACATGCAGTTTAACAGCTGCTGCCTCCTCTTGTTTGTGGTCATATTATGGATCATACATGTAGTGAACTGGCCTCTGCTCTGCTGGTGAGCTCGCAAAGTTTTTTGGAGGGTGTATTTCCACCTTTGCATTTGCCTGCATCAGTCTGCCCCCACCAGACAACATTCAGGCTGCCAGTCACCTGCCCACTCAGATAACTGTACTAATGAGATCACAAACTGAGGGGCTGCAGATCCATCACCAGAGTTGAACGCCTATAGTAACAGTTATAGTGAACCTTTAACTTAATAACGATGACAATCATAAGGCGGTGTATGATGCTATGTCAGGATTTGTTTCTGTCTTGGGTTTCGGCACTCAACACTACGTCTTGTCTGTCTTGTCATTTTGTAGGGCTAAAGACTGGAAATCTTCCTTTACAGCCTCCCACATAATCTACTATTTTATATATGTTCTTAAATATTTACCTACCTAAACTCTTTCAGCTGTTGCAATCTTTGGTCACATGAAGAGATTCTTAATTTGGTCTTAATTTCTTGAGCTTGTTCTATCTTGGGTGAGTAATTAAATGTGCCTGCTCCCTTATCCCACGATTAGCTACAGAACCACCTGAAGCCAAACTAAACAAGATTGTTTTATCAGCATTGATGGTTATAAAAACAGGATTAATGATCACAGAGGGCATGTCTCACGTAGTTTTTGACACATAAAGTGGAATTTTCTTATGCTGCTGTATCAAGAGGCTTTGTATCCTAATGTATATATTCTGTGTGAATTAATGGTTTAATAGGATAAAATGTGTGTTTGTTCGCACTCCTGTACCTTCCAGTGTCCACCTCTCACAGCACTGAAGAGCGGAGCCACACCTCGCCTGTTTACTTGCTTCACATCAGCCTCCTGATCTAACAACAACCTGCAGACAGACAGCCGGCCGCCTGCTGCTGCTGCGGTCAGAGCTGAAACACAGACACAAACACACAGACACACACAGACACACACAGACAGAATCATGATTATTAAATAGAAATATGTGAGTCTATGGAGACGTTTTTTGACTCTTCACGGTTAGAGACTCTGTTTCCAACATAAGCCGATAAAGCAGAGTTTGTGTCTTGGATCAGAAAAATCTGAGGCTGTTTTGGTGTGTCCACATTGTGTACAACCCATTTGTTTTGTACCTGTCTCCCCCCATAGACTGTCAGGTGTGTTGATCTCAGGTCTCTCCTCTTCCTCCTCATCCTCCTCCGGCAGATCCAAGAGGTAGGACACCACCTGCACAGAATACCAATGTATCAAACAAATTATAAGAATAAAGTTATATTCAGTTATAAATATGAAAAAAAACTGTGTGTGTATCTGCATGTGTTCAACCTCTGCATGGCCCTTGCTGGCTGCTGCGATCAGAGCCTGCTGCACCGCCTGACTCCTGCTCGCCCCCCTCTGACTGCAGCAGGTAGTACAGTCCCAATCTGCTCGCCTCAGCAGGAAGCGAAGCACCTGGAGGTGTCCACGCTGAGTGGCGTGCACCAACACACATCGACCTGAGCTGTCCACGTGACCCACCTGGGCACACAGAGAGGTTTTTCACTGTATTTATTTGTCTGTTTTATATCAGATCTCATTGCCTGTTGTGACTCTTCTGTATAATTTACTGTCCTCTGAGCACGACTCTCACAAATCAAGGATCACTGATTTGTTTTCTGACTCATTTACAGATTTATTTCCTTTGCATTACCAGCGATTTCTCCTGTTTCATTTAATTATGAAAACAATTTTTACTCTGTATTTAGAAGTAGGAGTCTGTCTATGAGTAATCAACATTCATTACATTAACCAGACATCAAAAAAGAAGGCTGTGGCAGAAGATATCGATATCACAGTCAGATATACACAAAGTACAAATATAAATGGAAATATGTGATAAAATTTTTAATAATGTTGCATTTTACTCAAAATGATGGTTCGTATGGGTCCAAGCTGGACTCAAAAGAAACAGAGTGCAAGCTGTTTTCATGTGCAGGTGGAGAGGATGTTTCATATCTCTTTTATTTCCTTGCATCTTTGGCGTACAGAACAATTATGCAAGGAAAACATGTAAGTTGAGGATGCAAGGATGCAAATTCAGAGAACCAAGATGTGTCCCTTTGCTGCCTACCAAAACAAATACCATATACTGTTCTCGATACAACCACTGGATGGTGCCAAAGAGCAATGATTTTAAACTCTTGGTGATTAAAACACAGAGGATCTAACATGTAGACGGGTGGACAGGTACCTTTGCTCCACACTGACTCAGCATGGTGACAATATTCAGATGTCCGGCTGCTGCAGCGAATCCCAGCGCAGTCATACCGTCATGTGACTGAGCGTCCACCTTCAAACACAAGACACAAAATTCTTTGTTTCCATTTTACTGGCACAATATTTAACTTACGAGTAATGACTCCTCAAGGTCAGGTAAAATAAAAATCTGATCACCTGAGCTCCGTGGTCGAGCAGCAGAGCCACAGCATCACTGTGTCCCAGGTGAGCGTGGACACACAGCAGGGGGGCATTGTTAAGGACATCGCTACGGAAATCCACCTCAGCCCCACCCATTATCAGCAGCCTGCTCACCTGCACAGGTAGAGAGGAAGGTTTGAGCTCACCTTTCAGAGCAGGTACAGGTGAATTTATTCATGCTGTGTGTTTGTTACCTTGATGTTTGGGGTGTAGAGGTTACGCAGCGATGAGAGGGTTGAGCTCAGGCTGCCTGTGCTGTAGGACAGCCAGAGCCCCTGCAGGACTGAGGAGGAAACCCCAAGCTTCTTACTCAGACCCTGGCGACAGAAACATATAGAGAAACGGAAATTTAAAGGAACTTATTTGAAATTGTTAAGTTTGAACATGGAGAGGAATAAAACCAACAGGTCTTTGGCTGACAATTTTCAGTGATGGTTTTGACATTTAAGGCGGTATGATCAATTTACAATTCACAATGTCAACTCATGCACTGAGTTAGATGATAGAAAACGCTCCACCTTAAATTTCTTTCTTCATAAATATCTGGTATTTTTGCAGTCTGACTCTAAAGCATGAGTTACCATGGTGATTCACACAGGTTAAAAGACAGCCAGCTCCATGGAACTGAAAACTCTGGCTCTACACCCTCTAATCTCACTTTATCTTCCCTCCATCTTTGCTCTCTGTGAGCTCACCTTGTAGATGTGAGCCTTCAGGATGTGATGTCCCAGCTCCAGCGTCTGCTGTTTGTTCAACTTTCCTTCTTGCCTGCAGAGCCAGAACGCCAGCAAAGTGTGTCCGCTCCTGAGGAAATATATAGCACAGTCTGAGTCCCTTGCTCCTACTTTGGGCCCCCAAATAATCTGTCCAGCTTTTACAACATTGTGTCCACTAACATATGTTTTTTGTGCTGGCAGTGCCTACTTTCTGTTTCTGTTTCATGTTTTTTCCATGTTCAGACAGCCTGAAGCCGGTACACAAGAGGTATTTTCTTATTTGAACAAGCTGCTCTCACTAACTCCAGAACTGAGACTTTGATATAAATTGTGAAATTTGTTTTGCATCTTTTTTAAATCAACCTTACAATACAGTGATCAAAAGTTTCCACTCTCCATACAGCTCATCATTTATACACGGACAGATGCGAGCTCCATCAGGTTGAGAGTGCACAACGCAGCTCTGTGCAGCAGGTAGATCATTTTTGTTTCTCTGTACCTGGGGTCACAAAGGAACCTGTCATCCTGCCCATCCTCCCTCCACACCAGCCATTCCCTGAAGGAGGCGTGGTTTATCATCCAGGTGCCGTCGCTCCGCCTCAGCAAGAAGGAGGAGAGCTGCTCCAGGCGCTGCACAAACTCCCCCCAGGGCAGAGCTCCACCGGCCAGAGCACCAGCATTCACCACCTCAAACAGCTGAGAAAGAGACAAAAACAGTCGTTTTTATTGCTTTAGGTTTATTTTTGTCTGCAAAACATCAGAGAACACACATTTAGAATCTCCATGCAAGATGACATGAGCAGGCTACAAAATAATAACGCAAACATGGATAACTGTTCACAATGTTCAGGATTTTCGATCAGTGTCTCAGCATATTATCATTTTATTGGCATCGAAAAGTTGAAGGTGGGTACCTGCTGATCAGTCAGTGGGTGCAGTGAAGCCACAGCGACATTCAGCAGTGGCAGAACTCTCTGGAAAGATGACTGGGTGGGAAATCTGATGTTCAGCTGCAGCAGGTAAACTTCCGCAAGACTAACAGGGACCACCTACAAGAAGGTGCACATCCAAAAAGAACTGTTTTAATCTGACCTGTAAATATAATAAGTTTACTGGCTTATTAGATGTATTTTTAAATGACGGCACAACAAAATTAGTCAGGGTTTTTTCACACACACAAAAGAGCAAAGGTATGAGAGGACAGTTTCAACACTTAATTTTTCCACTTCTTCTGGGATTTTTTACCAACTTTTTGATAAAAAATGACCAAACAAATAAGCAAGGCACATAACCAAAACAATTCCAAACTTGACTTTTCTGCTCTGGCTCCCCTCTCCCTCTTCTTCCTCACCTTAAAGCTGGAGCTCTTAAGGACCAGGTATCCCCTCTCAATCAGGTCCAGGGTCAGTTTAAGGTACAGGTATGATCCTTTGCTCAGGCTCTTGAGGTGGCTGATCAGTTTGGCCAGAGCCATGTTATCAAGGCGTCCGTTACTGAGCGAGACGTTGCTCTGGATCTGAGAGCTGCTGTGAATACGCTGCATCAGATACCCCTGAGAGAGGGAAAGAAAACAGAGATATACTGTGTGTGCCGATGGATAAATAAAGACAAACAGGTTGATGAAGAGAGAAGGTGTGTTTGTTACCTGCAGATCTTTGTCTATGGCGTTGTTCTCCTCCATCCTGTCCAATGAGATGCGGTGAAAAGGTAGAGAGGAAGTAATGTCCTGTGTCAGAAGAAGAAGACAGAAACAATTTCAGATGGTGTTATATGTCCCGTGAGGAGGTTGACAAGAATTTGTTGCCATGGAAAGACAATAATGACGACACACAAAATCAGAACATCCAAATGTTAAATAAACCAGTTTTAAATGTCATGGTGCTTGTGTGTGTGTGTGAGTGTGTGTTTGTGTGTGTGTGTCCTGTGTATCCATACCTGCTGACCCGTCCTCACAGTGGTGATTATCTTCAACCAGGAAGGAAATTTCTCAACGTTTCGGGCCAGGAAGGAAGTCAGCGTGTCACCGTAGTCCGGCCGGTGGAACTCTGCCTCATTCAGCCCGTCAATCAAAACAATAAGCCCCGCCCTCTCCACATGCAGCTTTCTCTCTGGAATAAAAAAAACAAAAAAAAACAGAACAGCTAAAGGAGATGATTTTTACTCCACAGAACACAAGAAAATAAATTCTACTCCACTTTGTTATTCATATATTGTCTTTTTTTTATCCATAAAGAAGCCAGAATGACTTTGAAATATGTAATAATATGTAAATATGACTGAGCTGACAAAATATACAAGCAAAATACTCAACTGTTACACTTAGATCACACAACAGATCCAAGTTCACATGCAATGCAAATGCAAAGACATCCAAACAAGTTCAAATGCTTAAAATGAAAATTGAAGAAGTGGTCACTTGACAGGAAAAAGTATTTCTTTTTGCCTTAGCTTACTAAATTCCCTTTCAAAAAGACAGCTATTAAAGTTTCATATCCGTCTGTACATTTCCTTAAATCACAGGCAGGGCATTTCTGATAGTTTTGATTCCTTCTTTTGAACCTCTGTGAAACTGCTGACCAAACTGAGCCAATGTTAAAGTCTGCAGGCGTGTACGGATGGCGTCTTCGCACTGTAGCAGTGATGAGCAAGACTTCTGATGTCAGCTATAAAGCCTTAAGTACAATCATGTCATGAATCAATAAATGTCAACAGTTATAGTCTCATTCAGGTGAAAAAGCTGAAAAGATCAAGTGAAAAAAAACCAAACATATTTATCCCAGTAAACAGACTTTGTTTGAGTTTGAGCTGTGCATGTCTTTAGAGAGCATCAGGTGTCTAAACTGAGCCAATGAAAAGCTGCACAGCTCGTGGTTGAACAGATAAATGAAGTATCTATTTCAGACATAAAAGAAGGATTTATGAGAATTTGTTGTTATATTGACAAAACTAGAGATGCAACAATTTACAGGTTATATAATGACCAATAATGGCACCACTGACTAGTATCTGCCACCTCCAAATAATGTCCTCTGAACTAATGTGAAAAATTAACCTCCCTCATCAACTTGATGCTGGTATTTAAATGCTGCTTCTGAAGGAGTCTTGATAGAAAACTTTTAAAACTTTTTTTTTAGAACTTCTATGGCGTTTTCTTTATACAGAACAGAAATAAGGTGCATGGTTAGAAAAAAAGGTTACACTCAGTTGAAGCTGTTCGTACCTCTGTAGAGAGCATCCAGTGGTTCCAGTATCCCTCGCTGCAGAGCAGAGTTTGGGTCCTGGATGCAGGAGCGCAGACTCAGTGTACTCTGCAGCTGTGAGGACTGATGCAGCAGCTCTCGATAGGCTGTCAGCTGGGGAGCTTCACTCAGCATGGCGGCCATGTTGTAAACAAACTCCGGGACCAGACAGGTGTGACAGTTATCAGCCTGACAGAAGTGATAGGAGACCACCTGCAAAGACAGACAGGAGGAGAAACGTGCAGGACGTTACATTTAATGACTGTGAGTTTCTCTACAGGACCTTAGTCACTTTCATAGCTGCGCAGTCGTTCTCTTACCTGTCCTGCAAGCCTCCTCAGCGCCTCCTCCTGTCTCCTCCTCATCTCTGGAGTCCCTGGACAGCTTCCTCCTCCTTCATCACCTCCTCCTCCTCTTCCCAAGGAATCATGAGAAAAAGATGCAGCATCTGCACCTGAAGATTTAAGAAATTTCAAAGCTCAGCAAAGATGCACAAAACTAAACTTTTCCAGCTCTGTCTGCTGTTTTTTTTAAAACTGTGCTTCTTCAGCTTTATTCCATGTGTTTTCTACTTCTTGGTTGTCAGTCTGGTTGATTTTATGGAGCTCCTCGTGATGACTCAGCTCTCTTTAGCAGAGCATATGAGGTTCTCTTTGTGGCTGGAATTACTTAAATGGGGGTCCTTTGGAAAGCATGTAGAAACGGCTTCTGCCAAGAATTTATTGTGTCCCCCCTCGAGTGCCTTCCAGGACTGAACAGTATGAAACAAAAACACTGTTTCAGATACTTTACAGATGGATTTGTGCATGTTTACCACAAATAAACCTCAGCGAGAGATGGAAGTAATTAAATGTTGAAAAGTCTGCATAATGACTCACAGTCTGATGTTTTTTTGTCAACTTATGGAAATGAGAGGAAATCTGTGAGGAGGAAATCACTCTCTTTGCTTATTAAGATGCAATACAGAAAAGTACGATGAGTTAACACGTCAAGAATACATGAGCTAAGATAAGAGGAGATAAGATAGAAAACTATGAGAAAACAAGAGGCAGACAGGAGAGTTCAGGATGTACAAAAAAGAAAACACAGAATATGATGTCTGAAGATACAATGTGTTACAGTGCAAACCATGATGGGAAAGAATATGTGCCACAACAGTCCAAACTTTACCAAACCAATCAATATCATATCACACCAAACATAACAACATGAATACCAAAGATACAATACGACAGGATACAATACGATACGATACGTGTGATGTGTTCATCAATTCTAAAATCTAGTTGAACAATTTTAGTTGTTTCCATCCTACTACACTACACTACACTGCAAATAAGTTAAAACTTGATTTGAGTTTTTGAGTTTATTTGATTTAGGCAGCAGGTAAGCGGTGTGATTGACTAAAAGTTGCAAAGATCATTCCAAAGTAAATGCATAATTAGATAGGAATAAAATAATGTCCACCTTGTAAAGCATGTGTTGTTTTGTATTTAAAAAGTTTAACTCATCACTTTGGAAAGGTTCGGTATTAAAGACACACTTACTTTTGGTTGTGGTTTGGTCGCTGGCTGTTGGAAACATGCGTTTCCCATGACAGCTGAGCGCCACCAGACGAGCGATGATCGCAGTTTTTCCAAAGCCCATGTTCCCTACAATCACCACACCCTGACTGGTTGCTGGGTCATCACCACAGAGACACAAATCTACTTCCTGGTAGAGCCATTCTCTGCCAGTGAAGAGCCAATCTGACGAGAGACCAGGGACCTCAAAGCGGAGAGGCTTCAGGTTGAGAGAGGGGGTGAACCGAACTGCAGGAGATGGAACATGGGAGGATTGTGGTTTAATAATTTTACAAATCAGTGCGTGTGAGGCATTAGAGGAACATCGGAGTGCGTTAATGAGTTTTTACCTCTATGATCCTGTTGACTACGGCTCCCAGAGTTCTGTCTGGGCATCCTGAGGGATGTCCTTGATGGGATATGTCTCTGCTGCTCATCTAGGTAAGCCAGATCTTCAAGGTGGGCCGAACAGGTGGCTATAAAGAGACAGGGGGTGGATTATGATAATTTTCTACATAAGACAGAAGGTCGGGATGACTGACTTGAGGAACAACACAATATTGATTCCAACATACAACATCACAGTGTCTACAAATGCCACTTATTTACAAATGGCTATGCAACTTTTACTGCAACAAGCACAGCAGCCTCTTCACAGCACTGAGACCGCTTTGGATAAGTTCTTTGACATTTAATTAAAAACATCCTAGAACTGGATCTTAGTGTTGCTTTTAATACAGATAACCATGTATACTACTTGACTAACTGGAGAACTCAGGGCGACTTTCTGGCACAGTGTTGAAGTGGTTTAAACCTTAAAGACAATGACTTCTTCTCACATAACTTCACATCTCAGCAGAAAAAAAATTTCATATGGAGTTCCCCAAAGTTCTATACTAGGACCTTTTCTGTTAAGTATCTATTTTGCTCTGCTGGCTCAAACTACAGAAAACAACAACACTCTTACCTAGAGAGAGGAAAGAGACAACTTTGTGTCTCAAAGTAACTTCACATTTAAGTAGAAAAGAATTTTATGGGGGCTCTATCCTGGGACCCCCTCTGTTTAGTATTTTCAACCCTCCGCTGGTTTAGATTATGGACAACAACAAAATAAAGTATTATAACTACGCAGATGACACACAGTTTCATACATACATAATGTTGAGTGGTAAAGCATGGCCCCATGCCCTAAATGAGGGACTTAAAAAAACAAATTGTTCGAACAAATCAAATAAAACCAAGAATGTCATCTTCATTTTTTCCCCTTCAATTCTTTAACTTGTATGTGTTTATGTTAAAAAATTGTCTTACATTATCATATGTTAACTTTCCATTTTGCTGTTTTAATACATATTTGTCATGATAATAGCTTCTTCTTGCTTTGGTTTGTAAAAGGTTGTTTTAGTGGTTTTTAATGTCACCTTTTTGTTGGTTTTTAAAGTTTTCCTAGTTTTGTGTTAACCACTTAGATTTGCCTCGTTGCCAAAATATACTCAAGAAATAAGCCTGCCTTGCTTCGCTTCGCTTGAAACCTTAAATGGGTGCTTCTGCAGATTAGTGCTAGCACAACGCTCCCAAAAAGACCTTCACTTCCTTTTCTTCTCTAAACTGAGTGAGGTGAAGAACACGCTGGACAAGTGTGATATTGTCCGTGGAGAGCACTGATTTGTCATCCACTACAGCTCCAACAAAGCTGAACTGAAACCCAATGAAGCTCTGATAAATGTTAGAAACTTTCAGTAGTTTCAGCCCTTAGCTTCATCTAATACACAAAAACAAACAATAAATGACAGAGACCTACCGAAAGCGTGTTTGAATCAGTCCAGTTACACTCCCCTCCAGTGCTCTGTGCTCTGTATCCTGTGCGTATGTATGTGTCTGTCTGTGTTTTCAGAAAACGTCATACATGTCCCTTCCTTCCTCTCCCATAGTGCTGTGTTTTTTTCAGTTTTTACGAGACACAAGAGGAAAAGGAGGCTGAGATCAGAACAATTTGCCCTGTTGTTGTTTACTGGCTTTTTTGTTGATCTGTACCATTGCTTCACATGTAAAGCTCCATATCACCCCATTTTGAATATTTTTTGTTATTCAGATTCAACCAGTGAGATTCACGTGTTGTCCTATGAGTTTGAACTCAGCCACTCTCTCTCTTTTGTTTCCACTCATAATGCTGTGCTCAGATATTAGCTTGGTCTGTAGGGTCATTCAGTCAGCCTGTAGGGACTTGATTTGAGAACAGGAAGGTCACTGGTTCAAGCCCTGAGATGGACTGAAGAATGGAAACTAGGCTTGTAGCTGGAGAGGTGCCCGTTCACTTCCTGGGCACTGCTGTGAAGTCAAGAGCTTCAATCCAAACTGTACAGACCCTGACTCTGACATCTCTTTATTAGAGCATTTTTGGAAAAGCATGTAGTTATTTCTTGTCTGTTTGTGTGTGGCATGTTTAATAACAGAGTCACAGACTGAAATTCCCCTCAGGGATTAATAAAGTTTGTCTTCTTCTTCCTGTAACTGCAACCTCAATTTGTCTACAGGCTTAAAAAACTTCATATCCGCTGTTGTTAAAAGCACAAATATGGCTCCAGTTCCAGAAGTTGGGAAACTGTGTAAAATGTTGACAAAAAACAGATGGTATGCAAATCATGCAGAGCCTGTATTCATCTGAAAATAATTTAAAGAAGACATATCAAATGGTGACGCAAAAGAATGCAATTGTTTTATGAAAAAATACAGAAACGTCTTTGGGATCCAAGCTTGTTTAAGATGGACAAAGTAGAAAACTTTCCCGTAGTCTAAAAAATAAAAAATTCAACACTCTTATTGGAAATCATTGATGGTTTCATCCTCCACTCTTAATAGAAGAAAGACCTCCTGGGCTATTATAAGCGCACAGTTCAAAAACAAGCATCTCTGATGGTGTGGGGATGCAGGTGTCAATGGCATGGCTAGACCTTCATATTTCAGCAAAACAAGGCCACACCACATTCTGGGCAAATTACAACAGCATGGTTCTGTGGCAGAAGAACCCTGGAGCCAAACTGGTCTTACTCGTCACCCATTTAATATTTTGGCGTAAAACTAAGTTAGGGTCAAACACACCATAACACCGAGTTAGACACCCCCTCAAAAGATGAATGTTTGCTAACCGCTTGCTTCTTTAGTTAAACCAACTTTAGTAATGACCGCATGATAGCAATACACAGTGGTCTCAGGAGCCATAAACAAACCTCAACCAAAACGCCTCTCTAGAGTCACAAATAATGCTCAGAACAGCACCTAACTTCATCAACAGTACATATAGGGTCCCAGCCATAGAACTAGCCACCAAACATCCTTTCAGCTTTGCCTGATTTCTTTAGCAAAGAGACGAAACACAACTCACCTACTCTCTTCCAGCAGCCGCTTGTTTGTAGCGAGACCTCGGGACAGTCCATTACGGACTGCTGCGGGGTGACGCAGCTCAAGGAAGAACATTTATGATCATTTCTTTATCGTTTCCTTGAAGTAATAATCACCATACTGATAATTTTGCACTGCAGACGCGGTAGTTCTTCTACCTTAGCGTCTCAGTCTGATTTCATTTCCATGAAGAAACCCTATCTGACAAGGTCGCATGTTGTAGAACAGTGAGAATACCTTGAAACAATATACAATATATACACCATACTGTGTTACAGTAGCTTTGATTCTGACACACTTTGGAGTTCAGCCTTTGTTTTCTCTATCACTAATGCAGGGGGGAGAATGATGTAGTTTCCTTCCTGACAGGAAAGAGTATGTGGGTCCAAACTGCAGGACTGGAAACCAGCGTCAGTCACACCCATACACACGTCATGATTTATCCAACTTACCAGCTACTGAATTGGGGCGAGGCATGAGGTAGAGCGGGATGGAGTGGGTGGAGCCTGAAGAGCCAGGACCTCGCTCGGGGTGGAGTTTGTTGAGGCTGTAAGTAGAGGCGGACATGTTGTCTTCCGTCCTGTACAGGAAACCATCATTCACTCTTCCTGCCATCATACTGGAGGATGAGTTGGAGGAGACCACTGGCCGACCCCCATGCTGCCAGAGGTTCAGGCTGCTGCCATGGTAACCATCTCCAGGGTATTTGGCGCTGTCTTCCCGCTCTGCTGCAGAGTCAGCGGAGTAGCTGGTAAGCGTAGCTAAAAAAGAAAGAGGAAAAGTGCTTGATTGTTCAGAAGTGGAAATGTGTTTTTTTGGTTTTAAGACGCTTTGAGAACCGCCATGTACCGATGATGCCGCTGTCTCTGCTCTCTAAGGTGGAGGTCGGGGAGGTGACGGAGGCGTGGAAAGAGGAGGAGTGCTTGTTATTGTTGTTACCCTCCCCTCCAGCAGGGGGCTGCAGAGTGGAGCAGGGGGAGGCACCGCTACTGGCCAGACTGGAGGAAGGAGAGATCCTCTGAGGGGAAAAAAGAGACGACATCCTCAGTTCGATGTGTGCATGTGGACAAACACGTACACTTCCATTTATGAGACCATGCTAATAAACTAAGGACAGTCTCTTCAGAGAATAAAACTTAGAGGGAAAAACAAAAAACATTATAAATATATTTAATATTTAAGTTGGTTATATAAAACTCGATTTTTAGATGACTCTCTGTTTGTTTTTCTTCACCTGTGCATCATCCTGATCATTGTAATGTGATCCGCCCTCTCCACTGACGATCTTGTCTCCCAGCAAGAAGCCCAGCCGAGTCATCAGAGCATCAGCTGCCTCGTCCACAGTGGGAGGGGGTCCTAACTCCTCATCCTCACCTGGAGAGGGACAGAAAGAAGAAATGTGAGATAGGTTGTCGTCAAGCTTAAACTGGTCAGATCAAATGGGACCACCAGACACATTGTGATAATTATGATAGTGTTTCTGTGTGAATTCAGCGCATACCTATGGGAATGAAAGAAAGGAGTCATATTTCATTAATGTGTGTTCATGTGTCTCTGCAATCATGCTGTGTAATAATTCTGTAAAAGCTTTTTTAAACAGCTGAGGAAGGTTACAGCACTACTTCATTTCAGACATATTTTTAACATCATGTTTGTTGTTCTGATGTTCTGCATTTTCAAACTTTTTTTTTTAATTTTGACTTTTTGCTGAGAGGTCTGGCTTGTTTCTTGAAATTCTCTCAACAACTTCACTTCTTTCTGAAGTATTTTGACTTGTATTTTCCTCTGAATGTTATTGTTATTCCCCAAATTTTGACAATTTTTCAATATTGACTTTTGCCTTCAAGATTCTGACCTTCCATCTTGATTCTCTGAATTTTTATCTTTTTCTGTTTTAATTCTCACTTTTATCCAGGATTTTTGCTTTATTTTAAAACTCCAACCAAATTCTGGGGGCTTATGATTTTTTTCTCTCAATCTCAAAATCTTGGGTTGTTTCCTAGACTTTTTTTATTTATTTAGATTTAGATTTATTCTCCAAAATTCTTCAATCTGATTTTCAATCTCAGAATTCTCAGAAATTGAGGTTGTATCTTGTTATTAAATTTTAAACTAGAGACTAAACTAGAGACAGACAGAGGGAAAAACAGAGATACCTATGACACATAAATCAACAGGGGAAAGACTAGACTAAAAAAACTGTGACAGAAGAAACTACCCATGACATGAAAACTGAAAACTGAGGGTTAAATCCAAATGACAATCTAATGAAAAGAAGCTTTGGGCTTATTTGTTTCCGAATGTGCTAACTGCATTAATATTCCTATTGTGTAAGTACTTGTACAATGGTGTGTGTGGACAGAGAGGATCAGGGTGGGTCTTGATATTAACCACTAGAATTTCATAATGAAAAACAGAAATAAAAGCAGCATTAAAACTAGCAACACTGGCAAGATTACACTGTAAAAAAAACAAGATACTGATGGTTGAATATCAGCAGAGCAATAATACTTTGATGACTGGAAAGTTTTCTGTCAAGAGTTGAATCCAGAGGAACTCAAGTCGACTTGATTCAAAGGCTGTGACAAAAAAAGCTTGTACCACATTTTCAGGCTCTGTGTAGTTAAAGGGGAACTGAGGAGTTGGTGAAAAGGCTCTGCGGGTTCGTCGGTGAAAGCAATTTGACTTGTAAATATTGAACTGAAACACAGAGACCATCAGAAGGCCTGTTTGTGGAACAGTCTGCACTTGTACTTAATTTCAACATATACACTATCATAACCTAAATATGCCAAGACTAAACACACACACACGCACGCACACATACACACTTTAATTGTATACACATTACACACACATCTGTACGACACAGTAAGCCACAGCAGGAAAGCTCATAGTCTCTGTCTCTTTCTTCCACAGTCTATAATTACAGCTATAAATTGCTGACTGTTGGACTAAATACCAGAGAAGCATCACGCACACACACATGCACACACACTCACACACACACAAAATCAAACCAAACGAACCCAAAGCAGGCTGGGAGGACTGTGTGTGTATGCACGCACATACTTGCATGTGTGTGTGTGGTTACTCAATGACAGGGTGTGTGAGTCGTTTTTAGAAGAAGAAAAATAAAATGGAAAGATCAGATACAGAAAGCAGACTTTTCCATTCCTCCAGCTTCTGATTATTCCAACCAGTCCCAGTTTAACCAGTCTGTCCTCTCTTTCATCCTCTGTCCTTCTCTTTACTGTGTCACCATTTTAAAAAACAATAATCACATATTTAAGTTAGAAATTAATCAGTGAGGTGAGACCAAATCTGTAGTGTACACACTGATCTGTAGAGATTTTTTATTCTTCACATAACACTTAAATAAGGTAGAGCAAAAAAATGAACTTTTCCTTTGACAAATCACAAATTTGACAGTCTTTTTGGAAATCATGGATGCTGCATCCTCTGATCTAAAGACGAGAGGAACCAACTGGCTATTCTGCAAATGTCAGTAAAATAGGACGTTTCAGAGAGGTTTAGTCTTGCAGAAGTTCAGATGGTAATTCTGTAAGAGACTGTGTGAGTTAAAGGATTTCATCATCTACATTAAATAATATCACAGAATATGGAGAGATCACTATGCAAAAAAAAGGACTAGGCTCAAAATCGATACTCCATGGCTCTAATCTTTGGACCCTTAGGTGGGGCTGAAGTGAAAGCAGACATGACTCTGGAGAGGAACGACTGGAGAGGAATGACCTTACTTAATTGCTGAATCCATAAATGCAAGTTTGAACTGTACCATGCAGAGAGAAGCGGTGCAAACAAGCAAACCATCAGAGATGTTTAAAGCCAGCATCCCTGATGATACGGCTTATTACATGGGCAGCTTACCCATCTGTGAAACCTCCATTAATGCTGAACAAAATATATATATACAAAGGTTAAGGAGCAACAAATGCTGCAACCCCAATGATGATTTCTTTCAGGGTAGACCTTCATATTTCAGCAAGACAATGACAAACCACAGTCTGTCTGTATCACAAGAGCATGGCTCTGTAGTAGAGGAGTCCTGTTGCTGAACTGGCCTGTCTGCAGTCTGTGCTGCATACTCAAATGCAGGTTAAAACTCAAATGTACAATGAGGCAACTGTCCTGGCCAGGACACACTTAGAAAAAGTGATTTTTGATCTCAATGTGGGTTCTCCTGATAAAATAAAACTTAAATGAACTAAAATAAATAGATATATTAACATGATGTAGAAAAGCTGGTAAACTCTGTGGGCCTGAGCCTATTTATGATTGACAGTGGCAAGGTGAGTAAATGTCCTGCATTCCTAATGATATGGGAAGGCAGGTGAAGAAGGCAGGTGATACAGAGTCCCAGAATGACCTCTGAGTGTTTAGTACACTGGCCTCCACCACTACTGGCTCTGTGGTTGGATTCAAGCTGGACTCAGTGGAGGATGTGGTGGAGAGATCTACACTGAGGAAGGTGGAGACTATTCTAAAGAACATGGATCACCCACTTCACAAACCTTGATGGACCAGAGGGCCAATGGTGGTGGACGGTTCCTCTCTCTTTGCTGCAGGACAGAAAGATTCAGAAGATCTTTTGTACTGACAGCCATCAGATTGTACAACTCTTCTGTAAATAGTAGATGACTTTTAGACACATGACAACTGAGACGACAGAAAACTGGATTTCCATTCGGGGATTAATTAAGTTCTTCTTATTCATATGTCAATTCTTTTTCTTTAAGATTTGTTGTTTGAGCATTAGCACCATGATGTTTTGATCTTTTTTAGCTTGTCTCACTCTCTTACTAATGCAGTCCTCTTGTGCATGTGTAAAATGAGCACATTTGTTTCGTGAAACAGTCAAAAACAGTCAAATATCTTGTCTTTGCACGATCTTGAATTAAATATTGTTTTTCACATAATTTGCAAACCAATAAAGTCCTCTTTCAGAAACATTCAGACAATGTACCATCTTTAATGGATTTTGGGTTTTAATTAAATCTTGCTCATTTGTGTTTATCGTTTCTTGTTCTCATTTATTGTTGGGTCAATAATCTTAACTACCTATTTGAAAACAACGCAGTGCCTCAAGATTTCCCCAAGTCACAGTTCACTGATGCCATCCACTCCTCACTGGACAGATTGAGATATTTTATGATACAGTGATTATTAAAGACACACTGACAGTTTAAGAGTCAGTTCTGATCTAAGTAGAAACCTCCAGGGTTTCCTTCATTCTCACCTTCCTCCTCACTTCTTCTTCTTCTTCCTTCATCCCTCCATTCTGGACACAGCTCTGAGTTATCCTCTGGTGACAGACAGCAGCAGGTGTAAAACAGCAAACACTGCAGCAGCGAGGAGGCGCGGTTTACGACCCCTGCTGCCAAGACACCTCTGCCACATCTGCAGTGAGCCGCCGGTCGCCAGGAGGAGGGCCGCCGCCTGAGCCGACACAGCTTGGTTCTGGAGCTGGCACAGGCTTTCAAAATAGCCGCTGTGCAGTCCATCGTGAGTCTGCTGTGAGATCTGATTGGCTCAGAGAGATTCCATGAAGGGGGCGGAGCCAAGAACCGAAAGTGCAGCTATTGCTTTCAGAAAACAAGAGTTTTATGGATGAATGAGAGCAAAGTTTTCAAGTCCGGTTGAGTGTTGCTTTGCTGTCATGCTGCCTGTCCTCGACTTGCAAGAAACGTAAATGCAGGAGATAAAATCACCATCTGGTCTGTTTCATTTTGCTCCTGAGCTCCTCCTTCTTCTCCAGAGTGCACAAAGAGGAGAAGGAGAGTGAGGTGAAGGAGGCAAGGATACAGAGATAAGAGGAAGAGACTCTCCAAGAAAGAAAAAATACACCAGGGGTAGCCGAGTTAAAAAAGCAGGATGATCAGATATGAAAACCGGGGTTCAAGTCAAACCTCATTTGAGCTGAAAAGGCAGATTCTTTGCAGAGGAATCCAAACGCTTTCAAACACAACACATCTGGATAATGAATCAACTGCTTATTGTCCTTTTTATGCCAAAAAATGTAAGTCCTCTCATCCACAGGTAGAGCCTCCTCAAAACTCAGCAAAGAGAGAAACTGGAGCAAGAAGAAAAAGTTTCAAAGTCCTTCCAGACGAGTTTGTCTTTGTTCAAGAGAAAACAAGCAAAGTTTCCAAGAGTAAGAAGAGTTTTTCTTTCAGCAGCCGAGCCTCCCTATCTGCTCTGAAAGTCGACCTCCCTCGTCTGACTGCACCGAAAATCAAAAGCTCCCCTCCTCCAACCCAAAACAGCACACACACACACACACGCACACACTCACGCACACACACACTCATACAGAGCAGAGAGAGGGAAAGACTGCAGGGGGAACCGAAGAGAGTAATCTGCTACACGTCGAGAAGTTTGGAAAAACATTCAGCTCTCCTTTCTTCTTCTCGTAGAAAACAGTCAAAAAGAAAGAAAAAGACTCAAAAGAAGACTCTCCGAAAAGCTACAATTAAAGTTAAACTCTTTCCTCCAAGAACAGAAGAGCGTCTGACCACAAATCACAGAGCAGATGGAAAACTGTAATCCAGTTAAGCCCATAAAATGTGAAAAATGTAGAAAGAAAAGAAGCAAATAAAAAGCTGGAATCTCATTAAGCAGTAAAATGATGTTCAGCTGATGCTCTGAAACAAAGTTAAAATGAATATTTTTGATTAAAAAATCATTATAATGACAAAGAGTTCAGAAAGGTTGAAGTTTGACTAAAACGTATTCATTTGGATTTACAGTTGGATTAGATGTAGGGCTGTCCAACAATTTATTAAACTCTTTAAACCTCCAGCAGTAATCTTGATTTCTGGACTAATCATAAAAACAAATGCTCCATGACTTTACCAGTGAGGTCTGAAACATTAACAACAACCCAATGACAAAAAATGTCGAACAACCAATAGACAGAAACTAACAAGAGTGATCAAAACAACCATAAAATTAAGAGAAATCATTGGTGTAACTCAGTGACAGGATCCAGACCAGTCCTGTTCATGGCACTGCTTCAGACAGCCAAGAATTTCAGACATAAATAAGCAGGCTAATGTCTAAACTTGGCTGTTAATTTAAAATTTTTAGTTCGATTAGTTCTGCAAGAACACTGATAAGAATCTGCTGGTAACGTTTTCTGCAGCAGAATCTAAGGGGTAAAACATACAGGATGCGTATATTTCCTGGTTATGGATTTAGCAGTAACACAGAACAATCCCATGGTCAACCCCTGATCCATGTGGACCCCAACAGGACTTTTGACTGCTAACTCTGTCTGAAGGTAACAGCACAGCATAAAGTAACATAGTTTATTTTACACAAGTAAACCTGTAAAAACCGAAACTGTAAAATCACGTTGCCTTTTCACATACAGTAGAGGCTCAACGGTCACTGAATTATATCCAAATTAGCAGGAGAAATAGACCAGAGAAAGGCAAAACAACCTGTTGTGAGCATGTTGTTTCCTCTATACTGAGCCCAGCTGACCAGGGCCGCACTATGCTGCTGCCACGCTCCAAATACACATCCTGTATGTGATACCAAATGCTACTCTACGGAGCAAATACAGAACGCGCTCAATACGGATCCTTTATGTTTTCAGCTTTAGGGGCAAATTGTTTTAGCTGTATAAAGTAATCCTTTTTAAATTGATGCTTTGTGTCAAACATGAGCAGGTGAATGTATAGTGAGCAGGTGCTGAGGGGAATTAGAATCCCTTCAATCAGTGGTTACGTTGTTCATGCTCTAAAGACTTAAATTTTCATGACCACAAATAGTCAAAGACTGGATGAATGAGCTGAAGAGACCAAAGCAGTTTACTCAGGCTGTAAACATGTAAAGGTCAGCGTTGTAATATAGGGCCTGATAGGGATTGACTCACTTTCAGAGCCAGCCTCCACTGGCCACTTGAGGAACTGCAGTTTTTGGGACCTCCATACTGATGGATAGATTTCTCAGCCCTAAGGGTTACTGCTCGTTTCAAATGTGGTGATATGTCAGTGTTATTCTTGTGAACTCATTCAACTCCCCCATGTGGCCGAAGAAGAGGATCTATTTCCATGAATCAGCCTTTCTTTCAATCATGTCCTAACCTAATTTTGACCTACTTTTTTGCCTTTCAAGAAATGCAGGAATGAGCCAAGAGGGAGAGTAGGGGTACAGAAAGAGGTGAGGGGTGACAAAGACACCAAGCAGAGCGAAAAAAAAAAGTTAAGAGCAACGGTTTCCAGAGCCTGAACGTGTTTGTAATCATACCGTACTGACTCTGAGAAGTTTTCTTGGCTCATTATGTTCATGTTTTGACAGTAAGCGAGTAGAGGAGAGAAAACAGAAAGAGGCTGCACATGGTAGTGTTTAGGAGAAGTGTGTCAAGTCAACCCTGAGGAGGAGGAGGAGGAGGAGGAAGAGGACGAGCAGCAGGAGAGGAAAAAGGAGGAGGAGATGAAGAGGGGGGGTCAGGTTACAATTCTGTGATTCCTCCCTCACCGTGGCACAGAGGGACGATCAAATGTAGGGTCAGGGGTCAAACCCCCCCCTCTGCTGCCAGATACAGTCTAACAGATCACAGCTGTATGAGTGTGAGCGCAAAAGAGAATAGAAAGGAAGAAACAAAAAGACAATAGTTGAACTCTTGGTTCATATTTTTCTGGTTTTATTCCCAGATAAACTGTTTGGCTCACTCTTATATACAACAATGACATCACAAAGAAGGTTCTCGTTTTTTTTTTTTAATAAAAAGTTTGATTGTTAGCATTTAACTATTTTCAGTCCCCATCTGAGTTTTTGAGATAAATATTTCCTGATTCTTCTATTGAACTGACATTTGATTAAAGATGTCTCACTTACACAAAATGCCATGCCAAAATAATGATGGTGGAGCTTTTTAGTTGCAAAAAAATCAGCTGGTGAATGACCTCGTTAATTATCACCATGTAGGACTAGACCCTTGCATGGCTGTGGTGGACAAGCCCATGCAGTGACTTCCACTAACAGAGTCATGTCTCTTTTTAATGGTGTGCTGCCTGAGACCTTAAGATCATGAATCAAAACAATCACCCATCTGACGGGACTCAGTGCATGCAAGAAGTTAGGTGCTGTTCTGAGTATTATTTGTGGCTATAGAGTGGGGTTTTGGTTGAGCCCGTGGCTCTCTGTATTGCTATCTGCAATTGTTACGAAAGTTGGTATAACTAGAGAAGCAAGCGGTCTGCAACATTCATCTCTCGACAGGGTGTCTAACTCGGTGTTACAGTGTGTTTGACCCTAAATCAATTTTACGCCTTTTATTCCTTTATAGGAGAGTGTTCTCTGCCACTCATATGTCAGTGCTGGATTATGGTGATGTGTTAATACATGATGCCCCTTCTCAGAGTTTGCATGCTTTAGACAGCTACGGACACAGCTCTTAAATGTAAGCACTATTCTACAAACTGCAGAGCGAATGTTTCTTTGAGCGCAGCCTGACAACAGATCATTTAATCCTCTAAAATCTGGGGCGACAGACAGAACAGCTGACAGAGCAAAATCTGGTCCAATCAGGTTTCATCTGTGGTGAAACATTTCTAAAATCACAGATACAGAGCAAAGCCGCCATGTTTGTTTGGCCTGTGTTTTCCTGGAGACTGCCATCTGTTTCTCTCTCTGTGTGATGAGTGTGTGTTTGTGCTGTGTGAGTGTGTGTACATGTTTCTGACTGAAGACAGATTGTAAATCATGTGAATGTACCACACTTGGATTTTTTTTTTCAGTTTGATGGACTTTTTAAAAGATAAGATAGACCTACCCGGCCTTTTTCCCAAGCGAAGGTTTAGGAGCGGAGAAGAGGGAAGTGAGCGGGTGAATCCCTCCATCATCCTGACCTCTGACCCCTCAGAATCTATGTTACCTCCACCTGTTAATTAAAAGAGGAAGATTAAGAGAGAAAAACATATCTGTGACCTTACCTCTGGTCATCAGAGTAGACACGTTGTTGGTTGGATAAACACATTCTTAGCTTACGGCACAGTGGTGTTTTTTATTCAAGAGAGACCTCAACGAAGTAAAAATGATCAGAGACGATACACTCAAAATGATAAGAGAGATACTTACCACTGTTGTTGTTTTTGCGGCTTTTGCCTCCCAGCAGCATCTTCAGGCTGTTCCGAAACATGATTATTTCAGAGGTCAGGTCACTCAGTCCAACTCAACGTCAAACCCTGAAGAAAAGAAAAAAGCAGAAAAATGTAGGAATTTTTAATTCTCCTGGAAACCTCTGAGACTGTAAAATATAGCCAGTCTATCAGCACTAATGCTGCATTTCCTCAAGTGACCACTCGAGGCTGTTACCAAAAGTGAGACAAGCCTCATTCACATCAATGTAAAACACTTCAAACAGAAATTCTCAAAGTTATAGTTTGAAGCACAAAAAACACATTCATGAGTTAAAGGGTGGCTGTTTTGTATATACATATATTCATGTGTAGTCTTAAGTTTGACAGTGCCTGACGATCGGAGGGCAGCACAGACTATCCATGTTTTTTTAATTTGGTGTGGTATTTAAGATACTGTATACTTATATATATTTTCTTATTTATACATATTTAAGTTTTAGTCTGTTTAATTTATTTACCTATTATTGTTTTTACCTGACTTTTTGGTGTTTAATCTTTTTGTTTCATTATCCTATCTAGTATTTTTTGAGAATAGTTTAGCTATTTACCTGCTATCTCATATTTTGCATTTAATTCATACCTCTGGAGTTCCCTTAGTATGAACTTTTCTTAACATTTTCTCTGGTCCTTTTTTTAATTCTTTGATTTTATGTCTGTCTGTTCGCTTATTATAAACCCCACATATGAATCAGGGTTTTGATTGATTTTAATGATTTTCTGTTCATGTTATTTTGTTGTATGACAAGTCCTTTACAAATAAGTCTGATAGATTGATCTATACTGTCTAGTAAAGCCATCTCTAGTTTTTATATGCCAGCTAAACCAACCTTCCACAACAGATAAAATAATAAATATGTAAAGGAGATTTGAGTGAAGCTTTCTGAAGTGACCTGGCCATTAGAAATCTCACAAATCCTCACTAAAGCTCACATTTAACCTGAGGAACAGACTGGTCCACAGAGACCCTACACTGGTTGTAGAAGCTCTGTTTGTGTGTTTGATCGCTGGGTTTAAATTCCTGCTTCATGACTGATCTGCATTTAAGGAGCTGACTACGCAGAATATTTTATTTGTCTGACAAGCAGAAGATTTATTACACACACCAACCCCCTCCTCTTTACTACAGTGAGACTTTTGAACACACCCAACTTACTGCCTGATAATGTTGCCAGGCAACCATCTGCTGTTGCTAAGCAATCCATTAATGAGGATGTGTGTTGGAATATAACCTGCCTGATGTACACCGCTGTGTTTGTGTGTAATAGAGAGAGTGTGTGTGCCACTTAAAGATTGTAGTACTTTAACTATATGAGATTCACAGATGAAAACTGAACAAAAGACAGAAAGAGCACATAAAAAACAAAACCTAAACTGTTCCTGCCACTCATTTTATCTCTACAAAGTGGTTTTCTTACTGCCAAACATCACATTTCACCACACAAGGGACTATTTTAATACAACACACAATTGTCTGTCCAAGAACTGATGAGAAAAAGAATCCTTTTGTGTCTGAGTGACAGAAAAATAACGTTTTTCCCTGAAACAGAGGCCTTCCAGCTTGTCTGGTTTTAGTTGAATAGTACGATGAGACTGTGCCACAAAAAACAGGGTTAGGACAGAAAAAGACACAAAAATTCCCACCATGTGTTTTCATGAAAAGCAAAGTGACTGCACAAAAATCTCTGTCGCCCTCTGCTGACCGTCACTGACTACAGCAGCCTGGTCTCTCTCTCATCTGTCTCCTGAAGCAGAACTCTGTCCTCCTGCTCCTCTGGAAAAATCATCTCTACATTTTCAAACAACTTTGAGATTATCTTATCTACTTGACTGAATTTTCTAAGTACACAGGACAACTGAAGACAGACCAAAAATGTGGGGAGTAGAGAGCGTGGCAGACATGCACTAAATGGTTGAGGCAGGACCAACTAACCACCTCTGCAACAAGTACAACAGCCTCTATATGTGGGGCACTAAGAATACAAGGCCACCAGCTTAAGGAGTTTGAAAAGTGAAGTGTTGCCTCAATAGTTTGGGCTCTTGCTTTTATTTCATAAAGCACCAAATGTTTAACAGGTCAGCACTGCAGGCAGGCCAGTTTAGCACCTGGACTCTTCCACTACAGAGCCATGCTGTTGTAAAATGTGTGGTTTGGCATTGTGTTAATTTCATATGCAAGGTCTTACCAACTTTAGTAACAACTGCATGATAGCAATACACAGCGGTCTGAGGAGCCATCAACAAACCTCAACCAAAACACCACTCTATAGCCACAAATAATGCTCAGAACAGCAGCTAACTTCATCAACAGTACATATAGGGTCCCAGCCACAGCACTAGCCACCAAACAATTTTTTTAACTTTGCCTAATGTCTTTAGCAAAGAGACTTATTAAGACTCACCTACTCTCTTCCAGCAGCCACTTGTTTATAGCGAGACCTCAGGCCAGTCCATTACAGACTGCAGCGGAGTGACACAGCTCAAGGAAGAACATTTCATTTTTACTAAAGTTGATATAACTAGAGAAGCAAGCAGTCGGCAACATTCATCTCTCGACGGGGTGTCTAACTCAGTGTTAAGGTGATTTTTACGCCGGAATATTCCTTTAAGAAAAATCAAACTAAGTTGAGTTCAATCTTTTTGCTGATTGTTTTGCTGATTTTGTGGAAAGTCCTGTCAATTTTTACAAAAGTACCAAAATAAAATTTCGCCAGCCCCATTTCTGACCCAACAATTATTAGACATCTTTCCTTGCTCCCTCCTCTTGTTTGTTGCGTATCCTCAAGGGGAAACATTGGAGGATGTGTGTGTGTGTGTGTGTGTGTGTATGTATGTGTGTGTGTATCCACAGGAGGGTAAATCAGGTGATCTATTGCCAGGTGCAGAGAGAGCAGGAGATGGGGTGACTCCACAAGGACAGACCACAGTGTACTGAGATATTAATGCTACATGTGTAAGTGTGTGTGTGTGTGTGTGGATGAAAAGCAGGGCAACAGATCAGAGGAACCACACGGCATGCTGCAAACCAACAGTTTAAATAAGGCACTGATCAAAACAAATCATATGTAAACTCTTCTTTTTAAACTCTTAATTATGAAAAAAAATGACAGAACTGCTGACTAAACCTGTCTAAGAAGGAGAGTATATAAAGAGCAAAACTTCACATAAGGGTTGTCTAAAATACAGCTTAATTTCAGCCTGACTAAGCGTCTCACACAGGCAGCATTTTGGAGTCATCTCCATGTCTGGTTGATGAAATACAAGGCAGCTGCTAGCTTAGCTTTGCATGTATGTGTGTGTAATTTGTGTCAGTGTGCTAATCCTTAATGACAAGTGAGCAGGAATGATGAGACTGAGCTTAAAATGGAGACACACGCACACACACGGTCACACAGACTCACACATGCCTGACTGAACAGCAGTATGTAAGACAACATGACAGGGCGTGTGTCGGGACACAGCAAATGTTGGCTTTTTATGCAAATGTACTGAAAACAAATGAGACAATGGCTGAATATGGGAGACAAAGACGAATCTGTGTCGACCCCAATAATGCACAAAGAAAGTGCATATTTTAACATAGTTATATAAAAAATATATGTATACAGCTTAACGTTTATGTTTATAAAGATACATATATAGAAATACAGACATGCATGTAAAAACAAGTCAAAATAGAGAAAAACACACAGAAACGCCAACAGTTGTATTTCAGTATTGTCAAACAAATATGATCAAAATGTGCGTATTTCAGGCACTGGTGTTCTCAATTATTAAATGTAATGAACATATTTTTGCAGAAACTCTTAAAGCAGTTTGAAAGTATCGTCCAAACGTTTTTCAGTCTTATGTTTGCAAATCAGTAATCCAAAGCTTTATCGCCATGTCAATGCAACAGTTGATTAGAACATATCTTAAAATACAACATATGAATACAGCAACAACTACACAACATACACTGAGATCGACAGTCCCTGCTGTGTGCATAAAATCAAGTGTTAAACTGAGGGTTTATTGAGATTATGGACTTCTACTAGAAAGGTGAACAAGATCTGGACAACAGGAAACGCAGAAAAGGGTGAAAAACAGATTAAAGAGGTCTGGGAAAATGAAGAAACTGATCTGAGTCAGTGTTTGTGGTCTGCAGCCAGTAAATGTGACTCAGCACTGACATGGTGAGAGGCTCATGCATGATGTGTGTGTGTGTGTGTGTGTAAGCGTGGGGGAGAGGGAGCTGTGTGTTGTTTGGATCTCTCTCTCTCTCACTCACACATACACACACACCATCTGTCATCAGTTCCTGCTCAGTCTGACCTCCTCTAACTTTTTCTGTCCTGCACACATGAACAAACCTCTGCTGTGGCATCTTAATGAATATTTGAACATGTTAGTATATATATATGTTTACAGGTAGTTAAATGCTCATCTAAATTTATGTATTTTCACTGTCCACCTAGTTTTATAAGTAAGAGAGTGACTGTATGCAAATTAAAAGAACTGCTATTTGGGGCGTTGATGACCTAATGTTCTGGGTGTGCCATGTACAAAGACAATAATCCTCATTGCATTTCAATTCTAGGCTAATTCTCTCTACAACTGTTCTGTCAAATAGAGGCAAAAATGCCCAAACATTTATTAATAATAATAATAATAATAATAACAACAACAACAACAACAACAACAACAACAACAACAACAACAACAACAACAACAACAACAACAACAACAACAACAACAACAACAACAATAATAATAATAATAAAATTAATAATAATAATAATAATAATAATAATAATAATAATAATAATAATAATAATAATAATAAAAGAACAGCACCTAACTTCATCTACAGTACATATAGGGTCCCAGCCACAGCACTAGCCGCCATACAATTTTTTTACTTTGCCTAATTCCTTTCGCAAAGAGACTAAACACAACTCACCTACTCTCTTCCAGGAGCCGCTTGTTTGTAGCGAGACCTCGGGCCAGTCCATTACAGACTGCAGTGGGGTGACGCAGCTCAAGGAAGAACATTTATGATTATTACATCATGGACATGCAATCAGACCGAGACGCTAAGGCTGAAGAACTATCGTGTCTGCAATGCAAAATGATTATTATGGTGATTATTACTTCAAGGAAATTATGAAGAAATGATCATGAATGTTCTTCCTTGAACTGTGTCCCCCTGCCTCAGTCGGTGACGGACTGGGTCTTGCTATAAACAAGTGGCTGCTGGAAGAGAGTAAGAATAAGAATAAGAATAACTTTATTAGTAGGTGAGTTGTGTTTAGTCTCTATGCTTAAGAAATTAGGCAAAGTTAAAAACATGTTTGGTGCTGTGGCTAGGACCATATATGTACTGTTGATGAAGTTAGGTGCTGTTCTGAACATTATTTGTGGCTATAGAGTGGCATTTTGGTTGAGGTTTGTTTACGGTTCCTCAGACCGCTGTGTATTGCTATTATGCTTGTTGGTATAACTAGAGAAGCAAGCGGTCGGCAACATTCATCTCTCTAGGGGGTGTCTAACTTGGTGTTATGGTGTGTTTGACCCTACTTTAAGTTTACACCAGAATATCCCTTTAAATGTTAATATCTTGTGCACGCCAAAGTTTGGACATAGTTCCTGCTCATGGCTACAGCTTTGATACTTCAATGCTCTACTACCCTGATGTTAACAAGCACAGATGTTACAGTCCATTTCACAGGTGATACAGTATATTGTACATGTACATGGAGCGCCTACTCTGTTGTGAGTCATATTGCCTCCAAATACTCCAAAGTGCGCCTGACACAGATTTTTGCTTCTGAGTGTTCTGAGTTTTTCCCCATGAGTCGTCTTTCTTCACCAGAATGAACTTTGTCTAAAGGAAATGCCTGTTTTTCAGACAAGTGTGCAGTGTGTTATCTGAATAATGGAGATGTGTTTCCCTGCTGATAGCCTTCATGAGGCTTAATGTGGTCTCCCCCTAACAAGCCTGAATCATACAATGTGTCTGTGAAATGTTAGTCATGTTTACCGGCAGTGTTCTGCTTTTTTCTCCCACATTTGACTCCCTCTTACTGATCCTAACTGAAAATTAATGACAGCACTTTCTGACGAACTCATCTGTTTGTTCCTGCTTATGAGATTAGAGGGAACCAGCTTGATCTAATGCAAGAGAAAATTTTTCATTGTCAAGTTAAAACTACTGCCAAGTTGTTCCATGTAATTCCAGCTGTGTTTCTAACATTTTAAGTAAAGTTGCAGTGTAAGTTTAGTTTGTAGAAATCATTGAGATTTTATGGTTGTTCTCAATTCCCAATCAAGCCAAATCTTTTGGTTCTCTCAATTCCTGTGGATTTTCTGTGCGAATAGAAATTAGATACATTTTTCTGTGTCAACAACACAAATCTAAAATGAGTTTTATTATTTTGACTGCTCTGCTAAGACAGGGACTGAGGCTTTTAAGGTCAGCTGATCACAGATGTAGCGTCAGACCGGTTAAAAGGTCATTCGCTCAGTAAGCTGACAACAGAAATCCCACTGTGTCACTAAAAGTAATACATAAATCATCATGGATAACCTTTGTTTCACAGGGTTGGATCCAGACAGTCTCTGATAAGAAATGTATCTTATATGTAGGATAAAAAAGTCCTTGGATGTCACTGAAACACAAAGCATTAATTGCCAGAAAGCTGCTGGTCTCACAAGGTGAGTGGATTTTACAATAAGCTGTTGTGTTGTAAGGTTATATCTTAAAACTAATATTGTAAACTGATTACAGGTATAATGCTGACATCATTATTTTTTTCACTATAACAAAAATAACACAATAATGCTGAATTCATGTGAATGTTTTTTTTTAATAATGAATACTGACAGATAAATATTAGGCCTTACAAAATATTGCTTTAAGGGACTTTTCGATTTTTGCCCAGCTATCTGGTATTAGTAAGAAAGAAAAAAAAAATCATATTAGATATTAATATTAATTATTAAACTGCACTGTTCAATACAGAATAATCACTTGAATTTATATCAAACACTAGTCAAGTCTTTGATTTGATATGCTGTCGAATGCATTCTTATTTGGAAAATGAAAATGATGATATTGACCTTGTGAAGGCCCATGCCAATATGAAGCCTATTACATCAAAATGTCATTAATGGGTCCAATAAATCGGCCAACAAATTTATCAGTCCATAATTAACTGTAAACACAAAAATATTTAGTCGTATATTGCAGCATTTAGGATGGCGTCTGTCTTCTGACTGCTAGGATTACTTCCTTGACTGTGGTCCGTACTCACTGCCTCTTACAATACGTCATGTCATTGTTCTGAAGGCATGTGGAAGTGGAGAGCAATGAGAGGGGAAAACGTTAAGCACAAAGACAAATGGTGTCGGTGAACATGAACTAGCTGGATGCTAAACTGATCTGGAACCTGGATGATGCTGTGTAATTCGAGTCAGATGTCTGTGATGCATGCAGGTTAGAGCTTCATGACTTTGGTGACCCATCAGCTGTTTCTGCTCAGTCCTAATTTATGTTTCCCTTTAAGATGGATGTTCATACTTTTACATCTACCATTATCACGATAAACATGTGTTATGTCTCTTTTGATTTACAGCATAATCGGGAAAGTTCCAATCAGTCTCCGCTGCAACTTTGGGTAATTAGCTGTTGTCATGTAACAAATCAGCATGTTCAACAGACCCCCCTTCCGTAAAAACGGCCATCTTGGTTGTTTTTGTAATAGCTGAGGTAACACTCCTGTGAAGTCAGTATCTTATTTCTGATAAAAGGACTGTGATTGGTTCGCTGTATCTAAAACTGGTAGGACATCGTCTAAAATGACAATCACTCCACTGTCCACCTGACAGTGTGAGTAAATATGAGCTGGCTGGTGGGTCTGGTGGATTCCTGGTCTAGCAGGACGTAAACCACTATTGAACTACATGCAAATTCAATTCAAATCCTCCATCCTGTTCTACCTGTTCACAGATCAAATCTATTATCTGTGTGTGTTTGTGTAGCAGAGTACACGTCCTCTGCCCCAGAAACTTCTCTCGCTCCTCCTGGGGATTCTCTAATGATTTTCTCCTCCTGACGTGGAGGTCGGCTTTTGTTTTACAGTGACTGATTACACCTTCCTCCAAACACTGAGGAGGGATTTCACTTTTCATCGAACCTCACAGAGTTTCTGCTCGCTGTGAGGGAAGGACATGGATCGGTATCATACGACAACACTAAAACAAAAGGCATACACACACACAAGACCGGTTTGTTTTACAATGCTTGTTTGTGTCTCAATGTGTGTGTGTTATTAGTAAAAGCTGAGTGCAGACCGCTTCACTTCCAAAACCCACACACACTCCCTCACACACAGACGCACACACTCCCACACACTTGCTCAAACACACAAACATGTTCTTATCTCTCTTCCCCAGAGGAGCCAATCCTGACTTCCTGTAATCGCTCAGGACTCCCTACACACAGGAAAGGAGTGTGTGTGTGTGTGTGTGTGTGTGTGTGTGTGTGTGTGTGTGTGTGTGTGTGTGTGTGTGTGTGTGTGTGTGTGTGAAAAGTTCCTGTAGATAAACAAACAAAGGGTCAACTGATTTTCTCACCTTTTACCCTTCTTTTTAAGCCGTAAACTCGTCTCACTTTTACACTCTTTGAAGTCGACTGAAGCCTCTGGGGGCCGCCTCACACCGGTGGCTTTGAGTAAAAACTTTTAAAGGAAATTGAAAACTTAATAACCTGAGCTGACTGAAGTGAAAGTGAACGCCACTTTATTAAATATTTGAGAAACATGAGCTCAGCTGACCTGCAGTTTCTTTTGCAGGTGAAGTTTTAATTTCCCATTTGCCTTTACAATCACATGACAGAGTATCCTTTAAATCAGTCGTTTTATTTAAGCTGAAAATGCCCGGTTTCTATCTCTCATTTTATCCCAATACAATACCATGCAATACATAAGATTGACATGATATTATAAGAGACCAGATGATACAATAAGATACGATATGATAAAATGTGATATGATATGACACCATATAACAACGTAAAATATATTCTGATACGATACAGTACAATAAGATATGATATGATATGCTACCATACAAAAAATTTGGATACGATGCAATACGATACAGTAAGATACGGTAAGATACGGTAAGGTACGGTACGATACGGTTAGGTACGATACGGTTAGGTACGATACGATACAATACGGTACGGTACGGTACAATACGATACGGTAAGGTACAGTACAATACGGTTAGGTACGATACGATACACTACGGTAAGGTATGGTACAATATGACACGGTAAGGTACGGTACGATAAGACAGTATGATACGATACAGTTTGGTACGGTACGGTACGGTATGATACGATACAATACAATAGAAAAGGATGCAACACAATTCAGTAATGTTCAGGTACAATAGGATACAGTACGATAGAATACATTATCATATGATACGATATGATCTAACACAATACAATAGCATTGGAACTGAAACAATAAAACAGGGAATGATCAATGATACATAATGACTAATTTTATAGTAACAGGGCCTTGGACAAAAATAATTAAATTAACATATTTAAAATATATAGTATATTTTTTAAATATGTTGTAACACTGGTTTTTGAACATTTTAAAACTTGTTTAAAAAAACCCAAATCCAAAAGTTAACGCAACCTTTTTTATTCTGCAGAGACTTGTTGTATCTTTGGTTTCTTTTATCATTCACATCAGGGTCATTCTAACAGGATACTTTATACCACTATAAAGTCAGGACCGCTGAGTGCTGAGGGCTTTATGATCAGCACATACAACTTCAGGAGAGATTCATCATCCTCTGAAAGTTCACCAAGGACACCAGGCGGGCGGTCACTCTGCTCTCACTCTCACCATATGGAAGATGATACCGCAGCATTAAATCAAACTCCGTCCATTTCCTAAACGCTTACTTCCTACAGGAAGTCAGAAAATAGAACTAAGCTCACACAGGTACAGCTCACCAACACTGTGGATTTTCAATTAGTATCAAGCTATTTCATGATCGCTAATGTATCACCTATTCTCAGCACATGCGGCCAAAGACCAGAGTACATCGTCCCACAGGTTTGGATATATTATTGTCTAAAAGAGCGTAAAATCTGGCGTATAAATGAAGGGGTTTTTAACGAAACTGCATATCCAAATGAAAGGTCATGAGACTTAAGAAAATCCTTTGTTCTGTATTTGTTTAATTGGCAGTGGCGATGCTGTGTGAGTGATCTAATTAAAGTAACAACTAACATGGTAGGGGGGCCTGATTGAAGCAGTGTTAAACCCAGACTGTGAACTACAGGGATAGGCAGATTAACCCGGGATTACATCCATCTGCCCTGCCACTGTCTAGGAAAAGAAGCCAGAGAGAGGCTAAGAAGGGACAAAGTATAGAAGAGAGACAACTCATCTCAGGGATTTACTTCTGCGCTCACATTTTTAAAGTTTTCAGTAAATAAAAACCAATTCAGTTTTTATGCATCTGAAAGCCTGAATCCATAATCCTGGTTTTAGCTACAGTTGCACAGTGGTTAGATTTCCATGTGCATAGAAACAGGAAGGTTAAGAGACAGAAAGAAGTCCTTAAAACCTTCTTTTCACTGAGCTTTACCTCTAAGATGCCATTCAGGCTTAAAACTAAGGTTTGTGGCTTGAACAAACACTTGCAAACACTGATTTTAAGTACATAACTGCGTGATGCATCTTTTGTTTACATGCAGTTTTAAAGTCATTCCTCCAAAAAGACGCTGAAACTGACCATCTTCGAAATTTACAGTGAAGGAATTGCAGGATTACTCAGGATAATGGATTAGCCACAATACCATATATGGTATACAGTGTTGTATGATAAGATACTGCACCACACAATAAACACCAGTAACATATGATAAAGACAATATGATATTTAACTATATACTACATCAAACAAAACAGTACGACACCACGCAAAAACCCCAGTAAGATACCATGTGAAATGGTGTGATATGGTGCTACACAGCACAAAAGGAAAACAGCTATCTACGGTGCAATAGTGGTACAAATGACACTTAAAATATAGTATATCACAATATAATATTAGAGGATACCATGCCCAAATCGAGGTTACTAAACACACAACACAAATGTGATTAGTTAGCATGTTTAAGGGAATATATCAAATGCCACAAAAGCTATAGCTATAGATTAAAACAAACATAAGTGAGCTTTAATAAATGACACTCATACAAGGATTGGACATGCAGGTTAATGATGTCCCTATTGAAACGGAAACACACAACTCCTGCTAGTTAGCAGCTGCGTAACTAACCGTAGGAGTAGCTTGCTGTTTAGCTCAGTTGCACAACTCAGGACATCAATATATCACTGTAATGGTATATCAGATACCTGGATGGATGAATGGGAAGGTGTTAGACAGACAGACAGGACAGGACAGACAGACGGATAGACAGACAGATAGATAGATAGATAGATAGATAGATAGATAGATAGATAGACAGACTCTGCTTGTAAGGAGGACCGGCAGAATATTATGGATTAATAATGGAAGCAGTATTGTGAGAGATAATCCCGTCATTTCCAGCACAAAGGATTTCTGTTTCCTGCCAAAACAACTGTTAACCACCAGCTGGCATAAACAGACGTCCTGCACAGAGCAAGCAACAGGAATAAAAACTGACCAGAATTTGGGGTAAAAAATAAGCAGAACAGATCTAAAGAAGATCAAAAAGATAAAATCCCTCCACAAAACCATGCAAATCTCAACCCCTGGTTTTAGATGTATTATTTGCTGAATTAATTTGTTTCCCTCATACTTCATACTTTTATTCTGGAGGCAACAATCACATTATCTGGTATTAAAAAATTATTGTAAAGCTGCAACTATATATTTTTATTTTCAGGCAATGTATGGACGTTTTTTTTATTTATTTATTGAGTTATATCTATATTTTTCTAATTTTAATGAGTTGTGACTTGTCTTACTTTTTTGAGTTTAATACTTCCAAAAACACAAAAATATTCACAATTCACAATTTCCAAAAGCACTAATTGGCATCATCAAATCTCTACTGTTTGGTATCACACGAAAATGATTTACTTAGTATAATATCAAGCAGAAAAGGCAAATACGTATTTTATAAAAGCTTGAACTGGCCAATGTTTGCTCATTATCAAATAATGGCGATCAAAATTCCTTCGCCTAACAATCAATTAATCGACTATCCGTTGCAGCATCATTACAGCTGCAGCTGTCTTTTCGTAATCACAACATGAATATGTGTTTCAGTTGTCTAATACTGATTATCTTTTATATTCGTTAGACGTATTTTCACAATATTTCTGCTGTAGTGATGGAAATATCTAATCAATGGGGTCCTAAACGAATATATCCTTGTGGTTGAAACACAGATGATCATTTACAATGATGATAAACAATGCATCGTTGTTATTGTGGACATAAATTCGGAATACTGTCGATTTTTTTTTCATCTTACGGTTGTGCTGCACGGATATGTGAGCCTCCCCACACACACAAACACACACATTCATACACAAACCATTTTTACTACAACATCCATCTCACCTTCCCTCGTGCTTATACACACGCGCACCCTCATATAGGATTCGTAGGAACACAAATAAACAGGAAACCTACCTTCGCGCGTGCTTTTCCTGATATCACCGGAGATAAAAAAAAATAATAATTAAATAAGAAATAAAAGAAACCGTCAGACCGGCAGATAATAGGTCGGTCACGGTCGGGTTAGTATCAGTCCTCAGTGTGTGGCTACGTCCTCCATAAATCGCCGGTAGAAACCAGCGGAGTCGTTAAACGTGAGGCGGAATCCCTCTCTCTCCAATCCTCCATTCATTACCGAGTATTTGTTAATCCGGATCATCAGGCGGACGGTGATATTCACCATTATTTTCCTTCCTCCGGTGAGCACGAGCTGACGTCTAAAAGGGGCTCCGGTGGCACGAGTCTCCTCCGGCGACGAGAGGTGATGAATTATTCACCAGAGGGGCGTGGCCAACGGGCTCACTGTGTTCGTGCGGGTGTGTGCTGCACAGACAACAACAGACACTGGGGCTGGATTAAAGCCGCAGCTGTCAAAGTGAAGCGGTCATCACATACAGGACGACATCTAGTGGTGGAAAAAACACATCGCACCCTGAAAGCGTTTAAAAAGTCTTCAATAAGTGTCACAAACAAATTTAAGTAGAAGTGTGTTATCAACAGTTGCATTAACCCTCCTCCTTTTAGGGACTGTACCCACCCGTTTTTTATTTTAAATGCCTCAAAGAACCACTTAAATTTGCTTTTTTTGCATGAAGACTTTTTACACAATTACAAAATACAAAAAAAAGAAGAATAAATTATAAAATGCTCCTACTAAAATTATGGCACTTGTCGTGATAGGGTCGCTGTTAGATCAATATCTAATAATTAGAGCAAAAACTAAAATCATATGTGTGCAAAATGATTAATACGGTGATTATTACTTGAGCTGCGTCACCCTGCTGTAGTCCGTAATGGACTGGCCTGAGGTCTTCGCTAACAAACAAGCGGCTGCTGGAAGAGAGTGGATGAGTTGTGTTTAGTCTCTTTGCTAAAGAAATCAGGCAAAGCTAAAAAGATGTTTGGTGGCTAGTGCCGTGGCTAGGACCCTACATGTACTGCTGATGAGGTTAGGTGCTGCTCTGAAGATTTTTTGTGGCTATAGAGTGGCGTTTTGGTTGAGGTTTGTTTATGGCTCCTCAGACCGCTGTGTACTGCTATCGTGCGGTCGATACTAAAGTTGATATAACTAGAGAAGCAAGCGGCTGACAACATTCATCTCTCGACGGGGTGTCTAACTCGGTGTTACGATGTGTTTGACCCTAAATTAATTTTACCCCGGAATATCCCTTTAAGTGTGTAAATAAACTCAGGGTTTTCCATTGTATATTTGGGCTCCTTATATTTAGTGTTAGTAGCACAACTGCCTCATGAATAACTTTTCATGTTTGGCCCTTGTCATATATGATGTGATGGGGGCTGTTGTGGCTTTTTCTGTCCTAAGGAACATTTCTCTCACTTGGCTTCCTGTTTTAACGTCAGATCCTGAAAAAGTTGGTTAATCTTCTGCATGAAGGTGCAACAGCCGTTGAACAAATTTTGCGGTGGACTGTGGCTCTGTGTCTTTTAGGAGACAAACTTTTGATTAATGCTGGCAGTCATATAGTTATTGATGGTGTAGTGAGTTTGTTCATTAATTCCCTTACCCTGCTAGAAGTGAACATGAAGGGCAGATGTGAACTTCCAGCTACAGGGGGAGCAGGGGATGAAGTTGAAAAAAAGAATTTAGATATTAATTTCAAAAGCTGTCCCAAACCACAAATATGCTTTGTTGTGAATGTTCTGTGTGATGCTGAACTGTTAGGTAAAAGTACCTTCCACAAAACAACAGACACATTTCTTTGTTTCATGCTTCAGGTTTACTCATAAAACCATCACCAGGAGCAGGCAAAGCTGTCAGCTAACATCAGATGATAAACAAGATGTGCCAGCTTATTGCTCAGTTTCATAAGTGAGGTTAATCATTTCCAAGGCCTACATGCTTTAGAGTAATGACATTAGCATTGCACCATACATCACTCTTGGAGTCATGGAAAGAGCACCAAGTTGCAGCAGACTTCACATCTGGATCAAAGCTGAAGACAACTTGAAATAGCAGTTTTATATCAATATCAAGGCAAGTTATGATGATAAGACTCTACATTTACTTTGACTGTTGCAGGCGCGTTATTAGAATTGTGCGGAAACGTGCCTGTTTTCAGCCAAAGATTGTGAGGGCCTCTTCAAACAGTTACACAAACAGTACAAGAGTGACAGTCATCAGATTAACCTTCATTCATATATTGACAGTAAATTAAACTTGTTGATTTAATTTATCAGAACTAGGATCTTTGGTGTTTGGATTAAGATCTGTGACTTAACATTTAATCAGGTTACATTGCTTTATCTACTATGTCACTCTGTAAAAAAGGACGTTTAATCAATAGGCAAATACTGTATAAGTATTGTGTCATTTGTTTCTTCATTTGCTGTATTGTAAAAAAAAAAAAAACATGCTTTTATTTTGAAATTTAAACATCTCAAAAATCCCAAATTACCAATCTTGATAGAAACAGTTAAAAGAAAAATGAGAAAGTATGACATTTAAATTTATTGGCAACTCCGTCTCCCCATTGTTTCAAACTGGTTGGCGTTAGGCGTAAAAAACCATTACAACCCCCTATAGATCTATAATTTATTGTATTTATTGTTTGATTATTATATGGTTGGCTTTAGCACAAAAAAATTATACGTATTTAAAAGTATAATTATTGTCAAAGCTAGCCCTAACAGGAATATTTAAAGTTGATTGGGGAAACAAAAAAACCCAATAAAATGAATTTCATACAATTTCACAAACTATATTTCCAGCATTTAAAAACTGAATAACTGAATACCCTCAGGAATACGTCCACAGTGGAGTATTTGTAGTGGCTGTGTTTTGCTCCCCTGTGTGTGTCTGTAATAGACCCAAGTGTTGATTTAAATTAGGGGAAAATGTGCACTGATAATTGTTGCTGTGAAATTTACTTATACATAGAGATTTGTCTGCCAACAAACATGACCAATCAACAAGTAATGGGATACTGAATTGTCCAATGTGTGCAGAGATGTTATCGGGTCAGTCTTGCATAATTTTGTAGGTGTGGGAGAGGTTTAGGGCATGGAGAATATCTGCACTCAGTACAGAGTAGATATTCGCTCTTTCAAAGCCGTTGAAGTCGGTGGTTAGACTGACTGAGTAAGCCCCCATGTTGTCAATGAGGAGCCAGTCCCCCACCTGCAGCTCAGGAAACCAGATGTTGTCAGTCACTTTGTCGAGGCAGTCGCAGGTCGGACCCCAAACAACAGTGGGGTATCTTTGCTCACTGCTGTCAACAGCCTGTGGAAAACACAGATAATTAACTGGGCTGGTTGTATTTTCTCCTCTCAGTGTGTCATTTGTTATTTTAGGCTTAGAAACATGAAACATCTCATTGTTTAGCAAAATCTCAATTTTTACGTGTCATAATGGATACTTGCCCTGTGCAGGTATGGCTCGACCGCAGTGTGGGCAGCATCATTGATAAGGCAACTTAGGGAGCCATAAACACCATCATTAAGGTAGTACATCATCATCTTGTCGGGGCAGTTTTCATTATTTCCATCTTGGAAAAAAACAAAACAATACACAGTGAATGACAGTGATTATTTTAGATAGGAGGTAGAAAATTCAATTAGAGTATTGTTATACTGTATATAAAAGTACAAAGACAAATTTCCACTGGGTGATAGCGCTGTCCCTCTTTTCAAAATTTGAGTCTTTCTTAACCTTCAAGTCTAGCAGTGCATCAGGCTGTCTAAAGCCGTTTGGTCCAGCAGAGGGTGCTGTCTTCTTTACCTGACCATTGATTGACACCCTCGGTCTCAGAGCATAAGTACACTGATGATTTGTACAAAAATGGAGGATGTGAGCTGTACTTAACCAGCCTGAGCAGACAGTCACAACACAAAAACATCTGAAAAGTGCCTTAAGGGAAGTCTTATCAGTGATATTGTGGGGGTGTGTGCTGAATATATTCAAATATCAGTATGCCATGTTTGATAATATTAATGTGAACTTGATTTCTTGGGTTTACACAAAGAATAATCAATCAACAGACAATATTTACAAGGCCTAAAAAATATTGATACTTTACTGCAAAGTTCCTTCATGTCATCTGTGATGACTCTTCTGGCAATAATGTTGGCTGCCAGTGTGAAGGCCGACTCCACATAGTAGCGGCCTGGTTCGGCCATAATCTTCACCCCACTCTCTGGGGGAAAGTATTTATCCAGGGCGTCATTGATGACCTCTGTGAACTAGAAGGGGAAAATGCAATTGTTAACTTTTGATTTAGGCTGAATTTTACACCATACTAATGTTCTAGGGTTGCACTAGTTCCACTTAAAGTGTAAATTACAACTCAAATCATTGTCCTCATGTGAATTTCATTGGAGAAACACTAAGGTATGTTTCAGTTGTTTTACATTGATGTCAATTAATGGGAGATAATTTCAGTTTAACGGGAACCACAAAAGTAAAAAATATTGGAGAGCTCCCTGCCTTTACACATGGGGACTTGGGATGCTAAAACCTGGTGTATGTGCATACACATCAAGTCAAGACAGGGAGAGCAGAAGCAAAGACTCAGAACAAAGCAGATATAGAGGCGGGTTGCATAGGGGTTTGCAGAGGAAAGCAGGCAGGTTAAAGCAGTTCAAATAGTAAGCTCAAATGGCCAATATAGAAGGTAACTGAGTGAGCTGTCAGCTGATCAGGGCTAATGCTAATGTTAGCTAATGTCTAGTTCTCAGCTTGACTTTGTGGCCTGCCTCACGTAGCATGACACTGAATCTATTTGGAGTTGTAACTGGTACTGACAGACAGGATGTAGATTGGTTTCCAAAGATTTTTTCACTAATATTGTGTGAACACGGTTAAAGTGTTCATGTTTTACTGAGTGCTGTATGGCAGCCTGTAAAAAAAAAAAGCACTAACAAGGTATATTTCTCAAATTTACCTCCTCAAATTTTACTTCGAAGTCCTCTCTGCCAGAGAAACCTCCACCAATATCCAGGAGAGTCATTTGGAACCCCATCATTTTCTGAAAGAGACATCAGTTTGACCTTATAAAAAAAGTCCACATATAAGAGTTTAGATTGTATTCGTTTGGCTTCATCAGTCTGGTGTGGTCAACTTTGAAATATAATGATCCACATTGGCAAACTATTTTTTACATGAATGCACTGTGCCAGATGTGCATCGATGAGTCAACAGTCATGGCAAAAATCAAGGACCAAGTCAGCGGCAGACAAATTTAGTCATGAAAGATAGTTTGCTTTTATCACACGGACTAGTTGTCTCACCCATTTTCACAAGCTGTCCTGTACAATTACAGTCTGTCATAGCCCCATAGTTCAGAGCTGTCAGTGATCAGTGCCACTGAAAATATTAGTTTTCTTTTCTCCCTCATATCAGAACTCAAAAGCATGGCCATTTTCACAACCTTTACACATGTGCAGAAAGTTGTTGTTGGGATTTTCCCCCATTTTTATGTAGGAGAAGACAACAAATCGCTAATACAGGGACTGGTGGTCGATCAATAATCCTGTTGTATAGGGATACACTGATCCAATTTGTGAAGTCCTGGTACTCATACCTTGACTTTGATATTGGTCGACGCTGAAACCTATACTCATCTGATCCACTTCCACATCCTCATCATTAAATCTATCCCTTAATGTGAGGATTAGACTAAGAGTTATGTTTTGGCAACATCAACACATAAACAATAATCCCTCCACCTCCCACACACACTTCTCCTGCAGCTAACCTGTCATTATACAGACAGCAGTATGTCCCCCCTTTTCCCCTCTAATGTTTCCCTTCACGCCTGTCCTTTTGACATACATCAGCAGCACACTCCTTACAGATGTTTTCTGATCTTTCCCCACATGTTCCATTATCACAAAAGATGATCAGTGTGAGGCTTGTGTTATGTGACGATCTCAGCTATTACTTCACACTGTCATCCCTCGAAAACATGAGCTTTGCATACTGCAAGTTGCTATCAGAGTTTTTTGTGAAACCAGTGTGAAATATCTCCAACTCTTCAGCCTCTCTATTTAGTTCATCCCATGTTACATTCACTCTCCACCTTGCAAAATGCACAGACTTACTGATGCTATTAACGTGAAGAGTGCACATCGATGTAAATGTTGAAGAGCTCTGATTTTTGGTGAATAAATCTACACTTGGGATTGGCCCTTTGGCACTGTAAGGAGGTCTATAAGGTCTGTTAGGAGGCCCAACGCCATGACATGGATCGTGAGCGATGTGTCTCTCTTGGTAAGGATTATTTATCAGCTGCTTGTCTAATCAACCCAACACTTATAAAACCAATCAAACCAATTCTATCAAGTAAATTAGTTGATTTTAAGCCTTGGATATATATGCAACATTAAACTTTCCACTTTCTTTTTGCCAGTCGTCCCAACAAACTTTGGTCAAACAAAGGCGACTCCTCTGAACATGCAAATGTACTGTATTTTTTGTGACGTTTGTCTGTATGCAGATGACTTACTGCTTTGTCAAAGACTTCTTTGGCGTCCGCTATCGCTTGCTTGAACGATGCGCATTCAGTGCAGCCGCTTCCGACGTGGAAGCTGACTCCAATAACGTTTAAGTCCAGCTCACGGGCACGTTCCAGCAGCTTAGAGACTTTCTCCAGCTTGGCTCCAAACTTTAAGTTGAGTCTCAAGAGAGATTTGGAGTCATCCACGGCAATACGGAGAACCAGCCTGAAAAAATAGACACAAAAGATTCATTTTGAGTCAGTGCTCAAGCAAAGATTTGTCCTCAGTGTAGCCAGGAAATAAAAGTGGTTGGTTTCTTACTTGGCTTTGGGATGACAGAGAGAAATTTTAAGGAGCTCATCCTCGCTGTCAAAAGTCATCATGTTTACTCCATGAGAACAGGCGTATTTGATGTGCGAAAGAGGTTTGGTTGTGTGGGCGTAAATTATTTTTTCCGGTGACACTCCAAGAGACAGGGCCAGCTGAATCTCACCCTGTGAGCCCCCGGACATGGAACAAAAAAGAAATACTGAGAAAACAGAGAGAACAAAATAGACTTTGTGATCGGCAAAGATTAACATACTGATAAGTACCTTGCTTGCACAGTCAAAACCTGTGTCCAGAGCACGCAGCATCTGCACAACAGCTGGTGTGTTGTTGCACTTCACCGCATAAAAAGGCTTGACTCGAGGTAGGTTAGTGAGCCACTTGAGGTGCCTCTTGAACATACTGTCCAGGTTCGCCACGAAGAATGGCTCTTCATTGTCCTGAAGGATAAAGTGAGGTTAGCATTAAGATTGGAAAATGCAAATTTTAAAAACTTTGAAGTTTCTTATACTCACCTCTGAGGTTAGCTCTTTAATCTTAATGTTTATGAAATCATCAATGGTCCTTCCATTCTCTAACAGCTCAATGTCACAGTCTTCAGGGCACAAAACATGCACGGCAGATCCATTTGTAGTCACTGGTGCTGCAAGAATGACGAGGTGGAGGGTAAAACCAAAGACATGATTTGATGCATGCAATTTCAAATAAAATATTGAATAATGAAACAAATTCCCATTGTTTGTAGTTTTCTTTTCTCCAAATAATACAATATAAATAGGACAAAATTACGACCAAAGCATTCATAGCAAAATAGCTTTAAAAAGTACATTAAACATCCACAGATTTTTTTGTTCCATTACCATGGCCGACATGCTCCTCCATAGCTCGCAACCCTGAAAAGGACCAAAAATGTCAAATTGGTGAGCGTTAAAGCAGCGTTTTATGAAACAGAAGTGGACATAGGTGCAGCAGCAACTACTTACCGAGAAGGACAAACACTCATCGCAACATGCTGATTTTGTTAGCTCACCTTTTCTCCACCTACTACTTTAAAACCAACAATGAAGCAATTTACCTTGAAAAACCAGTTTCTTTTAAATTTCCCTGTCAAATAGAATACATTCAATTCAAACACTCATTATACCAAGACAAACACGAGAGGTATTACGAAGTCTGATAGCCTGAGGGAGAAAGCTGGAAAAGATACAGAGTTTGACACAAAATAACCTCCTCTCCTCTGAGAAAAACCCTCTTCCATCACAAACTTGTTCATCTTCTTTTACTGACTGCATACAACATAAATCTTTCGATTTTTGATTGGTAAAAGAAACTCGGTAGAGCTGCCATATGAGCCTGTCCAGTGACCTAGTAAGGGTGAGGAGAGTCTAGCCTACTGTGTGATTTTATACATTATCTAGGTCTTCACCTGCTTTAACTGACACTATCTGGAGATGAGACCTGAAAACCACATTATCTTGTGTACTTTTTGCTCTGTAATCAGAGAGCCGCAGTCTGAAGTTTAGTTCTTATTTTTATTGATAAATTGTAGGACTGTGGAGAAACAAATTCAGTTCATGCACATATGATCTCTCTTCCTGTGTGCATCTTTTTTAGAGGCTGATTAGAGAGAGACCGACAGACAAAGAGTGATCGCAGTGTCCTGAGGCTTTTATTTTACTGGAGTTTGTGTCAGAAAAGCCCGTTCGTAATTGCAGCCTCCTACTGCTGCATGTTGATCAAATATAGGCTCAGAGAGAGGAATATGAGGAATATAATAAAACAGTAAAACAGACATATTTCCTCCAACTTTTTGCCATTGTGTCTTTTCAAACACGTAAAATAGGTTAACTTATTCAGCAGCTATTTTCAGTGTCCAAATTTAACCTGCAAGTTGCTCTGTAAGTGACGTTAACTAGGAAACAATCAATATTATGGACTGATATGATGGAGGACTCCTCCTACTCCCCACACATGCCGCCCTCCCACACCACCTCCACCCCCACCCCCACCAGGCTGATTATTTTGAGATGTGAAAGTGTGACTGGCACAGATAATCTCCTACTGCGCGCATGTGAGAAATACAAGTCCTGGAAAATATCAGACTGTGCTGAAATTACCAAGAAAATATCAGAAGTACATATCAGTGAATCATCTGATATAAAATCGAATGCAGTCGTTATGAGAGAACCAGGAAGAGCAATCTCATTACTCCTTCTGCTGAAATCATTATAATGCATTCTGCACACACAACTGTTTTAGGGATTGCCAGAAGACAAGGACACCCTCACTGCCACCCCAAAGAGAGATCCTTCCTAAGCCCTGCACAGGCTGAGCACTCGCAAAACTCTCAGTACACTCTTGGTTTATGTCAGCGCACTAGAACAATAACACATGCAACCACACCGACACGTTCAAATTCAACTGAGAAGTAAAATATCTATTCTGAGCCAGAGACATACCTGCAGGTCCCACTGGCTTTTATCTCAACAATAAATAAATGAAGATTAGTGTCCTACCTGTATTTGATATTAAGCAGACAGACATGAATTAGCATTTGTCCTGACTGATCCTGGTGCATGGGTGGAGATTTTAATAGTCAAAGTGCATGTAAACGGTGCAGCGTCCCTACTAGTAGCTGTGGCTGGATTGCTGCAGTGGATTAAACTTCAACTTTAAAGAACCTCAGTGTTAGTTTATGCAGGACATGAAAGTCATATGCTTTAATCAGCTGACAGCCTGCTGATTAAATCATTTTTTCTAATCACTCAAAAACCAATCGCAGCCCGTTCTCACGTCTAGGCAGTCCTGTTCAACACAACTTCCTTTTTACTGATCCCACCGATGCCACTCACACCCCAATGCTGCTGGGAGAGCTTTTGCCTCCACCACCCAACCTCCTCCTTTCAAGTCCAAAAGCCTTCGTCCCACCCTCATATCCGGGGTTAAGCCTCAGAATGCTGCTTGGTGAACCCAGGGGGCATCTACAGATTACAGTAATAGTCAATGAAGGGTTACACCTATAATTAGTATGGTCCTCCTCCTCATTGATGTCACATGTAATCACAATTCAGCCTGAACATGCAGTATATGCAGGCCACCTAATAGTCATTGTGTCACCCTAAAAGAATTTTGTAGATGGCTTAGTCCTTTTTGACTCAAGACCCCGATTCAAAAGAAGTTGTTTAAAAAGTCGATAAAATCAAATTTGATGTTTTACGATGATTTAAACCCAATATTTATTTAGAATAGAAGTAAATAAAATATTTCTTGTTTTATGGAAAATTTATTCCCATTTTATGTTTGATGCCAGCAACTTGTTTCAAAGCAGGCGGAAAGAAGTATATTGTGTTGTGTTCTTTTAATGCCACTCTGTGAATGTTTAGTTTCTGGAGTTTTGAAAGTAACATCTTGTCCTGTTCTCACCTGATAAAGGATTTCAGCTACTCAGCTGTTTGGGGTCATATTTTTTGTAGTTTTATTCTTATGATGCTTCAGATGTTTCTTTGGTTGACAAGGCAAGACTACAGCCAGGCCACTTCAGCACCCGGACTCTTCTACTACAGAGCCATGCTGTTGTTCATGCTAATATGTGCAGATTGTCTAGATGGCAGCATATATTGCTCTAAAACCTTTGTATGTTGTTCAGCATAAACAAATGTGTAAACTACCCATGTCATGAGCACTTATGTGTTCCCATACAACCACAAATGCTGGCTTTTGAACTTCCATGAAAATTTCATTTGGCAGATGATGCTATTCCCCTTTTTTTGCAGAGGAAAATCTAAAATTGTTGGACAATTTGCTCATGCAGTTTCTCACAAAGTGGTGAAACTCTTCTCCTCTGGATATCTACAAGACTCAGCCTCTCTGGAACAACCTAAACCTAATTGTGTTAACAATTAATCAATTGATGGTTCAGAATGTACGTAAACAGGCATGGTTTTGTTTTCTATCAGTTAAAGATAAACGTCAGTCGTATCCGAGGACTGTTTTTAGTTTAAAGCCTAATGCATTGTATCTAACTGGCAGGAGGTGTTCAGCTGGGATGCTCAGCATGGAGCTACACAACAGCTATGAATATGAATGTTATGAAGTTTTTAAAGGGCTTGCAGAGGGATTTTCCAGACTGACAAACTGGCATGAAAGTTTGTCTGCATACGAGCAACATCAGTACTGTCGAGTGTGTGTCCTCTGCCACTACACTGACTCACTTGGTTGTTCTGCATCGATCTGACTGTGTAGGCACAATTGTCTTATTCAATACGAACAGGCAACAACAACAACAAACGTTGAACTGTTGTTACAACAGTCCAACATTTGTTGTTTAAGCTTCTCTGTGATTGTGACTTTACATGTGCAGACAGTGTTTATGAACCGTCTTCAAATAATCAGTGTGTCAAACAATTTTTACACCTTTACAAAAAATATTGATATTCCAGATCTCAGGAAAGACGCATCATTCAAGTTTCATTTTCATGGATAATTGATAGTTTTATTTTTCACAACTTATGTACAGGAATACCATGAAAAAAACCTGAAAAGATTTACTTCACTGAATCTATATTTACTGTTAATTATAGAAGCTTCTAAAGAGAGTAAAGGACACTTCACGCCATATTCCAGTGTATGCTATCATTAAACCTCAACATTTAGTGTTATGGCTCTTTAACAAGCAAGCCTAACCCATCTTCCTGACATTAACACACCATTTGTTTGGGACAATAATCCACTATTTACCTTGTCTATTCATGTGTAAATGACTCTTGGCTGCGGCAAAAAAACTACAAATATAAACAAACCTCTGCACACACCAGGCTGGTTAGTCATAGCTCATTGTTCTAACATTGTGTGCAGAATGTCATGCAAACACAAAAACCTTTCAAAGTGAATGAGGTGATGACTTTGTCACTCTTTCTTTCATCCAAAAACACTTCCTTTCCCTCTTGTTTTCATGTCCTGTCCAGGTTTTCTGGCATCAAATAAAAAACAGTTACGCATTTTATTGCAACATGATTTGATAGAGTAGTAATCAAGTTAAGTTTAAGATTGAACTGTACCATAGATTAAACTTCCAGGTAAGGGCAAGGGCTACAGTACGTGCTTCATAAGGAAGTAGCTCATCCTGCAGAAAAAGAGGGAGGCCCATATATGATCCCTGTGGAACCCCTGCAGCTGCAGAGTGTTATACAGGGCCTGATTCTTTCATGTCAGCTGTTTGAAGCCTGTAAACCCGTCTTATACAAATATGTAAAAAGCCTGGGGAACCCGACCCTAGGGACATGCTGTGTTATGCACTGCAAACATATAAACCTGAGTGTAAATTGTTGTATAAACAGTATTTGTGTTTATCGAAACCTAATCCACAAGACAAACTACCGTACATGAGGGAAGAACGTGGCCTCATTTCCCCTTAGGCCGCGCTCTCTTTTTCTGAATTGTTTGTAGAATGGAGTTTAATGTTTGAATCTGTATCTTTGATGTTATCTATGGTGCAGCACTTTTTGACTTTTTGCCTGGATGGGAGAGAGTCATTGAATTCATGCAGGAATGGATAGTATTATCTGCACAATATCAGTATCAAAATCAGCCAAAAAAGTTAATCACAGGTATTTGCATGAATGAAAATGTCAACATCAAGCTTTAATTTGTCGGCTGTACTTAAGTATTTTGAAATGTCGGACGCAGACTGAGCTGTTTGGAGAGATATTGAAGATTAAGTGATACAAAAAGGAGCAAAAGACAAACCTCTATAGTGCTGTCATTATAGCGACAGGAGGATGTATATATCATTTATGGTAAAATCAAATATTTTGGTCATGTTTTTTAAAAAATACATTATTGCAGTTAGTTCATTGGGTGGATTTTCATTTTGGAAAGACTTAGTGTTTTTTTTTCAATGAAAGAAAAATGAATCAGTATTGGCTAAAATGAGGCTGAAAACATCAGCACGTCAGATATTGGCAAAAATCCAATATTGTGCATGCATGACCTTTCAGCCACTGGTTTGTTCTTTGTAATGTACTGCAGTCATGCATAACTAATTTAGCTGCTGTCAAAGAAAAGCATGGACATCTTATGGAGATAGAGGCTCACCTACATACCGAAATGTTTTATTCAAGGCGAAAGAAAACTTAGTGCATTATTCATTCAAAAATCTCAAACACCATGTCAGAATATCAAACAAAGATAGTCGGAAAGCATTTACATACTTGGGGTCATTTCTTTGAATGCATCTATGGGAAAAACACATTTATTCTGAAGGGAAGTAAAGGTTGAGGCCTCTAAGTACGACAGCATTTAACTGATGAAACTGTTAGATGGACGGTGCTACTGTACTGCTTTGTAAAAGAGAGGCCTTGTACAGCAGTTATGTGACATGCTTGGAGCATTGATTATGAAATTGCAGCTTTTCTAGACAGACGATAGCAGCAATTCCTGCTGTTCTGGAAACAAAGTTTGAACTTTCCCCTCATTATCATCTGTCTTTTTTAAAAGACAGACTGTGTGGGAAACAAACAAAAGCAGCAGCACGAGAGAAGTTCAAAGAAAATGTCTTACTAAATGTAAATGTCCTGAGCAGAATCAGACATCTGCAGAAATATGTGTTACGTCCTCTGGATTTGTACAAGATTTGACACATCATTTAAAAAACTGTTATGGTGTTATTTTCATAAAGTGCAACATCATGGAGAAGGTCAGGATAGAGGAATTTAAGTTATTCTAATGAATCAGTCCAGCATGAGTTCCCTTAATTTCCTTTTGATATTAACTGAAAGAGATGAAACAGACGTCATGCATAAGTACATATACAGTACCTGCAGTTTCATTATTTAGGATCAAGCTATTATAAAGATTTGTTTTTTTTTTATTTAAGTTTCCTCCCAGCTCTTACCAAATGTCCCTCCTGCTGAGATGGTCTGCACAGGAAGATGCAGAGAGGAGCGAAGACCATATTTACTGCCCCAACTATGGTCATTAGCCAGGGGAAGCCGATCAATGCCACTATGGGGCCAGTGACAGCTGGACCTTTGAAGAGAAGAGAAAAAAGATAAAGAAACAAAGAAGAGAAAAAGACCTAGACATTTGAGCACTAATAAGCTGTAGCTCTGTCATTAGCTTGAAGTTGATTGATTTAAAGTGGGTGTCAGTCTTTGAACACCATGACTGATCAGCCTGATTCAAGGTCTGTCATCAGGCAGATTATCTTTTCAGCCTCTTTACACTGTTTTTTAGTATACTTTTTCATGATAAACACACACTGATTGTTTCCCATGTACATCATTATTTCAATGGTAATATTAAAATGCTTACCTATGCTGAATCCAATGCATATTGCAACATCAGCAATGGCATAAACAGTACCATAAACCGGTCGATATCTCAGATCTACTAAGTTACCCATGAGGGGCATTATTGAGGAGTCCACTGAGCCTGTTAGAAACAAGATTGATCATGTTGTTTTGAAGGTCAGTGACTAAACTATATGTAAAAAAATAAGAAGCATGACTTACCGACTGAAAAGCCAATGAATGCATTCAGAACAAGCAAATGATAGATATTCTGGGAAAATTGGAACTGAAACACAAAGACAGAAATGGACAACCTTCTTTTAATCAACCTCAATCAACCCGAGGATTAATGTTTTGACGTTTTGAATTTCAAACGTGAAAACATGTTTAATATAGAAATTCAGCAATGTTCCATATTATTCACTTGGATTGGATTTCAGCCCCAGTATTTCTGAGTTGAGTTTCACAGATTGATCACATTGTAATTCCAAGTAAAGTTGGGATTACTACATCGCCTAAATATTGAGTTATTTTAGGGTGTCAATAGTATGGAAGGTGACCTTATCCAGAGGGCTTACAGTTATTGTGATTATTCCTGCCACGATCATTCCTACACAAGCACAGAGCCAACTGAGAGACAAAGAGACAAACACATACAAAAAGCACTGAATATGCAGAATTGAATGGTCAATATCGTCAGTATCAATAATCATAAGTAAGATGTGGATCTGACACAGTTTGTCTTTAGCTGTGTCTTCTGCCAATCCTGATTAAAACCTGTCTGTATTCACAGACAGCATTGACAGAAGAAAAAAAGTCTGTTTGGCTGCATCCTCTTACCTTCCGCTGTGTTTCTGTGAGAGGTGACCAAAGATGTTGGATGCTATGAGGTAGGATATGCTGTCTGGCAAAAAGACAATTCCTAACACATAGTGTGAGACAAACATATATACATAGCTTTTTTTAACAAATATGTTGAAGGAAACAAAAACCCAGAGGCTTCTTTTTTTGGGTTGCTCTTTATCAACTGGCAGGGCATTCACGGGGCACTTTTAAGAGCATATTATACACTAGACATGTGACCAGAGGGCATTGTCTTCTTTTACATTTTTTGTACTGGTAGAACATCCAGAGGGCACTTGAATGAATGATGAATGAATGCTTTATTTCAGTTTAAAAATGAAAAGAACAACTAAAATTCACATTTATACAAGTCTTTCAGACAGCAACTGAAAAAAGGAATAGGCTGAAGCCCCCAGGGCTTATATTTGCCTATCCTGTACTTGATGTTTTATCCAATGAAAGAAAACCAGAGGGCATTCTTTTTTACACTTTTTATACTGGAAAGGCATCCAGGGACAGTCTTGTAAGTTTTATCCACTGGGCACTATTTTTGACATTTACATCTTTTCTACAGAAAGGGTAGCCGAAGGCCAATCCTTTTGGGAATTTCCCAGTGGAAGGGTAACCAGAAGGCACCCCTTCAGTTTTATCCATTGGGAGAAAACCACAGTGCAGTTTCTTTTACATGGCAACCTGTTGTAATGTTTACAGGAACACCAGAGAGGGGTGATCCCCTACCAATAGACCACTGAGTGGTAATAATTACATGTACCATCATCTGCTATCTTCTGTCATTAAATGCTGTTATTTGCCATTATTGAGATATTTTGTTGTGTAAATGTAATCTGGGTTGAATTGAGACTTTTAACTTGTACATGGGTGCCCTCTATCTGCTGAGTTGAGCGGTGTGTGTCCCAAATATGTCCAAGTGAGTCCATATTTCTGAGTGATGTAATATTGACTTTATTTTATTTTATTTGTTTTATCATGTGACTGTTGTCAGTTGATAGGACTTAAAGGTGGGGTGGGCAGGATCTGAATAAACATCAGTTGTGTGGGGAAAAATTTTGAAAGTCAATACTCCGGTTTTCCCTCAGTTCCTCCTCTCCCTCTCTGCTCCAGCGAGCTCCGCCCACAAACAGATGCCCGTGCACGCTCATATCACTCTAATTTACCGATAATTTACAAGCAGACAACCTGAGGACTCCGACCATGTCGGATTCTTAAGTAAGAAGACTTTTAGTGATGCTAAAGTCAATTTTTTGCCTTTACATACACGGTCACATGCAGTGTTATTTCAAAGTATAATTTGTCAAACTGACGGAAAAGTAAGCTCAGCTAGCTTACCGTATCCCAGCTAAGCACTGGCCCTGAGCAAGGACGGAATGAGTTTACAATCATTATGTATACATCACAGCAAAACAGCACTGGAAACAACATAAAGTGGGGAAAGACTATAAATGCTATGAGTACTCCAGGACCCGAGATAACCAGTTTAATGGCGCTATAACACACAGCAGACCATGTTTGACAGAAAAACACAAACAACAACAACAAAAAAACAATTCTGTTATAGACACTTAGCTTAATGTAAATGTACAAAACACCGGTGCTAATGGTGAGCATTTATACAGGCTACCTGCTAATACTTTGTTTGCAGGACTTCAACTACAATAATGTAACATATCCGGGGACCCCAGATAAACTTTAAAGGCTGTACCATACACAGCAGGCCCCCTTTACATAAAATAACTCTGTTACAGAAATTTTGCTTACTTTATTTGAACTACAACTCAGTCAATGTAAATGTATATAGTACCGGTGCAAATGAAGATGCATGCTTACAGGCTACCAGCAAAGACTTTGTTTGCAGTTTCTCAGCGACTAAATTAAGGAGAAATCTTGCAGGGTGCAAGACAACAAAGGGTATAAACTTAGTGAGTTACCTGTCCAGCAGAAGGGTTGCGAAGCATCCGAATTGATTTTTTTTTAAATCTAGAAGGGTCCTCCGCCGTTCAAACGCCACACCAATGTTTACTGGGCGGCAGTAGCTCAGGCGGTAGAGTGGTCATCCAACAAGTTGAAGGTTGGCGGTTCGATCCCACCTTATCCCTAGTCTGTTCATTGTGTCCTTGCGACAGACACTTAACCCACCTTTCTCCCAGTGTATCCTCCACTGGTGTATGATCGTGAGTGATGTTTAGTGGTGATCAGAGAAGCCGCAGGTGCAGATGTGCAGCCACGTTTCCGTCAGTCTGCGCTAGGGCAGCTACCACGGTAGTTTACGGCCACCAGGGTGTGACCATAGACTGTATATAAGATGGACACCGTGGTTCCGCCTTCCGCCTGTATACGGATTTGAAGCCAAAAAGCTCTCGGTAATTCCGGGTTTTTCTCTGCTTCCTTGAAACCACAGCTGTGCAGTAGCGTTGTGCGCATTCGGCCGCGCAGTCGCCGAGAGTCCCTGTGATGACGCTCGGGTCAAACAGCGTATTCCCCCGGAAGAGCTACAGAATCCCTGAACGCCCATAGGCTGTACCAGGTGTCAATCATAGAAAACATGAACCCCCGAATAACTTTTAAAAACGGAGCTGTACAGAAAAAAAAGGACTTGGGCACAAACCAGTCTTACAATAACTACATGTCAACATCACAGGAAGGGGGGAGAAAAAATTATGTTCTGTGTAATAAATTTCTAAAGTTTGTCCACAGTCCCATAAGCTTTGCTGGCGGAGGCGGGATTTATGACCTGTACTGCAGCCCACCATCAGAGGGTGCTGTTCTCGAAGTGGCTTCACCCAGCGAGGAGGCAGACTCTGTCCATCTTATATACAGTCTATGGGTGTGACTGTGTGAGTGAACGAATGATGTATCCAATATAAAGCACTTTGAGGTCACTAACAAAAAGCTCTATAAAATCTGATGCATTATGATTATTTTTGCTCGGGTCTCATTTCTTTCCTGGTCTACCTCCCTTTTGAATGCCTGAGTCTTCATTATTTTCTTCATTGTCTTTTGAGCGTGGCCGGCCGTGGCATAGCAGGAACTGGGAGTTTCTCAGACTTCTCTAGCTGCTATCCACTATCTGTCATTGTTGCAAACAGAGTTTGCAAAACATATCAAAACTGTTTTTGATATTAAAATCTTTTTTGTATACCACAAAAAAGGTGTCTTTTTACCAGAATCCTGCATACCCCGCCTTTAATGAATTTGGATGTAGCAGACATATGAAATAAAAATATTCAGAATCTATGAACTCTTTGTGTGGGTTTTTGAGCTCATACACTAATAAAAAGAAAAAGAAAAATAATTTTTTAATGTTACCTAGTTGCCATTTGCTTGCACACATCCTCTTCATCATCCAGATAGGAAGGGCAGTCTCTATTACAGCAATAATCAAAGTTGTGAAACAGATGGCTCCTGTAAGAGTCAACAGAGTGTTTTCAGCGTTATATCTTTTTCTGAAGCAGACTCCTAATTTTATGTTATAGTATGTACAATATACCAGCAGCAATAAGTATGTATGGATCTCTCAGGAGAGTCAGTAGAGGGGTCCCCTTTTCCATCTGTACAAACAATGAAGCAGATTTTTAGAGGTGGTAGCATGCATAACATTAACCATATTTGAAAAGTAAGAATAAACTGCCATCGTGATAATAAACCTGCTACTTAATTATACTGATTTATTCATTTTCTCCGACTCCAATGGACTTTAATTGCGTAGTCTAAGGGGATCGATTTTTCCTCTATCACAGAAAATTTTTACCCATAGAATAAAAGAATTTTACCTGAGTTTGAACATGTGAAGGTTGAAAGATGAGGGCGTGTAAACCTACACGTGGACAAAGTAACAGCTGCTCATTAAAGCTTTTATCACTGGAGTAACATGAAGAACTAAATGTTCCATGTTTTGTCTAAAATTGAAGAATACCTCCGCCCAGCACAGCGATGGCCGCCAGAACCAGGAACGGACTCATCTTTCCAACAAACTGATACATCACGCTGCCAAAAGGAGCACCGGCTGCAGGGACAAAGGAGAAGTGATGAGTCACAAATTCAACACTGAAAAGAAGTATAACTTTAGTAAGTAACTGTATATATAATGTATCAGCACACACAACTGGAAATTTTTCCTTACAAAGATCACTTACTATACCTACTGTATCTAACTACTGTATCTATTTGTGCAACAGTTACATAAATAGAATCAAGTCTATAAAAGCCTATCTCATACTCAAAGCATTGTGTGTGAATGAGAAATTTTTGAGTAGCCTTTTTTCTGTTTCTGTGTCTTCATACAGACCTATCAGTCCTAAAGCCAAACCAGTGAAAGATATTCCCATCGCGCGCCCCCTCTCCTTTTCATCTCTGTACATACTTGCTAACATTGTCATTCCTGCAAAACACAAATAACAGTCATTTTGTGGTAAATTCAGATTATAATGCTGGATTTCAAATTTTTGTGTAAAAACAACAAAAAGAACTTTAAGAAAATTTGTTAATCTTGTTGACTATTAAAAGTATAGTATATCTTACCTGCCACAGACAAGCAGGATCCACCTACACCCTGTACTGCTCTTGCCAGCAGCAGTAAGATGTAGCTTGAAGAGATGGCAAACACTTGCAGAAATAGACAGATTTTAAACAGTATTAGGAGGTTCTTTATGGAAAGATTGTGGCGTGTGGTGTATTTGCAAAATATGTCGCAAAAAATCTCAAAATCAAATAATCAGCTGTCAAGGTTTGAACATCAATACTTCTATCAATAAAAATTCTTTGACACACAGACAGAGAGGCTGAGGTTTATCAGTTCTGACATAGCTACAAGGTTGGTTGCAATTTGTTAACAGAGGTTGGACAGGATCCCATAAACTTAAAAGCAGATGTAGAGCCGAGGCAGAGGCTCAATGTCCTAAATCACCGTGCCAGAGTGTCAGCTGCAGCCAGGTGAAATACACGCAGCTGCTCATGTACTGCAGAGTGATCTTGCAGCCATGTAGCTGTTATACTGTGGAAGGTGTGTTAGTATTTTGGGATATTTTCAACAAAATTATTCAATAAATACATTTTTAATTTCTGTGACTGTTTTTTTTTTTTCATAACAATTTTCTAATGTACATACACTACATATTTCTAATGTGTTTCCTCATTGAGCCCTTGTGATAATATTCTCTCTGTTTTCTTAGTTCTTTTATTTAAAAAAAAAAAAAAAAAACTTATATTATCATTATCATTTTTTTTACAGCTCTTATTTAGCTACATATATCGATTGGGAAATGTGTGTGTGAAGGAAGGTTCTTTGTATTGTTTCCCTTTCTTTTTACGTACAGCACTTTGCATTGCATTATCGTTGTATGAACAGTGCTTTATCAATTCTGATTCTAAGCAATGTCTGTTGGCCTATATAAAGAATATAGCCATGATGACATCAGTGGATATGGCCTTCATAAATATCTGCAAATGCACACTTCTAGGAGTGTCGCTGTGTCGCGCAGAGCGAATCAAGTTTCCAGTATGGATCACAAAGGAGTAGAGTGGAATTGATTGGTTCTTCTTCTTCTTCTTTTGTGGAGACAAGCTAGACACATCAGTGGTGTATTTTCTGCCCTCCACAGTCTGAAGTCTTCACTTATTTATGCACAAATCTCTAACAGCTCACTAGTTATTTTGAATCGATTGCTTTTGTCTGGTTAGCCCAGGAAACCAATCCTGCTTCAGAGTGGAACCAGGACCGTCCACTTCATTTACATATATACTGGACACAGAACTATGTAAATAAATAAATTTTGAAATGCAGATAAACAAATATATAAACAACGCAAATAAACAAATACATACAATAAATACATACATGCAATAAATGTGGAAATGCATTAATACAAAATAAAAACAAAAATAAAGATTTTCAAAAGCATGCATGCTTGAGGAAATAGATAAATAAATAATTCTAAAAAATATGGAATTAAAACCGAAAATATAAGCATTTAATTACGTGTTTATATATTTATTTCTGCATTTATGTATGTTTGTGTGTGTGTGTGTGTGTGTGTGTGTGTGTGTGTATTCATAATTATGTCATTTTTGGAACCCCAGACCCATGAGGCAGATTTTGTGCCTCATGTGTCAAATTAGTTCTTGTTCAAGGTGAGCCACACAACCTCTATTAATAACCAGTGTCTACATCATGGCTGTGTCAGGAATGTCACCAATTGTATTGTTTTGTTTATTTGATCAAATATACATACAGTACAGTTTTAGACAAGGAATTCTCTATTTTTTTGGAGATCGAAAAGGAGTTGGTTGAAGGTATTTAGCTTATATGTACCTTTCCTCATTCCTTCCTATTCGTTTATCCTTTACATGTCTTTAGAATTTCTGATGTTGCCAAAAAAAATAACTCTACTATGAGGTTGTGATAATGAGATTTTGTATTAATAAGTGAATCTTCTGGTGTGTTGCTGGGGGACAGAGGGTATACCTGCCAGCCTTTTATCCTGACATAATAGGCTTTGGTTCTGTGCTTTCAATCTTGTAGAGTCACTGTGTGACTACAGTTTTGATGATTTACTTGCTTTAATTTATCCTTTATTCAATAAAGGAACCTAATACTACTCTAGTGGGTGTGTATTTATATTCATATGGCACATATGGGAAACCATAAATTACCGTATGATAGCAAAATCATCTGAAATAATCATTCATCTAAAACTATTAAAATGTGATATCGCAAATGTTTAGATAATGACAGTGAGTCTAGTTGAATATGATAACATTGTGTAGTGGGCAGTGGTTTCTATTTGTGGTGACCGCTGGCTGAGGTAAGGGATGAGATTAAATAAATCCTGGAATTTGGCCTGGTCTGAAGCAGGCTAACTCCACAGGATAAAGCTCCATGGTAACTTACACCATAACATATCCTGTTCTCATCTATCCTGCTTTTGTGCATCCGGATCACGGATAAATTGTGCCAGGATAACCAAGATATCCCGGCTTAATCCCTTATCCCTATTTGTGCAACAGGCCCTCAGGTCTTTATTCAATCATTAAAACATACTGATGAATGTTGTACTCTGGAAGAAGACAATAGTGATGCAACACAATGATAAACACATGTCATGGGTATCAGGTTTAAAATGAGCACATGATTATCAACTTCAACATCTAATTTGTCTTTGAAAGATTCTAAACCTCAGATTGTTTAACCAAATGATTTGTATACTGTGAAATCCTGTCTTTATTAACATTTTACACAGTGTAATAGCTTTTGTGGAAGGTGTAGAAGATAAAATACCAAAACTGTACACAGCTAAAATATGATTATGATTCTCTCTCAATAATATTATCTATGACAGGTCAAATGTACTTACAGATAGTTGCCAAGGTGATGATACAAAATCCTGCACACATTGGGATGTGATACCCAATCCTGTACAACAAACATTTCAGAATCAAAACGTAGTTTACTGCCAAATTTAAACACAATAGTAAGTTGTTACTAGTGGGCAGGAGTACTCTTGCCGTCAGGAATAAGCAAAGTATATTGAAAAGGGGACATTTAAATGTATTTTATATAAATTTTATTCAGCCATGTTGGTCGTTTTAAGATAGGAGATCTCTATTTTAAGAGAGCACTGGCCAAGAATAGCAAAAACAACATCTGAACAAGCCTGGCTCCCACACTTATAACATGGGATTGACGTTTTACTTATTGAAATCAGTCTGTAGATTGTTCCAGAAAAATGGGGTGGAATACCTAAATCAAATTAAATTTAACTTCACCACCTTCAGCTACTGTCCAGAAAAATGTCACAAGCTAAGGTACAGAAATACAGTAAAAGTTGTTTGGCTACATCAAAGCTATTTTCATATAATGTAGGCTGTCAATGAAATGTAATTTTATCAGATCTAATATAATTATTGGCTTTCCCAATTAAATTTAGTGTCAAGTCTATTTTTTTCTGTTCTAAAAGGAAGAAACAGATAGTCCAGTATGTTGCCCAGAGATGTCACTGTCTGTCTGTCCCGATAAGTTATGATGTTCACTACATCACCGTACCTAATCAGTGAAAAGGCAGACTCCACTAGTTTCTCTTCCACTTGAAAAACATTGAAATAAAACATGTACTGTTTAACTCTTTGGAGCTATATCTCTTGTTCCTTGTAGTTGTAGGGAAAACTGAGTCACTGTGTTTTATAGAGCTTAGAAAATGTTTGATAAATGCCTCTCACAGATCAGTTTCACTCACCTATCGGTGAGCAGTCCAACAAAAGGGTTCATGATGAGCTGAACAGTCGACTTTGAGGCCAACAACAGGCCTACTTTGATGTTCACTCCTTCCAGCTCAGCTCCCGCTTCCGAGCAGTTTGAGTCAGAGGAATTTTGGGCCGTGGTGAAGTTCCTGGAGGGAAGTGGACTCTGGTGTGGAGAAGTCAAATCCACTGTAGAGTCTGAACTGTTCTCAGAGGAGAGGATTTCAGCCTGCTCAGCACTGTACAGGTAACTGGGGAGGATGGGCACTGTCCACAAAGTGAAGTAAAACAAAGTACCGAATAAATAAAAAATAATAACACAGCTGCCAGAGAAAGAAAAACTATGAAGGGAAAATTCCAAATCATCAATTAATCTAGTTTTTTTTTCAAGTAAGGGTCAGTTGCGACAGTATTTTTTCTCAATGTAGAATAGAAAAAAAGTACACTATTCAACTACAACAAGTCGATAACCACACATGTAAACATGTAAAGTGTATGATAGTGAAATATAGATTGGAAATTTATTTAAAAACAATTTACTCACTGCAGTCTTATTTACACAGGCTACATGAGGCTTTTTACATAAAAATGTACACAACACATGTATTATTGATTGTTAAATGTTATTGACTCTCTTTAAGATTTAAGTAGAATAACAACTCTCTCAAACTCAACTGCTTACACCACTGATTATGAGTTAACATACCGACGACCGAGAGCAGCATATTATCAAGAAACAGGGAGATAAATACAACAAGCAGGACCATCTTCTTCAGCTGTGCCTTCTGTCTCAGCCAGCTCAGCAGACCTGAAGATGCAACAGAAGGGTCTTATATCAAAGTTAGAAAAGTAAAGTGTATAGAGTTAGTTTCATTCCTTTGATCAATATTCCAAAAATGACTTTAAAAGAGAAATTGTGGAAAAACAGGTCGTTTAAGCTTACCCATAGCTGCAGTGTATGATGAGGTGTGGTCAAGATGTAAGGAGCTTGTTAAGTGTCCTGCATTCAGGATGATCTGTCTGTCTGCATAAAGCTGCTGGAAGATTTATAATGCTTCACTGAGCATGATTGTTTCATTATTTGAAATAACATTTACATTACAGCCTCAAAAACTTTGCAGGACCAAATAACACCCTTACTTTACTATAACACACTAAGTTGTGTGTTTAGATGTAATTTAGTATGTTATATTGCTAATTTTTTTTAATCTTATATTTTACGTTTTTCATCCTTATGTACTGTAACACAACAGTGTGTCAGTCTTTTTTTCCAGATAGGATTCCATTGCTTTTCTGAACCCTTGACTTTATCTTTTATGAACATGGTGCAGTGTTAAAGCCCCAAAAATTATGATTATTACTGTTATTACAATTAAAATTTGTTTTACACAATGACACCTTCATTTAAATATCCTGTTTGTCCACAATAGAAATGTGATACCGAAATCAGCCCCTCCTTATCATCTTAAGGCGTAAATAGAGGATACTAACACTCCCTACACAAATATTTAATGTTTGGCACTCGCTGTTATCTGATTGTTCACTTTGGTGCTGATCCAACCATACAGTTTCAAACTGTGCATGCACCATTAATTGATGGCAAAAACAAGTGTGCATGAGCGTCACCAACATGTTTGAACATTAAACTAAAAATATATTCTAATTCAATTATTTGAACTGAATTAAAACTCTTCTATAACAATTGATAAAAAGCAAAACACGTTCAGTTGTAATGATGTGTTGTATTCTTTTTTTTTTTTTTTTACTACTTTATTGCAAGGCTTCTTTCTTTCACAAACAAAATCAGGCTTTCATTTTACAATATTATACCTTACATTTTTTTTTTTTTTTTTTTTAACATACAGAAAGTAAATAACAACCAAAAAGAAACCAAATCAACATATCTCCAAAAATAAGGCAAAACATACAAGCAAACAAAATACAAAAAATAAATGCATAAATAAAATAAAATGAACTAAATATAATTAAATAAACTAAAGAAAACTGGTAGGGGTAGGGGTAGGTGCATGTATGTGTGTTTGTGTATCTGTGTGTGTATGTACATGGATGTTAGAGTTGGGGTGGGGACCTTTTAATCCATCTCCTTAATTTGATTAAATATTTCTACTGTTTTTGTCAACCTTTCTTTGTGGTATAGCTTGTTCCAAATATGCATTTTTTCCCTGTTCATTAACATTAGCCTTTCCATCTCTAGACATTGTTCTGCTGTTGATACCCAAGCTGTTAATTTTGGTTGATCTGATTGTTTCCATGCTTTGGTCACCTGTTTCATAGCAGTTGTTCGCAATATGTTAAAAAAATAGATATCCTTTGCTCTTATCTTTCCCTCTAAATGGATACCTAAACAATGCTGTACCTGCAGAGGTTCTTTAAACTCAAATATATGCTTTAAGGTTTCTTTGACTCCTTCCCAGTACAGTATTAGTACTGGGCATGTAAAGAGCATATGCATATAATTTGCCTCCTGTTCTCCACATCCTCGCCAACATCTATTATCCAGTCCGGGGTAATACCTCTTAACTTTCTCAGGTGTAATGAAGAATCTCATACTCACTTTCCATGAGAACTCCCTCCAATACTTTGATTGGGATGTTGTAAAGTTTCTACCTAATGTTCTTCTCCACTCTCCTGTTGTTATATTAATTTTTAGATCTTTTTCCCACTTCTCTTTTATGTTACTCTCTACATTGTTGTGCTTCTGCAGGATCTTATAGATTTTTGACAGGTTTCCTTTGTTTTTATTACAATTTTGTGTCATATATCTTATCAGTTCATGCTCTGATGTTTCCTCTGCTAAAAATCTACTTATGTAACTTCTAACCTGCAGATATTTGAAGAAATGTTTTGATTCTAATTTGTATTTCCTAGATATTATATCATAGGAGTTTATTGTATGATTTGTAATTAATTGTGAATAATTTGTCAATCCCTTTTTCGCCCACCCTACCAAGATTTTATCTGTTCTATTAGGAATGAAATCAGGATCCTCTGCCATTTCTCTCACTAGCACACATTCATTGTCTATTTTTAACATTTTACAAACGCATTTCCAATTGGCCAATGTATTGTCAATGCAGTAGTTCTGCCCTGTGTAATTTTTCCATTGCGTTCTTCCAATAAATGGCAGTGTCCCAATGGATATTCTTGCCGTTTCTTTTTCTATATTAATCCATTTAGTTTCTGTTTCCCTCTCTATCCATTTCATTACTGTGAGGAGTTGTGTAGCCAAGAAATAACTCTGTAAATTTGGGAGCCCCAACCCGCCTTCCTCCTTTGCTTGACAAAGACTTTTCAGTTTAATTCTCTGCTTTTTGTTGTTCCAGATAAAATTTGAAATAATTCTGTTGCAATTTTTAAAGTATTTCTCTGGTACAACAATAGGCAATGTCTGAAATAAGAACAGGAATTGTGGAAGAACCATCATTTTAATAATTTCTACTCTGTTAAACAAACTATGTGGCATTAATCCCCATCTATTCAAGTCTTGCCTTATCTTGGTAATCAATGCACAATAGTTGTTCTCATACAATTCATTTAAGTCTTTACTAATATTAATGCCTAGGTATTTTACCTTCTTATTCTCCCATTTGAAGTTATAACAATCTTTCAATGCCTGGCTGGGTTGTCTCCCTATTATCAAAGATTCACATTTACTCCTATTCAGTGTATACCCAGAGACCTTACCAAATTCAGCAATTGTTTTCATTAAGGCATTTATTGATTCTTCTGGAGATGTCAAGTACACAATAATATCATCAGCGTAAAGTGCCAATTTATGAGTTTCTTTTCCAATTTGTATTCCTTTTATCTCAATGTTCTGTCTCACTGCAGCAGCTAATACTTCTATATACATAGCGAAGATGAGGGGAGAGAGAGGGTCTCCCTGTCTAGTCCCTCTCTGTATTCGAATTTTTCTTGACAAAGTGCCATTAGTTTTAATTCTTGAGGTTGGACTACTATATATTGCTTGTATCCATGAGCAGAATCTGTTATCTACCCCAAAACTGTCAAGCATCTCAAACAGAAAGGGCCAGCTCACTAAATCAAAGGCCTTTTGAGCATCCAATGTTAATAATATTGCATCGATGTTTTTATTTTGTGCATGGTCCATTATATTTATTGTTCTCCTAATATTGTCTGCCAAATACCTTCCAGGGATGAATCCACATTGATCTGCCTCAATCACATCAGTAATTGTGGTCTTTAATCTATTTGCTAGTATTGCTGATATTATTTTATGGTCAGTATTTAGCAGTGATATGGGCCGATACGATGAGCATTTTGTAGTATCCTTTCCCTCTTTCAAAATTAATGTTACAATTGAAGATTGCCATGTTTGAGCCCATTTACCTGTTTCTAGCGCATAATTGTATGCTTTCTTAAGTAGTGGAGCTATTTGTGTTTTAAATTCTTTATAAAATTCATTTGTGAATCCGTCATCACCAGGTGATTTTCCTCTTTTCAGTCCTTGTATTTGCTGATTAATTTCTTCTATAGTAATTGCTTTACTCAGATCCCTGTTTTTTTCCGGGGGTACCTTTGGCAACTGAAGCTTCCTTAAAAATATCTTACTCTGAGCATTATCAGTTTTGACTTCCTCTTTGTACAGAGTTTCATAGTATTTAGCAAATTCCTCCGTTATTTCTTCTTTGTCTGTTCTTATTTCACCTTGTTCTACTTTTAATTTTGTAATATAAGCTTTTTTTATTTGACTTTTAAGTTTGTATGCCAGGATTTTCATAGAGTTTGGTCCTCCATCATATGTTTCTTGCTGTGTGAATCTTATTAATCTATCAATCTCAACTATACGCAAATTGTCTAATTCAGTCCGTTTTTCTTTCAATTTCTTCCAATCCTTGTCACTTTTGGTCTCACTGTGTCTATTCTCCAAATGTTTTATTTGTTCTATTAGCTGTTTTTGTTGTGCTTCTCTTGTCCTTTTCTTTGCAGATGCATATGCAATAATGTGTCCCCTTATAACTGCCTTAGCTCCTTCCCACAAAGTAATTGAGTCTATTTCTTCAGTGTCATTTATTTTTACATATTCAGTTATTATGTTTTGCATTCTTTCTACGAAGATTTTGTCTTGCAGGAGGGAGTTATTTAACCGCCAAATTGATGTTCTTTTTGTCTTTTTTAATTTAACTGTAAGTGAAATTGCAGCATGGTCTGCTATATTTATCGAGCTAATTGTACAGTTTTGAACCAGTGATACATCTTTTTTAAACATAAAAAAATAATCTAATCTGTTGTAGACTAGATGTCTCCCTGAGTAAAAGGTAAATTCTTTCCTATAAGGGTGGAACATTCTCCATATGTCCACTAGACCTATCTCTGTACACGTTTTCCTAAGGATACTCGCCTTTTTCTCTGCCCTATGTGTGTTAGCATTAGATGTATCTAATTTTGGATTTAATACCAGATTGAAGTCCCCCCCTATAACAACAATACCCTTACATTTTGTAGTCATTAACTCTATTAATTCTAGCATGAAATCTGGTCCTATGTCTGGTGGGTAATAAACATTAAGAAATGATACATCCAAGCAATTTATTTTTCCAACGACTAACACAAATCTCCCTTCTTTGTCTTTAGTACAGCTTTCTTTCTCAAAACCTATTTTGGACTTTATTATTGTTACTACTCCTCTGCTCGCAGAAGTATACATGCTATAGTATACCTGACTATTGAATTCTTTCTTTAGCTTTTCATGATCCTGTCTCCTCAGGTGTGTTTCCTGCAAGAAAATTACATCTGCCTTGTCTCTCTCCATCTGAAGCATAATCTTCTTTCTTTTCACTGCATTGTTCAAACCATTAGCATTCAACGATATTACCTTCAGATCACACATTTATCAGGTGACACTGCATGGGTCTATCGGACCTCTCCCCCTTATTAGTACATATGGGTTTATCAGTAATGTAGT